AAGCTTACACTCCCTAACCCAGTCAACGACCTCTCTGAAACAATACTCTCGCTAGATAGAGGTAAATCATGTCAAAAATATTTGGGAGACATCTAAATAACACCTCTGGCTACTTGGTTCTGTAATTGTATATAAATTCGGCTTTCTTCACCAACTTTGGATCATCCCGTTGTCACCCTTGATTGCTTTCCCGGTGACGATCGCTTTCCCGGTGAAACACGTTATACACATAATACACCAAGAATTGTCCTTGGGGGCCCCTCGAAGCAATAACAGGTAGTACATGTCCTCGAGACACCTTGTTAGACCATTTTCCTTGTGTCATCGGGGACATGTGGCAAGAGCTCAAGGACGCTGGTACGTCCTCATGAACATACTAGTTTAGAGGCTGGAACTTCTTATACCACAGGATCTAGATCTTCAAAGAGTTACAACCAATCTCATTATATAGGATCTTGCAGGAGAGGGCACGCGGAAGGCGTGTGTCGAAGCTACATGAGGTCTCGAGATAAGTCTCGAGACCTTTCTGAACTTTTTTCTCTACCTAGGTAGATATTCCAGCGCCAGCTCAAAAATGAGAATGAAAAAAAGGGAAAACTAAAATGAAGAAGCACTGACCTTTATTTGCATTGAATAGCATAATTGCAGCGTTTTCCAAACACTATGGTCACATGACGAAAATTCGAAAGCATACAGGACGAGATGAGACTGGGGAAGTCTTAGAATTATTCTGCTATGAGCTCAATTATGGGATTGTGCAGTAAATATGTTCCGTCCCATGCAGTCGCAAACGCTCATTATTGGCGAATAATCTCTTATTTTTCGTTTACACGCAATTCTGCTATACAATTCTCAGATTTTCCAGCGGGACGCCGCTGGCCTAGTTGGTTAGCTTTTTGTCAAAGAAATATTTATTTGCATTACTTACGAGCTACGTAGCTCCAGGACAGTGGTATATCAGGGGCAAGAGCACATTTGTACATGTAGATATAATATGTACTTTGAGTTTCTTAATTGTTAGGCGATGGCTTTTGGGAGTTAATTAATTGGTCGATATTGGTCAAGTTCTGGCAGGGCTTGGCCATCTAGGCAGAAGATCAGTGACTGTTTGTCAAATCTCAGAAAGCGTTGGTCAATAGGCAATATTTGTCAATGAGCCGGCCAGTTGGCCAATGCGATCTACTCGTTACTGGGACGGAACATATACACGTTCATTCACCGATGTAGATATACCTAAAGCCGGTAGAGTTAGCAGCCGGGGGAGGGGGCTTGGCTCTTCCAACCGCACTATAAAACGTCTATCCCGTGGTTTCCCCATCGCCTCCTTCCATCACCCTGGTTCCTTTAAGAATTTGCCTCCAGCAAGGGATATATTTCTCCAATGTGGTCAGGAAGACATAGGTCGATACTTGTTCGTGTTTCCTTTCTGTATATATTCTACCATTTGCTTGGCTGCTTACGCTGGTAATCATATACAGACTCGAATGTAGGTACGTAAAAGTAGAGATAGGAGCCTGTTCGTGCTTCTTTCCTGTTTACATTGTCATCTGGCTTCTTCCATTGGTGTCGGAGTGCGTTAACAGGGTGAACAGGTTTGAATGTAGGAACTTTGATTTTCATGCCACCTTGGGAGATTTTGGGGTGCAGGAGCATAAATTTTCTCTGTTATGATTTTATTTTTGAAGGGTTTTAGTTTGCCTTATTGGTTTTACGTAGATGGCTAGCACAACTCATCAACATTTTCGCGAGGAGCAATTGTTCTTCACGCACCATCATTCCCAACCCTGCTCTATATAGACTACAAGATGTACTTGCTGAAATAACTGCGAGGAACCTCATAAATCGTGCTGAGAAATAAAGAGAGAAAGAAAAACACCTTACACGCATACACCAAGCAAGTCGACCCTTCAAGTCACTTCCAGCGTTAGCAAATTGTGTGTGCGTGGTCTAGTGGCAGACAGCGCGTTCTGGACTCGAGGAACACCTGGTGTTAGGATACCATGACCATCTGTAGGTCATGGGTTCAATCCCATCTTAATCCAGAATGACACATGCTCCGTGCCTTCTTTCTATGAGTATTGTATCCTTTCTCCTTGCCAGCAGGTTGATTCCAATATTCTACAGACTCGAGCGCAGGGATCCCAGTGTAAATATTTTCTACGGAAAAGGCCTAAAATGACACAGTTTTCGGTATACGTGCTCCGAAATAACACATGATGCACAGTTCGCTGTCACTACAAGTAAAAAAAGAACAAAGCGTTCTATAAAACTACAAAAGGTACAAAACTACAAAAGGTACAAAACTACAAAAGGTACAAAACTACAAAAGGTACTGCAGCGACTTATTTAGACATTTGCGACTGCTACCCCCACCCCTGGTTTGAACCCAGGACCTTATGTGTGATTGGTTGTATCCTGGGTACTCTCGGTGTCTCACCTGGCGAGCAGTCTATCCACTAGACCACCCGCCCATAGTGGTTGCTGTGCCCGAAGTGATACTTGAGCTAGCTTGGCAGTGTGCCAAGATGAATATCGAACTTGAACCCTGACCCTTCGATATTATCATTGCTCAACCAGCTGTGTCATGTGTTATTGTAGAGCACGTCTACCGAAAACTGTGTCATTTTAGACCTTTTCCGTATTTTCTATTATCTGTTTTTGTTGTTCTGCTCTGTAATAGGTGTCTGGCGTACAAATTCGAATGCGGGAATAAAGTAGCTGCTCGCAGTCCACAGGGTCATGGTACCTTGTGCAGAAGTGTCTTTCTTTCACGTTTGGGATCTGCAGTAGGAGACGTTAGAAACGTGTACACGGCCTTTTATAGTACTAGTGAGGAGCGGCCTCCGGCCGCATATGAAATTAACCATCAGTTCGAGGAACTGCTGATAACTAAAGGAATGTGTATGTATAAAGATCCGGCCCTGTTCAGTGGCTCGGATATGCGTGGGATTCGATGTAATGGTGAAAATAAACATTGATATGCATGTAATTAACGCACGCATTCGGCGCCACCTGCCGCTGCGCGGCAGGCTGGGCCCCTCCTTGCTCGCGTGAGGTTGTAATTTTGGAAGAATAGAGTCGATATTGATCTTGGACGGAAGACTATTATATATCATGATGGTAGTGCTTAGGGTTTGCCATTTAAAGAAGAGTTGAAAACATGCATGTCGTCTCCCTTAAAGCACCCCAATCTTTGTCTATTGACAGCTGTAACCCGCCAGACCACAGAAACCGGAGGCATCTAACCATCCAATTGAAACCTTTCGCGATGACAGAGATACCTGACTATTCTATTTAGACGAAGCATCTGCCAATCACGATAATTTGAACTTGAAATGTCAGGGCTCAAATATCTACGATGGAATGTAGGAACTCGAGTTAACCCTGAGCCGTTTAGAGATGTGGATTATACCATGACAGAGTTGACAACAGGAAGGCTACAAGTAGTTACATTGCTTGACTTTTCTGACTTCCCAAATCCCTTCGACAGCCATTGCCCCTCTTAAGTAGAAACCTCTAGCCCGTGCGTCTCGTCTGTCCCGGAAGACTGTAGATCTCGAGGAGGTAGACAAGCGGAAAGGGACAGACTTGACTGTAGGAAGACTGTGGTGCCTGCTTGATTGTCCTCACTTCTTTCAATCCCTTCTTCACTCCTCCCCTCTCACAAGTGGCGGCATCCTGCGCGTCTCGTCTGTCCATTGGCTTTTTCATCCCCCTGTGTGGAGGAATACAAAGGGACAGACTTGACTGTAGGATGGACATGGTCTGCTGTACTTTTCTGTTCCTTCTTGCCCCTCCGCCCCCCCTTCCCGCAACGCCCCGCACGTCTCGCCTTTAGAGGCTTCCGGTTTTGATGACCGTTTTTGTCAGGTACGTGCAGTAGACGTGGAGTTGTAGGATGAGATGAATCCCTTCGCTGCCTACCTTCCTTCCTCTGCTCCCCCGCTCTACTCTACAGATAGGAACAGTAACGCGTCCATAGATCGCCCCAACACTGAAGTGAGAATATTTGGCGAGTTCAGTTCTCGCAGATAAAAAGAAGAACCCCCCCCCCCCCTTTATTCCTGCCAGCTCCTTCCAAAACACACTTTCAAAAACTAGCTTCTAAAAGCTCTACGTCGCCCTAACCTCACCCCAGAAGCTCCGAGTTACACCGGCCTCCACGAAAAGAAACTCTGTCCTATCAAACCTAAATCTTCGAACCTCTGAAAAAATGGATATCACCAGAGCCCAGTCAGAAAATAATCGTTGGAAAGTGGCGTATCGGGCATAGTTCTACCACTGCACCTCCAGTAACACAACGGCTCACACCCTCCAGAAAATCGCAGAGGAGAAAACATATTACCAAAGCACCATACCGGCTCTTGGTGCGCCCGCACCCCGTAAATTCGCCGATAGCGGGTATAGGACCTTGACCGCAAGAGTCGGTAATAAATGATGGGCGGAATACTTTACTCCTAGATGAGGCCGAGGAGAAATACCGGCTCTAGCGCGCACTGTCGACCCGGGCGTCTCAGACCCGGCCGGCCTTCTCATACAGATATATAGAGGAAGAGATACATAAGACCCTTCACTCTTACAGGTGCTGCAAATGTGTATGATAATATATGTATCTATCTATTTAGAACATTGAAATTAAAAAAAAATATGTTCTGATAATGTCCGGCCGGTTGATCATAGATTATCACACGGTGCTGTATTAGGACTAGCGGGATCTACTTTTGGGTGGTCTTTTACATGGCGGGTATTTCTATCATTTTCCAGGGAGGTCTGACTCTGCACTTTTCTCTCACTGCGTGGGATTTAAGACGCACTCTAGGTGGGATGGTTCTATTTCCGCCATGCCCTAACCTGCAATACCTATTATCAATAAAAAAAAAACTTTTCCCCATGCTCCTCTCGATAAAAAAAACCCCTGCCTCACGCCGCCGCAACCCTCTTCTCATACGCCCCCCACGCCGCCATCCTATATTTCTCCGCCTCCGTCACCGGATCCTCACTCATAATGACCCCCTCCCCACAATGACCACATCACTCCCCTTGTCGCCCACCACACTCTGCGGCGTATTATACCTCTGCCCCAGTGCATCCCCGCCACCCCCCAGTTTCACCCCGGGACTCATGACAATCCAATCCTCCCCCTCCTTCGCCCCGTCCACCTTCCCCTGCGCAATAAAGCCAACCACAAATTCCCGATCCCCCCTCGCCATCTCCACCGTCTTCTGCAAATACTCCCCACCTCCCAGGTTCCCCTCCGACGACATCTCACCGAGCATCAGCAGCCCCCTTGGCTCCCCGACCTCCTTGGCCACACTATGTAGACCGGCGATGATGCCCGGCCCGGGCACGGTGTGCGCGTTTGTGATGTGCGACCAGGACGCGATGCGGTAGACGCCGCCGCGGTACTGGTGCGCGACGGTGGAGCCGATGTCGGCGAACTTGCGGTCCTCGAAGATGAGGAAGTTGTGCTTTGTGGCGAGGGCGCTGAGCGCCGTCGTGAAGTCGGTGATGGAGGAGGGCGTGGTGAATGTGATGATGTCGATGTGCGTTTTTACGAGGCAGATTTGGGGGCCGAGTTCTGGTTGGGTGGGGTGTTAGTAGTGCTTGAGGAGGAAGGAGGTGGGGGGAGAGGTACTGTCGACGAGGGTGAGGATCTGGGAGGGGTCTGTGAGGTCGGCGGAGATGCAGAGGTTGGTCTTTTTGCTGGCCATGATGGTGAGGAGGCGGCGGCCGATCTCGGTCGGGTGCGTTTCGGCACGGGCCTCGTAGGTGCGCATTGTGTAGGACATGTTTGCGTGTGATTTGAGAACTAAGGAAGTGAGGTCGCGAGAATTGATGTCTGCAGATCTTGAGAATTGAGGATTGCGGGGTGGTGGGGCTGTCTGTGCTCCGCTAACTGTTCTGAGGTTGGCTTGCGTGGATGACTAAGTGGGGAAGAAGAAATATATGGGGGAGTGAGACATGGTGAGTCACTCGCCCCGGCCCCGAGAAGTGTCTCGACAAGATGGCAGGTGTTGTGGCTTCTTTGAGGGGCTGGCTGTCGTTTTCGTTGGCAGACCCTATGCAGCTATGTGGAGGTGCCATGGTACGGGCGAGTATAACGATAGTTATAGCCTACAGATTGTCGTACGTGATGTTACACATGAAACGTGGATTGAAAGGTTTTCAGGCTAGAGAATGCAAACCATTTTTTTAAAAATACAGATGATCGTAACTGTTCCTGGAAGAAAGAAAGGAAAATTGACAGCAGTCACTAACGGGTCCAGCACTGATGGCAACCAGAACCACCGGCAGCCCCTTGCAATCTAATTCTGATCCTTAGCTCACCACAAGGATATCACACCAAGATATTTCCTACCATACTACCGGTACTCTTATGGCCAATTTACCAGTCTAGCCCACCAAAACTAAGAGAGACCGAAGCCCTCTGCCTTAGTAGGAGATTACCTTATCCCTTAAACCGTCAGGCCGAATCCTAATGCTAGCTACTAGCTGTAGTTGGTAATTATGATCTTGTAAACGCCGTAAGTGAAAGCTATGAGCACAGCCTCGAACCCCCACTAGCGTGTGAGCATGCACACACACCGCGTTGAACTGAGAATACCTATTATTTAAGGCTAGTAGCTGGCATTGGAATTCGACCTGACGGTTTAAGGGATAAGGAGCACCGCTATAGCGAGCTTTTGCTGTAGTAGTAGAGCTGTCATAATCCAGATTATTTATTCCCATAGAGAGTCTTCCCCAATGGCATTGCGAGCGAGTGTTCAATTTCAGATAGGCTCTTCAAGTCATGAACTCTCACTCGACTAGAAAATCTGTCAATGTTCCTACCCAGCTAATCGTCCAGCCAGGAATTTCGAAGCCGAGATTGAGTATCGCCACTCGGTCTGTAGTCGATTGGCCTATTCCATCGGCCCTCGGGTCGCATGCCCATAGAAATGAACGCCCTAGACGTTCAAGGGGGCGGAACAGTACCGTTATTGCCAACCAAGGCAGAAGGATTTGATTTCATGCGGTTAAAGAGGCAGAATAGTACGTGTACTACTATCCTCCAAGTCATTAAATTCCTTTTTCAACGATGCGTTAGTTAGTCTGAATAAATTCTTCGGCGCTTCCTATAGGTTCTGTGTCCAAAGCAGCACACCGTAGACCTATTAGCAGAAGCCTGACTAGACCTGTCTTACCGGTATATCAGTGTTTGCTCTTAAGAAAGTATCTACTACATATTAGTTAGAAATAACAATGGTTTCCGTACTGGCCCTAGCCGGCCAAGCTTGCCATTCCTAGTTAAAATGTTCATTCTGAAATATTTGCAAATGTAAACTTCACAAAGCGGCGAGTGAATTGGATGCGTAGGCGTTAATTGCCGCCGCAATTAGATATGCTTTGATGTGTAAAAACTATCCCCTGACTCAATGGCAGCGGCGGCCTAAGAGATAGCCGGAGGATCTAACACGGCGCTATCAAAAAAAAAAAAAAACTAGGCCCAAAGCTCGAGCAGATAGACAAGCATGACGCTATTGCTTTGTGTGGAGACCGAACAGTCAATTAAAACCCCTGGATCTCAGCTAGCAGCAAGCTAAGACAAATTTCAGATCAATCTCGGCAAGGCTGACGTTTCCCAGAAACAAGCATTTCAAGTAATTTTTGAACAGAGCCAAAGTTCTATCATTTACTCTTCGAATTACAGACAACCAGTCGAGAAGAAGATGATTTCTCCTAGTCTCGTTCCCAGACTGTTTTGTTGTCGCACTGCGTGCAGCTGATTTCTCCTATCTGTGAGTCTTTGTATTAGCTTGTCCAGCCTTTCTTTGGCTTGATCGTTGGCCGGGGAGATAATGAAAAAAAGAAAAGGTGAGTGAAAAGGAATCGGGAGGCACGCTGATCAAAACAACACAAATTTAGCCAGCAGGCAGGAGTACAGGTGATCCGTGAAGGATAAACGGTATGTGAGGGGGTGGGGTGAGTGGGATGAAAGGAAGTATGTTCTCTTGATTTCTAGTATAGTGCGTAGGAGTGGGCGGCAATCGGATTTGGGGGGGGGGGGTATCAAGCACCGAAGATGATAGGGGAAGAATTTCTGGGGAATACAAGGACAATTGGTTGGGGCATGGAGATGAAGGACGGAGTGGATTGTGAGGTAATTTTAGGACTTAAGCTTTGCAGATGACGAGCAAGACCTTAGATGTGTAGATTAGATCTTGGCCCATCTTATCTGATAACTACACGTTTGGCCACGTACACCAGATTGTGCCCAAACTCTGTTTTTGCAGGCGGTGTACGTACTCTCCTTGGATCCACAGCAACAGCAGGGGTTCGGGCTCCAAAATATTGCGACACATGAAGTCTGTACTCAAAGCTGCACGATGTTAGTGAAGAAGATAGTCTGTACTAACTCGTGCACAGGCCAGGTAAACAAGCAACTTAACCAGTTGCAGACATGATGTGCGCCCGAGAAAGTGGGAGTACAAACCAACTTGCAAAACCTCAAAACTTCGGACTCTGCACTCGCATCCCTGGAGATAGTACATGTATGTACTCTGTCTGTAAAACCTCTCTAATGCCGCAGAACGCCAACTGTATACTTCTGTTTGGGCACTTTGTACTTTGCTGATGTTTAGTATTTCAAGACCCTTTCACGATCAAGGAAACATGAAGCCTTATTCAAAACTCAACCACACCCATCTCACCATCTTGAATCCGTGATCTCTTCTGTACTTTATAAAGATCTTCTCACTATCTCTCATTGGTCTAATCTAACGACCACAACAATCACTCAGATAATCACATACTCTCACACCTCCAAACATCAAAATGCTCTCAACAATCCCTGAACTGCTAAAGTCCCTCCGGCTGGAAGTCTTCACTCTCAATGCCGACTACGACAGATTATCCGCAGACTACTACCAGTATGTTATCCTATTCTCGAACCTCTTGCATATCATAACCTTTGATACGCGCAATGGTGAGGTCGTCATTTTCGACACCGAGGAGCATGAGGCCCTGCAGCGTCGAAAGAGCCGTCTCCTTCAGTGGATGAAGGACATAGAGCGGTTAATTCAGAATAGAAGGAAGACTATCAACTGGGCTATCACCCTATCTATCTAATGTATGGAAGATTTCTATCTCCTGACCGGCTCGTAGCTAATCTTCAATCTCTTAGCTACCACTCTCTCGATTCTCTGACCCAATGCTCATGAAACTGTTCAGCTCTGGGCTCTTGTACTAAGGATCATGTCAAGGAGTTATGGAATCGACTAGACAGTATACAGTTAAGAAATCGGTACTTCAGTTGCTGAGAAAAGCCTGAAAGCCCTTTGTTCCGAGCCAGAGGACACAGGGTATGCACAAGGAACGTATGCGTGCTAGGAATGAGGGCTGTTCCGCATACATGTATGTGTATCTATTTAGCTCGTTGCAGCTAGGAGATTGCTTTCCTGCGCTCGGAATAAAATTAGTTGTTATCAATGACTGTGCAAAGAAGAGGAAAGAAGGGAACTAGGATATGGGTGGGGGACATTGAAGGACGCTAGAGACGAGGAGTAGTTCAGGATTCTTATATACGGCACACATATCTTCATTTGTCTAGTACTCGCGAGTGGAGGAGGAGGAGAATTGGTAGTTCAGGGGATATTGCCATAACTGTAAGGTTGCATGCAATTAATGAATTAAACAAAAAAAAAAAAATGACTGTGCAAAAAAGAAAGAAAAAAATGGCATGACCGAGTGATATACCATGATCCCTTGTCCAAATCTACCTACACTTTCATTGAACTCGTCCGCAAAAGCTTCTACCATAGTCACCGTCCGTATTATTCTTTTGCTTCCTACAAGGACTGTCAACCCTCGCTTTGTAAAGTCATTCCCCACGGTGGCACAACACTTCTAGAATCCTCTAGTACACCACAACTCATCTGACCACACACCCCCCCACCGCCCAGACCGAAATCCCCAATCCCCACAAAATAGTAATAATACACAAGTAGTGTCAACCTTGAGGTGAAACCACATATCCCGCATCCATCAATCAACATATGCCGCATCACCAACCATCACTCGCCACGCTTCCCATACCCTACCCCATCCTCCTCTCATCTCTTCTGATAACAGTTATGCACATCCCACATCATCATCAAATCTACACTTCCCTTAGTGCATCGGCCAAGTTCACCATCTAAATTTGCACTTGGAGCAAAACCGGCCCGCGGTCACATGACCTCTGAGGATTTTTTTTTGGTAGCCTTGTTTTTTTTTGCGCAAGGCGGAATTAATTAATTGCGTGGTAAAAAATATGGGAGGAGCCCTTTTGGAGCTACTAGCCATAGAAGCCTTGTTTCTCGGACCCCTGTTTATATAGTAGGTCTACCGCGCGAGAGCTGGAGGTACACGTAGACTACATATATAGGTACATGTAGGTAGACTTGTGGCACAGATTTGTATATATGTACCCACAACCAAAATACTGAGGGAAACCTAGCTTCAGGCCTCCCACAACTAGCTGAGAGCTCATGAGCGCGCGAGCCGGGGTTCTTGTGGTATTATATTGCCATGTGAATCTGGGGGCCGTCCCGGTATGTATAGTAAGTTTGAGTGGATCAATGTCTCTAAAGTTGCACCCCCATGGCCAGCTTTCCGGAATGCAAATGTGAATGTGAATTGTGGGGTGAAGCTAGCGGCATTTTTTTATTTCAGAATGGGATCCTGGTTCGTGGCAGCCGTATTAATATTATACGAATTGGCGTACGGTGGGTAGTTGAGGGTTTTCAGGCCTACGCAGCAAGGCCGGCGCTTAGTTCCCATTCAACCCGTGGTTTCATATACTGGAATAGTAGTTTTTTGGAATACGTACCGTACCTAACCCGGGGAGAGAGGTCAAAGATGTCAATGATAGTGCGTACATGAATACCCTACGCAAGCTAGTACTCGCTCGTTTATCGATAACGCCCTCCATTGCGGGGCGGCTGGCGGCAACTAGCGGAGCATACCGAGTATCAGTCTTCCATGAACCTCCAAGAGTAGACAAAATCATCCAAAGATAAAAATAAAAAAAACATCCCACATTTTTAAATGACTCATCATAAGCCAGCCCACTGTTTGACAATCCGAGACCCTTCCCCTCCATTCAACAAAGAGTAAAAATAAAGAGAAAAAATGGAGTGCCTGAAGGGGAGCCGGGGTTCACATTACCACATCGAGCCTCAAACAATATCCTACTATAATTCCCGATTAGGAAACCAACCCATGTGGCACAACTGATACTGAATTCAACTTATCGCGACGTCTCTCCCCCTAAAAAAATCTGATATCGTGCGCGCGCGGTCGACCAAAGATGTATGTTTTTTGTCGTTTAGCCTCTGCCCTCCTAATTCAGAGTTAGAGGAAGAGGAGACTTTAGCGATCTTATCAAGTCCATTGACGGTGTAGTTATCTCGAGATAGACGTTAATTGATATCTCCAATCTTCCCCCTCTCTCGCGCCTTTAAGGACCCACGATCCAATGCGTCTGAAGATAAGAAGATGAGCTAGGTAGATCATGATAGATGAGCGATTAACGACCATCGTGCGAAACTCACAATGTTTCCAATTCAACTACTTGAACCGTTTTTTTCTCCCTCTCTAGCTCGCCCCATCTTATTTCAAACCCCCCCCCCCCCCCCACTAGAGCAGCTAGTAGCGGAGTGCTCCTACCTCTTGAAACCCACCCCCCTGTCGTCCAAATATATGACGTTCGATCCAGTTTGCTTTTTTTTGTTTTTAATAATTCTTTTCTGTTGCCTCATCTGGGAGACTATCTCTGTGTCTGTCTGTCTGTCGCAAATATATCATTGGATGGGGAAACGTAATAACCCAGCGAAGTGCGGGCAGACCCGCAACCCCATGTCTTATATAGCGGTACGCGGTGCGATCAGTAACAAATCCCTACTAATAAACATCGTCAGTAAACAACCAAACGCGGCACCACCACTTCCTATTTCGGTCCTTATCAACTCAAACCCTAACCCACGCCTTTACTACTGCTGCCGCAGCCCGATTCAAAACTAACGATCTTCAACTCGGGAGATAAAAGCAAAAAAACGGTCCTATGCCCACCACCCACACCACCACATCCCCCCATCACTAGTTACTGGATTCTAATCCTGGCGCAAGAGAGGAGCATGACATTAGAAACCTGCAGCGGTTTGGTAAATCACCCAAGTAGACCGACGGCTTGAAACTTGGCCGTAGAAAATCGTTACCAGTGCGGCGGTAGCAAGTATATACGCAGCTGACAGGCACAGGAGGAAGGAGGGAGGGGGAATAAACAAGGCTAAAAATCGATGTTGGGTAGTGCGATCAGGCAATGCTATCAGGCAATGCTCCCCAGGTTTCTGTGCTGGGTAGTTAGCACTCAGTCTACATAGATAGCATAATACAGTAGAGTAGCCACGCGGTATCACCAACACTTACCTGGATTCAATCTGCTATATCAGTAAGACCTCCGCCATATAACTTTCCCAACATCTAAAAAACCTCGATTTTTGCAAGAGCCAACCTAAAGGAAAAAAGACCATAGGCAGCAAATCCTCACGATGACCTCTTCAACTACAGACTCTTGGAATAACCCTCAAAGCCCTCCTCCACCACCGTCACCTGCTGTGGTAGGAGCACGCTTCCGCGACACTTCACCTACCGCTGATGCCGACTATGAAGCCCGTTTCCCCGAACTTCCAAAAATAGATGATCCAAACACAGCAAAAACTGCTACCACTGCCACGACCACTACCGCTGCTGAAAGCGCCCATCCCCAGCGCTCCGAGTCTACCTCACGGGCTTCCCACAAGAAGAAGAGGACTCGCAGCACAGGCGTCGAAGACGCAACACCACGGCCACGCCAACCCATCCCGGTTCCAAGCCAATATATGAATGTCCCATACTATCCTCCGCCTTATCAGAATAGCCCAGAATCGCATCGGGCATATCAAGGATCTGGATACTATGATAATGCGTATGGGTGTGGCAACGAAGGGTATTCACCGCACACCCAAATGAGACCGCTGCAGGCCTATCCCTTTGTATCGCCTCTACATGTAAGAGATTCCTTCTGCGGAAGCTCTTACCCGCCGCCGCCAGTACACTACCCGCACCCGCTCCCGACGCCGCCGCCGGTGATGGCATATATGAAGAAGGCCCCCAGTGAGGGGAGTGACTGCCAGCGTTACGACAACGCAACTAGACGAGGGTCGCAGAGCATGAAGGCGTGCAAGAGTGTCCAGGAAGGAGAAGTGTGCGAAAAGAGGCAGGGTGAGGGTGATGTTTCATCCAACATCTATCTTGAGGAGAAGAAATGTAGCACACAGATGTTGTCATCAACACCGTACTACGCAACACCGCCTCCATCACCTACCTTCAGGGTACCTACTGGTTATCCCTTCCTCGCAGAGACTCTGTCTACAACTCCATCTCTTCAACTATACCGCCGCTTCTCAAAGCTGAATCATCTTGTGCTTCTGCATCTCCAGGATGAGATATCAGAGCTTGAATCTGTCCTTTCTGAGCTCGATGAGCAGGAGTATATTCACAACAACGGTGCGAGCCTACGTGCAAGACGCGGCATGGGAAGTGACAGTAGGAGGCTTCAGGTTATGGGCGCTATTGCATTCAAGTTACAGCAGTATAGTAAGTCAGCCTTTATCACTACACAAATGGGGCAAGGAGGTTGCTGACTGGGAATAGACAAAGCGCTGAAGGGGTATAGAGAAATGACAGATGCCCTCTCACCGATAGAGAAAGGAGATCTGGAAGTCTACAAGGCATGGATGATAAAGCGACGACCACTTGTAGAAGCTGAAGGGAGAGTATTGGGTGATCATCCAGAAGACCTAGCAAGGTTACATCGGAGGCCCAGAAAATCTGAGGTAGATTCTCCGTCCCCCACTTGTAAGATCACTCTTAATAACCCGTGGCTTCTAGGTTGAGTTTTCCCCCGCGTTGAAGGTGGGCTTAACAATGCTGTCATGCGGGATCGCCGGGGTAGCAAGTTTAAGAGTTTCGCGGGCTGCGGATGTACCCTTGGCTTTGGCGGCTGGAATGTGAGTGTCCCATAATTGGTTTTTTCCCCAAGCACGAGTAAGCTGACTTGGAATAGGACTGGTGGTGCAGCGGCTATGATGTGGGCGTTTTTCTAGTGTTAGGTGGTTAGTGTGATTTTGGGAACGGGCGTACTTGAGCATCTTGCATACTCATAGTTTGGGAGTCACGGCGTTCATATATGCTCAATAAATTTCATTTGTATATCGTATAATAACGAGTTGATTTCGGCCTTGAGTACACATCAGCGAAGAGAAGAACGGTGATAATATATGTAGCCTACAGTGGTACGCAAGGGCCGTGAACCCAGCCCACAGGCCGTCGTGGTATAGGTATACTAGAAGATCTTACACTTGAAACACTACATGTAGTACTGTAAAGCAGTACGTGTTCCAATTATGGCTGTAATAATTACGACCAAGCTATTGGAAGGAAGAAGAGACGATAACGATGTTGATAGGACTATTATAGTTTCTAGCTTTATACTTGTCACGCCACCTATCCCTCGCCATAAGTCCACAGTTGTAGTATACGTAGCTGACAGTCACGTATCCCATATACGACTGTGCTGAGAACTGGGGGTTGCGGCGGTTTCGAGTTGGTGACCGTCACTAGCGCCCGGTCCAACCGCTACCGCCAGCGGATGGGTTGTCCATGTATGTACCCATCGATTACATAATACCGGCCGATGAAACACGAATGAGGGAGAAGGGAGTAGCAGGAGATACATGTAGGATGATAATAAAAGAAGGGGCTAGAAAACAGACGTTAACAGACGATTGCGTAATCTTCTCGAGGAGGTGATATCCGGGATAGAGGGATGCACCCAGGCGCGAAAAAGTGCGGGGAGGCCTGCGGGGGCGGCATTCGTTCGCCAGCTGTCTGCCCGATTTCTCTTGCCGTGTCCGCATGTAACCGCCACCCGGGCCATATAGTGGTAGATGATACGGTGTAGCAGACATAAATGTTTTTGGCCTTCGGAATTGCATTACAGGAGCATTTGTAAACACAGCCATATGTTGGAATCTACAATATGAGGTTTTGATAAATGCGAGTGATGATCTATAATGCAACCTCAAAAGTATCTTCCCACCGGCTTCAACGTAAAACCTCAAAGGGATTGCGGGTAAGGTTGAGATGTGTCTATATTAAGATAAGCAGCATATATATATCAGTATAGATAGCACAGTAAGGCATGAGACTACACGTAGCCAGCTTGCCCCACTCGAGCTCGACCACCGCTCTATCAACCCTCCCACTATCATCATATACAGTGATAGTCCGTCATCACCATCAATCCCCTTTACAGCATTTTTCATAATATTAGGCCCAGGCGAGCATCGTAACACATGGTGCGAATCTCTAGGCTATTGCCTCCCTAGGTAACTCCCACAGCTTCATTGACAATCCTGCCGAACTGGGCTATATAAGCGGGTATCTCGAGTTGCCCAATAGAGCAATCGTGCTTAACTTTGGAAGAATCGTTAATCCATGTGTTATGTTCAACTAGGCCTAGTATTATGAAACTGCTGCAAAGGTTTGGCCCATTAAATCTCTACAGCTAGCTGGAAATACCGAACCTCCTAATGGCCTAGCGGTATTGGCGACGGATCCCATGGTAGTTTAATCGGGAGGCCCCCGGTTAGGCTAACATCTCGGCAAGCGAGTTTATAAAATTGAGTTTATAAAATCGACTTGGGTCACTTGGTATTTTTGTTTTTGTACGTACTCTCTGGAGTTTAGGATTGATCCTTTTTTATTTCTTGTACTTTAAACCATCAGTGACAGAAAGCCTTCCATGAGGGGGAGGGGGGGGGGGCGCGGGAAACTTCGACCCCGTCCCTTCCTTCTGTCACTAAAGTCGAGTTTCAATACATAAATGTATGAGATGAGCGGGTATGTAATCTTGAGACTACTTAATCCAGATGAATTCACCGCCGCATACAGCGGATCATAAAGTTTATGACTACCCCCCCCCCCCCCCCGAGCCCCTCTAACCAAAATACAGAAAGAAAGAAAGATCATGGATTATAGGAGGTATAAAGTTACACAATATTAACTGCCCTAAAGAACTAGAAAAGAAGAGAAAAGAAAGATAGAATGAAAGGAAGGATAGAAAAATGATAATAGTTATTCATAAAAAAAAAGAAAGAAAAAATGACCAACCCTAAAAACGCAGTACGCCCGCAAAAAAAAATAAACCCAGAAAATACCGCTTCGACTCGATATATAATCTCACCATTCGATAACCTCCTCTTCATCGTCCATCAACTTGGGGCTTGACTTTAGCTTCTCCATGGACTTGTGAGTAACTATCTTTGGCACAGGCTCCATCTTCCCCACTCCAAGGGCCGGCGGTGTTATGCCAGAAAGTGAAGAGTGTCTCCTCCCCGATTTAGTCCTGTTCACACCTTTCCGCGACCCAGTGTTTGACCTCTTGGGCACTGGCAGCGGCTCCTGTGGCGGGCCCTTTGGTATCGGAGGCAACGGGACCTCTTGATACTTCTTTAGCGCCGCAGCACCGCCAATGCCAGCCAGTTGCCCAGCCACAGCGTTTTGCGAGAGTATCAAAAACCCTTGCTGGATTTTCTTGATCTGCTTGATTGCAGACGCTTCAATTGCATCCTTTTCCCTGCGGGCACGGACTAGCTGGCGGTCCATCTCTGCGAGCATGAGTGACTGCTGAGCGCTGAACATTTCGTGCTTCCTCTTGAGAGCCTCGTGTTCCTCGTAGATTGTCCGGTACTCTTTCTCGTACATTTGGATCTTGGATTTGAGCATTGCAGTGCCGTCGGGGAGAGGGGACGTAGACTTTGACTCGGTGCCAGAGCTATCCATGGAGGCTGGAGAATCTGCTCGATAACCCCCCTGGGTGTCGAGAGCGTTTTGTAGAGCCCTCGCTTCCGATGTTTTTTTCTCTAGAAGCGATTCTAGTTCAAAAACACTCCGTTTCAAGTCCCTTATGAGGTTATCCCGCTTCTTGACGTCCTTCTTGTATCCCCTCACGTCCTGCTTGTAGAGCTCGATATCGCCCTTCATCGATTCCATGACCTTGACCATATCCTGCATCTCGGGAATCCTGGCTCGCTGGTCGTCAGTGCTGACCTGCTGTTTGAAGTCTTCCAACTCTTTCCGGTAGGCCTCTAGTCTATCTGCCACCCCAGATTTCTCCTCTTCTAGACCTTTCACCACTTCATCGCGATCCAGAAGAGCCTTTCGAGATTCCTCAAGTTCGCTTTCTAGCCCTCCCCAAGCTTCTTGCATGCCAGTCCTTTCAGCCTTGATTGCCGCAAGCTCTCGTTCAAAGTATTGAATCTGCGCGTCCTTGTCTTCGATCACGTTTTTCAACATGGAAACCTCGCGGTTTGCGCCTGAGACGTTGTTCAGCGCGTCCTCGGAGATCTGGTTCATTTTCTCCTCGAGGAGTCTATTCTTCTTTTTCTCTTCCCCCAAACGAGTATTAATCCTCTTGGTCATGTCAAGAAGCTCTTCGTTCGCATCCCTCTGGGTACGAACAGACTGTCTACTCCTCTCCGACTCTTCCGCACTGTCTTTTACTTGTTTCTCTAGTCGTGTTTTCTCCTCCCGTAACGCCGCTAGATTTCGCTTGTATTCCTCCTCTTCGCTGCGCCTCAAGAGCTCGATGTTCTCGATCTTCTCGCCGTATAGCCAGTTCAGCTCTACCCGTCTCTTTTCCTCCTCCGCTAGAACGTGGTCCAGGTGCTCCTTTGACCTCTTCTGCATCTCCTCCCTCCTACGCTCCTCGCTCTGGAGATTCTGCTCAAACTCCTTCCAGACGGCCGCTCTGATGTCGCCCCTCTTCCGCTCCTCCTCCATCAAGACTGTTTCCAGGTCTGATCTATTTTTTACAAGCGTCTCTGCTAGCTTCTTTTCAGCCCTCTCTCGCCGCCTGATTTCCTCCATGAGCTTTCGCCCAATATCGGCCAGGCCCATGTCGGAGATGCCCTCCATAGACGGGGTAGGTCGGTGGCGGTTTGCTTCATGGAGCTTAAATCGGGCATTCTCGAGCTCTTCATCTTTCTGTGCGATGGTTCTTTCTAGGGCCGATAGCTTCTCTTGGTAGCCTTGGCTGTGGGTTCGTAGGTATTCGAGCTCTCGCTCTTTCCCTTGGACTGCGTCGACGAGTTCGCGCTCTAGGCGTTTTAGCTTTTGGATCTTCTCAAGGTCTTCGGGATTAGATTCTCTTTTGGGATTGTTTAAATTGTGGAGTGGCTGGAAGGGTTGGTTTTCCTGATCGTTATGGGGCGCTTGGACATCTCGGACTCGAGAGGAGATTATCTGGTTTACACGCTGGTTCTATGAAGGCTATTAGTGATGAGACTTAAAGCTACAGATATTGGTAAATACCTCGCATTGCGTGGGTGGGGCCGAGATGACCTGGTCGATATCAAAGTTGGCGGCATATTTTGCAATCACGTTATCTCGAAGATATATCGCCTGTTTTTTCGCATCAGCCTCAACGGAGCAAAAGGAATAGAAAAGTTATCAAACCTTTTTCAACTCCCCAATCTCCCTCGTAAAATCCTGCTGCCCCGTCCCTCTATAATCCGCCGCGCCAATAGCATTGTAGCCAAGTTGTGGGTTCTCCGCCGCATCCTCCGGTGACAAAGGTGGACTCGCCAGATACAGCGGCGATACAGGTGAGTATACTGTCTGCAAACCTTGAAGCGGCGACACGGGTGAATAGAGCTGCTGTTGCGACGTCGAGGGCCGCCGCGGGACCGGGACCCTATTACGAGGCGCGCTCCGATTTACTGGTGAGTTCGGGGGAGCTGGATAAATTATTTGGGGATGACCAGGAGGAGCTGGGAAAGAGTCCATCATGGGCTGATTCTGATCGAATGACCTTGTTCTCCGACTTCCTCCTGGGCCTGTGCTTGATGATCTGTTGAGTGAAGTCTTTGATCTACTGTGGGTGCTGCCCCGCGCGGAGGGAGGAGGCTCATCGAAAGTTGATGTCTTGGAACGGTTGAGGCGGGGTGCAAACACCAGTCCGGCGCTCTCGGATGCGTATCCGGAAGCCACGGGCTGCGGGAGCTTTGGGAGGCTCTTCTTTTTAGGGGGCACTAGAAGTGGGGCAGAATGCGGTGGCTGTGGAACTTGCGGGAGATGGGGGAGGGTATCAACCGCGCTCGTGGAGGAGGTTGTCCCCATGTGGATGTAGGGATCGGATTGCGGGGGGCACGGCGTGGCTTTGAGCGATTTGTCACCGCTACATTTGCGTCGTGAGAAAATACCTATGGTTGGAGGCATGATTGGGAAGGCCTCTCTAGATATATGTATATGTGACTTTTAGATATGATGATAATCTGGGCCGGCCGCTGTCTGGATAAATATCCGAGGAAAAAAGAAGGATAAGAAAAAGGAAATATTAAATTTTCCGATAGCGGTAGCTGTCACTCAATTACCCACCGTGGCACAGCCTGCAGATGTATGTTCCCCTACTCGAGGTGTGTCCGTCAAAATTCTCGCGCGCCTCGTGTGCTTGCAGGTGTTAAATCCGTCCGGCGTATCACCTGGAGTGTCAACTGCGTTTCCTGAACCCGATGAGCTTCTGGTTACGCGGGGTAGACTAGAGTGTTAAAAGGATAAGGGGGGTAAAAGAATGAGTGAGTATTAATGAAATCGAATTTCTGTAAGGTTTTCCATGAGCTGAAGAGCGAAATGTGTGTCTCGCGGAGACTGAATACTGATCCGGCAAAATAGCCCGAACGAAGGGATCAACAATCGCCTATGATTGAAGCTCGCGATCGGTGGGGTAAGTAAATATCAAGAAAGGAAGAAAACAGGCAAGAAACAAAACGAATAATTGAAGCAGTAGGCAGTGCAGCGCCTTCTTGAAAGAAAGGGCAGACTGGAGAAGGGACTCGGGTTTAGAGAAAAAGGGAAACAACAGGGAGTTCCGGTCAATACATATGATGCTGGGCCTTTCCTACTTTAGGGGTCATTACCTGCCTCACGGCGCATAGAGAGAGTCGGTGCCGAGGTGGCTTGCGATAACCGAGAAGAACTCACCTATCAATGTGTTGCCATTATAATTAACAATTTGCCGAAACCGGGGCTGGAACCACTGTCTGGTAGAGTTTCAGGTCCACTCGGAAATCTAGCGTACATACATAGAATGATACTAACCTGGCGCAGATGGCAAACACTTTGGTAGCTGAAGCCTGTGCCTCCCTTTCCCAGGTGAGAGACCTTGTATTCCCGGAGAAATAACGTATGTACCTGCAGCCGTTATTCATGCGTACCAAACTTGGAGAATACCTAGCTCAATTAACTTTTTCCTAAGAGCTTTGACTTCACCTTAAAATTCTCGCGAAGCTCATGCAGGTCATGCAGGTCATGAAGCTTTTCTTTAGCTCTCTGCATGCCTAGAGCGGTTCAGGTAAGTGGAATAGCATATTTCAACAACCACCAGATGTAACCAGGATTAATTGCCGCGCGTGCTAGAGTATCAGAAATTGCAAATAATATCCAGTGACCTATGAGAGCATCAGCCTCGAGCCCTGACAGATACGCCACATAACTCAGGGTTCTAGATGGGGAAAGAATATATCAAGCCCTAGGCATGGGGATGTTCTACCTCATTACAGCAACTCGTGCCTCTTGAATTCTGGACTGATGTCGATTTTTGATTGTCAATACTAGGAACCAACCACTCAGAGACCACAGAACCATTGTCGGATAGCTACCCGGAAGTGCTTCGAGAAGCCCTCACCCGAATATAAAATCATACCAATAGCCTTCTAGCTTCGGTGCACCTCTACCATGATTCAACCCTAGCTAGTAGAGTATGCCGCTATAGGAAATATAATAGATCATGAAGTTAGCGATATGTCTCAATGATCTTGTGTACCTCTGTGATTGTGACGGCTTTGGCTGATGTTAATTATCCACATGTGAAAGGTAGTACGTTGAGTTCTGGCATGATGCTGATTTACAGATCGAACATACGAGGTGGATTACATATGCAGTGAGCCTACCGTGCTCTGCCCTACTGCGGTCCACACCTCCGAGTACAATGTCTACCGTGAATCTAGTAGCGTAGATAATATAATGACATTAATAATTACATGTATAGCTGATATCGATATTATCACCAGATCGGTGCATATTATAATAGAAGCATGAAACGTAGGTCTGTTGGTGTAGAGTAGCTCTAGGCGTACTAGTAGTCCATTCGATTTATCTAATTGTATCCTAAGCTCCAACCTCTCACAGAAGTTCGATAAACACATGTACATGTAGTTTATCTACTCGCGTCTAGGATAAAGAACCAGAACATGCAAATGCCTGGTTTGTATGGCAGCTCAGCGCCACTCCATACAAATAATCCCTGCTTTCTCACTTGCACGTTCTGGTTCTTTTTCCCTGACGCGAGTAAAGGCAGATCTTCTACCCAGGATCATATCTAGCAGGTCAGTTTACCCCATCCACATTTGTAGCTCCTCAACCGAGTCTCACCGGGCAACCACGATGCATGATATCACCCACACTTATGTTAGCATAGACTTTCTCAACTCTCTCTCTTATGTAACTCTCTCATGTAACTTGAAGCTTGTGGATCTCGAGGTGGCACCTTGGTTCCCATGTGCCGTTGACGTTCATAACACTTAGCTCAGCTGATAAGCCTCACGGTCTACTCCTTCCTACAACAGTGGTCACGCCTTAATAGAACGACGTGTTCATGTTGTTATCCGATGCCAAGTAGAGTACGTACCATGCACGTACCTACTCGTAGTACCAAGAGTAAACCTCTCCTCACACATGTGCACTCGTGAGCTAGGCTCCCTTGATAACTTTGCAGTTCTCGCGGTTCTGGGGGCATTGGGACACGTTTGTTGGTGGCAGGGATCCGGGAAACACAGGTACGGATGACTCTTCCCGATAAATACTTGTACATACCTACCAGGAGTTCCAAACATTTGATATACCGGATGTATAGCATTGGCTTGGCGAGCACCGTGCTACTGACAATGACAACTGTTTACATACCCCACATTGTGGCGCTCAAGATTAGGCAACCTACAATGAAAAGTGGCAAAGAGAGGCGCCGCGCGGCCACTTTTGGAGAGCTTTGGGATGTAATCCAGTGAGCTGACGAAGACAATCCTTACCTTACCTACCTCTGACTCTCCAACTGTTGAATCTCCGCTCTCATCACCCACAACCACATACATACATACCTCGCTTTCTAGCCTTCCCCGCCACCGTTGCCAGTTATCGTACAATTCTTCTTGGGATATTCTTTCTTCTCTTGTTACCTCATCGTCCGTTTGTTGGAACGTTGTTTTGATACATCGAATATCCGACCGTGTAGAACAGGCTCCGTTCGAAAACCAGACAACATCTTACAAGGCTGAGTCTTCATCGGTAAACCGCTTTCCTAACAGACGGTTAAAAGCAATCTACAACAGAGGTTTTTCTTCTCTGTCGTTGAGCGAGCTATCATATAGCTCAATCAGAAATCCATCAATCAAGCGAGCGAGAAACAGTACGCGACCCAATCATGCTACCGACCTTTCAAGTCCGTGGGCTTCGTTGCTGCTCGTCTGATTCGATCTCCGGAGCCGAAGATGGTTGGGCCGACGTCCAGCTTGATAATGAATCTCAGTATGAGCAGCTTATTCGTGAGCATCCGGAGACAACTTTGAGTTATGTGGACGATGATGATGGCGAAATTATCACTGTGAGTAACAACTTCACCATAATCTCTATCTTTTTGCGAGCTTTTTTGTTTGATTACTTGAACGGGCTATTAGCATGTTTACACGAGAACTTTTTTGGCATTTGTTATCCTCGTTACTCAGGCGTTCAGTAAAAGGTCATCGTCCGTTGCAACGCTTATTTTCACGACCTTTTACTGAACGCCTTAGTACGTTTGCGTTATAAGTTGTTCCGGCGCATACTTTTTTTTCAGTTAAATTTTTTTTTTTTTTCTTTCACTTTTACGAGGCTTTCCCAGCTAATGCTATTTTAGGTCGGTTCAACGGACGAGCTTGTCGCACGCGTTGATGAACTACAGCCGCTCTCGCCAGTCATCTTTGACCTTTTAGTCTCGCCTTCTCATCCAGATTACGAGACCGCACTCAAACTATGGAGGCAGATTATCCTACCCGATAGTGATGCTCCTGCAAAGGGAAAGGGCAAAGGAAAGGCAAGAGAGGAGGTAGAAGGCATCGCTTCTAATAGTGGTAAATCAGTGGATTTTAGCAATGATGGTACCGTGAGCCCGAAGGATAAAGATTCAGAAGTCAAAGAAGAACCCTCTCAAGAACCACTCCTCAGCATGTTCGAAAATGAACTTCAAAAGATTTTCGAAGTTACGGCGGGTGTTTCGCCCCCCCCGACTGAGGCTGAAGCTACTCCTGCGCGCTCGCCTAGCCCTATTTACAGTATTCCACAGCAATACCCAAGTGTAATCCTTGGGCAGACTCTTCGTACCATTGCTCAAAATGTCGGGCGTGTTGCTATCGAAATTCGTAACGATCTTCCGTCACATACTCAACCAACTGTTGAGGCTCTCAACACAGCACTTCATTCTGCCATCGGTTCATTTACTTCCCAACTGCAAGCGGTGGCTCTTGAGGCTGCTGCTGCCGCTCGAGGCGCGGCCCAAGCTACCAGGGAGATGAATGTTTCCGAGCTTGAGGCCACTGGACGAAGGATGAAGGAATTGGCTGAGACTGTTGGTCATATTGCTGTCCAAGGAGCTGGCATTGCTAGAGAAGAGGTTGACAGGGCACTTGGTCATGTTAGTGGACTTGGATCGGTAAGTGGTCAGGCAGAAGAGGTTCCAGATGAAAGTGAGGTCAGTACAAGTCTAGCCAAGGGAAAAGAGGTGGGGGAGGAGGTCGCGACAGAGGGATCTGGCCCCGAAGAAAGGGTCAATTCTCAAAACAATCAGGCCAATGAGGATTCAGGATCGACTAGCACTCGTAACGCCGTTGATCCTGTGAACATTCCCGCTCGTGGCGTAGATGCTACAGTCCGTCAGTCTAATTCATCTCTGGACGCTTCGTCGGATGATGAATTAGATCTTCCTGGCGCGCTATCACGCGGTGGATACCGCCGTCGCCGTCCTATTGATCCCCTCCGACCCCAAGGTGGCCATGTTGATGGACCCGCAAGAATTGGTGCATACCCCCATTGGGCGCCAGGACATCATATGTTCCATCCTAGACATCCCAGACATGGTAGGCCCGGGCCGCATTATGGTGGTCCTCACCATGGCCCCCCATCACCTCACAGTGGCCCTCATCACGGTCCCCCACCACCTCATGGCGGTCCCCACCATGGCCACCACGGTGGTCCACCACCTCACCCAGAGTATCCCGGAATGCCTGGATCTGGATCAAACCAACACCCCGTACATCCACCACCTCCCCCACCTCCCCCACCTCCCCCACCACCGCCACCACCACCTCATGTTCGTCAATACCTTGCTACCGCCCATTCGGTCTCCCCACCACGGTCTTCATACCCACTGCCGTCTGCGCCACCTCTACCTCCTTCTAGCTCTGGATGGTGTGGATCCAATCTGTTCGATGACATCATCAACCCAGATATGGTGGCCGAAAGTTCGGGTGCTAGCGCCGAGGCCCAGGCTGAGAAAACCGGCGCTGAACAAGTGAACAGAGACCAAGAAAATGGTGAAAGCACCAGAAATCCCCCACCTATCCTTCCATTTATACGTCGCGCCCATACAATGTCCCACAGTATACACACACGCCCCGCGGGCCAAGGGAGCAGGGAGCAATGGCCTTCTCCCAATTATTCAGTTGGTATCCCGTCAATTCCCTCCGCTCAACATGTGATGCGTCGTTTCCCATCTCTTTCGAGCTTTAATCACTCCCCAGGTGTCCAATCTGGAGGACTCAGGCCGCAAGCCTCAGTCCCGAACTTTTCTACCGAACGAAGATTTACAACTGAAATCCGATCCCCCAAAGCCCCATTGGAAGAAAATAAATCTTCGGTAGATATTGGGGAAAATCCTTTTGCAACACCTCCAAGACAACCCTCACCGACTGTGCAGCCAACTGATTTGGATACCCGCAATGTTAAAGAATCGCAATCAAGTTCACTCCTAGGCCAGTGGCCGTCGGCGGTGCTTATCCCCCCTCCCCCTCCCCCTGCGCCGATGGATGCATTTTCTCCACGTGACTTGCATCGTGCGAACTCGATGGGGTTTTTTGCTACCAAGGAAGCTAGAAGTAGCCTTTTGGGTAGTGATCAGGGTGCCACTGAGACCAATCCCTTTGCTGAACGCAGAAGGAGAAGGAATAACAGATTGGAAGATAATATCACAGAAAACAAGGGTAGTGACTGGGATTACTATTGCCGCCCTACTTCCCAAGGATCCTTCCCCCAAAAGCAGAAACAGGAAGAGCATCTGCAGGAAAACTCTGGTTCTAGCAATGATAATGATGTGGATGCGTGCGTTGCACGTCTACTTGAAATGGGGTACGCTGAAGATGAAAGTGAAAGTGCACTTGAGAGCCTGAGAGTCTACTCCCAGATTGCTGAAGGAAGAGTTCACGATGCCGTTGAGTTGTTGGAAGAGGAGAGGCAAGCTTGGGGCCAAAGAAATTAGTAGTGATAACCGGCTTGAACATGTATAAGACTGTTTTTCTCTTTTTTTTTTCTTGATGGACGCTTTGGGAGTGGTTCTTGTTTCGGTTTTTTTTATTTATTTTTTTTTGGAAATGTCTTTTACGACTGGGTGGATTTCTAGCTCGTTTGGAACTTCGAAGGGAAAAAAGTGTGAGATGTCTGGAGCTATTTATCGTTGTGCTATTTGCCTTTTTAGTTCTGACTTTCGTGCCTTCGAATAGCTTTCGTATCTCGCTTGGGATATGTAGGAGGAAGGGGGGAAAGACGCGGGAAAAACGTGGGAAAGAAAGGAAGAAAGAAGAGATGGTACAGTGAAACTACGTACTCCTAGCTGCAGGGTGTATGGGTGGATGTTTTTGTTTATGTTTTTGATTTTATCCACATTCATTGAGATAATAAGATTGGTATTTCGTTCAAAAATTGAATAATGAGTGCTGTAAATGGATATAAATGATTCGAAAAGGGAGGGTAAACTCCAAAAGGAGTTAAAAGAGGGCATAAAGCCATATAAAGGTGTAAATCGGGAAAGATATGTAGATGATGGATATCCAATGGGTAATGGGATGGTATAAATTAAAACATGCATGTATAAAGGTGAGCTAACAGTACTATAAGGCGAAGTAGTACGTATTGTGGGGTGACAAAAGTTCTCGTGATTTTCGCATAGCAACCAGCAGGGGAATTTTCAAAAGACCAATCCACAAAGTCGGTAATTGGAATTATACCTAAGAGGTATGTTCCTATCAATCTTAAGCTCTCAAGTCGCGTAGCTGTCTCCTAAATATCGTGAAGTTAGAGTCGTTTCATGATACATCCATGTAAAAAATCACGAGAACTTTTGTCACCCCACAATACTATGTATTTATCATTTATCTAGAACTTTCCTATCATATACAAATCTTTCTAATCATGAGGAAAGTAGTCAATCCTATCAAGAGCTTTATAAGTTTCTAAAGCTCGTTGCGGATAAATTATGGTCATATATGTGAATTCATATTGTTTTCGAATTTCTGCTTTCATGATCTCCGGTGTAGGTTACAATTTTCTCTCGTTCGATCCCAAACCTCTTCAGCCTTTAATTTGTGTTTGGCAAAGGGGATGGGTACTCTACAAGAGTAGTATGTTATTACATAACGTGAAGTTCGTGGTTAGGGTATTCAATCCGCTTTATTCCTGTGCTCCAATTATCATTGGCATCTTCAGTAGCTAGGCTAGCCCCATGCAAAGCTGTGTTACACTAAGACATTCAGCATCCAATCCAATTCACTGCCCTCATGCAGGCTCGTCAGGCTCGCTGCCAAAACATGCAACTTTAGACGACAACAGCTAGTTAGGAGATAAGTTGGGCAAAATTCCCCCGTCTTCTCTCTCAGTAAAGTTATCGAACTGCTGCCAATTTTTCCAACTACCCGCCTAAAGTTTCCTGAAGCTTGTGCTTGATTCGAAGCCTTGATCACGCATTACATATTGGCCATCCTTGTTCCAGATGATGGAGCAGGCTATTAGGTAATTTTTTTTTTGACTCGCCTTGCTGATGTAATTTAGATCCACTAATACATGTATCTATGTAGCCTTGCTTGAGGACGAATCAAGCTACGATGCTTTTAAACTTGACCTAGTACAACCCGATCCGCCTAGATCCCAACCCGATATTTTCGTGACACCTGAGCAGCTTCAACTAGCACCAGGACCCAGCGCCGAGGTTGAGCTAGTTGAAGCTCTTCTTGAGCCTCCAGAGCCCGCATCTCCCGCAGTCGAAGAACCCGCAAACCCCGTTGCCGCCTGCAACGGAAAATGCAAAGGAGATCTAAAGTAAGTTCCGATTGTAGTATCTCGCTTCCAACCAATTAACCTAACCACTACGCATAGCGGCCCACACAGCTGTCAACGTCTCGGAAGACTTCAAATCACTTGCCTCAACGAAAACTGTGCAGACCATGCTACTTCTACTACGATGAATGACTTCAACCGCCGCTGTAGGACGAAACATGGCCTCAAAAATTCGCTGGTTGATTGTGAATTTGCCGGGTGTAAAAGGGTTGGTGAAGAAGGGTTTTCCCGGAGGGACAATATGTTGCAACATTTGAGAAAGGCGCATGGACAGGTGGTCCCTGTTGTCCAGTACAGATTTGGCATCTAAGGGAGCGAAAAACGGCGTTGTTAATGCCACTCCCGGCCCTGTCACCTAAGTTTTCTGGCTGGTGTTACTCATCTATCTTGTTCTCCTTCACACCCTCTTTCAACTATTTATTTTTGTTCCGCCCTCACTCTTTACTTTTACTTATCTTACTAGCAGTAGCTATCATCACTTGATGAAGCTCCTTTCATTTTATATTTAGTATACGTATATCTTAGCTATAAAATCCACACTGTCTTTTCCGCAGATCCCGTTATTGTATACATGAACTAGATGGCCGAACGAATGATGCTTTCATCGAGGAATATGGCCTGTTCAGCAGTTTTAGCAAATTATACTAACTCTAGTCGTTGTGATTTCTATTACTTTTATTAATACCAGTACTAGTTTCTACCCTTACCTGCGCATTATTTGGCCTGCTCGTGGCCGAAATTGCAGTCGGAACTGCTAGTACTGCTATCGAGGAATATCCAACGAAGTGTATTATACTAGATTTATCGTAATCACATTAAATTTGGTTGGCCCCAACAAGGAGTGATTAGTCATCGGTTCTCATAGTGACACATTCATGACACATCACTCGACCGCCGCCATCTACAGAGGTGACTGTTTCTCATACGGCGATACCGAAACTGTATCCTCACTTCGTATATCAGTTATCGTAGAGCCCTAGATCTGCGTGGTTTCATATCTGTCTTCTTTAGTAAATTAGAAGTATCAAGACTATCACAATTAGTCAAGCGACTTTTTAGGGATGAGTTCGTAGCTTCGTCGTGGCCTGTTTCCAAGCCGCGTCACCTCGAGCCGGTATCTGCAGGCCGCTCCGTTGAAACCATAGGTAAAAACTCGTTTTCATACATAAAAGGGTTAGAGACACGTCGTCATAAAATTCATGTCAGAAGTTATATATGGAGCACGATACACCATACATCGGAGAAGGGGTATAACTACTGCACATAATGCAGGTACATAACTCTCTCTTTAATGCTTTAAAATGCTTAGTATTGAGAACTGATGCGCTACAGCATGAGAAGTTAATCTGTAATATGCATGTTCCCCTCGGGCTCGAGGTGTTCACCCGTCCTCGCGAAGCTTATGATTCGACAATGCACCCCACACCCCAATTATCAATGAGCACAAACGGGAAGTCGGCACTCCGCATTATCATAGACGGTTGGATTGCGAATCGGACTCAATTGTTGGAGTAACGTGTATTGTTGAATCCGACAGCCACGATAATTGAGATGAAACGGCTCACCGGTCATGAAAGATGATTCGGCGCTAAGCCTCACTTCCCCTGGTTCATCAACCATCACTCACCCCGCCAAGCCAATGGGGGGCACTCATGTGAGTGCGGGGGATTTCGCCAAGACTTCCCTTTCTGTCCCGTTCAGCTTGAAACATGGATTCACGCCTGCGCCTGTAATCTCACAAGGACCCCTTTTTCGCTTGTGTTGAGTTGTCCTAGTACTTACCCGGTAGGGTATTAGGCTGGAATATTAGTAGGTAGCGAGTAATGCTTCGGATCAGCTAGTGACAATTTGGTAGTTTGTTGTCTGTCTGTCTGTATGGTTGTTGTACTCTAGAGACGGCGGTACTGTACTCTCGCGTGTGAAACACAACAGATCGAGCACACATCTAGTAGATAGGCCGATTACCCGTAAAGGAGCTTTTATCTGTTGACGTGGTAACTATGGATTACGCGGCTGAGATGTGGGAGTACAGTAACTCTGCGGCCTGCCCTATATTTTCTCGTAACTGTGCCTTTGGTAAACCGTAAGAGTGCGAGAAGAAGCAAGAAACAGGGATGGTAAATACATGCAAAGCACTTAGCAGATACATCCTCTAAACTGACAGGGGTGGGGTTGAGGGGGGGGGGTGGAAACAGAAATTCAGGTGGTTGGGCTTGACAACCGCCTACCTAAGACTGGGAGTAAAAGCATCTGTCTGTACACACACATACACAGCGCTCCGTTCCTGCCACGCAGTTTTCACACAACAATCAAAGGCGCGAGTGAAATACCTTTCGTCCCCCCTCCTTCTTACCCCCCTCCCTTCTTTCTCTCTTGTTTCCTCTTCCTGCGCATATCCATCATCATTCTTCACCCCCTTCTGTGTTGTCACTTTGTAACGTTTCGTGATTTCTTTGGCTGCTCCGTCCACTGCGAGCAGTTTTTAAGTCCGCGACAGTAAATATCAATCACCATTTATTCCCCACTCAATACCGCCGCAACGTCGGACCTAACGACGACAACGGCAACGGGCACCACCCTCACCAGCTCAATGGGCGAGGTGATCGTGGAACGTCCCGCCAAGTTGCGGCGATACCGCTGGCCGGAACTACTCCTCGGTATCATACTATTGATCCTCTTTGTTTGCGCTTCAATCGTGCTCGGTTCCTTCGCGTACTTCACGTATATTCAACAAAAGCTCTTTGTCGCCGTGCCGTGGTTAGTATCAGTTCCTAGCGCTTGCGCAATAGTCGCTGTGCTGCGTTATCGGGGCTAACGATGTCAATGACAGGTACTACTACTTCCTCCTCGCCATATGCATCGTAACCATCTTTTTCGTCTTCACAGTCGTCGGACTCTATGTCGTACACCTCTTGCTTCCAATCGTAGTCATGATAGGATCCTTTGTGATGTTTGTTCTTTGGCTCACAGGCCTTGTCAAGGCGTCGATTGAGCTGTGGGGGCCACTGGGAAGCATCAATGATAACTGCGTGAGATACGTGTATAACGATGATTACTGGGGTGGTGGGAGCCTATACACGTTGGCGAGGATACAGCAGGAGACTGTATGTAACTTGTGGAAGACGACATTTGCCATGGAAATGATTGCTACGTGAGTGCTTAAGGTCCCGGGTAGATTGTATATGCTGTGTAACTGACGGATATTGAAATAGATTCCTCTTTGTATGGATGATTTTGCTCTCGTGGCAGGTCATCAGTCGAGCGCGACGCGGATACTAATTCGATTAAGGCCAACATTCACAATTCCTATTCGATTCGCATCCGTTTTGTTTTTACGCTGCAATGCCCGCATTAATGATACCAATTTCCATATGTTCTATGCTGAGGCGGGGTGATATTTATTTTTCTTTGTTGGTCAGTTGGTTGGGTGGAACGGAGTTGTATTTTTTTCATGAGGATGAGTAGGGGTGGAGGACGTTACTATGACGATATGAGTAGATTAAAAAGAAACGAAGGGATGGCATTTTGTAAAGATTACCATGACATAAAAGTATTCTATCTGTATAAAACTTTCAGGAAAACACAAGCTTTAATCTAGATATTTTAAGCTTCTGTAATCACCCACGGACAGTCAGTAATATCTAGCCACGATACGAGCCACACCCCACCAACCCCACGCTTCATTGAAATACCTAGTGCGGTTGTCCAAATTGCCCTGCATAAAAACACGCTAATCATTATTGCGCATTTACATTTATGGAATGACGTGCATGAAACCATGTCTCTGGTTTGTTTCTTTGCTGATGGATTGATTGGAGAGTATAGGCGGCTGGGTGGGTTGGATAAAACTGATTGAATTGTATGGGTGCATTGGATGTCATGCAAATAATGAAAGCGGAGGTGTCCAGTCGGAAGATACAGAGAGACGAGAACGGGGTGCAGAGTAGACAAAGATCAAAGTGGATCGCTCTGGTCAACGCATAGGTCGAGTGATGGACCATGAATGGGTGGTGAGGTGAGGGGCCCAATCTTGACGATATATATGGACAGAAGAAGTATCGAGAATGGGTGTGTGTAGCCGGATTGGATGGACACCCTTCTTCTAATTTATGCCTTAGAATAACACACTCCTTTGATACACTAATACTCCACGTGTTCTCCACATTCCCCTTTGCTGCATGTAACACCCAACTAGCGTAAACACTACATGTGTAAGTACATGTTACTACAACGTACATGTGCATCCACTAGAAGGATGCTTTTCTACACCTGTAAGGACCGGCGGACAATTCCTCATAATATCCGTTCTTATATACCTATGATCGAATCACTATCATTACCTCCAATTGGACGTCCATCAGCTACCAACGGCATACAGCAAGCAAGATCGCAAGTGCATCCAGAACACTAATTAAAGGGTGAATATAAAAATCTCAGAGGTCAATCTGAATCGGCACGAGAGATAATAATATTATGGGGAAATCAAGTTAAATTCTACTCTATAATTCTCTTTATAATTAATCTTCTAGACTCTAGCCAATCGGCGATTTAAAGAGGAAAACACGTAAAACCTCATCGATAAAAATTAAGCCCTTTAACTAACCCACATTCTTACTAATAACTGACCTGAACGATTAAAGGCGCATGCTTAAAGCTATACTGCCCACCAACTCGGTTGTCGTTCTTACAGTCATCCACGATCCTCTTCGCAGCCATCGCAGCCTCTCGACACCAGATATAATAACCGGCACTCACGCCCCATCCGCAGAGCATGATTCTGGAACTGCCATATTTTGCAAGCTCTGTGCAGTGACTCGCAAAAACGTTGCCCTGCACGCACCTAAGATCGTAGTTCTTGCTATTTTTGAGCTCATCGGCGGCCTTAAGTACCTCAGAAACCATAGGGGAGCCTTTGCTGGTTTCGCACTTGACCGTATCTTCTGGATCACCGCGGAGATCGTCCCGGGGATGGAAGCGTTGTGGGTTGGTGAGGGCAAGACTCATCAGTGGAAAGGTAAATAGTAGGATAGTGTCGAGGCGCATTTTGATGTTGAGTGTATAGCTTATTGATAGGTGTAGTGTATTCGTGTAGGTAGGTAACTTCTTTTCGTAGTATTTGTCTGGTCTGTCTCATATGGTTCTCAAGATATGTTAGGCTTTAGGTATAGTGTTTTTTGTTTATTGTGGTGTGTTGGTTGGGATATTTAAGCTATATTGTGTTCAGTTGGTCGATTCAATACAATACAATACAGCGTGTCCCTCCACTTGAATGTTCAAGCACCTCTTCCCCGTCGGGCAGAGCATAACAAAGAACCCTACAAAGAAGTGATCAAACATCTACCAGTTGCCGTTCCTTAAATTAGTTTTCGAAACAGATCAACTTCTCGGTAATAAAGTTATAAGGCCCAGTGATGGACTTTAAAATGCACACAAGTGTTTTCGGAATTTGGTCTAACTAGTTCACCGATGAATCACCCATCGATGATCGATGCATCATTTGAAAGCAGAAGGTTAAGGACTACATATCCCCACTCAAGCGGACCGGGCCTCTGCTAGCCTTCACATCAGTTGGACAACCGGACTATACACATACCATACCCGCTAGGCCCACCCCGGCCCTGTGTGTAAATGCACCGCTACTTTTTTTTTCGAAATAGTACTGCTGCCAAACTAACATACACCATCTGTGGCTGAGGTGGCAGGCCAGATTCTTGACTTTCTACAACTAACCAATCTAGATGTGAAACTGTGTTCTTGGAGGACTGGAGAGTTGCTGTGGGGAATTTAAGGCATCGCCGTCTGGAAATGGCATCAGGGTCGACATTTCTATGCTTACGGTGGGATATATTTCCTCACGTATTTACTCAAGTGCAGCCCGGGCGTTCAGGAGGATAAGCGGCCTGAGATTGTGGTCATTCTTCGGGCCGAACCCCTAACGCAAGGCCAGCCAATACGGGCAGAGCTGAATGTGCATCTGGCATGATTGGTCTTAACTATATGCATGCCTCAAGTGTTTACTAGATAAAGTACTTGAGGATGGGTTTTTGAAGCCTTCTGTTGGAAAAGAACTATCGTTACTACATATTATTTGCTGTGAACGCGTATTAAACAATTCTTGATAGACATAATTATCACCTCTCCTCCTCGATCATTAAAAGTTCACTGAGAAAAAAGTAAGATAAAAAATATCCATCCCTCAATAGTAAAATAAAACACAACTAATGGGTACGCGGTAAAACAGAAAGAGTAATAAAAAAAAGAGAGTAAAAAAGAACCCCATAACACCGCCCAAAACACCTCTTCCCTTGTAAAAACTACTTATCTCATACAATCATTACTCTTGTTCGAGCTCCCTATCTTCCCTGCTTCTTCTACCTTCTCTGCTTCTACCCTCCCTATGTTTTCCGCCCTCGCTCTTTTCGCGATGTTTCTTGCCATCGCTTCGTTCCCGATGTTTTTCTTTGCTGCTGCTGCCTCTGCTGCTGCCGTCTCTATCCCTATGTTTTTTCCCCTCACGGCCTTCTCGAGATCTGTGTTTCTTGCCGTCGCTCTCATCTCTATCTCTGTGTTTTTTCCCTTCACTGCTTCCCTCCCCCTCTTTGTGTTTTTTCCTCTTCTTTTCTCGGTCTTTCTCCCTCTCACCATCGTCCTCTTCCGCCTTATCAACTACAATGACCGGTGGGGTTTGATCTTTTACGGGCCTTTCTGCCACCGGTTCAATGCGCTCAACTTGCTTTCCGCCCTTATCCCCCTTCCTCATGGCCCTTGAGAGTCAACTCCCAATTTTACTCACCCGTTCTCTCTCGAGTTCAGCTTTCAACTCTTCACGTTGCCCGCGCGCCTCATCAACCTTCTTCTTCGCCGCAGAGCGGTCGAGCAGTCTTGCCTCGCGTTCAGCCTTGAGACGCTTTTCAAGTTCACGAAGGCGCAAGATCCAGCGCTTCTCAGATACGTCTGTCGAGTCGGTTGACACCGGCACAGAGGCTGTAGAAGCGGTTCTAGTCATAATGCCAGGAGTGAGAGGGGCAACAAGGGCAGTTTCTTGCTTCTCGTTGAGGAAATCAGACTTAGAATCTCCGTCCTTCTCACGGTGATGTCGATGACGGTGTTTCCGCTCTGTTGGGGTTGAAGCGACAATGGTGTTTGAAGAAGAGCTAGCAACAGTCTTCGACCTATGGAGGGGCGACGTCTGTTGCGCGGCCGCCTGTTCGTTTTTCATAACGTTGAGTTCAGCTTTCAAGAGTCTGTTTTCGGTCCTGAGCTTTGCAACCTCAGTTCTCATGCCGCTTTGCTCACCGATACCGCCGCGAACGAGATTTTCAAGTCGTTCTAAACGACGGGTACGGCTCTCAAGCGCATTCTCAACGACCTGATATTCTTTCCACAGATCCCTCTCAACGCCTCTGCAGCGGGTTTTAAATCCAGCCACAATACTCTCGATGGTTTTGACCCCACAGAGCATATTCTTTTGGAATCCTTGCAGAGCACCAACAACTGCAGTTTCCATACTCTGTTTTCCGGTAGCGCCGCCAGGGCCGGTGGTAGTTTGGACAATACTATTGCGTTGAGTCCAATCTGGTCCACATAGGGCACTGAGACGCTGCCAGATTTGAATGAGGAGATTATTACGTTCTGCGAGCTGCTCGCGATATTGATGCTCGAGCTGTTGAATAGTACGGTTGTCTTTACTGCGAGCTTTCTCTAAATCGGTGTACTGTGTCTGGTGCTGTGAGAGCTTGTGTCGAGATTGTTGATGGTTTGTTTGTAGAGTATCAATGGTGGCACGATCTGTCTTGCGACCGGATTTTTCTTTATCAAGCATATCCGAGAGTTTTCTCGACTCTAGTGCCTACTTATTATTAGCCAAACCACAAACTAACTCGGATGAGCAGGAACCCACCATAGTCTCCAAAAGATGTTCTCTATCCTTCAACATCCGGTCTTTTTCACTCAACAAATTCTTTGTGTAATCCAGCTCCTCCAGGGTACTCTCCAGTTCGCTTTGCATGTTTACGATTGACTGTTTCAAGTCTTTTATTAGACTCATCTTTTCACCAGATGGTGCGCGCGAGTTTACCTCAAGTATCCCAGAACGTGTTCCCGAGAGATCGCCCATAGCTTCTCTGAGAGCCTTCTCCAGGTCTTCCAACTTTTCTTTCCACTGTTTCGCCTCTTCTTCGCGGGTGGAAACTTTACCACGTAGTCTGCGGACTTCCTCTTTGACAGTCATGACTTCGTTATTTTTTTCATTGACCTTCTTTTCCCATTCTTGGTGGCGTTGATCACCCGAGCTTTCACGCTCGTGACGCTCGGCCTCTAGTTGTTCTTGGGTCTCTTTGAAACGTTCCCGTTCGTCTTCGACCTCCTTCGTCATGCCCTTGATGATGTTCTGTAACTCTCCGATTTTGATCTTATCAGCATCTTGCTCTTCTCTCAAGAATGCAATTTCCCCCTTTGCACTCTCGCTCTGGACGGTCATCATTTCGATCTTTTCGTTGGCTTCCCTGAGAGTGCTCTCTAGTGCATTCATCTCTTCTTCGTTCTCCTGTATAGTTCTCTCTAACTCCTCGATTTTCTGTTCCAGCCGCTGGATTTCACCAGCATGCTCCTCCTGAGCGTCCTCTAACCTAACCACGGTTTCGGATACATTCCTCATCTCCAGCTGTAATCCCCTGAAGTCTTCCTCCTTCATGCGGGCCTCCTCCTCCACCCGGTTGAGCTCATGATTCAACTCATTCACACGGATGACCATCTCCTCCTCGAGCCGTTGGATTTCCTCCTCAGCCTCCTCCTTCAGCTGTTCGAAATCTAATCCAATTTCCTCGTGCATGCGCAAAGCTTCGTTGCGTTCAGCTTGCATTTCCTGGACTTCTGCCTGTGCGACTTCGAGATCCTCCGCATACTCAGCTTCGAGCTGCTTTGCTTCCTCTTCACGCTGGTGGAGTGCGCGGTAGCAATCATCGAGTTGGAGTTTAAGCTCTTGGTTATTTAGGCGGAGCTCGGATATACGATCTCGGAGTTCACCATTGACGTTTTCATAGTCATCTCTCTCACTCTCACTAAGATTCGTAGCATGGGTTCCGGTTGCACTTGCAGCACCGGCACGGGAAATGGATCGTTCGAGGATACGGTCACTGCCGAGGATGGTGCCGCCAATGACCGAGCGATTGTCGTTCATCATTCCCCTGTCTGACATACCCATTGCAGAACTAATTCCGCCATTCCGCATGTGTAGTTTCAAGTCCTCGATTTCCTGGTAGAGCCGTTCCTTTTCACGGTTCCTAGAGGTAAGCATGCTTGTCTGGGCACCAACTTCTCTACGGAGCTCATCATTCTCATAACGAAGTTGACTCATTAAGCTGCCATCCTCTCTTGGTTCAGAACCGCCTCGTACAGAGTTTTGTCGAGTGCTACCGGTACTTAGGTGAGAGTTATTTGGCTCGTTTCGCAATCTCCAGAGTTCCTCTCGTAGTCTACGATTCTCAAGGTCGACTTGTTCCCTGCGTGCGGTTTCGGTTTCAAGGAATTCACGAAGCATTTCCTATTGACGCTGTTAGTCAAATCAAAACTAAAGATAGGCACTCTCAAACTCACAACATCCTCAGCTCTTGCTGGCTCTCCTTTACTCCCGATGTCGTTTCTTAGTCTTTCCTCGCGTTCACGCTCCCGGCGAGTCAACTCCTCGATCTCGATCTCATATCTCTCAACCCGCTCCTTTAATTCCCAAATCTCACCATCTTCGCCGTCCTCTCTCCCCTCTTTCTCGCCGCCCATATCCTCAACCTTTTTCTCTAACTCTTTCAGTCGTCTCTTGAGTGACTTCCGCTCCCTCATCCCTTCGGCAAGTTTTACTTTCATCTCAACATTCTCCTTTGTCATTTCCTTAATTCCCTCATCGGATTGTTTCTCGAGTTTTTCGTTGAGATAAAATACTTTAATCTTGAGATCAAAGTTTTCTTTTTGAAGACGGTCGATGATAGCACTCTGTTCTTTCAGAGTCATGTTCTTTCCCTGTGGTAGAACGGGAGCTGCACCTGTCCGCTTTGATGGACTTCCGGGAGTCATCCCGCCAAGATGGCGGGAATGGTACTCTCGTGTTACAGTTGCAGGTATGTGTATCGACTTTACATGTGCAGTTATAATAGTGTCCGTGGGTTCTAACGGTGGTTTTTGATCGGTGGGCGTTGTGGGTTCTTTGTATTCCTCTTTTGCCTGGCGACCTTTACCCGCTTCTTTATCATCAACGATAGAGCCCCTTCTTGAATTTCGTTCCTCTTCATCAAGGCGGGCCAGAGCTCTTTCAGCTGCGGACATAGAAACCCCGTTGTTTTTATCTCCATAAATGCTTCCTCCAGCGATTCCAGTCACCCCAGAAGCAATGGATCCCAAGCTGGTAGACCGTGACAAGGCTCCCCCGCCAACATCTCCCGCCGTAATTGTGCTTGCTCCATCATGATCCATATCCAGGTTCAAATCTAGGTGCATATCCGTCATGCTCGACACACTACTCCGTTGACTCGAGCTCTGTCTTGATTTCAAAAACTTTGGCCGTTTCCTATGCGACGCTCCATAACTCGACGAAGAACTAGCTTGAATTCTTGCAGACAGTGTAGAGGCGCTTGAAGATTTGACAGCCGCTCCCTCTTCCCCTGGTAACGATCTTGCTGATGGTTGCCTCTGTATCCCTAGTCCAATTTCTTCCTCTGATGATGATGACTGCTGTTCCGGCTCTTTGGAACGCTGAGTGGGCACGAACGCTGGACCCAGCGCCGATGCGCTCCGTGAAGAATTTCTTGTTAACGCAGCAACAGTGGGGCTGCTACTGAAATTTTCGAGTGCGGCGTCGTTATCGCTAGTAGATAGATGAAGTGGGGTGCTAAAAGGTTCTTCGGACCCGGTTGAATCGCCCGTTGAAAACGGCAAAAACGGTGACGAACCTGCAGTGATCCCCTGTTGCCGCTCTTCGCTCTTCTCCTCTTCCACCTCCTCCTTAGTGGTCGACACTGACCCGTTCCTGTTTCTGTGCGAAACCGATGTGCTGCGATTCGACGCTGAAATGCTTCGACCTGATTTGCTACTCCGATTTGAGATGTTACTTGCGCTACGGTGTAGACGTCTCTTACTCGCAGCAGAAGCACCCGTGTTAACCGGAAGCGGTGGTGGTCCCATGTCACCTACGCGACCGAGTTCAGACGCAGATGCAGTCCTACCAGGCACCTCTCTCTCCTCGGCCTCGCGCTCTGCAGGTGCATTTGAAGACAACCGACTGAGCTCTGAATCAGCCCTAAAAGAGCTCTCAAAATTCATTAAATGCCGTTTCTGTCCAGAAGGTAAACTCTCGTCGCCAACATTATGATAATGACTTGTATCGTCATCGCGGTGAGAATAGACTGGACTGCTTGGTAGGGGTGGGCTTGCGGAAGGAAGTAGTGAAATACCCCCTCCTCCTTCAGGGTCTCTACTTGGAGGTAGTTGTGGCGACAAGGGTTCCATCTCTAGATATACTGGACAGCTTGTTGAAGTCCCGTCAAGTTGTGCTGGTGTTTCTCCAGTAGATTTTTGTAGCTCGTCACTGACGGGTGGAGTTGGTGGTACTGGGGCCGGTAATGCAGGTGTGGTGATCAGGGATGGGGAACTGGCCCTAGATGGTGATTGGCTCTTTTTGTGAGTAGTGGATTGAGATGACTTTGTAGATGAACGTATTGACCCCAGCGAGAGGCGTCTCGCGAAACTCTGAAGACGAGAGAGAGTTGGAGAAGAAGGAGAACGGGATGGTTTAGATCGAGCCGTAGTGACGGTAGGGGGTCGTGACGGTAATACGTCACGGGAGTGGTACATAAACGATTTTGGGTGGGTAAAAAAGGTAGAGAAACGAATCACTCTACTTCTTTTCTTTACGACAGCCAGGATTCCGTTTCTTTTTTATTAACTGTAAATTCTGTTTCCCAATGAGCTTACAGCGTTTGTTTTGATTCAGGGGTATGCAAGCAGGGGTTAGCTGAATTGAAGCAGGGGGGTAGAGGGGAGAGTATGATGAAGATCAGAGGAGGAGGAGGAGGAGGAGGAGGAGGAGGGAGTGTGATGATAATAATGATGATAGTTATGAACAGGAGGAGGATGTTAAGGAAGGAAAGAAATTTCCAAGAGGAAGTTTTGAAGGTGAAGAAGGATGACTGATTCTTCTTTGCCTCTCGGATATTGTGTGGAGTTTTTAAGATGACATAAATGGCTTCTTGTTCTTAGTCCCGGAACTTGTGTCTGTACTTGTTTCTAGCCTGTCTTCAAGCTATCTAGCGGGCCAACAAGGAGTACGCATTCAAGGTGAGTGTCACTACATGTAGGTATGAGCAATTCAGAACCCATGCGTTCCCAACATATCACGAATGCCAGCCACCTTGGTACTACTAGAGTATGTATTTAATAGAACTGTCTATGCGTACATGTAATAATATATCTCAACTGTCTCGGGTACGCAGCCAGCCCAATTCTTGGGATTGATCTACCTACTCTACATGTAGGCTGTTACTCATTTATGCAGTGCACGAACGTGCATGCACTGCATCCTTATTATTGAGTTTGCTACTTTACGCGACATATTTATATTTTTTTTTTACATGTGTGTATACACTAAACGCTGTGACTGCATGGGCTTTACATTCTAATCATTCCTTGTGATGTTCTTAATCGTTTCAGGACAAATTACTTGTTGTGTTTTCAGGCCACAACACCTTCGTTCCCAAGACAAAGTCCATGGAGGACGTCTAATCCTTTTCGAGCATGAAAACATATTCCCTGCGATAATCACGGTCAATATCTACTAAATAACGCCAAGGATAGAATCTCAAACCTCGTACTCAACCCAAACTTTACCAAATCGCCCTCCTTAAGTTCGACATATCTCCTCTCAGGAATCTTATCCTTGCCGACAAATGTCCCATTTGCACTGTCCAGATCTAATAGATATGGCTTCACCGAACTCTCCTTATCCCCAAACTCCCCTACTTTTGTCACAAACCTAAACTGTATCACCGCATGCTGCTTACTGCAACTCGGGTGATCCACCGGCAGATCTGCCACCGCCCTATCCCTTCCCACGAGCCAGCAGCTATTCACGTTAAGGTCGATGTTGTCAACAATATCCTTGTCCTTGAACACGAATAACCTCCATTTCTGCGAGCCTGGGGGTTTCCGAGCTTCGGCTGGCTCGCTGTACTTCAAGACCACACCGTTAACCGTATTTGTCGCCGCGGCAAGGAGCCCCGTGTTTCCGAAGTTGGCTACCTCCTTCTTGACGGGTTCACCTTCGGTAGTGTCTGCGTTTGCACCCGTACCGGGGCCGGGGGCGCTTGATCCTGCGGCTCGGCGGGCCAGAGCTGCTCGGGGGTCTTCCTTGGGTTTGTCTTTGTCGCCGTTGTAGCTCTTCTCGCGTGAGCTTCTAGTAGATCCACGGTCTTCTCTCGCACCCCTATCCTTATCTCTACTACCCCTTTCTTCCCGTCCACCCCTATCTCTGTCTCTGTCTCTGTGTCTTTCTCTCTCGCCCCTATCTCCGCCCCTATCTCTTCGATCTCGGTCCTCTCGTGGCCTCCGTCTGTCTTCGTCGTCGTGTCGTCTCGACCTGTGTCTTCGATCCCGATCACTGTCTCGAGGTGAAGTTGACCGGTTTCTGCGGGGTCTGTCGACTTCGTGGAGTGGCGGTGAGCGGGAGTGTGTGCGTGCCATTTTTGTGTTTTATTCGTGGAAATAGGGACTGATATTGCACATATTTGGTACAAGTTTTGTGTTATTCCCGCGTGAGACGTGACGTCCGGGTAATGTGACAGGGATTGATGTAGAGGGATTAAGCTTTTAAGCCGCATGGTGGTGGGGTGTGCCTACCGTTTTCCAGAGATTTAATGACGAATCTGCGTACTTGTTGGAACTGAAATTAAATACCTGTGAAACAACTACTTAGTCTGGTACTATAACTACATATGCCTTTCCAAAAGAAATACCCCTCCTTTGTGCTTTTTATTCCCCTCAATTACCAACAACTACGTTACGGCCGGCTAATCTAAACTATATAGTCTTCCTCATCGTCACCAGGAACGTCTCCTATTGATTGCATATCATGATTCGACAAAGAACTTCTCCCGAGATGGAAGGGAACTAGCATTAAAAGGCGTGTAGCTATTGCAGTTGATGGATATAAAAGAACACTAGCGACAGAACTACAGCTATATTTCTATATATGAAGGTCGAATTTCCCTGATACCATTTTAATTTTATCATGAACTACATGTACACACTAACGCTACTCATTGAATGACTTAGAGTGCATACTAGAGCTAATATATCACAGATTACATAAAGGAGAGGTGGAGATGAGGTTTAGTGCATGCCTATACCTTTGAATGACCCAATAATCCAGAATGACAGCAATAATCTAAGAAATTCCTATTGCAGTACCGCCCGCACCTCCATTTCCTCACTACATTTGGGCGGCTGAAGGCCGCACTCCGCTTGTAATATAATATGCAGGCTCACCAGTACAATTGTACACTATGTACATATATATATGGCAGAAGATGATATTCTCCAAGAGAACTAGTTGTACTCAGAGTGCTGCTAGTATATAGAGTACTCGTTATATGGCTAGCAAGACGATGTTTTCGGGCTGTGGGCAATTTTTCTTGGATTTATATTCTGAAGCTGTATATGTATATTAGCAGTCCAGTCGAGGTTTTAACATAGCAACCGGCTTTTTTTGGCATAGCAACTAGACTAAAAAAGGTCAGTATAAATTGTCAACTACCATGAGATTCAATAAAAAAAAAAAAAAAGAAAAAAGATAAAATGGGGCCGCCGGGAACGAGACTAGCCAGCCATACATGTAATGTACTTACACGCGCTTTAGAAAATAGCATTATCTTTTAAACATTGTGTCCTTAACGTCTTATGAGGCCAAATTACCACCTTTTTTTTTTTTTTTTAGCGGTATACGTACCCCCAGAACCTTTGAAACCGGCCAAGGTAGGCACAGCTTGGTATGAGAAGATATGCCAATTAGGTGGACACTACCACTAGAGAATGAATAGATCTATCAATCAACATTGTCGTTAAGCGCCAAAATCTTCCCTAACCTTGTGCCAAGCCTTTATTCACTGGACCAGGCTTAAAGTGTTAACTGGCGAAACCAGCCAACAATTAGCAGCGGAATTTAGCTTAAACCAGCCTAAAGATACATGTACTATTCCCATGTTTTAGTTTTCCCAACTATCGCAGAATTATATACATACTGTAGGTTCTACATAGATGTACCCTTGTAGATGTAGCAGCATATTGGAGGCCAATGATAAAATAGTAGGAAATGCGGCAGATACCCCTCCCGACCGCGCGCATAATATTACTGCTATCATCATATAGAAATTAATTATTATAAAAACAATAGTAGTATTTGTCTCATGATCATATATAGATGAGCATCTTCCACAGCTCACTACAGCTTGCGGTAAGATTATTGTAGAAATATGGGAGGAGTCCTATTGGCTTGCCCAGCCACAGAAACCCTGTTTTTAGACCCCTGTTTCTACAATAATTTTACTTCTCGCTGTACTTGATCTCGCCTAATGTTCTACAGGGTCGGGATAACTGGGGTATATATCCGGGGTTCAGGGACAGATTATATTAACCCGGCCCGACCTCCGCGTCAATGAGCCTATCCTCACCACCGAACCCTAAAGATATACGTGGTATTTACGAAACCAAATGGCATTTATATACTTGTGAAGAACACAGTTGAGATCTCCATTCAATTTCACACAAACATTCCAACATGCGATTGACAACCCTAGCTGCAGTTCTCATCCTTTCAGTTGCGCCGTTCTGCACGGCAAACGAGCGTCTCATTCCTGAGAAGCAGGCCCTCTCCGGCTGGTCCACTGAGAGGCTTCTTCTTTTCCTCGATATCCGCGGGATTGCTATTCCATTTGACCGCAACGCCCTCCTCGACACAGTGAAAGCATATGCGCATCTAGCCCCAGAGGTTACAAGTTTTGATCCTGAGGAACTGAATTCATGGAGCTGCCAGCGACTGTACGAGTATATGGGTACTCTTGAGCGCAAGGGCGGCGAGGAGCTTCCTAAATGCCCATCAGAAGAGGAGGAGCAGGAGACCACTTCAAAGAGCAAGAAAGCGCTTGCAGATATGGCTGTAAAGGCTATCCATGAGCGAGTAGGGAAGGTTCAGATAGTCGGGGATATCAAACCTCTCAAAGAGTAAGTAGCAAGAAAATTCCTCCTGTCTTCCCCACAGAATAGCGTAGGCCTAAAGCTAACAACCAATTTTCATTTTAATAGTTGGACTGTTGAAGAACTCCGCTCATTCCTACGAACATACCGTCTCGATTACCCACTCCCCCCAGCCAACGACCTCGTCTCCCTCGCCTACGAAAACAGACACCTCCCGATCCTACCTCTCCCGTTCAAAGACCCAACAGATATATTTCCCTACCTCACAACCGAGCAGCTCATTAAATGGATCATAAAGCAAGATCAACCCATCGCTCTATCCGACAGGAACCACCCCTCATCCGGCCCCCTCAACGCTACTCAACGCCAAGAATTCTTACGAAAGAAGGCAAGAGGCAATTACAACTGGCACTTCTCCAAGGACCACAAGTTTGAGGACAAATTCCGAGAAGATATGGCCGAGATTTTGGGAATGGTGCATGTTATTGAGGGAATGGGTGATGGTGCTTTGGTTTTCTACAAGACCGAAGACTTTGAGTAAGTCCTTCCATTGCTTAGGACCAGTGCAAGTTCTAACCGTGTATGCTTCAATGAAGGCTTCTGTTCGAACAGTTTGGGTACAAAATCCCGAAGAGGATCTTTGAGGAAGGGCCAAGACTGAAATTTATTGGGATGGCGAAATCAATTACCCACTTATTTGCTACCGGAGATCTTGTACCAAATACAGAGATTCTTGTACAAGATGCACCAAAGGATGCACCAAAGGATACGCCGAAGGATGAGTTGTAAGGGAAGGATACATTTGAAGGCCCTGATCTACATAGAGACATCATTCTGTCTAGAAATAAATGATAGCTTGTACTTAGGGTCAATTTAGTCATGAAATATCACTCGTTTGGTCACAAATTCAGTCCCTATTGTAGCAGCTAATTCGAGATAAATAACTCGTGAATTGTCCTGGCCGTAGGGCTAGAACGCTCAGAGGTCGGGCTACTGATAAGATGGCTGTCTAAAAACAAAGGGTATATTGCATCTAGGCCTCTGCTCCTAAATTATCGATAGTAAACTGAAATACAAGTTTGCTAATGCTATGATATCTTTCGCTGTTTATCCTATAACGCCAACGTAACCGAATCTAACGCCTAAACAATAAAAAGCATATTTCATTATGCATCGTAATATTAGGTCTTGCCCCTCCCATCTCCTCCCGAAAATGCGGTCCAGACACCTGCTCTCAATCGGTCTACACTTTCCGCCGTCAACCACAAGCCACGTTCCTCGCCCATACGCTCGCAGAACGCAAACAACAACCTCACACCCTTCAATCTATCTCTATTAACGCCACTGACTGAGTCATTTTCCAGCACAAGTTTAGTATCGACGATGTTACTCTCGAAAGTGGCCATCTGGATCCCGCCTGCCGCGGCTGCTGTGCCAGCGCCTTCGGCTGATGCTATTGGGGGTGGTAACAGTAGGGCCCTTTCGGACTTGTCTAGTGAGCTAAAGGCCCGAAGACCAAGAAGCCACTCAAGTGATGAGTTGTTGGTCTCTGTCTCATCTAAGGCTTGTAATGTCGCTTGGAAGACCGTCGATGTAGATGCATGGGCTGTACGACGGTGCACATAGATTGTTTGAGCATTCTGGAAGCTCGTTAAATGCTGCGGGTTGTTTGCGAAATCCAGAACAACAGTCCAATGGTGTGGGGAAGCAGTGGTAACGGAAGCAACGCGGTCAAGCTCGGGCAATAGGCAAGGCGCAGACTTATGAAGCTCTTCTCCGTTTCTTAACGTGATGGTGATAGGGATTGCACACGGCCGATGGGTATCAACATCTCTGGCAACCAGGCATCTTGCTTCTGCAGCGAGTACCCACATGTGCCGGAATGCCTGAAGATGTGACTTGTTGTCCATTGCAGTGTTTGGGAATAGTGGATAGAATGCGCACAGTAAAGATGCGACTGCCAAGTTTCCGGTTCCAAAGGTAAAACTGCCATTTCCCATGAAAAGAACTCCAATTGCTAGATGTGCAGCAAGATGGCTTCCATAAGTGACATCTGGCTCGATTCTTCCGTGGAGTTTCCTCAATCGCCTAAACACCACCACATCTCCTGTCCCGGCCATTACAGTTGATGCAGCTAGCGCTATAAGGTCTTGGCAATTTCTCGACGTTGCCCTTGTGAGTTTTTGATCGTGGTTGCGTGCTATTTAATGGGTTAATATTCGTCTTCTAAGATAGCAAAGGTGAGCTTACCAGGCATATTGCAAAGCCTGATGAATTGATCCAAGTAGTGGACCAAAACATCTCTGACCTCTTCATCTCCACTCCCTGCAAACTTCAATCCAATACAAAAGCACAGGCCCGCTATGATATTGAAAAATGGCAAATCCTCACTGTCCAGGTCGAAAACATCTGTTATGCTCAACTTGTATCTCCCCCTCAAGAATGGGACTAAACTTCTTTTGATCCATGAAAAACTTCCTTGTATGTTGTCCCACATGATGAGGTTCTTCGCGATAGTCCGAAGTAGGAATATATCCGGACGGACGTAATCGAATAAATGAATAGTATCCGGTACATCTACCTTCCTGGCTAGCCCCTCATCGTTGGTTTTCATATAAATCAGTGCCAGGGCGATAGTGGCTCCTGCAGTCGCCTTGTCGAGTATGTGAACGGCTGTGACTTTCTTGCTCCCAACAGCCAATGAGAGCAGTCGCTCAACAAGGTGCATATCATGTAGACCACGAAGATCTTTCCCAGAGCCCAGATTGATGAATCCGAGCGCAAACCCGGCCGCAAGTCTGTATCCTTCATCACGCAATGTATCACTAGGAACACAGCTATCCACTATTTCGACATACTCGATCTCGCTGAGCATGACCTCACTCATTCTTCTGTGTTGTGTATTTGCGTACAATAATCCGATACCCATAATTCCCGCAGTTTGTGTAAGAGGACTCAGATTCAATTCTGCACTGCCAGGCGGTAGAAGCCTAGTGACATGTACAGAGAGCAGTTTCGTGATTGTTGTATCCATGGTTCCCAAATAACTCGCGCTCAAACCCAGCAAGAGTCCAATAGATACCATTGTGTGTTTGGGGGTAAGATAATTGAAAGCATGCCACTTAGCAATGCTTTTTAGGTGTCCGTTCATTCCCAGGCCTAATAAAAACCCTGCGTGGCGATTCGTCAATTCCGCGGGCTTATTAAACACAATCCAGCTGGTATCAATCTCTTTGGCTTCTCTTGAGATGCTCACGCCTGCTGAGACGCCGGCGTGGAAGAAGGCCCAGCAAACTTTTTCCTCGCTATAAGTGACCTTATCTGCTGAGACAGTTGTATTACTTGGTTTCATTACCGTGGAAAGATTGAAGGCAGAAATAGGAAACTTTTCTGTCAACAAAGGAATCCTGGAGGAGAAATTAAACAATCCTCTCCCGGGTGATACCGACAATGTTCTCACCGCGACATTTTGGGCTATTTCTTTTTGAGCGTTCAGTGTGTCCTGTTCAGTCCAATGCTGCTCGGGAATACATTTAGCGACTGCGGGCTTGACTGAGGAAAGTAGTTTCGCCGCTTCGGCAGTACGCCGGTCCTCTTTAAATATTAATCGCGATACCGCCTGTCTATCATGTTCGGCAAGATGGTCGTATGACCCAATCGCTTCAATTTCAAAGGTTGAGTTGCAAATTGCGTGAACATCCCTTGTAGCCTCATGTGTTGGAGTCTATTAATATTAAAATATGTCGTTAACTAAAGGCTTGATATGTTTCTTCCAAAAGGGGTTCTTACACTCTGCCACTTGGCGCCGCCCTCTTTCCTTCCCTTCCCAGGGTCAATTAGCATTTTCAGGTCTTTTCTTCCTACCAGGTCTAATGCCTGTGCACCCCAAGTAGTCGGAGGTTCTTCTTGGCACCGGGCAACAGCCTCCCGGAGAGGGACTGCAATCCCTTCTGGCAACCTTTCTAGGCTCGTGGTGTTCATCTTCAGCTCTACCATTCGAGCAACCACATCTACATCGGTAGAGCCAGGAGTTGTCAAGGTGGTGTAAAGTTCGGTGATAATCCTTGTCCTAGGTGTAAGTCTAGCAAACACACGTTTTTGTGTTGGTAGTGGCGGTGGCATTGGAGGCGGAGAAAATGGATTTCTTGCACGAGATTGGGAAGTGGTAGAATAATGACTTCCTGTCGGTGAGGATACCGGAATTGTAACAATATCTTGCAGCATCATAAACGGTCCATTGTTTGTACCTTCTAGGCATCCTATGAGCCAGTCGTATATCGAAGGGGCTTTAAACGGCTGTGGAGGAACCTCAATGCTCGATATTTTCGCTGGGTACCGTCAGCAAAAAATGTATATAGAGAACAAAGGGTCTTTCAACGTACTCTCATCAAACTTCCATGATGACATTTCCACGTCCTCGAGCATATATTCTTCGATCCACTCAGACCAACCCAGCCAAGTTGCAAGTTGTCTTAAAACAGGGCACAGCCTGCGCCCTGCACCCTCCATAGTTACGTCCAGTTTCCATTCCTCCCTTACCAAGTGCAAAGCAACCAGTAACATTGCTAACCCAGTTTTTCTGAGGGGCTCCAAACCTCCATCTCCACCGTAATATTCGTCTTTCACTGCTTGGCCCATGGGAGTCTTTGTGAAATCTCTAGCTAGGGAGATACACTCGGTGATAAAAGCATTCATTTTCTTCGTCTCGGGCGTAGAATGTGATCTGGATTTTGGCGTATTATGAGCAGTACTCTCCATCTGCGCAAGAATGCGATTGTCCTCTTCCTCGACCATCCATGACCAAGCTGGTGACTTCAAATACTCCGGACCGCTCCCCCATTCTCCTTCACTCACCACCAAATCTTCCCACTCCTTTGAAGCTACGAGACTTGCACTTCTCACGAACCCAGCACTTTTTCTTCTTCCGGCCGGTTTAGGTTCCGGCAATGAAGGTATTGCAAGTAAAAAGAGGGTGGTTACAAAGGCTTTCCATTCATCCACTTCAGGGACTTTTTGTTGACTGGACTGGCCACGAGAAGATACAATAGGTTCGGGGCTAGTGTTAATACCAAGCCACTTTCCAACTTCAATCCACGAAGCCCACATCCCCTCTCCCACAGGTGAGCCTGCGGAAGCCCCAAGGATTACCCTAGACGTCTCCAAGCATGTTTTTATTGCGGTCTCTCTGGGCGCCATCGTGATGCTAATTCGATGTCCTACACCATCCCCATCTACGACTGTAACCCTACCACCTATCTCAGAGTGACGCAGTTCTTCATATTTATCTGGGCTAGTCGACAAGTTTCTTGCAAACCCTTTTTTCCGACTGCCCCTTCTGCTTCCATCCTCGCCCACAACATTCGTGTTCCATCTTGATAACGTTGGCGGCAAGGCAACCCGAATAATAGGGCCCCAGGGAGAAAATAATTGTAACTCCCCATCATCAGTGAGTATAAGAATTCGAGAGGCACCGTGGTCTTCCATCTTGATTGCATCAAGAACTCCCTTCTTCCTCTCCATGTTTGCAAATACAGGGGTATATCCCATTGTCACAGATCCGTATCTAGTGCTAGACCTACGGCTGTATCCTCGAGGAATTGAAGGGTGAATCTGCAATAAGAAAGTAACCAAAAGTAGCTCACTTTCCTCGACATTCATAACGCACAGAACGACTTTCTTCCCGCCACTCTCCTTGCCCACTGCTGCCGCAGCAGTTGAAGAGCTTGGTGCGTGTAGGGTAAATACTTTTGGTAACTGGCCAGCTTTGCCACTCACTTCACCGAGAGATGATCTAAACGGGTAGCTCTCAATTTTACTCATAAGCACTTCGTTTCGTAACCCCTCCCCATCGTATATTCCAAGACCCCCCATTCCGATCCCTAGAGCGCCCATATTAAGTTCATTCAAAAGTTCATCGACTGGCTGTTCACTATCAAGATTCATCGAATTATATGGCGCCGTGGGAATTTGGGAACCGAAAGAAGCGTTAATGGACCCCGAAACATCAGAGAATCGACTAGGCCTATCATGATTTGCAGATAAGTCTGCTCTTGCGACAAGAGAAGATACACGTCGACTACCTCTTCTTCCGCCCGCGTCAAAATCGTCATTGAGGTCGGGAAGAGAGGCCAGGTCTGATGGCCCAAGTGACTCCCGATTACCAACAATTGTTGATGTAGACGCAATGGAGCCAGGACCACCACCAGAAACAGGGGTTGTGCCACCTGTCCCAGGCCCAAAAGAGGAACGCCTTCGAGATGCTGTACCAGAGGCACTTGGTGTACGGCGCTGTGCATTTGTTGGCGGCTCTTGGGGAATGTAACGAACATTCCAAACAGTGATATGTGTCCTTTCCCAGTTTCGAGTAACGGCAAAGATTACTTCTGGGTTAACCGAGTTATTAAGTCTAGAGCTGGTGTCCTCGGTGGCAGAAGCGTCAAGCTCAGATGTTGGTGATATAAATATCAGATCTTCGGTTGAAGGTGTATTGGAGGATGTTACAATTAAACCGACCTCCAAAAGAGGATCTGTTAGAGAGAAGAGGGTAGGGGAGTCTTTGATTGCATTGACGGTTGGGCGAGAATTGAAGCTATTTCCAGGAGAAAATGGACCTGGTGAAGCCACTGAAAGAATCTGTGATTTTCGTTGTAAGATCAACCCATGAGGAGCTGGCATTGCACGCTCGACTTCGAACGGCAAGTGGATAACATGACTTGTTCCTGACAGAAAGTAGACAAATGCCTGACTCTTTAGAAAAACGACCAATGCCCTGACCTTCCCTGGTATAAAATCTTCGTCGTCGATATCGCCTGTTGTAGAAACCATTCCCCCACCCCCTCCGACGGTACCGTGAGCTTTAGGGAAGCTTCCTAATTGTGCAGCATATGTCCTGCTTTTTGAATTCCAGGTGCTGACCCTTTTCTTCGAGCTACCTCCACCGGGCATGTCCTGATTTTTCCTCTTGTTTCCCTCGGGGCCGTTGATATATTTTCCCTCGCCATCCTCATCTGGAGATGAGCTCCCATGTGCATGGTGAATTGCATCCTGGGGGTCATCGGAGGAGAACCAAGTGAGCACAGCTTGCTGTACTGGCTCCTTTTCAACGTCATAGCGAAACACACGACGAATCACGCCGCCTTGGGACCATATTACAGCAGATCCAGTGACTAGAAGCTCTTCGTGTGGTAAACCTGTGGTGAATGTGTAGGAGTTTGGAGGTGGGGGATCAGGTAGTAATGACTCGGTTATACAGTACGGGAGAGCTGCAGGAGTGTGCAGACCAAGAGACGAAATCCGGGACATCGAATTGAACGCTTTGTGAAAATCGTGATATCTATTTGGGGTTTTGGAACATCAGGCGGGGGATGTCCTGGACTCCTGGTGGGGAGACGCGTGATGCTGAAACATTCGTAGGTCCATGTCTGTGTGAAACTGCGGCTCTGCAGGGCTTGGCGGAGCAACCCTGGCCCATATTTTGAGAAGCTGGGTAGAGCTACATGTATATATTAGATTTAGCAGCAATCGGTACTAGCTAGAGCACTGTAACCTTGAGTATTTCTCAGCTCTCGAGTAGACATGTTTATTACACATTAAAATCTTGGATCTATGATATACGATGTTTATCAAGAAATGAATCACGAGACATCACCCGGATCTAAGCCCATAGGCACGCGAGTACGGTCCTTGCGCCTTGTGAGATTGGTACATGAGGCACTTGTACCCACACGCTCAGGAAACTAAACAAGGAACACGGCATAAGCTTTTCCAGGTACTCTACCACTCAATGGCTGTGTAACATCGAGGTATCTTCGGAAGGATGCATGCGTTCAAACTTAAAAGACTGCATTATACATACACAACAAAAACCCATTGATATCCAGATCGTGAAGGGAAATCCTTTAATTTACCAGCTTATGCCTCGTATATCATACACGTACAAGCCAGAACAAATTTATCTAGCGTTTTTTGGTAGATCGTGTAGAGCCAGAGAGAATGTACTTGTACAATCCATTGATTAATTGAAGTTTGTGATCTATATCTGTGTAGAGTTTGTTTTGTTTTGTTTAATTTGTTTCTTAGGGTAGGCGTTGGTTAGCTGGGGCCTGGGGTCACCTATGAGGTAACGTTGCATCCTCATCGCCAAATCGACCAAACGCGCCAAGCCGGGTGGATGATCATTGCTTCTGTTATCCATCGCGTCAACCTCGAATAACTCCATCATCATACCCTTCGACAAGCCCCCCGTAGACATCAGATACTATCGCATCAGCCATCATCATCATGGCCCCGAAAACAGCTCGCCTCTCATCAAAAGATACTTCATTCTCAGCTTTCTCGCAGCTCACCTACGAGCTCCCACATTCTCACATCTACACCTCACAGTTTTATCCTCGCTCTCTACAATCCCGCCCAACAACAGTCTCTGAGGTCTTGATATGCGCCCATGAGTCCGGACTTACTATTTTGTGGCGCGCTAAGGGGACATCGAAGAAGCCATCGAAGGACGCGTCTTCAGGGAAACAGAAGGCTATTGCGCGTGACGACGATGGTGATGACATGATGATTCTTGACGGTCCGCCGTCAAAGAAGAACGCGATCAACGGCGCTGAGACAGAAGAACAGCCGGAGCCGGCGGATGAGGAGCAGTTTGCATGTTCATACACAGTTCATCTTGGGACACCAGTTCACCATATCTCATTTCCGCCGGCTTCTATCCTACCTTCAGATTTAGAAGCCTCACGGGGTGTGGGTGATGATGACGAAGAAGACTCGATGAGCAGGCTCCCGAATGATCTCCTCCAGAAGAATTTCTTGATAGTGGCCACATGCGCTGATCGGTCCGTCCGGCTGATAACTCTCCCACGAGCGCCCCCATCATCAAGCCAGTCTACGAAGAAGCGAGAGCATGTTATTGTCCTTGGAACCGGAATCTATGGCCACAAAGAAGTACCAAGTGCAGTATCTGTCACTATTGTTCCGTCTGCCAACAGCTCCTTCTCCCACGAGAATTCAGAAAGACGGACCCCTAGCGGATCCCCTGGTTCCTATAGCCCACCCCGGCTCGGTACCTCCGATGCTTGGGATATCTTGATTGCCTCGTCTTCTGCAGATACAAACGGTCTGATCCTACTTTGGCGCATATCGCTTCATCCCCCGCCGCGCAAATCTTCGCTCCCAGTGACTTTCAAAACGCCCTCAAGGCCCATCAATGTATTCCTCCACGCCCCAGCGACCTCTCTCTCATTCAACACCTCTCCCACGTCAAAGTCACGCCGTCAACACCTTCTGGTCGTGGATCGTAAAGGTGCAGTAAGAATTCTCGACACGCGCACGAAATCCTGGCTCGGCAGCTTCTATACTTCTTTCTCACGCACCTCGGACCGCCGAAAAAAGATCCTTGGTGCCGAATGGCTTACCGGCGGTCGCGGCATTATCGTTCTCTGTGAAGATGGAGAATGGGGTGTTTGGGACCTTGAAGGCGTTCTCTCAAAGCTCGATGAAGCATCCGTGACCGGCTTCTTCATTGGGGGTGTTGTCGGCGAAACCTGGTACAACAACCGTAAATCTCACTCCAACCATTACGACGAATCTGTCAGCGAGATTAGCGGCCGAAGCCCATCCAACCGTGCGATGAGCGTTATGTCCGGCGGAACCGGTACTACGATTCGTAGGCGCCGTGGGAGCAGCGCGAGAGATATGACTGGTGGTATAGGGTTCCTCACTGTCACTGCGATTCCGGGAAGTAGCTTCTTTTCCAGCACTGCCGTGTTGGACAAGGGGAAGACAACAGCAATGGGCGGTCTTCAAATCAACGACGAGACGATCACATTTGTGTTTGGCAGTGTAGTTATGGTGATCCCGTCTCTGAAGAAATTCTGGAGAGTCGAGGAGGCCAAAATGCAGAAGCGCTCCCACAAGTCCGGCACACTCGGGATGGGGCTCTGGAATGGGGAGGATGGCAAAGCGGAGAAGGAGTTCATTGTGTTAGAGGGGTGGAACTGCGGCGGTGCTACCGTCACTGGTGTCGACGTTATTCCGCCTGGCCGTACAAAGGACGGCGAGTGGGATGGCGATAGTGTGAGCACGCCCGAGGGGAACGTTGCGCGGATATTGCTGGGTACAAGCTGCAGGATTGTCATCATGGATGTTAAGGAGTCGAGCGCTGTGGCAGCGATCAAGGATTCAAAGACTCTGGCAGTGGCAGTAGCTAGTGCGACAGGCGCAGCGTCGAACAGGCGTGCTATCTTGCCAAAGGCGAATCCGGTACCGGGGACCAGTTCAAAGGGGAAAAGAAAGGTGGGATTCTTGCAAGACTCATAGATTCATTGTGTATTTCTATCTTCCATCTTCTATTAATCTTGTTACGCTCTTCTTCTTTTTTTCTATGCACCCCCCAGATTGTCGGTTTTAAAGAGTTCAGGCGTGAAAAAGTAAATAGGTTGTCTTGTTGTGGGTTATAACTTCTTTTCTGCTCCATCTTGTTCTTATTTTCTACTTATTTTTCTTCCATTTTTTTTACTTTCTCGTTTTGATATCAGATAAAAACCTTGTCTTGGGAGTTTCTATTCTTTTTTTCTTTCTTTTTCCTTTTTTATATTTCGGCTTGTATGTTGTACGCTTATACGTCTGTATTACTCTGGATCGGGAGCGGTAATATTATTTATGGTTCGCGTGCGCGGGATTGTATAACCTTTGGAGTTCATAACATCACCGGTATGGCATCTGCACGAAAAGCGTATATGTCAGACTGGAAATGATTCTTGTAGTAGGCTCTGCATCTCACGACACATTTTAAACTCAGATTGCACAGTAGCGCCTTGTGATATCGTGAGCGTATTTCACTCAATCCTTATGATGTGGGAAATATATCCAAGGATAGGTTTTGGTGGGGGATGGTACTGCATACAGTGTGGTGTCATCATCGTTCCTGCCACAGCAACACCATAATATAATTTGATGCCTGTGTAGAAGTTGTTAAACGAGTTATGTGCACGCCTCGGGATAAGAGCTGGCATTTAGTTATGCGATTCGCTACACATACGTGTACTTAATGCTACGATTCACAAACACAGAATGTCACTCGCTTCAACTAGGTGGTGTGTGTGGTTACAGCCGCATTTGAAAAATATTGGCACCTCCAAGCCAAACTCACGAGGCAGTCCTTTCTGCTTTTCAATTTTCATATTCGAGACAATTGCCAGAGAGAGCTGCAATGTCTCTATTGCGGTCATACCTATCAATAAGTTGAGTATGCGCGAGTGCCATGATTGTTGGTGGGCTACAATTCATGAACGACTCAATATAGTAGGGTGCCAGTACTTTTTCGAATGCGACTGTACAATAGAGGTTAAGGATGTCATGGCGAAGACGTGGCATTAGTATGACGCCAAGGGGAAGCTTGTAAACTTTTCAAGGTGATTTCCTCTGATCATCATCGATACTTCCTTCGAAACACCTCCTACACGCACTCGATATCTGACCCACTACATGTGGGTCTATAATATGTTACTGGTGGAGAGCTTCCCGGGGAAATGGACTCGACATGTTATGTAGCTAGGGTATGACGGAGCCGAAGAGCGGAACTAAGAACAATCACATCTGGGAAAGCTTTAGTCACTGCTAACTTCAAATGTTAATGGACATGTAGTATATTCTCTGGCTAGAGTATCCAGGCGTCATGCATGGTAACATCTATATGTATGAATATTATAAGTCGAAAAGAAATACTGTAGCTACGCGTGGTAGTGGGGATATAAAAAGGCACGAGTGAAAGTTATTCAATCCTATTTTCTTTTATTTGGTTACAAAAAGACATAAACTAAAACAAAAACACCTCCAAAATACATCAATTACCCATACCTTCCCAATGCATCCCACATTCCACGCATATACCCAACTGTATCATATCACTCCTCTCCCCCTTATTCTTCACCAAACCCTCATTCCTAAACCACTCCACATCGGTCCTTACCATCTTCAGCCACCTCTCCATATCCATTGTCTGCATCACCTCACGCGTGTTGAAGTTGACTGTCGCTATTTCAAACGTCTCTGTCAGTACCTTTAGCCTCGGCAGCAGAATCTGCTGCATGTAGCGAATGTAATCAAACGGAAACGGGCTTGTGTTTATCAGCCTGAACCACCGCGCCATGTAGTAGTCGAGGTTCTGGCAGTAGCGCCGTAGCATTTGCAGGAAGTGGTGCATTGCGTTACCGCCCGGGACGTAACTGAGCAGGAAGCCGTCATCGCGGCGAGATAGAAATGGGACGCTGGCATGGCCCTTTGAGTAAGGGCTAAGAAGGGGTGTGGTGGGTGTGATATCCATATTATGGGAGTGCGAGTTTAGCATTTTTTAGGGCTATGGAGGAATAGTTATGTTGTGGATATAGAGGGCTTATCAGCTTATAAAGGCTGGTATCTACGGCCTCATGATGATTCTATGCACCGAACTGGCCGGTTGTTAGTACGGCGACGTTGGTTTTGGGCTTTATACTCGAGTAAGTATGAGGGAATTTTGAACATGATTTTCTGGTGGTAAGAGTTCCTCATTTGAATTTGAGTCCCTAGTGTTTGGCACATATCTTATATTCGGATTCTTCTTTTCTGCCCCGAATACAGATTCTTAACTGACAGGGCATAGAATTACTATGATACAGTGGAGTCCCGATAGTAGCAACCTCGATAATAGCATATCCTCGATAGTAGCATATGTTTGGGCAATCCCAAACGAGTCGGTACGGGCAAAGTTGTTCTCGATACAAGCATATCCCCGATAGTGGCACACGAAAATCCGTTCCCGACCATATGCTATTATCGAGACTCCACTGTATATCTAACTACGCTTTTGTGTTAGCTTAAGCTTCACCTCACAAACTCACAACAAAATGGACGAAACCAGAATCTCTACGACATAGTATGCTTGGGAGCTCCAAAGAGATTCCAACACATGTGCATGTATAGCATGTTGATCGAAGTAGCCCTTAATTATACACCCTATAGCCTATAATATGGCCCATATGTTTACGAGTCTATCAAATACTTGGATTAGTTAATCCAACAACGAAGAAGAACGGTTAAAATCATATACCAGAATACCTCTTATCGACAACTGTTTGAAAGCGGCCCAGGAAACTTATTATAAGTCGTCCAGAGCCCGCGTGCCTTTTACCGATTTTGTTCATGCCTGCCACTCTGCTATATCAGTTTGACTCCCGAGCGTATATTGCATGACTATTTTCCCCCTCCGTGCTCACCGGATGATCAACAAGCACCGCCGCTGCTGCGACTTGTACTCTCACTTATTCTACGCTTGTATACTGTCTGCCCGGGAATGGCTATATATCCACTGTCGTTGCGAATGTTCTGTGAGTGGCGGGGCACCCGTCTTGGAAACACCCCCGCTAATAATCACCGAGTGATATTTCATGAAGCCGCTCCACCATCTTTTAAAAGCGAAAAGACTAGACACCCAATGATGTGAGGATAGCCATCCTCTTTTATTCCCTATTTCCCTATTTCCCTAAAGACTACGAGTGGAAAAAAAGACATTAGACCCCTCCCACCTAATCCTCATCTTCCTCATCACTAAGCGCCACCACCTTACCCCTCCCCCGTCTCCTCATCGCACCTCTCCTCTCATTCTTCACCGCCACCCCCTCATCCGCATCCGCATCCACCATATCCCCATCCTCACTATCCTCCTCCCCATCCTCATGCTCCTCCGCCCGATCCCTCGCCCTCGCCGCCGCACCCCGAACCTTCCTCTGCAGCAGCGCATCCAGCTTCACCGTCCCCAGCGTCAGCTTCTTTGAGCACCCGGGCACGGGGCAGCTGACGCCCTGCCTCGACCCCTTGCAGATGTAGTCCTGGATGGCGTCCTTCTCAAACGAGTGCGGGCACACCGTCGACGTGTACGGCTCGACAAACGTCCGCAGCGTCAGCGGGCACTGGTACGATTGCCGCTCCTGCGCGATCTCGATGTCGGAGTCGTCGTCGTCCGAGTCGGGGGCGTGCGATGACCTGCGACGCCCACCAGCGCTGCCGTCGAGATTCCGGAACCAGGTGGAGACTTTGGGCATGTTTGCGTCGCCGCGCTGTGAGGCCCAGACCATGCGTCGGAACTGGACGTAGTCGGCGACGTTGCCGTATCTGCGGTGTTAATGTCAGCTACTGTACCTCTGTCCCGGAGGGGAGGGGGGGGGGGGGGGATATACTTTGCCCTCATGCTAAGCCCATCATAATGGACACTCCTCTCGGCCATCCTCTTCCTAAACCCGCCCGCCACCCCCTCATCCTCCCCCGCCACCACCGCATCCAACCCCGCCGCCTCAGCGCCCCTCCTGGCCTCCTCCCTCCCATCCCGGGCATCCCTCACAGCGAGATTCAGCACCTCCTTCAGATCATTCGCAACTTTCGCCTGGTCGACCAGCGCGCGCGCCTGGGCCTCGAGCTCGTCGAGCAGCGCCTGCCGCTCCTCCGTGTCGCTGTCGACGTCGGCGTCGGCGTCGGCGGCGGGAACGTGGTCTGCGAGGTCGGCTGCGATCTCGCTGAGCTTGCTGAGGGCTTGGGAGGTGGTGTGGCAGAGCTTGTCGATGGGGGTGGGGCGGCCGTTGTTCTCGGCGAGGGTGGTGAGCGTTTGGAGGGCTCTGGTGGTGATGGGGGTGAAGGGGGGCTCGTAGGCAGGGAGAGGGGTCACGGTGATGGCGGAGGAGGAGGAGGAGGGGCGGAGGGGGCGGCGAGGGAGCGTCTGGGTGCCATAATTGTGGGTGCCATAGTCGGGTGTGTGTGTTTGTTGATGGCGTTGGTTGACCTGGAGTGAGGATTGAAGATGGAATGTTGGGAGACGCGTTTGTGGGATGGCAACCGATAACGATAACTGCATACAGAAATGACCTCACACTGCATATCAAATATCAAATATCAAACATCAAATCCCCAACACCATCACCACCCAAAACCCTCCACCCCACAATGCCCCTAACACTCCTCTCCTTCCACCACTTCTACTCCCCCATCAAGCTCTCCACCCTACACACACTAGCCCACACGCACCCCACCCTCTACAGCGGCCTCTACCTGCAAGGCCGTCCAGGCGCACTCCTCATCTCCTCGCCCTCCGTCGCAGCGCTGCAGGCCTACGTCAAGGCCGTAAAACGCATGCGCTGGCAGCGCGTGCACAACCTCGGCACGAGCGAGCGCGAAGACCATCTGCTGCGGCTGCCGGCGGGGGCGCTGGTCAGCGTGGAGGAGATGCGCGGGCTGGTGAGGGCCGCGGGGGAGTATGGGGGTGCGGGGGTGGAGGAGTGGGTGAGGGGTGCGGTGAGGAGGGGGTTTGGGGGTGGGCCGAGGTGATGGTGGGGTGGGGTGTGTGGAGGGGGGGGGGATATGGGTAGAGGGTTGTGAAGGTATGGATGTTGGGTTGTAGATAGAGATAAGTAGAGGCTTAATTGACGCCGCGTCGCCGATTACATTATGTTAGTTATTTTGTAGGACAGGTAATAATAAGCGTGCCCATTGTAGGCGCTGCGAGATGGTGGATCTGGGGGCATTGTGGGTGGCCAGTGGGGCGGCTAATAGAGAGAGGGAGGATCATGGGCCATGGTTCGTCTCCAGAGTGATGCACCATGATGGACTATTAGCCACGGTGCGGATCATGGATCATGGTTCGTGTTGCCAACTCGCACCGAGCCACAACTCATGAACCACGTCTGCTGGATCAAGTAACAACCACCCACCGACACCACATATAACTCTTCATTTCTCGGAACCAAGATAGATACTTTATTTATTAACCCCCAACTACTCTAACTTCATGAACATTTTTCCCCCCCCCCCCAACCCTCCATCGATCCCCCCACCGCAGGATTAACACAGCCGAAAACAAAAAGTAAGAACTGACACTACCCCAATCCGCCAAACTCGCCCCCAGACTCAGGCCAGGCAGGCCAGCTCAGTACTTGGGTACGTACGTAGTAGGTAGAATAGAAATTGAAACACACACACACACACACACACACACAGACAGAGCCTTTAATCGATCGACCGGTAGAAACAGTAGTGCCATGACGGCGGCAGCAACATCACCAGAATAGTGGTAGCGTAGGAAAAGTAACAGGCAACAAACTACATAACGACAACAGTGTAAAAAAAAGGTACTAAGGAAAAAAAAAAAAAAAAAAAGGGAGGGAAAAAGGCACACCAAGAAAGAAGAAAGCACCAAGAAAAGAAATGAAAAAAAAAAAAAAAAAAAAAAAAAAACCTACACAGAAAGAAAAAAAGAAAAAAAAAGAGAGACGAAACCACAAACACACACAGACACACACACACACGTCCACTTTTATTCCCTATTCCCCCTTCTCTCTCAAAACGGAGAAAAAAGAAAGAAAAAAAAAGCACACAACAAAACACAACCCAACTACCTCCTGCTCCTGCCCGCATACCTCCCCCCGGGCACCGTTCCATTCTCCATACTCGCCTGCGTATGCTGCACCCCCATCCTCAACCCATCCACGCCTCTCTGCCCCTGCACTCCCCCTGCACTCCCCCCTGCACCCCTCCTCCTCCACTCTGCACCCCATACCCCCCACCCCCTCCATACCCCGCCCCAATCGCCGCCAGCCCCATCGGCTGCGGCACCCCCACCCTCCTCGCCCCCGGCGCCGGCACCGTCGCAGCAGGCATACTATGCGCATGAAACATCGGCTGCCCCACCCTACTCACCCCTGGACTGACCACGCGCGGCGGCGGCGGCGCATACGGGCTCGGATAGTGGTGCGGCATTGTCGCGGCCGGCAACTGGTGGCCGTGGTACTGCTGCGGCGTGTAGTACGTCTGTACGTTTGGCGCGCCCTGGAGACGCGGCGGCGGGGCGGTGCGGGACATCATTGCGATGGGGGCCGGGGAGGAGGCGGAGGAGGGGGACATGCCGACTGCTGCGTTTAGGGCTGCGAGTGCGGCGGCGGGGGGCGCGGGGGGTGTGGACGGGAGGGTGCCGGTGTAGATTGGTGTTCCGGAGGTGAGTGGGTGCAGGGCGGAGATGGTGAGTGGGGCGGTGGGCGTGCCGTCTATGGTTATGGTTGCGTGGGGGGGGAGGGTGGAGATGAGGTGGGTGAGGCGGGTGTGGATGTCGTTGTAGAGGGTTAGCTCTTCGGGGGTGGGGGTTGTGGGGGTGTCGCTGGTTGTTGTAGAGGGGGGTGCGGGGGCGGTGGCGGTGGAGGTGGAGGTGGACGGGGTGTTTGTGGTTGTGATGCGCGGGGCGGGAGGGGTGGGCGCGGTGGAGAGACGGATGTATTGGTGGCTCTGCAGGCGCTTGAGGAGGTTCGAGATCTCCTTGAGTGTCTCATCCGCATTGACGCCCGCGACCTCCACGGCCCCGCCCTCCTCGTCCTCCTTCTTCTCCGCCGCGCCCTCCTTCTCCGCGCCCTCCAGCAGCCGGAAATCAACCGGGACATCCTGATCAGGCTCAAAGCTCTCCACAGCCTTCCTAAACATCTCCTCCTCGTCTTCGCCGTCGCCCACCACAGCCTCACTCATCACCACATCCCCCGCCTCCTGCCTCTTCCCCTCCTCCTCCTCCTCCTTCTCCCTAAACATATGCCCCACGCCCGGATGGGCCCCAAACATCTCCCTATACATCTCCCTCCCCATCCTCTCCCACCACACCCGTCCCCTAACCCCCGCCGGCACCTTCGCCCCGGCATCATCCCGCACCGGCGCAAAGCTCGAATACGCCGCCACAACCTCCGCCGGCAGCCCCATCCCCTGCCGCACCGGCTCCCCACGCGCCATCGCCCGCCACTTTGCCGTCCGCGGCGGATGGTTCCGATACAGCAGCCACTCGCCCGCAGGCTCCGCACGCGCGCTCGCGCCATTCACGACCGCAACCCCACCAGGCCCCATCACACCCCCCCACTTCAACCCCACAACACCCGCCGCGCCCGCCTTTGGCGGCGCCAGCGAGCTGATGCGGACGGGCGGGAACGCCTCGCCCAGCGTCGGCACCTTCTTCGGGTCCTCGGGCGCATCGCGCTTCAGTGGGTTCGAGGCCGCCTTGACGGTACTAATCAGCGGGGGCAGCGCAGCCTCGTTCAGTGGCGCCACGACGCGCACGACTTTTGTGGGCGCTGTTTTTGGCGACGCGCAGGTTGACGTTGGCGCTGTTGAGGCGGCGGGGGAGGACTCGGAGGCCGATGGGGAGCGCGAGAGGCGCTCAGAGGATGGGATGGGGACCTCTGTTGCGTTTTGCAGCGACGAGAAGAGCGGCCCGTGGTGGGCCATGACCATCAACGCGAGTTTCTCGCGGTCGGGGGCCGCGGCGGCGGTGGTGGCTGGCGGGAGGTGCGCGCTGGTGAAGAGGTCGGGGCGGCGGGCACATTCGCGCGTGATGAGGGTGTGCGCGAGGTCGTGGAAGGGGCGGTGGTGGGCGCGTCGAGGGCGTGGCAGATGGCGGCGATGTCGGATAGGAGCGCGGCGGGCGTGGTGTAGGTTCCTGATGCAAGGCGCGAGGCGATGGTGCTCGGTGGGTGCGGGGAGAGCTTGGCGCGTTTGATGGGCGGGGTGCCGTCGGTGGTGTCGGAGGAGGAGGAGGAGGGGGGTGAGATTGTAGTGGTGAGGACGGAGGGGTGAGTGTCGTGTCTAGTGTCGGGGGTTTTCGAGATCAGATACCAATCCAATAATCCACGCGTATAGCCACTCGCAAGCAAGGGGGGGGGGGATGGGGGGGAAAGGAAAAAACTCACTCCTTAAGCACCACCGCAAGGTCCTTCATGATCTGGTCCCAGACCATTTTCCGCTTCTCGCCCGCGGGGTCGTCGGTGCCCTTCATTGCTGCGCTGCTGCTGGTGCTGCGCTTCCGTTTCTGCGATGCTGTGGGTGGTTCGGCGGTGGTGGTGGTAGGGGCGTTGACCATGGGGGGGTTGTTGGCAGCGGTCGTGGTCGTGGTCGTGGGAGTTGCAGTTGTGGTAGTGGTGGTAGTAGCAGTGGTGGCTGTCAAGTCTGGACAGGGCACGGATTAGATTGCTTGCTTGATTGATTGACTGAACAGGGCAGGGGGTGTCTCTTTCTCTCTGGAGAGAATGGATGGATGTGGATGCGGATGTGGATGGGGGTTCAAGAATATGGCCAAGCCAGGATTTGACTGATTGATTGCTTGATTGAATGCAGACAGAGAATCAACGTGTGTGGGGGGCTTCAACACAAAAGAGGCTGGCTGGGCAGGAAAACATAAAAAAGGTGGTTGGCAGCAAAACACACCAGATAGCCACATAAACTACAAAAAAAGACAAGAAAAAAAAAAAGTCTTCATACCTGCCGCCATTGAATACACTTCTGCACACACCCGTCTCTTTCTCTTTCGACAGTACACTAAGTGCTCGGGGTTGTAGTTCCAGCTGTGGTTGGCGTTTGGGGGATAAAACAAAGTAAGTGCACACGCAGGGTACAGTTGGGTCAGCGGGAAGGGGAAACACGGAGAGGGGACGTTTCACCGTGCTGGTGTGGGTGTGTGTGTGGAGACGCGCCCCGTTTCGTGCTGCGGGGCGATTGATCTGGTCTGATTAGATTAGATGGTTGATGAGATTGGATTAGATTAGATGATGGCTGGCCCGAGTAGGTAGGGTGATGATGGATCTGAGATCTGGATCTGGGCCCGTGGCAATTGCCTCAGAACTATCTCCTCTGCAAACCTCCATCCTCAATTCCCCCCCAGAACCTTAAAACCGCTGACTAATCCCCCCAAACCACCCCTGCCCCACCCACCCACCAATTTTCACCCCCCCGCCACCCCCCCCCCCCGCCACCCTCCCCCCGCCACTCAATGAATGTCACACTCCATTTTCAGCTCCGCACTCGGCCGAGCAATTCTCCGCCGGCCCCCCAGCGCCCCGCTACTCGTGCGCCTCACGTCCACATTCGCCCGCCACGGCCAGGGCCCGCGGGAATCGATATCTAGGACTAGGACTGCTGCACACGGCACTGCTATTACTGCAATTGATGCCCTGATAGACACCACAGCTATTACTGCTGCTTCTGCAATTGATACCCTGATAGACACCACTGCTACTACTACATCTACAACCAACTATAATACAAACACCCCTCCCACCACCGCCGAGCACCAATGCCTCCCCCGCCGCCGAAAACCCCCCTCCACACCCACCCCAGAGACCTACCACCACCACCGCCCTAAAACGCTCCTCGCACTCCTCCACCTCCTCGACCGCGCCCACGACATCCCCGCCCGCCACCGCCCCGGCAAAGTGGACCTATCCTTCCACGACCCGCTCTCCCGGGTGCGTGTCCGTCGGCGCACACCACGGCAGCAGCAGCGCAAGGGCCGCGTGTCGCTGAAGAGCATCACGTATGAGTACTTGTACCACTTCCACCTGCTCCCTCCGGGGGGCGAGGGGGTGGAGGCGGAGAAGGCGGAGAAGGTGTTCAGTGGGCGGGTATTGGGGTATCTGGCCGAGCGTGGGTATACGGCGGAAGACGTGGTGGTGTGGGCGTGGATACTGCTGGCGGGGGATGTGAGGCGGGCTGTGGTGCGGCTCGATGTGTGGGCGCGACTCGACGACAACAACGACAGCAGAGAACAGACCTTGAAGGGCGCAATCAGGGCTATTATCGACTGCGCCTCCTTCAACCCCTTGGACACGGATCAAGCACAGGGCATCACTCGGCGCTCGCTCCGCATCCCGCCGTTCATAATCCTCCACAACCTCCGCCGCCCACACGGCCACATCAGCGCGCACACACTCCGCCAGCTGCTCCCGCACGTGCAGCTGTCGCTGCTCCCGCACTCGGGCGACACCAAGACGCCGCTGCTCCTGCTGATCCGGCTGCTCCGTCACGCGCGCAGCTCGTGGCCGCCGGCCATCCCGCACGTCGCTGAACTCATGGCCAACCTACACTCCTCCGCCGACCGGGCGCCGAAACGCTCCGCCCGCCTCACAGGCACGTACAACCGCCTCCTGGCACTCCTCTCCCTCCCCACGCACGACCGCCCCTTCCAGTGCATGCCCCTCCTGCAGCAGTCGCAGTTCACGCTCCTGCGCAAGATGGCCAGTCTCGACATCCCCATCACGCGCGAAGGCTACCGCTCCCTCATCGCCGTGCAGCTCTCGCACCCCAAGACCCCCCCCGAGGCGCAACACGTCAACTCCCTCTCCACAACCTGGCCCCCCTACCCCGTCCCCAAAGACGGCCACCGCCACTCGCCCGGCCACCCCTCCTCCCCGCCACACCTCTCCCGCGCAGCAACAGTCCTGCAACAGATGACCGCCGCCGGGTACCACAACCTCGGCTGGGAGAAGGAGGCCCTCGTCCTCGCCGGCACCGACACCGACGCCACACCCACCATCCAAACACGCACATTCCACCTCGCCGGGCGGGCCAGCGCCCGCCCGGAGCCGCGGAATATATGGGCCGTCCGCGTCCGCGCCACGCGCACGCTCGATGAGGCGTGGTGCGTGTTCCTCGACTGCCTGGACGCGGTGGGTGTCCCCCCGCCGCCGGCGTGGGAGGAGCTGTTCTACAAGGTGTGCGCGGCGCGCAAGGTTGCGCGGCAGCGCGAGGGGCACCAGCGGCGGCTGCAGGAGATACAGGCGGGGCATGACGCGTCGCGGGCGGAGCCGACGGCGGCGACGCTGCGGGCTGTGGAGCGGTGGGGGGTGGTGGAGCGGGAGATGGGGGAGCGGGCGGTGCGGGTGTTGCCTGGTGATGCGAGGGAGGTGGCGGGGTTGGAGGGGAGGGCGGGGGTGGGGAGAGGGTGTATGTGCCGGTGAAGGCGCCGACGATGGAGGAGCTGTTTGCGATGATGAGGAGGGTGTGTGGTGGTGGCAGTGGGAGGGCGGGGGTGTCGGTGAGGTTGTTGGCGTATTTGGTGAGGGAGGCGGAGACGCTGGAGGAGGGTGAGCGCCTGCTTACCACGTGGAGCGCTGAGCGCTTTCGGCGGTTGCTGAAAAGTATTCCCCCCCTTTCCCCTTCCTTTCCTTCTTCCAGTTCAGGGGTTATTAACACCCACCATCCAGCCACACCACCCACCACCGCCCCTCGCAGCGACGACCGACACCTCCTCACCTCGTACCTAACCCTCCTCCTACGCACCCCCACCCCCCCACGCCTCTCTCTCTCCCTCCGCCTCCTGCAAACCCACACCCCGCGGCACGCCCCCGCCTGGAACGCCGTCCTCTCCGCTCTCTGCACCACACCCCCGACCACCACCATCGCCGCGGCGCGACTGGCGCTCGTCTGGCGCCTCTACACGTCCATGACGGCGCGGCACATCCAGGCAGACAGCAACACGCTGCGCCTGCTGTGTGTGGCGGCCGAGCGCTGTCCGGGGGGTGTGGACTGGGGCGGGGGCGAGCCCGTTGATGTTGCGGCGGGGGTTGTGGAGCGTGCTTTTGGCATTGGGATGGAGGGGGGAGGGGGTGGGGGGGTGCCGTTGGTGGCGGCGGAGGCGGCGACGCTACATGCGTATGTGAGGATGCTGGGGTTTGCGGGGCGACGGGAGAGGTTGGAGGTGTTGGTGGGGTGGTTGAGGGGTGGGGGGAGGGTGGATGTGGGGAGTGTGGTGGGGAGGAGGGTGGTTGGGCGTGTGCTGTGTTTGGGGTTGAGGATGCGGGAGGGAGGGAGGGGGGGGAGTGGCCGGGGGGGTGGCCGGGGGAGGAGGAGGTGGAGAGGTATGTTGTTAGGGGGTGGAGGGGGGGTGTGGAGAGGGGTGAGGGCGAGGTGGAGGCGGCGGAGGTGGTTGAGAGCGGTGGAGGCGAGGGGGTGGAGGGGGTGGTGGGGGGGATGGAGGATGGAGGAGCCGGTGTAGTTGTACAGTAGATATGTAGAAATTGGAATTTTATAGATGTATATATATATAGTAGGGCCTGTAAGCTATTTGATGTATTTTTACTTGTTTTTTTTTTAACCTTTTCTTCTCTTCTCTTTTCTGTGTTGTATTGTAGATATTGAATAGAGACCACTGACCGGGGGGGCATGGCACCCCGACCATAGCCCTGCAGCGTACTGCACCGCGGGTGCAGTATGGTGGGCGTCACGATATCGGGGCCGGTAAAAGTACATGAACGTCAAATCTATCTCCTCAACCACAACACAATATATTTTTGATTCGAGGCCGTAGAATGAGAGAGAATCAAGCGGATAATCTTCTACGGCCTTTAATTTTTTAATTATCTTGCGTTGTGGTTGAGGAGATAGACTTTGAAGCTGGGTGAGTCTGGTAACTTGAACTAGTAGGGAGACATGTCAATACATGTACTTACCCATACAGATTGTTAAGGCCAGATCAAAATCCACTACAGATACCCCTGTCCATCACCATAAACTTGAAGCACTCGGTTTATTACCAAAAGGGCGTTGATCTGCCATCTGTGAGCTCAAAAACACATAAACAGGTGATGGTTTACCTGATGGAGATTTTTACATGTGCCAAGACCGACCCCGATATCGTGACGCCCACCATACGCAGTTTTTTTCAAGATATCTTAGCTACCAGGCCCTTTACCGGAGCTATAGAGTATAGTATGTATGACTTCATATATGCACTCTCGCTCGCTCACAGTGGCGAACCCCCCCCCCCCCCCGTTGTCGGGCGCCGCGGGTGACCTCTTGTTGTATATGTGCTAGCTGTTAATTTCAGGATAGTCGAGATATGTACATGTATGTGTGTGTGTGTGTGTGGGATGCACCGAGTGATGGTTCATGATTTTGGATTGCCACTCTGAAGTTTCATAGTGTTTGTGGGCACAACTGGGTCTGTATACCCGCATGAGGCTCTAGATTTTGTGTATGCAGACCCAGCTAGCTGTGTTTACAAACGCTATGAAATCACGAGTAGTCTTTTTTTTTTTTTTCGTTTGTTTGTTTAATTCATTAATCGTATGCAGATTGCAGTCTATGACGATCTCTGTACTCCTACCGCAATAATTCTTCTCAGCGGACAGTTACACATGCTTTTTACAGCGCGTATGAGGGGATATTAGGGGGGGACGTTTTCAAGACATATGACCAGAACAAGTAATTTCAACGTCAATGTGAGTGTCCCCTGAGACGAATTACTGCGGTAGTCGAGTGTAAGGGGTTAATTTAGGAGATGTTAACTTGTTACCTAGCTAGGTACGTAGCTAGTTCCGTTTTAGTTATCATGGTTGCCATTCGTAGGGGGGGTGGCTACGCCCCCCGCGGGGGGGGGGGGGTTCAGTGTAGATTTTTGATCCTACGTACATACATATGTACGTGAATCATGTCATGTCAGGGGGTTCAGGTCTCTGTCACGATAGATGGCTCGAACCTTAGCTTAAGTGTATGATTGATCGATGATAACGCTAGAAGAGATCTAAAGAGACGAATTCGCGAAAGAAAGCAAGAAAGAAAGGGTTGACTGTACGAATGTTTATGACCACTGTGTCCGTTGTACGTGGGTCTGTCCTCGCTTGGCCGCCGGCACTTGTTACACAAGCTCTTACCTTAACGCATGGCTACCGTTACCTACGCCATACCGCGTACCGTCTGTTAGTTGGTGGTCAAGAGGATGAGTGTGTGTGGGATGGCTACATGTACGGATAACAGTTGATGGTCACGGAGGTATGGTTCATGAGAAATCACTCGTTTGGAAGAACCTATCTTTGTTAAAAGAAAGGCTAGGCTGGCTGGCTGTAAGAGTACGAGTATGAAATGATGGTTGTATTCAACAAAAAAAAGAACTTTCTTGGTAGCTCTATAAGTACTTAAGTGACCCCGTAATCCCTCTATAATAGCGCGCCCCCCCCAAATAGGCGATCTGTGATTATGATACATTAATGTGAGGCATGATTACAATCGATTAGGTTTTTCGCCTCTAATCGAGTCAACTCACCCTCCCAGACCCATCAAATCATACTCATGATTGATTGATGGTATAAACGCATACCTATCCGATTATTCTGATTGATTACAGGATTATATCTTCGGCCTTGAAGACATAATTTCTTACCAAAATTGACATTCGCCAGGTTCATAGGAGGGGAAATGATCATTTGCCGGTCATATTTCATGGCCTATATGACTTAATCGATTTATTGCAAAAAAACTAATCATGATTACGATTCGAAATGTCACCCCTAATCGAGTCTAATCAAATCAAATACTCGAGTTTTGTACTCGATTATAGTCAACTCATGCCGCACACTATGATACATCGAAAAGGAACTTCGATCCACAACAACCAACCAATCAACCATCCTATAAGCCTACAAAAATCGATCAAATCAGCCAGTTATCCCTTACAAAAAACAAACATACTGCCCCGGTGAAAGCTACAGAACCAAGGCTCCAACTCACAGCTAGTGGCTGACGCCAGAACACATGTCACGGATGCGATATCTCAAGACCTTGCGTATCTACCATACCCCCGCTCCATCTCGAGCTCCTCGGCCGTTGGTCTAACGGCGTGGGCCGGCTTCGACGCAACACACATGAGAACGATAAAGACGTAAGCTGTATCATTGACATTCCGCCTCGCCAAAAAATCTGGCGCGGTGGTAGGGAGTTGCGTTAATGACTAAGCAGTTAATGCATGTAGGGCATAGGGTATAGGGCATCAGGGGACAAACATTTTTCTGGCGGCGCTTCCAAAACTTGTATCCTTGGAGGATCCCAATTACTCCGACGAGTGTGCCGGTAATACTGGTGGCAATGGTGAGCACGTCGACAGTTATGTCTTGCCCTGCAGCTGCTCGGGCATAAAGTTTGTGGAGTGTGAATTCGGCAGCCGCATTAACGACATTAGAGAGCACTTACCAAGTGTCAAAACCGACAATTCACACTTCGCCACATTAAAAAGTGGTTGCCGAAACCGTCAATTTTCCAAGGTGGGGATGTAGGATATGCCTGGGGATTTTTACTCTACTGAGTGCAGTATATATCCCGCCTGCATATTTCACAGTAAGCGTGAAGAATTATTTATCTACCCAGTTTCCCCTATCATACCTTCCTGGTGTGGTTAATTTGGTTACTGAGGGGAACTGTCAATTTTGTCTTCCGAAACTGTCATTTTTAAAGTGTCAATTTTTGGATTTGACACTTAATAAATACTCTCTATTGAGAGTTACAGCTGGTGTGGTGTGGGTGGGATCCATTGGTAGGGAGCACTAGTTCTAATATAATAATACAATGCGTATTGTAGTTATAGGAATGTGGTGTGGTAGATTTACTCTTGATAAACAGCTAATAACTGACTGTAAGAACGAGGGGGAGGCTTTTAGTTTTGGTTAACTGAAAGTTGGGGGTGCTAGATGCGGCTCATTTTCCATGCGGCACTAGTGTGAGGTAGCACTGCCCTGCGCTGCTGCAGGGCCTCAAAACGACCACCAATGGCCATTGCTGAGAGCCCGTGACACAATGGCGAACACAGAGCGTGGCAGTGCATTTAAGAAGGTTATTACTCTAGATAGGATTGCAGGTCACGACTAAGCGGCTCACGTTGTAGCTAGACTTGGACTCTTCCGAGTCTCCTTCTGTCTCATCAACCACCTATCATATATACGTGTCCATCAAGTTTTTGTTTCTGTCGTCAGAGCTTGAGATTTTGTCTTCCGAGAATCATGTAGGATAGAAAAAAATCTAAGTCTCTGTTCGGACGGACGTGGTATTCCATACTGTGGTAAATTCGGTTGCATGGTATTATGCTTTGAGATAAAACCGGAGCTGGGGTATTGTTGGGTGAATACCATGGTATTGACGTCCGTCCGAACAGAGCCTAAGTACGAACTCCTGTTTCACTCCAGAACGCCGACAAAATTTAAAATTTAATATATAGAAAATCTATCTAATAAAATCATCTTCCAGAAGTACATGTTGTAGCTACTTGTAGGATCGATGGTAGGTGTATGCGGCGTCATTGGATATCACTCGTCCTAATTTGTGGCCTTTTTGTTGGAAGTGAATAGTAATAGAGAATAATAAATAATAATAAATGCGGAAGACTGTGACTTTCTCAATTGACTTGCTTAACTATAATACAGGGGGCATATCAAGCCCTTATTTATATGGTGCGCCCACGCTTAAAGGTGTCGGATCGTGACGAAATGTCAATGGCTGATAACTTTGCAACGAAAAGTGTTAGAAGAAAAGTGTAATGATAGAACTCTAGTCCTAGTGATGAAGTTTAGTTCTATCATTGCAGATTTTTGATATCTGTTTGGGTTGTAAAGTTATCAGAGGTTGAAATTGTGTATTTTTGTATGTAAAGTGCGCCAAGACTGAACAAAGTGGAACAGTATTATACCCATTTATACCCCTAGAAAAGCAAACGTGACTGATCCGTGGCAGTGATGCAGCAGAATACCTAGAAATGGGCCCTCTTATTGGCCCATGAGGCCCTATTGCAGCCACAATTGTTCCACTTCCGTATGCCACCATATCACCTTTATGAGTGTGCGCACCATACAAGAATATTGTGCCTAGAACAGTCTATATACGACTACAACTTGACATATATACTGACACTCATATGAGTATTAGGACTTTGCTCCTAGGCTCAGAACACAATTCCAACACTTTCGGTATGGTGTGTTGTGCACTAGTATGTGAGTAGACTATGGGACAGTTAGATCTTGGCGTTGATGAGCGAAGCAGCTATTTTAAGCCCGTTCCGCCAAGTAAGGATGGCGATATTTGGAATTTAGAGACTTGAGTTACAGGACCCCTCTGCGTAGTACAATAAACTGTTTTTGGTTATTCTAGAAGACTATGGTCTAAAGTTATGTACGTAAGTACATATATACATATGGACCTCGAAATCCCAAGCTTGTCTCGACCGTTTCCCTGTGCCGCGAGCACACATACACGGCTTACCGGGACCAGGCCCCGCAGTCTGCATGCATCTGAGAAATATTTCTCTAGCTAGGCCCAATTATGAGCTCGCGATTTCCCCAGCTTAACTTACAGGTTTTAAACACAACCGTTGAAACTTTTTTAACACCTCTTTCGATAATTTATCCCACATCGCTTCAAAAACGAATGCACGCCTATCCCTTAAACCGTCAGGCCAAATCCCAATGCCAGCTACTAGCTGTAGCTGGTAATCATGATCTTGTGAACGCCGTAAGTGAAAGCTATGAGCACAGCCTCGAATCTCCACTAGCGTGTGAGCATGCACACATACCGCGTTGAACTGAGAATACCTACTATTTAAGGCTAGTAGCTGGCATTGAAATTCGGCCTGACGGTTTAAGGGATAATCGACCCTATTAAGATAGCTGTATACATGTAGTTCTTAGACATAAATCACCGTCTTTGCGTTAAAACGCACCAAATTGGTCAAATTGGCCACTTTTCTAACCTTCACCTGCAGCATGAAACAATACAAACGTTGCCAAGACCACATACAAATTCGAGGTTCAGGATCACCGGTTACCTATATATAATCGTACCAAACGTAGGGGATAGGAGTGAACGCCGCTCGCTCAGGTCGCCAATTCAACCTATTACGGCCAGTTAATCATTTGAATACAGGCACAATAATTGAACTTACAATTCAAAAACACACATCCTAGATACCATACTACATGTAATTTAAGATCGCGCAGTAGATCTCCGCCCAATCTCGAATGCACGCCTTGGAGGATAAGGAATGGGGGTAGAATTGCGTCTCGGCGCCGAGGTAATAAACATAAGGACAAAATAAAGGTATAAAATATCATTGACATCGATTGTCGGTGGTTGTGGGCGTGGGTTCGCATTGTCCGTGCCGGTAGCAGTGGTGGGCAATGGCTAGGTAACTGTTGAGTGGAATAATAACTAGGGCATAGACATAAGGTATAAGAAACATACTGGGTTTACATCTCGCTTTGTTTTTTTCCAGTGCTTGTATCCCATGAATATAAGGGTGAGAATTGTGACTGCTACACTGATTATACTGGTAATAATAGTGATCGTTTCAACACTATTATTACGCTCTTTATAAAACATATATCGCTGATCGGGAGCTCCAGTTGTAGAATGGACAAAAGTAAAAGTCGCTGGAGTAGGCTTTGCGACGGGGGGCGGCATCATGGGTTTCGGCTGATGATTGACTTGCGCAGTGCGCTCCTGAAATGCGGCCCTATAGGTAAGCCAGTGCGCATGAAAATACTGCGCACGCACTGGAGAAGAGGGGCTGTGCCATGAGCGTATACGCGTAGTAGACAGCTACATGCTCGACCGAGACTGGTATGTACATACCACTGCAGATAACGCATCAATTGAACTAGAGTAAATTAGAGCCTTTACGCAAAGTCAAAAGACTCCAGCTAGATCCGGATGATCTGATTGGCTAATTTAAGAATCGGCGCCGGCCGACTGGCTTACCAGAGTATGTAGATCTGGCTGTTTTTCGTAAAGGCTCTATCCACCTGCCGTGTGTACGTGGCATTAGTTGATATATTACAAACAGTTGTGATTTATGCAAGAGAACAATATGAATTGTGATCATCCATCCATTCATTTATGCTATAAACGCTGAGGGAACAGATTGCTCTATATAAGCTAGGATATATCGATACTAAATAGGTTCGCAGAATGAAGGCTACATGAATTACAACTTTAAAATTCTACTATTTTGAAAGCAAACGACCGAAGGATAATATAATTAACTCTTTTACTGATTATATTTCACCAAAAATACATGCACATATTAGAGAGTACATGTATTTACTAACCGTCATCTTACAGTTGACACTCCGCCACCCCGCAAAGTGGTATCTGCAGGTTTCAATCTTGGATGGGGTCGCATTTCCAGGCTGTAAAATACGTCGAAAGGGTGCCAAGTGTTACACTTACCAAACGCCACAGTAACCATCATTCTGTTATCACGGCTTGCGCCTTTATATCCCGTCGCCTTACGTCACAGGTGGTGCGAGAAATTGTTCAACTGACTTTAGAATTTCTCCAATCACCCCTTCCTATATATAGGGACATGCGGCTAACTCACTGCGGAGGGGAAGTGCCAAATGTCAGAGATAAGACTTGGTAAATACACTCCAATAGTTGACTGGCTAGCTGGCGAATTTACTGGCACTGGTCACGTATAGTATACATATACACGTATGTTATAACATAAATACATGTACTCACGCATTAATGAAATCCTAGGCCTGAGAATTCCTGGTAGAAACGCTTCATAGAATGATTTAGTTAATGCGCGAGTATAAAGCCTATCAAAATTCAATGACATATATACTGAATTATCAATCAATGTTATTCAATGTCATGCAAACGCTCAATTGTCAAATCATGGCAAATCACTCGAATACCTTTCACGTGATCGCTGCCTAGTTTACGAACAATGCCACTTGACAGGAAATCTGAATCAAGCTGCGAGACCCCTCAGCCCCCCCCCCCCCCCCCTTAACTTCTATTGGCCGGCCCAAAGTCCCCTGTATAACTGTTCGTTAATCAACTGGTAAAACGTATTCGCCAAGCTAGCGGCGTTAACGATCGACTGTAGCGATGCCCACTGGAGTTTAGGTCACGTGCATGTGGAGTAGAAACAGCTGGTATGCCTTGTGCCACGTGCATTGTAGAGTATATGTATCTAGATGTATCCCCGCGCGACCGAAATTCCAGTCGGCATCGCTTTTATATTATAACAGCTAAATGATTCACATTTCAAGCCTAGAAGATATTTATTTGAAGTAGCTAGTATGGCGAAAGTTTGTACCGCCGATTATACTAAGTGTTATATATACGGGTATAAGCTTATTAGGGGCCCATCTATAGAATAGATTTCCCTACCATTAATTCAACGATAGTTCTTTAGAATACAAGATTGCCAGGTGATCCTCTTAATCGTTGAGTTATGTTTGACTGATTAGACAAGTTACTAGACATTCCCACTCACGACCGCAAGCTACTTCCGGATATATATGTATTTTTTTATGAGCTTTATAAATGCAATTTAGACCGTTCGTATTAATCAAGTAGCCAATTAATAGGAGCCTTCGCCCCCCGCCCGCTTCCCCCACTCCTTCCACTCCCTCATGCCCCTCTCCCATTCGATTGAACCAATGGGGCCTTTTCTTGCGCCTAGGGTTTCTAGCAATCAAATGCCCAAGAGTTTCGGAAGTCAAATTGTAGTCCTACGGACATTCAAAATGGTGGGTTCTAGGCCGTTTGGGAAGGGCGGCACAACTACTAAATTTTGGCCCTTTCTAGTGTGGTTTTGGTTTGCGAGGGCCGTGGTTTATGCACCAGCACAAGAAATGAAAATGGGAGGCGCTTGCTCCAGCTGCTTTAATCTATTACGGTCAGAAATTTCTTAAATTCGGGTGCAGCTGCAGGTAGTAAGTGGTGGGACGTGCAGCCCGGGACATATTAATACTTACATGTAATTCAATAGTTCAAGTTACAATTCCCAAAATGCACATCCTGGATAGATAGTTTAAGCCCGTGCTCTAGATCTCCGCCCAATCTCGAACTCGGGCCTTGGGGGCGTCTGGGACGCGGGACGAGGGTTGTGTCTCGGTGCGGATGCAAGATACATGAGGATGAGATAGAAGTAGAAGAGATCGTTGGTATCCATCGTCGGTAGGCGCAGACATGAACACGCATGGTCAGTGGCAGTGGTAGGCAGTGGCTAGTAAGTGTTAGTTGAAATAATAGCTATGGCATAGGGCATAGGGCATAAGGGAATAGGGTATAGGTAGGCAGAGTATAAGGGGACATATAAGGCTCACATCTCGCTTCTTTCGCCAGTACTTGTATCCCATGAATATCAGGGCGAGAATCGCGATCAAGACACTACTAATGCCGGTGACCATAGTTATCGTCTCGACGTTATTATTCCGCTCTTGAATACGCGGTGTATGAAGCACATATCGCTGGTCGGGAGTTCCGGTTGCAGCATGGGCAAAAGCGAAGGTCGCTGATAGGGGTGTTGTGGTGAGAGGCGGGTTCATCATTGATCTTGCGACTTGAGGATAAAGGACCGACCGGAGACCATTGCGGATCAGGGTGTAATATACATTAACTGAAGTATTACAGAAGTTTTCTTTTCCTTGTGGGACGAGCATACAGTACAAGTGTATAGGTGGACATTGACCTCGAGTACTGTCGTGTGTGCTGGACGTCCTCTCTGCATCCTGGGTAGAGGAAACGCTGTATCTTGAGAAGATACCTCCCAACGTACGCGCAGCCTCCGCAGTCAGGTGTCTTCTCACGTACTCCTCCGCCCGAAGCACACCGGTCTAGACGAGAGGCCACACCAATAATTGCGGAATTGACGTCGACAGTTCTAAGATCCGGTTGTATTTTGGTGATCCGAAGTCAAGAGTCATCTTGAATGAAGGTTGCACCACTATAAGGAGAAACCAACAAAACGGGGCGTATAATATGGTTAATTATTAGTTTTACTTGGACATCCTTAGACTCATGGATTTCTACAACAGATTCCCAAGATAACAGAGAGGTATAGTTGCAATTGCCATATCACGATAAACGCTGAGGAGTAAGCCAAACCCAATCCTGTCCTAGATGTAGTGTGATTTTGGGAGGTTTGGACAGCTACGACAGAGCTTACAACACGTTGCAACCATTACGTGGGTTCAAGCTGTTAGATTTTAAGGTGTTTATGCTGTGTACTGTTACGGCGCGTTTTTGTCCGATATATATACCTGATTGAGATTTGGCCTCGCAACCAACACTGGACGGGATAGGTCCGGCAATTATTTCAGAGCCCTATACGTTATAAGCTGCGATAGATCCGCTAGAGCCTGGGGTTCAAGATGTCTGGCCGGTGGATAAGATCTCTAGAGCCTGGGAGTGAGGCAGTCTGGCCGGTGCGGCAATCCTGAGACCAATCGGGACTTCGAATTCACAAACTCGGTCACCATTAGCCTATGAAATTATACTTAAAGATGTCTGGTATGGGTCGCACAGCTTGACTACATAGGTCATATCACAGAACACGTCTCATAGTCCATCATCCGTTCTGCATAATCCTTCAAAGAAGTGACTTGCAACGTATCCGGCCTCATATCATCTCGGTCGCTCCTTCAATCTGGGCTCTGTACCACGGCTCCCATGAGCGGGGTTATTCGTATCTTAGAGCTTTTAAATTAATTCAGACGAATAGTCCCTCATGACCACATGGCTGTGTGATCATTCATGATTGTAACCAATGGCGAGTTTTAAATATCGAAAGCTGCAGTGGAACTTCACGCCAATCAATCATTGACTACAAAAAGTCGCACAAAAAATCAATGCTTGATATAGATACTATGCTACAGAACAATGAATGCAGTCAGAAATCCCAGAAAACCCCCAAGAAAAACTAAAAAGAAACTAATTGAAAAACAGCTCTCTAGCTCTATGGCTTAGTCGCCTCATTCATCGCCCCCTTTGCCTTTCCCGCAACCTCATTGGCCTTCCCCTTCACAGTCCCCTTAACTTCCTCCTTTGTCCCCTTGGCACTCCCACTATACTCGCTCGCCGTCCCCTTCGCGCTTCCCGTCATCTCCTGTGCTTTCCCCGTGGCCTCTCCAGCATACTCCTGCGCTGTCCCCGCTGCCTTTCCAGCATACTGCTTCGCGGTTCCCGCCGCCTTCCCAGCGTACTCCTGTGCAGTTCCAGCGGCATCGCCTCCAACTTCCTTCGTCTTTCCAGCTACCTGTGATGCCTGCTCGCTCGCTGTGCCGGTGGTGGAGCCGAGTGTCTTCTTGGTCTGCTCGGTGACGCTCTCGGCGGTTTCGAGGCCCTTGACGGCTACGTTGGCGGCTGTCTGGTCAACGGCTTTGACGGCGTCCTTGACGGTCTCGGTGACGGTCTTGTGTAGGGCGGGGGAGGTGCTGATGGGACGGGCGGCCGCGGCAGGGGCAGTGCGGGTGAGGATTGTGCTGGCGCGGAGGGCGGTGGTGCGGAGGATTGAAGACATTTTGTGATATTTATGTGGTTTTGGTTTAAGATTTTGAGGTGGTAATATATATGTGTGTGTGATAGAGTGTTTTTGTATGCGTGTGAGGGTTTGTGTGTATTCAGTGTAGAATAGAAAGGGTGATAATTACGGGGGAATATTGGGCATTTTATAATTAATTCCCACCACCCTCTCGACCGTTTTCATTACTTGGTTTGTTGGTTCGCAGAGTAGGTACTTGGTAGAGATCGTGAGAGCACTAGCACCGTTGCCGTGATGCGTATGTGTGACGTCAGTATTCGCGAACCGCCATTAATTGGTGATGTCAACCCGCCAAGATTGGCTAACAGCAACCCCTGTGCATGTGCAGCTCTACAATGTTCCCTTCGCTTTTCCCTGCTCAGAACAAAGCTTTTGCCCTTCTCCTTGATCGACAGGACAGGGCAGCTTCGGATCAGGCCCTTGCCGGCCGTGACGTCAAATCAAATGAGAGGTTAGGGTTGCTGTTGCTGCGGAATAAACTTGTGGGGACCGAGACACTAAGTTTTCTTTATCTGGCCGAGGTTGACGTTGAGGTTGAGGCTGCTGGTACCGGTTCGGTCAATTCGGCGAGTGAGAGGAAGTGGGATTGATGTCTGCTGATAGTTATTGTTAGTATAATCGATGAGACATCTGTCTTGACTGGTTTACTGTAGCTTGATGACTGTACGTGCACTGGTTTCGCAGACGCACGGGTAGAGGTACAGTGACAAAACTACATGGGAAAATTACCACATGGGAAAACTGTAAGGTGCACCCTTTACGAATTGGCGGAACGGCGCTTATTGTAAACACCACGGCCGCCCTCGGTTGTTACTTTACCAGCGGGTTCCCTATGATGTAGCTTGCGTTAATAATTCATTACGCTTTGGGCCTAGTACGCTAGTTAGTACTAAACCCCTGTGGACTACTAAATAGTTGGATCTTGGCATTTATTGCCAAAAAAAACCATGGCCGGGATTGAACCCTAGGACCCTCGCAGTACTAATACCTACGAGCTGAGTCGGCGTACCTCACCTACTATCACTACACTACCGAGATCTGTCCGGTCTAGAACTTGACAGTTATGCAGCCCTCAATACACCTAACTCCTACCAGACGTCGTTACGTGTATGGTTAATTAATACAATTAATATTGTTATATAACGTCGCGATGGCTACCCCCACCCGGCTCCGGCCCCTTTATCGTGACCGTGAAGGCATTTAGGCTATCTATACAAAGAAGTTGTCTATAAAGTCATCGTTTATTTCGCTCCTTAGCTGTTCCTTTTGGGTTTGGAAATGGGAGGGTAAAGCTAGGCCGAGATGTAAGAGATTTGTTTGCTTAATTGAGTACATGTATTATCGGCCGCACTAGCCCATATAAATATCCCCTAGGCTTGGAATATCAATTGGTCATCAATCAATCCTAGGCTCGGGAGCCTAAAATTAATACTCGCGGTTTTAAAACAAAAAGAGTATATGCGGAGTATTTAATACTTCAACCTTCTAATTTACTTCTATGCTTTACATGCTAGCTTGACTATGTAACGTGCGCCCCCTACTTGATATGTATTGAAATATCATTTCTAATAGGTTTTATAATAGCGAAGTAGACAACGGGATAGCGGTCACCTTGTTAGACACTTAGCTTTTCAAGGGGTTTTAAACTTGTACGGCGAGCTATGCGAACCTAGCTGCTGACAACTGGGACGTGATTAACTAAGTAATTGTTAGTTAGACTATTTGTTGGTATTAAAACCGAGCCACCTAACTATCTCGTCCTACATACCTGTTCGACATATGTGAAAGTACAATTAATGAATTAAACAAGAAGAAAAAAAGACATACGTGAAAGCAGCCCTACGAGCGATATTCCATGATTCGAATGTTTTTGTTTGTTTGTTTGTTTAATTCATTAATTAATTGCATGCAACCCTACGGTTATGGCAATATCACACAAGACCCCTGAACCTCCCATCTTCCTCCGACACCTCTCATAAATAAGCTGACTAAAAGAAAACAAAACAAATGAAAACGTTAATCTTTGTCTCTTAATCCACCCCATCCATATCCCATTTCTCTTCTATGATTCGAATGTTTGCCGTAACATTGAATGATACATATTGATTGACAACGGCCGACGGTCCAGCATGGGAATAAACTCGATGGGCTTTATTTTTATGTAGAAGGTTACTATACGTGACCCATAAGCAGTAAATTCATTAATAAACCATTACTCAATGTCATTTCTGGTAGTACTTGACATCTCTCCGGAGCCCCCTAGTGTTAGCCACGTGGGCAGAATTATAATATATTAGAATGTGAAAAATCTCTCGCAGCTTAACAAAAATCCCACATGATAAGACTAACACCTAGCTATATAGCTATAGGTACTTCTTTGGAGAGTTGCCTAGCGTTAACTGTCAGCTAAAATTGACGGTAAATACGCTTGGGTATGGTTTTCGGTAAAAAATCAATTATACTATCCCTTGGTTCGTGCCCAGCATAGTCTAAACTAACCCCACAACTTTTTTTTTGTGTCATTATACAAACCTTTCTTTGCCTAAGCTTTATCTTTTGGCAGCGTTACAGACCAAATGCGGTTAATTTTACGTTTATCCCCCGAGTGTAAAACGGGCACGATCACGAACGAAGGAATATATCAACAATTGATCCCACGTAAACAATAAAAGTAAATAGCTAGAGCCTTTGCGAGGCCGGGGGCAGTGCCAACGGGTTATAATCCGAAGCCCACGTATAGGCGCTCTACCATATAATAGAAGCTGTAAAATTAATCCCTAGGGCTTTTCACCACAACTCAAATAATATAATTCAAACAGAAACTATTTTCTTATGAATTCCGCCTGACCCCAGATATATGAATTAGTGCTTTTCCTTGAAAATATAAAACTCAGGTGTAGATGTTAGGCTCCGGGCACGCGCCGGACACAGTAGCTATACGCCGTCAATGTACACTCTTCCCTGCATGGTGCTTCGGGTGCCCTTGGCTTGTCTCTAGCCCTACAGAAAAAAAAGTTACATAACTTTATGAAATGGCTTTTAGGGTGGGCTGGCGGGGGAGTTCAATTAATCAACGTCATTCTAGTTTCACTCACCTCAATCATCAACCACCGTACGATCGGTTGCTACGTTGAATGTAATATATATTCGCCTTCTGGGCCCCAAGTTCCCACACGGCCAGTACATTCATGAAACTATCTTCAACAATGAACCCGACTTTCAGCAAAACCCCCATTTCAACTATCTTTATTTTTTCTCTTACTACTGCAAGTGGGGCTCCCGACCCACAATACCAAGAGCGAATTCGAAGCAATAGTGTTGAAACGATCACTATTGTCACCAGCATTGCCAGTGTTTTAGTCGCAATTCTCACTCTTGCATTTATGGGATACAAGCACTGGAAAAAATCAAAGCAAGATTTGCTCGTATGTTTCTTATACCTTATTGTACCCTATCCTCAAATCTGACAATGATCCAGCCTTTACCTACTACTGCCACCAGCCATGCGCCCTTAACACCAACAAAGGATGACAACGATATCTTCTACATTTACTTCATCCTCATGTATATTGCATCCACACAGAGCTGCAATTCTCGCCCTACTACGTCCTATGCCCCAAGGCCTGCACTCGAGATCGAGCGAAGATCTGGGGATCTGGAGTGCAATCTTAAATGACCATAGTAATATCCACAATATGCGTTCTGGGAATTGTAGGCGAAACCCAGAGTTATTATACTAGCGAGTGCGCATGCCTTTCATTTTCATTTCCTATGTTTGGTAAAGTTATCTTGAAGGGGTAGATACATATGATCATGCGTGCATTCTTTTATTCTCTTTTGTTTGGTAGTCAAGATTTGGCGGTTCATCCAGAAGCCTAGAAACTACAGATTCTGGTAAAAATTATTGCGTGTGTTTTCCGTGACCCGGCATCTCTGTTGGCCAACGAAAGAAACGGAAACCGTGATGTCACGTCACGCAAATATCACGCAACCAGAACGCTCGGTCATGCTCCATCACTCGATACCCGCTGACTAATCCTTGTGGAAAGAGGTAGTGAATATATAATTCTTAACTGGAGCTTAGAAACGCCCTGAAGCCTGCATCTACATATATAATGGAATTATGGCTCGTACCCTTACCCTACAAGGGCTCGAATTTAGGCTCTCAAGCCGCTGCACCGCTTTCGAACACTCCTTTCTCGCACTTGTAGTCTAGCTCCATGAATTCAGCTTCGGTCGCCGTAACTCCTGCCTTCCAAATCTGGGAACGGATAACTGCGTGTATGTTTGACGGTCGACACTCAAGCTTGAGCTGCTCAGCATGATGATGACTCAGGGGACGACTAGGTAAACGCTGAGTGACTATGCCCACTTAGCCCTGAAGTAAACTTCAGGCATTGCTTGACCGTTCGACATGAGTGTAAATTAATAGTAGATCTATATATAACATAGGTGGCAACCATAAGTTCTAGACTCTCTTAATAAGATATTCTAGACACTCCTAAATAACCCCGGAGAATACCTCTTGGCAATAATACAAAAAACATGTCACATAAAAACCCTTTCAAAAATAGATCTACCCGGGGATCTCACCCCCAGGCCGAAAGTACAAAATCAACACTCCCACTCTTGTGAAAACACGGGGGAGTTACAAAAGCAAGAAATGGCAGCCTCATTAAAACCCAGTGCATGGGAAAAGAGTTCTCCGTGTGCTTGGGGCAGTGGTGCAGGGCGTTGGCCCCCGTTTGTTCGATGGCGTGCGGGATTAGTACAGTCGATCGAGCATTCGATCAATTACCCATAGCAACCAAACCCATACCAGATGTATGCTCCAATGAGTATCCCTTGATGGAGACTTTATCCCTCTTTCACTAACCTTATGTGGTAACTAAATTATAAAGCTGATTTTTGATTGACTTGAGTATAAGGTTGACAACATACAGTCGCACCTCGATATAAGGAACCTGCATATCCGAGCCATTTCATTTCTTATCCCTTCGTCTGGCAAAAAATGCTGACCCCCCCAAAAATCAAACTTTGTGTGGCTTTACTAACAGATCCTGTTATCTCTCTTATCAAATAATAGATCTCCCATACAAATTTAATTCCTCTATTATAGGGGGGTCAGCATTGCCAGACTAAGGGATAGCAAATAATTCCTTACAGCAGATTTTGTAAAAAAAAAAATAGGTTTCTTCGCATGGTATTCCACCAGTTTTGGGGGGGTTGGGGGGGTTGGGGGGTTGGGGTTTTTTTTTTTTTTGGAGGGGTCTGGGATTCTAGGTGCTTTTGGCGGTAGTTACAAGTAGACTCTCGAAGACTCTACTAGTAAAGGTACTAATATAGTCAATTGTGGAACTCCTGCAATCGCTGGAAAAAAAATTTCATCAATAGAGAAAAAATGCTGCAAACACCTTATTAGTCACCAGTGAGCGTAAGAAAGCTGGGAGATTCCAAGAAAATTTTGGGAGATCAGGTTCAAAACCGAGTGATAATTCCTTACAGCAGTTTCGGTTTGTATCCCTTCATTCGTGCCTGGTTTTCACATTAGTTAACTGAGAGACGGCGTGGCGATACTCAAAAATGTAGCTGCAATAGGGAGTGGATACCCTTCAGGAGGAGAAAGATCTGTGACTTGAAGCCTAAAGAGGTTCGCGGAGTGAGGGTTAGGTGAATTACATATGTATAACGGGAATTGCCCAAACAGGTTAATTTCTACTACCTTGAAAACGAACGAAGGGGTGATTTGTAGAGCAGAAGCTAAATCTTGTGCTTTCGAGTTTTCACAATTAAAAATTGATGGTTGGAGTTGGTAGAAAATTCGGCATGGAAACCTTTAACTGTTTTTCATTGTTGTATTTTTCCTGGGGAAAAATAGTTTAAAGGTCTGTGCTCGGGCCAGAAAAAATGCGCTTCAAGAAAGTTGTTAAATCCGCCTATGTAGCCTAGACAAAAGCTGGCACATGGCACATTGACATTTGTTAAGGATGGGTTCTACACATCCACAGTACAAGGTGGTATTGTTACCAACCGCGAAAAAAAACTTAATTCACTTAATACATGTAAGTGCGTGCACGGTCCAGGGCGCCGGGCGCGAATTTGATGATTCGATTTCACCCGTCCAAGGGATCCAGCCATAAAATAATATAGACGCCTTTACAGGGTAAGGTGCTTTCTTTGATTGCAGAGGCGGTTGATGAAATTAAGAAAGTCAGGGCATCGTAATTCTTTATTTCATACAGAGAGATGTATCTATATGCTTTGTTTGGTGATATTCTTCATGTATATTTCTGCCCTCATTTTATTTTATGACATGATTAGTTGATGCCGAATATGTTGTAATTCGTATGTACGACCTTGGGCGGATATATGAAACCGTCAAGTTCACGACCTGGACTGTAACTACACGTACATGTATTAAGTGAATTAAGTTTCTTTTTGCGGTTAATAGCAATCATTAAGCCAATCGAAAACCAGCGGTAGTTACCACATAAGGCTAACTCTCTAAGTCCAGCAGTGAAGCGTTATGGCCCGGATAAACCTCCTTCTGGGAGTCCTGACCTCCTGCTTGGGACGATATTCATGCTTAAAAAGCGGTGAGGCTCGGTAGAGCCTAAGGGAATATCCTCCTCAGGGATGACATATCTGATTTTCGCTGCTTTCTGAGAGCTATGCCGCCGCTTTATCAAAGCTGCATTGCAAAAGCCCACGAGTGATGGCCCATGACGCTACATCTTCTGCCGCCATGGGTGGGTGGATATACCAATTGCGATAGCATAAGACATCTCTCCAGAACGACCATTGGTATCTTACGGTAAGAATTGGGCCAGGGCATGTACCCCACAAAAAGAAACTTCGGGTTCGCTCATCATAATAATTTACCGATGCGCGTCGGGGGGCCGGGATACGCGGGGCAATTATTAGGCATCCCACCAACCCACCCACACCTTTATATCATCCACCACAATAAATACCAGCACCTACCATCCCGCAATATAGCCAAACTCTACTCACTCCTCTCCGCACAATAAAATCTCCTGGTTAAATAATATCCTATTATTACACCTCAAACTCGTCCTATAAGCCCTACAAGCTCCTCAGTCTGCCTCCCGGTACCGAGAAAACCCACATGACTAGCGGAGCCTACCTTGATGACACCCTCAAGCGCATTATCAGCAAGCCAACGACACAGACATGGAAATGCATGCTCTGTGACTTCACGATCCCCGTGTATTTCCGCGACGCTCACGAGGTATCAAAGATGCATAATGCTATGGAGCGACAGAAGGGGATGCAGACCCAACTAGTCCCCACTGCTACGGTGGATATGAATGGTGAAGAGGTTGGCGGTCAGACGCCACCGGCGATACATAAGAAGAAGAAGAAGAAAAAGAACAGTACTAAGAATGTTGAAAATGCTGGTGCGCAGACACCAGTACCAGTTCCACTCTCTATCACGCCTAAGAAGCGATCAAAACCGCGTCGTTCCGCCCCCAGAAATTCACCCGCGGGTAATGTGGAGTGCACAGTAGTCAATGGGGCACCAGTGATCAGGATTATATCTGCGATTCCAGCGCCGGCCCGCATTGTCGTCCCGCAGATTGAGCATCCTCCTGTAGAGCGCTCATGGAGGACCTGGTATTCCGAGAGACAAGAGAGATATGGATATGCTTATCCGGTGGTATACCGACTCCCCATGTTGTTGTGTAGCCGCAACAGCTAACACTTCTATCATATCCCCAGCTTAAGCAGGAGTGGTGGACGTGCCCAGGATGCGAGTGCACAATGTACGCAACCTGCAAGGGCGCACATGAGCTCAAGAAGTGCAAGCCCGTGCCGGCGCCGCCGAGGAAAATAAAGGCGAAAATCGCGCCTGTTGGTGTATCTCGCGGAACGCGGAAGATCTATGCCTCTGAAGAACGAACTGCGCAAAAGGAGAGTTATTTGGAAAGAGTTGATGCGAGGGATAAGAAGTATAGGTACAGGAACCTTATTCCAACCCAGATTTTGAGTACTCCCGGTGTTCAGATTGGGATGTGGTCGAGTAGGCGGGAGATGAGGAGGCAGAGGGAGGCGGAGATAATGGGGAGGGAGGCGGAGGATCGGGAGAAGGAGGCGAGAAATGCGGAGGCCCAGAAGACGAGAGCTAGGGAGAGGAGAGAGAAGGAGAGGAAGAATAAAGAGAAGAGAGAACGGGAGATGAGGGCTCAGCAGATGAGGGATGAGGTGAAATTTCAGGGGAGGAATGGTAAAAAGTCTCGGGGGAATAATTCTCGGGGGGACAATTCTCGGGGGGACAATTCTCGGGGTCGGGGGAATAGGAAGAAAAAGGCCAGGGGACAGGGAGGAGCTTGAAAGTATGTAGCCATATCGTTTAAATATATGCAACTATAAAGCTGTTCGACACATTATCTTTATATAATAAGGTTTAGCTTGCTTCAAGGCCGGCCGGCTAGCTCGGGAGCTTCCATATCGCCCCATAAGATAGACCTATCAGTACAATTAGGGTAAATCATAGCGTGATATTTCCTTAATTAATTGCCTATTGAGGTAATTTTAATGTACATATGGTAAAGCTCGAGCCTTGGCTCGAGAGAAACTAAAACAAAAAATACTTGAAACCTCCGAGTGAGATATCGTGACTAATGAGTTTATAGATAAACTGTGTTTCCCCGCTTTCTAGATCTCTTGATAAAAGCTAGCCGCTATTCAGAGCTACTGCACTGAAGCCAGGTATAATTTGAAATGAGTACATGTATTTCGCTAGATCGCTGTCAGCAGTATTCACATGGCTCTGCCTTGATGGATACTTAGCTGGATGAGCCGGCTCATGAGCATGATCTCGGATTCGATGAGAGTGAGAAAAATCTAACCAAGAACGGCTCCTCTTATGATAGATATCCAAGCTAGGAGCATCATCACTTCTCCATCTATCTGGTGGACCAAAAGCTGCGCCCTATCTGATGATGGTGGCTAGGGATAGTGCGGTTATTTAGGGCAGCTGTGTTGAACCCGCTGGTCATGAACGAGGCAAAAGGATCGATGAAGGAAGAAAGAGAGGTAGGATGGGGTTATCATGATGAATGGCAAACGTTCGGTGTTGCTATGTGATAGACTTATATTTCATGGATCGAGTAGAGGAAGAAATAGTGCTACGTACACAAGAATTACATATACATGTGTCCACGCCGCACTGCAATGGTGTTTCATTGCCGTGAAGACCACCCTTCCACCAACTTCCCAACGCTGCAATCCCACACACGACCCCACTAAACCTCAACAACCAACGCCAAGGATCGAGGAAACCCACGCCAAGGGGCCGTCCGGACACCCCTTCTAGCCCTTGCCCTCCAGTGGACGAAAATCAAATCCTAGCTTGGCATAGGTTATGACACCCTACTATATAAGACTTCCCTCTCTACTCTCTCTAAAAAAAATTCCCCCAGGGAGCAGGCAATTCTCCTTTTGCTGGACTTGAGCTGCCTGCTTCCCCCTCCTCAAATGCTCCCCTCCCCCAACACTCTCCCTGCTCCCCCCCCCCTCCCACTCGGGGGAAAGCGGCGGGGGAGGAGAGTAGTGGGGTTAGGCCCCTTCTCCATCTCACTGGGCGCTGCTGCCCTAGAGAGGGGGGGGGGGTCATGCGCACTACTCCCCTCTCCCACCCCTTCTACGGAGGACGGGGCGAGCGGGTTACGTTAGTCCTCCTCCCCACGGGAGGGGGCTGGTTTAGTCTGGCCCCTCTTGGCCCTTCGGGACCAAGAGAGGCCTTTTTCGCGTTAAGTCTCTTGCTCACTCCACGAGGAGAGAGTAGAGCAGTTTGGCCCCTCCTGGTCCTGCGGGGCTAGGAGGGGCCTTATTTGCGTTAGGTCTCCCTCCGTATGGAGGGAGTAGTTTTTATATATATTTAAAGGCCTCTCTTGGTCCTTGGGCTTCGGCCTGGAGATCAGGAGGGGCCTTTTTTGCGTTGGGTCTCTTTTGCCCCTGTTACTTCGTGGGGAAGGGCTTCCATCGATTCTTGGGCGTGGTCCGAAGAATTGAGAGGGGTTTTTTGCTTTACTCTGTTGCGTTGGTTTCTTGTACTCTCTGTAAGGGCCGGGGCAGTGGGTCGGTATAGGTATAGTACGTAGAGAGAAGCTGTAAATTGGTAAGTAGAACGTACACATAGACTGTAAAGACCCTTCAGGTTACAAAACGAGAGCATCTTTCCGAACAGATGCGAGCAACTCGTAGTATAAAACCTTAACCGCCTATACAATCACCGTTCCTGACGTGTATTTACTGTAGTTTCGTACAGAGTTACCCGAAACCTAAAGTCGCCGCATGAAACGCTGCGACCATCTATATATATATATACATCGCCTTAACCCGCAAAAGAGTACTCTAAAGACCCGAGATCTGTCCATACACATAAACACCACAACTCCCTCTCCACTCCATCATTCTGCCCGGTTTTAATACTCATACTCTTCATACAACTCTACAACACCACAGCATCCAACACTCAAAACAGTTAATCAATTAAACAAAAAAGAAAGAGAAATAGAAAAACCAACACCCCAAAATATCTTCCACCGGCGGATAAACACCATCAAGTGATAATCCATGATGCACCCCTACCGACCCCACTCACCACCACCACCTACCGTCATACCTGAATAGAGAAAGCCTTGTACCACAATTCCCCACCAATGGGCATATTTTCAGCACGATATCTTTACAAACCACGAGCCTGGGCTCCACATACATACGTACCACGAAGCACTGCCCGCGCCACGAGAATGAAAAAACGCAGCCTCCCCCCCCCCCCCCCACGTACCAGGGAAACGCTTACAATAGACACAACACCTCTAAGGAACCATAAACTCACCGTACGTATACGCCTAGCGAAGATGTCTTCGGCACTGTTACCGACTACGAATACGTCACGTTTCCGCACGCAGCCCGCACCCACCCACCCCACAGGGCGTTTCGACATAGCGTGGCAGCAAAGACTCACAAACCCCCAACGAAAACCACAATAGTTATATCTTCATCTACCGTATCTGAGCGCTCCTGCACGCCCACAGCTAGCAAAAATCCAGTGCGGTGTGTCTCGATCGGGCCTAGCACAGTCACACATCTAGACACACCTAGCCCAGAAGAAGAAGGCTACGACCAAGATTGCGAACCGGGTCCAGGTACGGGTGTGCCATGGATATATACACCGCTGCTGGTATATTGAGGCTCTATATACGAGCTCGAGCCCCAGGAACAGGAAGAGAGGGGCGGGCCTTTGTGGTCGCCCTTCCCCCAGAGCTAGAGGCAGATATGATCACATACGAATATCGTAGGCTACCATCTTCCGCACACAAGACTTGAGGCTCTATCTATATTCACAAGAGCAACAAAAAAGAAGATAACTATTTTACCAAGAGCTCAAGTCACAACCATAATTCCGCGCAGAAATAGTCTCCATGCAGGAAACCACATCTTCCATGCAGCGTGGTTCGCAATGGGGCTGGGCCCAACCCGCTGGCCGGCGGTCTAGCCTTTCCATTTTGTGAATTATACGGTTATGAATAGAGACCGGCGGGTCTGGAGGGGATAAAATGAATATGGTTGCCGGTGCGCGGGCGCGGCGGTATCGTGTCATGCACGAACTATCACTCGAGGATCGTGTCTTTGGGGTAGGGCAGGGGAATATACAATGGAGGGAGGACTCTCTCTCGAGCTTGGGTATGATGGTTAATTGCGGGGGGTATATTTATACTAATTGCAATGATTAGGTTTATCCAGCAGGTGTCAATGATAGCTACAAGTACCAGTACCTACCGTACCACCCAATGACTACAGCTACGTACCAAGTATCTACAACACCACCATCTACCTACTCCCCCCTAAACACTGGCTTCCTCTTCTCCCTAAATGCCCTCAACGCCTCATTCCGATCCCACGTCCCCACAACCCTCTCATACGCCCACCCCTCCGCCACCTCCCCGCCCACCCCCCTTCCTACCGCCTCTACCGCCGCCCTCACCGCCACCGGGCCCCCACGACAAACCTCTATCGCAACCTCTACCGCACCCTCCACCGCGTCCCCCTCCACCACCCGATTCACCAACCCCATCCCCAGCGCCTCCGCCGCCCCCACCCGTCTCCCAGTCAGTATCAAATCCAGCGCCCTACTCCGCCCCACCAGCGCCGGCAGCCGGAAGCACCCGCCGGCACCAGGCACAATTGCGAGCCGCGTCTCAGGCAGCCCGAGTTGCGCGGCGGCGGCCACGACGCGCAGGTCTGTGGCGAGCGCGAGCTCGAGGCCGCCGCCGAGCGCGACGGAGTCGATGGCGGAGATGGTGGGGATGGGTAGTGTGGACAGGGCTGTGAGTGTGCTGCGGAGACTGGTGAGGAAGGCGTCGGTGTCAGCTTTTGTGAAGCCTGCGCGCTCCTGTCATGACCACACACCTATTAGCTACCGGTCCCACTAGTACTACTGCTACTGCGGGCAGAGCGGAGAGGAGGGGAGGGGAGAGGTACCTTCAGATCGGCCCCCGCACAAAACACGCCCTCCACCGCACTCCCAATGATCAAGACCCTCGTATCGCTGTCCTCCCCGCTGCCAATGGCATTGACATGCTCAGCGAGCTCCGCCAGCAGCGCGCGCGAGATTGCGTTTTTGGCCGCTGGGCGGTTGAGCTTGAGGAGCTTTATGGAGCCGGTGTGCGGGGCGGGGATGGAGGTTGTTGTTATCAGCGGGTGTGCCCGGGTGGTGGTGAAGGTTGTATATGTGCGGCGGTGGAGGAGGAGGCGGAGGGGCGTGGGTGCGTGCATTGCGGAGATATAGGTTAAATTGTTTATTTTGTGAGGTTCAGAGGAGGTGGTGGAGAGGTGTTGGTTGTGCGGAGGGAGCTATGCGTGGAGAGCTTAGCTGGCCGAGGGTAGCCGGGGCATGGGATATCACTCGGTGTTGGTGGTAGTAGCGTTGGCTAGCTCTGTGTGGTCTTGGGAGCTCTATCCAGGATGGATGGCAGGGGTGCGTGCAGCGAGGAAGTACATGGAAAGTCCCCCATGTGCAGATCAACAGCTCGTGGGAGGTTCCACTACTCTATTTAGATCTATTCTAGTCAAGACTCCTATCTACCACAATAACAAGTATCAACACTGCGTAACTATCTACCGTAGATATGTATATAAATAACACTCTGGGTACTCGCTGTGTGATGATCCACAACAGCTGCGTAGCCCCGTACGCAACCTTCCACCAAGAAAGCTACGAATTCACACAAGAGATTTCAAAGCTGCACCAGAAAGAAATTTTATCAAATAGATACTGCAATCCGCTTGGTCAAGAGTAAACCCCTCGACATCCCCCTCATCTCAGCGATTACATTACCTACCCCTGTGCGCCACAGCCAACCACCGAGTGGCAACCGCACCAACCAATCACAAACCCCGCTGGACGCAGCCGCAGCCACAGGCCGGTGACGACTGCTCGTACTCAGCTTCGCCGGGGGTCGGGGGGTGGCCCAAGAGCCATTATAATAGCGACAGAGAAGAGTTCCTCTGCTCTTCTCCCAATATTATGCATACTGCTTGCTCCATGGACGCTTTTAGTGAAACAAAAATGCCGCCGACGCAGCCGATTCACGCTGGTTCGTTGTCGACCGTGACAAAGTTGGCCGACAATCCGCCGTTGTATGTGAACCCGACGGCGCCGGTGATGCCGTCGCTGATACTCTACATTGTGAGGGTTCCGGGCAGCCAAGGTTAGTTACATAGTTGTTTTGCTGTTGCGGGTGGGGGTTCGGCCATGACATCGTGGAGCCTGCATGTTAATCAGCCTCAATCTAACAACTGCACTTTACTTTAGATCTCTTCCTCACAACACTCCACCCTCTGTCCACAACAGTAACAGCTGAGGATATCAACGCCTGCATCTACTACATCCACATCCACCCAAACAGCACTGGCACCGACACCGCAACCCCTCCCCAACCTAGTCACCTCGCACCCCGCCCTACCCACCACCGGCGATGGTCCTCCCAAAGTCTGCGCTCACCGCGCTGGCACAAGACCATCGGAACGCTCCCCACCATGACCATCGTGCGCCGCGACCCGGCCAGCGGCGCACAGTGGAACGTTGCAAAAGTCAGCCAGCTGCCACCGGTCCCAGATAACGACGACGCCAGCAACAACGATCGCATCATGCTCGAGATCACCGCCGAGGGCTACGACAAGTTCTTGCCGCCTGCGAAGCCACCATTCCATCCGCCGCCGTCAACGCAGGGCGTCTCTTCAGAAGGGCCTGACCTCACGTGGCAGGACTTTGCGTACCGGACTGAAGCGGAGGAGCGGGAGGCTTGGGAGGCGAGGCGCCGCGGGCAGCTCAGGAGGGAGAGTAGCCAGTTTGGGATGAACGATTGGATGATCGATGATGACCAACCGCTTGAAGAGGTGGATAGGGTGTTTAGGCGGGTAATGTCGTTGGAAGGTGTTGGGTTCTGGAAGAGAGTAAAGGGCATAGGACATCATAGGAAGAGTAAGAGTCATGATGGGAATGGGAGCAATGGTAGTAGCGGGGATGGCGAGAAAGCTGGCCCGAGGAAGGAGAAGGCCAAAAAGAGAGGATACGTCTTCCAAGGGCTTTGGGGCGCGGGTGCGGACGGTGGACTTGGTAGATGTGGGTTCAAGGATGAAGCTGCTGGAAAGTTCTTGAAGGTCAGTATCATTTACCATAGAAACCTTCATGACACACCAACCAACTGACAAACCACTTGAAGTGCAAATATTACCCACCAGATATCAATTCAACTGCCCAACGCTCATCCCTTCTCTCAGTCATCGAATTCAAGCCCCCCTCCACAACTGTCATGTCTTCATCGTCCTCTGGCCGTCATAGAACTCCAAGCCCCTCGACAGACATCAACTCAGCTGCCCCAGAATCTATAACATCCGTAAAATCAAAGCTGGGGATGCTTGTGCTGCACAGCGATGGGCAGTACATGATGGATTTGCTAGTCGCTGCGAACATGGCAGTGTTCTGGAGGCGTTGGGAGAGTTGGGCCGCCGAGAGATCAGCTTTGGGCGCCAGGTAGAGGATAATTGGTCTGGAATATGTCGGAGTAGGCGTTCTTGTTTTCGGTGCATTGAGATAGATGATTCAGTACCTAGATGGCATTTTTTACCTTTCTTTTTCTTTTTTTTAGTGTCTTTATCTTTTTTTAGTCATGATACCAATGAAACTTATCTGCCTGGTTTACGATACAAATTAGACATACGCGTCCCTTTGTGTGAACTGTTTGATGTAATGCCTTAATTCGGAACTGATCCCGTCTCGGATCATGAAACATCTCAAACGGCTACTTGCAAAAATCCAGGGCTCCGCTCCTTAACTGCGACAAAACCCTGTGAATAATACCAAGGCTTCCCATGTTATCGATAACGCTTAGAAGATCCATCAGCATTTGACACAACCGTGGGGGCTACTGGCATCCACCCTCACCTACATGTAATTACGAGTTACCAGGTAAAAAGGTTCCGCTACGTAGGTGGCAGCTATGGTCTATTGAATGAAATCGGACGTACTCTTAATTCTTGAGCCTTGTAGTTCTCTGGCAGCCCCGACTTTCTTTGTGAAACATGACCAAATTCCCACCACTAAGTGGATTCCTGAATACGGGTTTGCTTCTGGTGACCAAAGTAGTAAAAACCCATTCTCAGTCACAAATATCTGTCACCGCGCGATGACCGGCTGACCTCATCCTCTCTTCGTCATTTTCGGGTACAGCCGTTTTTCGCCACAGTGGGAGGCGGTCCTGCTAAAAAGCTTCAAACTGTTGATATCACAGCGCCGACTACTGCTATCATTTCTTTGGGTCCTGCTATGAGGCTCTGTGACTTTACCTCTCCCGGAAGTCTAGAATCCCCCTTGGGTCGATCAGGGCTTCGGCGAGGGGCGAATTGGGAATACCTCAGATCTTGGTAACAGCTAGCTAGTTGCATCCCCCGTAGATCCCAACCCATAGCCCGCCTATCAGTGGCGGGCAGGCTATGGCCTAGCTAGAACGTACCCCGTTTTTTTTCTCATCGAACAATCTCTGGCCCAAAGATTCTCGCACTGATCTATGGTATGAGTAACTAGCGGTCGACTCCAGCTAGGGGGGATGGGATGGACATATATTGCTGGCCTTAGACCTGCCGCTGAAATCGCTGACGTCGTCGCCCTAGTGACAGTGTTTGAAACGGTCAGCCTCAAGATATGAGTCCGTTTATTGATGGGAATTAATAATTAACTCGGTAATCTGGGCCAATAGATAGACTTCTTGGGGGTGGGAGTTCTCAGGACTGGCCGGCAAGGACTGAATACATGTGCCTGGCGCGACATGTACCAGGCAAGGCAACGAACTTTAAACAAATACAATGTACATGTAGTTCTGGCTAGAAGATCACATGGGTGCTATTTTTGAAGAAGACACGGCACATACACGGCTGAATACGGAATAGGGCCTGACACCTGTTAAGAATCATGAACTATCACTCGACCCATCCAACTCCATCGATCTCTTACTTCACGAATCACGACCTGGCCCTTTGCGCTTGAGTCCCAAAAGCACATGTTGTAAATTGGTTTTCACAATCTATTTACGAACTGCCAGCTCAACACGTACAGTACTCTACACCTAATCCGTCCTAGCAACGCACGGACCACCAAATATTCCTATTGGTACGTATCGTACCAACATCAACAGGCTGCATGCCGCCGGTGAACAATGTGGCTGATGAAGCATCATTGGTTCATATATTCGGGAGCTTGCCGCCGAGATAGTTTTCTGCGATAGCCAGGTACTTGGTACCAACTCCAGCACTGAGTGGTTCAGGGGTTGGTTTCACAATTAATCACTCGCCCCAAGGAGCTCGTTTGTGGTAGATATTGTCTCTCTCCCTATGGCTGAGTAGTGGCGACTCTAGGCGGTTGGAGGCAGAAGTGAATAGTTGAATAGTCACAGAGGCACGTACTCACTTTTTTCAGTACAGGTGAGTACTTAGCCGTGAGTCAGTTAGAAATGGGATGGACCTAAGACTGAGCCCGAGATTGATACATAACAAAGGCACAGCTGGTATTAATTACATGTAAAGCTGAAACGCCGTGGCATTGTCACTTCCAACTTCTTCGATTGAGTAGGCCAGCTGTCAATCTAGGGAACTGTTCTCAATGTTTCTAGAGATTATACATACGTATGCTGAAACTTTCTCGGTGGCTTTAGCTACCTTGTGATATAGCTAGAATTAGAGTTTCCGGCCTGATTCCTGGCCACGAATGAAACCTGTTATTGGTTGTACATACTAGGCCGAGGATGATGAGTACAGTGCGAAGGATGCTTATAGCTCGTTATTATGGGTTTCAGAGATAATCTAACGGCATATACCGAATTGAAAGCTCATTTGTCTCCTTGGCAGGGCTTTCTTCATAATCGCATGAAAACATTCTGAAATAATCCTGGTAGTAGAAGCACACTATAGCTATGTCGATCTGAAACTAAGGCTTCCGGCCCCGGCTCATCCTAGCCCGCCTTACAAATGTGTTGAATGGGCATGTTGATCCTGCGGCCCTCCTATCAAAACTTGAGAACATGTGGGTAGTGCACAAGGCTTGGATTTTGGAGTTACATTGTTATTGAGCAGAAACATCTTTCGTGATAGAAAAGGCTTAAGAACAATTGACACCGGGATCAAGGCTTTCGAAACAGATCGAATAAAAGTCATAATCAAGGAATCCTAGCAACAGGTTAATAGATAATCTCTTGAGATAATTCAAGGTTGTTAACTAGTTATGGCTTAGGATTTATTGGGATTTATCAACTAACTAAAGTTAAAATACGGAAGTACACACTTCTAGTCCACCCACAAAACACCTGTTATATATATGGGCAGTACGTAGATGTCCATGAAGTTACACAGAAGGCCCTATCGACCGCCATAGAATATTGAATACGTTGACGTAGGTACCGTCATTCTGGTATCACCTGCCTAGGGAGCATAGCACCACTTCATCTACCTCTGAGCTTCCCTGGTTTTTGTTCCGATATCACCTTATTTCTACGGAATGCTGCTCTAACTTATAGAGATTTGTATGTGTAATCCTCGGTGAAGTTAACAGTTAGCTATTGTTTAGTGGCAGTAGCGGTAGGTTATTTATAACAACAAGTACATGTAGATACATGTATGTGGGTGTAGACAGGGGTATAATGCAACACTGTTACACAGGTACCTGTCTGTCCCTGGTACTGTGTAACTGTAACCTCGGCCTCGCTCGTACTGTAGAACTGTCTTAAGAACCTCAAAGAACAAATACACACTTTCGTCATTAAATTATTAAGTTGGATTTAACTTCCAAAACGCTTTCCTCATCAGAAGATTCGTCGACTTTTGAAAAACTTGGATACACACGCGCCTCCGCCGTCACGCGCGAATCAACGCAACGAGAACATTTGTTCCTAAATCCCTGTCCGGAGGCCGTGCATGTGTGGTTGTGACGCACTTATTGATCTGGGGGTGGGCACGTATCATACATACAGTATGTAAGTATTGCTGAGGGGTTCCCTTCACTGGTATATAAGGGAAAGTAGCTGCATTTTTTTCCCGGTCATCTCGTCCTTTCAAAAGTGATCACTATATTATTGAAAATATCATGGTATGTGATATCAAACCCCGCTCCAAATATCCCTGGTCAGGCACATTGACCACGATGTTGACGTACGTCTTCTTTACTAGGCTTCATTAAATTCTATCGGGGTCAAACTTATAGCGAGTGGAAAAGAGCCTATTGTGGAGTATGTAGACACCCTCACGCCATCATAATGAAGCTAGCTTATCCACATCCCGCGTTGAAGCTATCCTGTACCGTTTACTGACCTAAGCGAGATAAAGCATAATTGCTGTTCATGGTCTTCATGGAGATGCGTACAAAACATGGACAGCCAAACCGGAAAAGGCTGGTGGGGCAGAGGTGATGTGGTTACGAGATCTGCTTCCTACAGAAATACCCAATGCCCGTATTCTCGCGTACGGGTACGACTCAGATCCTGGGAAGTTTCTTGGAGGTGCTAGTACAAGCATGGTCCATCACCACGCATTCACTCTGGTTTCGGAACTATATTTCTTCAGAAGAGTGAGTTTACACTTTGATATGAGCGAAGAATGATGGAGTCTAACTGTTTGGTTTTAGCGAGAACATGAGAGGAGAAGACCTATCATCTTTGTTTGCCACAGCTTAGGGGGGATTGTTGTCAAAAGAGTGAGTTTCCATCCGATGTTTGCAGAAACATAATGGTGGTTAATTATATCTGGTAAGAATCACGGCTAACCTGTTACGGTTTACGATAGGCACTTATCTACTCCAACAGCTGCAATCTTAGCCATAATGTTCACCTCAGGGCTATCAAGGTTTCGACGTACGGAGTATTATTTCTAGGCACTCCTCATATGGGTTCTGATCTTGCAAAATGGGGGAAAATGGCTGAAATGATTTTTCGCTTGGTAACACCAAAAGCCTTAGTGGACTCGAATAGTGCCCTTCTCAAAACTCTCGAGTCAAACTCCGAAACACTACAAAATATTACAGACAACTTTCTGGGCATTTCAAGAGACTTCAAATTGTTTTTTTGTTGGGAGGAATTGAAGACATCTATACCAGGGGTGGGGAAAGAATTGGTAAGCTCTAGGTATTTCTTCTAGGCAAGTGAGTTACTAAATGACTTTCAGATTGTTGAATACTCTTCCGCCGCACCAGAAGCACTCGCCGATGCTGGTCGTGCAGCTATCCATGCAAACCACAGTGATATGTGTAAATTCTACGATGTCAATTCACCAGGGTGGAACGTAGTGGCTGGGTGTCTCTACGATTTTGCCCAGCAGGCATCAGCTGCCATCGAGAGAGGTTGGGCGCAGGAAACCCGGCGAAACGTACAAGAAACCCGTGATTACGTGACAAATGTTATTCAAAGTACGTGATAACCTGGTATCGGTGACTTGCGGACTTACGATGCTTACTTGCAAACAGATACGGAAGAACGGCTTTCGTCGACGCCTATGCTTCCGCATAACTCAAGGACATCTTCCCCAGGAAGTATGAGGGTAGTCACTAGAGGTGTTGAAGGCGGTTTTATTCAACCAGATGAGATCTCTGAGTTCGGTGAACATTATGAATCGGCAAACACCTCCCATAGTATGTGGCCCCCTCAAAAATGATAAATTGTTGAAACCGTATTAAATAGTTTCATCCACTAACAATTTAATAAGATCTTCTTCTTATCAAGAACACACCTTTCGTTAAACCTCTTTCACTCCAAGAGAATAAGTACTTCGAAGGGGGAGACGACGAGCTAAAAATAATCCATTCAATACTCACCGACCAAAATAAGAGGGTAGTGAGCATATCCGGAGTGACTGGTGCAGGGAAAACACATCTCGCGCGCGAATACTTTTTTCATAGAAAATCGGAATTTCCTGGAGGCGCATTCTGGATCGACTGCAAACACAGTGGAGATACATTATCGACTGAATCACTAGATTTGGGGTATTGCATGATAGCCGAGGAGCTTGGATTATCAAATCAGCAGAATATCAACAAACATCAGAACGTTGATCCGAAATTAAGCACCCGATTTGAGGTCAACAATTGGTTCGACAAACACGATGGGTGGCTACTCGTACTTGATGGTGCAAATGTGGAAACGAATAATGAAGTTAACCTATTATCAGAGTATGTCCCAAAAAGTAAAGGCGGAAGCATTATTCTTACAACTCTGAATTCGTCTTTTGCTGGTGCTGCCCGCCTGGGAAGCCCTGAACGGCTAGATCTTGGACGAATTACAGAGGACGAGGCGGTGAGAATGGTTATGCATTACAGCCAAATAAATTCACCATCCGGAGTCGAGGTTGAGGCAGCAAAGAAGCTAGTGAAACATTTGGAATACAACCCGTTGGCGATTCAATCAGCAGGCAGCTACATCAAAGGGAAAAAAGTATCAGTGTCTGATTACTTAAAGAAATATGAAAAGCGACCATTCGTTGAAAGGGAGTTTTTAGAACCCTTTCACATCATATTTGATCGTTTGGACATTCGTTACGAAGAGGCTGGAAACCTACTGCGCCTGATCGCATTCCTGCACAGAGAAATACCCGTTCAGATGCTGGAATTCGGTATAAAATACATACCACAACATATCCAGGTTCGTGCGGGGGACGCCGATAGAAGGGACTTAAACAATACGATTGGTCACCTTCTGGCATATTCGATGGTTGATAGGATTGGAAAGCAATCTGATGATGTTCAAATCGATACGTTGGTCATTCACAGCGTTATTCAAGAAGTATGCATTTCTCGATTACGCAAAACGCCTGGTGAATTGAAGAAATGGCTTGAACTAGCGATTGGGATGTATTGTAAATCATTCGATACGATGGAATTACGACAATACCGCGCGAAGTTTTTGGTATCGGATTATCGACGATACGAACTTCATGGAGTGAGGCTTCTAGAGCACGCAAATAAACACAAACTTGCAAAGGTAGAACTGGAAAGAGTGTTGGAGAAGCTTAGAGAGGCCATCAATGGTGATGATCAAACGGAGGGGCCAAGAATTTCTATGTTCGCCAGCGGAAGTGGTTCTGATAGCGCACCTGAAACCCCCTCTGTGTCACCGGAAAGTTCGAGGCACCCGACTTGGAATGACAATCCTGGCGTGGTCAGGCCAGCAGGAAGTTCACAGATCGGATCTGTGGATAGGCTTCGGGAGCATTTAAGCCAGAAGGAGCATTGGAGGCGTCTTGCGGAGCATGATACTTCCTACGACTCGGATATCGAATATCAACCAACAAGACGTCCGCATCGAACACATTTTCCGAGACCCAGGACAGGGGAAAAGCCCTACACTTTTCGTTACGAGCCTCCGGGGATACCAAGAAACGGACAAGTACGTATATCGATGTATTCTAGACCGCTAGATTCGCAACTTGTCACTGAGAATGCGTCCCCTCAGTACATGAACTCTAGACACACCAACGACCAATCGCAACCCGCTGATACTGAGAAAAATTCACCTCTTGGTTCTCGTTTGAGATCATTGTTGAGAGCACCAACAGGTTTTTCCTCTATTCCCCCCCAATCTCAATATAACTGGCCATGGAATCGCAATCATTCTCCCCCTCAAAGTGCGCCCCTTCAATCACCCTCAACACCCATGCAAGCAACCCAAGGAAACTCAACGTTTCCTATATCCAGTGGGGTTCAAACTCCGGTTAGAGGAAGATCCCCTGTTAGAAAAGGCTGGGGCTCGCTTTCCGGTATTCAATTACCCATAGACCTGGTACCAAATTCTTATGGTGGAGACGGTCTGCATGCACCTGCATACGATGACGATTCTCTACATGCTGATCCAGAAGAGTTTCCTTTTGGTGGAAGTGGTGGCCCTTCACATTATCTACCTCCACAAATAAAAACCCCTGTAGATTATCAGGGTAAAGGAGGCATTCTCGACATGCCATATGAACCTTCGCATACTGTGGCTGTCAACCAAACAAAGCCATTCTCGCCTGGATTCTCCCCAAGCAGAGACCTATCGAGCTCTCCAATTGCGAGAAGTATTGTTGGTCCGAGATATGATAGGCCGCCATCAGCTGCATGGTCAGAGCCTATATTAGAACATGAAGACGATTACTCCCCACAGGCTTCACCTTTCAGTTCTACAAACATGATAAGAGCACGATCGTCGACGGCAGCAACAAGTGAGAGGAAGTCGCCCCGTATTGCACAGTTGCAAGGCCTGGCTAGTACGCAGGCATTAGGCCACCAACGATCTATCAGTGGTGGAGGACGACCTTTGCCGAGATCCAAGGCAAACCCAATCCATAGGGTTGTTTCAGAACCATTGCAAGTCTTATCAACAGAGCCAAATCGGGCCTCTCACTCGCCTGGCTTGGGTATTGATGGCCTTCATATCCCATTCGGGCTTCCAGAAGTCACTGTCGCTCCGCACTCACCAGATATCATGACCTCCGAAAGGTTCGCAGGTGGAATGCTGAGATCAGAGGACGAAGATCTCTTACGCGGTGAACATTATTTGGGAGAGAGAAGAAGTTCGGTGCCGGAAAGAGCCGTTGAAGTAGGATCTACAGATATGCAAAGATCCATCAGTGAGCCAATAGCAGGGCTTGGTGTCTCGATAAGGCGAAGGTCTCCACTCCGGGAGCAGAAATCCCACAACGACTAATGCTGGAGATTGAGAGTGAAGTTTTAATTCCTACTGGTGTGCTGGTTTCTATAATCTGTTGGCCTCTCTTATCCTCGTTTTTTATTTTTATTTTCGTTTTCATTTTCGTTTCATTTCCTCAAGGGTAGTTACATTTTCAGGGACTTGGCCAATTGAGTACTTTGACGGTGGTATATGGGCTACGTCGCGCGGAGTTCTGTATTTGCAATTCTTTTTCGGGTTATTTGGCATGATCGTTTGGCGTAGTAGTTTGGCATTTAGTACTTTGCTTGCCGGCATGCGGCTCAGGGACGCGGGCTCGGAATAAGGGTTATTTGAATGGCAGAACGGCGCTACTCTATACAAATAGTTCATGGTTCTAGCAGGCGTATTTTCTGGTTCATACGGTAAGCAAGTATATCGGGAGTTGGAAGGGCTTTAATGAATTAAACAAAAAAAAAAAAAGAGTTGGGAGGGCTAATGGTTCATGGAGTTAATTTGCGAGTGATGGTTTGTGATCTACGGGCAAAAGTAATTTAGATGTGTGTATGTATGCGCTTTTTTGCTTAAAAAATTCAGCCCTCATTAAAGTCAAGCTTCCGAGTCTATAGTACATACGTAGCTTTAAAAATTCATTGAGAACGCGAATATGATTAACTCTCCCCTGCCTCACACCTTGCCCCACGCTAATACTAGCACAAAGTAAACTATAATGCCTTATTAAATAAAAGAAACAGTTCCTGCATTCCTTCGTTGATTTAGCAACGTGAAAGGACGACGATCGAGGCGGTATATAGTTATACATATACCAGTACAGTATATTGTATCGAGGCTAGTCAACGATGTCTATTCATTCTCTCTACTTTCCTTCGAGTACGATTATGCTAGCACAGATTCCTGGAGTTATTTGTGTGTTTGTTTATAAGGAGTTTTATGGTCATTGTGGGGGGGGTGGGGGAGCGGGTCTGGTCCCCTTGGTATTGGTGACAAAGTCGGAGCAGTAAATGTATGTATTTACAAAGTGATGTAGTTGGTGACAGGATCTTGTAGAGGAACATTGATTGCAATACATGTAACCACATGGCCTTAACTGAAAGTGGAGACCATACATAACGGATTATTTACACAAACATACTAAGCAGCTACTTAGTCACCTAGTATTCCATATTATATCAATCCTCATGCCTCTTACTGACCACCTCCAACACCCCCTCGTACTCTGGAAACCATTTCCTCGTTAACACTGCTGTATACTTTTTCAACCTCTCACTCCCCAATACGAGTTTCAAAAGCTCTGGATTTCCTGGCTGCCCGATCGCATTTTGGAGGAACCCACAAAGGATCATATCAATCAACGTCGGTTCACTCCCATGGAAGAATTCGGTCCCTTCTAACCTCGCCTCAAGACCTTCGGCCCACTCCCGTACCAGTCGCTCCCGCTCCTCATCAGAATGCCGGCCGAAACCATTCGCCCACATCGCGTTGGTGATATTCCGCTTAAGGTAGAACCCGAATAGCCATTGTAGTGGCCACGGGCCTGGAAGGATAGATCGGGAGGCATAAAAGTTGGTAGGTATGCACCACCGCTGGTACACAACCACTGGATACAGCAGCTCCTCCGTCCATGCCTGCCACGCTCTTGTGTCTGCACGTTGTGCGGCAGTGAGCCGACTGTCTGGATCAGGGACCACACCCTTCTCGATAAGCTCCCTGACGATAAAGTGGGAGTCTGCAATGGTATCCGTTTTCCCGCCGTCTTTAAAGAGCTCTATGTACGGGAGTTTCCCTTTAGGTGCCGATATGGGTTGCACAGTATGAAGCGTATAATCGGTGAAACCGGTTGCGCGGAGGAAGGTTTCGAGCTTTTGGCAGTAGCCCGAGGGGCTAGGTCCGTTAACGGGTTGGGGGAAACCGTAAAAGTTGATTCTAGTGGACATTTTGGCGGTGATTCGAGTATGAAGAGATGGATGAATAAGGATTCATTGGCAAGATACCTTATATATGTTACGTAGGTGTCTTCACTGGGTTTCTTGAGTTGGGCCGCGGGCAGTGCATTGCCTAAAGAGGAATGTGTGTACCACAACATCGTATACAACTCAAAATACCTCACGAGCAAGGATCAATTGATCAACTGATTAATTTATTGGCGCAGCTACTGATCTGATTATTCAGGCGACCACAAAAATTCCTCTGCTCAGCCCCGAGAGCGAGTGCTAAGCTGCTGGTACATTAGTGGAGATTATCTCTGCCTCCATATGATCATATCAGATTTTCATTAAGCCAGGCTTCGAATGAGTACCATGATGTTAACCACAGATTGGTCTTTATGTAAAGTACTGTTTCATGCTCTAAACATGAGTTTCCCCATATTCGACGGGGCGCCTATATATGCATTACTACCTCACGTATCAGATGAAGAAGTTTCCGCTATATATTGTCTGATGATAATGGAGATACACAAACAAATAAGTCCCTTCAGGATGGCCTTGGAAACCCCTAATGATATTCTAGCCGAGTTCTCGGTTTCATTAGATGAATCCATTGAGGAGATTGAAGATTTAATTCTAGCTATAGAATCGGAACGGGTGGGACACTATTAAAATTCTTCATCGTTCTTGATTGTATAATAAGATTCTTCACCAAAAAAAGAATAAATACCCTCACCTATAATATGTACTTGGTGCTTAATGTATCCAATCTTCATCCAATTAATCATTCTTGATCTATCAATGAACCTTAAACTAGCCCAGGTGTTGTTTTTAGTTGGTGTGCATTTGGTGAGTTGTTTCATCGCGCGTAGTAGAGATTATTAGACTGGTGATATAGTCCACGAACCATCGAAGAGACGTGAGATATAGCTAGACATTCGTTCTTACAGTTAGGGTTAGTTAGATTCCAAGGATTTAATTTGCGGGTTTGCGGAAATCTAATGGCATGGTCGCGATCGTACTTACGTATATGCCCCTTAGCTCTAGCTTATGTAAAACACAAATTTGATCATTGACCGTGTAAATGCATGTACATGGTTATGCAATGTACATCATTTAAATTACAAAACTCACACCTTAGTGCATATATAAGCTTGCTATGGAGTCTCATCTGTAGTCTCAATATTCAAAATGGTGAGTAACCATATCTTGTGTCGTATGATCATACAATCGTTATTGTTAAAATATAAAATAATCGTTCCCTGCTCATAGTATGCAGGTCGCGTCAGCTTTTGAAGAGAGTTCGTGATCCTGTCTTGTTGTTTTGCTGTCTTGCTATCGATCCTCTGTCTTGCTGTCCTGTTCTTTGGGTTGATTGGCTGCTGAGTATTTTCTTTAGCTCACGAGCAATACACTGAATACCACTCTCATTCACCACCCGATAACAATTATATACGTTGGTTTCTCTAGGGATTGGTAGAGCGACAATCAGGGAGCTAATACCTACTATTTCGAAATCTAGCTTAATCCAATATACGATGTATGTACGTACCTACTTTCCATACGCTCCAAAATTATCGACTCTATCCCATTATTTTTTGGGTAATGGGTGTAAAGGCAGCACCATGAAGAGAAACATAGCTCTCCAAATGAGATATGCTTTGACTCATTTCATCTCGACCTCATTGGATACTCTGGCAAGCTAGGTGAGGCCTTATGTAATTGCGCAATTACGGTGTTGATCGACCTAATTCGCTACAGGCTACAGCTCTCCCCCAGTAAGGTAGATTTCCGGTGAAGCGCTAATAGGTAACTATTACGATATGCAGAACAAGCTCACATATGCATTGGCAGTCCTGATCAAAATATGGGTAAGATGCATATATGTGCGTTTAAAAAGCCTAGTGGAGAACTTAAGTCATTAAACTCAACGTAAACTCAATTATGCGTGTCCTATCTAGTAGCTAATTTACAAACATTGTACTAGTACATACTCATAAACAAATCAGATAACCCTCGCCAACTCAACTACTCCACTTACCATTAGGCCTCCTCAGTCGACAGTGCATAACAAAGGAAAATGACAACGCAAAATGCGACAAAACATAAACATCATTAATCAATAACAGTAGCTTGATTTTTTTTCTTTTTTTCTTTTTGTAAGTCTGGGAAACCATTGCTTGAAAACAGTAATAAAAAATCAACATCGTTCTCTCTCTGGTATCGTTCGTTATACCTTCTCGCAGACATATGAAATCAAAGGCCAACAACATAAAACATAGAATATAAGAAAGGGAAATCACTAAAACTGATATTCATGAATTTCATTAAAGAATTTGACCACCACCGACTAAAGGAAACCCAGTTATCCCGCAATCCCAAAGAGTGAAACCAACTCTTGAATCAAAGCCGGAAATCGAATAAATCAAATCTTCTCCTAATACTCCGTTTACAACCCAATTGCCTCATAGTCATTTGGCAAACTCATATTCCAGGACGCTGCGGTTCCCGCATCAACAGCTTCCAAAGAAAGTGTCCTGCGAGTTGTTGAGTAATTCAGGTTTTATGTAATCTTGAAATCCCAGGATATCAGGGTCCCTTTCCAATGCTGTTAAGTCTAAAACCCCTTCATGTGTAAACATTGAATATTCTGGCTGGGCTAATAACTCGTCGGTGTAGGAATTTTGAGGCTTTCTCGCCATAGATGAGTTCTCCATAGAATGAGCTGGCATATCGTAACTACCATCTAGCGCATTGAATGCCAAAGAGCCTCTGCCCGATGATGAGGTGAAGTCCTCAAAATCGTATCCCCCGTGTGGTGAGGGGGGAATGCTGAAGTCATGAGAAGCACTAGGGGAACTCTCTCTCAACGAGGGTGTCCCTTCAATAACGTATTGTGGAGTTTGCGGTCCTGGGCTGTGACCGGCAGGGCTGCTGAAATCTGGAATATCACGAGGTGATGGGGGGTTGGAAGCGTCAGATGCAAAATAAGCCTCTTCCTCTGAACCCTCAGTATTTTCTTCCGGCTTCACAGTACGGTCCTCCTCTTCCTTGAGCGGCTTCTTGCGAGGCCTTCCCCTCTTGACTACCTTCCTAATAACCCCCTCAAACGCTCCACTGCACATCCCACGCTGCCGGTGTCTAGTCAAAGCATCATGCCTAGCAAATGCATTTCCACAATCACACGGATACGGTTTGACACCCGTATGAATTTTTGAATGTCTTTTCAGGTCATGGTGTCGAACGAAACACTTCTTACAGGTTTCGCATAGGAACTGACGATCTCCAAGATGGGTTTGAACATGGGACTTGATATTCTCCTTTCTCCCAAATCTCTTCTCGCAATCAGGGTAAAGGCATAACCATTTTCCGTCAGTAGCTTCCGGTCCGGAGATGTAGCTATTTATTAAATCAATTGTAATCTCTGTGGCCTTTTCACTTGGAGTAGAAGACGATTCCCTCACTGGAGCGGGGGGCGGTGTATCTAAAGTTGTGCGTGGGGCTGGTGCCAGAGCCGGAAGATCCACTTGTTGAAACCTCTTTGCTGGAGCTGGGCCTTTCTGAACAACTATACTCAGAGGGCTCCGGAAAGGTTTTTCAAAACGGACTGGGGGTGACGATGGGATAGAGTCGAAGGCCGGAGATAGGGGTGAATACGGAGGTGCGGCTTCAAAGTCGGCCTCCGATCCCATATTACTGATTGCAGACATGCTAGCAAACTTGATGTGTGGCAGAGGTGCCATATCAAAGGTATTGTGGCCTAGGCGAGCGGTGTGCGGCGGGGTAGGCAAATCGTGAACTTGAGAATTCTCAAACTGGAAGTTAGCTCTTAGTGGAGAGTGATTCGACACAACCGAGACTCTTCTGGACATAGCCGGCGAGTCAATTCCGGAGAGGAATTGATCAATGTCATGCGGAATTGAAGCATTGTTCTGTTGGTAGCAGGTGAATGGGCTTTGCGGGGTGACTGGGTTGAAAGCTAATAGACCCGTGTAAGCGGGTGATAATCCATGACCAACCCGCAGTGGTTGACTTACTAAGAATGCCTTGGCATGTGGGTGTTCTAGGCCTTTGATCATTCATGATGCCCCAATACTCCATATCAATACCGCCATCTGCTGTCGTTGGATGGTTGTGGTTTTGTTCGTCCCCATTTACTTTAATGCCGAGTCCGTTCATGGTTCTAACCGCAGATATACTGGCGTTGCTGTTTATGGGGCTCTGAGCCGTAGCCGAGCCGAGAGTCAGTGCGTCCGCAACAGAGTTATGCCGTCTGTGTTGATAACCTCCTCCTTGACGCTTCGAAGGCGAGGGATAGGGTGCTAGACGGTTTGTCTGCTGTCGTTGCTTATGTTGTTTGGCAGCCTGTTTCCCATCTATAGCCCGGTTGCCTTGGGGCGTATGCATATGGAAAGTGAGCTCCTGTGCTGTCATTGACATTGAATTATCAATTGTCGATCCTATCTCTAGCAACTACCTATCGCCCTGTGGTCAGACGTTAGCAACTGTAATTTAATACAGGGAGTAGTAATCTGGGGTATATTAAAATACCTGACGATAGTATTGCAGAGTAGAACTTTCAGATGCGAAAAAACAAGACAAACAGCCGGCTATATAGATGTTATATGGATCGGAAGCTGCAATAATTGGCCCCGTAAAACAAAATAAGGGGATGGCCCCGGGTAAATAATTGAACTCTTTGAAAACCTCAAAAACGTGAAATCGTGAAGTAGATCGTAATATCGTCTGGAGAAATTATCCAATGGACTAGTTACTCGAGAAGCCCTCTCGGGAGCTGCTGTGGTTTGATAGTGACAATAGAATGACCGATATTGTTTTGACTGCGTATATCGGATAGGGAGGGACGTGGTGAGGGGGTAATTATGAGCGAAATGACTCGCAGCGTGAAGATAGGAGTGGACTACGGAGTCCAAGCGAGGGATAGAGGGAGGAAAGGAAGAAACAAGCTGCAGGAGGGGGCGAGCAGGAGGGTCTAAGAGGGAAACGGATGCCTTGTTTACATAGATGCTTGGCTGTTGCTATAACAACACGCCTCGAGCGATCTCCGTGACGCACCAACACGTGAGTTGGCGTTGCTACCGGCAACGATCTTGATCGGCGCGTAGCAAACAACCCCAGCTGTTTCCGGCTTGCAGACGCGACTTGACCCGCCGAGTTTGTGCTGTGCCTCTGTTAGTAAACTTCAGATGTCAATATTACTGGTGGCCCCAAATCGTGTAATGAGTCCAATCTATCCAGTAAGATAATACACGGATTAATTTTTGCCCTTTAAGCCGAAGTTGTTGTTGAAAGTCTCTACGAAGAAGCTGAAATCATAACATGACCTACATAATGTACTCACGGGACAGAATTTCAATGTATCAGGGCATTTTAATGAGCATTATCAGCTGGTAAATATGGCGCTCCGTAACACGCGAATATTAGCTGTTTACATGCACATACATGTATGTAGAGTATGTAGGTACATATAATACATACATACATGTACATACATGATGAACAGTACTGTAGTCAAGACGGCCGATGGTAGCAGCGTAACCCCGCTATAGAGGACGAGATCTAAAGCATGCATGAGCTCATCTCTTTTAACGGCTTCTGTATTGAAAAAGCGAGGAAAACAACCACGACAAAACACCAGGCCCGACGTGGTGAAATTACGATCAACACATCATTTGCATAATCAACTCCGTAAAACAAAAACAAGTGACAACTGAAAATTGAACTTCGATATCTATGACAAGCTTTTGTACGTCACTCCATATACATCATGTAGGACATCCATGTATAGAGTAGAGAACATACATGTATGCAAACTGTCGCGATGGCTTTTCAACAGATCAAAAAAAAAAAGAATTTCTACTAATTAAAAACCGTGCTTTTTATAACGTGATATTAAGGGTAACCGATAGGTATTCGGCATGTGATGATATATTATGGTAAACAAAAGGACAGTCCGAATTCACCAAATCATAAACGATTATTCGAGGATTTTGTTATTGTTCTATTTTTAGTTGAAACCTCGTGGGTTTGATGAGTGATCGATCTCATAACAAACCTCTCCGAGAAATTGTTTATCCGTGCCAGTAAACGGCTATCCGGGCATTGAAATCAATTATGAGATTCCCCTTGCTCCACAGACCCGGGGAATATTCATGATATATATCACGACTCCCACATCCAATCAGAATGCCATGTTTTAACATCTCCAGCCACAGCCAATCCAACAGGGCAGGTTGATCTTGGTCAGCCACAACGTGGCGTGTGACTGTCCTAGGGCACCCACACAACCCACTAATGTCAACCCCACAAATACCCACCCACCAAAAGTTCCGCAGGGTTTTTTCCACCTTAACAAACCATTACCAACATCGAAGAGGCATTCTTGCTGAGCTGCTGGTTTCCATCCGACAAACATGCAAATCTTTGTAAAGACCCTTACGGGCAAGACCATCACCCTCGAGGTTGAGTCCTCCGACTCAATCGAGAATGTCAAGTCCAAGATCCGTACGTTTTTCTTTTTGAGGGTCTTTATCACGATTACCAATCAGCCGCTGACTGTGTGTGTGCATCAACAGAGGATAAGGAGGGAATCCCCCCAGACCAACAGCGCTTGATCTTCGCCGGCAAGCAGCTTGAGGATGGCCGCTCCCTCGCGGACTACAACATCCAGAAGGAGTCCACTCTCCACCTTGTGCTCCGCCTCCGTGGTGGTGCCAAGAAGAGAAAGAAGAAGGTGTACACCACCCCCAAGAAGATCAAGCACAAGCGCAAGAAGTAAGCCCCTGGTTCCGATTGTAAAGAGATGGAGATGATACCAACTGGATTCGTAGGACCAAACTTGCTGTGCTTAAGTTCTACAAGGTCGACAGCGAGGGCAAGATCGAGCGTCTCCGCCGCGAGTGTCCTCAGGAAGGAGTCAGTATTCCCATAATCACATTCAGATATCATAAATCTAACCGTGTGTTCAATTCTAGTGTGGTGCTGGTGTCTTCATGGCCGCTATGCACAACCGCCAGTACTGCGGAAAGTGCCACTTGACCTACGTCTTCGACGAGACTGCTTAGAGGATGGCAAGGGTTTTCGGTGTTAGGGAAGGAAACGGGTAAACTGACTCATGTACTTTTTTTAATATCAAAAGTAGGCTAGAATCTAAAAGGTTTTTTTCTGGGAATCGTGTGCTTCTGTGATGTGACGCGATCGTAATGTGCTTATGAACTCCTACCGTCACACCGCGTTCTTGCTTCTAGAAGAGATGACTCTTGTCACTCTTTATCGATCTAGAGGCGTGATTAGTACTACATATGATCGACCATTAAAGGCACAAATATGACGCTACCAGAGATCTCGCAAGTGCTTCAAGAGCTATGACCTGGACCTGGACCTAGACATTGGACTAGACTTTCAATTTGACTCAAAGATTCGGGGGTCACAAGGAATGAGAGCTTCGAAAATTCCATTTATTTTCTCAGAAACTATCCCTTCCATGGATGAAACTTGTCAAATTCGCGACCTGGGCCGTGCACCACTTAGTAGGGTGATCTATTCAGGAAGTGATTGACTGAAATAAGGCAGCGACCTGCGAAGTTTTTGGCATATAGGCGTACTACAAGTACTGGAAAACGCAGCGAACAGCTTACCCTGACGTTTCCTCACTCAAATTTCGAGATCACATGATATTTATGCATGAGAGATTTCGCAAATGTCTCACGCGCCCAAGGGATACGTACATGTACCAGGTGTTGAGGGTAAGTGATCAGAATCTGATAAGTGAATGCTGCGGTGAATACGTGTATTTTTCTTATCAGATTCTGATCACTTTTCGCTATACCCTAGTACTAGTATGTACATGTCAATGTGATTCTACCCATACAGCCTTAAGCGGTAGCTTATCTTGTGCCTAGACTGTACCCACTTTAGTATCGCAATTAATAAACAAAAAAAGAAGAGAATATGACTACCTATATACATGTAAGTACTTTAAAGACCCTAATTGCCAAGCAAACCGTCAAATTGGTTTTCTAGCTCCTGAAAATGTACATGGCCCATCACTCGCACATAAGGACCCAACACAAAATCACCTAGCGCTAGATTTAGCCTCTCAAAATCTTACTGGAGCAAAAAACAGGAGTTAAAAACTACATGATGTTCTTACATTCTTAGCCATTTTAGACATCGCCAAATTTAGGAACCGTTTCGAGCCGTCATAAATTCATTATAAAAACCAAAAATAGATACTTATCCGGACAGATCCCATAAATCTAGGCTCTAAACCTTAAGTCCACGTATGTATATCCCAGCACCTACTAGCATAAAGAATGGGACGATCCCACCAGCACCAGACCTTATAAGAAAGCCCGAGGCTCGGAATTCGAACTTCCAACCCCCCGCCGACAATCATAACGTTTTCTCAGCCTCAATAGATGTACACACCTCACATTTTCATCAACTATCAAACTCCATGCTCATTCCTGCGATAACTGAATGAGCCGTACGCATGCAGCTAGTGAAACCAATACCATGGGAGGTGACATAACTTCAACCAACAACAAACTTAGACATCCTTATCCCCACCCCGCCGCGATCTCTCCCCAAACCGGGCGCGCTCCACCATGAGGGAGATTTCGCAATTCAGGAATGCGGGTCAAAATAAATTGATTCAATTTTCCGGGGAATCGCATAAGGGCAGGGGAGGGTGGAGATTGGATACTTAAACGTCGTTGATATCTCATTAGCACGTTTTTTACCTTTGGTTGTTTTTAGGAATAGGAATATGCCTCTATGCTGTTCCCGGGGTGATTCTCCGACCTAGTAATCTATCATGAACGTCGGGGCAAAGGTAAGATACCAGTTAGCTCGCATCACAACACTCTAATCTTTAAAACGGCATGTCAATTGATCAATCTGATATCGTTCAGCACTTTCCGAGGTAAACAAAAGACCCAAAGGGCGGTTATGTGCCAATAGGAAGTGTCTATGTTTAGAAATTCTTCATGCCCGCCGGAGCTTAACCTTATCCCAGAAGAGCGGCAAACGTTTCAAGCCTCCCGTGCCCTGATTCGTTACCACCACTCTGCGCTAACCCGTTATCAGTTACACTACTGCGAACACCCAACACAACAGCCTTGTGATCTTCAGGTACAAAGCGCTTGATGTCTGCTTCGCTGTAGTCCCTTCCTTCGAGGCTTAAATAAAGAAACCCGTTTCTTTGCTATTTGATAACAATCGCGCAATGATTGGCAATTGGGTCGGTTCCCGGCTATTTTTGCATGGGAGCTTTTGCTTGCAGAGGTTTTAGAGCTCGATACCAAGATTTTTGAGGTTTCAAATCATAGACAACGGACGGCCTGGATCTGGTATATAAAAGACACCTGTGTTGTCATACATGTATCCAACACTAAGCGAAGAAAGAAGCAAAGACAAGTGCGGCGAAAGGGGCTGTTATATGTATCAATGCTTTTCCCTCCGAGGCCCGCCAGACTTCTTCGAATTCCCTCACTTCAGTAATTCATTAGAGCTTAACTACTGCTGCCTATAGGGTCCGGATCCTATTTTCCTTATTTTTAATTTTTCTGCTGCATTCTCCTTTCCTTTAAGCCGGCTTCTCAGGTTTGGAAGACCTGTTCTCTCAATATATCATGAAGCTCCACACTACACTCCCCCTCCTTTCACTCTTTCTACTCGGCACATCTGTTATATGTGCTCCTACACCAGAAGACAATCGTGAAGGAGGCCAAGGGCGAGAGGGTAACGACCGCTGCAGGGGTCGAGGTTGTGATGATAATGGGAAAGGTACGTTTATATAAGTGTATAAATCTATCATATGATCATTGATCCTGATATAAACGTAGATATAGTAATAACAACAACAGCCCCAGGTGGACTAGTTGTTACTATGACGCTTCCAATTGGTGACTTTTTTGGTGGTAGCCCGTCTGCTACTGGGGATGCGGAGGGACTTGCCGAGACTGGTAATGGCAGTGACGATAACGGGGATAATGGCAGCAGTGATAGGAATGGAGGTGGAAATAGTAACGGCAGTGATGATGAGATTGATTCCGATAACAGTAACAGGGGAGGGAGTAGTGGGAGAGGAGGGCGTGGAAGAAAAGGTTTAATCCCCACTCACCGTCAATTTGTGAATCAAAATCTCATCTCACAATTAAACAGCGCTTTTCCTCTCACCCGCCAACGTGCAATCCAACTCTGCCAAGACTGGTCAGGAAGAAACCTCCGACCCCACCCAGGCCGACTCACTCACCGACTCTGCGAACTTTATAAACTTCTGCACAGACAAAACACTCACAAACGGCCAGCAGATCAAATCCGGCTCCTGTAATGGAATCCCCATGGGCGACATTCCCTCTACGGCTAACATGGTCTCCACAATCATCATATCTCCCGGCCCCGGCGAAGACATCCCCGCTGAGACGTCATTCGATATCGAGATCCAAGTTCTTAACCTCGTTGCCGGAAGCTTCACCAGTGAGTATATTCCAATCATATACTAGCATTGATACAGTACTGACATACCTCCTTTTCTGCAAGACCCAGCATCAACCTACTATTCAGCACCGCAAACACTCAAGGACGGCAAAATAGTAGGTCACACCCACGTCGTCATCCAACGCCTCAGCTCCCTCAACCCAAGCACACCACCAGACCCAGCAGCGTTTGAGTTCTTCAAGGGCATCAATGACGCCGGTGATGGTAGCGGCGGGCTGAAGGCCACGGTGTCCGCGGGCCTGGAAAAGGGTTTCTATAGGGTTTGTACGATGAGCTCGGCGGCGAATCATCAGCCTGTCTTGATGCCGGTTGCGCAGAGGGGTGCGCAGGATGATTGTCAGAGGTTCTCGGTGGGGAAGAAGGGGTAGTGGTGATGGTCGTTAGGGAGGGTGTAAGATAGAGAAGAAGATTCGTTGCAGGTCATTGTTGCTGACTCTTGTGGGCCGTTGGTCGCGTCGAGGTGCTTATGGATCTGAATTCTGTTGTAGGAGCGGTCAGTTTGGGGGTTGTCGTGAGGTTAGTGTTGTCGGCCTCTTGTTTGCGGTACTGATGGCAGTATTGTACAGGGTGGGCCCTATGTTCGTTGAAGGAACATAGGAGTAGGAGTATATATTGGAAAGAATAGTCTATATATCTCAAACGTCAGCGGTGTATGTATATAAGGTGGGAAGGTTAGAGGTGAAGAAACCCACTATAAGATGAGAGGGGATATTTATAAACACCTAAAATAATAATATTCTCAATTGAAAATACTGTGTGTTTTCAAATCCAATTCTGATACACGAATTTTTATCATCGTGTACTTGTTATTATCCTCAAATCTAGCACGCTGTAAGTGTATAGCCCCACTCTTTACCTACTCCCTCCGGTTTCCCACCCTGTACTTACTCCTTCTAACTCCCATTACTACTGCTCTGTATCCTCCACTGACACCACAACGCCGGAAAGCAGGCACCTTCACAATTGCAACCGGTTTTCCCGCCATTCCACAGCTCGCACAGACACTATACACCATCCACAAACCCTGATATGAATTTCGTGGTACGTACGATCAATGTCGCTCACTGTCAACCTTCACCTACTACGATGCTAGTACATGCGTTAACTGGCATTAATTCCAATCAATCGATCTAACCCATCCCATTTTACCTCCGGGCTTCGGTCCTCGTGTCTGTACTAACTCCGGCGTGCCAAGAATTCGTGGTGTTATCAGTAGCTAGTTGAGTTGGGGCGTTATCAATCGAATCAATTGCTGACAGGGCTAGGGTAGGTGCTAAGGTAACCATTTCTGATGCCAAGTGACTCATCCGCTAAAGAGGGGAGAGGGGAGAGCCTACGCGGCTGTGGTTGTTCGGGTTTGTGCGTTAGTAACGTTTCGCTCCATTCCTAGTAGGTTCGCTGGCCGGACGGCGCTATGCTGCGAAGTGTCTACCACTGGCCGGTCTATACGACGTAGGGCTAAGCCGCATGGGCTGAGTGCACTTTTTCAAGGACAGGTTGGAGACCGATTGGAGAGCGCTGCCTAGGGATAAGACTAAGACACCTTGAACAAAACGGTGCAGATACGTACTTTCCGTACGTACCGATGTCCACTCATTCTTTCCTTCTTTCTCTTGCACTCTCTTGCACTCTACCCGCGAGGAACATAAACACCTGCAGCAAAAATAATACCCCGAAGTTCGCTCGGACACCACTGCATGACGTCGCCCGTCATGGCCTGCAGGTAATCCATGCGTTTTCCCTTAATTTCCAAACAAGCTTTGGTATCGCAAAGGCCTACCGTTTGTATAGCACACAGCATCAAAGAAATTTCCCGACCAAATAAGAGAACAAGTGACTCGAATCGAGAGACGCCGGACTTCACCCGGCCGAGAGAAGGGCGATTACATATTAGAACTGGAAGTGTGCACTTATAAATCAGAGCCTTAGAGATATTTGCACTCCCTAGTCGAGAGCTAGACGCAGGGGAGGAAATCAAAAGGCATGGGCCGGCAGGGTCTGATTATAATTTCTGCCTATACGCCTACTCTATCTGATGAAGGAACAATATAACCGACTCGTCTATCTGTTGCTGTTGGACAGTTAATTGGTGGTCAACACAGGCCGCCCCCAATATGGCGTCAATCATCTAGGCATGTGCACGCCGGCCAGCCGTATACCTATCGGATTCTCTTCGGGCTCAATATGCTACTACATGTATTATGTACGTACATACTTCATTTCTACATTGAGACTTTTAAATACCAGTGCAAGTAAGTCAGTGATCAGACACGAATGGTTCCAAACCATACAAAGTACAGCAAACAATACTTTTAAACATTAATTCTGTTCTTCCCCGAGTACCAGATGGTCTAGAACAGGGAGCACTTACGGCACCGGTAATGGCACACAGAACATTGAAATAAGCTCTGCTTCCGCGCTTGCCCCACATGTGCGAGTAGGGTAAATTGGCCCCAATTGCCTCATTGGATACATGTAGCCATATTGCCCCACCGCACATAGTAGATCCCCTCAATTCCTTTCCTCCTACCAGGATCTTGGGAGCTCTACAAGACCAGCCTCCTAACTGCCCTTTTTCCAGATACAAATGGCAGAGATTCTGGGTAGATAATTAAGCAAGGTATGCGGAATACCCTCGAATAGCTGCTGCTCGGCCAGCGCCGGCGTTGGCATTGGCGGAGATATGCTTTTGTCCAGATCTTATTTCCCCCCGCCCACCTGGCTGGCGCATCAGTGCGCAACAACTCAAAGATGCCGATTAACCGGGAGATGCACGCACGCCTTGTGAGACATCTACCCTCTTGGCACGAGTAGAGAATAAGCATAGCATACGAATAAAGAGCATGGATTAGTCTGCGGCGAAGAGTCACGCTTGATTGTTGGATCGAATTTGATTGATTTTGTAGTGTAACTGTTTCCTGCAGTGTAATCAATTTTTTTTTTCTACCGCATATTTTTTGGGAAAAAAGAATGATACATTATAAAGGCTCTTTCCGTCCGCCTTCATTTTTTTTATACACTCAGACAGACAGAGAGGGACATAACTTGAGAATTGGTACGTACCATACAGTGCAGTGCCTACTACGAGGAGGCAAACATTTGGCGAACCACAAGAACCTCAACTCCAACCTTGATATCAGATGGCAGCAGCGATGATAACGGAATCCACACCTTCAAGCTCCTCCCCGACCCTCTCAGGTATTCCGCCTTTGAAAGATGACCCCCCTAGGGATGTCGAATTGCGGACCGACCTAGAGAAAGTGGATACGAAAGTGTCCATACACCACCCGTCACAGTTTCCAGACGGAGGCTTAACGGCATGGTTAGCAGTCTTAGGAGGGTTTTCGTGCCTGTTTTGCAGTTTTGGGTGGATAAATTGTAAGTTTTCCTCCTTCCGTATATAATTATATCAGGTGGCGAATATCCATATTAATCTATGGCTGGTATAATACAGGTATAGGAATATTTCAAGGCTACTATACCTCACATCAATTAAAAGACTACACGCCATCACAAGTATCGTGGATCTCGTCCCTTGAGACCTTCTGCATGTTCTTCTTTGGTCCTATAGTCGGAAAGTACTATGACGCCTATGGGTCCCGTTTCATTCTTCCTTTAGGAACCCTCTTGCATGTTTTTGGCCTCATGATGACTAGCATCTCGTCCAAGTACTGGCACTACATCGTCTGCCAGGGCATCGTCTCCGCAACTGGTGCATCCCTCATCTTCTACCCAGCCCTCGGCGACGTCTCCACCTGGTTCTTCAAGAAGCGTGCCTTCGCCCTCGGTATCATGGCCTCCGGCTCGTCCCTCGGCGGTGTTATCATGCCAATCATGATTGAGCGCCTCATTCCTAGAGTAGGCTACGGCTGGGCTATGCGTATCACCGCATTCCTGATCCTTGGGCTCATGATCGTCGCGAATCTTACGCTGCGCTCACGGCTCCCAGCGAAAGGGTGGTCTCCGTTCCTGTTGAATGACTTCACACGACACTTCAAGGAGCCCGGGTTCACTCTGACGGTGATGGGTGCATTCTTCTTCTTCTTTGGGATGTTTTTGCCATTCAACTATATTGTCGTTTCTGCGAAACAGAACGGCATGAGTACCACATTGGCCAACTACATGGTCTCCGTGCTCAATGCTGCCTCGGTATTCGGTCGAATTCTCCCCGGGTGGATTGGTGACAAGGTTGGGCGGTACAATATCATGGTGATTATCAGCTATGTGTCTGGGATCCTGATCTTCGCCTTGTGGATGACAACAACCGGGAATGCCCCCACGATTGTGTTTTCAGTGCTGTACGGATTCAGCACGGGTGCATTTGTGAGTCTGGCGCCGGCGTGCCTAGCACAGATCAGTCAGATTCGTGAGATTGGAGTGAGGAACGGAGCGTTGTTCGCTGTGATATCATTGGCTGCATTGACCGGTGTGCCTATTGGAGGTGCACTTGTAACAAGATATGATGGAGGGTTTGAAGGGCTACAGATATTTGCCGGGACTATGCTCCTGTGTGGAGCAACGGCGTTTGTGTTTGCGAGGGTGGTGGTGGGAGGGCGATCAGTCATGACGGTGGTGTAATGACTGGCTCTGAGTCTATATCCCCAAATTTCGTTGTCCAAAGTCTTTTTTTTTTGTTGTTGGTTACTATAATTTATTTACTTCATGATCTGTTCTGGGTACATACGGTTTTCGTCAGATTTGTATAGGATTGTTAGCATTCTGTTAGGGCTTGGTTCTATTAATTTTCTCTTCCCCGGTTAATAGGAAGTTGGATGAGGTATAATTACGTATTTAATGAATACTACGATAATAAGATACATATATAATTGTGTGTGTGTTGTCTATATATATGTCCATGGAGTCGGATGGGATTGTAACTGGATTGAGATCTCGCAATACGGTGCCTGAAGGAGCGGTTATGGGGATTATATACCCTCCTCATGCATCTTGTGACGTTTCCTCACCTAAACCATACAGTCTTTTACCGTCTCTTGACGAATACTGCCAGTTGACAGACAGGGGACTTTGGGCCAATAGAAGTTAAAAGGACCGGAGATCTCGTAGCTTGGCTGTTGCTTGACTGTCTTTCCATACTTGGAATCCCTGTTCGTCAAGTGGCAGTATTCGTCAAGAGACGGTAAAAGACTGTATCATACCACCCACCACGGTGCCACATTAAATATTCCTTCTGTGATGTCAGCATAGAGGAATAAGATGCACTTCACACAACTTTACCGAAGTGCAACTCCCATGTGCCCTATGCAACTCAGTAGGTATGCAGCATCAACCTTGTGCTGCACACCCCCCCCCCCCTTCCTCCCAGGACACCCATCACAACCCATCACTCACATCTTCCGCCAAGCCAATCCAGACACTGCAATAGTAACCTGTGATATATCATATCCGCACAGCCAATCGAGTAGTGATTTAGTTGTTCAACCCTCGGTATTCCATCTCCAGTCGGAAAAGCGTTGGCCAGATTGGGCATGACCATCTTTTATCGCTAGCCACTCTGGACACTGGGTACGCCACTAGTAAGTTGACGTCGTCTCTTGACCCTTCCTTCCCTGTCTTGCCGCCCCTCACCAACGGTTTTGACTGGAGAACTAGCTTTAAGAAATCTACTGGGCTTGATTGCTTGCCTGCCCCGCGCAGGCCTGAGCTAGAGTCGTTGGCTGTGACACTGTATTGTGCGAACGTCAGTCAGTTAGGCAGTTAGCAGTTACCCCTCTGCTTGTCTGAACTTATTATTCTACTGCTGCTGCTGCTGCTTCTTCCTTTTTGTAGATTCTCTCTTGTGTCTTCCTTCGGAGTCGTACGTGGATACAGGCCCCGTTGTTGCATTCTCAGGTACCCACGCACCCTCAATACGCGAGAGCCTCACCGAAGCCAAAAGAAGAAACGAAGAAGCTCTACAGGACCCTTACATACACCTCGACCTTCAATCCTTGCCAACCGTCACCACCAGCTCCCCACACCAAACCCCACCTCACACATACTTTTCCTGAAAGCTTCATCACCACTACCCCACCCGTTATATGGATAACTCAATCCAACGTAGTCTCAACGACAAGCTCTACGACCGACGGAAGCTCGGCGCCCTCGAGTGAGTCCACAAGAAGAGAGAGAGAGATAGAGGAGAGGTGGGGAGAACGTGGGTGCATAGCAACATGGTAGCTGACAGAGGCAAGACTAGAGAAGGTAGTTCGGGAGTGCGTCGCGCACGAGGACCATGAACGTATTCGCCTCATCATCGACCAACTCTGCCACGAGTTCGCGTACGCCGTTCACCAACCGCATGCGCGGAATGGAGGACTGATTGGCCTTGCTGCGGCGAGTATCGCGTTGGGGCCTGTGAGTTACTACTGCGTGGGGTAGGAAGTGGGCAGGAGGGATGTAGGAAGGCTAACGCAAGCCCGGTGGTAATTATTAGGAAGTCGCGAAATATCTGAAGGAGATTGTACCCCCAGTGCTAGCATGCTTTGCGGATCAGGATGCGAGAGTGCGGTACTATGCTTGCGAGAGTATGTATAACATCGCAAAGGTCGCAAAGGGCGAAATACTCCCGTTCTTCAACGATGTGTTCGACGCACTATCAAAAGTACGTCCTAGCTCCCGTCCGGTTCTCTACAGACTAATATACTAAACCCGCTTAGCTAGCCGCGGACTCCGAGCTCTCAGTCAAGAACGGTGCGGAGCTACTGGACCGCCTTGTAAAAGACATTGTAGCAGAGTCGGCGCCCACCTACGTCTCCGTCCTGCAGTCTCCGGAGCAGAGCATAATAGACGACCAATCCGACTCAAATTCTCCCACCTATGCTTCGGAAGCAGCCTTCAAGACTGCATTCTCATTGCCGCTGTTTATTCCATTACTGACAGAGAGAATCCATGTTATTAACCCCTTCACCCGCATCTTTTTGGTGTCATGGATAACTCTCTTGGACTCAATACCGGATTTAGAGCTAGTAACCTACCTCCCGAACTTCCTCGGTGGCCTCTTCAAGTTCCTCTCAGACCCCAACCAAGACGTCCACGTCGCCACACAGCAAGCCCTCGAGGGCTTCCTCGCCGAAATCAAGCGTATTGCGAGCGTAAAACGGAATATTGAAGAGTCTCGTAAATCACGGACCAGAGAGCGGGCACGCAGTGAAGACGGTAGTGTCAATGACGGCACCGACGAAGGCATGGGCCGGCACCTCTCCGAAAAGCTCTCCCTCAGTGATACAGGGGATAATACTATTATACCTGATGACGAAAAGAGCGGTGCGGACGGCTCTTGGATACCAGGTCAAGATGTAGTTGTCGCGTACCAGAAGATCTTGGAGATTTTCATTCCATTCATCGACTCATCAGGTGGGTTTTACTTTATCTCTAATGGAGAAACCACAAAAGCCAGGAACTTACCGCCAGAGATAGAGGAGGAGATTCAACTTACTGCGTTGCGGTGGGTTGATAACTTTTTCGAGATATGTCCAGAGGATATGCTACCCTTTGTTCCGCGATTGTTGTCGCATGTTCTTCCGGCTATCGCGCATGAAATCGAGGTGGTACGCCAGGCGGCGCTGAAGGTTAATACCAACCTACTAAATCTAATTATGTCACTGAGTGAAGAGAGTGTGTCGCCGCCTATGTCGCGGCAACCTACAAGGGAGAGTACAGGCATGGGAGAGAGGAGCGGTAGCGATAGGCGGGACTCTATGCCGAGACAGTCCCTACCAAAGGAGTCGGATTCAATGGGAAGGCGTACACCGTCAAGTATTCCGCCTGCACCGCCGACACCTATCCCTCCACCATCGCCCACTCCGCCGAAACAGGCGGATCTGGATTACTCGGCAACAGTTAACGCACTAACTCTGCAGTTTCTCAATGAGCACGAGCAGACAAGGGTTGTGGCCCTAGAGTGGCTATTAATGCTACATAAGAAGGCGCCTCGTAAAGTTGGTCATCATACATAGCTATATCAGAACGGGAAAATGGTAATACTAACACTATTTGTGTAGATGCTCGCCATCAACGACGGCACTTTCCCAGCACTTCTAAAAACTCTGAGTGATCCCTCAGACCAAGTTGTAACCCGTGACCTTCAACTCCTCTCTCAAATCAGTCACAACAGTGAAGACGACTACTTCACCTCCTTTATGGTGTCTCTTCTTTCACTCTTCTCTACTGACCGACGGCTCCTCGAAACCCGTGGGAACCTTATCATTCGGCATCTATGCGTAAACCTAAACCCAGAGCGGATCTACCGCACACTTGCAGACATTCTTGAGAAAGACGAGGACGTAGAATTTGCCAGTATCATGGTGCAGAACCTGAACAATAACTTGATCACGGCACCGGAACTAACGGATCTGAGAAAACGGCTGAGGAGCTTGGATACAAAGGATGGCCAGACGTTCTTTGTGAGCCTGTTTAGGAGCTGGTGCCATAATGCCGTTGCAACATTCTCGTTGTGTTTATTGGCGCAAGCATATGAGCAGGCGTCGAACCTATTGCAGATCTTGTAAGTTTATCCTCCTCGAGATATGAGCACAGCCCGCTAGCGCCAAATCACCGAGTGCTAACCCATGCCCAGTGCTGAACTCGAAATCACCGTTAATCTTCTCATCCAAATTGACAAACTCGTTCAACTTCTCGAATCTCCCGTCTTCACGTACCTCCGTCTGCAACTCCTCGAACCCGAGAAGCACCCTTACCTCTACAAATGCCTCTACGGTCTTCTAATGCTCCTCCCACAATCATCCGCCTTCGCTGCCCTCAAGAACCGCCTCAACAGCGTCAGCGCAATTGGCTACCTTCACGTTGCTCCACGCGCCGCACCTCCAGAGCGCGAAAGGCCAGGGAGATTAAAGGGGAAGGTGGACGACATCAAATGGGTTGAATTGCTGGAAAAGTTCAAGAGTGTCCAGGAGAGGGCAAGAAGACAGCAGATGTTTCATGTTGGCGGCGGTGGTAATAGTGGGGGCACGGGCACGCCACAGGTCATGTCGCCGACAAGGTCGGGGACACCGGCAGCGGGGAAGAATACCGTGGGGGCTGTGAGGCCTGGAGGGTCCGGTGGTTTGGGATTGGGCGGAAGACTGGCTGCGGGGAGGAGGGGTGTCAGGAAATGATTAACCCGCCTGCACAATCATCCTTAATGTCTTTTATGTGGCTTTTTCTCTCTCGCTTTTTCGAGCTTCCCTGTGTGGTAGACTGTAGCAGTGTACTGTAGTTGTGTCTTTCCCTTTCGTTCTTTCCGTTTTTAAGAGAGATTGATCACGGCGATTCCCCAGGTACGTAGTCGGGCTCTATTTGTCAGTCAAGCATGCATCGCATCTATTTCCCCCCCTCCCCCGCATGTCTCTCTTTTATTCTTATTTCTTTATACCTCATCTGGCTCTCTTTCTTCCTTCCTCTTCGATTGGCCGGCGTTTATTTGTTTGGGTTGCAGCTTAATGTATCTGAGCGCGGGATCGAGAGTGATAAGAGTATAGGGAATATAATCCGAGATTGAGTCCTTGAATATCTGCTTGAGGAGAATGGTCGGGGTTGATTCGTGCTCTGTTGTGAGGAGTGATTGTGTTGTTCCTGTACGAGTATGTATGATGTGGTTGGGTTGGAGCGATGTGGTTTCTGGGGTGTGGGGCTGGAGCATAGGATATCACTCGTGCGTCATAGCGGCTCACTCGGGCCTTACCCTATTTTAAAATCCGCCGCTCAAGAAGGCAAAAGTTCGAAGGTCCTAAGCGGGTATTACACGCGATAGAATTCAAGGAGCAAAATAAAGGCTATCGGTAGACTACATCAAGACCAAGGATGACTTGCAATTCCAAATCTGCCGCACGGAATATCACTCGCATAATCACCTAGCTCACTCTCTACCATAGACCTACACTAACGAGACACATCTAGGCACCGCAAAATCGACTTCTGAGCGCTCCAGACATTCGGCTTCCGTGATTGTTCCCTCCTCTCTCGGGCGGTACCGGCGCGTGTGCTTCAGCAAACCAGCGATGCCGACTAAGATGCCGGTCACGTGGAGATCGATGGATACGTGGTTGGGAGTCAAAACGGGGATTCCCTCCAGACAGATCTCTGTGTGACTAAACTTCCGGTGCTAGAAGAGCGGAATGGTACATGTAGCTGTAGAGTATCTCCCTAAATCTAACTAGTAAAGCTAGTAGCGAGTGTTCCTGCTCCCAACATCAAAGCAAAAGATAACATGGAATATCCGTGCTGACTGGTTCGCACCATAGCTCGTCATACATATCGGCCCCTCACATCATTGGTCCGCTTCCTCCCGATCTCGCGAGCGCCTCCATCAGGATACCTGTGGCTACACTTCACCGGAGGAAGGTGTCGCCCGTCATAAATAGTGCACGTGTCACTATTTCAGTGACTTCAGGAATCGCGGTGGTATGTGTGGTGATTAGTGGGTTGGTTGTGTGGTGGGTCGCCATGGGTGTGTGATAGATAAGTGAGGAAGTGGCCCACCTTTAAATTTCTGGGAACTTGTTTCACTTTTAGGCTATCCGCTCCGCCCAAAAGCAAAGAAGGGAATGTCAAAACCGTCTCTTTCTTCGTTCCACTTGAGTCATATGTTATCACTCGCGAAGAAACTCCGTTGGTCATGTCTTGGTTTGTGTCTTACTTGAGCTTAAGCTTATTATATCATGGTCCGACGAGACACGTTCAAAATTTGGTACAGTGCAGTTTGGACATCTTGGCATCAATCATCGTTGTTTTGTGGAAAGCTAGGAACTATGTATGGTTATGTCATTGCTGCACTGCACTAGATTCTCAGCGTATCTAGCCAGGTCGCCGTATTCGCAACTACATCGTCCCCTTGTTTATTTACAATTTACCCCCCTCCTCCCTATGGATACGGTTATTATTAATTTAGTGTTATTTGAGGAAACCAGTCAATTATCATGCAATTATGAGAAGCCCAGCCCTCTATAAGTCTGTCATGATAGACAGGGTCCCGGATAGAAAAAAATGTGAATATAGAGGCAGAATGTAGGATATTTCAGGATAATAAGTCGAGGGTAGGGAAATCTCATGAATGCCAGGAGTGCGAATTATCATTGAATCGTTGATCATGTCATGTGAGTAATTGATCCCCCCAGTCTTCCACGTTTACTCGACAGGTAGGTCTGCGATATGTTGACTAATTAATGACTTTACAGTTATGGCAAGCTGAAAGATCTCAACTTAGTTGGTCGAGGGTCATCAGGCAGAATCCGTTGGCCAAAGAAGTGCACATCAAGCGATAGGTGTTAATTCTTGCGTCAATTTCCTCGGTTAGGAGCTATGTGTGCGGGTGTGGGCGGTTTAGGTTATGAGTGAATGGTGGAAATACAGGCAGCCCGCCTCATCTCAAATTGTGGAAAACCACTGGTGACGAAGCTGTGATTTAGGCTTGGCCAAAGTTGAATCGAGATCGTTAATTCCCATGGATATATTGGCGTAGGGGATTTTGCAATATTATTCCGAAGTAACTATTACTAAACTCGCCTATGCTCAAGGTTCTAAGATGATAAATTAATAATCCAACATATGAGTTGCTTAATAATACGCCTTCGCACAGTCTGCTAAAGCTGGCCAATAGTACATACAGCATCACCTTGGTCAGCGAGAGTAGGCATAGTCTACATGCGGATTCCTATTGGTAACGCACACAAGATACAGGTCACATTGAACATAAGATGCGTGCCGGTGGCTGCAAAAACCATTTTCGAGTGGTTAGTAGATGTGTAAATAGGGATTATATTGGTTTGAATATTAATTGGAGATCGGTAGTTCCAATGACTGAATAATTCGACGCTAGTGGGACACGGGGCGAGATATGGAAATACTTACATACATTTCAGCTATCGGATCCAAAGTTATAGCTTATCACTGCGAAATAGCACGCATGTAGACGTTTATATGAACACCAATGGGACAAGTTCGAGTTACCTATCTGATTTTTGGAAAGTGTGGAGAATCATGGGTACGTACTCTATCAATCCTTTCTCTTATATGGCTCAGTGCTAAGTCTACGTACAAGTCCATACTATAGACTCAGGAAAACTCGTATTCATGTATATACGTAGGTGGTGCATACTTCTATCAACCTGAGGTCAGGGCTTGGTCGGGTGAACTTAATAAATTAACTACCTAAATAGGTACATGTAGACATGTATTGCACTTTCTAATAGCATCCCAATTCTGCGGCCGATGGACGGAAATACAAGTTTTTGAAAAGGGGTTTTGAATCATCTGAGCTGAGATTGAATATACTTCTCAATTGACGAACTGGGTAGTAGACTACGCACCTAATATCCTCGTGTTCTCCATGCTACTTACGTCAGGTGCATGATATACATAATGAGGCGGTCCGGCAGCCAGCAGATGTATTGGTTGCCAATGATTGGTGAGCCATGCGCAGTCCCTAACTGTGTAACTGCTAAAAAGAAATATACGTTATCTTGAAATAGCTGCCACGATTATTGCTTCCATTACAGCTGTGTTTCAGTTGGTTACATATGATCTTTTCTCCATGACACGTCGACGGGTATATGCGCACCTCCATATCAAAGTAGGATACTTTAATTCGCATTCACGTATCAATGAAGCCCCTTAACAGAGCTGTTAATTGGATATCAAATATGATATAATAGGGAACAAAGTCCCACTTTAAAAAAATGCACCCCAGCGACAATTTACTCGTCCATCTTGCACATAAATCAACAAATTTTACTAAAGGTATATATTGTTTTTAAATAGGATTTATTATTATCCGGGTAGATTCCATAGTTTCCTTTATGATACGATTTGGTGTCTGATATTATTTTACTTAATAGGATCATAATACTTAGTACAACGTCAAAAGCCAGCTCTGATATATTATCATGTCGCAAATTCCTAAGACTCCCGCCCTGAACACTGAACATCCACCATATGCGAGTCCCACGAGTGAATCCAGTATGATGGAGCCAGATGCTCAGATCTCTGCGCCCAAACCTCATAATCCTGAACCTCTCCTGTTATTTTCAGATACACCCAGCCCGGCGGAACCAGACCTCCAGATCTCTGCCCTGGAACTTCAAAATCACGGACTAACGTCAGCATCTGCGGATAATACCGGCCCGCAGAAGTTTGGGACAGCTGTTCAGGTGTCGGCAACTGAGATCGAGAATCCAGAAATTCCGCTAGTATCCGGAGACAACCTAAACCCGAAAAAGGTCGAACCAGCCATTCGAATCTCTACTGTGGAATTTAACACTCCAACATCTCGGCCAGTATCTGCAGATAAGTATTCCAGATTCAGGAATTCCCAGTTGGATATCAAAATTCCTCCCGTGGGAGATCAGAGCCTCAAACCTCAGGATATTTCCAGCCCGAAAAAGATTGATACGAATGCTCGAGTATCTTCAGTGGATCCCAAGAACCAGGGACCCTCGCGGGAACGAACTTTAAGTATTCCCGGTGTTCAAAGCTCATACACTTATTGGAGGTCAATCCGCGAAAACTTTACGAAGATCCCGGAAATCAACACGCAGCTAGTCGCAGCAGCTAGTAAAGGCCGAGATGCAAAAAGAGTTTCAGAAATACTGGATCAAGATATAACCCTTCCTCCACAAGATATCACATATTGGAAGACGGCATTGCAAGATGCAGCAGAAGATGGCCGTTGGGAGGCCGTGGAGTTGTTACTGAAGGTCGGGAGAAAAGTCAATAACAATGCCGATACTGTGGATGGTCTTGCTGAAGTAGTAGATAACGTTGCTATAAAGGGAGAAATGACTGCTGTGAAATTGCTACTGAAGGGAATCGCCGCCAACGGAAAATCGAAAGAAGGGAAAAGAACTAACTTACAGCTAGCAGCGGGAAAAGGATACAAGTCGGCGGTGACTTTACTTTTAGAAGATTCCGAGGTCAACGAATCCGCACTGGAACAACCCAAAGGGAGAACGGCTTTACAAGCAGCAGCTGAGGGCGGGCATGAAGAAATAGTAAGGATTCTATTGGACAAGGGCGCAAATATTAACGCACCGCCGGCACAATATAAGGGGAGAACAGCGCTGCAAGCAGCAGCTGGAGGAGGATATCAGGAGGTGGTGGAGCTTTTGTTACAAAGGGGCGGAGACACTCAGATAAACGCACCCGCATCAGCATCTGATGGGAGAACGGCGCTCCAAGCAGCAGCTGAAAAGGGACATGGAGATATAGTGAAGTTACTAGTGGAACGCGGAGCCGACATAGACGCCAAACCGTCAGCAATAGGTGGAATCAGCGCAATCGAGGCAGCCAATAAAGGAGAATACAAGTCTATATCAGAGTATTTCAAGCGTCTGACAACTCATGGCTTACATTCGTTCTGCCGGAATGATAAAGAAGTCGGCGAGGAGTTCCGTAAACTTCTTGACGGCGAAGCTTCGAAAACTATTATCAATTCAAGAGATAGCGCAGGGCAGACTCCATTACACATTGCTGCAGTTCGACCTTTCAAAGATGCTGTCGTTTTATTGCTAGAAAAGGGGGCAAAAACTGATAAGACTGATCTAGACGACCGAAACCCATTAGAGTCAACGATTTTTGAACTCCTAAAAGTCCGTGAATTGACAGCATTGAAGGCTATAAAGAAGGAAATGGATACAAAAAAGACAAATTCAGGCGGCCAAATCGTTCCAGAATCCGCGACCTTAACTAGAGCCGATGGACTACTGGAAATTATCTTGCTCTTGCTAAAGCATGGTGCCGCTCCTCATGCTCACAACATCGATCAGTCCCTGGCTTGGCGCAAAATATTTCCCTGCCCAGAGGGTGAAAGCGATGAAATCTTTGAGCTAAAAGAGATACGGCATCCCGAGATCATCAGCAAGTAGAATTCCTGCACTCTTGTATTCTCTTATTATTACAAAGCTAACTTTATAAAGTTCAGGGTATTCCGCCAAGTACAAAGAAATACAGGCAGAAACACCAAATAAAAAGAAGTCATGTCATCGTATTGAAAATAAGCTCTCGTATAGTCTTCCATTCCTCGCCTCAAGCTTGTTACAAATGAACAATCTAAGATTAATATTTTTGTTTATCAAGGTATATGTCTTTTGACGACTCAATCCTTTCACTCGCAGACATGAAAACCGCTGAAGAATGGATCTCTGATCACAATGCTCCTACGAGATCTCTCTGGTATGTATGATACGACCTTGACCACATACTCTCATTATTCTTAGGCAGTGCTAATCCCGTAAAGTCTCGAGCTACTACAACCTCCTACTGCACCTAGGCCTGGAGAACTTCCGCGGCCGGCTACAGTACTGAGGTGGTTGCCATGCGACCCGAGACGACTTGATGGGTGGAATACCGACCTACCAAGGTTGACAAATGTATACGTTTCGCCGAGTACGTATAATTACCTAAGTACTTGAAGTGAAGTAAGCTTACAAACTTATCAAAAAAAAAAGTTATAATTAAATACTCTATAAAGTATGAATTCTTTATTGTCGTCGATGCTACAAAGCAGAGTGGTCTTAAACTAGCTGGCCTTAAACTTGAACGTCGGGCTGGCCACATTTCATGGACCATGCTAGCGCGGGCGAACGGCGACGACAAGCGTTCTTCCGAGAGTTATAAGCCCAAAGTACAGGTACAGACCGTCAAATATCGAAGCACCTTAAACCACCGTTGGATTCCTAATCACTCGTTGGAACTCTTCACATTATTCTTTGATGACTTGCACAGAATATGGGAGGATCTTCTTATTGCATCACGAGATCACCTAGATGAAGACGTAAATATTCTTCCCTTTATAATATAATTAAAACTAACGCTCTAACCACGTTTTTTATGGTCTTTTTAGCATGGTGAACTACTCAGAAGCAAATATGGTCAAGAGCAGACCTCTAAGACTACATTTTACCTGGAACATCTCTTTGCGGACGCGAGAACATGGAGTCAATTTCGGGCCCAATTAACATCGCATGTACAGATTTGCAATAAAACACTAATCCAGTATAAAGGTGACAGCTTTTTCTCTCGGGAAATTGACTGGGCTGGATGCCCAGAAAGTCGATTCAAAGAAGAGCTTGCGTTGTTATCAGAGAGAGTTTTGAAGTTTGAATCCAGATTTAAAGAAGAAATAACTGCTTTAGAGATAAAAACACAAGGACTGGTTGACTTTGTAAGGCTTTCCCTATTGATGTCCCTAATTAAACCTAGCTAGTTTCGTCTCAGGCTAAAGACTTGTCCAGAAACTAAATCTACTTCAAGCCTACGAGTCTCAAAGGTCGAACACAACAGCTATTGGCATGAAACGACTTAGCTGGATTACTGTAAATCTTGACCCATCTTATAATACATGATTGAGTTTGAGCTGATCTTTTCCAAGTTTATATTCCTGCCATCAATGTTTGTCGCGGTATATACCCCTAGCTATCTTATTTCCAAGAGATATTTTATCCCGCTTACTAATATACAGAGTTTATTTGGGATGAACATCGACATACTTTCTGGGGGTCCTAATTGGTCGTGGTATCCTATCTTTTGCGTTCCTGTCTTGGTCCTGGTGATCTTTACATGGTTGGTCTGCAAGTATATTGAGGTATATATTGCATCCCGTTCCTTATAGTTTAAACTGATTACTCAAAGCACTTGCATATACTAACTATGGATGATATTCAGGAATACCTACAAAACAAGAGGATGGAGAAAAACAAAGCAGACCGAGATATTGATCTTGAAGCCCGTGCCTTCAGTACCAAAACTAGTACATTCCATATGCCTCATTTAAGCGGGACGAAAAAGTCGAAATACTGCTGAAAGTCATATCTCCTGGGATAATTTTCTTTCTCTTCTTTTTCATTTTTGTTTTCACCCTCTCATTTATTTCTTTCATTTATATCTTTTCCTTTGTCTTAGTTTGTTTTGGCCATGCGGTAATGATCCCGTAATGAGATGCATACTGGTAGGGGGTAGGATTACCGAGGATCCATGAAATTAGAAGGCATCTAACTATATTTATAATACGAGAAAGGACTGCATAGAAATTCTCCACTAAAACTCCACGGACTACCTGGCATACAAAGACCAAAGAAGCCAAATCCGAACCCCGTGCGCAACATTAACATCTTACGAAAAGATCCGCAGTGGCATTTCTCCCCGCACGGGATATACACTACAAGCCGGTTCTGGGTCACCCATCCGAAAAAAATCGAGGAAGACCCCTCGAACAATAAGGAACGAACCAGTGGACGCTGAGATCTTTCTCCATCCCTCTCATCAATCCACATACTCCGAGAAAGGTCATTTCAAGGGTGATATTCCAATACGAAGGATGAACTACAAACATTTCCAGGGCTGGGGACGTTAGTTCTTGGCCTGGTTAGCATTTGGCCGAAGGTCAGGTCTCGATAGGGGCACAGGATATCACTCGGTTATTGATCAGACCGTAGCCAGCCAACCAACCATAGAAAAGCCCCACTTTTAGCTGCTAATTGCTACTAATTATTATTAGTGAAACCCAACCAGGCTTAGTACCGTAGTCGCAGCCAATCAAAAGCCCGCCGAAACTCAACTGACCAACAACTATACTCATGCGTTCATTAAATGGTCGGAATTCTTAGTAGGGATTTGGTTGTAGCGATATCCGTTAGGCAAGATAAAGTATATGTATAAAAGCTTTAGTTGGTATGTGTACAGCACTGCCATACAATATCTAGCCTTTATGTAGTTTATAAAAAAGCACAGAACCCAAGCTTATACCAAACACAAACCCAAATCCCAAATCCTAAAGAAAAAAATCCCAAATAAAAGAATTCCCCGGTCTAGTCGATCGCTGCCTCTATCGGTATAAAATAGAACCACTACAACCCGATCCCGAAAGAAAGAAAGAAAGTAACACCCTTTTCACCCCTCTCTCTACCAGTCCCCAAGCCCTTGCTTCAACTTCTTGCTCTCTCTCCCTTTCCTCGTCACCCGATCCTTCCTCGCATCGCGCTCGCGCAGCTCGGCCTTCCTCTCCTTCTTGAGAGCCGCACGCTCGCCCAAGTCCAGCCCATACAACTTGTTGAAGTTTGGGTGGCCCGGCTGGTTCTCAGGAAGGTCATCTTTGTTGATAGGGAGGCCCTTTGTTTCTCGCGCGGGCGCGGCGGGGGTGGATTTTTTGGGCTTGGAGGTGCTGGGCAGCACGGGCATGCGCTGCGTGCTGGTGGAGACACTTTTTTTGGCCATCGTGGGGTTGTGGGGGTGCGCGATGGTGGGTGGGTTTAGAATTAATGCGGTGCGATGAGATGAGGTGGGTATCTGCGTGGGATGAAGAGGGTAACTAAGTTTTTATGTGCTTGCGGGAGGTGGCTACAGTAGCGGCAAGGGGAATAAAGGCCCTGCATAGTATAAGAAATACCCAGAGGGGGTAACTCTAAGTATTAGGATTCCATATACCGCAGAAACTCGCCAACTTGATTATCTCCGTGCAGGGATTTCTTCATTGATGATTGGCTGAAAGGCAGAGATCAGCTTCAGATATTTCCTCTACAAGTTAGTTTTTGGTCAGATCCGCTAGCAAAGTTCGTGAGTTTTTGCGGTATTCTATGGCGTGTTCCCAAGCCTGGCACTGAACAGGTGATAGTTAACGCCTTTTACGGTCGCGGTCGTATGATCGCTGGCAAAATAGAGCGTCAATTTTGCCAAAATCGATCTGGTTAATGATATTAGATATATAATAAAAGGAAATGTCCCATGGTATTACCAACTACGACGTGCCAAAATGTGTATTCAACATTCTCTTGCGACACATGCACATCCCACAGTATGCAACTGCACTTTAATTAAATTTGTGACTAAGAAGTAACAATTCAATTGTGGGACGGGTGTCAGGTGACTGAAGATCATTTGGCACTGTATCCTCCGCTCGAAAGGTGTAACTACTCACCATAATCATTGGCCACGGGGAACCCTTCCCCAATATCGAGTATATATCACTACTTATCCATGGTCTTTCCAATTTCCTAACAAATATATATCAACAGACCTTGCTTCGCCCACTAAAGTTTGGGACCCCTATCTAGTGCTTTATGCTTCTTCCTATTCCCGCTTCTACATCACAAGGCATTCCTGGGCATGGGACTCACCGTCCATGGAAGGCTAATCTGCGTATGTATTCATTGAACCTTTATGGAATCTCATCGGGGACTCAGGTCTCAAGGCGGTCTACCAACATGGGACGAACCAAAGATCATAGAATATCACTCGTCGAAGATTCAACTTGTACTGACAGCTATATAGTGTCCTACTCGATCCGGGGAAACAAGGTGGCTGGAGGAGTACACGCACAGAGCACACGAAAATATATAGGGGCTATTTCGCGCATGATCTCCTCTCAGGAACCGACCTTACCAACATCTAGGAGATTAGCGGGGCACCAACGCTGTGCAGCACTTCACTCGGACGAAGTCCCTTACCACAACCTCACTCAAACGGACGTTGCCAAGAATCGTGGCTTATGTATAAACAAACATAATATACATAAGCAAGACAAGACGCTCACTCAGTCAAAACCCTGAGACACAGCGGAGCAGACTTCATAAATGTCAGTCCGTCGCAATGACAGGTGACCGCCGCCGCAGCACCCCCAGGTATTACGCATCGTGAGATTGGGCGCTATGACGTTTTCACATGCCCACAGAAGAAAAAGCCCGGGGCGTTTATATTCCCATGCCCGTGGAGTAGTGAGTGCGTGCCCGCTGACCTCCGTGACGGCCGTTTAATTATCGGAAACGAGAAGGGTGCAATAACAAAAAGTGATCATGAGCCAGGGCGTAATATTGACATAATCTGAGTTCAATTTCTTCCCTTTCTTCCCTTTCTCTTTCACACCCTGTCTAGTCTATTCCCGGCACAAACAAAACACAGCTAAGCTCTAAGTTAGCCCGCAGCACAGAAAAGAAAGAAAGCAATATGGCAAACAGATCTAACACATCCAATCCTCGAATTACAAAACTTGTATGATATAGCCCCGAGAAAGAATCCCTGATTATTTTGATTCCTTTTTGTTGGTAACCTTAGCTTTTCTTTGCTACTGTTGTCTATATGTATTCTACCATTTCAAGCGATGCACACCGCTGAAGGAGATATATATATATCAAAAAAAGAGTCTCGAATCAGAACACCATCCAAAGCTGCGCCCTTTAACAAAAAAATGAACACAAAAAGGAAATATAAAGCGAAAGAATATTCTACAGTGAGAAAAGGGAAAAAATCGAACAATTGGTATCAAAATAAGAATTGAAGGTGAAAAAAATTTCCGGGGACCCTTTCCCTTGGTAAAAAAACCGACCAGACCAACCCAATAACTATAAAAAAGGAAACCCAAAAAAGTCCATAAAAGAGCGTAAGAATCGAAACGGTCAAAAGGGGGATCTGAGGGTGAAGGGTTCGCCGAGAAGACGCGGATGTAGCAGGAGAATGTGAGGATGACGGTGACGATGGTGACGAGTATGTGTTTGTTGTGGTTATATAGCCTCTTTATTGTAGTGTTCCGGCCGGCCGAGCTGTAGATAGAGGCTACATCTCTCTCGTTGTCTTTCTTCTTCTTCTATCGCTTCTCTCTCTCTGTCTTTCTCCCCCTATAACCCATCCTTCAGTCCTCCAAGGTTGTCGTGGAAATAGTACAAATCATCATTCAAATCCCCCAATCCCCCAATTTCCCCCATCACATCCCGTTCCAATCGGCCATGCTATGCTGTATTGAAGTACGTAGTTCTGGTGGGCTTGGCTTGTTTGGGCTAACTGTTGTTTGAGCCTCGCCGACTCGATGAGCCCGTCTCCGAGACGCGGAAGCTGCTCTTTTGGGGGCTGGCTGGCTGGTATGAGTTGTATACGTATTCACCACTACAATTCCCCAACGTTAGTCTCTCTGTCTGAAGGTTGGGGGTAGGTAGGGTAGGTGTGTGAACGTACTCGACATATTTGGCGTCCGAGATGAAGGTGGTTCTTCTTTTACGCTTGGTGTAGCGCTGTTCTAATTTATACAACTCGTACTCTGTTTCCTGGTTAGTCACGTTATTGCGCACGCCAAATAACTCGAAACAAGAACACGTGGTGGTTGTGGTGGGGGAACCGAACCCTCGATTGCATGAGGGTAAGGTAAGGTACGGTTAAGGGCAGAGAACAGAAGGCAAGGCAAGGTGCTGGCTGTCAACTACTTACTTGCATGCAGTTTATCAAAGAACCCCATTTTGAATCTAACAGACCAGAGCGGATGGAAGACGACAGGCAGAACAAAGCTTGAAAAGGGCAGGCCCGGTGTTTGACTTTGGCTTTTTAGGAGGAGAGGGAGGGGTTTTGTTCCCTTTCTGTTTTTGCTTCTACAGGACGGTGGTATCCAGATTTGCGGTGGCAGCAGCGAGCAATGAACGGAGGAGGAAGAGGGTTGGGAAAGAGAGGAAAGGGAAAAGAAGGGAAAAGTGGAAGAGGGAAGGATGGAATAAGTAGCAGAGGAAAGAAAGAAAGGGTAAAATGAAGTAAGTAGTACAAGTAAGTTATGTAGGTAGATCCCAGCCAGCCAGAAACAACGCAGTTGAGAAAAAAAAGAGGAGTGGCTGCTATTACAGTAATAATACTAGTACTAATAATAATATGGTGCAAAAGGGGGGGGAGGGAGAGGTGGAGGTGAGGCTAGTAATACCTCTACTGATCTTAGCTACTCTGGGATAGGATGGGGTGCCCAGAGTTCGGGTACCTAAATTGATAAACTCTGGGTAGATGCAGGTTGGGCAGAAGACGGCTAAACCAACGAGTGAAATGGATTTGGGCAAAGATGGCTGCAACGGGTCTATTCTAATACTAGGGTGCAGTCTAGGGCTTAGGGAGGAACGCGGGCTTTTCTGCCAGCAGCTGTAAGAGGAACTTCCTGATAAAGATTGTGCAGGACAGACCAGAACAAGAAGTATCTACTTTAGAATAGGCATGTAGAGTAAACAATATGAATTAACACAAAACGAGATGGATATGAGATGTGTGTGGGAGTGTGTGAGTGTGTGGGAAGGTCCCACGACAAACACCATGGTTCGGATACCATTCCTGAGCTTCCTTCCTAGCTGCCCCAAGAAAGAAAAGGAGGTGGATCTCTTTCTTCTCTCAGTCTCCTCGATACGCACGCGACAGGCCAGCGCCACACACCCGCATCTGACACTTCTGGTTGGTCGTGTTCCTGACCATCTCCCTGACCACCCGTGTGTCGTTGAGCCAGAACCAGAACCAGAAAAAAAAGAAAGCGAAATCAAAAAGTCTCCCGGGGTCTGTGCGCCCATTGCCTTACACGCAACGGTAAAGCAGAGAAACCTTCGCGGGATGTTTCGAAGACAACAACAACCGCCTCTCTTATTCCCTTCCGGGCCTAGCCCCGCTTCGTTGACAAGAAAAGGGAAAAGATAGAAAAACGGTAAAAGGCTGTGAGGCCTTTAATTTTTTTTTTATTCAAATTTTGTGCCGTCCACGCCGGTCCCGCGCGCAAGCAAGCCTTGCTTGTTTATCGGCGGAATCGGGGGAAAGACAAAGAGTGTGTGGGAGGCTGGGGGAGGGAGAACCTTGGAAAGGAAAACCTCGTTTTCTCTCTCCCCGCAGGATTGGTACCGAATTTCCCATTTTCTCCATTCCTGAACCCTACAAGCCCCAGTCTGGCCCGCCGCATAACTGCATTTAGAAAATACATGTTAGCCAGCTGCTGGGCTTGGGGGGGGGGGGGGTAAGGTGGAGCCTGGAAACTGCATTTTGAAGACCCGGAAAATGTGCTGTACAGCTCAACAAGAGGGGTCGATTTGCGTCTAGCTTCCAGCTTCCAGCTCTGCTCTGTGCTTGATGCTGTCTAGAGTAGCTGTCGACGGCCTTGCACTTACATGCTGGACAGGCAGGCAGGCAGGCAGACTTGGACAGAAAGGCAGAGAGAGGCAGGGGTTGGGCAATATTTGAAGAGAGTCTGAACCAGCACTAACTACATCATATCACCACAGCTTTAATCTGCCCATTCACCATCATCATAAAGTAAAATAATCCAGCTCATCATACGCCCGCCCAGCCTATTTTGAACCCCCCCCCATGGCTGGGCTGAAATTATTGCGCGCGTTTAAACTTGCTTGCTATTTAACAGCCACATTTAAAGTTGACGCCCATCATACGATGCGATCTATTGCGGCTGGCACCCCATTCCCCATTCCCCCATTCCACCATTCCTTCCTAGAATAGTCTCAAAAATGCACCCGCCAAACCAAACCAGTCAGCAGCCCCAAAGGGCCGAAAGACACAAACTCGGGTCCCTCGCGATTTTCAACTCGGGGCTCTCGGCGGGCCCCAATAGAAACCCCCCCACCACCACCCACACCATGCCGTGAAACCCGTCATGGGGAAAGAAAAGTGCAGGTCTTGCAGTTTGACTTCCGCTCTCCCTAAATATGCTTTTTTATTGAAACAACCCGATCGCGAGTTGTACAGCACAACAGCACATGGGAGGTGATCAGCGATCAAAAAGCAAACAGCTGCTACATAGAGCAGAAAATAGAATTATGTGGGAAAGTGCTGCGCGTGCTGATTAAAGTGCAATTTTTGTTGTTGCCTGCACGGCTGCATCTCGAAAAGTACCTGCATAGGGTTAGGTTAGGTTGGTTATGAAAAAGTGTGAGTGCAGCAGGGTGCTCTAGAACTAGAATCCGATGCTCGCTCTAGCTTCGCGAGCTACTTGTCGAGATGAGCTGGACTGGATAGGACTGTGCGTGCATACATACTGGTACTCTACAGCCTCCATTATTGTTGCTCGGGCCTGCTGCGAGAAGTAGAGAAAACTCGCAGAGTCGCTAATCTGATTCTGCTGCAAACTGCTGCTCTACGAGTCCAGGTACCACAGTAGCCTGTAGGCCGGTACTCTACGGATCGCAAGGGATATCATGTCAAGATCGAAACAGAATACCCGTTTCACGCAACCAACAGGACAACCCACAGCCAACCTTCCAACCTGCCATCTTTTTCAGATAGATGGACGCAAAGGCAAAGGCAAAGGCACACGCACCCGTGCCGGCCAGAATCCCAAGAGTAGAGCACCTACAGGTAGCCAACCACCATGACGAATCCTGGCGGAAGCCAGGCCGTAAGGAGGTGCGCTCAATGGTTCAGATTGAGTGCTTGGAGGTAAAATGATGAGCTGGACGTGGTCACCGAGGCACATAACCACGCTGTGATTACCCTACCTGCCTGCCTGCCTACTTTGAGAGCCGTGATGGGAATCGTGATTACACTGCAATGTAGCGAGCGAACAGGCACACGCATGGTACATGAACTCTATGCACAAATTCCCCAACCAGACAAACAGCAAGACAGCCAGATATCAACAACGTACGAGAGTTGTGTTACTCTACAGACTTTTTCTACTCTACCCACTATAATATGCAGGTACACGGACCTTATCTCAACCAGAACAGACATCACGCATAGAAACGAGGAGGCTCAAGGATGGAAGAAAAGACGAAAGAATAACGAAAAAGATAACGGGGGTGGTAGAAGAAGGAGGTTGGAAAAATTCAACAACCGGGAGAATTAACTCAGCGCATCGACGTTGTGGTCGAAGAAGTGGAAGAAGACGACGACTTTGCGCCATCCTCCACTGTCGGCATCGTTTCCTGGGCTAAAAGGCGCACACGCTAGTCGTTAGTCGCAGTCCCCCAACCCCAACACGCATGAAACAGCTGGCTGGCAACCCCGGGGCCTTCCCCGCAAGCAAGCAACGTGCATCCCCGCCACCCCGCCCCACGCCAGAAGGTGGGAAACCGCAGAAAGGAAGGGACGGAAGACGAAAGAAAAACAGAGAAAATACGCACCTGCCCAAAGGGTGGAGTAAACGCCGCCAGAATTAATAAGTTGCTCGTGAGTGCCTGGTTTCTCGGCAACGGTACCGTCTTTGAGGACGATGATTTGATCTACGGAGAAAAGAGGGTTAAAACTTAGTGTGCTGTTCTGGAAGGTTGCGAGTGTGTTTGGCGTGATGTGGGGGAGTAGTCTCACCGCTGTCGTAGATGGTGCGGAGGCGGTGCGCAACAAACACGCTGGTTCGCTCCTTCTCTTTCAGGATGGAGTTTATATTGCTGAGCAGCGCTTGTTCCGTGTGCGTATCAAGTGCGGAGGTCTACATTCCTATCAGTCCGCCGCTACAATCAGGATCTCGGAAGTGGCAACGCACAGCTTCATCAAAGAACAGAAGAGGCGGGTCCTTCAAAATAAGTCGCGCGACTGCAAGCCTTTGCTTTTCGCCACCTGTGATATTGTTCCTTGGTTAAGTCGGGAGCTCTAGAAGTTTTGAAAAGTAGGAATCGTGGGGACCAGGCTAGTCACCTGAGATCATCATGCCACGCTCCCCGACCATCGTTTGATAGCCCTCTGGGAAAGAGGAGATGATATCATGAATTTTCGCCCTCTTGGAGACGCATAAGACCTCCTCGGACGTCGCATCGATTCTGCCGTAGCGGATATTATGCTCAATGGTGTTATTGAACAGTGGAGTGTCTTGCGGTACGACACCGATACTCTTGCGCAACGACTCCATAGTCACATCCCTGATATCCTGACCGTCGACGAGAATCCTGCCTTCATGCACATCATAGAAGCGGAATAGCAAGCGCAGGATGGTTGATTTACTGCGCCGTACATATCATCCATCAGTAACCAACAATTGCCTTTATGCGCTTGAATATGGTAAAAAGAAAAGGCTCACCCGCAACCGCTAGGCCCCACAATCGCCGTCTTCTTCCCCGCCGGGATCGTAAAGCTCACGTTCTTCAAGATCGGCCTATCTGGGTGGTACCCAAAGGTCACATTCTCAAAGACGATCTCCCCGCCCTTAAACTCGAGCGGCTTCGCATTCGGCGCATCCTTGACCGCCACATTGACCTTCTGCAGGTTGAACAGCGTCTCCATGTCCAGCAGCGACTGCCGCAGCTCGCGGTATACCGAGCCTAGAAAGTTCAGCGGGACCGACAGCTGGAAGACGAGCTGGTTGACCATCACAAGGTCTCCGACTGTCAAGCTGCCTTCTGCGACGCCTTGGCAAGCGAGGTACATCATTGCGGTGAGCGCGGAGGAGAAGATTATGTTTTGGCCGGAATTAAGGAAGGCCAGTGATGTGGCTACTTTGATAGACGCCTTCTCGTAGGCCTTCAGCGCAGCGTCGTAGCGGCCGACTTCGAATTTCTCGTTGTTGAAGTACTATCATCCATCATGGCTATCAATCTCGGGTTTGAGCAATTGGCGGTCAGGGAATAGATATACCGTACCTTAACAGCCTCGTAGTTAATAAGAGAATCAACTGCCACAGTCGCAGCTTTGTTGTCAGCGGCATTTGCCTGCTTCCTAAACTTTGTCCTCCACGACGTTGTCTTGATCGTAAAGACCGAATACGCAAGCATCGTCGCCGCCGTGACCGCCGCAAAGCTAGGCCCGTATTTATATGTCTCTGCCACTTAGCCATCTTCCCATAGAGCTCTACCCGGAGGGGTCAATGACAATCCTACCAATATCCCACAAACCATGGATATCTCCAAGAATATGGGAATGATATGAAACACCATGGACGTGAGCAAGAAGCTGATCCCCTTCGTCCCTCTATCAATCGCCCTACTCAGCCCTCCCGTCTGCCGCGACAGATGGAAATTCAGGTCCAGGCGCAGCAGGTGGTCAAAAACGTTGCAGGCCACCTTCCGGATCGCCTTCTGCGCGACATTGGCAAATATGGCGTTTCGGAGCTCCTGGAACGCCGTCGCTCCTACCCGCGTGAGGCCATCTTGAGATTAAAAAACATTATTTTAAGCTTTGCGGTACGAGAGGGGAGATTGAGGCTCGTACATGCTACTATGATGGCGCCAGCGGTGGTCCACACGGTGCCGCCGAGGGCGAGGAAGTCGACGTTCATGGAGTCTACGATGGTCTTGAAGAAGAAGGGCACTTGGACGTTGAGGATCTGATTGGGATCAGTATCGTAGTCCCGCGCAGTCCATCCTCTTGCTATACTCTCCCTTATGCTCTACACAAGTACAAGTAGCTATAGAAACATACCTTTGCGCCTACTAGCAATCCTAGCGATAGCCCGACCCGGACCTTGACACCTAGATCGTCCTATCACCATTTCCTTTCTCAACAACTACGCTCTACAAGAGAACCGGGGGGTAAACAAGGAGCAAGAACGAAAACCCCGTACTTTCGGCCATAGGTACTTTGACATCTCCTTGATGATGCCCCAATCGGCCTTCCTCTGCTCCTTCGTCGTGAGCTCCGCCTCCGCCAGCAGATTCGTCTTCTTACTTGCGTCGCCCGCCAGCATCTTTGCCGCGGCCTTCTTCTGGTCCACCGCTGCCGCGAGTGTCTTTTTTTCCTTCTCGGTGCTGATGGCGCGCCATTGCTGCGTCGAGGCGAAGGTGCGGGTTAGGGTGGGTCGTGCGAGGAGGTGGTGAAGGTGGTGGTAGTGGTGGTGGAGACGCCCTTCCCGCGCAATTGGCCGGAGAATGCTGGCCGAGAGCATCGAGGGATGGAGCGGTTGGTAGATTTGCGAGGAGCTGTTGAGGGGGAGCTTGGGGGGAGCTTGGAGGGGTCGTGGTGGGGGTTGTGGTTGGTGTTGTAGGCACAATGACGCCAGGGAGGAGCCGCATGGGGTGCTTGCTGGAGCTTCAAGTAGTGTTGGGTGATTAGTCAGTGATGAGTCATTATGTAAGTTTAGTGGTAAAATCGCAGTAGAAGGTAAGTTACTGTAGATAAATAGTGCCCCGGGATTGTGATATTGTTCTTTTGATGTGGTGCTTTTTTATTAGTGGTATTGTGAGACGTGGTTTGGTCCGTTTAGGAAGGCATTCACTATTGTCATTGACACCCCAAGCTTCGTCACATATGAGTTAAACATATATACTAGAACTTGGTATTTTAGTGAGCTCAGAAACCTGAAGAGCAATACCTGCGCCCTGTCTAGGTCTCTACCGATGTTAATAATAGATAAATGGTGATTTGTGATAACCAGATGCTCCTATCTCGATGGACTGGTCCGTTGTGGAACCCAAGATTGTAGGTTTCTGTTCGGCGGAGATGATGAACTTGGTTGATTTACAAGAGGAGTGGTCCTTGTTGTCCTATAGATATCTATTTAATGTGTTCGTGTCCTCTTCTTAGAGTCTCGTTGTCGAGCTAGGTGAAAAGAATACCGGTGTCAGTGCGAGTGATATTCTATGACTCGCCCGCCCCTGTCCCTATACTAGCTCAGAATATACGCCATACGTGGTTAAAGAGCACCAGTAACTTAGTTGTCACTAAAGAAGCTCTATACTCAAGTTTGTGAGAGAACAACTCTCTCTCCTCCCGTCATCAATACAAGCAACTACATACATGTATGAACCAACTTCCCAAGTTGTTTCCCACAACGACCATCAGAGCCACAACGACAAGAAACTCCAGCCATACCTTAATACCCTCCCCCGAACAGCAATGTCATGAACGATGCTACGTTCTAAACCCCCCGAACAGGAGTATCTCCGGGGCCGAACCTTGAACTTCTTCATGAAACACACTACCCCGAGACCGGAGTAAGCGGGAGAAACGCTAGTAATTTAAACGAGCATGCAAAAAGCGTTGTGGTATTAATGCATGTAACCCCTAGAGCACCGCTACCTGTCCATGGCCGGCCGTCCGAATTCTAGGACCCTACCGGTACTGCTGGGGTAGCAGAAATGGCATGGCGAAAAGACCGTACAATCAAGGCGCTTGCGCGGGCGTTGGGGGGATATAAATACTCGTCTGACCGGCGCTGTCGGGTGTTGCATGTAGAAGTGTCGGCACGTCCCCCCTGCCGGTAGGTTCGGCGATACAAATCGCTACTAGCTGGGCTCTGACACCCAAATAGTTGCTGTAATATTAGATTCCACTGCCGCATACGGAAAGTGAGGTGCGGGGGCCGGAGGTGGCTACATAGGCCAGCGGGCGGCCGGGACACTATTATCGTTGTTTATAGGGCTAGGGTTTCCCATATTTGCTCACAGCAATCATTACCAGTCAGACCATCATTGACCCTCGTTATAAAACCTCTACTATTAATATCACCAGAACCAAAAGGATACTTCTACCTATATATTCATTACTACCTAGACACCTTTACAACCTTGGCGGCTTCTCTATAACAAACCACCTCTTCACCTCCCCATCCTCCTCGCACCTCACCCCACCTTCCCCCTTCACCTTCTCTAGCACCTGCACCACCCCTCTCTCCGCGGCCTTCACCAAATCCCCCTCCAACCCGCGATAAACCTCCGCCACCACCTCCCCCGCCGTCACCCCCTCACTCCCACCCCACAACCCCGCCAACTTGCTCCTCTCCTGCCGCTTCTTCAGCACGTTCAGCACCTGCGCCTCCCTCCCCTCCCGATGCTTCAAATACGCCGCCACCCGCCCCCCCAAATCCTCAATCACCGCGCCATGCGCCGGATACGCCCGCTTCGCCCCCAACCCTATCAGCCGCTGCAGCGACCCCACATATGCGCCCAGGTCCTCAAACACCGTCGTCCCATGGCCCAACACCGTGTCGCCCGTGAACACGGCGTTCTCCTCCGCGAGGTGGAAACACATGTGGTCGGCCGTATGGCCGGGCGTGTGCACCGCTGTCAGTGTCGCGCCGGGCACGCTGAACACCTGCCCGTCGGCGATTGGAAGATGGGTGGGCGCGGGTGTGTGTTTGTACACCTCTGTGTCGGGGGAGGAGGAGAGCAGCGCGGGGATGCCGCCGGTGTGGTCGCCGTGGTGGTGCGTGATGAGGCATGTGGGCACTGTTGCGGCCTCGTCGGCGAGCACGGTGAGGAGGGTGCTGTGCCAGAGGGGGCTGCCGGCGGCGGTGTCGAGGAGGATGCGCGTGGGGCCGGTGCCGAGGAGGTAGGTGTTTGTGCCTTGGAGGGTGAACTGCATTGTGTGTTAGTAGTGGGGTGGGGTGGGGTGGGGTGGGGTGGAGATTGGGGGAGAGAGACCTTTCCAGGGTTGTGGCCGAGGATGCGGATTACGGATGGCGAGAGACGTTCGGTGGCTGGCAGGGCGGGGAGGGAGGCGAGCTGGGCGGTGAGGAAGGCGTCGTGCGGGTGCTTGGGTTCGACCATTGTGCTGCTGCTACGGCGGTGTGGAGGTGTGGTTGTGGGTGTGGTTGGCGGGGTGATGGGTGCGAGTGTGGGGAGTGCTGTTGCTGCTGCTGTGAGAGCTCTGGATGCGAGTCTGCGTGCGAGCATGGGAGCTACACAAGCTGTTATATGTATCACTGACTGACTGCAGCTGGCATACACAGAGACACAGGGTATTCTCCCCTATTTGTGATTATCTATCACTAATTGTACCCGAGGTAACTCTGACTCTGCGCGTGGGAGTCGCGTAATCATCCAGCTGTCTGTCGGCATCACAAGCCGGAGGGAGCTACAGAGCTGCAGAACCTACTAAACAATCATTTCCCCTCTCCCACCCACCCACTACTGGTAATGATCACGACAGCATGAAAAAAGATCTACATGCAAAGGAGTTGCGTAAAAAAAAAAGAAACTAAAAAAAATAGAAAAAGAAAAAAAAGAATCGATTTCAGCGTAATACGCTTGATGCCGTATATACACAATCTACTGAGCAAGCCATACGTACTGCACTCTACTGTTCTGTCTGAACAACAAACCACACTTGATATATATATATCCACAAAAAAACCTAAAGAAACAAAAAGCACTGGGCACGGAGGTGAAGTTAGAGGGGGCAGCAGGGGCTCTAGACAAGGTCGTGCTCCACGTGCAGATACTTCCTCTCCTCCCTCTTCTCCTTCTCCGTCATTGGCGGCAGATCATAGTACGACGCCGGACTATCCCCCACCATCATTAGCAAACATCCCACCAAACACAACCCAGCTCCCCCTACACGCAAAACAGGAATACACATACCGGAAGTGTCTAGTATACTGATACGCAATATCATCCACATTCTCCGGCGTAATACCCAAATCCTCAAACGTCCTCGCGGCCGGGTCGATCTTCTGGTCGATAAACTCGCGCTCCACCTCATCCGGCGCGATCGTGGGCCACCACACATAGTCGAGCGCGCGCGCAATGCCCTTCAGCACGGGCTTGGGGAGGTTGACGTGGCGCCGGTTGTGGATGATGTCGCGGTCGACAATGTGCGCCAGCTCGGCCATGGAGTACTCCTGCGGGCCGAAGAGCTCGAAGGTCTGGCCGGCCGTGTTGTCGTCGTAGGCGATGGCCTGAAGGGCTTTGCCGACGTCGGTGACGTGCACGGGGCGGAAGCGCTGGGCCATGTTGTTGGCGGTGAAGAGGTTGGTGACGCTGGCGAGCTTGAGGAGGAGGCGGTCTTCGAAGCCGAACATGGGGGAGGGGCGCACGATCGTGGTTTCAGGGAAGATGAGGCGTGCGTCTTCTTCCGCGCGGCCCTACAGGTGGGGGGTTAGTAGAGGTGGAGTGCGGGAATGTATGTGGGGGGGGATTGTGTATGGAGGGGGGGGGGGGTGCATGGGGGGAAAGCATACCTTGGTGGCGTAGAACTTGGAGGGCGACTTGGGGTCGGCGTTGTAGGAGGAGACTTGGATGAAGCGGTCGACGTCGTATTTTGCGACTGCCTCGGCGATGCGCTGGGTCCCTTCGACGTGGACGTCCTCGTATGTGAAGTTCCTAACACAGTCACCGTCAGCCACCAGCCCTCATAATCAAGCAGTAAGTAGATAGTAGCGAAAAACATACTTGGTGGTGTAGTCACGGCCGATCAAGTTAAAGACGATATCCGAATGCCTCACGCTCTCCTCAATCGACGGGGTGTTTCTCAGATCAAACTCCTACACCCCCCACCCCCACATATCAATATCCATCCCAACTATCCCATTCCACTCCCGGTATCCACGGCGCAGGAAACACTCACTATAAACACAACCTTCCCCAAATCCCCGGTGACCTTCAAATGGCGCTTCGTCATCTCCTCGCGGTACGGGATCACAACCGTGCACCCGGAATTAGCTATCCTCCCGCCGTCCAGTCAGCCCCATACCCATACCCATACCCCCGATATCCCGCCCTGCCCTGCCCCTCCCTTCTACTCCACTCCACTCCACGACTCCAACCAGGGTGGTCATACCGAGTTTGTTGACAATATATCTCCCGAGGAATCCAGACGCTCCGAAAACAGTGACAGTGTGGCCTGTCCTCCGAACTCAATTAGCATCCCCCCGCCTACCTGCCCGCCATATAGAATGATCCAGGTGTTAAACAACGAACCTCCAATCGAAGACCTATACTCCCCACCGTTAGCACCCGGCCACCCGTAGACACACCGCAAGTAGGATACTCACCTCCCGCCGGACGGCTGGCGAATGATCGGCTTCCCGGTTCTCGTGATTGCGATATCGTGGATGGCCCTCTTTGTCGCCAGCATCATGCGCGGGCCAACGGCCGGCGCCCACGAGCTCCGTGGCACAGCGGAAAACAGGCACCTCTGCATATTGTTGTTGAGGTGTGCAAGAAAAAAAATGAGTGGAGAGAGGGTTAAGGGAAAAGGAATTGGGGGTCGGGGCGGCGGCCTTTTACAGGAAAACTGAAAGGCCGGTAGGCGGGATATGTGGGTGGTCGTCGGTCAGGGTGGAGGTGCGGCCCCACCACGTGATGTGGGTGGTTGCTCCGCTTACTCATCGGGGGGGGGGGGGAACAAGCAGGCCAGGGTCAGGGCTCACTGGTTGGGTTGGTTGCTGTGTGAATCCATCCCACCAAGATGTAAATGATAGAGATCACAACTACAACTACCCACCTATTCTATCCTATCCCATCCTATCCCATCCCATCCACGCACTACCTCACCCACCCACCACCACCCCACTGACTGTGCTCCATCAATCAATCAATCAATCCATCATCAAACTCTATCCCCACCACATCAGCAGCCATGGACATCGACCCCAAGCCCGTTCCCGAGTTCCTCACGCAGCAGCGGGACGAGGTAGCCCCGCCCAGCCTGCAACCGCTCTTCATCGACTTTGAGGACTACTGGGAGCGCAAGCTGTGGCACCAGCTCACGGGCGTGCTGCTCCAGTTCTTTGAGCACCCCGACAGCGCGCCCCAGCGCATCCCGCTCTACAAGAACTTTGTGCTGTCCTTCTCGGACAAGATCAACCAGCTCAAGCTCGTCACGCTGGGCCTGTCGGCGTCGAGACAGTGCAAAGGTCCGTCCGTCCGTCCTGTCCTGTCCATCTTCAAACAAGTCGCACGCTGCACAGAATAGAACAAGAAAAACTGATGATGGTGATGATGGTGATGGCGGGATTACAGATAACCAGGAGGCACTAGAGTTCCTGACGGCACTGGCGGAAAAGGTGAATCGGGACGACTCGAAGGATGCATATGTCTATGCCACGGTCGAGGTAGCTCGGGTGAAGCTGCTCCTGAGAGATCTGGAGGGTGCACGGAAAGCCCTGGATGATGCCGAGAAGCATCTCGAGACCTTTGACTCTGTCGAGTCCGTCGTCCATGCTTCATTCTACCGCGTGAACGCCGATTACTATAACGTAGCTCCCTCCCCCCACACCCCGCCACATATAGAGCTAACAAGCCCACCCCACCCACCCGCAGGCAAAACTCGAATTCGCCTCCTACTACAAAAACGCCCTCCTCTACCTCGCCTGCGTCAACGTCTCCGACCTCAGCACCCCGAGCAGCAAGAACGCGCCTACAACCTCTCCGTCGCCGCCCTCCTCGGCGAGACCATCTACAACTTCGGCGAGCTGCTCCTCCACCCCATCCTCGACTCGCTCAAAAACACCGAGCACGCCTGGCTGCGCGAGCTGCTCTTCGCCTTCAACGCCGGCAACCTCGCCGGCTTCCACGGCCTCTCCGGCCACCTCTCCAAGCAGCCCCTGCTCGAGCAGCAGTCCAAATTCCTCCGCGAGAAGATCTGCCTGTCTGCTCTGACGGAGGCCGTGTTCCGCCGCCCGCCGCACGACCGCGCAATGTCGTTTGCGACCATCCTGGAGGAGACGCGCGTCTACCCCGAGGAGGTCGAGCATCTGCTCATGAAGGCGCTGAGCTTGGGCCTCGTGCGCGGCAGCATTGACCAGGTGGCCGAGGTGGCCAGGATCTCGTGGGTGCAGCCGAAGGTGCTCGATAAGGACCAGATTGTGAGTATGAAGCAGAGGCTGCTAGACTGGGATGAGAGCGTGAATAAGATGGGTGCGTGGATGGAGACTACGTTGGCGCCGCCGGCGGAGGCTTAGGTTGTGTGTTGTTTTACTTTTTCGCTTTGCTTTGCCGGGGATGGGCGGGAAATAGTAGAATAAAATTTGGCTTTTCCTGTATGGGTTGATCAGGGGAATAGTATCCGTAATTGCTATCGACTATTATTGGTGATGGTGATGTTCCTGTCGTTGCTTTGGGACAGAAATGATTTGATCGACATGGCTGAATGAATATCACGAATGTTAACCAAAAATAAATGTTTCTTGGGGGCCGGAGAATCGATTCTAGCTAGCTTATCAAGTGTAAAATCCTTCTGCAGTTCCACTATTTCGTCCTACACTCTTCAATTCTGCATCTAAGCTTACGTAGAGAGTTAGAATATGTTAGTGAAAAATGATAACCCTAGCTCTGAAGTAGGCTACATATAATTACATCATCTCCTTGGAGCTCCTACAGAAGCCTAGGATGGGCAACTCATTTTAAACCAATCCTGAGTAACGTCGTTTCAATGGTATGAGAAGTTCGATACTGCATCACTGGGAGGCTTACGCTCAGACTCTCGTCTACTCTGAAAGTCACCAAATAATCATTACCACAAGACACCACCCCGCCCACAACCACATCTCGTCACATCACATCACTAGAACACCCTTCACAGACCAACATTTACTATAGCTATAAACCCTTTCCCATTTCAATCTATGTAATATATTACACTCCCCCCTTTCACCCTTCACCCTTACCCCTCACGCCTACCCTACGACCTGATAAAAGCCCTAAAGTCCGAATCCTGAAACTCGGTCTTCCCATCCTTGGTCACAATCGCAATCTTCAGCGCACTCGGATGCCTACCACTCGACGCACCCACCGGCCACACATCCGCCGCGCCGATCGTGATCTTTTCCGATGACGACGAGGAGGAGGGGGAGGAGGATGGGGAGGAGGATGGGGAGGAAGAGGGCGCTTCAATCGCCTTGGTAGCTATCGGCGACGGAAGCAAGCCAGGCTCGATGTCTGCAAGCTCGCTAAAGTCCTCCTTGCGGAAGACCTCGAAGAGGCGTGCGGTCCGTGACTGCACAAGGATTGTGCTGGGGCCTTGGAAGCGGAGGAAGAGCTACACCTACCGCATCAGCACCGCCGGGGACGGCTCAAGTAGAAAGGTAGGGGAAGAGAATGGAGGGGGGGAAAGCATACCCTGTCGCCCCAGATGGTCCTTCGTGACCAGGCCTTGATGCCAAAGAGTGTTCTGGCAATGGTCTTGTACATGTCCGACTCTTTTATCTTCCGGATAAACTCCACCTCCGGCAGAAACCGGCGGATCATGTTGAAGCGAGGAATCTGCAGACGGAGCGAAGTGCTCTTGAGTCTATACGGCACTGGCCGGGAGGGGCCGTTCATGGAGTATGCGAGGAGGGCGCTGGGGTGGATTGTGTACTCCTCGCCCGGCTTGAGGGTGACCTGGTAGATCTGTCCGCGGCCGATAAGGGCGACGAGGCCGCGGCCGGTGAGCTTGGAGTTGCCCCAGTGGGCCAGACTCTGGGATTGTTAGTGGGAACTGATTTATGGGTTCTATGATGTAGGGAGGGAGGGCTCTACCATTTTGTGGCTGATGGTGGGCTTGGAGGAGATGGAGTGGCCGGTCCAGGCGAGGAGTGCGTCGTTTTGTGTCAGCATCCAGTCGACTTTGCCGTCGAGCTCTATGATGCCGAAGGTGGTGTGGGGGGTGTTTGTAGATATTAGACATGTGAGTGGGGTGGTGGAGGATATCTGTTGAGGGTTGTTTGTATCAGCATTTTTGTTTGCGTCGTAGTATCGATTCGTACTGGATGATATAGATGTTGCCGTAGCATTGGGGCCTTATCATACTTTCTGGTATAGAAACGGGACCCGTAGAGCTGCCCTTCTGAAGGGCTCCAGAATCGATAACGTTGAGACTGCCTGCAACAAGTTTACACGGTCAGATAAAGAACTTTCCACAAACCCGTCACAACCCCTCCAAAAGACTCCTCACATTCTCAGTCTGCCCATTGATTCCCACCAATGTTCCTCTCCTCGAGTACAGCAATGAGGAAGCCGGTAGAGCTACCGACAGCATAGAATACGGAGCTCCCAGGACCTCAAACCTTACATCTAAACCCACACCGCGCAATTAGTTCCCGCCCCCACACAACCCCAGCAGAAAGGATGGACCGCCCTGCAACTCACCAGCCGGGAAGGGCCCCGCTCCGCTCAACTTCGGGATTGCCTGTGTCTGCTCCGACAGGTCCACCGGGCCGTCGATGGATGACGTTGACGGCGTTGCCTTGATGTGCACATTCCTCCTAGTGCATTGGCGAAGCCGGAGTGGAGCCACGAGGAACGGGCGGACAGTTGTGTTGCGGGCGGCGGCGGCGACGGCGGCCATGGTGTGTTTGGTGTTTCTAGTGATGGAACGAAGCTCGCTCGTGAGCCTCATTCATTCATTCGTCGTAGGGATTTTTTTGAGGTAATGATTTTTTCCGGTTCGGATACATCCTGGACTGGACTGTGGTGGGGGTTGGGGGTGTTGCTGGGGGGGACGTCGTTATGGCGGTTCCGACTGGGTGGGGAGACTCGCTTATGGCAACGGCGGGAACCACGTCAAAAATTAGCCCCCACGAACCAGCCAATGATCGGCCTAGGCGAGAGTAATGATAGTTTGGAATGGTTTTTTTTTTAGCAGACTTGGAAAGAAGCTTCGCTTGGAATTGGGATATATTTATGGGATAGGGAAATTACGGCACATGCGCCTGTTTCGACTGCCCACGGGTCTCAACACCGAGCCGTCAGTGTATATAGAGCGGTTACTGATGTCTATTTAAGTCTCGGTCCCTTCCCTATTTCTAGTTATAGCTACTAATATGTTTATCGCCTTATCTAAGCTAATTGTCTTTATATGCTGTCTTCATCTATCACTAATAACAGCTCCCTACAGTCAGTGCTACATACATGCGCGTACGTACGCTTATGTTGGAGATCGAGAAGCTTAAGGGAAAAGCTTATTCCATTGGGACAAAGCTTTATGCATATAACTTTCATTGAGTAACCAGCACTGCGTATACTTTCCAGGTTTCAATCGACCGAGCCCGTAGTACCTGCGGACTAAGAACCGAAAGTCTCTATCAACGGGATAGTATACACCTTTAGTTGAAAAGCATACACCATTGCAGCGCCACCCACAGCCTAAGTCACGTCACAACCCATCACTCGCTCAGGTTGTCCCATATGGCCATCCGGATTTTTTTATTCACCATACCCTAGCTTACACTATCTAAATACAAAACACGATCTTATTAACACTTTTCTTATTTGTGGTACGGTAAAGCATTGACTCTTTTTCTAAGGCCACGCTTGACGTGGTTGGCTTTTAATCTTTATCTAGTAACATAATTTTAAATAGTCATACCTCATTATCTTAATCGAATTAGACACAAGCTATATGCTTATTCCACTATAACTACCTTGACCCTCAATTAATCAACTTTAATGATTATTGATTACTTATACATATAGTTTATAGCATTTTAATATCATGTAAGATCATGCCACTCAAAGGTTTATATATAGATACCACACAGTTGACATATTAGTGATTTTACAAGATTCACATTATTAAAAATTTATTAAAATCTATCCGAGTGAACATATGGATGAGTGAATGTATCTGTTTATTCCATTACATCGCTGCACCCTATCTAACAACGGCTCGTCAAGGAGACAGCGCGCTTTTTATAGGCAACAACGAAAGCAAATCTTTGAAAGCCTGCCAAGCAAAAGCCAACGAGAACTCAAACTCGCCCGGAGTATGTGGTGGGCCATCCTTCCACGTTTCACGGTCGGCCTCCTCCTCGGGAGTCATCTTCGGGGTCTCCCACTGACGATAAGTGTAAGCGGGGCCGCCGAGGGGTTCAATGTCGAATTCCGAGAGGACAACTACGGTTGGTCAGTATACATGCACAACAAGAGATAAAGAGCGGGGGATAGGCTGAGACATACCTGGCGGCTCAGAGACTAACGGGGCCGGGGGGGCCGGGGGGGACGGGGGGGACGGGGGGGACGGGGGGGTGATTGGAGCGCTAGCGGCGCGTCTACTGGCTGCATTTGGTCAGCGCTGCGGACTATAAAGTAGTGGGAGAGTGAACAAACCAGGATCCCAGTGTTTTGGTGGAGGCCCTGATGCTCCGTAGTCAACCGCGGGGAAAAACTCCCTGGTTTGGAGCTGGGACCCTGTGGGCTTATTCACTGTGTTTGGTCAGTTTTAAGGGCTTTGATGAGGAGGAGTGAAGAGACAAACCAGGAGCCCAGCGAGTTGATGGAGGCCCAGAGGCCCCGAAGTTTACTACAGGGAAAAACTCCCTGGTGTGAAGTCTCTTATGAGGCTTGGAGGGTTGCATTGACGGTGCAAGACCGTTTCCAAGAGCGATAGACTCGCTCTTCGAGTCTTGCCCGTAGGCTGAGGCCGCGAACACCCCCCCAACAAGCAAAATGATGTTCTTGAGAAGCATTTTGGAATTGGGACTTGTTAGATCTGTTGCGTTGTATTTGCAATTGGATGTTGGCGGGTTTCTTTTCCAGATGGAGGGATATGCAGCCTTTTATACACATAGACTCCCTCTTTTCTTCGTTGGGCAATGTCGTATTGATTACCTCATGTCTCGAGGTGTTTAGTCGTTGATTTGATAATTGCGCAATTAGTAGATTTAGCGTACTACTTTTAGGTTGTAAAGAGAGGTCGAGTGATATTCTGTGTTCGGATGACCAGCCGCGACGATCATCTCGGAGGTTTTGTAGGAAAATAACAAGATTTGATCAGATTGCGCCGGATCGAAGTGTATTGATGATGATGACGAAAAGAAAGGAGAAGAGAGAGACGCAATATATAAATAGGCGACGACAAAGACTACGTAGTAGCTACTGGAGAGTACTGCGCCCCTGTGATCTGTCTTGTCCTCTATGTACCCAGGGGTACCCAAAAGTGATGCAACGGCTTGGAAATATAGGGTGAGGTCTTAGTGAATTCGCAACCACCTTACATGTAATTTCTTTCATTTTGATGTGATTGATGAATTCTTCATACTCTCTTTACTTTATATACTATATATCGCTACTTCGTTAAAGTCAAAGTTGGGTTGCATGTGGTTGAAATCGTGAGTAGTAAATTGAGTCGTTGCATTACTTTCCGGCACCTCTGGGTACATTACTTATTCATTTGTCAGACAACTTCGTCGCAACGTTGATACCACGGACCACACTTCTTTAGACTAGTGTACTTGCACTTTCAAAGGGCTTTTGCTCAGAAGAGCGCAGACCATCATCGCCGGTGATTAATATGATTGTAACGTCATCATGTAACTTCGAATTACTAGCTTCGTTCAAATTTTTTTTTTGTTTAATATTGATTGCATGCAGTAGCTTCGTTCAATTGGCCATTTTGGGGTTTTCTGGAGATGACCCAACAACGCCGTCATAAGAGCTTAATCAGGTAATAAATAATTATAAATAAATATCGGAAGACAAATATGTAGAGGACAGATTTCGTAAACTATATGGGTGACAGAATTCGACCTTTTCGCTAATAGACATACATGTACACATCAGACATGTAACTTACATGTAGTAATCTGCGAAACGCGTCACTCACGAATGGGCTTTAGCTGAGTACAAGTATGTTATATATGTAATCAGGGTGACATGTAAGCTGTACAAGTAGTACATCTACACAATTTCATACGCCTACGTTGTACAATGTGTAATTACATGTAGTGCAAACCAGAGCCCAACTTGGTGGTCTCTCAAAAGACTGAGTGGCCGTGATTCACAAACATTCCTAGGCATATTGGGGTATATTTCATCATTGTAGGCTCCATATGGACGGGTAATAATGTTATGGAACATTCTGTCAGAACTGAAGGAAAGGCTACTTCCCACGCGCTTCAAACTGTACGCAAATGATCTAAGATGTAAGCTGGACATTCTTATATCGATGTGAGGTGTCAGAATATATCTGCAACAATCAAGCACAAGTCGACCATGAGTCGTTAACTGGTATTCCAGAACTGCCAGAACTTGATTCGCCCACTCAATGTGAGGAATATCGTTAATTATTAGCTTTCTATAAATAGTCATGTTTAATTTCGATGTAGTTGGCTATAATATTAATTTATTATAAGAGCTGCTCGGGGTATTATTATCCCATTACCTTTTGTAAGAAGTATTTATAATTCGGGTAGAGAAGCCTAAGTATTATATAGTTGTTTTTATTACACAGGGATAAGCGAGACTGAGGAAACCCTAACTACATGTATGTGAGTCCCCTAGTTCAATTCCATAGAGACTCCATAGGGCATCGAGATGACACCTCTACTCGATCTTGGCTCATGACCAGGTATGTACTCTGGAAACCTTTTCAAAATTTAACTCATGACGTCACTATCAAAGCTTCACCTCTTGAAAACACGAACCCTTCAAGACCTGGATTGTGCGAGTGACGCGATATGATCCATCTGACTCACGAAAAGTGGCAAGTGTGGAGTCCCTTAAAGGGTTTTATAGTGGCTAGTGCTGATTCAGGCACACCCCCGAAGCAGATGCCTTTTGATGATGGGTAGAAACGGCATAAGAGATGTTTCAATGGCAATTTACCCCTCCAATTGGACCTTCTCAGGTGCACGTGGATGAGTAAGTGGTGGGGGACGGGGTTAACGCCTTTCCATGGTACGATATGAAATCGATCCGACCCCTTGGGACAGAGAAGCAGCTTCATGAAGATTCGAGTTATCACCAATTGCGTATCTTTCGGTCCGCTACCGAGGCAGAAACCCGAATTTGTCAACGGGGTTTAATTGTCAACGAACGACTGGACCCCAGCCCTTCGGAACTGATGGAAATTTATCGTGGCGCTCCTGTATGGCCCCGCTGAGTAATTTGTTGGGGATTCCGTATTATTTCTGTGGTGGCACGCGGACACCGGCTATCGTAGTTGCCAAGAGTCCTTACCCGGTCTGTGGAGGTTCCGCCCAAGAGGCCCCATTCGCTAAGTGAGAAACTTGAACTCCGGGTTTCTTCACTCACACTTCAAAAAAAGCCTCTTCTCCTTCCTCTTTCCTAGGAAGATTTGTTTTACCGTTCTACTCTTACCCTTCTACTCCATCCTCATCACTTTCATCAATTTCAGAGATATCTTTTAGATTCAATCTCTCTGGGCAGTCATGTTGAAGTCGTTTATTCCCCGACAGTCCCGCTCATTACTCCGGCCCTTGAACTCAGGCGCCCCCTCCGCCTTCTACCTTGTTCCCCGCAGAGGATTCGCCTCTGAGACTCCCGAACATGATGTAATTGTCATTGGTATGTGCAGCATATTCCTACGATAGGTGCTTGGAGGAAATGGTATGCTGGGAATAGCTGAGCTGACGGATGAGGTTTTATATAGGTGGCGGTCCTGGAGGATACGTTGCGGCCATCAAGGCTGCTCAGGAGGGATTGAAGGTAAGAGTTACCGATTACAGATTATACGGAGTTTGTAGGGGTTAACGGCGGGTTTTATAGACTGCTTGCATTGAGAAGCGTGGTGCTCTGGGTGGAACATGTTTGAATGTGGGATGTATCCCTTCAAAGTCGCTACTCAACAATTCGCATATCTACCACCAGATCCTACACGATGTAAAGAACCGTGGTATTGATGGTTCGTATACCTATTATGCGATATCCCGTCTTTTTATTTCGGAGTTAGGAGCTGAAATGCTGACCTCATGCAGTCGAGGGTGTTAAGCTCAACCTTACACAAATGATGAAGGCAAAGGAAACCTCCGTCTCCGGTCTTACAAAGGGTATCGAGTATCTTTTCAAGAAGAACGGCGTCGACTATATCAAGGGAACCGGTACCCTCACCGGCGAAAACGAAATCAAGGTGAATCCTCTCGATGGTGGAGAAGCTCAGACATACCGCGCAAAGAACATCATCATCGCCACTGGATCAGAGGCTACACCATTCCCAGGACTCGAAATCGATGAGAAGAGAGTTGTTACCAGCACAGGTGCGATTGCGCTCACAGAGGTGCCTAAGAAAATGATCGTTATCGGAGGTGGTATCATTGGACTCGAGATGGTTCGTATCCAATTTCTGGCAAATCTTTTAGCGGGGGAGAGTATGGCTGATAGCGAGGTTTAGGGATCTGTGTGGTCACGATTGGGTGCTGAGGTTACCGTGGTTGAATACTTGGGCGCTATCGGTGGCCCAGGTATGGATGCTGATATGGCCAAGACCATGCAGAAGATTCTCTCAAAGCAGGGCATGAAGTTCAAGCTCAACACTAAGGTTCTCGGTGGCGATGTCAACGCCGATGACATTAAGATCAAGATTGAGGCTGCGAAGGGTGGAAAGGAGGAGCAGGTAGGCTTAAGACTATAGTTAGTATATTTGCATAAACCTAAGCTAATCGCCGGTTTCGCAGCTCGATGCCGACGTTGTCCTTGTCGCTATCGGCCGTAGACCCTACACCTCCGGCCTTGGTCTCGAGAACGTTGGTATCGAAACCGACGAGAGAGGCCGTATTGTCATTGACCAGGAATACCGCACCAAGATTCCCCACATCCGCGTAATCGGAGATGTCACTTTTGGAGCTATGCTGGCGCACAAGGCCGAGGAGGAGGGTATCGCAGCGGTTGAGTACATCAGCAAGGGACACGGACACGTTAACTACGGCGCCATTCCTAGCGTCATGTACACCCACCCTGAAGCTGCCTGGGTTGGACAGACCGAGCAGGAGGTTAAGGCCACTGGAAAGCCCTACAACATTGGAAGCTTCCCATTTAGCGCCAACTCTAGAGCCAAGACCAACTTGGATACTGAAGGAATGGTTAAGTGAGTATATCATGCGATTATTAACTTTATTGTATCGGAGATTTGTTGCTAATATTTTCCTTTCTTCTACAGGTTTATCACAGACAAGGAGACCGACAGGATTCTGGGAATCCACATCATTGGACCCAACGCTGGTGAGATGATTGCAGAAGGTGTTTTGGCTCTTGAATACGGTGCATCTTCAGAAGACATTGGTCGCACAAGTCACGCTCACCCTACCCTCTCTGAGGCTTTCAAAGAGGCTGCCATGGCTGCCTACTCGAAACCTATCCACGCATAAACCATTTAATCTGTTGCGTGAATAGAGGGACGTGGGGCGATTCAAAAGGTTTGGGTGGGTGTTTTTCTTAGATTAGCGAAGAGACCTGTATGGGAGGTTGGGTGATATGGGAGCGTCTTTGTATTTTTTCCCTATGTTTTTTTTGTTTTCCTCTCTTGAAATATCACAAGCTTGTTCATACCATATCCTCTGTGTAGCACGTAAAGTGGGGTTTGAAGTTTTTATATATTTTTTCTTCTCAATCGAATCGTGTTTTGTGGGTTTGCAGGGGATATGAGGGGTAAGCGTTGTGTATGTGTGGGGTGTTCGGGTTCCCTACAGGCTACATACAGCAGACAGTTAGCGAGTATTCTAGCGACGCCCCGGCCTTGCATAAGGTGCATAAGAGCTTCAGCTTCTTTTTGGAGGCTTCAAGCTTTGGTTGCAACCATCATCTTGCAGAGTTCCAGTTGCGCACTTCGGGTCTTGCCGATTAGGTCATGTACCTAACGTTCCATCCCATCTTGAACGCTGCCCCTGTAAAAATTGCGACTGCACCCTGCAGCGCTTCGAACAAACAGCATATGACAATGCCATCCATGAAAGGAATGCTAATGGGAGGATGCATGGCGATTTTGACATTTGTGAAGCAAACAGAGGGGTAACTGCATCTCACCTCATCCCACTTTCCTTATTCTCACCTCACGATGTGATAACAGTGGGGAGATTATTGACTTGACAGGGGATGAGACAAACGCCCATGTGTTTGATAACCGCCCGCTCTTCACGGTTAGGCAAACGATTGCCCTGAGTGATATCCGTCCAAGACTTTCCCCTAAATTAATTCCCCCTCCCCTACCTACACTTACAATCGCGTTTTCCTCTGTTAAGACCTCCCACTGTCCACCGCTCATTCCCGTCTTTTTAATTTCCCTTTTTCACAATTTATCCTCTTCAGGTTTTCTCGTGGTCCCTATTTTTGTCTATCTATTGTTTTTGTTTTTTCCAACTGCTTGAAATCTCAGTTCTCTATTCGTGACTGACCGACACACACTCTCTCTTGAGACTTTGAGCTCTTCCTTCTTTTCATCGCGCTCTAAGTCACGTTCTCGGACCCATATCAAGCGTTCGTGATCCCGTGACTCCTCGGAACCCGTCCCTTCGAGTTCCAAGCATCTCGAGCTCTTTACTGTGCTTCGGTGCTACGTTTCCTCTTACTCTTGCAGTCCGGGAAACCGTATGAAATAGTTAGCCCACAATGATGCAAATATCATCGCCCTCCCAGCGAAAGTTCACGCCCGGCCCGCGAGGCCCCAGACGAGTCGCGTCGGTACCTGTACGTCTCGGTGCCGGCTTTGAAAAGGGAGGGAGTTCCTCATCAACCTCCGAGCAATGTGCCAGAGCCTCCTCTACTACGCCAAGCGGTGCCGCTGCTGCGAGCGCCCAGAATATTGATTTGTTGTTTGCGCACTCGAGTGCGAAGATTGTGAGCTTTAGTGCTGTGAGTTCTGGGGGAAGGCTCTTGCCATGGACGAGTCCAGCGGAGAGGACCATCGCGTCGGGTATGTTTGCTCCTTAAATAACCCGTCTTGGTGGTGGTGGAAAGAGCTGGGAGCTGATTTTATCAGGCCCTATTAGAATATATAAAACTATTCCTCATGACATTGCATTCTTGCAGTCTGGTTCAGCATTGCGGCCAGTGCTTTCACGTAGTCAATGCTGGAATGTGGATGGGCGGGGGACATTCTGTCTCCAAATCCGTCCTGGGAGTTTTTGGAGGCTAGAGATTCTTGAGTTTGTCACCGATACTGCTTTTAGTAGTGAGGGCTGAATGCTGATAGATTTTGTTAGACCAGAAGACGCTCCGGCCGTGAAAGCCATTGAATTCAGCGGTGTATTGGTGAAAATACTAGCATACGAAGTAACCGCCTGCCCTTTCCAAAGAACGGGGGAGAATTGTGTGAGTAGGGAGGCAGAAATATTTGGGACATTACAGCCCTCAAAGGTTTGGAGACGGCCAAGCAAGGTGGCTGAACTGGCCGACTTGGGAGAGGTCGAGGAGATATCGGTACAGGGGTTTGAGAAGAAGGAGCTTGTGGCAGAAGAAGAGGAGGAGGAGGAGGAGGCCGGTATTTTGGGTGGGCTGGAATCACCCCCCGCAAAGATCGAGGAATTAAAGGAAGATGCGACAAAGACACTAGTCGATATCTCACAAGAAGATGTTTCACACAAAGAGAGAGCTGTTCCATCATCTGTTGATCCGATGATGGAGTGGAATGGTTTCAAGACCCCAAACTTCAGTACCGACACAAATACATTCTCAACAATCAGTACGAGATCATCACGCACTTCCACACCATCCCCGAGCCGTCCTACGAGCCCTACTACCAAACGGCAGTCAAAGATCCAATCACAGGAAATACGTATCGCCAAACGTCGAGAGCGCGCGACATCACTCATAGACGTAAGAACCGAGCCCAGAATGTACACCAACCTTTCACAAGACTCACTCACTCCCTCAAACGCATCAACACCAAGTCTCTGGTCCGGCTCTGACTCCCAGTCCGAGGAAAACTGGTCAGAATCGGTCTCCACGCCTCCTCGAAACATCCCGCCACATCGCTTCGACCCAATCTCAACTACTACGAAACCACGACTGACACGCTCCGCCTCTCAAATAATGCTATCTGGAGGTGTCAGCATTGCAAATTTGGTTGTAATCAAGCCGTCATCATATATTGCAGGGCTGATGTTTTCCATTGCAGCCAAAATTGCTAGCAGGGCTGTGACGGGGGCTGCATATACATTGACAGAGAAGATATACTCCACAGATATGTCTATCGAAGCACTGGATGATGATGATGTGGAGACGGTCCTCGAATATGAGGACGATTATGGTGTTTACGAGAGGCCCCGGAAGACCCGTGTGGGTGCATGGGATGAAGACTGGGGCGTCGAATAGGCTTATTATGCATATATCTTGACGTTACTCAGTGAAGATGGGACGAGATTTATTATTTCATTCTTTTTACTAGGGAGGATTATAGCTTTATTTTTTTTTTTTTTTTTTCCATTTGTTGCCTTTTCCATTATATCCTAGGGGACGCTACTTCGATTCGCATCGGCATATTTTTCTCTCTTTTCATTTTCTTATCTTTGTTTCCTGCTGCATTTTTTTTCTGCCAGGTCACTCAGGCAATTTAGGATCTGGCGCGGGGTTTGCTTTTTTTTATATCCATTTTTTTCTTTATACGTTTGCGCAACGCACTGATATCATTTCTGTTTTATCGGGTTGCTGTCAATTTTTAGTATTACTTGTCTTTACTTTCCTTTAGCCGCGCTCAGGATAAGAAGAATTGAGGAATGGGGACGGGCCCTAGGGGCTGGAGTTTCCGTAGCCCCGCAATGTCTTTCACTTTGTATCAAGGGTGAGAAGTATTGATGCAGAGGCCCCGGTTGCATGTACGATAGGGTTCGAGATAGTGCAAGCACTTATTCAGGAAGAATAAATATAAATAATACCCATCAAGATACAATGATCTCTCTTCCAATGCCAAATTTTTGGATTGCGTGTTTCTCTCAGCGGCAAGAGAGAAAAAAGCTCTTTTTGAATATCAGCATAGTCAGTAACAGAATCAAAACAGTTATAAGCTTTACCGTAGTATCCTGGAACAAAAGAAAGTGCTCTGACTCGGAGTTGAACCGAGGATCTCAGCATTACTAGTGCTGCGCCTTACCAACTTGGCCACCAGAGCTTGTTGTAAGACTTGGATTTGCAATCTTAGTCGAGAAAATCTTGTCTCAGATAAATTAATTGGCAACCGAGTGATATCCTATGCTAAGCGTAACGCGCAAGCAACCCAACCGAGCATGCAGTTCCAATTCCGAAGACTTATTCACGCACATTTTAATTGAGCCTGACGGCGGGCTCCGAATTTTGAGTGCAGCATATATTAGGACAACGGGGAGGTTTACCGCTCATAACTCCAGGCCCAGACTTGTGAGTCCCTATAGAGACCCCCCCCCCCCCCCCCCCCCCGGGGACACGCAGAGATATATCTTGAGGCCCAAGAGACCTTAACAAATGGGGCGATAGGCATTATATATTGGAATTAAATCCACTTGAAAATACATTTCCGTATACCGGGGATAAGTTCAAGGCATTCATTTCGGTAAACATTCCTAGAGAAGTCCGATCGACCCGGGCGAAGCTTCGGAGAGGCGAGGTGAAAAACACCCGTATAAGAACCCCACTCATTCTTCGGCAAAGCTACCGGTATTTGTGGAGGCGGACGGCAAAATGAGCGCATAAGGAGCGGGGGCTACGATTAAAACAAGCACCGGGATCGCATCCTTAGAATACCAGAGGACACAGATGAAGTGTTAGCTTACGGGCCTTTTGGATTTACGGAAGTGCTCTGAGAAAGGCTGATGGATTGAATCGTGACGGCTCCCACCTCTAACCCGACAAAGAGGGTAGAGATACGTGATCTAGACCCCTAAGAGCAAGCGTCTTAAGTATGATTAGTGACCGGCCATTCAGGAAATTTCGACAGCTTGATATATATATATAGTAGAAAGGCTCTTTTATTTATGGATATTACTGCCCGGCATATTCTCGGATTAGAAGTGCAGCGTGCTGTGTTTTGTGTGTTAACTCTTATATGTGGGTGTAGTTCGTAAAGAATAACGGGTAGCATGCAAGTGGTACGGTAGATAGCATGTAGTAGAAGGGGCTTGCTCCTCTAAATCCTACTCCCAACCCAGTTGCCCAAGCCCTCCCCACCTACCCCACCCCCCTTCTTCCCTTACTTCTTGTAACCAGCGAACATTCACCCCTACCACCAACGCGAATAGCCCCTTTTCAGAGTGATTGGTAGCTTCAATGATTAAAAATTACCAAAATTTCGTTAGTTCCCACTTCCTCGGGAGCCGATGATGGGACTTCCTGGGTAACCGACCTCGAGCCGGGTGATATATAACGGTGGCTTTTCCGGGGTGATAAGTTGGGTTCTTCTGGGGCATATGCATGGCTTTAGCTCTGCGAGGTAATGTTTGCCCTCTAAAAAAAACTCTGCTATCCTTCCTATTACATCTGAAAATGACTAGAGAAAACACCACACGGAGTGAACACTCCCAATAATAGAAACATTGAAGATCCATAATATCTATAACAGAAGATGAGTTCCTGCTAAGTGCACATGTGGGCTACAGGGGAATACCAAGCACAAGTTTCTAGGTCATAATAAATCACTCGGATGCCAAGCCCTATCAATAACCTGGCTTGGCAGTTTTGAAATCCATCTTTCTAGCCAAATGCTTCGTAAGGCTTCCGCTGTCGGGTTTAAGATTGGATGTAGATATTTTGGGAGCTAGAATAATTGCCAACTCAGCTATTCGAATCGTGATAATTGTAGCCTCAACTCCAATCCCGCCGGACTCACGGCACACAAATCTCAATCTCCTTTCATGACCCAATAATTCTTTTTTGTCCCCTATTTTCTTAGTCTTCTGTACTCTACCGTTACCGCCGGTGTTAGGTAACTTTGCAGCGAGAGTTGGGCTTTATGTAATTTGGGTGTGAGGTCGGACTTAAGAATACTATAGGGATCGCACCGGGACAGGACGTCGACAACCCCCCCGCCACCGAGAGCAGGCCACAAAAATTAAAAACTCGTTGAATATAGTGTTGGACCCTCTTTTTGAGTTGAAAACAAAGTTGACAACATTGATTACCGAGAATATCAGATAAAAGATATTCTGTTCCGAACTAAACTCTGACTTTTGCCAAGAATTCTCTCATTAGCTGGACATTTTTGCTAGCCCCAGGGAAGGAAGGGGCGCCTCCCACGGCCAAAGGCTAATTTAGATCATGGGATATCACTCGAGCGTAATCCGTTCTGTCTACTTTAGATGATAGCAAAGACCAGTCCTCAACCTGGAGTAGTGTCTATGGTGTTTTCCAACTATGAGATATAGACCTAGAAATTTTGCTAGCCTCATCTACTGGATTTGCGACGTATACAGCGGAGCCAATGATAGCATGTTGCCAAGAATTGTTATCTTCTAGAAATCGTCTCTCATGCTTTCTCACTCGTTGTGTGTTCATACCTTAACAACTGAGATAGTGATAGTTATTCCACCCTAATAATCAACAATAGAATAAGAAATAAGAGTAAGAATAAGTAAGTCCTCGACGCCTGTAGTTAAGAGAAGAATGAAAGATAGAAAAAAGAAAAAGAAAACAAGCCGGTCTTATGAACAAAAAAAAGGTCTCCCTGTAGAATTAAGAATAGAGTAAGGATCCAAAGAAAGAAAAGAAAAGGGGGGGGGGGGGGGGGGAGGAAAAGAAAAAAAACTCCATATGATTACGCCTGCTTCTCAGCCATGTCCGTTTCCCATTATGACTCCTGCACTGGGTTTTCACCGGACCTCAACTAAGGTTCCGGACAATATAAAATAGCAGATACGCCTGCACGCCCAACACTTCTTTCTCTGTCGCTAATGTGACGACACTGTCGTTGAATTGAAACCACTATTCCCTTATCAGCACCCTTGGAAATATTGGAGATGACTAAAGTATGTACTGACCTGACCGTTCTCTCTTGAATAGCTCACATAGTGTCCCGAGCTAATCTGTCCATGGTGCTGTACCACGCTTAACAAATCATACATGTACAACCCGCTTGTCTTGCCTTTACTCGCACCGTCCGCTGTCGCCTTGGGGTTTTTCCGGCGTGCGCGCGTGGTGTATGGTGTCATATCAAGCTGCATCGGGAAACGTATCTTTGTATCAATTTTCGAAGATCCGGTTGAGGAGTGTTCGAACCGCTATAGGTTTGTAAGTTTACGTTTATGGCCTTGCTGCAGTGGGGGGGGGGGGGTACTTTGAGTTGTATACATAGCACTGGCGGGAGCTGCTTCACCGTCAACTGTTTCGTTGCGGTTTCCTGCGCGCTTTTACAATGTTCGCAGTTATATCCATCAACGCCTAGTTTCTCGCTGCTCGTAAAGCGCTCTAGACATTCCTGTAGTGTCTGCATCGTTGGCTCTCCTTCTGCCGTGACCGCTTTCTTCTTCGACTTGATCCGCAGATCCAGTGATAGATCCATGACCGGATCATACGCAGTCGTAACATTCGAGCATCCGGAACACGTAACATCGCTCTGAAGCTTCCCATAGAAACTCTTATGGATGATACACTTGCATGGGTCCTCCTTGGTGTCGCTATTCCCCCCATTCGTCACGTGGAGCTGGTTCAGAAGAAATTGCAAATACTCGTGTGCATCCTGCTGCTGGTAGCCAGCGAGAGTTTGCTCACATTTCCACGATGTCGTGAGGAGGTTCACAGGGCCAAATCCATCTACTTTATCCGTAGCAAAAAACTCTGAAAACACTTCGTCCATAGCGCAGGACATGCAGTTTATCTGCGTGCACTCCTTTTTATGTCCGTCCGAGAGATAAAAGTTGCGTACGAGAGGGTTGTGGATAAGGGATTGGAGGACGACGCTCATGAAGCAAGTGGACCCCATGTTGAGAAAGCCGCGGAGGCCAGTTGCGCGACAGGGCGCGGCATTTGTATTGGATTCTATGTATTTGACGTCTTCGGGGGTGGGCTTGTGATCGTCTATTCGGCGGCGTTTGCGCGCTGTTGGCTGTGTTAGAAGGTTGTTAGGGTGAGGATGGGGGTAACTTGCAATGTCCTTCAACGGATGCCTCTCGTTCTATTCGGATTTCCTCTAGAGTCGGGTCATAAATAAAGTCCTCGCAGAGGAAGCAGTAAACATGGCCGCTTCTCGAATCAATACCTACACACCAAATCCACAATCAGTACCAGTAGCGCGCTGCCCCTGGCGCCGGCGCGGAAACAATACCACTCACCAAATACGTGCCCCATATCCTTCGAGTGCTCCTTCGCGTCCTGCGGACAGTGAGTGTTCGGGCATTGCATACACAAGAAGGTCCTCGTGACCAAAAACTTGCACTCGCACTTTACACATGTCTGCGCCGTAGTTCTGACGGAGTCGAAAGCGACGCGGGTAGCGCCCGAGTAGTAAGCTTTTGTTCCTTGTCCGCTTTGTAGAAGGCTCTTGATATGGTCTGTTTGTTTTTTCCGTATGCACGCGTTAAAAATGTGTGTAGTGGGGGAGGAGGGGAGAAAGAGAGAAAGGAGCTCGGACCACAGCCATAGGACGTCGCGGCGACCACTGCAGCTGGCTTGTTGTTTTTAACAGCCTTTGGGGAAGTGGTTGTAGTAGCGGGAGGCCGCTTGATAACTAGTGTAGGGCTCATAATTGACACGATATTTCTATTTATGCACCACAGCTACTGGAAGGGAAGATAACCTTGGAATGGAAGGATAGAAGGTCTTTCTAGGGGAAGGGAGGGGGAGGGGAGGGGGAGGGGAAGAAGGGAGGAGGGGGGGGAGGGAAAGGGAGTGAGTGAGGGAGGGGGGGGGGGTTGTGTGGGAGGTGTTAGAGAGTGTGGAGGTTGAAGGATGAAGTAAGTTACGTGCAGGACGCGCGCAGTTCGAGTGTTTCAGACAAGTTATTAGCGTCCATGAGGCTGAAATGATGGAAGAAGGCGAAGGGAGGTAAGGGTTAGGGCGCAGCGGACCAATCGGGTTGGACCGACCTACATGACACTGGGGACTTATCCAGATACGGCAGAGTACCTACATACCGTACATGTGAGTTGGATGGATCCTATCCAAGCAATCCCAGGCCTCAGTGAGAGGAAAGGGGAGAAGAAAGAAGAGGGGGAAACAACTTACAAGGTTAGCTAACTAAAGATGATGTCCGCTGCACCAAGCGGCAAAATGCCATCGCTCTCCGAGATCATGCGAGATAAGAATTCCCCGCCGCTGCTGCTTGAGTACATAAAAATGACACAGCTTCACCTCTTGACCAATGGCAGATTTGCTATATTCCCCCTCCCATGATAGGCCGGCGAATTACCATTGGTAGGTACATGGAGGATGTGTTGATCACGGTGGTGCGCTGAATGGATCATCGGGGATCACTCGTTTGAATTACGGCCTCTATTATAGATACATGCATAAAAGAAACTAGACCGAGGAAGCATCAAAACAGGAAGAAAAAAATAGCATCAATAAACTCCCCACCTTTCCATGGACTAAAGTAAGCCCTGCTTTTGTAAATCCTCGTAAACCTTTCTAGGCATAACATTTCCTTGTCCATCCTCCATCTCCTCTACCGTTTCGTTCGCTTGTTTCTTCTTCTTTTTATCACCTTCTAATTTCTCCCATAGTCGTTGAGCCTCATCGATTTTAGTGATTTCACGGAACAACGTTGTGTTTGTAATTCCCAAACATCGCAGTCCATATGTGTGTCGGTGCTCGTTAAAGTGCTTGTCGAACGCCCGTCGGCCCATGTATACAAAGTTTCCGCAAATCTCGCAAGGAAATTCGACACCCAAACCGTGCAACTTATATAACCAGTACGGAATTGGTTTACCGTCCCAGGCTAGAGGTAGCTTGAGAGGATTATAGATCTTCTCATCATCGTCATCGTCATCTGAGGCATCTCCGGCCTCAGCATTTGGATCTGCTGAGTTCTCTTGGTAATGTGCTTCAAGCTCCATCTGTGATGAATGGTTAGGAATAATCACGGGATAATGAGAAAGGAAGAGCTCGTACCCGTCGTTCTCTCTCAGTAAGCGATTGTTTTCGCTCTACGTTCGTCATTGTACCCTCTCTTTCCGTCTTCATCAGCTCAGTAAGCGCCCTAACCCTCCATTCTCTCTCTGCTATCGCCTTATCTTTCAACCTCGCAAGACTCTCCTGGCCGCCAGGACCTCGGACTTCTAGCTCCACTCTGGTACCGGATTCCTGTTGCCTTGCAACTGCCTTCTTGTGTTTCTTCGAGTCAAAATGGTGGTCGTAAACGTTTTTGTTCCCGAAGCCCTTCCCACAAGGCGCACACCAGAACTCTTCTTTTTTGGCCTCTTCCTTCTGGGGCCCGACAACCTCTGTGGACCCCTCAACCGGCGCAAGCTTTCCCCACCCAGGAACGTTATCCTCTTTCCAGGCCTTCTCAAACTCCTCCTCGATGTTTTTAACAATCCCCTCAGGGTTTTGGAGGGGCTTCGTCCTTGCTAAAAAGCTCTCTAAATATTCTGCCAGCCCATTGACATGCGAAAAGTACCGATCGTTCATCTTCTGTGCCCTAACAAAGCGGTCAAATTTATCAAATAGCCCAAGGTATTGCAGATACGTCGTGCGCTTCTTGACTCCCGGCAGGTTGAGGTACTCCTCGTGGCTGCGCGTCAGGTCAAAGAACCGCCCGTTACTCTCCTCACCGGTAAACATGGTGTCGATTTCGCTTGCCGAGACGAACTCACCGTCGGCGACGGCGGGACGGCGCTTGTAGGCGCGCTCGAGGTTCTCGACGGGTTCATTGGGGTAGCGTCGATGGAAGTCTTTGATTTGCGAGAGTTGTTTGTAGAATTCATCGAAGGGGTCTTTGGCGGAGAGGGAGTCTATTTCTTTTTGTCGTACACTGTTGCTCGGAATTAGTTAACATGCTCTCTCTCTCGGCGGGGGATATAACAAACCCGTCAGCGTCGGCTTGGATATCTAATAGTCTAGAACTCTGCTGCTGGAAGCGGTCCACAAATTTTGCGATCTGATGATCACGCAACAATCGCTCTCTGATCTGCAATTCAATCCGAACATTAGTGACTGCGGCTACGGCGGCGGCGGGAAAGGACAACATACAGTTTTCGGTTCCTCGAGACTGCGGTCGGCGCATGCTTGCTCAAGGCGCTCAAGATCTTCGCAGAGACTGCGCTGTTCGTCGATTATGCCCATGATGTAATTATCTATGTGTGCTGTTGGAGACAGTTCTTAGTGTTTGTAGAGCGTGGGAAAGGTTGTGAGACGCGTAGGTAGGGTAATTGTTGTAGACACAGCAGGTGCTATGTAGCCAAGCAACGGACAAAGGATAGGTTACCCGGGGAAGCGTGGTTTAAATACATGTAGAGAGAAGAAAGTTTTTTTCTCCATAATCAACTTCAACCTCAACGTCAACTTCAACAAATAAGGAACCATGAACCCCACTCAGGAAGATACAGGCAATTGGCTAACAATCATCGTCGCAATTCTTTAACAGCACTTTGTAAAAGGTCAGTAACGCCCCCCAATGATATCTTGTGTCTCTTAAGATGCTCTGCTTTCCTTCTGCCCGGATACCCCACCAACACCGAGATGATGAGACATTAAAAAAATTCGATTAGTCTTTAAGACAAACACATGGTTACAAAATTTAGCATGCGAGCCTCTCTGATCTTTCCTTCCTCCCCACACCTTGCACCCATTGTTCTTACTTAAACTTGAGAGCATCGACTAATATTTATTCATGATCCTCAGATCTAGAGCACCACCAAATGTCATGGAACAAAATAGCATCAATCAATATAATTCATTGTTCGCAAGCAAGATTTGCGGGACCAAAATTAATCTCTAATGTGATATCCGGCAATGTGACCCCTTTGTACTACATAGGACACCAGCGATGCAGACTCTTCGGGAGACTGCAGGGACCCGCTGTATAATTATGGTGTGGGCCTTAACGGAGCGTTGGGAGATCAAGATTTGTCTCTTCTTTTGTGAGCATTTCGGTGCTCATGAGAGGGAGGCAAGGCGGAGATAGAAGGCTCCCACTTCTTTATGGCTTCTTCAGAGGCTGTGGGGTGGGAGCAAGAGAACCCTCCGAATAATTCAACAATCTTAATCTTTTCTTTTCTTTTTTTCTCATTCTTTTTATTCTCTTAGTTTTAAATATATTTTGTTTCTCCCAAACTTTAGATGGATCTGCTTGTCAACGATAAAAACCAAACCTACAAGGGACAAAGTCATCTTATATAGATATCTTTGCGCAAATGCGCACATCCAGATAGGGTGCCCTTTTACTATTATCGTCTGCCCTCTAAAAAAAGATCGGATGAAGTGCCCTAACCCTAAGTTCCCGATCGCGTTACTAAGATCCCACAAGTTCTCAAGTAAAGTTGAAACATCTACCAAACAAAAGTAGTTGAAGATATTCGGTACTCATAAACGTGTCGAAACAAACCCAAAACTTCCCAAGGACCCAGGTTCGCTTCCCTCAACCCATGAAAATAAGGATTATGCTCACCCCTACGGCCAGACATCGGTTTTTCCCTCCTGCAGACAACCCCTCGGGCTCAGTACTACCTGAAACCAAAAAAATAAAATCCATAAAAAAAATGGCCCTAATCGACGACGACGAAAAAATCCAGTCTGAACTCTTCTCTCCCCTAAACACCTATCCCCCATCACAGACAAGCTAACCCTCACATGCACAAATAAAGGCTCTCACCCGAGGCGCAGGAAGCTCTTCGTGCGTTCCTCAGCGAGAAGGATGAGCGCCAGACTCGCTTTGAGGCGTTGAAGAAGAAGGCGGAGGACGAGGATGTCGAGAGAAGGAAGATCGTCACCATCAATGACTTTGAGGAGGATTGGCAGCACTCTCAGGTTGGGGCTTTCTATTTTTATACCTATGGCACGGTTCTGGATGGTGAATGTGCGGTGAAGCTTACCTACGTACGGCGCGGTGCAGTTCTGGTACGATCACACTACAGCACAACAGTTTGCGGAGGAACTGCTGGACGGCGCGACGGATGAGACCGTGATCGGGGTTGTCTCGGCCCCTAGCGTGTTTGTGAAGATACAGGAAATGAAGGTGCATATATATACAAACCCCACCGCTGTACATAGCTATAGGGTATGTTACTGATGGGGAGCTACGTCATTAGAATGCCGGAAAAGTGTCAAAGGGCATCCAGGTCTACCTCCTCGAATTCGACGACCGATTCGACCTATTCGACGAGTTTGTGCACTACGATTTCAAATACCCCCTCCGACTTCCCGAGTCGCTGAAGGGCAAGTTTGATCGCATCATCCTCGACCCACCTTTTCTTAGCAATGACTGTCAGACCAAATGTAAAGCATCTTTCTTACCCCTAGCATTATCACTCACTATCACATCGACTCCATCACCTCCGTTCTTGCATATGATTTTCACTGACAAATGTTACCCATCACTAGCGGCTCTCACTGTCCGATGGATGATGAAACCCTGGACTCCCAGTAATCGCCTAATTGTTTGCACGGGAGAACGAATGCAGGGACTAGTGGAGAAGCTCTATAAGCATGCTGGAATCCGAACGACCACCTATGAAGTCCGTCATATGAAAGGACTTAGTAATGAGTTCCTTTGCTACTCGTCTTTTGAGAGTAAAACCTTCACATGGGAGCATATTGATACTAAGAAGAGAGAAAGCGATTTTTAAGAATGAAATTATTTTTGGACAATATTAAGAATTATTGTTAAAGAAAAGAGAATAAACGCATAGACAGCCTTTGAATACGACCGTCACCCCACTCATACTCTGCAGGACCGAGTTAAAGGTACTCTAGGTGGTCATGAGGCATGGGGGGCATATGACTCTTTCAACTTGCATTGCGTATTACAAAACATAGTCCAGTCGAATGGTAGCGAATGTCACCGAACCTGAGCCTATATCAAAACGGTTTTAATGATCTTTTCTCCCCGGTCCTAGCTTCTTAAACGAACTGTTGTTGATTTAGGGTTCCTTATCTGGGTGGGTATGATGCTATCGATTATCGAAGATTATATTTGAAATCGGATTTCAAAAGTCCAATCCTGCATATCCCTCCCCAATTGGTACCTTGTTGTTTAAACTAGCAGCATGGGAGGAGGAGAAACGAAGCCCAAGACGGAAATTCGGATCTTTCGGAACTCCGAATTGCTTTATGCCGTGCAACCAATCTTCAAGGGTTCTGCAATCCCATGGGCAATTTTTATCGTGATAAATTTCCTTTTTTTAAAAATTTTTACCCTGTAGTAGAATTAGTAGATTAAGACCGCGGCCGTGGGTTGCTGTTGCTTACCTCGGAGTGGAGTCACCCGTATTAACAAGGCCTTGGCATCACGCATGGCGGAGTTCATATTCCGAAACGTGCTACCGGCACTGTACGGTGTGCGGAGTTATCTCTGTACATGTCTGTATCATGTACTCATGCAGTATTTTTTCGATACGTCATTAATTGAAAGATCGAGCTCCACTTCGTGTTTAGATGCCTTCTAGGGCAAAGCATCGTGCTATTTGATGGGTCCCTCGTCTCCGGTAGGGAAAAGTAACAAGTAAATAAAGTTATGGGGCGCCCGACCTTCTCTTTGTAACTTTTGTTTTTCAGAGTTCAATATATCGCAACTTCCTCCAGAATGTCTACCCCTAAAAAGCTTACAGGTAGGCTTGTATGCCTAACTCTACTGCTTTTCCTGAGCACCGCGGTTTACGCAGACGGGCATGAACACCAACATAACCACGAACATGAGCATAACCATGAGGCGCACGCAGCTACGATTGTGAATGATGAGGGGACCTATTACTTCTCATACCCGAAATATAGAGGGTTAATGTATGCACACATCTTGACGATGTGTGCAGGCTGGATAATTTTTATGCCAGTGTGTAAGTACTCACTAACCCAAACCACTCATAAGTATTTCTTTGGCTAAATCCCCCACCAGCATGTGTATTGTTGATATCAAATTCGCGATATCATCTCCCCGCAAAACTTTTATTCCTCGTAACACACGGCGTCAGTATATTTCTCGGGTTCATATATGACAAAGCTACCCCCGATCTTTATCCAAACAACTCCTACCGTAAACTCGAATGGGCAATTATCTGTATACTATTAGTTCAATCAGTTCTCGGGGTTTTGAGAGTAATCGTCAGAACTGTGCTTCCAGAGAATCGACATCTCATGGGAAGTAAGGAAGGTTTCACGCCAATTAGAGAAGATGACCCAGAGTGCAGGCCATCTGGGGATAGCGGCCAGGGAACAGAGGATTATTATCCGTCGAGAGCGTCCGTTTACGGTGATCGAGATAATCAGCTTCAAGAATTTGATGGTGATGAGCCTTACATAGTCCCAACACAGGTAGAAAGGGTTGGTTATTTCGCCAAGACTACAGAACGTATCGAATCATTCCTTTCTCGCCGTATGCCGTTTGTCTTTAATGAGCGTGTTATGCGAGTTTGCGGGTTTTGCTATGATTATATAGAGAGATTCCTTGTGATTCTGGGGTATGTGCAGATATGTTTAGGTATCGTAACGGGAAGCGGCATATTCGTAAGTAATAGGATTTTGTAGATTGGGCTCCCTATGCGTATTATCGGGTTTACTGATTTATCTCAATCTAGATGGGCAACAGAGTCTTCAACGGCCTCGCACACTTCATCAAAGGCAGCATCTTCTTCCTCTACGGTATCATCACCCTAGGAAGGTGGCTCGGGGCATTTAGTGAGCTCGGTTGGGTACTGACTCCTTCCCCAAACCCGAAAGAAAACCCTTTTCTCTAACATCGAATAAAACATAGGCATGGAATGTCAAGCCTTCTCTTCGCGAATTTGGCGGAGGCTGGGCTAGAAAATACGTTCCATCGGCTGAAATGATTGAATCGACGACAATATTTGTGTATGGTTGTTCCAATATATTCCTTGAACGGCTCGCCGGTGCGGGTGGTGCTTGGTCTCATGGCGATCTAGAGCATGTATCGATAGCTTTCATGTTTATCGGGGGTGGTCTGGTAAGTAATCGAGTAGAAGTAAATCCTTCGAGTTTTGTGAATGTGAGTACTGACTGTAGCCATGAAGTCGGGAATACTTTTCGAGTCCAAAAAGATTCGAGACTTGCTCAATTACTCAACAGTCACACAAGTGACAACTCCATCAAACTCTCCTACTATTTCAACTCCTGGACATCAAGTCCCCAAGAACTATGGCATGTCGTATAATCCGATTCCGGCTTTGGTGTTCTTCATTTTGGGGGTGATGATGAGCAAACACCACCAGGCATTGCCTTTATCGACCACTTTACACACACAGGTACGGACCCAAGTTTAATAGATGGATGTAATGGATCTTTAGCTAATCGAATTCAGTGGGGAACACTTTTATCCGGGTTCTCGGTCTTTAGGCTTTTGACATATGCCTTACTTTATCTCTCACCTCCAATATCGTACCTTCCATCCAGGCCGCCCACAGAGATTGTAGGGTCCTTCTGCCTGATGGCCGGAGGTCTGGTTTTCATGGCTAGTGTAAGTGGTTAAGAAATCCTCTCCTCTTTCCCTTTTTTGTTGCTGACGCCCCGGATCGATCAGAATAAGGACACTGCCAGCTACCTCGACAGAGTTTCTGCAGACCCGATGTTCATCCTAACGGTCATAATCGGTATCGCAGCACTTATAATGTGCTGGGTAACTGGTGTTATGGCCATAAAGGGATGGGCCCTACGGCGAGAGCACCGTAAAAGCTGAACTTTCCTCTTTCGAAGAAATGCAGCGCAATCGGAAAGCGCGGGTGTGTAACGTCTTTTTCCTTCTTTCACGAGTCACGACAGGCACATGTTTTCCACGTGGTTGGTCCACATACATAGTAGCCGCTAGCCAGCTTTGTAGCAACCACGATCACCAAAACCCATCTTATTTAAAACGGGTAATTGGGCGGCATCAACGGTCTTGCATTGGCTGAATTCAGCCACCTTTTTTCTCCTTCTTTTCCTCTTTTGTTCATTTTCTACTTCAGACGCTTAGGATCCTAGAATTCGCTTTGGCGAGAAGAGCCTGAAGTTGGCTTTGATTGGCTTTAGAGATTTCTTCATAGCCTAGCCTAGCGTACTCGACTTGCTACTACTGGTACTAGATGGGCTGGTCATATATTTGGCTGGGTTTCTTGAAACTATATGTATGTAGGTACATGTAGTCTCTTCTGCGCATTCAAACTAATTTCGTGATCACTATTAATGTACTGTATGTATGTAATTTTTGGACGTATGATTGAGATATCTGTATCTACCTAGCTAATGTGACACGAACTCTTGCCCTATCGGCTCTTTTCAATCTTCGTACGCAATTCGGTAGATTCATGTACATGTATACGTACTCTACTCTAGAGAATTCAGTCGAGTACTCTACATGTAGGTACCTGTGTAGCAATGGTAGGTCGTTGGTAGCTGATATGGACGCACGTACGATGTGTGCAGAAAGCCACCGTTGCCCTGCCAGGCTGAATCTGCAAGGTTTCTTCCTACACACGATTCTTATGTGGCCAAAGCTTAAACATCTCAGTGGTGGAAGAAGGAATGAAATCAAACCTTGTGTTCCGCATCCGGCGTCTATTGATCGTTTTCGCTACAGCGTATCTAGATCTTGAGTATCATAGCCCCTTCCGGCTCGATATTAGTATACTACATGTATTTACTCTACTCCACTCACCTAAACTCTTCTTGCATGATGTGCATCTCCCTAACTTCAATTTCAGCTTAAGACCTCTTGAAATCAAATATTCGTCCTCCTCAGCCACCAAGCGTCAGCACACCAGGAAAGGCGTTGCAGCCTTAAAATACCTGCAGGATCCATAAGCCCCACATCACCTTAATCCAATACCATAACAGTTTTGGATTCTTCCATTACGATACAGCCTTAAGCTCAAGAAAAATCTGTGGAGCCGAGCAGCTTTTGTCTTATATTCTCCCTCAGCTATTCCCCCTCCATCTAGATACTTGTCTACCCAACAGCAAGGTACCGAAATCAGCAGGGGTCAACTAGAGCATTAGACAGAAAAAGTAAAGAAATTTCCCAAACCGTTTTTTTATCGGTAAACCGTGCGCCTCCTTCGATTATCGCAGGGAATCTTGTGTGTAGCCGATACTCTCACCTATCTACCCGCAGTCAGTCTTCTTTCTCAACCTAGCTATATAAGTAAAGGATCCTCGTGGACAGTCGCTGTAATCACACTCCTTAGGCATCTCATAGTAGAAGCCGGGTCCGGATCCAACACAGAGGGTATTGCACGCTGCGCAATCCCAGTATTATTAAGAAACTGGAACAGTTGAAAGGCTGGTCTATCCCTCATCCCTTTAATTTCTCTGGAGCAGGCAACAATGCAATTTGCTGCCAACTCTTTGCCAACTTTTCGATAGAAGGAAATACAAAAATTCCACGATGCGAAGCCTACATAATTCAAAGAATTCTACAGTGCCGTTGCCTAGGAGGAAAGAAATTGAGAAGAAAAGTAAACAACAACTGCGGCAAGAAGCTGGGGAGGATGAGGCGGAGGAGGAGGATGCGGTCCTTCTCTGGGAAAATGATAAATGGGTAGTACCCAGACAGCTTCAGGATTCAGAAATCCGGAATGGTATAATTCCCTATTAGGAAAAGCAAGAATGCGGAGGAAAGGCGTGGTTGATACTTTTGTACTCAATTGTCTTTGCGACACTTCAACTTACCGCGCTTTTATACAGGGGACATTCAACTATTCGTCAATGAGATGCTAAGAAGGAATGATGCATATATGGGGATAAATAGAAAGCGCAAGGCTTCTGTGAGTAAAATACTGGGCTTCGGGTACTATTCGTTTTCTAATGTCCATGCAGATAAACTCTGAGGGTATTCAACTCATGATCGGTGATACTCCAGAAACCCCCTCGAGGCTAGGAGGGTACATCGTAAATCAAACGAGCGATGATAGTTCAGATTCAAGCGAAGGAGCGAGCTCGCCCCCAGAAAGCATAATCAGTTTTGGCTCAAGTACAACGATCTCATCACCAATATTTGGTAAAGGGCCCATGTCCCGGGACCAAGCAATTATAAATTCCCTACCAGAGTTCGTAACGAGGTTTTCGCCAAAATTAATGGATGAAATATCATTACCAATGTCAGGGTAAGATTTATTGTTTCTCTAATTTACTTAGTATAATTGCTCATTCCGAGTTAGCTGGAACCCAACAACCATGACCTTAGCCCCTCCGCGACCACCAACTTTAGATAACCCTACGAATCAAGAGCTCTTGGCGATTTACATGAAGCTCTCGGCGAAAAGACTAGCAGATACTTCACCCTCTTATATTGACCTATTTCGGAAATATATACCAGCTATGGCTCATGATTCTCCAGCCCTGATGGAAGGGATTTTGGCCTTAGCAGCCTTGCAAACTGGATTAATGAAGAAGGATTTACGAATGATAACCGTTGATGCTGCATCACATTATCAGAAATCTCTCAAGCAACATTTCAGAGCTGTATCGGATCCTGATTTTCGGAATAAAGACACAGATTCGTTATTGGCAACGAGTATCATTCTAAGTCATTACGAAGTAATATTCCCGCAGAATGCAGATATCCTCACATTTTTTCAAGATATTCAAACTTGCTAACACCTTTCGACAAGATATGGAACGGAGAAAACGTAAAAATGGGAGTGCACATGTTGGGAGGTAGGGACATTATAGTTGCTAGAGGTACTTTTTCATTCCAATCATTACGACCAAGTACCCTATTCACCTTTTACTAGGTAAAGCAGCACATATGACTCCAGTTGGCAGAGCTCTCTATGCAGCTTTTAAAAGAGCGGATATCGCAACCTCAAGCGTTTCTGGAAACCCGACTTTTATGACAAGTGATTGGTGGACCGTAGACCCGTTTACGCGTGTACCCATCACCCATGACTCGCCAATACTTCTCGCCGCAGATGCAGCATTATCAAAGCTTTGTGTGATTTGCTGCAGACTCACATATCTCAAGGCCTGGGCACTAAAGCGAAGAAGAGACCTTTGGATGAAATACGGTGGAAATACCTCCAGTGAGCAGAAATCACGCCTGCAAGATATCATTGAGTCTCGAGTATCCAAGTTGGATCAGGAGCTAGATGCTTGGTATGCGGAGGTCCCCTATTGGTTCAAGGCGCTTGATGATGATCCAGCAACCGGTGAAAATGGGGAAGAGGAAGACATAAACGACACGGATATTACCTCAATTACCCCCAGAAGATACCCACATATCTGTGTTGGACTGGTGCTTGGCTGGGCAATCGGTGTTCGTGTTCAACTTTTCCGCATACGGTATCCAGAGATACCTATTGTCCCACCACATATTGGGTCTCTTTGTCATGCTGCCCTTAGGATATTTGCATTTTTACCAAATTCTACTGATGCGTCTATGTAAGCATTTCTTAAGATAAAAAACTCATATATTGTGTAATCTAACATATTATTTCCAGAGTCGTACCGGTGTTTGTTGTGGGAATGGAACTTCGGCAGCAGAGTCACCAAGAATGGCTATCGACAGCACTAAAAGATCGGTTTGAAGAGACTGGATTTCATGCTATGAGCTTTGTACGCGATGGCTTGCGATTTGCTTGGCTCAAATTACAAGGAATAAGTAATGGTAGATTCAATCGAATCAAGGAAGGCGCAGCTTCAAAGTAATTACCCATCAGAAAAATATTTCGGTCACTCAGGCTAACAAAACCGACATCTTCAGGATTGATGGTGTTTCTGAAAATCTCTGGGCTGCAGAGGGAATGTTAGCGTCTCTAGAGAAACTATCGTTATATGATTCAGCTGAGGTTTCGGTAAAGATGAAGGTCTTCGAGGGGGATATCGACGTTAGTGGGTTACCGGAAGACATAATCCCTTATGAAGCAACGCCTGAGCCTCCAGTCTCGTCCCATAAACCTACAAAGGGGAAGCCACCATTTTCGGTCTCCCACCATACCACCTCATCTTCTTCGAAGCGCTTCAAATCAGAATCACCTGAGGTGTCTAGTCAAGTCTCGGTCAATCTTCGAGCCACCTCTATGTAGCTTTACACTACGATTCTACACTTGTGGCTGCTGGCATTATTGAATGCCCCGGCTTTTTAAGCGCTCATTTATACAGTTTAGGTTCTTATAACACGGGTTTTGGTCTTAACTACATGTATTTTAGGGTACCTTCTTCGCTTTTATGGTTAGGCGTTACTTGCTTACATGGGCATCTGTTTTGGATGATGGGATATATATGGAATATATGGGATTCAAGTATCATCTTACAAGGAATAAAAAAGAATATCGACTGCCATGGCATATCCTATTACAGTAGAAGTTTGGGTCATGATATTTTGTATGGTAAGTTTCATGCAAAATATAGTAGACCAGCATCGATTCGAATACAGGAGATAACTCCCAATTGCAAAGTATATTCCTATTGCATATGCATGTCACAAGATTACCAATATATATATAATATACATGTAGTAGTTTTGGCAACACCTGAAGGAATTGCTTGATTTCTTGCTTCTTTCTTCTCCTCCTTCTTTCGGGAAGGAAGGGTCGAGTGATATACTGTGTCGCATACTTTTGTTGTGTTGTATGCAGTCGCCCGCTCACTAACTCACATATGATTAACAACAGAAACATACCGGCTTGTTAACTACATATAGGGATATTTACATCTAGAGGTTGGTTAAATTAGCGTGGGATATTGTATCCTGCATCATGACAGGTGTGTTCAGGAAGGAGAGAAAGAAAAAAATGGGGGGCAAAAAAGAAAGAAAAAAAAGAATTCCCAGCGGGGAAAGAAAGAAAGAAATACATTCTTACGTTAGTGGAGATCGAAAATCATATTTTCTCACAATATCTAAACTAAATTATTAAGCCATCGATTCCTTGGACTCATAATTCTGCATAATTGTCTTAGTCCTCAACGAGGAAATTAAGCATACATGTAATTTCTTTAGATGGGAGCACCCAAAGATACTTGAGAGTACTACATAGATAAGGATCGGAGCGTATAGCATGATACCCGGTACCCTCGACTACCCAACCCACCACACGATCCCGACAAACACAGGGCAAGGCAAGTATTAAATGGCTGTTAACTGTGTTGCGCCTATGCACCCCCAAACCAGAACCGACCCTTACCCGCACTATCCTGCATGAAATTCGGTTTGTCCTAAACTTTGAAGGAATTTTAAGCAGCCCCTTTCCCGCATGTAGTTGAACACATTCGGTAAAAGAGTAGTAGTACCTGATGATAAACATAGTTGATGGTTAGAGGAAAGAGTTCTTGGTAACTGAAAAATTTGTCAGTTGAGTACCATCCGAACAGCACAGCACGCTGTTTATTCAGCTCCCTACTTTGTATGCCGCTTTTAAATTAGTTATTTAATGTTTGGTAATCTATAAAAACGCATATGGGCATGTAAATATGTGGAAACCACAGAAAACAAAACCAACCGTTGCAATTGAACGCACGAATAGCCACCGGTCTCTAGCTACATCACGACACAACCAAACTTTCTAGCTGGAATAAAACCAAAAGTAGAAATGATTAATCAGAAAAGTAAGGTAACATAATGCAAACCCTGGTAGTTAACTCGCTCACTCAACCTTCGACAAATAAAATGAAATATCCACTAAAGAAATTCATTACAAAGGTACCAGAGTTGCACAACCAATACGATCCTTATTGATGTTATGAACCACGATAGAACGACCACCAATGAAAGCGGCATTTCCTGGAATCACAGAGATCCAAGGGTCACGTAAAGTCGCAGTAAGAGATGCTAAAATTATAGCGCAATTAGTTTCATTTTAATAAATAAGATTATAGGATTAGAAGATGTAGGATAAACTCACGTGAATCAGTTGTGCTCTGCGGGAATGGGTAGAGTTTCCCAGATAGATCACCAATCTCACACGTCCAAGACTTTGACCTATCGCAACCCGTGCGCGGCGAGTTGGGCTAGATTGTTAGCTATTGTGATACTGGGGTGTACACGATGATATATAGTAATATAATATAATGCTTACCTTGAATGGATCAAAATGCCCACCAGTTCCAGCACAGTTTCCGTCCGCCGGGACGGGATTTTCGTGAATATGGTATGAGAAAGGGCCAAGCAAGTTGTTCGGTACAAAAAGTTTGTAGTCGATAGATACGCCGGCACCTCCTCCAGTAGATGTGAACTTTACACTGCCCTCGACGACGCCAGAGAATCCCGCAACATATCTAAAATAACAGATTCCGTAAGTTTAACTGCACGTATTATATATCAAAAGGATATGATATTCGAAGGGATATTCATACGCTTTAGGTTCATCCCTGGTGAAGAATGGTGGGGCAGCAAAAACTGCGGTGAACAGAAAAAAGGAGATGATGCATCCAGGCAACATTTCGAGTTTGAGTTTTGAGTTTGTTGAGATTAACTTTCAGTGGTGTAGTTCTTGGGTGATCGGTTTTTATTAGCAGGGAGATCGAGGGCCTTCTTGGCTCTTATTCTGTGTTGAAGCGCAAGGTCTAAATATGGCTACCGATGACAACAAGAACGAGGGGGTGAATATAGCACTATTTAAGTCTAGTGAAGCTTGTGATTATATAGAATGGAGTACTGATGTTAACGATATTTGTGTATATAGTTATATGGTAACTTGGAAAGTACCCAGTGGAAGATTAGACCTATTCAATTGTTTTCAAGATCCATGTATAATTTGTATAACTATCAATGCCCTACGCGAAACACAAAATTTACGAACAATGTGAAACAAACGACAATTACTGTGATACGTACCCATTGGTAAGAGTTTCTTAGAGGACAACTTCCAAATGTGAAATCTGCGGATCTGATCCATCATTGACAAGGCACCGCGCCCACCAGTTGACTACTTGTACTTAGTACATTTTGGGCGGGCGGGCCGGTCCACTTAATGTAACCCTTAAAAATCGATCACGATTATCTTGAACGATAGAAGAGTTAAACTCGTTAGCGTTACACCCTATTTAATCAGTGCACCTACATATACGTACTTTATGGGTACACTAGGGGAAATAATATATGTACGTGTAGTCATTAAGGAGCCGGTTTTAAGTTCCAGGACGCACGGATAGCTATAGCTCGCAAAGGTTAATATATATATTAAGGATTGTCCGCATCCTGAAATAGAAGACATGTAGCTAAGGACATGTACTTTTAAACATACCCTAGTACTAAAACCCTTGAACAAAGGCGTACACAATCTTTAAACTCTGACATTCGCCCTAATAAAGCCGCTCCCTGACGCCCTGACACGACACGCCACCAGGCAAAAGTCTAATTGTCTTTCTACACATGACTCGTCGTAGATCCTTTGTTCGTTTCTACTTACAGTTTAGCAGATATCTGTGATACGTTTCCTGCGGAAGCATTTTCCGGCGTAACCTCTGGCGGTCATTCCTTGGTACATATAAATCTCGATGTCCCTTTTACTAGGAGAGCGAAGGGGATCCCGGAGGGAGGACGGGGGTGCCGGAGGCATCCAGTATCGAGTAGTTACCCCGTAGTTATTGAGGAAAAAGTTAATATATATGATCTATAATCCATAATTATATTCCAAGCAGTCCCAAAAGAAGAGTAGAAATATTCGGGGCCTAGCCAGCCTGCTGGCAACCAGTAGACGCAATCCTGGGGGTATGGTTAAACTGGGAGGCATGGAGAATTCTTGAGAATATGCTCTATTTTTTTCAAGAATATGGAAAACCGTTTTCAATTGTCAGGAGCCACCAAGAGTGCCGTTTACTGGAAGCCCTTTTCGATTTTGTGAGGAGTTGGTTATGGCGCCAGGCCCGGGCCATAGACGCCAAGGATGGCCGAGTGGTTAGTATGGCGTCGTAGGTGCCAAGGCAGGATGGCCGAGTTGTTCGTACCCCCAGGATTGCGTCTAGATCAATAATGTTGCCTTTATCCTCTTATAGAAGGCACGTGCACCCTAATATAAGGAAATGTGTAGATCTTATCTTATCTTATCTCCATATTATCTTAGATCTTACAACCACAAACCGTCACAGAAGCCCTAAATCCTAGCCCACACACACTCAACATTTTCGCCCAGTCCGAAAATATTGTATGGTGAACTAAACGACGCAGCAACAACAACACCCAACGACGACCTACGATAATTCCCGACAACACAAAATACTACCCGTCAATTAATACCGCAATGTCGAATAAGTCTGTGCCCTTCGGTTCCGGAACAAGGGAGGTCCCCGCCCAAAAGGCGAGCAAGTGGTACCCGGCCGAGGACGAGTCACTGCCAAAGAAGGTATGGTTTTAGATGATAGGTTCGAGGGATAGACTACGGAAGAGCGCGAAGAAGAAGAAGCTATGAAGGGCAATATTCAGCGGGGGAAGCTCTGTTGATTATTGCTTCCTGGAGCTCTTTTTGGTCTTGAAGCTGGTTCAATTCAGGAATCATATACTGACCTTCCTCAGGTCCGCAAAACCCCCAGACCAACCACCCTCCGTCCCTCCCTCCAGCCCGGCGCGATCCTCATCGTTCTCGCTGGTCGATTCCGTGGAAAGCGTGTTGTCTACCTCAAGAACCTCGGGGGCGGTGTTCTTCTTGTTACTGGGCCCTTCAGGATCAACGGTGTTCCCCTCCGCCGTGTCAACGCCAGATTCGTCATTGCTACCTCAACTAAGGTCGATCTTGCCGGTGTTGACACAGACAAGTTTGACGAGAAGTACTTTGCCCGCGAGAAGGAGTCAAAGAAGTCCAACGAGGAGAAGTTCTACGAGGGTGGAAAGAAGGTCAAGGTTCGTACTTTCAATTTGGTGCCAGGGAAAATTATGCTGGAATGATGATATTGATATGGGGGTTTTCTACGAATAGGGAAAGAGCACTCCTGAGGCCCGCAAGGAGGACCAGAAGGCCGTCGACGCTGCCTTGATCAAGACCATCAAGCAGACTCCTCAGCTCTCCTCATACCTCGCCTCCAACTTTGCCCTCTCCAAGGGTGACAGGCCCCATTTGATGCAGTGGTAGACGGTGGCTTTGCGGGAAAAATGAATCAGGTTTTCTTTAGTTCGGGAGGCATGTGCATTTTTGTATGTGTGGAATGAAACAATCAAAAAATCAGGCCTCCGATGCATCAAAAAAAATAAAAAGGGCAAATGGGGTTCTTTCTTTTCTTTTTTCACTCTTGGGAAATCTGGTGGGCTACCCGAGAGGGATCTGTATCAAAAATGCCAGACATACCAAAACTGCTGTTTGTTGCGATTTCATGGAGTTAAGGAGGGTGTGTTCTTTGTTTTTGCACAATTGAAACCTTGAAGCTTAACTATCACCCTTCCTCATATCGGTTAAGAAGACATTCTCGATAACAGCTTGAAAGCATTGATAAGTTTCCTTTTTCTAGCTATCTGACTTTCTGCATCAACCAAAGGTTTAGCCACTGAGGTGAACTTCCGAATCTTCAATGGAATAGCATTGTTACAATACCTACTAGAGCTTCCGTACATCCCGAATTCAGCTAGGAGACTGCCCATGTCTTTCTTTTTTGAGTTGCGGAGGATTTTTGGCTTTTTTGTGATAGGGTGGGATCTTTCTATTGCCGTTGCTGAGGGTAATTCGGTACCTGGGACTTGCTTGCGTTTGGCGTTTGGTTGATGGCCCTGCCTTCGAAACACCGCCTCAATTCTGGTAACAACCCTCGTAGGCGTAGGTCGTGAGGCTTCAACTTTAACCTGCAATATTAACTTTTTTACCTTATTCCCATCCTCTTCCCCCCTTATAATTTTCCACGCCATATCATGATCATCAATTATGTTATTAAGCAACGGATCGAGCTTCCAGCATGCAACCCGAGCTATCTCCATATCATATGTGCCACAGCCAGTCAAGTCTAAGACCTCCAAGCTCTTTATCCAGCTCAGATACTCTAAAGACCTAGATGTAATCTGTTTATGATTTCTCGCTATTAAAATTTTCAACCTCGTGAATTTGCCTTGATTAACTGCAGCCATTGACCATGTCCTAACTATGCCATCATCTATATCGAGGTCCTGGTGGTGTCGCGATATATTTAGAGCCCCAAGATTCGGCAGTTGAGGAAGCTCAAGAAAATCATAACGAGTGTAGCCGGATGAACGCTGTATGTCCAGATCCACGAGCCATGAGAAAGAAGGGGACGAAACTGGAGCGATAAGAGAGTTTATGGAAACCTGACGTTTCAAAATTATCCCTTTACTACGATCTTCTTTTTCTTTCTCGTCGGAGGAAGTATTGAAATCAGGCTCTTGCTGTTGTTTCGAATTAGCTCAACCCTTACAGGAACAATGGGGTTATTTACGCCGTAGACTGTAGCAAACAATGACCACGTTTGAACATTCTCCTGCCCTCTACACACGTACACAATTAACATCACGCATGGGCGACGATATTGTACAACTGGAATCAGGAAACTTTACGAGGATAATACATCATCCCAGATACACTTCATGATAGACCATGGAACACCCTCCAATGCTTCGATACTCAGATCTTTCAGATTCCGATTCAAAAATCGCCTGACTATGTCAAAAAGTGAAGGAGGACCATCAGCCCTGTGCCTGAGAGAATCTCCATTGTGTTCAATAGAGTTCAGAATTCTGTTGTTTTTCACAAGGGTCCAGTCCTGCCGCTGTTCGATCCTAAAGATGGTTTCCGCGAAAGGGTTTCCATTCTCGTCGAGCCTAGAATTTTCGAGGAAAGTATTATATCTGGCGAGAACTTGGTCATGATGTTGCTGGTTATTTATCCTTCTAGGCGGCATTATTGCGTTGTGATAAGATGAGAGATAGACGGATACGCGTCGGTTTTTTTCTCTCGCGTAGATTATCTATGGTCACGTGACTCGCAACCGTGTCTTTGATAATCTTCATGATATATCACTCGGCCATAACTACACGTTTCAGCACTAGACGATAAACGTGCCAATGTTGAACGGAGGGCGGAAGTGGGAATTCTCTTTATTCGGGTTTCTCAACCTGAATATCTAGCTAATCACGGTAGAAATCTTAATTATGAATACTGTTATCTAGGCCTCTTATTGATCAGTACAACCCACCCTCGCAGAGATCTAGAGCGCCAACAAGAGGTATGCGTTGATTAACTCAGAAATATGACCTCTAAATAAAATTATACCTGGAGTCAGGTAAAGCGGTAAATACTACGAAAAGTTTCAATCATGGTATCGACTGACTTTAGAATCACGAACACTTTAAAGGGTGGGTGCACTAGTAGCTATAGTTACAGAGCCTTTGATAGGAGATGTTGGCTTCTAATTATATGTCTAAATATATACCGAAGTATAGAATTGGTTGGCTCTATCTACTGGAGAAGTCTTTCGGTATATCTTTACTTACCTAATTCACGCCTCAAGGAATTTAGATCATGATATATCACTCGTGTAATTGCTTTTTGTGCTTAATCGGATCATTAATTATTATTTTCGTTGATTTGTTGTATAAGTTATGATCGATCAAAGAATCTTTATATCACGGAGGTTACGTTCTATGGAGGACTAGGGGACGTCATCGAAAGGTCTTCTATACCATGGATGTTAGCAAGGCCGCCATACTATGGGTACGGCCTACGCATACATACATATCCTATAACTTGTTACAGGCTGTCTTCTTCTACTACATACATGTATTTATGCATATGGCTGATGGCGGCAATTAATTACAAATATTCTTTCATAAGACCTAACAGCCCACATGCCTTGAGTAAAGTACTATGTAGCGAACCTGATATGAAATGAAAAGCCTCTGGCTAGCTGGTTATTAATGTCTTTATCTGCCTTGATAACTACATGTATAATGCGCCAGGTGTAGTCTAAGGAGATGTATAAGAACATCATTATTCTGCACGGATGCCATCTCTTCTTTCTGCGACCTCGTGGTCTTTGTGCCCTTCAACACAACACCTTCAACACCGCACCTTGAAGGTACTATCCGGGTTATCTCTCACTAGGTTATAAGGTTTAAACCATTTTGCTTCCCGCAGGTATCTAAACCCAGACCGCCCCCCAACAAAGCCGGAGCACGGAAGCGCATGTCCCATTTTAGTTGATTCCCAAGTATTTGAGTTAACAACACACAGGGGCGTGCAGTAGTCTCGATAAACTCAGACGCTCGGATTATCTATTAATTAGTCAATTCTGAAGTAATCCGCGCCCCCCTAGCCCTTAAATCCCACCCAGCCATCACTTCCACCGATCCCCAACCCTAAGCTGCACCTTCGACAGTTCGGCGCAAGACTACATGTAGCTATAGGCATACGGCTATTTCCGTTGTTTTAGAGCCAAACAGGCTATTTCTTCACTACATGTACATGTAGTTAGCGACCCTCTCTAGACGTGTTTACATGGCTTCGCCCTATCGATGTGGAACATCCCAATTGCTCATGGTCAGCAAAGGCTTTAGGCCGACGGATCTTGGGTGTGATAAAGCACGCGACATCGGTGATATACATACTTCTTATAATCTTGACAATTTTTCTGGCCCCCAGAGTTGCTTGAACCGCATCTACAATGCAAATGGCACTAGGTGGGGCGCATTTAGTAACAGTTTACCGGCTCGCAATATTCTCGTAAGATCTAGACGAAGAATTTTAGGAACATCGTGTTGATTTTGACCCCACCGCGCACCGACCCTGTGAATTTTGGAGCTATCATTCTTGCCTAAAATGATAATCTATATATACTTGTATTAAGGGGTGGAAGTTTATGGTGTTTATAAGTAGTGTTGGGCTCGAACACCTCAAGCTCTCCTTCTTACGAGCGCAAGCCAGCTCGAACTAGTATTAGAAGGACTCGGGCTTAGGCTCGAGCTTTTGGACTATCAGTAATGGCAAAATTGGAAAATATAACGAAGATAAACCCCTTGAGCTCGCCCCCAAAAGTGAAACTTATATCGAAATGACCATTTTTAGCTCTTTAATTGGAGCTCGAGCCTAAGCTCGAGCCATACTCACGAGCTCGAACATCCTGAGCCTTCGTTTGCACAACCCGAACCAGCTCGAGCTCTAAGTCAGGCTCGTCTCGAAGAGGCTCGTGCCTAACACTATTGATAAGTACGTATTATAGAGCGAAGCCTCTCTTTACCTTCCCATTTCCGTACGTACTTGCATGTATACAATTAAAAGAAAATATGCACCCTGGCCTTAAGCACGTGCGAGTGACCTATGATGATCAGGACCCATCAATGCTACATCACATTTCCATGCTGAGTGCGCAGTATATCCCATGCTGTCATGTCAACAGATTTTCCAATCACTCTGCTAGATTTGTGGCTTGTTGACGGGCCCACGAAAAAAGGGTAGCTTGATGTGTTATTCTACATATAAGATTCAAATAATATTTACAATCTACTAATATTAATAATCAATTGCAATCGTTCTTGATCATGATATTGCCTCGTGCATGTAGGCCTACATACATGTGGGTATCACCATCCAAATTGTTTAATCACATGGACCGCAACCGCCAACTCCCGGTTGTGGAACCAGTTGTGTATTTTTGCAATGTGAAGGTGAAGCCGGTATAATAAAGATGATGGTAACAAAGGATATATGCAGCCGGCCTAGCTGTAGACCATACATGTATACATGTATCTACACACGTCCATGTATGCATTGGTGTGATCTGATTTTGAGTGAGACCAATGGTGCCGGGATAGAATTATGCAAACCGGCCTATCAAATAGCGGAAAGTATTTTTCCATCTCTTTCCATGAAGATTGGAAATTGAGATTCTTCAGCTGCAGTGCTGGGGTGGACCGGGCTTCTCCAGTGACGTTGCAACCAGCGACTTTTGCCGCTTTTAAAACCGTGCGTGACATTCGGGACATTTATCAAGCTACCTAACCTTATATCCAACAGTATCACCCCCTCAACAGTATCATCCCCCTCAACTATTAAACCCCTTTCAAAATCTTTCCCCTCACTCCATTCCCATTTCCGTAAAACTGTCAGTTTCATCAACCTTTCTGCAAATAACTAGAAGTATGCGCATCAAAGTTCGCTCACCGACAGGAACGCAGGTCCTCAACCTCTCACCGGAAGCAACAGTCTCGTCTCTCTTATCAGAAATCAGATCGAAATGTTCCATCTCAGGAGATATGGAGATAAAATATGGATATCCGCCTAAGACTCTTCAACTGAGCGAATACTCCTCATCGTCCCTATTGAAAGAGCTACCAGTAAAGCTAGAAGGGGAGCAATTAATCATTTCGGAAAGCGGTGGGGCAGCTCTTCGTGGAAGTGGTTCAGGCGTAGTGAAGAAGAGTGAGGCTACCACAATTGAAACAGAAAAGGCTGGGGTCTACGTGCCACCATCATCAACAGTACCAAAATCAAATGCTTCATTCTCCTTTGCAGGTCAAGGCTCTGCAGCTCTGAATTCTTCCACCAACTCAAATCCACTGAGTCTGTCGCGCTCTTTGAAACCCAAAATCAACAAGGATGATCCTCCGGATGTACCACTCAAAAATGGGCGTGGAACTGTTATGCTAAGAGTAATGGAAGATGATAACTCCTGCCTCTTTAGAGCGATAAGTGTAGCACTCCCCTCAAAAGCACTGTAGAAAAGGAAAACCATCTATAACGGACAAAGACTGACAGGGATAGTAGTATGTTATGACGAACTCCATGTACTCGGTTGAAGAGCTGCGACAACTTGTAGCAAGCACAATCCAGGGAGATCATGAGACCTACTCCGAGGCAGTCCTTGAGCAGAAGAGGGACGGCTACTGTGAGTGGATTACTATGGATAGTTCTTGGGGAGGTGGAATAGAGTTAGGGATTTTTGCAAACTTTTTTGACATGGAGGTATGTGGAAACCTCATTGAGTACAGTGATTACATTTATCCTTAATGCAAGATGCTGACCAGGGCAGATATGCACAATTGATGTTTCTACAAATGACATGATCCGGTTCAATGAAGGAAAATCGAAAAGAGCATTTGTGGTTTATTCCGGAATTCATTACGACGCTCTGGCGCTTTCACCAGCCGGGTCATCGAAGCACGACTCGAGCAACGATATAAGAATATTTGACTCGAATGATGATGAGATGATTGAAGGTGCACTGGAATTGTGCAGGGAGCTTAGGAAGAGAAAATACTTTACTGATACCAAAAATTTCGCAATTAAATGCAATATCTGTGGTATTGGTTTGAAGGGAGAGAAGGCAGCTGTGGAGCACGCAACTAAAACTGGACATTCGGATTTTGGGGAATTTTAGTCACTAGTCAGCATAATTACTTCGGATGGCTGTACATAATCACGTTTCAACACGGGCTAGGATTGGTTGCATGGAGAATGGGTTGGAGTTGAGGGTTTAAGTGTTTGATTTTACAACAGATGTACTTACTGCGGAGGTGAGATATTTGCTTACGTAGCATTCTTGATAATATCATGAGAACCGCTTATCCGAGCGTTCTCCACAAGCACGGTCTGAGAGCTTCCAAAGCATATTACCTAGACTCTACAGAAACAAGACACTTGATACCCTTACATCCGTGGGGCTACTATAATGTGCTAATTCTCGCGTTGCACAGAGTAGCATATGTACTCGCAGCCATTAATCCGTAACAAAAGCACTTTTATTTGAAACGCCGAGCAAATAAATGACGCAGAGAGTAAATCTAGAAAAGAGAATAGAGAGGGAAAAGTAAAGAAGCCCTCAGATCGAATATTTATTCGACATCCTCCATAGGCTTTACGGACTCTTTAGCAACTCTCTCTGCCTCCTTCCTTGCCTCGAGCGCCTCATAAAACGAAGTGGTTCCCAACCCCGCTGCAGCATCCGCTTCCTTTTGGGAATAGGGCTCTTCAAGCAGCATGCGCACTCTGAAATTTCCCCACAGTTTTCCTTTAGCTCTCTTTGAATTTAGACCAAAATGATTCTTCTAACGACGTACCTTCGTTTGTGGTTCTTGCCTCGTGTGTGTTGGGTCATGTTCCACTCGCTCTCGAAATACTTTGCGCATTCAACACAGTGAAATTGACCGAGACCAGGTTTGTCTTCATTTGGGACAAGCGCCCTCAGCTGCGCGAGCCGCTTGGAACTGCGGAGGTCTGCATGGATTTGGTCGAGGCCGCTGTTGAGTTTAAAACATGTTAGCATTAGCCATTGAATTGGGAAAGAGAGTGTCCAAAGTGATGCAAAGATTGGTTGTGGGGGGGGGGGGGGGGGGGTGAATTCAAAGGGGGGGGATTGAGGTCTTAATACCGAGTCATTCGCTTGGTTTTTGAACGACGAATTGAACCCATTTTTGTAGGAGTAAAGGAGCCTTGAGATTCAGTGTAAGCACAGTAGAGCTTTGAGACCTGAAGTCCCGGAAAGTTTTCTTCGCACCTTGAGGCTCTGTGGCGCGTGGGCTAGTGTGTGTGATGTGGGGGGTCTTACCTACGCTAGTGGGAATAATTTATCGGAGGCGGTTGTTGGCGGACACGGTAGGGTGCGGAGGGAAGGGTTTCGTCGGGCCGAGGGTCGGCGAAGAGGAGACAACAGGCTTCACAAATCAAAACAATGTGATTGGCCCAGAATGTCCGTAAACCCTTTTTCAGAGGCTTTTTTCTTTTCGAGCTGACCCCCGCCTCCCCACCCCTGGTATTCTCTCAGCGGGGTGTGCAGGAGATAAACGCACAAACCACTGCTGCCTGTGACGCTGAGTTGCATTTCTTGCTTTAACAACTTCTTGGCAGACCCCCCCCCAAACCCTTCTACTTCTAAACCCTCATTCTGTTTCCTGTCCTCTTTCTCCTCCTCTTCCCTTCCCTTTATTCACCCATCCTCTCCCGTTTTATTCACCGGGGGTTTTCTTTAAGAGGTGCATCTCCTCTTCTCTTCCATAGTGAAGTGACTTTAGCTTGTTACTCTTTGAATCAACTATATAATTCATCATGCTTTCCAGGCACCTTTCCAGGGCCACCAAGCTGCCTCTGGTATGATCATTTTCTATTAGCTATCAAGCATGATGTATTTTTTTTAAAAAACAACTAGCTGACAATTCTACTTTTTTCAGAGCGTTGGCGTTAGAGTTGTAAGTATTTTAACTTCTATCACTCGGCGATAGAGTCTAGGCGCTCAAGAAAGAAACATACTGATTAATAATTCCAAATTTAGGGCCAGAAGCACCGTGGATTGGCCTCTGTCAGTGATGATCCGCTCAGCAGGAAGGTCGAAATGACCAACTGGGAGAAGGTTTGTGAATAATTTTCCCCGCTGCAAATTTTTTGCTATCTTTCGGAAACGCCCGGATATCCGGGTGGCACATGGGTTCGTCTCGGATGAATTTACTAACATTTATGATTATAGGGTAACTTCATCAACTACAAGTATGTTTCTCTTTGAGAGTTAAAATATGTGGAGAATTTCTTTTTTGCTTTTATCGTTATCAATCGCTTTAATCACTCTCCGAGTAATCAAAAGTGTTGTTGCGATAAAGCAAGAATGATGTGCAGGTGTCGTCACATGTTAGTGGTCCGTGTGCTAAGACAAGGATCGTGATTGCAGGAAGATGAGCGAGAACCTCGCTATTGTCCGTGCCCGTTTGAACCGTCCTCTTACATATGCCGAAAAGATCCTCTACTCGCATTTAGACGATCCTCACGGCCAGGAAATCGAGCGCGGCAAATCCTACCTCAAGCTCCGACCGGATCGTGTTGCTTGCCAGGATGCCACTGCTCAGATGGCCATCCTGCAATTCATGAGTGCGGGTTTGCCTAAGGTTGCAACTCCAACAACTGTGCACTGTGATCATTTGATCGAAGCGCAGGTTGGTGGAGCCAAGGATTTGGCAAGGGCTGAGGAGATCAACAAGGAGGTCTATGACTTCTTGTCAACTGCTTGTGCTAAGTACGACATTGGATTCTGGAAACCTGGTTCTGGTATTATTCACCAGATTATTCTCGAAAACTATGCTTTCCCCGGAGGTCTTCTTATTGGTACCGACTCGCACACCCCCAACGCTGGTGGTTTGGGAATGTGCGCTATCGGTGTCGGTGGTGCTGATGCTGTCGATGTTATGGCCAACCTTCCTTGGGAGTTGAAGGCTCCTAAGATCATTGGTGTTAAGCTCACCGGTCAACTGAGTGGATGGACCTCTCCTAAGGGTATGATATCTTCACAATTTATAGTTCACTGTCTTTTATACTAATGATTTGGCTAGACATTATCTTGAAGGTTGCTGGTATCCTCACCGTAAAGGGAGGAACTGGAGCTATTGTTGAGTACCACGGTCCTGGTGTTGACAATCTCTCATCTACTGGTATGGGAACTATTTGCAACATGGGCGCTGAGATTGGTGCCACCACCTCTGTCTTCCCCTTCAACGACCGCATGTACGATTACTTGGCTGCTACCAAGCGTAAGGACATTGGAGACTTTGCCCGCACTTACGCTAAGGAGCTCCGTGAGGACCAGGGCGCTGAGTATGACGAGCTGATCGAGCTCGACTTGAGCACTCTTGAGCCCCACATCAACGGACCTTTCACCCCCGATCTTGCTACCCCGATCTCCAAGTTCAAGGATGCTGTTGAGGAGAACGGCTGGCCCGCTGAGCTCAAGGTTGGTTTGATCGGTTCTTGCACTAACTCCTCATACGAGGACATGTCCCGTTCTGCCTCTATTGCCCGTGATGCTTTGAACCACGGAATCAAGGCCAAGTCTGTCTACACCGTCACCCCCGGTTCCGAGCAGATTCGTGCTACCATCGAGCGTGATGGTCAACTCCAGACCTTTGAGGAGTTTGGTGGCATTGTTCTTGCCAACGCTTGCGGACCTTGCATTGGTCAATGGGACCGTCGTGATGTCAAGAAGGGAGAGCCCAACTCTATCATCTCTTCATACAACCGTAACTTCACTGGCCGTAACGACGCCAACCCCGCCACCCACGCTTTCGTCACCTCTCCCGACCTTGTCACCGCCATGACCATTGCCGGTGATCTTCGCTTCAACCCCCTCACCGACAAATTGAAGGACAAGGACGGAAACGAGTTCATGCTCGCCCCTCCCACTGGTGCCGGTCTCCCCGAGCGCGGATACGACCCAGGAAGGGACACCTACCAGGCCCCTCCTGCGGACCGCGCATCGGTCCAGGTCCAGGTTTCCCCTAGCTCTGACCGTCTCCAAGTACTTTCCCCCTTCAAGCCCTGGGACGGAAAGGACGCCAAGGGCATCCCGATCTTGATCAAGTGCAAGGGTAAGACCACCACCGACCACATCTCTATGGCCGGTCCTTGGTTGAAGTACCGTGGTCACTTGGACAACATCTCCAACAACATGTTGATTGGTGCCACCAACGCTGAGAACGACCAGGCCAACAGTGTCAAGAACTTCATCACTGGCGAGTATGATGCCGTGCCAGCCACTGCTCGTGACTACAAGGCCAGGAACATCCCATGGGTTGTTATCGGTGACTGGAACTACGGAGAGGGATCTTCCCGTGAGCATGCCGCCCTTGAGCCCAGGCACTTGGGTGGTCTTGCCATCATTACCAGGTCTTTCGCTCGTATCCACGAGACCAACTTGAAGAAGCAGGGAATGCTTCCTCTCGTTTTCGAGAACCCTGCCGACTACGACAAGATCAACCCTGATGACAAGGTTGACTGTAAGTTTAATCCCTTTGGAAACGATAAGAACGACTAATTAACTAAATGATTTAGTGTTCATCACCGATCTCGCTGTCGGAAAGCCCATGAGGATAAGATTCCACCCCAAGAACGGAAGCCCATGGGAGACCAACCTTATCCACACCTTCAACGAGGGCCAGATCGAGTGGTTCAAGAACGGCTCAGCTCTCAACACCATGGCCAAGGCTCAACGCTCTTAGATGTGCACGTTTTGGTGGGATAGAATAGCTAGGCGGTTTTAAAATTATGTACAAACTTTTCCTATTTTTACTGGGTGTTATTTTCTTGAACAATATTTGTGAAAAAATGATAGGGAGACGAATTGGGGTTGATGCGGTTAGTAGTAGTTACATGTAGTCTCGCTTGGTTAGCATTATTCAGCGCTTTGTTTTTTTGTTATTTTTTTCCTTCAAAATTCAAGGTTCTGGGCACATTTTATTTATTTTACCGAGCTGTGACTTAGCGTTCATTTTGAAGGATTGCCTTCATACTATCTACATGTAGTCCTCAATTCTTCTCATTTGAAGTTTGTGAACTGAACATTCCCTCCAAACCGTATCTAAATCTCTTGTTTCATGGATTATCACTCGCAGATCGAGCCCCTAGTGAGGGGTAACTTGCTCCTACAACCTCAATTCCACATCCAAGCAATATGCCGAAAAGGCACTCCAGGCCCCCAATCCAAAAGACCGCCATTAAAACCCAATTATCAGAATAAAGCATCTTTCCACAGAGCAGCGCTTAGACCTATCTATCTATAGAGTACCCCCCGAACAAAAAAAACTTTTTGATATTCCGCATATCTACATGACTCGCATACTCCCAGAGCGTCTATAAGCCCCAGCCCATATCCCAATATCCCAATATCCCAATATCTATAAGATCCACGCCACACCAACTAGCTCTATTTCTTCTTCGAGCTTCCCAGCCCAGCAGCCATATTGGTAGCCTCCTGGATCGCCCTCGCGATCGTACTCCGCACCCCGCCATCCTCTAGCATAAGCAGGCCGCCAATAGTGCACCCCGCCGGCGTCGATACCTGCTCTCTGATGATTGCCGGGTGCTGTCCCGACAGCACAAGGCGGCCCGCGCCTTGCATCGCTATTCACAAACACAAAAACCGATTAGCCCACATGCCACCCCCCTCCCCCGGGGTTTGGGGGGTCAACTTACTCTGAGCAGCCATCATCTGCGCCTCCGCCCTCGGCAGGCCCATCATGACGCCACCGTCGGCCATGGCCTCGATGAACAGGGCGTAGAAGGCGGGGCCGGACCCGCACAGCGCCGTGCACGCGTCCATGTGCTTCTCGCCGAGGATGAGGGATTTGCCGATCTGGCTGAAGATCCAGGAGACGAGGGTCTTCTCCTCGTTGGGGAGGTCGTCGGCCGTGGAGATGACGGTCATGGATTCGCGGATCTAACACCTCACTATTAGCTTTCCCACCCCTTCAATTCCCCGTCATTGGGGGGGGGGGGGGGGGGGGAAGAAAATACCTTCGACGCAGTATTCGGCATCGCCCTGACGACCCTAGTACTCGCCGGCACCACCGCGCGCAGCTGCTCAATCTTCACTCCGGCCAAAATGGACACGAGGAGCTTCCCCTCCAGCGCCGCGGCCATGCCCTCCTCGCCCAGGATCTCCTGGTACATCTGCGGCTTACACCCAAGGAGCACCACGTCGGCGGCCTGCGCGCCGTGGACGTTGTCCTTTGTGAGGACGGTTACGGCGTCGCCGTAGTGCACGAAGGCCTTCTTGACGCGCTGGGCGCTCTCGGGGCGCTTGACGCAGCAGACGAAGCGGGAGGGCAGGACGGGGGGCGTGGACTCGTCCGTGTCGTGGAAGCGGGTGGGGAGGAGGGCGTTGGGGGTTGAGGTGCCCGTGCCGGAGGGGGAGGAGGTGAGGGAGGCGAGGATGCCGGAGAGGATGGCGACGCCCATGGTGCCGCAGCCGAGGACGGTGATGGTGAGGGTGGGGGCGTCGGTGGTTTGTTGCTGCATGAGGGGGGTGGTCGACATTGCTGCGGTGGTGCTGCGGGGGGAGGTGCTGTGGTGGGGAGAGAGAGTTTTTCTGTGGTGGGGGAGAGGTTGTGGAACCTGAGGTGGGATGGAAGATCAGGGTTAGGGGTGGTTGTGTGTTAAGGGTCCAGGTTAGTTAATAAGCTTATCGGGATAAGGCTCGACGGCGGGATTGGGATTTGGCTGGGCTGGGCTGGGCTGGGTGGATGGATGGATGGATGGCTGGATAATAGGGCTGTCGGTGGCCCTCGGGGGTCTCGGGTGCGTGCATTCCGAGATGTTATTGTTATTTCCCCATGCCCGGTGTCTTTTATTCAGCCCGTATTGGTTGTCGAGAGCTTAACTTTCACATTGATATCAGCGTGGAATCTCGTGTCGGACCGGCAGTTCTGCAAGGAAGAACGAGAACGAGAACGAGGAAAAGCTGCACAACGGATCAATCGAGCTTAGCTTCTCCGCGGTTGGTCGTGGTGGCCGTTGCAGAAAACCTTTCGATTAATTCCCCTTCCTCCCTTTTTCCATATTCCAAAAAACTTCACCAGCAAACACACATACACCCGTATCACATCCACAACCAATTCATACCACACCCGCAATGTCGTCGTCCAACCCTCGCGGGGCCGTCGTCGTCTCCCCCCACGACATCTGGAAGAAGCTCGAAGCCTACCTCCTGCGGCTGCCCGTTCTCACGCGCATCGTCATGCTGCTGATCGCCGCGTTCCACTTCGCGGCCACCTTCGGCCTGCCAATGGCCGAGTATTTTGCGCTGAGCCCGGGGAAGATGGACTTGGGGCAGAGTACGTACACTACACACACACACATGCCCGAAAACACATGATCAGAAACCGGAGGTTGACCCGAGAGTGATATTATAACAGTGCACCGACTCAACACTTACCCCCTCGTCCACCTGGGCCTGCTCCACGCGATCTTTAACCTCCTCGCGCTCACCCCGCTCCTTGAGCGCTTCGAGCGCGAGTGCGGAACCCTCAAGACTCTCCTCCTCATCCTCGGGCGTACGTCCCCCCAATACCTCCATGCCGCCGTATGTATAACTAACACCCTCCAGCGCTCGTAACCTTCCCCGGCTTCCTCTACCTCGGCATTGAGATGTTCCTGCTCAACGGCAACACCACCGTCGCCGGCGCCAGCGCCCTCGTGTTCACGCTCATGGCCATCGAGTCCGTCAAGACGTACGGCTTCCAGCCATACTACATCATCGCCGGCTACGAGTTCCCGTCCTACTTCACGCCCGTCTTCTGGATGGTGCTCATGGCGTTCCTGATGCCGGGATCATCCCTGCTGGGACACTTTTGTGGGCTGGTGATTGGTTATGCTTGTTAGTCCCCCTCTCCCCTTCCCCCTTCCCGTCTTTCTCCCCCCGGGGCTGAATCGAGACTAATGGCGGTGGTGTTGGTGGTGTATATAGATGCGTGCCGATACCTCCGCCTGCTGGAGCCCTCAGAATGGCTGATGGGCAAGGTGGAGCAGAAGCTCTCGTTCATCTTCAGCAGGGTGCCACACTATGTGGCGCTGGATAGGCGCGCGGAGCTGGGCTACTGGGAGTTTATGCCGATGGCGGGCAGCTTCAGGAGCGCCAGGGGTGCGGTGCCGACGGCGGCGGCGGCGCAGAGCGATATGGAGGATGGGTTTGCGGGGCCCGGGATCAGGCTGGGGAGTTAAGGGGGAAATTGGGGTATGGGGGGGGGGGGGGGGTAGATCTCTTTTGTTGTTATGGATGCCCATAGACAGGACAGGACAGGACAGGATAGGATGGGATAGGACGGGACAGGGTAGGACTTATTTTAAGGTGATAATAGGAATGATTTAATGTGTAGTATCCATCTAAGGTGTCATGTAATGTGTTGTGAAGGGGGAAAAAAAGATTCAATTGTCCATTGGGGGTGGGTTTCGCGTAGGATTGCTTTCTGATTAGTAGTTGGGTCGTGTGGGGGCGAATACACGCCGAGTGATCACACATGACGCCGCGTCACCCTACCCTAACCCGTAGTGACTATGCCACTAATTAGATGATGACCGCCGCCCAAGTGGAGCGGCCAACATCCCCCGCTGAGAAAAACACTACGAGATACGCCGAGCCCAACGCACACCGGAAGAGAAGTTAACTATCCTATGTAGCTACGAGTAGGCCCTGATATATTGTCAGCGGCCGCCATTCTATTTCTCAGCACAGATCTAGAGGTTTCCGTTGTGCCTCGGGTCGGATGGATGGGTCATGGCGCATCACTCGCACTCGACTAGTATACCACCATGGCAGCATCTACCGAACAACCGAACAACCGAACAACCAAGACGGCTCCCGTTTTCCCTGGGCGGCCCAAGTCGGACAAGACGAGGTGCTGACCTGGTTGTATACGTATTGCAATACTGGGCGCCCCGGCTGGCCTAGCTCGCCGGGCGTACACACCGCCATGGAAGAGTAAAGTGGCAGTGCAGTTGCTACATAGCTGTTCCATTAGTTAGCTGTAACAAGCCATGTACCGCGGCCGTACTGAGGAGACTAAGCTCGGTATTATATCTACTTTCCCTTGATAGGGTAGGATAGGTACATGTAGGTAGGGTTAGGCGTCGTGTTGGCGGTGTTGTCTTGTTGTGGTCTCGTTGCTGGTGTGGTGTGTGTGTGTGCGGTGGTGGTTGTGGGGGGGTGGGGGCGTATGGTTTGCATCGCGATCATTTCTCCATGTCTCTATATGTCTCTATGTCTCTGTATAAATGATTTGAGATAGCAGCGATGAGGAGACTGGGGTGGTAATGATCCTATATATCTTGAAGGTAGAAGCTCAGCGCGGGAGTCTTTCGTTAGTATTTGACCTGCCTGTTCTTTAGTTCTGGCAAGTAGCTAACTGATTATATCTGGTCTCTTGGTCAAGGAAACCCCTTCATACACAACCTACCAGCCACAAAGGCGCGCATATGTCCCCCTAGATACAGCGAATATCACCAATGACCACGATGACTACATATATAAAAGCGGATTAACCACACAGTACGATCCCCCCCCCCCCCCTCCCCCACATATATCCTCCATTTACACCAACACCAATACCCACTAGCTAACTAGTGCGGTCCACGCACGAGGAGTATGAGCACGAGCGTCTTTGTGTCCTTGCCTCGAGCTAGGGTATGTCCTCGATGTCACGCAAGCACAGTGATCAAAAAGGACAAGGAACCTCGAGGACAATTTGTGGCTATAATACACACTTAATATGCCCTAATCGAATATATGAGGCTATGAATAAAATATACTTTTTAGTTTAAGAAATATCACTTTTTGCTCTACCGGGTTGTCCTCGAGGCGCCTCGAGGGCACCCCAAACCTCGCCTCGAGGGTCCTCGTGGATCGACCCACATTATAATTACCCGCACCCAGTTATAACTAACCATAGACATACCAGACACCCCCCCCCCCCCCGGGTCCCAAAATCTTCCGCTACTAATACTCTCAGCGACGCCTTATTTCACCGGCCCGCTCAAAAGTCAAAACACAAATCGCAACAACAGAAATCCTCACGAGTGATACTCCATGATCCAAAGACCAGAGTTCCACCCGGCGCGGCCCTCTCCCCAAATAAAACCATTTATGGGAGTGTTTCTAAGACACTAGTCTCTATATGTAGATCCGCTTAGCCAAGGAGTTGAGCTGCGTCACTCCCCCGGAATTGTGTTGTGTATCTCCAGGTGTTACGTTGTCCCAATCACTTTGCGCTACCCGTCAGCTGAACCGCAACAACGAGGCGCACAAACGCTTTATGGCAATAACTACAGCCCTCTATGCCCACCATACATCTAGGGGGGTGCCTCGGCTTTCAATTTAGAGGGATGCCTGATGTTGAAGGGATATATCTATAGCTTATTTTGATATACCCATAAAAAAAGATAATATCTCAGGTATTGCCGGTCTAGATCCAAGCATTATATATACGATGCGATAGGTGCAATTTGGAGGGGGGATACGGAATGATATGGAAAGCAAAATATGCAAGTAACGATAGTAGTTTTCTATAATATTGAGATAATGATTGCTTTAGAACCTCTATGTACGCGCACATACGTTTATTTACCGTTATACCCGTACCCAGTCGATTATTAGTTTATGCCAAACACCTCTTTCGCACCTCCCCTCCCCCTATAATATAGTTATAAGAAATAAAACGCCTATAAAAAATGGAGGGAAAGGTGTAGGAAACAATGAAATATATAAGCATAATGTAGAGGGCATTTAGGGGGAAGCCTAAATTATGCAAGGTGTGAAGAGGGAGTATACCAGATAGGAAATATAAACTGGTTGATTGAGGAATCCTTTCTGGGACCGCGAAAAAAAATTAAGGAAAGCAAGAAAGCAATCAAGAAATGAAAAAAAAAGTCAAAGAATTACACCGAACCTCTTTGCTCCCCATAACCCAGGACAAGGAAATAAAACATAACAGTACGTACTGTAACACCATATAATAATAAATAAAAACTACAGCGATTAAGCCTCCCCTGCAATCTCCACCCCACTTGAGTCGCCACCTATCCCTCTATTCCTCGATGGGGTGTAAACTCCTGGCTTTTCCGACTGTGATGCAACCTCTAGCACTGACATAGAGCTTTGCGCTTGACGGCCCAAAGACATCCCTAATAATCTATGAGCTGGGTTCTCTGGATGTATAGTTTCCCCTGGTGGTGCTTTGATCCATTCAACATTTGCGCAACGTGACACAAGTCGTGCTGTGGTTTGATCGACAGGCTGGAAATGATTGCTCCGAACACCACTAAGACATTCGAGAAGATTGAGGATTTCATCGCGTTTATAGTGGATATGGCGAAGTTGGGTGTGTTCAAGAAGAGGGTAAAGAACACGGAGATAGGTGTGACGGAGGGATTCGGACTCTTCAGGGAGGTCTAACAGATTGCGAATCATTACATCGACCAGAACCCGCAGGTCGTTAGTGTAGAAGTACTCGTATGTTGCACTGGTTGTGAAAAGTAGATACAGGAGCTTGAGTATTAAAAGTTGTAAACATGTTTCACCTGTGGGATATTGTTAGTAATCTGATAGAACCCATCCTAACATATTAAGCGGGAGACAAACTTTCTCTATTAAGGCATAGAATTATGTTCTCGCCAAAAGTCTTGTAAGTGGATCCATAGAAGCAAAGAATTTTGATGACTTTGTTAGTTGGCGCATTGCTGTCCTCAGGTGCACCATCCCTTGGCGGGGCGTGGGCTGAAACCATATACTGCTCGTTCAAAACTAGCTAAAAACCATGGACCGCATAGATTAGTTTATAAGTCCATCTTTTCTTTACTGTCATGCGAAAAGAGCTACCCACCAGCATCCTAATTACTGGATAATGATATGGATCATTAGGGTCATCAGGGTCTTCCTCTACCAGCTGGAAAAGATAGCTAATAAACCCATCACCAATCGAGTCCAAATCCTCACGCCTCAAACGTTGTATCCTTGACATTTCATAGAGAAGGTCTAGTACAGAACTCCACAATATTCGATCCTCTTCCCTTTTCTGCGCTACCATTTCCATTAATCTCGAAAAAAGTCCCTCTTCCTGCATGAGTTCGAAAGTCTTCTGATGTTGTCGTCCATCATATAACAAAACGTTCGTAATCAATCGTAGTTTTGTGTTTGAGGTTTCTTTACGCAATCGCCCTATCATCCGCCGACGAACATGGTGCTTATTTTTCAAAAATAAGGAAGATTCAAGCAATTTGAATGCGCACTTCGCCCAGTCGTATTCCGTGTTGAGGTATTCGTCTACAGTCTCAGCATTAGCCACCAATCACCACCACCGCCGCTAAAAGAAATATACCTGTAAACGAAGACGTGAACATCAAATAAGTCTTCAGCGCGTTGTCAACAAAGCTCTGAGTTTCACAATGAGCGCCGACAATTTCATCGAGCTCTGCTTTCCCGAATTAGTCTAATATAAAAAGGCGCCAGGGAAATCTAAGGGAAGAATATGAAAGGTCACTACCATCCCAAAATTGCTGCTCATTCTCAAGGCTATAGGAGACATCGAAATCCATAACGAGTGTTGGGCGGTCCCAGTTGAAATGAAGAGTACAAAAAACAACTGAAAACCAACCTTACTAAAGAAAGAAGGTACGGAGCGAAAGGACAGATTTTCGTAAAGATCGGATTTTTTTTTTTGACTACTCCTTATAGCATCACGAGGCAAGAGGGAATGATTGCAGGTTAGTGGGGACCAGGCGGGAAGCAAGCTTGTTCGGTCAAAATATGTAGGCCGTTAGGTTGCGGAGGGAGTGGAGATCCCAGCTGTCAGGGGGTTGGACGGTCAGGCTATTGTAGGTAACACCCGTTGATAGAGGAACTATTAAAAGCAGGGATGAGGGGAAGAGATTCCATGTGGCATCCTAAGACATTCTAGGAGAGCCTCATCATCACCATCACGCACCTCCACCACCATCTCGGCAATCACCTTGTCACGTTTCGCATGTATGTCGATTTGATTTCACCATGAAACTTAATACCTACTCGCGCGGCCGAGTTTTGACTTACTCACGTGACGCTATTTAACAGGTTTTTTGCGTTACCCATAGGTCATGTGATTAAGTTGAAACTCGGCCGCGCGAGTACTTAAATGTGGGGGGATATTTGACCTATTAATGTGTTAGGGGGGGCCTCAGCTCCAATTCGGCCTCTGATCCTCGAAACGCAGATTCCCGAAGGCCAAAGCACCAAAAGCTCAAGTTTACACATACAGTCGCACCTCGTTATGTCGTTAACATATTCTGGGAGCCAAACCCCTACGAGATAGCAAATATACGAGACAGCAAATAGTTTTTGGTGGAGAAGGGCAGTACCTGTCCCACAAATTCGTACGAGACAGCAAGAGATCCGAGATATCGAATTACGAGATAGCGAGGTGCGACTGTACATAGGAGAGAGGGCTGATATGTACGTGTGCACTGCTGCATGTGGCCGGGTGCCCAAGTCATTCATCTAGGATATTCATGTTTATTATCCACGTGACCAATTTGATATTGGGCTGTTAAATACCTGCACTGCCGGATCGAAACCGCTCGGCGATTATCTTATCAACCAGGGTATCTTCACTCTGGCAGTATGCGCGAGACCATAGATGTATGCAGCTAGAGGACTACATGTAGTTTACTTTTGTATATTCTTGTGAGGATACATGTATGTAACGCAATGGACGAACGAAAGTAATAGATGTATATATACTCTAGTACGTCCTTAAATATAAATACGACGAGTATTACTAGAAACCTATAATTATATAAATGATGCTGTTGTTCCTGTGCCTATTACCTGTTCATGTACGTCATATACATGTAAGTAAAACATGTACACCGTTGTCGACTTTCTGGCCAGCATACAAGCCCAGGTATCCTCCGTCTAATGAATTAGATATGCAATATGACCTAAAGGCATTGCAAAGAAATAAATGAAGATAAAGGAGTCGTTACCAAGGTTCAAAGGCACATGAAGTGACTAACGGAGACACCGATAAGAGGTATACATGAACATGAAAAAAAAAGCGGATAACATTAGGAAGAACTGAAAATGATCCAAGATTAAACCTTCCCCAGTTACACTCTAACTCCCTTTCTCCCACTGTCGTTCAAACTTCATACTGGATTTCGTCGGCTAACGTTCTTTGCAACCGATATTCAAACAAAACAAGAAGCGAAAAATTAACTCAAAACATGAATAGTCGAAAATACGAAGATACAGGATACCCCCAGATCAGTTCTCCTTCTACTTAGGCTCCGGTAACATCGGAGGGTTTCAAAGCATAGTTCCCAGAATGCAATCCCTTCAGCACCAGCTCTCCGTCCTTGCTCAATGATGGTTGCCCAGCAGACAACGAAGGGGCTTCGAAGAACCTTGGCTTCCAATCTATATTCTCCGCCGTCCTGGCTGCAGCCTTTTCTCGCTGTCGATCTTCAATCTCGCATTTGAGTTGGGTGGCGCGAGCGTAGTCTTTAGCGTGTATTGCTTCCGAAACGGCCTGCCACATTTTACGAGATTCGTTGGGAAGCATGACTTCCAGTGGCGGGCAAATCTTATTTGCTGGCAATAGAGGGTCTAGGTCTATGAGAAGTATTTTTTCCTAGAACAGAAATTAGTTGGCTCCTATCGAGATACGCACACACACACAAAAGACTTACTGTAGATCCTGGCAATATATAGTATAGTTGGTTCATCCAAGAACCTTCAATTTTAGCACGTATAGCCTTACTGGGTACGTCTTTGAGTCTTGTTATGCCATCCTCTTCACCATTGTACTCATAAACAACTCCCTCAACTCGATGTTTTGCTTTGCCCAGCCACGAGTCACCTAAATATTGCAAAATAACTTTCAACTTGGTCTTTGGACATGTCACATAGCATACGTCCTCGACATATAAGTTCAGGGATCCTGATAGCCTGTAAGTGAGTATGAACTCGAGTAGGGTTGCATTGGGCGAAAGAGATACCTCTTAGAATCCCGCCCAAACTGGCAGCGGGGTGGGTCAGTCGATAGCATTCATCACCTCTGTTGTGCAAGTTTATGAATATTCCCAAGTTATGTTCACCGGGTGTAACCCTGACTTCAAAGAATTAGTAAGATTCCTTTCCAAATTAAAAGAATTCATACTTGATGTTCCAGTAAATTTGGCACTGATCTACAAGCGTAAATTGTAAGCATGTTTCAGTACAAAAAGCGAGATGTCGTGTACCTGATCATAACCCCTCGCGGATATGCCCTTTTCGGGGCAGTCTATGTAAAATGCAGAGACGGGAGGGTGGTGGGATGTCTGCTCTGTTAAAAATGACACTCGAATAGGCGCCTTATTAGTAGGCGTTGGCGCGGGTGTAGTAGCGGTTGAGGCAGCTTTGCTCTTCGCAGAACTTCGTGAGGCGGGGCGGGAGGCTGAAACCGGTGGTAATGATGCTTCAACATCCCAACTACACTATTCAATCCACCCGCGGGGCCTCCATCAGCCGGTCGACTCCATGGTCCTTTAGGTCTTGGTCTTGGGTAAACATACTCTGAAAAATTCGCCGAGTGTCGAGTTATATGGCTGTTTAATTCGATCAGTATGACACTAAAGTTTGAATATAGGAGTGAATAAACACCTTACAAGGCTTTCCCTTAACAAATTTCTATTTCGGAATGATTAGCAGTTGCGCTGCGACAGACCTTCGGCAATTTAGAGAACGTACAAGATCTTTTGTGAACCAAAACCTCAAAACGCCCAAAAAGCGCTCAAGCTCGTCATTCGAATCGCCGATGCTACACTTTTGTTAGAAAATCTTAAGGCCTCAGAATGACAAATTAGCCCACCTAATGAAGGTTTCTGGTCGGTCCAAATAATTCCAATATTCTAGCACGGAAAAGACCAGTCAGCTGACGCAAGGCGGCATTCTTATAGGGAGCTTATTTAATAGCCTGGTGAGGACCGTGGAGATTCCCCAGACGGTACATGTCCTTACCTAGGTTAGGAACAGGCTCTAGAAGCTGACTAGGAAGCGAGAACCGCACGGAGGCAATATCAGACACTCCAACAAACCGCTTGAGAATACCGAGAAGTATCCTATAATAAGCAAAGTTAGTAATACGGTTCCTAAATACAATAGGAGTCAAAATGTATAGACAAACTTTAGCTTTGACTGATCCCCAGCATCAGAGACTGCGCTTGAAATTGTCCCCGAAGGAGGGGTTGTTGAAGGGGTTGCCGAAGTAGATGCGTGTGTCGAAGAGACGTTAGATGAGGGCTCCATGTCTTCTAACGTATGGAGAGGAGAAATCGAAAGACAGATGCGTAGAGAACGAAATTTGTAGGAAGGTGAGCAGAAAGTGGATGTGGCGAGGTTGTGGAAAAGATGGAAGTTAAGGAAGTATTTGGCCTTAGGAGGTGAGGTAAGGGATAGGGTTTGGCCAGAGCTCTGATATCGCAACGTTCCGGCAATACAGTACCTAACTAGTCTGGTGCTTGCCAGTCACTGGCCGGGAATTAAACTACAAAACTGGTACACACGTACACATCTTCGGGGCAACCGAGAGATCATCGCGTATGGTACCCGAGATGCCCCCCAAAATAATAATAAAAAAAAAAAAAAAACACAGCTGTAGATACATGTACGTATCGCTTCGTCTGATCAAAGCTCCTTGTGATACCGAAACACGCGGTTTCAAGTTGAATTTCTGAAACACCCCCCGAAATTCACATGTATGTATACAAAGTACCTCCTAGACAAGTGGGCATGACCTTCCAATATGGAATCAGGAACAGCATCTACGCCATATAAAATATGCTAAACTCTTTTAAGTTGTGCAACACACCTAACCTTTATCATGGGAGCATGGGAACACTCTACCTTTTCTATGGATTGTTGATAAGGCGTTGATCAAAGTTAGGCCGGGTAACAGTCTATAAGATTGTGGGTCCAATCGAACCAATACTTTAGCTCGAAAATAATATTTGGCCCAATTCAAATACCGTTCCAAAGTTCTAGTGCTTATAAACTTCGTAGCCTATAACCGGACCCAGTAGAATACTCTCGTTCCCTGTGAATTGAGCGTAGAGTACCGAGTGATAGGGCTGCCAATCTGCAGCTAATTAAAGGAATACATGTATTTAATGTGTATGAATTGAAGACATAGAGTACAGTACTGTAAGTACATAACGAGGTACACGTTGAATAATACTGATTATCATGCACGGTTCGCGTGCCAAGATTTTATTCAACGCGTCTCCGAGCTCCTGGGACCTAGAAAATGTTGCTTCCTTGACGCGTGTAAATCTTGTTCAATTATCCCTCTCAACTCAAACTTAAAAAATCCTAGAATCTGCATTGATCATTATGGGATCCAGGCCAGAACTCAAGGTACGAATTTAGTATCACCAGCTTGTCCACGATGTCAATGCTAAATGCCCTCATAGGTCGACGACGAGAATGGCTTCATTTCCTTCTTTCAAAGACTCCCAGAAGTAGATGCTATCCGTCTATTCGAACGCAATGAATTCTATACTGTTCATGGCAAGGACGCGGTATATGTTGCTAAAACAGTAAGCCATTGGCCTCATTTTCTTAAAAAAACTTTTTTAAAAATTACTTGACATGGCTAAAGTGACGGATGGCAAATAGGTCTACAAAACTACATCGGTTATCCGACAACTAGGTAATTCAAGAAATACTCTTGAATCATGTACACTTTCCGTGACTGCCTTCCGTAATTTTCTACGCGAAGTTCTTTTCAAGGAGGGCAAACGAATCGAAATTTGGTCATCCACAGGGAAAAATAAATGGGAGCTCACAAAACAAGCTTCCCCTGGAAATCTTCAGGATGTAGAAGAAGATTTTGCTGGACAGATAGAATCATCGCCAATAATTCTAGCAGTCAAGATATCTGCGAAGGGAGAAGAGCGAAATGTGGGTGTCTGCTTTGCGGATGCCAGTATTCGTGAGTTGGGTGTGAGCGAATTCATTGACAATGACCTCTACTGTAACTTCGAGGTATGTTAACAATCTTTTCATCTGCATCGTACCGCTTTTTGACCTTCATTGTAGTCTCTCCTGATTCAATTGGGTGTTAAAGAATGCATCGTACAAATGGACGAGAAAAACAAAGATTACGAACTGGGCAAGCTTCGGGCCCTCATCGATCGCTGCGGAATTGTCATGACATTTAGAAAAGCCGCCGATTTCTCTATCAAGGATATCGACCAAGACTTTTCGCGCCTACTCACAAGTGAGATTGCAGTTGGGGTACTTCCACAAACCGAAAGTAAACTCGCTATGGGAGCTGCTTCGGCGTTGATAAAGTATCTAAATCTCATGTCCGATGATCACAATTTCGGCCAGTATCATCTTTACCAGCATGATCTGGCTCAATACATGAAGCTCGATGCATCTGCTGTGAGGGCCTTGAACCTTCTACCAGGACCTAGAGATGGTGCTAAAAATATGTCTCTTTATGGTCTCCTCAACAAATGCAAGACTGCGATCGGAACTCGATTGCTTTCTCAATGGCTAAAACAACCGTTGATGAGCCATGAAGAGATTGAGAAGCGTCATATCCTTGTCGAAGCATTTGTAGAGGACACAGAGCTAAGACAGACGATGCAGGAGGAGCACCTTAAGAGCATTCCGGACCTTTATAGACTCGCCAAGAGGTTCCAGAGGGAGCTGGCCAATTTGGAAGATGTCGTAAGAGCCTACCAAGTTGTTATCAGGATACCTGGATTTATTGGTACACTGGAAGGTGTCATGGATGAAAAATATAAAGACCCACTAGACATGAGTTATACAGCAAAGCTAACGGAGATCGCTGGGAAGTTGGAGATGTTGCAAGAATTGGTTGAGACTACTGTTGATCTCGACGCGCTTGATAACCATGAATTCATCATTAAACCAGAATTCAGTGATGACCTTGGTATCATTAAGAAAAGGATTGAAAGGCTGAAAACCGATATGGAAAAGGAACACCGAAGAGCTGGGAGCGACCTCCACCAAGAAGTTGACAAAAAGCTTTTCCTCGAGAATCATAAAGTTCACGGATGGTGTTTTCGATTAACTCGGACGGAGGCAGGATCTATCCGGAATAAGAGAGAATATCAGGAAATTTCAACACAAAAAAACGGCGTTTACTTTACCACTAGTAAATTACGAGACTTAAATAGGGAAGTTGACCAATCGACACAGACTTATAATAAAACTCAGAGTGGGCTTGTGCAAGAAGTCGTCAATGTGGCAGGTAAGTTTTCGCAACCATTTGCCTATAGATGTTATACACAACTCTAACACGCTTAGCTTCCTATTGTCCTGTTCTTGAAGAACTTGCAGACGTAATCGCCCACATGGACGTTATTGTCAGCTTTGCCCATGTTTCGGTGCACGCTCCGTCGCCATATGTCCGGCCTAAGATGCACCCACGAGGAGAAGGAAACACCATTTTAAAAGAGGCTCGACACCCCTGTATGGAAATGCAAGACGACATTCAGTTCATAACAAATGACGTGAGCTTATGTCGAGGGAGCTCGGAGTTTTTAATCATCACTGGCCCTAATATGGGTGGTAAATCGACATATATTCGACAGATCGGGGTAATTGCTCTCATGGCCCAGGCAGGATGTTTTGTTCCTTGCTCCGAGGCGGAATTGACCATTTTCGACTGTATTCTGGCCCGAGTCGGAGCTAGCGACTCGCAATTGAAGGGTGTTTCTACGTTTATGGCAGAGATGTTAGAGACTGCAACGATTCTCAAATCGGCCACTTCTGAATCGCTGATAATTATCGACGAGCTTGGTCGAGGAACAAGTACCTATGACGGGTTTGGGCTAGCATGGGCTATCTCGGAGCACATTGTCAAGGAAATCCAATGTTTCTCTATGTTCGCTACCCATTTCCATGAGTTAACGGCTCTGGTGGATGAGTATCCCTCGGTCAAGAACCTTCACGTCGTCGCTCACGTCGGAGATAGTGAAGGGGAAAAGAGAGAGGTCACGCTTCTGTATAAAGTTGAAGATGGTACATCCCTATTATTCCGATACCTTAACTGTTTAAGCTAAAAAAAAATACCTTTAACAGGCGTTTGTGATCAAAGTTTTGGTATACACGTTGCGGAATTAGTCCGCTTCCCGCAGAAGGTCATCAACATGGCTAAACGGAAAGCTGATGAGCTTGAAGATTTCACCGGCAAGCTAGAGCAACAGCATACACAATGCAGTAAAGAGCAGATTACAGAGGGGTCAATACTTCTCAAAAGATTATTGTTGGAATGGAAAGATAAAGTTGATGGCGGGAGCATGTCATCAGAAGAAATGAGGGAAGAGCTCATGAAATTGATATCAGGGCCATACAAGGAATCATTCGAAAATGATCCTTTCTTCCAGGCTGTGAAGGCTTTGTAGACTATACGACGTTGATATTATTATTTGAACGTATAGTAGAAGTGTCAGCGGGTGCGCATGGAATTCTGGTGGTGAATATGAATAGCTGAAATTGCATTGTTCTAATTATATGACTTCTTACACTCACCTGTTCCCTATTGTAGAGGTGGAAATAAGCATTTATAAGATGCCATATAGATGTAATGAAATCATGTAAATATCATTAAACCAACAATTTTATACAACTCTGTGTATCTAATGCACAACGTACAATACATTTATAAGGGAGAAAGGTATTCTAAACAGGGATAATCAGGAAGCAAGCGCTGGTAAATCAATGATTAAACAGACAAATGAAATTCCGAATTGAACAACAACTCCAATACACCAAAATTCAAGAAATGCATTTTCAAGAGGGAAACAATACTCCTAGCCATATAGTTAAGTAGTTGAGGTGTCTCAATATGCTACGCCACCAAACTATTCCTCATATTCTCTACCATCCCCTGTCCAATCCCCCGGATCATACCCAGTTCTTCCAAATCTTTGAATCCAAAATCCTCGTCGTCGTCGATAGCGGCTTCTCTCCTCCCTCTAACATGTTGCGCGAGAGATTCTGCTCTTTTCTTGCCAACACCCTACACAACGCAACGCCTCAATTAGCAAAGGGTCCTCATGTAATATCACTCGAGTCTTAAAAAGCTTACCCTGAGCTTCATTATCTGTGCTACATCCTCACTATTGATGATCTTCAAGAGTGACTGTGTCCGCGGAGTCTGCTGAACATCTGCAGGGGGTATATAATCGGTGTCCATGAGATCATTGTTATGAACATGCTCATCCTGCTCATCTTGTTCATCCTGCTCCTCCTTCCAGTTTGTAACAGCATCAACGCGGTCATTGTCGGTAAAGACTGCAAACGCTTTCTTCACTGGCATTGGGGGGGGCGGTGCGTGTGTTTCTTTTGTGTAGAGCTCCTCTTTAACGTCGCTCGTCTTAATTTCTCCTCCCTCTATATCCATAATTGACGTTTCATCTTCTTTTCTCGATAAAATATTTATGGCAGTAGACATGCCCGAGTTCTTTTTGCCTCGCAAGGCTGCAATCTTTTTCATTATTTTCGGGTTGTCAGGGAAGTAGGTCTGTGCCAGCTCATACATTTTCAATGCGGAGAAGTTTTCACCACGGGCAGTGTGTTGTTTTGCTAGGAGAATATAAGTAAGACCTTCTGCACGAGCATCTGCCTTCTTTTCGAGTTTTTTCTCGAGGAGTTCGAGTCGTCTACTAAAGTCGAAAGATACATCCGCTGATACTGGTGGAGGGGATTTGGCAGATTCGAGTGCGCGTGCTGCGAGAATTTCCTCCACCTTTTTTTCGACAATATCCGCGATATTAGCAGAGGATAGATGCGTTGACATACGACTATCGGTTTGACGGTTTTTAGTAATGCCGGAAGAGGCTGGTTTATGTAACGGCTTAGCAGGCTTAGCAGCAAGTGGTGCGCGTGTTGCCTTGAGCGACTTTTCAGCGAGCGAAGGTCTCGGTATGTGCTGTGTAGTATTTGTCTTTGCAGTTCCGAAAGCACGAGTTGGCTCTTTACTTAATAGCGCTGGCAATGGCTGGCGGTTGGAATAGGTAGCCGCTGGTGTATAGTCTGTTTCGGCCTGCTTCAACTCAATCTTTTTGGCGCGATTGGCAAAATTAAGTGCACTAAGGGTATCCATGTGGAATGCCTTCGTGGGGGCAAGATTCAAGATCATCACCGTGAGCCCGTTATTTTGACCAAGTGAGAGGATGCGTGTCATTTTGCTTTCGCGGTAAGGTATGCGGTTTTGTTTTTTGGTCATCGCTTCGACGCACTGCGCAAGGACAAATAGAGATTTGTTAATACTAGCGGATTCAATCATACGCTCTTTATCATTACAGGTTCGGCGGTTGTCTTCGCTGCCTGCTAAATCGATACATGAGACTGTGCCCGTTCGGGTCTCGCCCGTATCGCGGTTCGAAATAGCGACTCGGACGCATATAATGGCATGGCTTCTGCTTGAATGTGCATTGAGCTTTGTGGCAGAAGTGGAACGGTTGTTGTTGGCTTTATCGTATAATGTTTCGAACTCTTTGAGTGACGAGATCTCCTTCTCCGTCAACCCGACAACCACTGTCTTCCCTGCGTTATCTCGTAGTGATAGGCCAGAAGGCGTGCGTTTCTCGGGCGCCATAAAAAGGTCAAAGACTTTGTCATTGTAGATCTCGTAGTAGCTCATGGTTGCCGTCATTGTTATTTCTCCCTCCGACTTTCGTTCCAGCTCCTTTCCGCGACGGTAGATGGCGTTGAGAAGACGCGGAATGATGCCTCTTTCCGTAGCTGATTTTTGACCGCGCATAGTGTAAGTTTTACCACTACCAGTAGCACCATAAGCGAAAATTGTAACATCGTTGCCTTTAAATAGATGTTTTATTGTTGGCGACACTTATTCATATGCCCGTTAGCTTAGAGAAGAGACATGAAGGAATTGAATAATGTACCCTCAGAAAATAGCTGTGATTGATCAGACTCGCTGTCATGAACCGCGTTGAAAGGGAATGTGAAATTCTCGTTCTCGTTTTTCGGATTTGGCATGGAAATAGCTGTCCCTTCTGTGCGAACAACAATATCCTTCTCTATTTCATTTTTCAGGAGAGGGCGTATACGGGCAATTATCCGCACATTATTGCTGGTAGACATATTTTGGAAGGATTAGTAAAGCTCGTGTTGAGTATCGAAGAGCTTGAGGGGCAGCGGCTAGGCCCTCTGGTTTATCCCTTCGTTCGTGCCCGGTTTTCGCAAGAAAAAGCCGAGTTGATATTCAAAATACTAACTGCTACAGGGAGTGGATACCCTCTAGTAGTGGAAAGATCTGTTGAAAAAGAGGTAAAGAGGTTCGCGGAGTGTGGGTTAGGTGTACTAGAGATAAAAGTTGCTGGAACAATTTAATCAGCCCCAATAGCGTTTCTCGTCAATACGAACGAAGGGATGGTGTTGAGTGGGGAGTTATCCGAGCTTCGAAGACAAGAATGAGAAGGCAAGGCCAAACAGTAAGGAGTTGAGGATAACTACGGAATTGCGGCTCAAATGGGATAAACATGGGGCGTCTCCACAACAACAAACGCCCAGGTACGCTTTGCCACTTTTGTGCTACACACATTAAATGCAGGTAAGTTATGAGATGACTTTCGGTCTACTCTACGTATGCGAGAAGGCATAGGGGGTGGGTGTGTCAACTTCAGAGGAACTTTTTTTGTATGGGAGAGAAAATTCCACCGTCAGGCTAGGCGCTAGTACCATTGTGGGAGTAGATCTTCCAATTCCTATAGATTGATTGGCTACAAACGCCGAAGTTTACACACCTACCCACCATAGCTTCTCGAGCCATACCACAGAAACAAAACATACACTAGAACATGCGAAGCCAGTGTTTCAGCTTGGAATGCATCCAATGATCATCCTACTTATTCTTATGCACATCCCATCAAACAACTTCTTCAGCTCGTCTCAGACCTTAATAGCCACACATGGGTCTACGAGCTGGACTGCACAGCAATAATTTACTAATAAGCTGGGGGGTTATCCTAATATTATTGGCACTCAATTTATGCAGTCATCCTAAATAGACATGTCAACAATTCAAAGTAGATATGCAATTATGTAGATCGTTGAAAAAAAGAAACCATTTCGAGCCACGACTCAAGCTACTACTACAATCAAAGCTTCTCAATATCTTTCCGCGACAAGAATCGCAGTTTTTGTTACGTCTTTTATTCAAATCCCTAATCTACTAATTGATTGCCCTAATGAATTGAAAATACGAACACAGAAAAAAAAAACCCAACCAACTTTTCAAGATTTTGAAACCGCAGCACTATAAGGAGGTAGGTTAGCATCGGATTATATATATAGTTTGTCTTTTGGGAGACATACGAGATAACTTGTGTCCTGAAAAAGCCACCCTTTGTTCGCTCAATTACTTGCTGGTATACCGATTGTGGAGGATGGTTCATAATAACAGTTCCCTAACATAGATATAAATAACAACCTCATTAATGTGTACGAGCCAGACTCATCAACTTACGTCCTTGTAGTCAATTTTCGCATCGACCCTGGTATCGCGGATCAAGTTGACAATCCACTTCTCACCCTCATCCTGACTCAAGTTCAACCTCTGCGCCAAGTCCTTGATATCAATGCGCTGGTGAATCTTGCAATAGCTTTCAGAGATCAAGTGTCTTGCCGAATCCACGAATTCCTCAGCGGTGGCCACCAAGAAGAAATCACTCTTGAGAACCTCCTCTGCCTCTCCCAGCTTGCGTTGCGCCTCCTCGAAATCAAAGTCGATGTATAGGGCCGCAACGAAGTCAATGATAGGGTCACGGTACTCGTAAATCTCCTGCTTCACTATTCGGACGAGGTCCTTAAGTTGTTTCTGGTACTGTACAGTATTCCGGTTCCTATTGCGGTTGGTGATGACAGCGGCAGCAATATATCTGAGGATCCATGGGCAGGACGTTTGAACAGTATTGATATAGGCAGGTGAGAAAAACATCTCAAGAAGCGTATCCTTAGAGGGTTCGTGGTTGAAGAAGGGAAATAAGCACCAATGAAGCAACCATGTCCTGTGTTGAAGCTGTTCAAGGGGGTTGTTGTAGAGCTTTTGTTCAATCAGGTCCTTAACCTTTGTAACCTCCTCCATTGCACCTTCCCAGTTGGTCATTAGAATTTCACAGGCAAGCTTCCCCCAGGTAGCCTGACTAGTCTTGTCCGAATCCGTGGACTGTTAAATAGAAATATCAGTATCAAGAAGCTTAGCCAATTAAAGGCCTGACATACCAACACACGAAACTGGTAGAGAATATCGGCGGCAGCGGCGTAGTCTCCGCATCTAAATCGTTGCCTTCCATATTCGAAAAGCACATTGACACTTTCGACTGTAACCTTTACCAGAAGTTATCCTAGATTAGCTCTCAGCTTTTACTTTCAATTTCTGCTTTTCCCACGGTTAAGAGCAATTATACCCCATGGTTATCCTTCAAATACTGCATATTCTGCATCTTATCACTTCGAAGATTCCCAACAACATCCGGATCCTCAAGCAGCTGCATAACCTTTTCACTTTGTTCCCCAAGGTCCTTTAACCTCTGCAAGACCACATCCCTCTTTCCAATAAGTTCTTCGAGGGGGTCATCGGTATTATGGATTTTTGTGTACAGTGAACTGACAAAATCTACCATGTCCGAGCCCTTCATCAAATCATACTTCGCCTGAGTGATTTCTTCGTCGGTGAATATTCCACGCTGCTGTACGAATTCGAGTAGCGGGAATACTAGGTGTCGGTCAAGATGGGGCATCAGCTTAGGAATGAGATCATAGGAGACAGCAACATCGTTGCTACCAGCTTCCACACTGTCGGCCATATTCGAAAGTATTTGGCGTCAGCTCCAACAAACTCGAATTAGAGCTGTTGTTGTTGAAACTGATTTTTGGTGTTTTATTTGGCCTGTAACGTTGTGGATGGTTGCAGGAGAGAGATGTGGGGTTGCAAAGGACTGTCTTTTTTTTCCCTCCCCGCCAGACTAAACTTCGTACGCCAAGACATCTAGTGAGTTCGCCATCTGATATGGCGCGCGGTTTTTTCTACGAAGTGCCAGACGACAGTACAGTATCGCGAATCCCTCCATCACCCAGAAAAACAAAAAAGTTCAACTGGTGCTGAGCATCATGCTATACACGTACTCTCATTCAATTACCCTAAGGGCATTGCGTTCTCAACTCCTCCGACAGGCCCACACTGCTCGCTTCACCACCACAACCCGACGAGCAGAAGAGAGTGAGCTCTCCTCCTTATATTACTCGATTGGCTGCCCAACTAACCTCCTTCAGTCACCCCCGAATCCCAATCCCAACTCCCCTACTTCATCCATCGCACCAAAACCAACAACCTCCCCGTCTACGAGGAACTCCGCGGGAGCAATAAGAAGGAAACACGGATCCGCAAGGTTGATGGAGACCTTAATGCACTGAAAGGCCATGTAATCAATCATTTGGGTATCGATAAAGAGTCGGTCTCAATCAACGGGCGCACGAGACATGTTATAATTAAGGGATGGTTTAAGAAGGATCTATCGTCATGGTTGCAGGGGCTAAGATTTTAATCTACTATTTGACATTAGTGTGGCTACCCTTAGAGACACAGAGCGCCAACAAAACAATTGGTGGTTCGGGACATCTTGATGTAAACTCTGCGTGTTCATTTTATTATTTGGCGTTTCCCTTTCCTACTGTAAAAAAGAAAACTCATGTAAGTGTACAAAGTTGAAAGAGGCATAAATTACCCTCCAAAATATCGCTCCACCGTTTAGTTAGATGCAAGGGACGCCGATGATCCCTCTGGTAAAGTACAGAACAAAAAAAGAAATAGCAAAGTGATATAGTAATTTCCACAATGAAACAGACTTGATCCCAGCATTTTATACAAATACGAACCATCCAAACCCTCCTTTTCCCCCCGCCTCTGCGCCTCGCAGTACGGACCATTACAAAAAGATACCTATTTCCCTCAATCATTCAGCCCTGCATAAGTACAAAGCTGCTTAACAATAGCACCGTCTATCTGAACTGTCAACAGCGCTCCTAAAAGACTCTCCTTCTTCGGCAATACCCCCAGCGGAACTCTCGACGCTTCATCCTTTCCAAGCTCTGATTTTTCTGCCAACCTTTGTAAAACTGCCATTCCCCGGTGTGTGATCCGTGCAAATGGTTGTGAGTCATCCGGACTTGGCATCTTACCGCCTTGTCGAGGATGCATTGGCCCAACTTGGGGACTTAATAAACACACCAATCGCAACAAACTGAGGGCAAACCCATCCTCAGATGAGAGCCACGACCGTGCAATTCCTTGATCGGGGCCAGGAGCAATTCCAGCAAGAATCTCTGCAGCGAGCATGCCCTGCTCCAAGAAAGGTTTTCGCGCCTCCACAACCTGAGGCAGCGTTACTTTTGTATTGTCCGGAATTGGCGATATAGCGAGAGCAAAGGAGCGCGTAAGAAGGTCATACGGGGGTGTCGTCGATGATTCTGAAAGGAATATCGTTCGATAAAATGCACGATTTGGTTCATCCCGTGCTAGCAACTTCGCCAAACTATCGACTGCGGGCGGAAGATAACGATGAATTGAAGGGGAATATGATGTGAACATCAGATTTTCTCGCCCAGTAACTGCGGGGAGAGGCTGAGGAGCAAATGCCAGTATTAGGTGCAACAAATTAAGTGCCTCATCCTCACTAGGCAGTGTAATTGAATGAGAAAGATTGGACAGATAGATAATAATATCTTTCATAAAATCCAAGGTGTTGGTATATGTGCGGAGCAGTAGCCTGCTAGTGCCAAGTCTTTCGATCACGACTGACAAGAACCTAACCACATTGGGATCCGCCAATGCCTTATGATTGGATTCAAAGAATGACAGATTGCGGAATATTGTGGTAATGCAAATTAACTTATCGGCTGCTTTTTCTAGTTCGTATTCGATGGATCCAAATTGTGGGATGTCGACAAGCCTATCTACCTCTGCTTTGCAAGCTCTCATCACTTCTTCGTAGGCGGGTACGGCAATGCTTTCAGAGCTCTCTTCTGAGTGCTCCGTAAGCAATCCCACCTGAGACTCGGCCACATCCACTAATGTCTCAATCAAATCCTCGCAGCTCTCTAGGGCTATTGACCATCTCGATTCCACAGAAACTGTTGCCAGTGTATCTAATGCATGTCTGACCTCAGCGGCCAAGCCTGACTTGAGCATCATCGTCAAGGCATGAATATCGATAACTCCAAGCTCTTGAAACATAGGTATCGTTGGCTTATGAAATATAATCTCCGCCCCAATTTGTCCCAAAACAGCCGCGGGTAATCCTCCATGGGTATCCAAAACTCTCACTTTTGGTTTAAAGTCGGCCGGGATTTCCTTAATAGGCGTAATGGGGTGTTGGGGGGCTGAAAAGGCGGCTGGTTCCTTTTGTGGTAAAGGTGTGGGCGGCATTGAGAAACTAGGAGATGGGACGGGGCCATGTGGGGATGCCATGTCCATCGGGATTCGACTCGGTGTGCTTGTTTGTTGATATTGAACCTGTGGTCTTGCGGGCGTTGCTGGTTGAGCAGCATACCCATTTTGCATGTTAGGCCGCGTTTGGTTATTGGGCACCGGCGTTGCTTGCTTCGGGGCCCCTTGAGGTCGTTGCGGCATCTGTTGCTGAGCGTTTTGTGTATTTGAAATCTGCTTCACCGGTTGGGGCTGTTGCATAGAAGGCTGCTGCTGCTGCTGTAGCCTCATGTCTGGCACTTGTTGCGGGTTCTGCCTCGCCATCTGCGCTCGTTTCATATCCTGCTGAATTTTCATCCAAGCCATCATCTCATAAGACCCCAGGTATTGTCTGTATATGTTCATCATTTCTTCTGCTAGTGATGGGTGTTGGTCACCACTAAATCCTAGGCTCATTGCGACGTGGGCCCATTTGTTTTCTGCGGAGACCTTTCGCGATCCACCCATCTTCAACACACTCCCATAAAGATTGACCAGACTCACAGCCTTTCCCGCAATAGTCGGAAGGCCAACAATCGGAGTTCCCTGCTTTTGCATAAACCCGTAGAGAATCTCCATGAATTGGTGGGGATCAGTCTGTTGTCTTTGTCCAGAACCAGGAGCTACTTGCCCCTGGCCTTGACCTGGAGGGCGCGACACCTGAGAATTCATGGGATTGGAAATCATCGCGTTCGAATTCGGCGGCGCGGTAGTTCCCATACGTTGCGTTTGTTGTTGTTGAAGTTGCTGTTGCTGAAGTTGATGTTGATGTTGTTGCTGCTGCTGCTGTTGTTGCTGCTGCTGCTGCTGTTGTTGTTGCTGCTGCTGGTGTTGCTGCTGTTGCTGCTGCTGTTGAATCATTCTTTGCTGCTGCTGCCTCGCTTGCATCTGATACATCATTTGCGCTTGCATCTGATTTTGCATCGGTTGTTGCATATGTTGCGCGGGCATGGGGGCAGGGGACGAAGATGCAGTACTAGGGGGCGGCGAGAACCCCTGACTGAAGTTCTGGGTGTAGGCGTGCTGTGAAGGCATGGCTAAGCTAATGTTATTTTGCGGAGTGCTAACGCGTGAAATATGACCAGGCGGTGGAGGAGAGCTTTGCGCCATGAACGACTGCTGAGAAGGCGCTGGTGAAAAGGGAGATGGGGACTGCGTTGCAACACGTTTCGGTGGGGGAACCTGAGAGACATTTTGTTGACTAAACGTCTGGTTCTGCATGACAGGCGACGGACTTGCAGTAGCAGAACCAACATGCTGAAGATGTGAATGAGGATATCCAACAGGTGTATATTGTCGTTGCTGCTGCTGTTGCTGCGCGTTCTGATTGTTTTGGTATATCTGGTACGCGAGCTGTTGGGGGTTCTGTGCCATGGGCGTGTGGGAACGCGACGTTGGGAGATTGCCAGTTGACTGACGCGGGGATAAGGTGGCAGATTCTTCACGCGGACGTGGTCTCTTGAGAGGTACTACGGCATTCACGTTATACGCCGGCTGCGGGAAACCGGGAGATGACGTCCGAGACGTACCATTCTGGAGCTGGGCGCGTTGATGTGCTGCCTGCTGGAATTGATGGGGATCTATGGCGGAGGGAGGAATCACACCGGCCGCTGAATCGTAGGAGTGCATGCCCGTCGCAGAAGGGACCTCGGGGCTAACGAACGTTGAGTTCTGGACAGCCGAAGGGTCTTGCAACCAACCAGACAATGACATGGACTCGGGATAACCTCTACAAAGCAGTACACACGCGTTAGCTAATATGATCGTCATTTCTAACCACTAACACGATCGTCGTCTTTAAATCACCCATCCCAACCACCTCTCAGTGATTAGGACCGCTACTACTTTCACCTTCACCCCACTCCACTCCCTCCCCTCCCTCCCCTCCCTCCACCCCTTCCACTCCCACTCCCGCTGTCACTGTCAATGCCGCTGCCACTGCAACGCCCTCATTCACTGGCAGCAGCACTAACCATCATAACGACATGAACCGCATGCCAAGGGGAAGGCAGCCAAGGCAAAACAACCCCAGGCACGCAAGAACATCATTGCAAGATGAATGACGGGGAGCACAATGCGGAAATGCAAGAAGCAAGCGGAGGTCATGGGATTTAGGTTCGGGCCGCGCCAGCCAAAGGCGTGCGAGCACACAAGGCAAGCGGACAAAAAGGGGGGGCACGAAGCATGCCAGGCCTGCTGGTGGGGAGGGAGGGGAAGCACAGGCACGGGGGAAGAGGGGTAGAACAGACAGTATAAGAAGCAGCAAAAGAACGGGGGAGCAAATTCACTGACCAAAAGCAAGCAGGTTCCGGCAAGTGCGTGCGTGCTTGCTCAACAGCGGGGACGAGTGAGTGGTGGTGTGTGTCAGATCGACCAGAGTGTCTCTGCCGCCGCTTGCCAAACGAGTAGTAACAAGGGGGAAGGTAAATGACAATAATAAATATCTCAGGGTAGGGTTATAAAAGACAAAGGTAAATGTAAAAAAAAAAAAAATTCAATAGTCGACGTCAACGTTATTGATGCTGGGTATGTTGAGAGACTCTCCTTGCTACGGCTAATGCTACTATTAAATGACAGCTATTACAGCTACTATCAATGCCGCTGATGCTGTTTTCTTCTTCTTTTCGCAAGGGAGTGGTATCAAAGCTTGAGTAGGGAACGAGAGCCTCAATAGTTAGCCACACGGAACGGCTTGTACATAGGCAGGTAACAGCATGCTTAGGCAACTAGGGGGGGGGGGAGCGAGATAGTCAAGGGAACCGGATGGGTGGCATGAGTGATGAGGTATGGGTGGATGGATGGACGGGTGTATGTAAATACAATAATGTCATGTACATACATACGACGTGTGTGATGGAAATGGGGATGGGATGGGGAAGCGCAAAGGTAAAGAGAGGCAAAGTAAAATGGGGAGGGGGGTTGGAGGGATCGGAGCTTGTGAGAATAAGAAGCGATTCGATGTATGTATGGGATGGGATGGGGATGGGGACAAGCGCAGGAAAATAAAGTGCGTACCTTTTTTTGCTTTCGCGAGTGGAGAGATAGAAACGTAGAGCCAAAAAATCTCTGGTGGGAGGGCGCGCGAGGATGGAGAGGTTGAAGGAGGGAGCGTGGCAAGGGCGACAGCACCCAGCCTACCGTTGCCGAAAACGCTCGAACAAAGACGCGTTAAGTGTATGGAGAGGAAGAGAAAGCCTATTCCTCCAAGAAAAAAATAGGGGGATTCGTTTCTCAGGAAGAAGATCGATAAAAAGGACACAACTTGGGATCTATGGGCTTCGTGTATACTTCATCGGTCGCCTAACAATCTCACGATACAGAATTCTACCCGCCTGAGCTGGAATAACTCGACGTTGCGTGTTCTCTGACCAAACGTTGAAAGGATCGGAAAGAGACGGGTATCAGGTTGGGCAACAGAGAAAAGCAACGTATCGTAGGAAACAGCAAAAAATAATAGGAGTACCCATGACGACAAACCAAAACTTCCATATGTAATAGACATTCTCAAAACGCTCGACATAACTCAAGAAGTTTGACTTGAAGTACTGAAAAACTCGAAGAAAATAAAGAAAGAGTATTTGAACCAGCAATAGGTGGGTCTGAGCATATTGGTATGTATGTAGGCCACACTATCGAGCAGGGGGGCTGAGGATTTGATGGGTCCGGCTACGCACCCAGCTTGGCTATCGTTTTCTCCATGGAACATGGCCATGCATGTGCCTCGTCACCGGTTCGTTCTCTGTTGCTAATTCGATTCGAGTTGATTGATAGGAGGTGGGGAAAGGTAAGGATGAAATATCGGTTTTCTGGATATGTTGATGCAAAAGTTGTGAAACATTTGGAGGTTTGAGGCAAAAGGATTGCCTTGATCAGTGCGTATTGCAGTTGATAGACCTATAGAGATGAGATAGCAAGTATAAGAGAACCAATGTGTGATAAATAGTGAGAGAGGTAAGAGAGGTAAGAGAAGAGAAGAGACGAGTTCGAGTTCGAGGGTAGAGGAGTAGAACAAGAAAAGTGATAGAAGAATTGGGGCTTCTGTGTTCTTGACGCTTGGACTCTTTAGAGTTGAACTCAAACTTCTCTAGTAACTGGGTTTTGGAGAACAGGCTCGGACTACACACCTGCACTGGCTATGGATACAAGTCCTTTGGTCTTAAGATCTTGCGTGTTCCGCACATCGTCTGCACGGTCCCTTCATGTTCTGGGGCTAATCATCATGGAGGGTATCACGATAGCCCCACATCATAGGGAAAACATAAGACCCCGCACCTTCCACTCATTTAGTTGAGAATAGCTCAATTGGTACACTTTCCTTTATTCCTTTATTTCTTATACCATCAGCATTCCTGCCCCCGCAAGCCCTGGGGGAATATTACACTCACACCTCGGCCTGATCAGTTCTTTCATGGGTTTCCGGGATTGCTTGACATGATTCGTATCCGTCGCCGAAGAGATGATGGCAACCCGAAATATCGTCTATTCTCCGAACTATGTACGCCAACCCTCGGGCCAAATCTCGGAGATTGCTGTTTTGTCTCCCCTCTTGACGCCACCATGTCAGATTAATATCACAGTGCCAAAGTCAACAGTTTTTCTGAGGTCGGAAAGGCTTGGTGTTCATCTACGATTGAAGACCCGTTTAACATCAGCCTCACTCTGTTATAACGAACCTGCATACTCGTTCGATACAGCAGATTGCCTATCCGGTGCAGCAGGCAAGACTCTGTGTGAAATTCGGATTCGGATCACCAAAACAACAGATTTGTGGCTCTTTTGGCATTCGGTATAACTAGTTGCGGGCAACCGATTGGCGTCCAACTCTTTCAAAGTGGCCATGGAGGGCAGGTCTTGAGCAAGAAAAACGGCTTAAGCAGTTTTGAGGATTTACCAAACATACCCTATCGTAAGGGAAATATGGTGAAGTAACATATAGTTACCGCAGTGAATCCCGATGATCTTATCAGGCAGAGCATCTTAATGCCTCGCTGTGGATCCTTATTCGATGCCGGCTCTTGTCTTCACAATTCAATCGGAGCCTGAATCGCATCGGTATGCCTCCCACCTAGAGTACTATTAATTATTACTAGGTCTTTCAGGTTTCTTGTTCTCCCAGGTATCGGTCTTCTGAGAATCAACTTTTTTATCCTCTTTATTCATCCTTTTCTTTCAGTGTTACAAGCTTATTTTGTTATTCATTGCGACGGCATCCCCGTTTTCATCTGTACCAGCAATTTCAAGGTGGTCGCTACATGTAGGTACATGTATGCAGCGTTATTTTAGCAACACACGCATCATCCCGATAGAGCTTGGAGCATTTGAAGAGAAAAGACCGCAGAAGCCTGGTTAAATAAGTCGTCACCTCACCTATATAAAAAAAAAAAACCTTATTACATGTACGTAGAGTAGAGTAAGTTTGTCAAGAGACAATGCATATAGCTACTACAAGTCAAATAAATAAAAACTAGCCTCTAAATATATTGCGTATGGGTTTCCAGAACCTGGAAGGCGAAATTCCTGTAGCCAAGTGTGGGCGATGAGGGAGAGAACAAGCTTTAGACCAAACCACGCAAATGCCAAGCCACGGTAAGAAGCGAAATTCGAGTGATATGTAGTCCGATAGACTGTGGCAAATTCCTGTGATCGACGTGCTTACTCGAGAAATTAATATTAAAGGTTCTATGTTATACATGTAGGTACATATGATGTAGATATGTACTCTACTCTAGAGTAACCATGGGCGGCAGCATATGCTACTCTATTATATGGATGCAAGCACATGTCATGTAGAGTGGAGGTAATGGCAGGGCGTACGTACCGGGAGCCTTATCTTCTCTTTTGTAAAAGGTAAATATTTCTCCGAATCGGAAGAGTTGCGATGAATCCGTAAAATTCGATGACCTGGAATTACCCGGCAACCCGGGGCATCTCAATTGAAAAATGTCGGTATGCACGCAAGTTTTTTTTGGAGACGTTTCCGATGGGCTCGTCATCTTCAATCAGAACAGCGCAGAATTCATACATGAGGTGGTTCCCTCCTATGTTGTAGCCACCAAGCTCGGAGTCTTGTCCGGCGGCAGCGGCGGACATGGTAAGAAAGGTGGTGATGTTCTATCGGAAACAGCAAAGAATGTTCTCGGCGGCAATCGCTTCAGTGTGTGTGATGGTGAAAGATATTGAGGGACAGCGTAAATTTATCATGATAGGTATTGTGGTGAGAAAGCATAATGAAGATTGATAGTGTGCCATATTCGGGTGGGACAGGACCCTGACAGCCCCTCATCTGTCATTAGAGTTGGGTTAAACCCATTATCAATCTGTAGACTAGCTCTCCACCGCCACACCTGCAAACCGTTTTAAGTGGTCATCGCCACACATTCCCATTCCCTGCACGGGCCTCCATCCCAACCAGCACCAAACAATCCGGCTGTCGGAAAAACAAAAAAGCAAGAAAGCAGCTACTCTCGAGGCAGGGCCTTGCAGCTCAAAAAAGCATCCACTCTTGGGTAAAATACATCGCAGCATGCATGCATGTAGAAAAAGTAAAGTGCGTGAACTAAACATGGGATGGACTCGTCGAGAGCAATGAGAGCTTTCCAACTTAGGCTGCGGACCCCTCATCTCCCCGACATGACGTTGCACTGTACATAGTTTTTCAGTTTGTGCTTGGGAGAAAGCAACAAGTACCAGAAATTGTTTGGGAGGGGTTGGCGACGACTGTGCGATCTTCGATGGCTTTCACATATTCCTGCAAATCTCCCTCATGTACTATCGAAACATATACCCCTCACACCTTTCAAGGCAGCTTCCATAGTCGTCCTGCCCACATACAATCCTTCCATCCTATTTAGTACTTAAACCAAGTGTTGACCCTCTTCCATCCTCAACTCCTCTTGTCATTCCTGCACAGACTCTCTCACGCCCATCGTATCTGTTTGCATCCATTATGTCTCTCAAAACTATTAAGTACGAAGGAAAAGAGGTTCCCGCCGATGGAACTGGTGTTGTTGAGCTAGACCCTTGGCTAGGTCCTTTCAAAGATGATCTCCGTCGCCGCTTCACCAGAGCAGATGAGTGGATCACAAAGTTGAACGCTCATGAAGGCGGTTTGGAAAAATTCTCTAGGGTATACTACCCCATAAAGCTATCTATCTCTTCATCGTATACTAATGTCTTCTTTGTTGATTAGGGATACGAGAATTTCGGAATCAATGTCCTTCCTAACGGCGATATTACTTATCGTGAATGGGCTCCAAATGCAATCAATGCATCTTTCGTTGGAGAGTTCAGTAGGTTTTACGGAAAATTCGCCCCTTTTGGGTCTTTGCTTATCTTGTTTGATAGACAACTGGGATAGAAATGCCAACAGAATGGTGAAGAATGATTTCGGTGTTTGGGAGACCGTCGTCCCTGCTGTAAACGGACAATCCGCTGTCCCTCATAACTCCAAAATCAAGGTTAGTTCTATCCATTCCCCCCATTCACTATCTCCCTTTGATATCATATTCTAAAATTGTTAGATTGCTTTGGAAATCCCTGGTGGTGAGGTTCTTTACCGCATCCCTGCCTGGATCAAGCGTGTTACCCAAGACCTTTCTATAAGCCCCATCTATGATGCGGTTTTCTGGAATCCCAAGGAGAAATATGTCTTCAAGAATCCTCGCCCAGAAAAGCCTAAGTCAGCTCGTGTCTACGAAGCTCATGTTGGTATCAGTACCACTGAGTACAGAGTTGGAACCTACAAGGAGTTTACCGCAAATATTCTCCCTAGAATTAAGAAACTTGGATACAACGTTATTCAATTGATGGCTATCCAGGAGCATGCATACTATGCCTCGTTCGGCTACCAGGTTACCTCTTTCTTTGCTGCTTCTAGCAGATATGGAACTCCGGAGGAGCTGATGGAGTTGATCGACACTGCCCATGGATTGGGAATTGTTGTCCTTCTCGATATTGTCCACTCCCATGCTTGTAAAAACACAGAGGATGGACTAAATATGTTCGATGGCAGTGATCACCTATACTTCCACGAGGGTGGAAAGGGAAGGCACGAGCTATGGGACTCACGATTATTCAACTACGGACATCATGAGGTGATGAGATTTCTCTTGTCAAATCTGAGGTTTTATATGGAGGAATATATGTTTGATGGATTCCGTTTCGATGGCGTTACCAGTATTCTTTACACTCACCATGGTATTGGGACGTAAGTTTTAATCTCTAATCCTTAAGTCCAATAATAAATTAACAAAACTCAGCGGTTTCTCTGGTGGTTACCACGAATACTTCGGATCCAACGTCGATGAAGAAGGAATTGTCTATCTCATGCTGGTATGTTGTCTCACAAGAAACTTGGAATAAAAACCAGTTGCTGACTTTATTTAAAGGCCAACGAGATGCTTCACAACGTTTATCCAAAATCCCTCACAATTGCCGAGGATGTTTCCGGAATGCCTGCCTTATGTCTCCCACTAGCTTTGGGAGGTGTTGGTTTCGACTACCGTCTTGCCATGGCCATTCCAGATATGTGGATCAAGCTCTTGAAAGAGAAGAAAGATGATGACTGGGACATGGCAAATATCTGTTGGATTCTCATCAACAGACGCCACCAGGAGAAGACAATTGCTTATGCAGAGAGTCACGACCAAGCGTATGTTTCAAATTTTTAAATATTCTTGCTTTCAAACCCGTACTAAAATTACTAGGCTTGTCGGAGATAAAACTCTTATGTTCTGGCTTTGTGATAAAGAGATGTATACGCACATGTCTACACTCACAGATTTCACCCCCATCATTGAGCGTGGTCTTGGATTACACAAAATGATCCGCCTGCTCACTCATGCGTTGGGTGGTGAGGGTTACCTCAACTTTGAAGGAAATGAGTTCGGGCATCCAGAATGGCTTGATTTCCCGCGTGCTGGCAACAACAACTCCTTCCACTATGCCAGGAGACAGTTCAATCTTCCCGATGATCATCTTCTGAGATACAAGTTTCTCAATGAATTTGATTCAGCCATGCAAAATACCGAGGGTAAATATGGATGGTTACACTCACCACAGGCTTACATCAGTTTGAAGAATGAGAGCGACAAAGTGATTGTATTCGAGCGTGCTGGTTTGCTCTGGATCTTCAACTTCCACCCTACGGTAAGCCAAGTCGAATATTTACTGTAACCTCATTACTGACTGGTTCGGCATTGGGATAATAGAACAGTTTTGCGGACTACAGGGTTGGCGTTGAAAAGGCTGGCACCTACAGAATTGTCCTGAACACGGACAGGCCAGAATTTGGTGGATTGAACAGAATTGATGAGAGCACCAAGTTCTTCACAACCGATTTCCCATGGAACGGCAGGAACAACTTTACTCAAGTTTACGGTTTGTGATACCATCCTTTTGCTTATTATGATACTAATTAAATTATAAAAATTAGTTCCAACAAGGACCGCTATTGTTCTCGCTTTAGAAGAATAGAGACTAGGGTTGTTACAGCGAGGGTTTTCAAAGAGTAACGGGTTTTCTTATTCAGAGGGTAAAAATGGAGGTTTTCTATGCTCATGATTTTCTAGAGTTTGTGTCTTGTCTTGTTTTTGTTTTTGTTTTTTTTGTTTTCTTTTTAAATAATGATGACCATGACGATTGCTTGAGGTTGGAAGTACTAAAGGATAGCCCAGCCCTGTATGTTGCGCACGCGTGCGCCATGGGCGGCGAATTATGTGTTGATGGATACATACATGTATGCTGCATGCTGGACTGAGAGCTAAAATTGATTCTTCTTTCTCAACACTTCCAATACGTGTGAAGTCATCCCCCTTAAGCTGTCACCGAAATGCTGGTCCTTTTGTGAGTAGGTTTGCTGGATTTCTTCAACAATTATATTGGATTTGAATCAATCTCTTATGTACTTGGATCTGTTGTTGTTTTTCTCGGTACCCACAAAAAGGCTCAGCAGCTGACAGCTTAAGGGGAGAAGATACATATTATATCCACTATCTACATAGAGTTGAACCGAAAGGTTTATAAACCTAGAAGACAGATATCAACATGAGGATCTAGGAAAACAGCATTTCTGGATTAGTGCTTGCTATGATAACGGCGAAGATATCACTATATGCGGTGATACTGCAACGAGAGTCAACTATTTTGCTGTGATTGGTGTTAGTATATATTTTGCGTCTTTGGTATTGGGCTCACAAAAGCTTTCCGGAAGTGAATGTTTAGCACGCATGTGTGGAACACGTGGGTACGATCGAAAAACATGGCCGCGATTAATACGGCAATCAAGGCCCAGAGTACCGCATAAAAATCCTTCCCGTACCGATCTCTTGAATACCCCACGATCGCTGTTTTTCGCTCAATCAGATTCGGATCACCGGAATTACTAGCATAGCATAGCACCCTACTCGTTATATCTACATGTACCTTCCCATAAAACATGGATGAATTAGAGTTGTCAAGGCTTCAGGGGTCGGCTGTGCTGTTATTGCATGCGTAATACCTCGCATACCCGGGAAAATGATGTGTTTAACCCCCTGTTGATCGGAGATCCCGCGCGAGTGATCTGTGGTGATGCAACTAGGTTGCCATCGCACCAGCTAGCAACCACCATCACCATAGAGAAAGTCTTCCAAAGGTTTCTTCTATGAATCCTTACTTAAAAATTAAGAAATAAGTAAAGTCTTAGAAAAAAATCGGTCTCTACACCCACCCTACCCAGCCAAACCGAAACGGGGTCAATGATATAAAGACATAATTATGGGCGTCTAGGTACATGCTCGATTGAGTGCATATCGTTTCAAACCTTTGATAGTCTCACCACCATCACCAAACCCCCCCAATTTCCAACTTCCCCCTCATAGGTCGTTCAAATCGCAGTGTTTCTTCTGACAGGTTCCTTCGGAACTGGCAACTGCGATTCTTCTCCCTTCGTGCGTGAGCCGGCCACTTTCTTCTTGTATATTGACCGTTCGATTTCCCATCCTCCTGCAGCTGCCTTAATAGCATCTCTATCCCTCTTTGCCAGAGCCTCAGTTTCGTGGTTGCTTCCAGAGTCAACTGGAGCTTCCTTGAGTTTTGGGCGAACTGCTAGGGCCTCGGCAAAGCTGACTCGTCTTTTGGTGAGGTGCGGGGGTTGCGGGAGTGACTGCGTACTAGCGGTGTCTGTCTCCATGGGTGACTCCGAACTCTATGAAGTTGTTCTATTCTCTCTTGATAGGATCAAAGCCTATGGCGAGTTTAGAAAAAGAGATTGGTTTGAAGAAATTATCAAGTTGGTGAGGGTTTCTTACGAGATTATTGAGTTGCTGAGTCGATTCTCGGGGAGCGAACTTTGGAGTGGGGGATGAGGCGAGCTTGGGGAACGTGGATAGCAAGGGTATCTATCGTAGGAGGGATAAGCGCCGAGGGTGTGAAGCAATCTGTTTTTTTTTGTCGGGCGTGGGTTAAAGGGCTGAATAGAAGACACTGTCGATCAAAGTCCTGGAGCTCTGGGGAGGGGGGCTGTAGAAATTCATGCGAAAAAACTCGCAAGAGTCAACAACAAAAAAAAAAAAAAAAAAAGATTTGTTTGCTACGATGCTCAGTGAATTGTCAACAACTGCCAGAGTAGTTTTTGTTGTGCATGTGTGTTTGTGCAGCAGTGTGACTGCGTGAATTGAGGAGTGCCAGTGCGGCCTCGTACGTACATCTTAGGCCAGCCAGACGTGCAGAGTTGTAGTTATACCACTCATGCAAGTACTGTAAGCTTAAACATTTCTCTAGGCAGGGGTATGGTAGCTCTTCTCTTAGCAGATCATACCTCGAGACAAGGGTCATTAGCCGCCTCGATTAGATAGGTAATCCATAGGACGTCAACCCTCGTGTCTCGATATCTTCCACCAACCCAGCACCCACACGTACGCCACACAATCCATAGAGCTGGGTTTCGAATCTATCTGTTAAACTCGTGGTCAAGATATCCGTCGGGCGATCGAGGAGCTTATTTTCTAGAATAACCACCGCTGAATGCAGGGTAAGTTTCATGGATTATCACTCGAAATCGAATTACATTTTGGTCTGGGCCTGGCCCAGCAAAGCCAATGAGAGAACAGTGCCCTGGCAATTTGTTTTGTAACCTAACTGTTGGTTCCGTGAAACGCAAATACAAGCTCAGGATTCACAGATAACTTAGCTGTCATTCAAGCCGTCCCTCCTTCACCGCTTTCTCAATTTTTCTCTATCGCCAGGGAATCCTCTGAACACGTAATTGATGACTCGTTTGATAAGGATAACTCTTAGTCATTTTGTGCCCTGGGGATATATAATAACTCATTTCAAAGTCTGAAGTATGCGACTCTTCTCTATTGGTCAATTCCAAAACGGCGTTTCTATCATCGTTGGCACTACTCGCCAAGCCTAGGGAGTGCTACAATTTTTTTAGTTGTTTACTTCTGTGTAACGAGAAATATCGTGTCTGCACGCAGTGCGACAACAAAACAGTCTGGGAACGAGACTAGAACACATGAATTCATAAAGCCGAGGTTTTCACCCCTCTATTGTAACTTTCCCAAGGGTGTTTGTGCTGCTCCCTCGATGGATCTGAAGAATATGGTAGATATACTGCGCCAACCTATGACCATAGTCTTAATCGTCCATTAAAATATACTCTATGAGTACCTACATATCTGATAGGAAGAATACCAGTGATTACCCTTTTGGGCGGGGGAACGGCACGGAGGTGTTACACAAACCACTACTTCCATGGGAAGAAGTTATGTGGTTTCTAAAGCCGTTTCAACATTTTGTTTCTTCTGGCCATACAGAATAAGGCAACACCAAAGATGTTGAGTGTGGTATCTTTGAGATTCTAGAAACACAAATTTATTGTCAGTCGTGATAAGGAACGAACCCTTCTTATAACTTATTGGAGCCACCTCACGATTATCATGCCCGAAGAACTGCGGGACCATGTGTATGGCATCAGTACTACCGAGCGATGCGATAACCATAAGGATGAAGGGTCTTATGGTCCGGTAAAGAAGTATATGTACCTACATGTAATCGTGGTTACCTAGCAAATGCGTGAAGTCTGTTTTATGGCATCATATTAAGGGTTAGGGGATGTTGTGTTACAAATGAAGTCTACGATACTGAGGCTCGGCTGAGCCTCCATCACTTTTTAAGACTAGGCCTTACTTTAAACCCCGCGCTGCACGGGTCTCAACTATATCATAACCTCAACCATGACAATTCCAATAACTTCCCTCCAGCTAGAACACATCCCCGACCGCATACAGTGTATATAACCCTTTTCAAGGATGTGAAAAACGCAACCTTCCTCCGGGATCAGCTTCTGGCCGGAAATTCCGAATTTGAATACGCTTTTATTGATGCGAATACTGTAGGAGGCTGGCTCAGTTAGTTCGGGGGTCATGACTAACGGGAAATTTTGCCAGATAATATCGAAAGTCCACGCCCTTGCAGCTGCTCACCAGGCCATCCACAATCTCCTCGTGGCAGGGAAATTGCGCACTAGAAATGTCCATTCGGAGACCGTATTCTGTCTCAGCCCAAACAACAATGTAGGTTATATACTTAATATATTGGCTACTATAAGTTTATCTAACGCATGCTGAATACCTTAGATCACAGATGCTTTTAAACGATTTGGGATATTACCTACTACCACCTCCCTCTTGTGCATTAAGTTTTCTACACTCTCTGCACCCGTTACTCTGGAATCCATAAAATCACACCTAGAAAGGTCCGTGGAGGGAACAGCTGTGGAGTTCACGGACGAGAATTTACTGCAGGAAACGGTGGTGGATTGGGCCAAAGTGGCGAAGAACTACAAGATCAAGTCCGATAACCTCAACACACAAAGCCTATTGAACGAGAAAGCTATAGGAGGGGGGCTCAAAAGTCTTGAAGTAGAAGTGTTGGGAAAGCTAGTAGTAAGGACTACCGGATGACCAATCACTTTGTATATTATATGAAGAAGGTTCCTCGGCCTCATAAACCCCAGATTAAGGGTTGGATCGCGTTGACTAGATATGTAGGTCGAATATCTCCACCATGGCGTGCCTTAGATTAAGCCCTAGCTAATTCGAACGTACCAATTGCTCATTGACTTTTATATTTTCATACTTAGTAGGATCCGAGAGGTATATCATTATGGTTGCCTTAACCCCTACGTATAATAAAAACAGCCCTTCGCTCCTATATACAATCAATCAAAGTAACAAGTCCGAAAAAAAATGAAGAAGAAAAGTGTTAAATCTACGACGAGGGCTGCGGACGCCTCAGAGGATGCGCTTCGGTATTCCTATGAACACTATAAGTATCATATAAAGAGGTTATTATGAGCAGAAAGGTTAAAACGTACAGGACATAATCATCCAAAGATATCAGATCAGGCTCGCTGAACAAAAGGTAATAATATCTAGATAAAATAATGAGTGACGTTCATCAGAGAAGGACAGAAAAATGCGCACTTGAGTGTCTCGGCGGGGAAAAATGATTCCATCGAGTCTATCTGGGAAAACATGGGGTGTGATGGACTTTTGGTTACGTCTAAAAGCCGTTAATGTTAGAAAGTTTTCATAGATGTAGATTCAATTCACTACTTGCCACTTATCGCTGAGAAGGCAAACTCCGTCCGTGTTGCTTTTTCAAGAGCTTGCCACATTTTCCATCCTTTATCCTGCCATGTTGTATCTGCTGTAAGCCGATACCTAAGTTCCAGGTGTGAGTAAGGGCCTATTCATTAATTAAGAGAGAGCTTTCTATACATTATGAAAACAGATTCGATGGCCTCTGGTCGTAAAATGTACCTAAGGAGTGTCAATAACGATATGAAGTTCATAGATACCGGAATCTAAATACCTCCTGTCTCCGATCTTGGTGAATCCACTTGGTAATGATTCCTCTTCAATCATCTGCTTCGCAACTCCTTCAAGAGTTGTTGGATATTCTTTTGGGACTGCATTAGGATCAATGGCCTGGAGTCGTTGTTTTTCTGCAGGAGTTGGACCGTCCCTCTTGACATTTGTAGTTCCATCTACTTTCTTTTTTGGCAGTCTGTATTTTGGTACTAGCTGCTCATAATACTGTGTCGGGTTGAATTTGCAGTTTTCTGGATCTTGGCAGTATGCGGTCTGAAAGCCTTCGGGCATGATGCCGCTTTCCATAGAGAAGTATGCCCAGACACACCCATCCGTGAGCTTGGCGCCAATTTCAAGATCAGCCTCGAGACCGAGCGCTCTTGCACCAAGAGCCAGCATCCCCCCAGTGAAACAAGTCTGTTACATGAATTAGAAATATATTCTATCAGCGGAATACGGGAATTCTTACCAGATGACCTGTGTTAGTATCAAAGCTGACGTCACCGGCATCATTCACGTAAACGTTACCGGAAAGTAGGACATCAGGGCTCTTGTCTGCAAGTGGTCTGAAAAACAGATATTTCTTGGCGATATCCATGGAGCTTTCGTACATCTTTTTGTATTGATCAGATGCACCGCCGAGAAGTATATACTCCTATATATATCAAACACGTGAGAACACGGGGTTAGGATAGAGATATTCGTGACACACCTTAATTAAATACTCATATAAGGAATCGGACATTCCACCCAATGTGAATTTTTGTTCCCTTTGGTATCCCGCATTTTTTAGTCCTTGAGGCAGACAAGACGGGGAAGTTTTTGCGGCGGCAACAGTACTAGTGGCACTTAATTGCGCCCCAATAGCGTTGGATCTTCCGGGCTCGATTTCTCCTTCATGATGAATCTTTCCACTCTGCGCCTCGGCTGTCAACCCAGGTGGTGGTCCTGCTGCTGCCGCCGCTGCCGCCGCTGCCTTTTCTCTAGCATCCTTTTCGCTTTCGGTCAAGATCTTCCCCCCCTGTAGTTCCCCTAACCAATCTATTTCTTGAACTTGAGGCAATTGCCTTTTTCCAGGGTTATGGACCGGTGGAGATACCATTTTTCCCTCACCTACATCCTCCGCAAATATGCCATTTGATGGTAGGGGAACTGGCTGCGGTACAGTCTTCCTCTGCTCTTCAACGGGAACTTTGACTACTTGACACCCAGACGCATCCATGCTCAATGGCCACATGCCGGGAAGACTTGTCTTGGGCTGAAATTCCTCCAATGCATCTGTGATGCGCTGAACCGCATCGTAATATCTATCGTTTCCTGTGATCTGAGCTAAACGTGTGAACTCGACAGTAAGAGATCCAAGTTCTGCCGAAACAACTCGAATATCCGCACGATTTTGTTTGGCAACTTGCGTCCTACTTAAATTTAGCCATTCATTACATTGCCGGATTTGTTTCTTTCATAAGGGAAGACATACGGTTTCCACCCAAAATATAGAATCGGCATGCGATTCGGAGTGTCAAAGATACCATATAACATATCAGCCAACTCGATTGCTTTATCAAGTAGAATCTGATGCTTCCCGCCAGAAACGTCATATGCCCCTATCAGACCTCCAAGGTATCTGATGACTGTCTCAAAAACAGGTATTTTTGTCATGGGCGTAGTTGTGAAATCAATCTTTCCTGTCGCCTTAACAGCCTCTAAAAATTCGTGCTCGAGCCCCATAATCCACAATGTATCGAGGGAATCAACCAGTGTTGCTCCCCACCCACCGAAACCATCTTTATAAGATGCGCTCACAGGCATTATCTCATCATGGCCCCAGGCATGAGCCTTATAGCCCTTCCACGCATGTTTCATTGCCTCTCTTACAGCATCTTGCCTTTCTATACGCACTTTGCGCTTCGTTTCGCTTTCCTGTGCAAACGAAGCTTGTATTTGGGGAAGTTTCTTGTATTTCTTGGGCAATGGAATGATTGATTCCTCGGGTAGTGGGTAATGCTCTGGTGATTTCTCCCAATGTACCTGCAATGGTACCACAGGGGCAACGTTGATAGTGCTTTGTTCTTTTGAGGGCACATCTTCGAGCTTCGGTGTAGATGTTTTTACAGGATTCGCAGACTTTGTTGAAGACGTGGCCACTGTATGCGCCGCCCCGTGCAAAGATTCTTTGTCTGCAGCTAGAGGATTTTTCTCAGACTCCGAGGGCCGAGGGGTTGGTTTATCTATGGGCGGAATCTCGGGTGGTGGAATATGAGTTTCGACCTCAGCTACTGGCCATTGCACACCCTGCGGGCTTTGTTTCGATACGGTGGATGTATATTCTTTTAACTTATCGACGGAAAACGAACTGGCAGAATCACCAAAAGAGTAGAAATGGGTAAACACGACGACCGCAATAACAACGAATAGAAGCAGGGATCTATAGCGTCTAAGACGCACGACTCCTAACATCCTGTCCCACCGCCGTCAACGCGATGGTAATAGTGCTAGTATGGGGTAGGCAGGGGTAAATCGCAGTGGTTTTCGTTCCTATTGTTGAAATGGTGAGCTCGAAGGTGTCGTCGACAATGGTCAGGAGTAAAGCGGATAAGGGGGCACAGACAGCACCTAAAACCCCACTGTATGATGATCTTGGCGCTGTTACCTTTGTGTGTAAGCTACTTTAATCGGTGCCGAAAAGTATCCCTATGACCTATCCTTCATTCGTTCTCAACATAGTAGAAATTAACCTGTTCGGGCAATTTCCGTTGTAGATCATCTAACCTTACCCAAACGTTCCTGTTATTGCCCTCTAACCGAATCATACTCCATGACTACATACATTGTAGTCCCAGATCTGGCTCTATAAAGGTACCAAGTCAGTGAAAACCAAGGCAACACACCAGTATGTGATCACATGAATTTTAGTACTATCATATGCTTGCAATTGGTCACTAAACTAAACTTATAACTCATATAAGCAATTTTATACAATTCTACAGGCGACCCTCTGTAGACTCCGAAATTCGGGGCACTCAGCGAACACCTTTGGTGTCATTTTTCAGCGACCTTTCTAGCTTTAGAACGACCTATTCTTTCTAGGCAACTTTATAGACCTAATAGAGCGTATTTGCCAACCGTCAATTTCAACTCTTGACACTTCAAACTTGAAAGTTTCGGGAGGCAAAATTGACAGTTCCCCTCAGTGGCCAAAATCGATCTGGTTAACGGTATGACAGAATAACCCCGAAAATCAGACAATTCGTCACGCTACCTGTGAAATACTGAAAATTCATACCCATGATACTATAGCTAGCTTTGGTAGTAACAAAACTGGGTACCTGTGATCCTCCTGGTATATCTCACAGCACACCGCCCCGCCGAAATCCAAAATTAACAGCCCCGGTTGTCATTTTTGGAGCCCCACAATTTGTAAATTCTTGAAATTGACGGTTGGCAAATACGCTCTAATAACAGTTCTGGGCCCACTACCAGTGTGGAAGCAACGACGGGTCAATGATGTTCATAACCAAAATATTATTTGAGAGGGCCAAAGAACTATCTATAATGGAAGGCTCGCAAGAAGAGAAGAGACCGCCACGCGCGAGCGCATATAATCGAAGCTCGATTTTATAGTATGATGTATCCCTTGGCCTGGTGAACCTTTAAATACCCCCTGGGTACGAGTGCCCACATCCCTTCGTTCGTCAGAGCAAAATCGGAGACATATTAGGCTCTCGACGGCGTAGTGATATTCAAAAACTCTAGCTACCTACAGACCTGAAAAAGGTATAGGAGGGGTCACAGAAGGTGACTTTACAGCAAAAGGCTCACGGAATGAGGGTTAAGTTTATTACCGAGTAAAAGCTGCCCATTAGCGCCTAGTCGTGAAAACACACGAAGGGATATAACTTCAAAGGTTCAATGATACATGTAGCAACCAAACGCCGTCCTGGGAGGGTTAGGTTTTCTCGGTGGTTAAGTGCGGAGGTACCCAAGTACCTACTTGACGAATGAGTCAATTGGTGGACATCCATGCCTAAAGTAGGACATGTATTATTCTTGGCATCCGCGCTTTCCCTTATTTGTAGAACTGGTTAAATACGATGTCTTCTCCACTTCCGCCCCTGGCCGAAACTCCAGGATCTAGATACGGAGCTGTAGCCGTTATACAAAGTAGAGAGTGAAGAACACGGCGTTTTACGGTTACAGTCTCTCACCTACTGATGGCGGATCCTGTCTGATGGTTCTGTTTGTAGTAATTTGCCCTTGGCATCCATAACCTAATTTATTGGCCTTAAATCCCTGACCGCCATCAGACAGGATCCGTCTTTACTTTATGAGTGAGTGTACCTACATGTAGGTATGGTACATGTATCTATTTGGATTAAACGGTATGACGAGACTTGATTTGTTGTTGGATATGAAGACGTCAGCGCGTACAGTCCGCATGGGGAGGTCTTGGCGTTTCCCAGCCACGCCATCTCTCGCCTCAAGAAGCTGGTTGCCCTCATCTTCCCTCCTTTCCTGTTCTCTTCACCACTTGACTGGGCATTACTCGGTCCTGTACACTCAACCTTTGAACTCTCTTATATCTTTACATCTCTTCTTTATTGCCGTGCAGCTAGTAAATTCGCTAATCATGAAGTCGTCTATTCTCTTTGCTGCTGGCTCGCTGTTGGGTTCGGCTATGGCCGGTATTCACAGGATGCCTTTGAAAAAGGTCCCCCTAACAGAGCAACTAGTGGGTTTACTCGCTCAATAATTTAGTTTTTACAAACCAGGAGCTGCTAATTTTGATCCCTTCAGTCGCATCACGATATCGACACCCAGATGAGGGCTTTGGGTCAGAAATATATGGGCATTCGCCCCGAAAAGCATACCGAGGAAATGTTCAAGGCTGCTGCTGAGGACATGACCATTGAAGGCGGTCATGCTATTCCTGTTAATGTGAGCAAGTCCCTTTGCGTAATATCTTCCAAGTTCATTCATTAATATTATCCATTATAGAACTTCCTGAACGCCCAGTGTAAGCTTAATAATCCGCGTCCAGGCAGATGAGCTTCTCCCATACTGACGAAATATAGATTTCTCCGAGATTTCTCTTGGAACACCGCCACAGAGTTTCAAGGTTGTCCTTGACACCGGAAGCTCCAACCGTAAGCTAAACCTCCTATCATACATTGAACCTTGAACTAACCATTTCTAGTTTGGGTTCCCTCCACCCAGTGTGGCTCGATTGCTTGCTATCTCCACACAAAGTACGACTCGTCATCGTCCAAGACTTACAAGGCCAACGGTACCTCGTTTGAGATCCGCTACGGCTCTGGTAGCTTGAGTGGTTTCGTGTCCGAGGACACTCTCCAGATCGGCGATCTTAAGGTTAAAAACCAGGTCTTTGCTGAAGCAACCTCTGAGCCTGGCCTCGCTTTTGCTTTCGGCAAGTTCGACGGCATTCTTGGGCTTGGCTACGATACCATCTCTGTCAACCGTATCACCCCTCCCTTCTACAACATGATCGACCAGGGTCTTTTGGACAAACCTGTGTTTGCTTTCTACCTTGGGAGCACCGACCAGGAGAGTGAGGCTATTTTTGGTGGTATCGATGAAAGTCATTTCTCGGGAAAGCTCATCAAGCTTCCTGTCCGTAGAAAGGCTTATTGGGAGGTTGAATTCGAGGCGATTACTTTTGGAGAGGCTACTGCTCAACTTGAGAACACGGGCGCTATCGTTGATACCGGCACTTCTCTGTAAGTTCCTTTGGCCCAAATCTTCTCTCCTCGAACTATAATTAACCGCCGTAGCATCGCTCTCCCCTCCACTTTGGCCGAGCTCCTCAACAAGGAAATTGGCGCCAAGAAGGGATGGAATGGACAGTACACCGTTGAGTGCAGCAAGCGGGATTCACTTCCTGACCTCACTTTCACTCTCACCGGCCATGACTTCACCATCGGTCCCTATGACTACATTCTTGAAGTTCAGGGCTCCTGCATCAGCGCTTTCATGGGAATGGACTTCCCTGAACCCGTAGGACCTCTTGCAATCCTAGGTGATGCTTTCTTGCGAAGATGGTACTCTGTCTACGACTTGGGAGACAACACTGTTGGCCTTGCCAAGTCCAAATAAACCAATAACACGAGTGGCAAGCTTGGGGTTCTCGATGAATGGTTAACGTACACACGGTTGTTTTGTAATGGAATTTTGTTTCGTTTGGGTTTCGGTTCTGGATAACATGGACAGAATTAATTTTGTCTATTCTATTTTTATTTTACAAACGCGCAAGCAGCATATCTTTTGCGGAATAGCTAGCTGGATAGTATTATTAGCGTATTGAATTGATGCTGTTACACATGCTTCTGTTAAAAAGCAGTTCGCGCTTTCAACATCGATTACTGCCATCTGCAAATATACACCGTGTTTGTTACTTCGCAGCGATGCGGTTTTTTGTATTCGGCGTAAGTTCGTTTTAGAGTTGGTAGTCAAGCTATCGATTGATGACCTGTGGTCATACATTATATGGGGTCTTAGTAAATGTATTCAGTATTTAGCTCCTAAAGGTATCGCAATAGGTCTAAACAATTTCTTAGTATGGATTACCTACGATCGCGAACTATGGCCTCACCATCCATACGAAAACTAAAATTTTACTAGTCACATACCTATCATCTATAGCTACAACAATCAATCTATGACGGGTGGTTTCAAGGAAGGAGCTGAATTAAACAAGGAAGGAGCATATGTTACCGAGTGACATTTCATGTCTCGCTAGGTTTGAAGATATTTAACATTACTCTGGTTCCTTCTTCCAGTTATAGATATAAATAGAATCAACAGTCCCAGTGAAAGTAAAAAATTTGACTTGGCCTTAGCATCTATACTAGCAATAATCTCGGTCACGTGGGGATACACCTAGAGAGTAGCAAAGGACATACCAGTTTCTACTCTCACCTACACATTACTTAACCTACACGTGATCGAAATCCCAGGTGGCATGGCTACATGTAGTAAAGAACCGGAGTTCAGCTTTCGGCTTCACATTTGTCGACCACCTATTTGTTTAGTTTGGCTTCACATGATATATATGCGTATATCTTTTGTGCGATGGCCTAACTGATCGTGACCCAATGCCTCTTTATAATTGCCGATACTTTTAGAAATTATAACAACAATAGATATCGCTACAGACATCTCTCTAGTAGCCGTGGAAATGCATCAATTTTGACGTTGCCCGTACAAAAAGTTACGAGATACACATTATTTGATGCAATAACCGCATTACTTTGTGTTAAAGGCATTCCTGTCCCATTACCGACACTTTACCGACACCTTTACTGATGCATTTACCTGTTAAAGGCAATAAGATACGACTTTACTGACGACATTCCCCGTTAAAGGCATGTTAAAGGCATGTTAAATGCAATAAAATACGACTTTACTGACTATTTCCGGCGTTTCTTGCTTTCCACCGGAAAATCAATGTTTTCCAATGAAGCCCCCCTCTAGATCTCGAGATAGTTGAGTACTCAAACAAAATATTTCGGTGGGATCATCAAATGGTATCTGGCATCAATGGGCTTGTAACAGTTGGGGAATACAATTTCATTTTGGTGGATCTATTGTTTGGCATATACATGCAGGCAATTCTTGCTTAATGCTCCTGGAATAATAGTAGGATGCTCTGTGATGATTCGTTTCATTGCCGATGCCCTTCGTCAATCATGTGAAGCATCACGGGTGGCCAAAACTTATCCCCCCGTGTATACGCCCAAATGTGTGACAGAAGCGTGACATGTAAAGGCATCAGTAGAGTCGTCTGTAAAGTCGTCTGCAAAGTCGTCTGATTTCCCTTAAAACGACTTTCCCTCTACCAAAATATTGACATTACCCACGTAAATCCAAGCTCGAAAAACGACTTTACCGACGACTTTACTGAATATTATTTAATATTTTCAGGTACACATTTCCACGGCTCCTAGAGTCTGTGGGTATTATATTACGTTATTACAACTGGCTTATTTCTTCCTTGCTATCATGGAATGGCCCGGCTGCGGTTAGCTGGGACGTTCCTGGGTCTCGCCGTTTTGAGGCTGGTGGTCACACTGGTTGTCATTGAAGTTTCTGTATAATAATTTGTTCTATTGAATAGAGATTATATTAGATGGGTTCATTCCATCACCGGTTCATGAAGGATGTGTATAAATTGAATCATTAAAAATCACTCGCTACACCTATGAATGCCAAGCGCGATATTTTTTTTTGTTTAATTTATTAATTTCATATGCCAAGCGCGAGAGGTCCATTCCAACAAAACCCCAAGTCATGGTTAAACCTTCTAACCTTAGAGAGACAGATTTAATTGAGTCATCATTTCTTGTAGCACCGAATCTGGAAGGTCTCCGGTTCTCAGAGCTAAAGTCAATCATAAGAAGATACGTAGACCTGATCTGGTAAGCTTACCGCTGTAGAGCCGATGCTTAGTGGTTGAGGATTAGAAGACTCAGAAAAAAGAGGCTCGAGGTATATATAAGGGGAATATTAAAAAAAATACTTTAGCGGTGTGTGGGCAGAAAGACCACACTAGCCTACTTCTGGAAACTTCTTATGGGCGTGCACGTGGTAGCGCAGCCAACACCATAACTATGGCCAATTATGCAGGTTGTTGAAAACACGATTCTAGTGTAGTCTTTCTTTTCCTTCGATATGTATACATGTATGTATGTACTTATAGTATACTCCCGATATCAATTAAACAAAAAAAAAAAAAAATACACCCGATATCAACTACCACATGTAGCTCAAGGAGGGCTAATCGACTGGAGGGAAACATCACTGAACTGAGTTCTGTAGCCTAGGTCATCCCAACTGATGACAGAGTAATATACAAGCACTAACAGAGATGCTTTCTTATTATCTAGCTTGAGGGCGATAAACTTAACGGGGATTTGCGTTCACTAAATATAGCATACTAGCAAAGCTAGCTAGCTAGAAGTGAATCCATAGAGAAACAACTTGTCCTTTTCTTTGGTTCTCTTTGGTTCTTACAACCATCAACATGATCGTTTATCAAGTAGCTACATCCAACGAGGGATACCTATCTTTTGAGATATATTCTTAAGTTGTATCCTACCGAATTTCCAATGCGCAAAAATCTAACTAAAGGTATTGGTCTTCAAAGGCTGCTCTATTCAGGAGGAGAGGGCTGATATGAGAAATTAGATTGGTTCAAATGGACGCTTCTACTTTCGGTTTCACCTTAGCGCAAAGACTGTGTCCGCGGACTAAAATTGTGAAAAAATCCTACCAAAATTGTGTCATGTGAAAAAATTGGTAAAATTGGGAATATCATGGGGTAGTGCGGACTCGTTTTGTAATAATATGATATAACACCAGCCTAGAGGAAACGTGAATTCCATCAACAGGAATTGGTTGCTTTTTTCAGACGCAACTTTTGAATAAAGTATGTTGAACGAGCTGTAAAGCCCGACGAACTTATCAAAAAAGGACCATATAAGAGCAGTCGGTGAATTACAAGTTTGATTTCTACCGCTTGAACATTTGATCTTTCTAATCTTCAACGTTTTTCACAGCCTTCGAAGCACTCCGAGAGCCAATACTCATAAGATGGTTAACTTGACCTCTACCCCACTTGCATATTACATGAAGACGGATTGCCTTCCCTTTTAGACCGATTATCAAATCATGTATGTGCGTATGCATCCCCAAAACCCTGTTACGGGTGATAGGCGACCGGCTGGTAAGTTCAATTAACTTTGGGGATGATCGACGGTTTAAACACCCTTCCCGAAGCCTTGGCCCCCTTCCAAGCTGACGACCCCACTCTAGTGGTGATGATCCTCCTGCATTTGCTCGGCATAAAGCTTACTTGTATGCTACATCTTCGGAGAAATGTTTCAAACTAGGAGGCGGGGTGACCCTGCAGCAATCATCCATCAAATATAAAAGCTCCCAGATCGTCGGGACCAGATCTACGGTGTTCTCGTACAGAGGCGATCGCATCTGTCTGACCGAGTTCGAGTGAAACGGCTACCTATCGCATGGCAGGGCCGACACCGTGGTCCTGTCCACCCTTAATTCTGGCTATTCTGGTACCGAGATGTCATTGGGTTTTCAGGTCATTTTTAGTGATTACCTACTTCAATGAGCTGCTTCTCTATATAAAGACTGTGGCTGTTCTGCGTTTATGTTCGGTCATTGCCTATCACTCGATGTTCACGAAGTATCACAGCTCTAGGGTTATTGCGAAGTTTTACTTATGGAACCGGCAATTAGTAAGATCTCTATTACTCAATGCGGTATTTACATCCTCTTAATAATAACAATATATATCGTGGTAATCAATCGCCTGAAAATATTATCGTCCGGTCTAAATTAGAGACCTAGTAATATTATTGACGGCCCGTCACGCGAATTTTTTTTTTTTTTTTTTTAATTCTCACATTCGGCTCTAACTCCTAGTTACTAATTGGGAATATGTGATTCGACCCGGAGAACTAAAATAAAAACCAGCTGATTGTTAAATTCAATATTTTCTTTAGAGCTCCTTTACAGTCAAGTGATTCGGCCTCCGAATACACATTTCCCCAAGTGTGGCCCAGTTAATAAAGTTACGTGCGGCATTCTCCGTTCAAGGGTTCACAAGAAACGTAAAAGCGTTCAAAACGTCACTAGTAATGACTTCATAATTTCGCGATGTATATATGATCGGCGCGTTATATTTTTGTCTCAGACATGGCCGGGGATGACCACTTGACGTAGGGTATCTTTCATGCGCCACAGCCCTGGGATAAATTATAGAGTTTTGTGCTTCCTTTTTGTTTTTCGAAGCTTTCCTCCACACTGAAACTGGTTTGCAACCTTGTGCTTGGCTCGCTGACACAACCCCCCGCTTGGCAAATTGCAGTCGAACATGTAAGAGCCTTGGGGAAGGGGGTTTTAAGCAATGATCTACGGCGGCACCGACGTCATTTCAAGGGGCAGGAGGGTTTTGACATGTCCTGCCCTTTCCCCTTCGTCCCCTACCATGAAAGACCGAGGTGAGGTTATACTGCCCCCACACACCATGACGTACGACAAGCAAATTGCCCCAACCACACCGTTACCGAGTGACACTCTATGAAAGTGCGATCGAGATGGTGGTCAGCACCCGTATGTCACCGTGCCTTCAGTTTGCTTGGGGAAGATCACGCCCATGTCTACAATATCTGTCGGTATCACACATTCTCAGCATAAAAATCATGTGTTTATGATGATAGAATGTATTTTCAGAGCTTCTGTCGTTCCACACCAATAACTCTAATGTCGTCATTGTTATTGTCGGTGGCCGTGGTGATTGGCGGTTTAGCCGCAAAAGGTCGTAGAGCACAGGCAGGAGCCGACAGGGCCCCTTCTTACCTCTTGTCTTGCCGAAATGTTCCTCGCCTCCCGAACAACCCTTCACCGCTCCTCTGGTACCGTGCAGCATGTGGCTTGCATCAACTCTGCATCAACCCACAAAAACACCTTCCACAAAATAATCCCCCCCCACAGGGTACTTGCAAAGCTTAGGAGCACACTGTACCGAAGCACACCCATTTTTCGATTGCGAAATCCAATTGGGGTTATTCCTTCTCTGCCGGATGAAAGCACACCGACCTTTTTTCTCTTTGCTTCCTGTCGCTTCTTGCATATATCACGGATATGCGCTCTTTAGAATCCACAATGTCTCACCCAAGCCGCAGAAATTCCGTGGTGGGCCGCCGATGCGAGGGTTGGGGTCGGTCTAGTCTGACAGAACGAGACAGAAAAGATGCATCCGCGCGGCTTGGCAGTAGGCGGAATATTGGCGGTTTCAAAATTGGCAGCGGTAGAGGCTTTTTTTGGGGGGGAAAGGGGGAAGCAAATCCCTGTCACGTATTTTGTGCCCATGCTAAAGGTGGGAGATTGAAAGCAGGTCCGAATGGAAGCTCCAGCAATTTATGGAGAATTCGGGCCGATCCAGCGCTGTTGAGGCCCAAACCGTTGCCCGGTGCATCCATCGTGCACAGCATCCACCCGACACCCGGGCAATGTTTGAAATAACGTTATCTCGCTCTCGGGAGTGTCACATCTGTGTTCTCGGGCTCATGACGTCATAAATGGCATTGATATTCAGCAATCGGGATCTTTGGTGTATCGGTTTCGGGCAAAATGATGCTTCTTCGATAAACGAGTAGACATTAGGTGAGACACCAGTAAGACATGTAATTATAGCAGTCGTTCTGATATGTTATCCCTGTTAACGTCTTCTGAAGAACAATGATGTTGGGCAGAAGTGCATCTCACATATCACTTTTTGATCCGTGCTAGCTCACTCGATAGATTCTGCGGCGCCGGGCGAGCCCACGGCGTATTCCTCAGCCTGCAGTCGATTTCTGGCCTGCAGCTCATGCGTGTCACCTATTCCTCTCAAGAATAGTGGGCGGATTCTGAACTTTGGAGGGACGGCACCAAATGGAAATGACGGAGGTGCACTGGAAGACGATATCATTCATTGCCAACGGAGACCGACGGCCCTTTACATCACAAATCACATCGCTGCAGGTCCTTCGCGTTGGATGGTGTTTATTAGGGAAAGCGGACGCAGTCTCTCGGGAATCGAGATGTCTCTCGTCGATTAGAGTGCGAGTTCTATGGTTCACAGCGAACATCCTCAATTCGTAGACGGAGACGAAAAGGAAAAAGCAATAGTAAAATGAGGACTGGAAAGCCTTAGCTGGCGGACGGTACTTTAATTGAGCCCTTAATATGATTTGATTCAACAGTTATTTATTCCCCGCATCGCATTCCGGGTCCCAGGTGTCAACGGTCTGCAGCTGTGATCCACTGCCGCGAGCGCAGGATGTTGTCAACAATTAAGCCTCCTGCTGCCCTGTGCTTGGTTCTTGGAGGGGACATTCACGAACTTTGAGGTTTTCCCGTAGAAAGTAATTTTCCCCATCTTATCATTTCCATAGCTGGGCCGTAGTTGCCTTTTTAGCATTCGACGACCATCCGGGTTTCCCCCGTGACCGTCCATAGACGGCACCGCAGATCTCCGCCCCCTATGACGTAGTATTTCACGTGCATGACTACGGCGGGAAGCGCCACATCACGGTGGTACTCTTGTGGCAGGACCAATCAGGAACTGTAACGGTGCCGAGCATGAAGTTTTTCCTGTGGCTCACTCGCGATCGATGTCGCCGCGGTGATCGAGTTGCGGTTAGAGGTGGACCCAACGGCAGGATCGGACGTGACAAGGCTTCTTGGCTCGCCTCCGCACCGTGGCTTTACTCCACACCTGCTGAAGGACCCCGAGTCTTGGGTCCATCTCTTCGAGGAAATGGGAAAAATAAAAATAAAAAGAAGGATCAACACAAGTGAGGTCAACTTGCAGATGATGCGCGTCGACTCGACACGCGTTCGCCAAAATGAGGTTCCTAATTTTACTCGTCGAGTCGAACTGGAGGATAGCAATCTTCAGCTCCCTTCCCCCTCCTCCCCGCAAAGGTGCAGAGCCTACACCAGCGTGCATTTGGAGAGATGGATCATGGGTATGGTATGCCGGCAAAGACCGAGCTTTCTGTGGGATCGATCGAGGCCTTATTACCTACTGTGGCCTAGAGGCATTGCTAGACCCCTGACCTAAACAATTTCTCAATTTGTCGGGTTCTAAGAATCAATTCTCGAGGTTTCCAGAGCTAGTAGATCAGACAGAAAGGGTCCAGAAATTAAACGAAAGAAGGGTCACAGTCTGAACCCTTGATATATGATGAGATGATGTAGAATCAAAAGTGATATGCGCGAAGAGGCCCCTTTGATGGAGTATCTTTACCATCGATGTGGTCATTTACACAGCTAAGGTATCCAGTGCATGGATGAACCCCGCGTAGGACCAGTCAGCTCCCCGCGTTCCTTTCAAGTGGAAGAAAAAAAGAAATCTGTTAGAAGCAGAAGCAGTTAGACGGTTACAGACATACAAAAAAAAAAAGACAACGAAGGTGGGAGGGAAGCGGAAGACCCGCAGTCCAAGCGTTGACATTGATTACCGTCGCCATCCTTCCCCGCTGTTGGCATTACCCACTCAGAACCGCAGTTTCGTACATACACACTTGCCTGGGGTTTAGAGAAACTGACTTATCGGCTGTGCCGCGCCACACTTCCATCTATTTTGCCATTCTTGGGTGCATGCAAATCTATCAAAGCTCCATTTGATAAAAAAAGGAAAGTGAGAGAAGCACTGGTAGCAAAAGAAAAAGCCTCCTGCTTCTATCACCCTCCGGATCCCCATGCGACCCGGCTTTTCTCTTATTCCTACATCTTCCAACTCATTCCCACCCAGTATTTCAACTCCCATAAGAATATCTTCAGTTTTCTTGATCAACTTACTTTTACCTGGTATCTTTACCGTTGATCAACTACTATGTTTCGTAACAGGTCGGTTCGGCGCGCACTCTGATGATCTCCCATCGTTTTCATTACTTACCCTTATTCTTGTTTTGTTCGTTTATGCCGGCAGCAGAAGGACCTGCTGTTTATGGTTGCTGGTGTTCCTGAGGCTGACGGTGGGGTTTGCTCCTTGGTGATTTACAGACAATCTTCGCAAAAGCCTTCAGATGAGCTTTTTGAACGTTTTAGACAATCGTTTCCCGGCGTTCGTGTAGGGTCCACCGGCGCCGCAAATGATTCACAGACAATAACAAGTCTTGATGGCTCCACACTCAACCAGCCAAGGCAAGTGAGCAGCAGCGGCTCTTGTTTTGAGTATTCATTGTCGTTCGTTTGATCATGTCGATATTTTTTCCTGTTGTCACCCCACAATTCACGATTAGTTGGCGACGACGACGTCCGAAAAGTCGGTGGTGGAGACGCTTCTTTCTCGGCACAACCCCGCTAACAGCTGTTTTATGAGCGATAACAGATTCGGGCATGAACACGAAGATCTTGACCCAACTCCTCGAGCTCCCTCGGAACCCTTTCGCTTCACTCCCTCACTCCTAGATCCAAACTCGTCGGCGTTTGCAGCGTTCGCAAACCAACCTCCGCCGGGATTGTTTACACCGACACCTGGGGGCGGAAGTACCCTGTATAACTCTCATTCTCACCATGATCTTCAAACCCCAAACATAGGAATAAGTATAGGGACTCCCTTATCCATGCCCAACACAGCTACTGCGATGCCTCGTCCAACCGCTTCCGAGGATGATTACAATACGCAAACGATACAGCCACATCAATTCCAAAACTACCAGCCTTTTACACAATCGCTGCACGCTGGATATCTAGATCCTTCACACTTTCATCCAAGGCCACCATCAGGCCCGGGAAGCCCTATGGACGTGGGCGAGACTGCCGATGGATTAGAAGCAGGGCCTTTGGACGGACCACAGATGGATTCTAGTGCTTTAATGTCATTGGAGGGAAAGCAGTATGACCATGAGCTTGCGCCAGTTTCTTCAGCCGAGAGGTGCGTAGTAATCTTTATTTTTGCTCCTTTTGGATTTTGTGTTGCCCACATTCGTCATAGCCCATCACTCTGCTGCAACCATCCCTGGCGGATACGGTTGACCAACTATTATTACTACTACAACAGACTACTACCTTTTTGAGCCAAAATACTAACAGTTGTAACTGGCACTAGATTCCGCTTCCACGTTGTTTTGAACGCACCAACAGCGATGATAAAACACCCCGACGAAATTCCAGTGACATACCTTAACAAAGGTCAAGCATATGCAATCTCTATTCTCGACACTAACCCCCCAGTACCTAGTGCACTGACTGGCCCCGTCCGATACCGCACCTATATCCGCATTTCCTTTCACGACGAGACCCAGCGCTCCCGACCTGCATCGTGCTGGCAACTGTGGAAAGAAGGTCGCGGCGCAAACGAGGCGCACCAACGCGGCGGGAAGCTCCAGGCCGTCGAGTATGTAGATCCCTCCTCACCAAAAGAAGACGATAAGAAGGCGAGAGTCGAGATCGAGGCGGCATCGTTCGATAGTTTTGTGGTTATCTGGTCTCCTGGTACATCGGGCGTGGCAGAGACTTCGGTGTCGGTGCGCTTTAATTTCTTGTCGACGGATTTTAGTCACTCAAAGGGTGTCAAGGGAATACCAGTCCGGCTTTGTGCAAAGACTGAGGTTATCTCTTCAGGCTCACCTCATTGTCCAGTCGATAAGCCTGAGGTGTGTTTCTGCAAAGTCAAGCTTTTCCGTGACCATGGCGCAGAGAGGAAGTTGGCGAATGATATCCTGCATGTCAAGAAGACCATAGAGAAGCTGCGACAGCAGGCCAACCAGGTCGAGGGTACGGGAATGAAGATTTTCGGAAAGAAGAATAAGAAGGAGGAGGAGGTATCTGGGCGGCCCGGAAAGGTTCCAAGACATAAGAGGACATGGTCAATGTCTTCTGCGAGCTCAGTGGGAGGTGGTAGATCACAGGAGGAAGACACAAATGCGAAATTGGCAAGTCTACAGGACATGTTTACTAGCACTAGGGCCGTCAGCGTTCTATACTTACGTGGGAGCGATCTGGACGACCCGGATATCAACCCTGTGCACCTACCGGGTGAAGCTCCTGAATTGGCAGACGATATCTGGGCCCGGAGAAGGTCGAGCGTTGCTACGACGAACACTACAGCATCATCGTTTGTGTCGCCAACTCCGAGCTCTGCATCGTTGTCAAGTCAGCATGGTGATGGGTTTAGTTCCCCAGAAAGACGGGAATGGGAGAGGGGCTTCCAGCCTCTACCACCTCCTCAGCAGAATAATATTGGCTCAGAGATTCCAATTCGTGTAAAGACAAGCAACGATACTGGTATGCTTTCGGGATGGATCGAAGCGATTGGGATTGATTCCACTTATATCCCCCCCGCAGAAAAAGCAAGCAAGGCTGGTATGTATACCCATGGAGTGATTTCATTTTCAATTCACTAACGCCACTAGTTATGTCAATCTACATTCTTCCCACGGCCCTTGGATCCCCACAGAATGGCCAAATATACCGCGCAGTCTATCTCCAGGCCCGAACCGCGCAATGTTTAACCTCCAGTATCGCTGCTAAATGTGGCATCGATCCTGCCACTGTTCTACGCACTGTTCACATGAGCAGTCGTGGCCTCAGTATCTTTGTGGACGACGAGTTTGTACGTGAAATGGCAGAGGGACAAGACATGAAAGTCCAGGCCGTTGAGATTCGTGAGGAGTCACCCTTTGCATCCCCACCACAGGAGTGGGCGAACAGTCCCGAGGAATCCCAAGATGGAGAAGGGAACTTGAAGAATGGTGCACCGCACGGGTGGGAGTTGAGACTGCTTTACTAGTGGAGTATCTATGATCGATTATTTTCCTGTCTTTTTAACCTGTACTTTTCTTTATTTGGTTTGGCGAAGTTTGTGAATTTATACATATATATACCCTTGTGGTGGGCTTGGTTTTTGTTTTTGTTTCTGCTAAAAATTGGACCTGGATCGGACTGGACCTTGGTTGATGGGAGGGAGGTTCTTTGTGCGTTTTCTTATTATATCTGTTGGCTTTGTTTATTTTGGTAAAGATACGGGCGTCTTCTCCCCATGCGTTTTGTGCTTTTGTTTTATCTTGTATTTCTTCCTTGTATACGTGGGATGAATCTTTTATTGTCTCCTTTTCATTACGACCGTTAAAGAACTGAAAAAATATGGGAAGGATATCTGTTTTCATTTCCAGTGCATGTTGCTTATTTTGTCTAGTTTGTTTTCTTTTCTCTGCTCTCGACTCACATTGTGGTTGCATCTACCTAGCGGATACCCTACAGTTTTCGGCAGATGATATGATGGATGATGCAGTTGCAATGTTGTGGTTTGTTTATTTTATATATCCCTTTGGTTGCTAGTGTTTTTTTTTTTTTTTTTTTTTTGGGGGGGGGGGGGCCGGTGGTGTGTGAGCTGACCAAGTGTCTTATGATATGACTGCATGAATTAAGGTTACGGGTTTTTTGTTTTTGTTTTTGTTTTTGTTTTTATGAAGAGGCAGGAGCAGAGGAAGATGGGTTTCTTACGTAGTCATTGTCTCAATGTTAGTCTTTGGCGGTGGGCGGGCGGGCGGGCGGGCGGGGAGGTGGGGCTACACTCAAATTGTTTCCCATATGAAATGATTGTATCCTGGAATAATAATATATTTATGGGTCTACTAAATATTTCAACATATTTCGGAAGTGAATATTGCGTACATGCCATCGTAGTGTAAGCACATCCCGAAAATTAAGAGCAAGGCGTATCTATATAATCCCTAGCTATAGCTGTGCATGGATGGGCTAATATCGCAGTATTGTAGACCGCAAACATTTGACTAAGTAATCAGGCTTGAGAATTACGACTCTCCGCGATGGTCAGCCTCTATGAGTGAGCAATGCACATGTTTTGCGGGGCATGACTATGCGGGTCCTGTGATTTTAAAGTTAACAATATCGAGGTGTTAACATGTACAACGGCAACGGCGTATCAAGAGTGCACTTACCTCCTAGATTGTGTCATTTTGATTTCTTGCACATATTCCAATGATATACTTGAGCATTCTCGGAGAAAAAAGGGATTGTTCCGGTACGCTACTGCAGCAGCATAATGTATTTCGATCATAGAAATTCACTCGGTTGGCGGGGCACGCTCAGCCTTGCCGAGATGGGTTAGCGTTCGCGGCTCTCAAATTTCTCGAAACCTCAACTCCAACGACGTGCTGCGGTTTCCGCAACATCACCATTGTGAAAGCGACCCCCCGGCCCCAGTCAATTGTCCCCGCCCCCAAGGGATCGTATTCAGAAGAAAGGAAATTTGGAATAAAAACTACAACAATGAAACGCATACGCTGTTCCTCGTCGCTATGTGATCAATTCCTCTCCTCCTCAAGGCAAATAGTGCCCCGCCCTCGAATAACGGTGACGGCAAAAGGACCGCTTCTCACATCACATACCCGCGCCCTCTCTACCACCCCAGTACGGTCTCAGTACTATGAGAAGCCCATCAACCCCTACGAACCAGCACCTGGAGAGCCCCTCCCTCGCGCGCGCAACCCTCTCAACTCCGCAAAGCTCGCCGCTCTCCATGCCCGTCTTAGTCTGCATCCAAGTTACCCTATACAGACTCTAGCCCGCGCACTCATTGACCAGTCTGCCGACCCAATCCGCTTTTATAACAACAGCTCCCTCGCCTACCTCGGGAACTCCCTCCTCGGGTACTATGGTGCCGAGCACTTTATGTGTACATACCCGCGACTCCCTACCCTGGTTCTCAAGTCTGCAATGGCCGCCTTCGTGGGCCCGAGGCCGCTTGCCGCCATTGGGCGAGAATGGGGTGTCGAGACCGCCTTCGAGCCAACCCCAGACGTTGACGCCGGTCTTCTCCAGTTCAAGCGATTGCCTCCCGGGACAACAGTGAAGGGGCATCTACGCCCTGCCCGCAGCGAGGGTGTCCCGGAGGAGGAGGCAATGGCAAACTTTGTCCGCGCTACATTTGCGGGTGTGTATCTCCATGAGGGAGTCGCGGCGAGTAGACAGTTCTTCCGGCAGCATGTAATGTCGCGGAAGCTAGACGTGGACCAGCTGTTTAACTTTGTGCAGCCGACACGAGAGCTCTCGAGATTGTGTGCGAGGGAGGGATTTACACCGCCAGTTGCGAGACTGATTAGTGAGACGGGTAGGATGTCGAGGAGCCCGGTATTCATAGTAGGCGTATATTCGGGGCAGGAATGCCTTGGGCAGGGACATGGTGCAAGCATGGATGAGGCTAGGATAAGAGCGGCAGTGAACGCGTTGAAGGGGTGGTATTTGTACAGTCCGGCGAACCCAGTGGATCTTCCCAGCAAGATGGATGTGGACCCTGCGGCGTCTTTTGCGCCGGCTATGATTGATGTAGGCGAAGTTATTGTTTAGAGCGGTATGGTGTAAGAATCATAGAGGGGTCATTTGTATGCGATGTCCATCTGGACGACGCTTATCCTGTGTATAAAAAAATCTACTTCCTTTTGTTTTTCTCTCTCTACGGCTGGTCGGGTTATACCGGACACGGCAACAGACCAAACAAAGTTAACAGTTAAATAAATAAAAAACGTCGCTTGTTAATATCACTATCCGGACTCCAAATAATTAATGAATTATTAATTTATATACTTATCACCACTATTCCTTGCGAGATAAAATGTGGACTAACGCATGCGGTGATGCATAATCATGCATAAATCGCTAGCTGGAGGCAATTCGATCATTGACCGCAAGGACTGAAATGTACATAGCTGAGGAAATTATCAGGAATTTTTTGAACAAGTAAGATAAACAAGCGATGACACCTAACCATTGACCATTGAACCAATGAGCCCTGAAACCGAAATATAAACTCAGATCCTGCCTCTCAATGTCCCTTCTACTTCCATCATCAAAGACACATGTACACCCACACGCGCACATACACACACACGCACATACACATATTATTTAAATACATGGATGGCTTCATAACATTATATGTATGCATATCACCACCGCCTCAATCTTAAGATCTCCAAAGCTTATAAGGGCAGTTAATGTTCAGTGCCTGCATTTGCTTCACTCTCTTCCTCGGAACCCTTCTCTACGAATGGCATAGAGCAGGATATCATCTACGTTCGAGAGACGGGCTTCCAGATGCTCCTCCAAACAATACTCCGTTACCTGTAGTATGACTGGCTCTTGGGCTGAAGCGAGGGGCTTGTGTGATAAGTGAAGATTGGCAAGTTTTTTATATTTATATTTATATTATTATTATCATTATTTTGTAGTTTGGCTTTATTATTCTCTGCCGGGCTTCCTTTTTTTTTTTTTTTTTTTTTTTTTTTTTTACAAAAGCCTCGTAAGATACGTGGCCTACATGTGCGGGTTTGTGATTAAATACATGTAGGTAAGCGAGAGCATTCTGTGCAATGAGAACATATGCTTCTAACACTATAAGGAGGCCTTGCCACTAGCAAAAGTCTTTCAATGCACTATTGGTGACTTCTCTAATCTAGATCCAAACTCAACCCTCATACCCTGTATAAGAAGTTCATTCACTTTTAAAATATTTCGAGGAACATACAAGAAATAAATTAACATCTTCTATGTTCAAAACTAATGTTAGCTATAGTCGTAGCCCATGTATATACGAACAGTAAACACCAATTTTCTCTTTTGTACAGTCTCATGGCATCATTCATATCAGTACAACCATTAGATTTTGGTCTACCTCCCAGAGGATCAACCTAATAAAGTGCTGGACCCAACCAATACAAAAAGGAGAAGAAATTCCAGAATATATGTACGGCGTGGAACAGAAAGAACAACAAAAGAGAGTTATCAGTGAAGATACGGAGCGGATGTCGTTTTATTTATAAAGGATCGAGAAGCAATCGACACACTGGGCGCAACTACCGGAAACTCCAGCAATTGAGCGACCTCGTGGGGGTATTAAAGTGCTACTGTTTGGTTTCATTAGTTTCTTGGAAGCCCCAGAGCTCGATATTCGAATAATTTGCATACCTAGTTCCCCCATGGGGATTCCCAAATAAAGGGGAGCGGCGACCCAAACTAGTCAGAATTTCAATGCCGTCGACCCATGACCCGGCACGAACGCTGAAACCTAAAAGACTTTCCCCCTTTCTAGTGTCCAACGAGAAATCCGAGATTTCTGTTTTCCGATCATTCTTATCCCCCTGTGTCCAAATAACTGGCTTGATGAATCCTCGTATACAAACTCCAAACCATCCAGTGCTGTACTATGGAAGACCCTAATACTTGTGAGAATCCTCCCTGGAGTCAACGTGTGCAGATAAACTTCCTGCGGTTTAGATCCGTCTGTGTCTGAAAGCCCCAACGAGGAACTTTTATATGCCACCCCGTATCCGTTAGGAAGTTGAACCTTCGCCCCTTTCGTTGCAGAAAAATCATCGATAATAGTTTGCCCTTGGCCTGCTGAATAGATCTTGAGTTTTATTACTTTCGATCGACAATCTTGCGGCAGCTTCTCGCGAAGCTCGCTTTCGAGTAATTGTACTTCCCGTTCAATTTTTGTTGTGAACTCCAAATGTGCCCGATAGGTATCGTCTGTGTAGATTTCTACCAGAAATATGCCACTACTTGCACTAGCGAACATACCGTTCTCTATGGCATAAATCTGGGGATTATCATGTCCAGCTGTTATTACCGGATCTGTTGGAAGGCGGAAGCATGGGTGGTGGCGCAATCGAAGACAATCAACCCTAATTTCGATCAGTTTCAATATATCAAGGAGTTACATAAAATTTCTAATACCTAGACCAATTGCATTCTTCTTGAGGAAGACATATCCTTGAAAACAATTAGTTATGTAACAGTGAAATATGGTGTTAGATACTATACCTTAGGCCAGCAGATTTTGTTTTGAACAAATACGGTTCCTAGAACAATAATAAGTTATACGTACTATCGGACGAGCGATATTTGGTGTTCTCATAGGGGACGCTCAAACCTTGGTTGTAAATGTTCTATTTATGCGATCAAGTTCACGAGGCTGAACGGGCGGCTGTGGACTTATAAAAGCCTCTATCATGTTACCCATTGCGGATGTAGCTGCTTCCCTATCCTCCTCACATCTATAAGCTGTTTATTCTTGGGTAATTATTGATAAGAGTCCAGTGTTACCCACCAAAAGCTCCCGAGATCGGCCGTTTCATTTACGCTAGTAGAATTACCTTCGATGCGTGTGCAGTCCGTGAACTGGTCATTACTGTGAGTTTCTTCAAAGATAAAAGGAAAAAATTAAAAGGTGGATTTTATGATACTTACTGCTGGAACAACCTCTTCAAGGCAGGAAGGGAATGTATATAGCGAACGAGTCCCACACACGCCAATCTCGTTACTTAGTGCCGAATGATTGATCAATCCCTCGATTCTCAGATCATCTTTGGCGTCGAACATCAGGACAGCGACATGCCGCTTTGAATTTACGGACAGATTTTGAAAGTATTGAAAATATTTATCAACTGCAGCCGATGCAATATCCAAGAGGGCAGCACCGTCTCGGGCAGTCTCTAGATTTTGAATTTCTAGAGCCGATTCAAGTTTAGCATATGTTCTAATTTGAGCTTCGGTTAACACAAACTCACCAGCTACTGTCTTTTCTGATCGTATGACATGTACTTTTGCGATGCTATGCATTACGCCATTTTCTTTGTTTGACAGTGAATCCTCGGCCCATTCTTCCTCTAATCGAAAACATCTTCGTCCTATAATTAAGGATCATTAGATTTCAGATCGGTTTGTGCGTTGAGAAGACAAACCTAGTCTATTTCTATACATCTGCTCTCCTGTAAAAGCTTGGGCAAGGTAGCTTAATAGAGAACATGTTAGAATTTTATTGAGATCAAACTTAAATTCACGGTCAATGATTGACATACGCTGCCATTCTAAGCTTCCGCTTCGCCATGCGGATATCGTTTCCCTCTCGCTGCTTCCGGTCACTTTGGCATTCATACTCGCCCGGTGAATCTTTAGCTAGAACTATGGCCAAATACAATGGAGGGGAAGATGTGAGAGGCAAAAAATTGACGACTACGCTTGAGCTAGTACAGGGAATCTTTGCCCCTGTGAAGTCAAAACGCAGTCTGTTTGGACCAGGGTCAAGATGTACCAAAACCTTGAAGTATCCACAATTAACTGGCCATTGAGTCGGTGGGTATCCTTCCAAATGATGATGCACAGTTATCATTCCGTCACATGGACGTTCAGGTAGCCCAACCTGTCCAAATACAAGCAAGACACTCTGATGCACCCATTGGTTCTCTTGGACCGAAAGAAAGCGAGGTGCAAATGGCGAAATAGGGAGTGACGAAGATCTGGCAACTCCACTACTCCCCTTTTCTTGATTATTAGTACACATAACTATAGTAGCTTAAATATCGACTGGTATGGGGACGAACAAAGCTAGGCACATGGCTCGAATTTATGAGCTCCGATGTAGGTCTTGGTATACGAGGCCGTCGCTCAGGAGATGTGCGATCGGTAAGATTCAGTGAGCTGCTCGACTGCGTCCTGAAAAACCCACTGCCGGAATTCTCCTCCAGGACTGAAGACGAGGAAGCTGTTTTAAGAGAAGACTCCTCGGAACTGGATTTGGAAGCCATATTGGTCCGAGATTTCCGCAATCCTGGAATTTTTATTTTGGCCATCTTCTCCGCAAAGCGAGAGGGAGTTGGGGCCGATTTCGACTGGGCAGGCATCGTTTATTAATGCGCAAGACTTTGAAAGTAAAGGTGGAAATAACTGAATATTATAAGATAGAGGGTAGCGAGGCGCAATTGACAACAAGACACCTCGTAGGCAAGGCCGACAACTCAACCCAATCAACTCAACACCGTTGTAGCGGGGGTTTTAGGGTAAAACAAACTGAAAGAAGGGAATAAAAAAACAAGAAAAGGCTTAAGTGAACCTGGCAATCGTGATGGCTGAGAATTTTTTGTAGCAATGAGGATGCTAGCGAGTAAGCAAAAGCAAGCCCCTTTGAGGAATGGGCTGGCTGGTAGATGGTGGCGGGGAGGTCCAGCAGCTAAAACAAGAAATCAAAGGGCGCGTAGATGAGCGAGTGAATGTCCCATGAGAGAATAGTGAGCTTTCAAGTGTGCTTTCAAGTTAAACTTTAAGATAATTGAGATGGAGGAAAGGTTTTAAGAATAACAGATGGCAGGTGGCCTCCTAGTTATTTTTCCAGCGCTATGTGAACATCTCCGCTCCTAGCAGTTACGTAGACCACCACCCAGCAATATTGCAATCCATATCTCTGGGCTGCAATATGTACTGGTCCCGAGGGGAAAGGGAAATGAGGCTTCAGCTTCCGGGGTCGGGATCGGGGAGCCTACTTGAGGCGGGATGCGACTGGCGATTATCAGTTACCCATATCAGGTCCCGAAGGTGACCAATGTTTTCCATATCAAGCTACTTCAGAAGGCCTGTTAGCTAGCTTGAGAAGTCGCTGCAGCATGTACCAGTCGTTGGTGGAGGTTTAGACATTTCCCTCTGCCCTACGCGCGAGATTGCTTGCGGCTTGCTCGCGGAGCCTCCACGCGCGCCAAAGTTACGTCACCACGGAAGGAACCCTGTCAGGCCAGCTTGAAATAGTATGCCCCGATTCGAGATGTAAATAAAACAATCGAATTGAGAAGCTGGGTGTAAACACAGCATGATAGGTCTTGGCTATTTTATGTTGCTGCGCAGCCTTGGGCTGAGAGGCTAGACTTAGCGATAATAAACTTCCCATTCATGCTTTCCCGCTATCTACTTTGGAATTTGTTTATCACTGCCTAGCAACAGCATCGGAATATCTAATGGTATTATCTATATTTCCCCGCAGGACCAAATACTAAATAAATATACTTGGTTAAGGAAAGAAGGAATAAGAGTATAGGGGGCATGTACAGCAGAGATATTTAGAGTGAGTTTGAGGAAAAAAAAGGAAGTAAAAAGATACTAGCATTCCTCTCGTTCTTGCCAGCTCACCCTATCGATATATCATCTCATTGTCTGTATTCCGAACAACTCGCACCACCAAGAGTCACAGGAGGTTGGTACATATCAAACTCATCCAACAAACCGGTCACTGACCCCTCGCCGTTCCCGCCCGCCTCCTTAAAATTTCTCCGCCCTTGCAGGGTTTAGCGTTCCTTGCCGACGGGTTACGATCCAGGAGTGCATACTATTTCTGTTCTCACCATAGTCTGTCCCTTTACTTCAAGAACACTTCTCTCATTGTCGTTTGACGGAAAAAATGTCTTCGTCCACTGCCTCAAAGACCTGGACGGAAAAGCAAACTAAGGAGGTAATGAGGAAAGTTATTAGGCGTGCGGAAGTATCGAGGGTGAGTAACCCACAACGCAACCGCCTTGACAATGCTCACTTGGCCGCTTTTCATTTTTTTCGAGAACCCTCGCTAACGCTCATATTTCTCAGATTGCCCGATTACTACAGCACCGCCTTGCACTTGCCAACTTCAAGACGAAGAAAGGTTGGGAAAACTTGACCCTAGACACCATCGAACCCAAGATTGAGGAGGATTTGAAGCGAAAACGTCAACGGCCATCATCAGGAGACAAGTCACCATCACCAGGTGCTTCACTTTTTAGTGAAAATGAGCTCGAGTGGTTAAGGAAAAATAAGCCGATAAACGGACAGCCCCATAAACGACGGGGGAGTCAATCGTCTGATATCGGACCTCTTCCCAATTTCCGGAACTCAAAGAAGCGTGGGCGGCCTTCAACTTCCACGGACTTCCAGCAACCACCCTCCAAGCGCCGGCAATCGTGGAGGGACCACAACCGCACAGTCCAATCTTCCCCAGGATACCGATACGGCAATGAGGAGAGAGACAAAGATGACTATGAATTCCAGCCCGCGTTTCACTCAAGCCCTCCCCGCACCCCGCCCCGACGGATTGCAAAACCAGGGACTAAGCAAGGTGGGGAGGTTGGTGCCGATCTTTTGATATACCTCGCCACGTCTCCGTCCCCGGCTGGTGCCATGTCCAAGACAAACATCGCTCCAACCACACCGCCATCATCCTTTGCTCTTCCATCTTCTGTTATGAATACCCCAGGAGGAGGCCCCCCCCGAACTCCCCAAACAGGTTTCAATTTTGCGGATTTCGTCAATATCACCCCTTCACCCGCTCAATGTGCTTTCGGCTCTGTTGTTGCAGGACGAGGTACTCCTGTAAAAGGACGAGGCACTCCTATTGCTGCTGCTCGTCGACGTCTGAACTTTGATCAACTTGCCCCGCCAACAGGTTCCCCTTCAGTTCCGTCTGGAGGCACGAGACATACCGGTTTAGGCATGGAGTTGGGCGGCGAACTTGTGTCGTGAGATGAAGAAAGAATTAAAGAATTTATGAGGTGTATATTTGCTTTTTGTGGGGTTTTTTTGCGGGTGTTTCGGTTCTGTGGGTTACATTTTAGGGAAGGTATATTCTGTTGTTCTAACTTACACTTATTCGCCTCCTGTTTTACCTTCATAGGCCTTGAAGGATTTGTTCTGCGGTGTAAGATATCCCCTCTATTTTATTTTTCATTTTCGTATTGCTCTGATATGGTTTGTGGAAATTTAAAGGAGTGGGTTATTCACATTATTAGTATCTTTAACGACGACGAAACAAAGAGGAGGATATATATTATTTTCTGAAGAAATGATAATGCAAAAGTCAATCTCAAGATAGGGCGCTGAACGCGTACCAATAACCAAACGCGAGATCTCTTGGCAGCTTTAACACGAGGTCATTCTATTTCAAGCAAAAGGTGTGGTAGACTAGCTGCGGGTGTGTGGATCCGCTCTGTACGGTTCCTGATTTCTGCACACGAATCATACTGTCAGCGCCGCTTTGTCGGTTCATCAAATGTTGATACACCCCTGCAACATGTTCGGGCAGTGTTTCAATTTGTATCAACACACTCGCCCTTTTCCCTTTTTGCCTCTTCTCAGGCACTCTAAGCACTGATAACCAGAGGTTAACCTGGAAGGGTAATCTCGGGTGATAAGGATGGTTTTAAGGGAATAACCAGTAAAGGGCATGACTGAGACGTTTGACACTATGGGAAATGAGGTTAGGATCGAGGTGATCCTGAGATGTGGAAGAAGGATTTTAATATGCATTTGCTCCCTACGAGAACATCTTTTCAAGTTTAGTAACTGTATATAGAGAGCGCAGGTAGGTACAGTATGTACAGTAGTTATGTATTGCAGCTGATTTGAATGTACGCGGTTAGCCGGCTTGTCGGAATAGAGTTGAAGTGAGGAAGGAGGTTACAGGTAACAGAGGTGTGGATGCTGCGGTCCCCTGCGCGGCACGTCCACCCGCACAGCCTCTGTCAAAGGAGAGCTGGGCGTTGGGGGGCAACAACTCCGGAAAGTCGCCGCTTTTGCCATTCTCGCATACATATTGTTCAACCCTGGTCCGGTCACCCCCTTCCTGTATTTCGTAGAGAGTGATTTCCATGACCCCAATACCACCATTATCATCATTCATCGTCAGTTCCCAACACAACATATCACACTCTTTTTGTTTGTGAAGAAGTTTTGACAGTAGTCATCATACACGCTCGTTGTCAGCTTTGTTTGTGGTTTTTCCCTGGGTAAAACACCGACCGTTCGTTCGCAGTCTGTGTTCTCCTGTCCGTTTTGGTGTATTAGGCGGGAACCTTAGACGGCCTCATCCGAGTCTCTGACAGCAGCAGAAGCATCCTTTCCCTTTCCCTCTTTTTTTTTCCCTCTTCACTCTTCACGCTCTTTGCTGTCTGTCTCCACGTTCAACCCCAGTCTGTCCTTTCTATCTGTTTCTTCGCTCTTTTTCCCTGAACCTGAACCCTTATTCTCCCTCAGTTTTCTTTTTCGTATTATTACTATTACTCCTCCTGACCTGGCTTGATCCTCCTCCCATATCCTCCCTTTCGCTCATTCTTGTGTATTGTACACCACATACACATACATAGTTCGTTTGCTTTCAACTGTCCCTCGTCTTGCCCCTCCCTCAACACAGGGGAAGTGGAGGAGCCGCTCGCTATAGTCGTCGTCGTCAGCTAGCCGTTCCTGCGTCGCGCTGCTTCGCATCCGATCGTTTACAGTTGACGAGTGAATGAACCCTTGCTGAGCCTTATTTGGTTTGTCATCCTAGTCCTCAGTCTATTCTATCTCTTTCCCCCTGAGTTCACCGTTTACCCTCTTCTCCACATCTTTACAATTACTCTTTGCCTCTTTATTTATTTTTTATTTTTATTACCATTGCTGCTGCCCCTCCTCATTCCCTTTAGTGCTAACTGACGGGGTGGCCAGCAACAGCATATCATCTAGCCGTTCCGGCTCCCACTATCTCAAGCGGTCGCATTACTCTACACTCTGCGTTCACCATCATCACCACCACCACTACCACCAACTAGTACACAATGAAGCACCTATCAACATTGGTGCTTGCTGCTCTTAGCGGGTATTTTCAGCTGGCTCTCGGTGCAGATGCCACATTCTACGCCTGTTATAGCAACCAAGGGAGTTTGGTAGTCAAGGGAGAGGACGACTTCCAGTCGAGGGGCGCATGCCGAGTAACATGTGTAGACGACGCGAAAGCCGCTGGTGGTCCAGGATACTCGGTACAGGCAATGACGAACGAAACAATTTGCTTGTGCTCACAAACACTTCCCAACGATATTTATAAAGTTGACGACAGCGACTGCAAACAATCCTGTCCTGGATATAAAACAGAAACATGTAGGGACACATATTCATTACACAACTAGTACTTTTCGAACGTTGGCTCACGCGTTATGTAGGTGGTACTCGCTTGGGCACATATTTCTCAGTGTACCTGACAGGTTTGGAAGATGGCACTCCTGATGAGGACCCAGCGCCTTCATCTTCTTCATCCTCTGCTACAAGCACATCAACCGGTTAGTGAAGTGGGCCAATTCGAAGGGCCCTTATACTGATATACTGCTTAGAATCTGCTTCGTCAACCTCATCCACGGCAGCAGCATCAACTACCGCAGCGCCCGTTACATCGCCTTCTGCCACCGCTACATCCGAACCTTCAAATTCAGTCAATACAGCAGGTGTTGCCGCTGGAGTAGTCGTTGGAGTGTTTGTAGTTGCTGCTATTGGTTTTGGGGCGTTCTTCCTGATGAAGAAGCGAAGAAGAGAGAGGGTTGAGGAGGAATACAGGAAATCTGCAGCAGCAAGGGAGTTTGCAAGGAAGCCTGAACAGGATCATCGGCTGGATCCCGTAATGATTCAAAGGAGGGACAGTGTCGGAAGCATTGCAGATAACCAGGACTATTCTCGAAGGATTCTTAAGGTAAATCTATCATTCTCCAAAATTTGGCACTTAATTCAAATTTTTTTTTTTTTACTAATATGCTTGATACAGGTTACAAACCCAGATGGAAATTAGAGAAATGATCAGTCTAAGGTTATTATTTATTGAGGCCTAAGAAAGGCTAAATCGTTGGGTTTTTTTCTTCTGTAGCTCCTATCTGTAGTTCTTCCCCCACTATTCTACCCATGTCATCCTTTTTGTTCTCCCGGATCCAGTTTTATTCTGTAGTCAACTGTAGATGGCAATTGGCGGGTTTTGCGGGATAAATCGTTCTAGGAGGATGGATTTTATTTTTTTCTTTCTTATATATCATTTTCCTTTATTTATTTCTATTGATATCAGGTGGGCATGGTTGACAAAGGGGACATCGGTGGATCCTGTTTTTAAGCACTTTTATTTTATCACATTTCTTGCATTCCTTTTGTGACCCTATTTTGTTTCTTTTTCTTTTTTTTGTGTGTGTGTATTTTATCGTTCGTTTTTCCCCTTGTGATCCCTTTTTTTTTTTTTTTTTTTTTGGGGCCCCATTGTTTATTCCTCATTTCACGTGCGTTATTAGAGCATCTCTCTTTACCGTCTTCCATCTGTATAACTCGCAACTTCCTTTTCTTCTCACGATAGTCTTTTGTATTTATATGGATATGGATTGAGGTAGTTGGGGGGTGCAACTGCGGGACATATTACTCAAGAAGAGCTTGGGGGAAAGGTGGTTAATTGGGGTTTGCTACTACTACTAACTCATCGATTGCTTAAACTTGACTTCTATCTCACTATTACCCTTACCATGCATTGCTATTTATTGAATCGATTATTAGTCAAGGCGATATTGGTGGCCGGAGTGGCAGTTGAAAGGGAGTAGGACCCTTCCCCTTGTCTACCGGCCTCGTAGGAGTGATTCCCCGCATAGCTCATAGCGCGCGAACGCCAGCGCTAACATAAAGAACCTTACTACATACATGTAAGTTTTTGGCAATAAAGTTATTTTTCGAACCAGACACTACTAAACTTTAAATTATCTGTTTCCCTGATCATGTTGCATCACTCACCTCAGCTATATGACGTCGACTTTCGCACCTATTCCTTTTTTACTACATTAGTTGTAAACGTAACCAGCACGATACCTAAGTCTTGATAGAATACTTGTATAGAACGAGGGGCTTTCTGATTTCTTGTAATCATTACTAGCTTGTAAAGTAAGCGCTTGAAGATCTCTGTTCGCCTTTATTCTACACTGAAACCTTCTAATATTCAAACACTCCCGGTCCGCTAGGCTCATTCAATATAGAAGGGGTTTCCTTAGTTATTGTTTAGTACTGGAATGACGACACATCAGTAAGGGCCCATGGTAGGAGTGCATATACATGTAGTTATCCCATGGCACAGTCCTAGAAATTCCAGAACGATAACGCCAGAAAAGAAGACAGGAACGCGTGGCGTCTTGTGGGCTGTCGCCCTTGCGTCCCCATAGCTACCATGTTTAATTGGAATGAATAGGTTATAATTGCAACGGTCCCAACGTTAGGCCAGATATACATGTATTTATCAAATCGTATCAATGATCTCACAGACCGAGAAGAGTAACCTGTCTCTTTTGAGCGGTTATGACAGTGAATCCCAACATAATTAACCTAACCCTGCGTGTAGTTTTATAAATCGACTCGTTTTTTATAAGAGTGCACCTGATATCCAAGCGAGCATTGCGGGGTAAATTGTCTAATGTTTCAAATTGGCCATTTACAACCACACCGAGTCACTCGTATTTGAACCCTAACCCCAGCCAAGGACGATGTATTTTGTTTAATTTATTAATTGCATGCCAAGGACGATGTATTTTGTTTAATTTATTAATTGCATGCCAAGGACGATGTATTTTGTTTAATTTATTAATTGCATGCCAAGGACGATGTAGGTATACTGTATGTAGGTACTTATATCATTTAGCAAACTTGCATACTCGCATATCAAGTATGTATTTGCGCAACCAGCAAAACACACAGAATCTCGAGAGCTTTCCCATCTCCCCTGAAATTTTGCATCTTTTATCTAGACACCTGAAAGACTCTACAGGCAACTTTTAGGTCATATCCATAAAGAACGAGGCGAAGGGTGTCTTAAAAGTCCTTTTATTGCTTTCCTCTCCACCTTTACCAGTATCTCAATTAGGCCAAGAATTTGAAGCATGAACCTCCCTTATCGAAATTATACTACACTCGGTCGTTGCAGTTTTGGTATAACTACTAGTATAGGACTTTTTATGAGTTGTTGAAAACCTCGATTTTTAGTGTGTTTTGCTGGTTGGGCAAATACATATTTGACAAGCGAGTATACTAGCAAAGATGCAGAGCCCTCGGGTCACGTACAGGTTGTTTTCCGGCTTCATTGGAGGTAGGATAAGATTAAAAGTCAAGGGACCATGAAACATGCGCCCTACATATTACATACATGTACATGTATGTAAGCTAGAGATACGTAGCAGATACATACATGTACATGTAGTTACATAGCATGAGCGAGGACAAAATTCGAGTCTGTTCTAACTGTGCAGTAATGTCCGTTGGGATCTTTGGTATTACTAAATCAAATTTTTGGTTAGTATTCTACTCTAGACTACACGTATCTAGGATGTATCAGACACATCACTACTAAACCTTGCAATGACGCAGCTTCTTTAAGATTTATTAGATTTCAAATGTTATGGCAATAGGCAAATTACCTCCCAAACTCCAGATTTTTATGTGGTGGTTTTCTCAGGAGCTTTATCTTTCTAGATTATCTTGTAGCTATTCGTACATGCAGCCCACTATACTACCCGCATTCATAGGTACTAAGACAAAAACTATGCATGATATATCTCCTTAAACGCCCTGTTTCACACCCCAAATCTTCCACTAACTCTGGTGGTATTGAACTAAAATTCACAAAAATAGAAAGAAAATGAAGTTATAATGAATTCGTAAAGAGTAAAACGCAGAACACAGATACAAGCAGGGGGAAATGATAGTGGGGGGAAAAGGCAACCAGAGTCTTTAAGATCGCCGCTCAGTTGGTATATATGAGAACGAGTGTGTGAAGTGTGATTCGCAGCAACTTAATCTGGCCAAGCGCTGCCAGCAAATTGTTTTCTCACAATCCCACAGAGATGGTCCGCGACAATACAAAAGAAAACTACCTATCATAAGACCTAACTCAGAGCTTTGGAATATGTATCGACTTTGACACCATCGCACATCCGCTCGCACAAAAGATTAAAACCGCCGGATGGAATTCCAATAATCCGGTTCCAATAGTTCCAAGTGGCAGAGAATCCAGGAGCCAGCCCTTAGACGCCCAGTATGCCATCAATGATACAATAGAAAGTGTGGTTGGGATAGGTGTTCCTTCGAAGTACTTGGACTTTCCTGTGGCATCTTTAGGGAGCATTTGAACTGTCACATTGAAACGTGCCAAACGAGAAAGGCCACAGAGGACGAAGAAAGTTAAGAAGACAGTGTCAAGAAAAGTGCGGAAACCGAGAGCGAAGGCGCACGAAGCGGGGGCCATGCCGAAAGAGATCTAAGTGTTGCATGTTAGCATTTACAGTGGTGGTGATAAACAAGAGAAACGAACAAGGTCAGCGAGTGAATCCAGCTCTTGGCCCATAAGGGAGCTCTTCTTGCGCCATCTAGCGACCTTTCCGTCCATAAAGTCGAAGAAAAGTCCAAATGGCATGAAAGTCATTGCAATGTAGAGTTGTGAGAGGTCATCGGGACTGCCAAGGCAGTACCGCAGGGATGAGAATATGCTCATTGCGCCGCAAAAACCTGTTATTAATGATTAGCTCCTGACCAATCCCGCTATTGATAGTATTCTTTCGGGATTGAACAAACCGTTGAGTTCAGTGATCAGGTCGGCCATGTGTAGCGCGCTATGAGAGTTATGGCGATTCGTTAGATCTGCTTGAATTCCTCCTGCAGTAGAGAGATAAGTGGATTCTGTGAGATATTCTTACCGGATCATGGAGAAATGTCTATCGTCGACGGCAAGTTCTATCGCTTTTACTTTCGTTTCGGCATCTTAGGACAGTACAGTTAGCTGAAGGCACCGAGAGCATAAACTCTGGAAATTTCAGTGAATAAAGAAGCTACTACCTTTAACGGGGGAATTTGCATCATTTGATGTGGTTCCGCTTCTTCGTGACATGTTTTCTCTTTGGCGATTCGACGTGACGAGTTGAGATGAGGCGATGTTATGGTATATGAGCAGAACAAATAACAATGAATCTGTTATTAAACGATGACTAGCGGACAAGAAGGGTTTCGAGATAGATTCACAAGAGAAAAAGATGCTGACAGGTGGTGTTGAATCGTGTCGTGAAGTGAAGAAGGTGTTGGGGTTTTTCTCTTCCTGTGATGTCGAGACTTGACCAGGTTTGGAGGTTGGGGCTGTGCCAAGAACAGCGGTCCTTGTGACGTGCACCGACCGATGAGGGACGGTCAGACAATCTTGCTAGCAGAACAGAGCAGGGCCAGGGACCAAAGGGTAGTTGACACAAGGTACATGTGCCTACCTATCGGTGCTCAACCGCATGCATAGATACGGGGAGGAAAATAAGAGTTTGGGAACGGCTAGGTAGGGGAATATTCTACAGTGATTGGGCCCAAGTGCAATTGACGCTCCTTCTCTTACTCTATCTCCTTAGAGATATTGAATCCATCTGTGCTTGCTTGTACTGTATTTAGAAAGTACGGAGCTACAGTGCACGAGCCCTAGCTACATAATTCCCAGAGGTATGTGCAGATACTGTCTTGTACCTGCCCTATGTACCTACATATGTATTGATGAGGTACACACAATCAGTACATGTACCTAAATACTTGTATAAAAGAGATGGCCTTTATTTTTACCCAATGCTTTCTCAGGGGGAAGGGGTCTTACTGAAATGTGCGGTAATCAGGTACATCGTGCGTTTTGTGTAGAAGCCAGCCCTTCGGTACGTTTTAGCCCTATTTAGTAAAATATCTGTAATTAATGCTTGCACTAGAGAAATGTACATGCTGTACATACATACCTACATGTACCTACAGATGGGTAAGCACAAGAACAGCTGGAGTGTGAGGGATCCTGCGGTTTTGGGTTCAATGGCAACTGTAGGTAGGTTCCAAGCTCGCGAAGTTTAGGGCATAACTCCACATATAAACATTCTAGGTTTTCGGGCCTTTTTTGTTACTGTATTTATTATCAAACCGGGTGCCTTTCCTTCTTTTTATTAAATCCATTCATTCAGAAATTCCCTCAACATCTCTTATATCTCACATCGATGGCCGGACACCAGACCGATGCGATTGAAACGCTCTTACATATTTGCACAAAACCCCACATCCCCACTTGAGCGACTTTTATATCACAACACCAGATGAAGAATGAATTTTTATTCCAAAAGCGCCGTTTCCGGCGAAACATGTGTCAATAGCACGATATCAATGTTTTAACAACGTCGTCGCCATAACAGTTCCAATCTTGATGCTCGGCTCAAGCACGGGCCACAGCCTTGCAAGACCCCTCTTTTCCGGTTGAATGACGTCGATGAAGATGGTGGGGGGGACTATGCCAAGAAACTCACCCCGCCCTTAGTCCCGCACTTGTAGTAATAAGTGCGGGTTGTACGAACCTGTGCTAGAAACCGTGGGGTTTATATCAAAAGGAGAGAAGTGAAAGCGGAGAGGGAATCTGATCCCGTTAGTTAGCCTGCGGATCTTTATTCGCACGAGTTTCTAGCCGCTGCAGAGACCCTGATTCCTTGTTTTTTTGGTCGCGGGATCTCCAGATAGCTTCCCCACCTCAGCTATCTCTTTGTGTCCGCCTCGTTCCATCTCCGCAGCTGTTTAATTCTCTGCTGCTCCTACTCGCTCCACCTACCATCCCTTTCTTCCTTTCTTCCTCCTCATCACCTTTCCCTGCATTCAATCCTCTAGGCATCTCAAATCTATCATCCAGCATCTAGCCACCTCATCTGTAGCTAGCTACTATGGCCAGTACATCTGCTATTAATCCGGCCGAAGGAGTCGGAATTCATGCAAATGATGAATACCAGCAATCAACACTCAGAAAGAACTCCGTGAATAGTTCTGGTTCCAAAAAACCCCGGTCAGGCTCTGTTGGTGAGCCCGAGAGTAGAAACTCAGTCTTCTACACACCAATCCCCACTCAAACCAACCCCACTGAAACACTTTCCAACCGATTCTCCGGTAAGTTATATCTACTCTAGTATCCAATTCATATCGAATGCTCATTCATAATTATAGCATGGAGGAAGGTCTTGAAGGATTTCATCAATTATTTCCGCGAGGTTCAGGCGTCTTATGAGAACCGTGCCAAGGGAGTAACTAAGATCAGTCAAACCTTGAACACCACTATTCAGCCGTCAGACTTTATTAAGAGCGGCGGTATCTTGGAAACAAACAACGTTTTGCGAGAGTTCCAAAAAGACCTCTATGTTAGCAATGATAATGCCACCAAGACTCTTGCTAGTATCATCAATAACCTCAATAGCCTGAGGACAGACCTCAATTTCAAGATTAAGGAGATCAAAGCACTGTCACCCGACTTCAAAAATAATGTTGACAAAGAAAAAGAGAATACCCGTAAGGAGATTATCAAATTAACAGAGGCTCTCACTGCTCTCGACTCAAACCCACAAAACGCCTCCGGGAAGACAGACCCTTACCTAGTCAAACTCGGTTTGCAAAGGCAGCTCAAGCGCCAAATTGATGAAGAGAATTATCTTCACAAAGTAAGTTCTCATCAGTTTCTTGATAACAACATTCTAAAAAATACTAGGCATATATCAACATCGAAACCAGCGGTCGCGAGCTAGAGAGAATCATTGTTGTTGAAATCCAAAAGTCTTTTGAGACCTATATCAAACTTATTAAACTTGAAGGAGAAGGTCAAGATGACTTTGCACAGAGGCTAACCACATCTACCCTACAACTACCAGCTGATCACGAATGGTCAGCTTTCGTTGAGCGAGATTCGGGAATAGGTGGTTCGTCGGTTCCATTGAGAACTGTTAATGACATTGAATATCCTGGCCATCAACACCCTGCTGCTCTCGAAGTCCGCTCCGGTTTGATGGAGAGGAAGTCTAAATACCTCAAGTCTTACACGCCCGGGTGGTATGTTTCCGTAAAGATTTAACACTGAAATATCTACTAATCATGGCGCAGGTTTGTCTTGTCATCGACCCATTTGCACGAGTTGTGAGTTTATCATCTTTTCTCTCTCTTAATAACTACATGTACTAATGATCGATTAGCAAAGTATCCGACCGCACTAGCGATCCTGATCCAGTTATGTCTCTTTATCTTCCAGAGGCCTCCCTTGGAAAGCACTCTGAGCCTGGCGCCACATCTCACAAATTCATCTTGAAGGCTCGTCAAACAGGTGTCCTTCATATGTAACTACTATCTTTCCGGTCTGGCCGAAGACTCTCATATCTAACAGGACATAGGGGCCACAACTGGGTTTTCCGTGCCGAATCCCATGAAGCCATGCTTGCGTGGTACGCAGATATCAAGAGACTCACTGAGGTATCTGGCGCCGAGCGCAACGCGTTTGTCACGGGAGTAGTACATGGTCGCCATGAATCTATCGATACCACCAACCCAGAGGAAACCAGTGACGATATCGGGCTAGACAATGATGAAGCCGATGAAATACCGTACTCCACTGATGCTAGTGCTCTTGCAATACCTGCTGTACAAGAAAACAAGCGACCTGAAGGCGGTAGATTCCCAAGTGACCTTAATGTCAATCGTGGGGCTGCCAGCTTGACTGGTGAATCAGACCGTTCAATCATTGGGGCTGCTGGTGCTCTCAGTGGTTCATATGGAGAACAGCCATTGGGAAGGCCTCGCAGCGGTAGCCAGTCTTCTACCTGGTCTTATGATGAGAAGGTTAGTTCTATAAAGGCACATTTTTGTGAAATATCGCACTAATCATGATAGCACCCTGTTCACAACACAATGGACGAGGAAGCCGATGAATTTCTTCCTGTTGGAGCCGAAATTCCGCCTGCTGTCGAGCGCCGCATGTCTGTCAGGCACGACTACACTGATCATGAAGCTCTCGCCAAGAGCCAAAGCTCTGCAAACCGCCGTCGGGGACCACCCTCTCGTAAGCCAACAGCTAGCTACGGAATTGATCCTACCACCGGATTACCCGACACAGGAATGGGCGGGCCAAGCTCAAGTCTCTCAAACATTGATTGGAGCAACGTTATCGCTGCTAACGAGAATAAACCGTCTAGCCCAACTTTCCAGAGAAGGCCCCCCTCTCGTAAGCCTACCGCTAGCTATGGGATTGATCCCGTTACCGGGATTCACGAATACCCTGTCGAGCATGGGCATCACTCAGGAGCTGTGGTGGGGGCACCCTCAATTTCTGAGAACGCCCCGACAAGGGCTCTAGAAGGTAGGCCTAGTTCACCCCGGATGGAGTCTCAGAGCACTATTAGTGGCCTTCACTTCCCGGGTGAGTACCCTAAGAATACCTAGGCTGATTTTTGGAGGTTAAAATTCGTTCGTCGTTCCACGAGCTATTTGCTGGGTAACCAGATTTCTAAATTGCGGGCTTTTCCTTTTCATTTTGTTGACTTGTTTGAAGATCTTGAGACTACATGGAAGTGAGGAATTGCAAGGTTTGAGCGGGAAATTAGTGAACATGTATGGAATGTTACGGTCGTTTTGCTTAACTGCTCGGTTTTTGTTTGGATTACAAGGTCATTTGAGTATGGTAATTCACCGTAGCGTAGTTTGATACCCAAGAAAACTATTGCAATGTGAATATATTGTATGCTGTTAAATGAGATTTAGATGAGGTTATATCCGGTCAGATTAATTTAAACATACGTCTACATGTAGGTAGGTAATTCAAGTTGCCAATCCATTCAACTGGTACGAAGACTTTCGCGCCATGTCAACTTAATCAGAACTACATGTGAATATGTTTCACGTCAAATTGTCAAGGACTTCATTCCTAGATATCTCATGTTCATCTCTACAAGGGGATTGACTACATAACGAAGACTAGTGTGGTGGTTGCTGAGAGAGTGGTCTGGTAACAGACCGTGGCGGCGAACATGTCGAGTGACGGATTTTGACCGAGATACAAAGCTTAGAGGAAAGAGGTCCTGCTTGAACCGAGTGATGCAATGTGATCGGTAAGTGTTCTTTTGAACCAGAGATGGAAAGAGAAGTCACGTGGCTATAATATACAATCTCTGCTATTGCTATGATTGCACATACAAGGCTCTGGCATTAAGTGAGTGAACTAAATGGGGTGTTAACTAGTGTGGATCCGTTCACTCACTTAATCCCAGAGCCTTGTACATATATAATCTCCTACATACAGCAAGTAGGGGATGAGAAATAAGAAAATAGAGAAAATTTATACAGTGACTATAAATGAGACGAGTCCTGCCACTAAGAAACTGGTATGGTAGGACACTGTCCTCCACTTTCTCTCTCTCTCTACTCACTCCCAAAGCAGTTTTTTAAGTTCTCATACTTACTTGCAGGGTAGTTGATCAAGTTTTCCGTGGTCTCAAGTGCGTGGATGCCACCAAACGTGTCAACGGTAGTTTTGATCAGCGACTTTGGGTCTGTGATCGGCTTGTCGCCACTAAGTTCCCACCACATACCACCTGCAAGACCTTTTGAGCAGATGTATGATGCTTTTGATTCAGCGATACTTGGTGTATCATACGAGACCATGACTCTTGAATTCTGATCATAGCACCAACTTGCACCAATATTCTTGTCTTCTATCTCGTGTGCACCTGGCCTTGCAAGATCCTTATAGTCCCAAACGCCATTCTCCCAGGATCCGGGTCCGATGCCAGAAAACTGGTGGCCTGGCCCATTGGTATTCTCAAAGGCGCGGCCGTAAAGTGGGAGACCCATCACAATCCTGTGTGCCGGAACTCCACCTGAAACATATGCTTCAATGGCGTCGTGGGCGCTAAAAGGTGTTGAAGCGGGGTGTTGGTGTGATTTGTATAGATTTGCTTGGTGCCCCGCAGATGAATCCCAAGAACCGGCGAAGTCGTAGGCCATAAGATTCCAAAAGTCGAGATATTGATTCATTTCCCTCATCAGAAGTTTAGAGTAATTGGCGGTACCACAGGGTGCCTTTGTTGCAATAGGATTGTTAGTGAAAACTTTATTCATCACTTTTGGGAAGAACCATAGGCGATAATTTGAGTTTCTTACAGCAATCGTCAGAAGAAGCCTTGTTCCAGGACAGTGCCGAGCAGCGTAGGCGTCTAATTGACGGCGGCACTCGGCTAGTAGCAGTACGAAGTTTTGTGCTTCAGTAATATCTGAAATAGATTAAAGGTCAGCAAACGCCCACTTAGCCTGGAGTTTTTTATTAACATGGATAACAAAGATACCTTTAGGATATTCCCTATAAATGACAATAACATTAGAATTGCAAACCTCAACATCGTTTGACCATGATAAGGACTAACCAATCGATATCAATACCATCGAAGCCCAAATCCTTCAATAGCTCTATGGAACTGGAAGCAAATTTTTCTCTTCCGGCCGCTGTCGACGCCGGAACTGCAAAGTTACAGGAGTAGGTCCAGCCCCCAATGGAGAGGAGGGTCTTAAGTTTACGGTTGCGTTTTTTGAGTAGGAATAGCTGTTTTATACAGCCATAAACATTGGTACTAATGAGATGAATTAGCCGATCCTTTCATTTCTGCTATTCGGGAGAAGCAGAACTTGAATACCCAACGTCGTTCCAAGAATCTGTGGAGTAGTGCTTCTCTAAAACGATTTGTTAGTGTGACCAAACCCATGCCTTTGAAGGGGATAAAATACCAAGATCAGAGTAGGTGTCACTCAAGTAACTGGATATTATATGTGTATATGTAAGTATATTATATATAGTCAAGCTGAAAGTGCTCCAGAAATCAGAGTCTCTTACACCTCACCACTCTCTGGGCGAACATTTGCGAAAGAGTCTACAAAGAACGCCACTCGTTAGAAGTCTTTTTTTTTTGTTTCACGGAAATCCGCTAGCATTACTCACACAAGATATGGGTTAGATATTCGGCTGGCACGCCCTGTGGTTGATAGTTTCGACCATAGATCCCCTGTAATACGTGGGCTTAGCGTTAAAACTGGCCCTTGATCCGCAAGTTTAATAGGGACATACCCAATTCACAAAGTAAGCCACCGATTTCTTTCCAGTCATGCTGCCTGAGTATTTTGTGGTTGAAAATGGGTTGAGGAACGACGTTATGCGGCTGAGGATTTCGGTAGTGGAGAGTTGTGGGGAGTTATCGATTCCTGGAAAGACGAAGACAGGGGTTACAGCGAGCAGGAGTACGGAGATAGAGATGAAGATTCTATTGTGGACGGTGCGAGAGATATTTGGCATGTCAATAGTGATAATTATGAGCTGTATTTATAGTTTCAATAGCTTAAGATAATATCTTTGAAAGCGTGGCGCAGCATAGGAGCTTGGGCATCGAATTGAGGGGTGGAGTAGCTGAAGGTAAGACTGACCACGCACACACGTAACATCATTGCCCATTCAACTATTTGATCCTGGAAAGACGTTTGCCATTGGAATCCTGGCAGTGCGAATAGCAGCAGTGGTTACGTATTTACCAGGTACTGTCGTTCACGGGGTATTGGCGGATATTGGGTGTTGGCGGATTGAAGCCAAAAATTGGCTTGGCTGTCTCTTTTTAGGCTTATCCGCCAACACCCAGTACCCGCCAATACCCCGTGAACGACAGTACTAGGGTGTGGCGAAAAGTGATCAGAATCTGATAAGACAAATACACGTATTCACCGCAATATTCACTTATCAGATTCTGATCACTTACCCTCAACACCTGGTACATACAGCTATCGGTAGAATTATTGCGGAAACAGGGACCGACGATCACGCCGAGAGCAGGGCGATTTTCCAACGCCACATTTCTGCAATAATTCTACCGATAGCTGTACATATAGCTTGTGGTAGAAATATGGGAGGAGCCCTATTGGCTTGCCCAGCCACAGAAACCCTGTTTTTAGACCCCTGTTTCTACCTCTCGCTGTATTCTAAGTGAGGTTTCACTGCAGGTGCTGGGATTATGGAGAAGCGTAACTAAACATCATGTGAAATAAATGGTCCTAGAAAGGGTACATGTACCTACGTGTATGTATCTCAAGTGGCAGTAAGAGGGTGAGGGCCAAACTACAATTGCTGACATTGGCAGCGATGAGCGGACACACAAAGGGGTGTGCTAGCTAGCTTATCACCAATGCTGTTATGCTTATTGTAATGCAACGCCAGTGTCAATATTATGGTCTAAGTCTCATCTTAGCTTTCGTCACCATAGACAACACAGCATGTTACGGACCAATGGGTCGGGCAAGCGATTCGCTCAGATGCAGGATATCGTACCTACAGGAGCGGCAAGTGGACTCACGACTGAATGTTAGTGGGATGAGAAATCACGTGCTTTTATAGTAGCCACACTGGCAGACGCCACATGAGAGGCTGTACCTACAGGGCTGACGCACACAACACCCCGCCAAAAAGACAGTCCCACTAGACCTAACCCTGTAATTTTACGCCCACAATTCAACCGCAACCTCTCAACCAGCAACAGTGCGAGATCCAGGCAACATCACGACAACATCCACTTTTACGACAGCTGCCTCGTTTTCCTAACGCCCCGGAGGGATCTCGAATTTCAATCTTAAAACAATCCCGTCCCAGAAATTTAAAACTATGTCGGCGGCACGCAGCTCGATTTTTGATGCGACAGACAAGGACATTGAGATGCTCCTTGCTGCCCAGGCGCACATGGGCTCCAAGAACTTGCAAGTGCGTACACATTGGATATCAAGAAGTGGGAGATATAAAGGGTTTTGGAAAAGCTTTCAGCGCTGACTGGAAATGGCAATAGGTCCACATGGACCCATATGTGTGGAAGACAAGGCCTGACGGTATCAACATTATCAACATCGGAAAGACCTGGTTAGTTTAATTCTCTACGATCGGAGCTATATCAATCATCAGTTTACCGGTTTGAAATACATCTATTTAGCGAACTTGGTTTAACCATTCTTTTTTTTGTGATTTATAGGGAGAAGATTGTTCTCGCTGCCCGAATCATCGCGACTATTGACAACCCGGCCGATATCTGCGCTGTTTCCGCTCGTCCATACGGTCAACGTGCCGTCCTGAAGTTCGCCGCCCACACCGGTGCTACTGCCATTGCTGGTCGTTTCACCCCTGGTAACTTCACCAACTACATCACTCGTTCTTTCAAAGAGCCCCGCCTCATCATCGTCACCGATCCTCGCACCGATGCCCAGGCCATCAAGGAGGCTTCGTACGTCAACATTCCCGTCATTGGACTGTGTGATACCGACTCTCCCACCGAGTTTGTCGACGTTGCCATCCCTACCAACAACAAGTCACGTAACTCCATTGGTCTCATCTGGTGGATGCTTGCCCGTGAAGTCCTCCGTCTCCGTGGAACCATTCCTTCAAGGGAGGCCGAGTGGGATGTCATGACCGATCTTTACTTTTACCGCGACCCCGAGGCTGAGGACCAGAAGGCTGTCGAGGAGGCCGACAAGGTTCCTGGTGCTGAAGAAGCTGTACCAGAGAGTGGATTTGCTGCTGCCACCGCCGGTGCTGACTGGGATGTTGCCGGCCAATCCGGTACTTTCGTTCCTCCCGAGGCTACTGGCCCTGCGCCGAGCTGGGATGCGGATGCTACTGGTGGTGACTGGGCTGCGGACACTGCTACCGCTACCGAGACTCCCGCCGCTGCTACATCCGGATGGTAAAAAGGTTGGGGTTAATGTGGTTCTTTTTTTTTTTCCTTACGATCAAATAAAAAAATTTACAAATCTGGGAACTTCAAAAAAAATTAAATTAGGGCTTTGTTCGATCGGAGTTCTAAAAGTTGTACTTCTTTGCATACGAAGCCATGATCTGAGGTGGAAACAAACAACCCAGGTGCTGCTATGATGGAAGAATGATATTTGTATTTGGTATCGATAAATGATTTTTCTTTCTTCGGTTTGTCAATAGGTCTTATGCAACCGCCGAACGGGATTTTTCATTCGGAGTTGTGGGTGGTTTCATATCTCTATTGTTTCAGTTAGGAAAAGGGTAAAAAGAAAGAAATACCTTTCCATACACTCCCATAAAAATTTCGCGTTGTGATAGTGATAAGAGGTAAAGCTACATGCATGTACCCTTATCGACCGCAATGCCAAGTCCTCGGAGCTACTACATGTAGCCTGCTATATACCTAGTACAGCTACCGTACTTGAGCTGTAACCCACTCCAAATCATATTCTGCTCATTCGAATTACTTGACTTTACGATAGCATAGTCGGAGCTATACACAGAAGTAAGTTGGTCGCTCTCCTTGAGCGTACTACTTCTGCTACCACTATGTAACTACATTTATTCGGACCCTTTATATAATAGGAGGAGACCATCTACATATATGTATTCCGAATCCGAAGACAGTTACCTACATGTAAGTATATAAACATGTAGTTATGCATAGAGTCTATAAATAAGAAGAAGAAATAACCCAACAGTGAGAATCTAGGCTCTAGCTCTGCTTAAGCATAAGCCAAGGCGTATGTGAACTCTAAAAATGATGTGATAGTAGTGTCAGGAAGAACAAGATCATAGCAGGTCACTCAGTATTCCAAATAATGATTGATCCCTCACACTGTCAACCCAAAGGATCACTAAACACCTACATAGTCAACTCTGTAATTCTGTCAATAAGTGCTAGTCTGATATATTAGGATCTAAAATAAGAATTATTAAGGTCCGGACCGATACTTTAAAGCCCTTCAGCAAGAAGACTAAACCAGATTATGCCGCGCGCTGATTGTGCTCGTTTAGCCCCCCACAATAATTTCCTGGCCAATACCATTCTCGGGTTACTTAGAGTACATACATATGATTGCGCGATGTTCCCAACCACATACCGCTGTACTTTAGAGACTTCTTGGTCGGTCATTGGTTAACGAAATGAGAGCCCATGCGCCGACGAATCAAAAAGCGAGATGAGGGGATAACTTCGTTATTTTGGTAAGCTCATGCCAGAAAAGGTTGTAGGAAATGCCTGCCTTGCTGATCCAAGAAACTGCGTCCACCAGTCAATTCCGATTCCCTTCCTTCCTAGGACATGTATGCAGCCTCTTTCAAGCAAGGACTGCATGCATGGGCGCAAGAAGATGTGGCGTCGAGATGACAAGAAACTGTGCGTTGTCTGTGGCGCAAGGTTGCAGGGGTTCCACACACCTATTATTCCCACCTCTAACAACCCTTTTGAAGCTTGGGCCTACCCCCCAACCAAGCAAAGCTGCTGCCCGCTGCCATTCATTGCTTGCTACCCCTCCGAAGAACGCAATCTCATCCTTTGGCTTCCCCCAGAAAAATAAAAATAAACAGCAACCAGAACAAGATTGGAGCCCCGCGCCCACAGCTTTCACAATAGAATTCCAATCGCGCCCTCGACATGAAATGGCCGGCGAAGACGGCTCCGTTGCTAATGGCGACGATTCGTCGTCCTCCTCATCATCCTCATGGACTGCAGCCTTGTACGCCAACGAAATAACGGATTACCCCTTCTCTCTGGACGCTTTGCGAAAATGGATGATTGCTTTGTGAGTAGGGCACAAGGGCTGTTAGATTCCTTCAAAGCTAATAAACGGGTTTGTGCAGCGTCGTTTGTGACTTCAATGTCGACATTGGTAAGTGACTGCAGTAGCAAGTGCGGTTTTAAAGGGGCAGAGTTCATGAGGATTTACTAACCCATTACAGGTGTCGAAGTGGAATACATGTTTCCTTCAACTCAATTCTCACAAACAGATCTTCAAACCATATGTTTTAGCAGGTATGTATCGCTTGATATTAATTACGATGATTGCATTATATATAGGCTTTTCTTGTTTAATATTAATGTTCCACATAGCTTCCCCGAGCGTGTAAATTCAGATACAATCGAAGACTCGGCCTTTCACTTCAAATTCCGCCATTCGTCACCTGAGGTTTCTTGTGAGCCTACAGAGGATGACCCTGGTTACTGGTACGGTTTTTGTTTGTTCCGTCAACAACGCGATATCTCCGTCAAGCGAAATTACCGTCAGAAATCTCTTGTATTAGTCTCACAACATGATTTTGCACCATTATTTGCCCACCTCGTAAAAACAATATCAACATTAGATTTTGCAGTGAGCCCTACGCTCATAGAGTCAGCATGTTCGAATATAGCTGCTTGGGCGGGTCCAGAGGCTGGAGTACAAGAATTGCCGTTTTTGGGCTCACTGCTGGATGTTCATATGTATGGAGTTACTCTTGGTTGCTTTATAATAACCTCCGAGGTTGTACTGAACAAGTGATTTCCGTGATTCATAGACCTCCTCATCCTTCGTTTCCATTACAAGGCCGTGTCACTGCCTCTACTTCCAGAACAGACGTTAGAGTGGAATACAAAGAAATCCACACATCTGAACCCCTCGGTTCTTGGGCAAGGCTTGCACAGCTTCTCACGTCAATTTCAGAGCTATATATTATTTTTGAGCGGGTATGGTATATTTTGATTATGGTAGTTATTTACAGGTTTTGGGGCGATAAAACTGATACATACGTTTAGGTCTTACTATCGGAACCATTGGTAGTCTTAGCAGATGATCCAAGGACCTGTAGTGAATTTGTTTCTGCGGTCGTTGATTTGATTCGCCCAGTAAGCTTTAGAAATCTCAATTTTTATCACCTTGCTAATCTTGTGCGAAGATACCATTTGGTGGTGATTGCCGACCATATCTCACTATGCAGTCAGGTAAGAAAATTAGAACTCTTCCATATACATCCTATATTTCCACATGAATACCTACTAACATCATTCATAGATTTCTTCTTAAATGGCCATGAGGTGGTAAGACTTTTGAACCTTTCCATCTTTAAATTAACTAACATTTCGGACAAGATCCCATTTCGTCATTACCTAATAGGTATCACAAATCCATTTTTCTTAAAAAGGGTTTTGTCGCAGGGGAAAGATAGTGCTTCCCCTCATGTTGTTTACTTGTCGGCCCCGGAAGTAAAGTAAGAGAGTAAATATCTTCTATTCCCAGGAAAAAATATGCTTATAGTCATGCTCAGACGAAAATCTCACACTTTTTATTCTAGTGAGCGCGAGTTCACAAACAACTTTATTACCAACGATACGAAAGGATCGCTTGCAAAGGACTTGGTATTTTTGAGGAAATTGGAGCATTACTTGAAAGATGGGGAAACAACACGTGAGTGATATATACTATTCCTTTCGTCGGATAGATTTGTTTTTTTCTAATATTCCCTCCCCTCCAATGTAGCGCAGGAATGCGGGCGTTTCGTCCGACGTCACTTTGCACTCCTTTCAGCGTTGTTCCTGGCACCCTTAAACCGGTACCTCGCAACCCTGACCACGCTCTCGCCCAACTCGAGGATGATTGACATTGCAAATTTTTCGGAGGAGGATTTCTTGGCTAGTCTTTCGAAGTACGGGTGCCAGGTGCAATTTAAGGGGAAGACTAGCTTCCACAGACACAGAGCTGCGGAGGCCTTCTACCGCAAGTTCTGCCGAAGCCCGGGCTTTTTCAGGTGGTTGCAGATGAAGATTAGACTGCAGATGGCTGATGGGGACAACAGTAATGGCGGTGTCTCGCCGGCTAGTGGCTTTAGGGAGAAGATTGTAGATGGTGTGCAGGCTTGAGATTGGAGTTTTTTTTGGTTTCTTTTTTTTTTCTCTTTTGAAAGTATATATCACTAACTTCTTATGGTGGATCTTTTGTTTTCTTGGCTGTTTTTTTAGCTGTTTTTTGGGAGTTATTTGTATATCCGAATACCATGGCTGAGTTACCTTGTTCTTTATTTTGTTTTGTCTTGTTTTGGTGACTGCAGGCGTATCTGCCAGAGTCATGTTGTTCTTTTAATGGAGGTTGAGAGAGAGAGAGAAAAGTTTTATTTCTTGCGCGCATGCGTACACGGACGGAGCAGTAACTGTTGAATGCCGTTTTTTCTAATAATTTGTGTGGGGAGAGGGTGCTTTTGACTTCGTATCTACCTATTTATTAATTCAATTGCCGCCCAAGTGTATCTGCTTCAGGCCGGCCGGTTAAGCAATTGCAGGTACAGATCACCTCATCTCAAAATATGCAAACATTGTATTGGACTCAAATTAAGGGCACTGGGAAGGGGTGTAGAGAGTGACCACGGGCGATTTACCCGGGTTTAGCGATGTTCCAGCGGGGTCTTCTTGGATAGCTGGCGCAGAAAATTCGAGGTTGAAACTTTTTTTTCGAATGGATATTTGCGCCATCTCATCTCACTCGGGCATCTCGCGTGGACCAGGTGAGGATTGATCATTGATGATGCCCTGGTTGCATGCTCGTCGCTTGGCGCCAAGAAATATTGGAAAGTGGGGGGGGGGGGGCCAAGGATTATTTACGCATAATTTTGTTTTGACCCTGTGGGAGACAAAGAAAGACTGGTAGAGGTAATACTGGTAAGTAACGCGATTCAGTACAATGCAGGTATAAGTGCTGACGGGTTCAATGGTGTATGGGGTGCGGGAGTGTGGGATGTGTGCTGTTGGATTTTGGTGGGTTACTGTTGACAGATATATCGTACCGGGAGTAGCGATTAGTACGTTGCTGAAAGAGTGTATCGTGTGACTGAGAGGCTATCGGTCGTGGAATTGAATATCTCTCTCTCCCAAAGCCCTGTAGTTAACTCCACACAGCAAAGTGACTGAATATTAGTAGCTCTGTAATTAATTAATTAAGCTCTAGCAAGCAAGTACCGCCCCAGTTAATTAGTAGGGATATACAAGTGTAGCTAGACTGGCACCGGAAATATTACCTACCACGTGACCTTTATGTCATCATGCATCCGGCATCCGCCCGACCTCAAGTCCTCCTCGACCCCCCCGCCGTCCACGGCTCTTCTCCGCACCACCATCATCTCCAGCCAGCTCATATGCACCGCCCGAGATGCTCGCGAGCAGACGCTCCACCAATTGCGCCCTCCCCGCCCTCCCCGCCCGCCCCCTCCTTCTCCTTCTCCCCCTCGCTCTCCCCCGCGCACCACCCACCACCGCCCGGCACTATGCCACCGAAGCCGACCTAGCCGACGAATACACCAAGTGGCCCCCCAACCCCCTCCCAACCCCATACCAGATCTTCCACTACAACCAGCAAACGCCATACTCAAAAGCGCGCTACTTCCAGCTCGTAAAGCTCTACCACCCCGACCACGCCCGCCACAGAAACCTCCACATCACAGAGGCCGTCCGCGTCGAGCGCTTCCGCCTCGTGGTCGCCGCAAACGCGATCCTGTCGGACCCCGCCAAGCGCGCGGCGTACGATCGCTTCGGCCTCGGATGGAATGTGGCGGTCGCGGCGGTCCAGCAGCAGAGGCCCAAGTGGTGGCAGGAGAGGGAGGGACACGGGACGAGCGAGTATGGGAAGGGCGGGGTTAATGATCCGAGCCGTAATGCGACGTGGGAGGACTGGGAGAAGTACTACCAACGCAAGGCGGCGGCGGAGGGTGGGGGGAAGCCCGGGGGAGGAGAGGGGCAGGAGACGCTGTATACGTCGAATAGGGCGTTTATAGTGATTGTGGCGTTCCTGGCGTCGCTGGGCGGGATTGCGAATATTAGTCGGGCGAATACGAATGGGCATCTGTTTCTTGACCAGACGGACCGCAATTCGGTGAAGATTGGGAGGGAGCTGCAGAGGAGGAAGCAGGAGGCGGTGAGGATGGGGAGTAAGGATGAGAGGATACAGAACTTTTTGAGGTCGAGGGATCCGGTGGGGTATGGCGTGGTGGACCCGCAGGAGGATAAGGTTAGGAGGTTGTTGCCGCCGGAGGAGAGGTGTATTAGTGATGATATACAGAAGAGGAGTGTTGGCTCTTGATGGGGGGGTCGCTTCTCGGTGTATTTTGTTTTCTTGCTTTCGCATTCTCTGTCGTTATGTATATCGGTGACAGAGGTGTGTGTTTTATATTCCTGTCTTTTGTAGGCGTTATGGGTACAGTTACAGGTTGTGTGTTTTCTATTCCTGGGTGGCAGCAATCCTTTCCTCGCCCTCTATGAGGAGATACATGTAAATAAGCTACATGAATAACAAGACTCGAAATATCTATTGGCGCTGCAGTATATCTTGGTGTTGCTGATCAATTGCCGTTTAATACGCCGGTAAATGCTTAGCCTCTCGACACCATGCCTTGAGTCGATGTAATCATGCTTTGGTATACCGCTATCAACATATTTGACCTTAAGAAATCACAACCACCCAAACTGTTCTATAATTTAAGGTAGTGTAGAACCAGAGCATGAAATCTCGCGAGTGATAACTCATGATCCGCCACCATCTTGTAGCCCGCTTTCAGATATAGAACTGCCCATCTTTCACTTCCGGTAAAGCTGTGCAGCGCTTTGGAAAGATCTCAGTCATTGATTGTATGCAGCCCAGAGGCTATGTCGATATCTGACAAACCAAAAGAAGAAAAAAGAAGAAAAAAACACGGTGTGAAAAGGAAACAAAGTAAAACAGTCAAAACGAAATGCGTAACTGAAAATTGAAGCCAGTTTAACACGTTCTCTTATTCTCATAAATAAAATTTGTCCCTTCCCCCTTTATTCCAACTCTCGTCATTCATTCTGCTATTAGGTTACCCCCCCCCCCACCCTCCACCTACTCCTCGCTTTGTGCTACCCCCCCCCTCTCTCCTCATGTAATGTGGCGGGATAGAGTCGGATGTTGACGGCGGTAGTTTCCCGCCGCTTGGGTCCTGCGTAAGGTGGACATGCCGACCGCAACTCGGGGAAGGTGGTTTGGCGCTGGGTGTGAGTCGGGGTTTGTGGGTAGTGGAGGTACTTGTAATTGGGGGGGGGGGGGGGGCTTGAACCCGTCGCTGGAAACAATGCCCTCAGAGGGCGGTGCTACGGCTTCTTTGGTGTTAGAACCTGGATGTAGTGCGCTGGGAGATTGTAGTTGAGTATGGAAACTCACCCCTGCGCCTCCCCGCTCCCCACAACCTTCTACATTTCATTGTTAAAGGCAAGTCGGCCCATTCGTGCCTGGTGGTGGCTGTGGTTGTGGTTGTGGCGTAGCTCTGGGCCATTGCTATCTGTACTTTTGTCTTAGTGGAATCTGTTCTCAAACGTGACGTACCTATAACGAGGGATCTTTTCTCTCTCTTCCTTTGCTTCGAATCGTCAGTTCTTACACCTGTTCTTCGGTTGTATACTTCTCTAAAGATAATCTGGGGAATTGCGACAATTGACTGGCAACACAAGGCCCACACCCGTACACACCCAGTTCCCCCCCCCCCCCCCCCCCCAATCGGGTTGGCAAGCTGCCTTAAGCCTCAGCGCATACACGGCCCAGGGCAAACTGCCCAGCCTGCGCGTTGGCCACCGGTCGGGAGGGGTAGGTGTGGTGGGGGTGTGGGCGAGATGTATGCATGTTTGGTGTTGACGTTGATGTTGTTGTGGGTGTTGGGGGTGTGGTGGTGATGGTGGTGGTCGGCTCATCTGGTAGGTAGTAGATAGATGGCTTGGGTTAGATGTTGTGGTTGGCATTGATATTGGGGCGGGTAATGGCGGGGTGGTAACAACCGCTGTTGGGGTTTTTGGGGATAACTGACTACTCGCTTATCAGATATGTGTTCTCATAGTTATACCAAAACTGCAACGACCAGGTATAGTATAATTTCGGTAAAGGGGATTCCCGTCCCGAATTGTTGGCCTAATTGGGATACTGGTAAAGGTGGGGAGGAAAGCAAATATAAAAGAACCTTTAGACATGTACACCCTTTGTCTACAGGGCTTTATAATTATAGATATGGCCTAAAAACTGGCCCGTAGAGTCTTTCAGGTGTCTAGATAAAGGATACATAATTTCAAGTGAGATGGGAAAGTTCTCAAGATTCTGTGTGTTTTGCTGGTTGCGCAAAATACATACTTGAAATGCGAGTAGCGTGTGTTGGGTATTGACATACAATCCTGTTATTCCTATCATTACCCCCGTAGCGATCATGGCTAATCACTCGTTCTCCGGTTTGATTACATTATCTTGAGCTCTTGACACCGGGTTTCATTTTATTACTGATCAAATATTGGTAGATCTGTTTCTAATATGTACTCGATTAATGATATATCTATCTACTCCACAAGCCCCGAATAGCTCGGTCTATAACTATCCCCACGCCCCCTCTCCCCCACTCCCCATCCCCACGCCCCCTCTCCTCCTTCCTCCCCCCACCATCACCCGCCCCCTCTTCCACCTCGCTATACTGCACAAACGAATCAAACTGCACCAGCCTCTCAAACGGGCTCCTCACCCACGCATACAGCTCATGCACCAGCACCTGCGCATTCCCCCTGCCCACGAAATCCGCAATCATCTCCTCGGCCGCGCCCTCCGCGCCCCGCAGGTCAATGCACTTGAGGATCGCCGTCACGTACTCGAGCACATACTCGCGGTCGCCGTCCAGCCACGGGAACACCTGCAGCTCGCGCCGCAGGAACGTCCGCGCGCGCGACACGAGCGCGGGGGAGCGTTGGAAGTGCTGTGGCGTTGGCGAGCGGAAGCGTGTGTGTGCGTTGCTGCCGATGTGGCGGCTGAGGAGGTGGTGCTGGTAGATGTGACGCCGCCGGCGGATGGCGGTGGCGGTGAAGTCGGTGGATGGGGTGGGGGGCGTGCGGGCGCGGCGCTGACGGCGGTGGGGGTGCGGTGAGGAGGGGGTGGGGGGGTGGATGGGGTGCTGCGAATGTCAGTGGGTTTTATAGATGGATGGATGGGATAGACGGGAAGAATGGTGGCGGACCCTCACGACTCTCCCGAGCGTCTTATTGATCACGTCGAGCGCCGACACGCTCGCGTTGCAGAGCGGACATGATTGCCGTACTTCGAGCCAGTTGAGCAGGCACAGATAGTCGAATGCGTCGTGCTGGCAGGGCGAGGCGACGGCTCGCTCGCTGATGGCGTCTAGGCAGATCACGCAGGTGTCGGCGGCGGCGGCGGCGGCGGCGGCGGCGGGCTCTGCGGTTTGGTCCTCGTTCGTGGGAGTGGCGCTCATTTGCCTGGCGAGGTGTGGAGGTGGAGGGAGTGGCGTGCGGGAGCTCTCTGTGCTTGTGTTACAGGGGATTGTTAGTTGGGGGCCCCTAACCCTTGCCAAGACGTCGACGGGGGGCCGAGTACATGGAGATCATCGCAAGTAATCGAAATTATCCCATTGCAATTGCAGCTAGCTGTATCACAGGCTCGTATTTATTTTCTTGATACGCTTTTTGATGCCTTAGACTCATACCTAGGCTGACACATCCCCAAGGCTTAAGGGCAATCTCTCTCCTCGAGTCCACGAGTATGAGTCCTCAATCTCAATTGGGCCTTCGATCCTCCCAGTGATAGTACTGGTCCTGAATACAATATCAGTTGGCGCCCAACCGTACCGCCTTGTCAAATCTCACTCACTCATTCACTCACTCTCCACTGGTATGGGTACAACCCCCAGCCCGCCGCAATATAATCTCGATCTACTCTACTCGAGCTTAGAAATACGGCCCCCCCCCCCCCCCCCCCCCAGCTTCCCCAACGAAAAATTTCCCGCGGAACCCCTATCATGATCATTCCCGGCCCGTAGTTAAGGAGTTAAATGTGCCGTATATACGTAGATTCGGTAATTCCTGGGTAGGTAGCTAGAGTAGAGTAGAGTAGAGTTTCAAGGTGCTCCGTGCACCGGGATGATCGATTACCGATTGCATGATTAATAACTACTACTAGTATGTAATTCTACCATGAAATGAAAATGGCGCAAAAAAGGTGTCAAGACCTCGGCTCACTCATTCCATGCTGGAGACACCACACTGCATTCAGCCCTATCGGCCCGGTTTTGGGGGCGCTGTGAATCTAATAATTGTGTGCTAGAAATAGCTAGCCAGATATATAGCTACCTATAAAAGAAAAAAAAGCTTATTTCATACCCAGGTTTTCCCCTTACGCCCTTAGTTTCATGCCAATTCGTGATCGTGATCGTGATTACAGCTATCTAGCTACCATACCATACCCAATACCAATACCAAACTACGGATCCACCCAATTGCAATTACAAGATCACTTCGAGTACCGCAACCCCCCTCTAGTCACCCTCTTGACACCCCCGTCACGCCGCCACGCCCACCGCGGGTGCCGCCCCCGCGCCGCGGCGTCTTGTGCGCGGTGGGCGAGGGCGCGCGGGGCTCGCGCACAAACGAGGTGTCGGTGGTCCTGTGGTGGGTGGAGAGGTCAGTCAGTATGTTCGCCCTGGGTAGAGGGTGGGTGGAGGGTGGAGGGGAAGGCAGACATGAAGGTTATTTCGCCGGCGTCCTGGTCGTTGCGCCAGTGGTCGGCGTCATAGGGGTTGTTGTGGCCTGGTGTTGTTAGTACAGTGGCAGTAGCAGGAGGGCTTGGAACTAGGTGGAGGTGAAGGTGGAGATTAGAGTATACCTAGTGATGCTTCGTGCTCTGCTGCGCGTTTAAACGACTCTTTAATCGGCGCCTACTCTCACTCACTCATCCACCTCATTAGCCCTCTCTCTCCCCCCTCCGCCCCCCAGGCAGAGTCATACCTCGGTAAAATCCATACAGAACGCATTCATGTTGAGCCCGTACAGGAAGCTTGCAAAGCTCTCGCTGAAGCGCGACAGCGAGTCGTGCATGATCTGGAGATCGCCCATGTCGGCCTCCAGCGTGGCCATGGCGTCGCCGAGCTCGGCGAACATGGGCGTGAGCGTGGTGAGCGGGAAGGCTTCGGAGGCGCTGCGGCCGCCGTGCAGGGAGCTGCGCGAGTTGGAGCGGCGGAGGGGCGTGGCGGGGCGGGAGGGGGGGCGGGAGGGGGGGCGCGGGGGTGGGGTGGGCATTTTGTGGTTGGTTGTGGGTGGGGGGGTGAAGGGGAGACGGAGACGGAGGTGAGTGATCGCTGGTGCTGCGAGGGACGGGGGGTGTTTGGTGTTTGCGGACGGACAAGACAGGACGGACAGGGTTACACGGATGGACTGGGACTAGGACATGACAAGGACAAGGTTGGGGGGGGGGGGGGGCTAGGCTGTGTTGGGACTGGCTGCATGCGGATACCGAAGTCCCGGTCACGGGTGGACGTCAGCCCGGGGGGCTTGAGTTACGGAACGGGGGAAGCCCCGCTGCCCGATGGTGAGTGCTGACGACATGCGGTGCGGTGCGGTACGGTACGGTGAGAGGAGAGGACGTAGGTAGAGGAGAGTAGAGAGCGGGTTCAGAGGAGAGGCTGTAGAGGAGGAGGGAATTGTTTGGTTTGGTGGTGAATACATACATGTAGGTTGCGAATATCTCACTGGCTGGCTGCTGGTAAATCCAACCCGGGTATCGCGCAGCTACATAGACGGGTGATGATTGTGTGCAAACGAGGGCCCTGAGCAGAGTTGTGAGATCAGATCTGTATCTACATGTAGCTACTCTATCGACATCATCCAAGAATTCTATAACCAAAACCAAGAAGTCGGGCTTTTAATTCTATTTGACTCGAGAGGTACAAAAAAAAGATACGGTTCCTTCCCCTGCTGGCTATTCTACTCTAGCTGCGCCTCTGGTAATTTTTTCTTTCTTTCCTTCTTTTTATTTCCCCTCTATTACAACTCTGTCCGTTCCAGAAGAAAAAAACGGAAAGTGACACAGAGGAGGGCCGCGTTCGCTCCCCCAGACTCACACTCAACCAAACCCCCTCACAGCCCAATCATCACTCTTCCTCTTCCTTCTAACCTACGGCCCCGTCCAGTCCAGTCCAATCCAGTCAGTCCCCAGTGGACCAGTCTCATATAACACAACCAATACACCCCCCTCATCTCGCACATATAAAGGGCGTCATATATGTTGAAAGCCTTTACCCGCCGAACCTCTCCACGACGCCTCTTCTCCCAGCAGCTGACACCTACCCGACCGACACCGCACACGTCATCACGCAGCAACTCCTCCTCATCCTCATCCTCCGGCGCATATAACAACACCAGAACCCGCCCCCTCCCGGCTACCACAAAGGCTGCGCTGTTCCTGCCCTCAACCATTGCCGCCTCGCTTGCTGTATCTGCATTTGCGCTGCTCGACGAAGACGACGAGAAAGAGAACAGATTCGCGATATCATTGCCGTTCAGTCTCTGGGACTCTCCGGATCAGAAAACCACAAAACAACAACCAAAGGAAGAGGAAGACATGCCCCCGCCGCAGAACACGTTGCCGGGCAGAGCAGGGAACCTGACGAAAGAGGAGGAAGCGAGGCTGAAAGAGCTGTGGACCGCCACCCTCGTCGTCTTTGGCGTCTCCTCACCCGCCAGCACCCCCTCCACCACGAGCACCACCACATCGCCGCCCGCAACGCCGGCCCCCCAGTGGTGGCCGAGTCGCCAGAGAAGAAGAAAAAGCTGGGCCGCTTCCTGTCGCGGAGGGGTAAGTCTGAGGCGGCGAATACTACGCCGCCGGCGGCGACGACGGAGAAGATTGCAAACGACGTGGCGGCGGCGGTCGATGCGAGCGACGACAAGTATGGGCAGACGAAGGAGTTCAAGGCGGCGCTGGCGAGCCAGACGCCTGCGGAGCTGAGAGAGGCGTTTTGGGGCATGGTGAAGCATGATAACCCGGATGGGCTGCTGCTGCGCTTCTTGAGGGCGCGCAAGTGGGATGTGGATAAGGCGCTGGTCATGATGGTGGCGACGATGAATTGGAGGAGCAAGGAGATGAATGTATGTCCCCGCGAATTTCCCCCTCTATTTTTTTTCTCTTTTTTTCTTCTCGTGGTGTGGAGGTGCTGATTGTGGTGGTATTGCTGTAGGTGCAAGAAGTCATATCGAAGGGCGAGGAGGCATACGCGGCGTCGCCGGATCAGGGCTTCATCAAGCAGCTGAGGATGGGCAAGTCGTTCCTGCACGGCACCGACAAGGAGGGCCGCCCGATCTGCTTCGTCCGCGTACGGCTGCACAAACAGGCCGACCAGAGCGAGGAGGCGCTCGAGAAGTACACCGTCTACATCATGGAGACCGCGCGCCTCATGCTGCGCGACCCCGTCGACACGGCCGCTGTCGTCTTTGACATGAGCGGCTTCAGTATGGCTAATATGGTATTTCCCCCCCACCTCGATACTCTAGATTTGCCCCTCCATAAAAGCTAACGTTTGACGGTAGGACTACGCGCCCGTAAAGTACCTTATCAAGTGCTTCGAAGCCCACTACCCCGAGTCCCTCGGCGTCTGCTTGGTCCACAAGGCACCGTGGATCTTCCAATCCATCTGGTCCATCATCCGCGGCTGGCTCGACCCCGTCGTTGCCTCAAAGATCCACTTTACAAAGTCCGTCGAGGACATGGAGGCCTACATCCCGCGCTCAAACATCCTCAAGGAACTCGGCGGCGACGACGACTGGTCGTACTCCTACGTCGAGCCCGTGCCCGGCGAGAACGACGCGATGGTCAAGGGCGCGGAGGTCAGGGAGGTGCTGCTGAGGAAGAGGGAGGGGCAGGTGAGGGAGTTTGAGCAGCTCACGAAGAAGTGGGTGGAGGGGGAGCTGAATGGTGGCGCGAGAGCGAGGGTGGCGGAGGAGTTGAGGAGGGGCTATTGGGAGTTGGATCCGTATTTGAGGGCGAGGACGGTGTATGATCGTACGGGCGTGTTTGGGGAGGGGGGCAGGCTGGAGATGTATAAGTATAGGGAGGCGAAGGGGAAGGAGGTGGCGGCGGAGAGGTTTGATGAGATTGATTAGGGGGGCGAGACTGGTGGTGGACATTTTTTTGTGGGGGATATGGCTACTGTAATTAGTGGAGTGTGGTTTTTCTTTTTTGCTTTCTTTTGTGCTTAGTTATGGCTTCTTTTTTCTTCTTCTTTTCTTCTTTTCTTTCTTTTTCTCTTTTATGTGATCTACAAAGGCTTCTTTCTTCTTTCTTCTCCTTCCTCTTGATTCTCTTCTTTTTTCTCTTTCCATCTCGTGGTTCTTTTTCTTCTTTCCATCTCGTGGTTCTTTTTCTTCTTCTTTCCCTTCCTTTGGTGGTGGCTCCTATTTGTGTGTCGAAGAGTTGGCTTGGTTTGTTCGGTCGGTAATTACTTGCTTTACTTGCTTATTCTACTATACATTACAGATTATAGAGGGGACGGCTTCTTCTTCTTCTTCTTCTCTTCTTTCCTTTTGGCTTCTTTCATGGTAAATGGGCGCGTGAGGTTTTTTCTTTACGGGTGCTGGGCGGTTTGGGGGGGAGGAGGGGGGTTGTATGTATGTATGTATGTAGGGTCGCTCCATAGGTTATATACGTATATACTATGCTAGATATCTGGTGCTGTGTGCTGTGGGTTGTCGAATGTGGTGATGTGATGTTCTGAATGAGGGTCTGCGTGAGGTTTCTGATCAAATGAGTGATGTAGTTGAATTGTCGAGGTGGTCTTGTCACCTTAGTATGCTATGCGGTAATGGTCAGTTGTAGTTGTCGAGCTGTCGGAGGTGATCTTGAGATAATGGCAGTTTTATATAGTTGTCGGGCCGGCCTGTCAATGATTAAAGGGGCTTTATTTAGATATTATCGACTGCTCGGACTAGAGGCGGTCATCGGCTATCACTCGGTCACTTTCCAACCCAGTACTAGTAGCACCAGCGATGTTAGATTAAAGCACCCGGTGTTTATCAAAACCCCCACCTAATTCTCAGACCTGGGCCAAGATTAACGAGGCCCATCATACTCTACAATACCCGCAGACCCGATCTTGCCCCGACCGAGCCTCTACTGGTAATGTATTCTAATCCATGCCACCCGCGGGAGCGGGGCACCTGGTAACCATAAAAAGTCTTGGCTCCCTGCTCATAGACCCCACAGACAGGTTGGAACGTCATCTATTCACAACCTCTCTGTTCTACTCTACCGAACAGCCATCCATACCTAGCTACTCGAACCAATTCAATTCAGTACAGCATAAATAGCATCAAAAATGTCGGCTGCAGCCTGTATCTTCTGCCGCATCATCCGCGGCGAGATTCCGTCTTTTAAGGTACTTGCTCTCTCTCTTCCACCTAGCTAGCTAGCTAGCTAGTTAGTTGGTTAGTAGATTGGTGAATGGCCCTACTGACAGGAAGAAACATAGCTCCTCGAGACTGAAAAGATATTCGCCTTCCTCGACATCCAGCCTCTGTCTAAAGGCCACTGCGTACCTACTCCTCCCCCCAATCCCCTTCTCACCTCCTCTCTCTGAAGCTGATACACCGCAGCTTGTGATCCCGAAGACTCACGGCGAGCGCCTCCACGACGTTCCCGACGACGAGCTGGCAGAGCTGCTTCCGGCGGCCAAGAAGCTGGCGCTGGCGACGGGCGCGGTCGACTACAACATTCTGCAGAATAATGGGAGCATTGCGCATCAGGTTGTGGGGCATGTGCATGTTCATATGGTGAGTTCTCTTGTCCGGGGAGGTAGAAAGATGTGGGGTTTCGAGAGAGAGGAGAGCGCTGATGTGGGGTGCGTGTGGTAGATCCCGAAGCCGAATGAGAAGGAGGGGTTGACGGTGGGGTGGCCGGCGAAGGAGACGGATATGGATGCGTTGAAGGCGCTCCACGAGAATATCAAGGCGAAGATGTAGGTCTGCTTGGGTTTAAGGTGTAGATGGTGGGCAGTTACTTTGAGCTCAGTACGGGGTTGCAGGAAATAGCTACTTGTATGTAGGTAGCCTGGGTAACTCTTCCACGAATTGAACTAGAACTGTAGCCACGTTGGACTCAAGCTCGAGTGGGTAACATTTATTCGCTAACTAGCCTGAAATGAACCGTGGCAAAAAACAAACTTTTGACAAAAGAAATGACCTTTTCTCCCAAGCTACACGCTTTATAATCAGACATAACCAAGTCCCTGCGACAACACCTCCCTGACTCAACATTTCCTGCTCTCACTATCTTTCTGGTATTCAATTCCAATCCTATCTGTACTCTATAATTAGCATTTAGAGTCCGGGAAGCTCGATTATAAGGGATAAAATGCTTACCGGACGTAGAACACCTTGCCTTCCTTAATCGCTGTAGACCCTGGATTATGGAGCTAAAACCACGGCGCTCAAAGCTCCGTGGGACAGAGGGGAGAAATCCTAACAAAGGACACCCCGTGACAGCCTTTGAAAGTAAGAATGAGTTAAATAAATGGAGGTATTGAGCTGTGTGGGTACTTACAGCATAGATATGGGATAGAAGCACGTTCCATGACGGCCTAGGCACCGCCATGCAAGATGCAAGCTAATGCAAGGTACCGTGAGAAAGGGCGGGATCCAGAGTCGAAAGCCTCGAGTAGAAACCTTATTTTATGTTGGATTGGCGAAAATCGATCAGGTGCTACTAGTTCTCGTTGGCGTGAACGAGCCCATGTAACTTCTAGTATCGTTCCTAGCCCTGAGCCTGTTCTCAACGGTGCTCACATGACAAACTCTAGTCTTCTGTGTCCGCCTTCTGATCATTACACCCACAGCCTCCTCTACGGCCTCTACTTGCCTCTCCAGCGAGATCTCAGTAGAGTAGTTCATACCGGCGTTGTCATTCGCGAAATTTGCTAGAACTCTCGATACTCTTCTCTGCAGGTTCTTCATTTCGCCTACCATGGTCTCAAGCTCCAGGTGGATATTTTCAACATATCCCCTCGCCTTCTCTTCGTAGCTCCCAACCGCTGCTAGTAGTTCTTGGCTTTCTCGCATCTTTGTCTTTCGCACAACACTGGCGCCAGGGCTTTCCCAGCCGATTCTGGTCCATGGGGATCCCTCATGACGCTCAATGCTAACGAACTCCCGCACAATCTCGTCGTAGATGGGGTGGTGTTGTTGACAGAGGGCATCAAGTGAGGCTACGATCGACTCCCCCGTAGAGATTAGAACTTCGATGTTTGACTCTAGGAGATGGGCTGTTTTCTTGTAGTTTGCTGAGAGCTGGGTGGCAGTGTGTTCGGTGTTTGCATTCTTCGATATGAATGGAATCCTTATGTATCTTCCTCGCTGCTGGAGCTCAGCGAATTCACCCAGGAACTCTTGGTTTGCCCCTAGGAGTCTAAATTGGAACTACGAGTTAGCTTTATATTACTTCTGATGGTTTATGCGTCGAGAGACTTACTGGTCGAATACTTCTCCAACGTTAGTCTCAAACATCTGCAGAGCATTTACACCTTCCCGTGCGTCTGCTGCAAAACGATCTAGCTTCCCTCCTAGTGTTTTACTGCAACTCAAATCGCTGTGTTTAACAACAGTGCCTAGATCATTGACAATCATCTCGCCCTCCTTCAACAGGCGTGCGAGTGCCGACCTGCCCGTTATGCTTTCGATAATATTTTCAAGTGATATTTCTATTGACATAAGAGTAGGAAAATCGATAGAAGATGAATGTGATGGGTAAGTGGTTTTATATTGATTGAGAGCTGAAAGATATGGAGAAGAAACAACTGAAAAGAGCGCTAGAACAGAGCTACTGGCAATAAGTAATAAAAAAAAGGCCGCCTTTCCGAGCCCGAAGAAACAGCCTAGATGGAAGACAGTCTGGTTTGCGCTCTTGGGAAGCATCATCTCTAGCTTTGATTTGTGCTCAATCTCGAGCCCGGGGAAACCAAGAGTAGATGTTTTCCGGGTGGGCATGGGTGGTGGGTTATCTCTTTTGGGCCTTGTGTTACGATCTAAATTCAAACGCAAGGAATCAGATAATTTGCTATGGTAGCATACTAAGGATTGAGGGGACGAACCCCTATTACGCTTGGATTCAAATAGACTTGTAAAGCTTGGAATACCGCTTGTCTTCCTGCTTGGCATCTCTGGACGAGGTTTTCCCTTTTCTGTCGTGTGAGTGAATGGCGAGACGATTGGCATCTCGTCTGGGGAGTCTGGTGAGGACGCAGGCGTTGAATGATATGATGGAGCAGGAGAAGAAGTTGTTTCTGGGGTGTACACATTATTCAAAGGCGCTACAACGGTCCTTTGAGAATCATCATTCTGAGGCCTTCTTTTCTCCCAGGAAAATCTATCGCCTCCACCATAAGATCGGAGAAACTGAGCAGTTATTGGAAATGGCAGCTGCGGGTTTGGTTGAAAGGTTGGCAGGCCGTTTGATTTAATACCCTTTGGAAATCCCTGGAGTTTTGCCTTCTCCCGTTTTGCCTGCTGCTCTGCGAGCCACTGGGCTCTTCGTTCGTAGATCGGGACACGGTTGTATCCTGTTAGGACCTCAAACTCTGTTGATTGTTCCCCACTGGATAGCTGTTCCCATTCTGCGGATCCACCGTATGGTGTAGTTGGGGAAGAGGAGGAAGGGGATTCGAATGTGTCTTCCCCGAGCTGGTTTGAATCAAGCACCAGATCTTCAGTGGTTTCTGTAGTTTCCATAACGATATCGGGCTCTTCTTGATTTTGGTCTGTTTGGCCTGTTTGATCAGTATCGTGGGGATCTTTGCCCGGAAGTAAATCGTCTTGGAGTTTTGTTGTCTGGTTATACATGGGTTGTTAATAAGGATAATTTAAGTTTGATATGTTCAGTAGTTTGTTCGAGTTTAGAGTTTAAGTAGTGCCAGCTGGCCGGAAATGATGTTGTGAAGCCCTGCTAACGAAAATAACTTTGAGGAATGTGAACAAAGCGAGAGAAATGGTAGTGACACGTATTTATCTATTGCATACAGCAGAATTTATGTACCGTACATATCTCATGGGCATTCACAAATCCAACAAAAGTACCAGCTATCACGCGCGTGTATGTCATCCATCGATGTCACTACTTACTTAGCTATGAGTCTCTCTGTTCATATTTTTGAGTGGCATCGGGCGCCCTTATAATCGCAGAAATTCTATGACGCGGTAGCTCAAGTCTCGTGTGTGATAGAGCTTTTTAGCTGGCAGAGGTACTTGAATCACAGTGTATGTGATTCATACGAAAGTACATGGAACGCGCAGGCTGACATGGCTGTCTTTTGAGCGAAAAAAACACGGTGAACGTAGTAGTCTCCTGTTCGTAAATGTTGTTGTGGCTTAGTAGAGCTCGTGAGTTCAGTCACACGTTGTGATGTTTGGCACGTGTCAAAGTTCTCAACCCCTAGTGCTCACCGAGATCCAAATTCTACCCCTGGTGATCAACACCAGAACCAGCAATTTATAAGATTTACGGAAATAGAACCCGCGACTACAAAGCCACAAGCTATAGAGCGTTCTTCTAGAAGAAAGTGAAATCTAGCGTCACAGATAACTGTTCTATCAGTCTTGTGAGCCTCGCGCTCGATGTTGTTCATGAGTATACTACTAGTCTAATGAGTTTTAAAACGGCGTAAATACTAGATGTTTCTATCCCCCAGGATAGAGCCATGCTTATTGGTGTTCCCTGAACTGCTGCTTATCTAAGGTTTATATATATATTCGAGTATATATCACTAACGCCTAGGTATATACGCCAACTATAACAAAAACTAAATTATAAAGAAGTCAAAAATATCACCGAAAATGAAGCTTTTTTATGACATAAATCATTTGTATCATTATTTTACCCAACCCGTTAATAAAAAGAAGCACTTTTAATATTCTTAATAAACTGTCCTCCATGATTTTCCACCCCCAACAATCCGTGCTGCAATAAAGAAGAGCAGTGCTCCGACATAAGAGGCAGCAGTGAATAAGATCAACCCAGTGAACTTCCCGTTCGTTGAGTTGATGATCTGACCCGCTATGGGGATACCTGTTAAAGTTCTAGTACCAAGGGCATAACATTAGCCATGATCGATTTAGTGCAAGGATGTATGGATGATATTGGACACTTACCCAAAACTAACGAAGAAATAACAGGTCCCGTATTTTGTCCCATACTCCCTTGTATCACATATCTGACCCACGCACACCGGGGTCAAGCTAATCCCACTCCCGCTTCCAAACCCATACAACAGTGCAAATACAATCATGATTGCCTTTCGGCCACCGATATTATCCTCCGCAACCGCGCTCGATGGTAGCCATAGAGCTAGGACGACAACGAGACAGAACGAAACCGTCAATATCATCGTGTTGAATCTCCCAATTCTGTCCGCGACTATTCCAGGCAGCCAACGGCCGAACACAGAGCCAGTGTTTAGAATTGCAAGAAGCTGGTAAGAAAAGTTTTCTGGCAGGCCGAGATATCTAAGAGAATACGAAGTGAGGTAGCTGAGAGGGACAAATATGCCCCACTCAATCAAGAAAATGCCAATCGTCGTGAGAGTAAACCGAGGATCACGAAAAGCACTCAGATCTATCTTTACTCCCTTTCTTTGGGATTTCGTCGATTTCTTATTTTTACCATTCTTCGAGCCAAATTTAAGGAAAGAGGCCCAATGCTTCTTTTCCGTTGCGGCCTCGTCTATGTCTGACGATATTATGGAGGAATCTGATGGAGTTTGCGACCCAGGAGATGCGTCTATAAACTCTTGTCGGCCGCGGATCAGACAATTTGCAATGATCATTAGGGCCAGACATATAAAACCCACGATTCTAACAGCCCATGCAAATCCAACTTTTGGAGTAGCAGCTTGGATTATCAGGGGGAAAACGATGCCGCCGATTGAGCCGCCGGTAGTTGCTAGACCAATCGCATAGCCCCTTTTGACAAGAAACCAATGCCCAATGGAAGCGACGGCCGGGGTAAATATAAGAGATGTGCCAAGACCGGTGAGGATCTAATACTTCAGTTAGTTGAGAATAGCCAAGGGTCATGGGGGGGTCAACATACGCCGAATGTAACCATAAAGTGCCAGTATACTGTGCAACCGCAACATATCAGATTAACGCATTTCTTCGGTAGTTGGAGAATATGGAGTTATTACATTTGGAAACGCTCAGTATCATTAGACCTGTGACTAGGCATATTGTCCCAGCAGCAATTAACCCCCGTGGTCCGGCAGCATCAAATATTGGACCTAGCAAGAAGCAATTGTTTAGTCCGGCCCGTATATATTAATTAGATACAGCTATATACCAATCTGAATCCCCCCGAAAAAACTGATAAACGCATAGACACCAAAAATCCAGCCGATCTGTCCTTCCGAATAGCTACTAAGCTGATGGGACGCGAGGTATGTCTGGAACGTGCCAATGGTGTTCATAATCCCAAAAGAAGCAATCATGGCCGTGAACGAGCCAAAGACTACCAACCAAGCATCTTTGCCACCTTCTGGGTAAAGATGTTTATCGTCAGGGTTTGGGGGCGTTGTAGCCGCATCTCCTTTGTTTTCAGTATTCCCTCCTTCTGTGTGGGAAACCGTCTCTGAAAGAACCGGTAGGTCTGTGGCGAATTGGCGGGTGGCCTGCATCTGGGCTGGATGAGAAGCTTGAGATTCTTCTGTATTAGCTGTCGAATTCATCGTTGGCGACAATGCTTCTTCATTCAGTGTCATTTTTATTATTTTTCGCTGGGGATTTTTGCGTTTTTGACTCTTTCTGTTCGGAGACCTCCGAAGTTTATTTTTTTTTCACCCTCTCGGGACTTCGCGACGGTACGTAACATCGTGCCTACGCCCCCATTAATTGACCCCAATACGAGGTAGCTGTTCTGTAGAGTAATTGATCACATTTAAGGAAGGTCGGGGAGCACAGGCGTTGTGCCTAACCCGCCTAACCCAAGGTGGCTTGCCAAGGACGACGCTTGCGCCAATGAGGTTTATGCCACTCTGTTCTGGGGGTTACGATGAGATAAGGTTAATTTTTCAACCTAAGAACGTACCTGGGTAGATTCAATTGTTAGGGATCTAGTCTCGTTAATAGGTCAATCGTTTTGAGACGAGGTACTATTCGCTGATGTACATGAGACTTACTGTATGCAGCGGGAATTGTAGGTTTTACTAATAGATCTTCAGATATTGATTTTGATCTCAACCAGGTTAGTTGCACGCGGGGTCCCGTGGCGACTGGACGAAGCTTAAATGAATATTTGGGATACGTATTAGTGACTACCATACTTGCATGACAGTGCCTAGCTGATTCGTTGATAGGTATTGGGGCCCTCTCGTGGTAGTTCGTTCAGTCCGTACGTCATTGGACTTCTCTTCATCGTATGTACTAGTATGGTGCGCCCACACTTAAAGGTAGCGAATCGCGACGAAATGTCAATGGCTTATAACTTTGTGACGAAAAATCATAAAAAAAAGCGTAATGATAGAACTCTAGTACTAGTGATGAAATTTAGTTCTATCATTGCAGAATTTCAATATCTGTCTGGGTTGTAAAGCCTTAGGAAGTTGAAATTGTGTATTTTTATATGTAAAATACGCCAAGGCTGAACAAAGTGGAACAGTATTATACCCATTTATACCCCCAGAAAAGCAAACCTGACTGATCTGTGGCAGTAATGCCCTCTTATTGGCCCATGAGGCCCTATTGCAGCCACAATTGTTCCACTTCCGTATGTTGCCATATCACCTTTAAGAGTGTGCGCACCATACCTACACACTACATATACCTACAAGGGATGGTGTATATTAAATAGGGCCCCGTGACAAACTCAGAGCTGGAGTTATAAACTGCGTCATAAACTCGGACTGTCATAAACTGCTGTTTTTAACTGAAAACTGTCATAAACTCAGACTCAATTTTCTAATTTTGACCACCCAAATTACCCTAACCCACCCTAAATACCAATTTTTGCCCTAAAATTACCCTAGCCCACTCCCAAAATGGCTGTTGAGTTTATGACCATGACACCCAGGTTTTCGACAGCCAGTTTTTGGCCAGTTTAAAACTGTCTGTCATACATTCAGTTTAAAACTCCCGAGTTTCTCACGGGGCTCTAATATTAAAGGCGAGTATCGTATAAGGGAAACATACCTCACTGGGAACCGTAAGTTTGCCTGTCTGGGCTAATTGATGCACGCACGCTGAGGAACTCAGTAATACACGGCTTGGGTTCTCGATAAAGATATGAAACGGTCTACGGTACTACGTGCGTCAAATTAACAGGATATACAGATCCAAGAAGGGAACCAGCGGAGAAAAACCATAAAGTTCATGATGACACGCGCCCAGGTAAAGTAAATTAAGATTAAAAGACACTTGATGTGAATAAGAAGACACACTGGAAGGAAATAGTCACAAATGCCACGAAACCGGGGCGTACAGGGTCAGCTCCAAATGGCCACATATCCAATGCTTACATACATAGTTTGAGCGAGCGCACACTCAAGGAGGCTTGATCATCACCATGTTATTTGTCGTCCATTGTTCTGCATACGGGTCTAGGTATTTGCACAGTGGTCCGACATGCATTTCGGTCTGCATAAAATCATCAATGAGCTTCATCACCGGCTCATAGTACCACGTTCCCGGCTCAACATGTGGCGGACTCCTGTGCGTAATATAGGCCCTCTTCCCTCCAGCAAAAAACGGATCGAGGCCATCCGGCTCCTCCTCACCCCATGCCTCCTCGTCAAGAGTGTCCCCAAACATAAGATCTCGCGGGGTTATCTTGCCGTATGCAGCAAAGCCATTGTCGTTCATGGTGGATATTCTGATGCCCTTCCTGCGTGCCCGCGCCAGGCGGCGGTCCCGGGTTCGCTGCTTCCACCGGTTCTCCCGCTTCCAGAAGGCGACGTGGTGGTCCCAGTAAATGTCGGTCGCAAAGGGCATGTCACCCCCCCGAAGCCTCTCGAGCTCTTTGTCCCAGTCTCCTGCGCCGGTGGAGTACGGGTTTAGATCTCGGACGGCCCAGCTGTAGGGCACAAACATGCCCGTCTCCCAGTCGATGATCGAGCGGATTCGTGGCGAATCCTTGAAGCACTGGACGTTGAATCCACTATGCAGATCACCGTGGTCAAAACAGAAGGGGAAGTCGGTGGTGGGCGCGTCCAGCTCCTCCCCGGGCTCGCGGAACTTGCGCCCTGTGACTTGGCTGGCATGATACTGGACATGTGTGAGGAAGCTTGCTGGCGTCCAGTCGAAGACAGACCTGAGCCTGCCCTTCAGGACTTTTAACCTTATGGCGTGCATCTCGGTGGTCCAGTAATCCATCTCTCGCCGTATACCCTGCTCCGTCCATGCCCGCTCACTACGCACGGGCCCGAGGTTGTTGTAGTAAAGCGGGTGCATGACGCCGCCGGGCAACCTCCCACCACCGCGGACCGCTCGATTGGCAACGGTGTGGTGTGCCATAAAACCCGGCGTCAGGTCTGGGTTTACCCCGCAAATCCGGTTTCCACGCATGTGTATCATTGACAGCCGAATCAGGGCCATCTGGCGCACAAAGCTCCGCTTCTGCCTGACGGTCCACCCCGTACAGCCTCTTTGGGCGTAGCGGGTCCGGTATTGGTCTCCCTCGATAAATTCGATGGCCGCATAGACCGGCTGTGTGGGGGCCGCCCCGTCCTGCGGGAAGTCGGTGAAGCTGTCGTAGACCGCTGGGATGTGGGTGTGCGCGTGCAGGCCCCGGGCGGCCCACTGCGCGGCTTGACGCATGGCGCCGACTTCGTTGGCGCGGAAGTGGATCTTTTGCGGGTCTGTCCCGCGCCCTTTGTACACGAAGCAGCCGTGGCCGTATCGGCCGTCGCCTTCGGTGGCGGGGCCGGGGAGACGGTAGGAAGATATTTGGCGTTCGGGCTGCAATAAGGGTTCGCCGCCGGTGAGGAGGGCGTCTTGGTAGTTTGGGCCGAGAGTGGCTATGTAGGCAGGGACATCTACGGCCATGGCGCCGGGTACATATGGGGTTATGTGGGGGTCCGCGTCCATCTTTGCTGACTTTGTGTTTTCTGATATTAGTGTTGGACCAGTAATCTACTGTCTTTTGCGGGTTAAAGGCAGACTGTGGTTGGAGAGTGAATGTTGATGTCAAGCTAGATGGCTAGATGTATGGTCAAAGGGAATAATTAGCAAAATATGCACAGGTTTGTAGCTGTAAAATGTATGCTTGATCGATACTTGGTGGGTACCTCCCACCCGCTATATGATTTCAGGATATATATATCGCTACCACGCCGAGGTTGTTGTTCTTTGTCCTATAGCTCTGATGCGTCAATTAAAGACTGACCAGAACAGGTCTTTGTTACATCCACTATGTCGGTCTCGAGAAAAACGGGCACCGTCTCCGTCGCCCTTCCTTTGTGTTTGACTTGCCCCTGCTAGTTAGTAAGTGTGCCTTTGAATCCGATTAGATCTTGCATCAGGCTAAGATCTACTCTGCTCCGTTCAAGCATTGATCAAAGACTTTGTGGTTTCGGTGAGGAATGTCGGTAGATATTCGTGTCGTGTCAACCCTAATGAAAGCGCAATTGTCTAGCTAGCTAGCCAGCTGCACGGTCCTGCCTGAGATGGGCAATAGTTAAAGGTTTATGCGTCCTACTGCAATGCAGTAAATCTAGATATCGCTTACCCAACCCGCCAAGGCACGGGCGTAGCGGTGATTCCGGAGATAGACAGCAAGAGATCATACATGTGGAGGACCTTCACGATAGTCTACTGTCTACATGTAGTCGCTGATAAATCGAAAGCATGGGCCAAGTCTCGGTTAGAGAAGGGACAGGACAGGGATAGCTGTTGGCAGCCCCAAGACGGGTAAATTAAACGACCGTGGGCCGTCTCGTCGTTATGGCGTAATGCGCGGACGATCCCGAGGTAATGATAGGGATGCTGGAATATTGGGAGCTCGCGTGCTTTATCACCCCACTGATTCACTGATTCACTGATCGATCCCCACGACTGAAGAGTTTCGGGAGGTGTAAATAGATTCTTGGATTCGATTCGAAGGGAATATATAGCTCGGCTGCTAAATCTGTGTATATACATAGTGCTCTCTCTCTCTTTCTCTCTCTCTCATTCTGAAAAGCTCAGCTGCAACTTTAAATCCTCTTCGGATTTCAATATTTCAACCCCCCCCAGCTAACTACTATTACTACTATCACACTCGTGACAAAATGGCCGAGACCACAATCCCCACCACCTCCCGGGCACTAACATTCACGACCCCCAGCTCCACCCCACAGGTCATCACCACCCCCATCCCCTCCCCGCTCCCACCCACCTCCATCCTCGTCCGCGTCCATGCCGCCGCCCTCAACCCCTGCGACACGCAGATGCTGCACTGGCCGATGCTGCGCCTCCTGAAGGGCACCGGCCCCAAGGGCCTCGGCCGCGACTACTCGGGCACTATTGTCGCCGTGGGGAGGGACTGTAAGGGTTGGAAGATTGGTGATGATGTGTTTGGCTTGTTTTTTAAAGTCGTGAGTAGCTAGACCATTTGGAGTAGATGTAGATCACCAGTGGTGTTGATGCATATATGTGTGTGCACTGTAGGGCGGCGAAGGCACAATCCGTGAATACCTGGTCGTCGACCCCGCCTCTGACCCTATCGTCGCAAAGCCAGCCGAAATCTCGCATGAGCAGGCGGCGTCAATCCCGCTCGTGGCGCTCACGGCATTTACGTGTATGGAGTGGCTGCCGCCGCCGCATGTGGACGGGACGCCCCGGGAGGTGGTGGTCGTAGGTGCCAGTGGCGGGACGGGCGTGTGGATCACGCAGCGTCTGTTTTCTCCCTCTCCCTAGCTCTAGGTTAAATTTTAGTGATGCTGATGCTGGTTCTGGTTTTTGGGATACACAGTGGCCAAAAAGCGCCACAACTGCACCGTCACCGCAATCTGCTCAGGCAAGAACGCGGGGTTCGTCAAATCCCTCGGCGCTGACCGCACAATCGACTACACCATCGTCTCCTCGCTCCCCGCGGCACTGATGACCCACCGCCCCAAGGCCGGCTACGACCTCATTGTCGACTGCGTCGGCGGCACGACCCTCTTCCCGGCGTACAAGCAGCTGCTGCCGCGCCACGGCGCGTATGTGACGATTGTGGGCGATAAGACGTCGCGTGCGGTTATGGGTGGGCCGCCGACGTATTTGGCCCATCCGGCGATGGTGTGGAGGCATCTGTGGGGGTGGCTGTTTGGGCCCAGGTATGGGTGTGTGATCTTGAAGGCGAGGAGGGAGTGGTTGGAGGTGGCGAGGGATATGGTGGTGAGGGGGGAGGTGAAGGTGGAGGTGCAGGAGGTGGTGGAGGGGGCGTTGGGGGACGGGTGGAAGAGGGGGTTTGAGTTGTTGGATAGTGCGAGGGTGAGGGGGAAGGTGGTGGTGAAGATTTAGTTTGGTGTTTTTTTTACCTTTTTTTACTTTTGGGGGCGAGTGATGGGTTGTGATGGGTGGGTTTGTTGGTTGGTTGGTTGGTTAATTCGTTAATTGTTTGTGGTTGGTTGCAATTGGGTGGGTGCGGTGGAAATGATCTTGGTGGAACAATGGTTGGCCTGTACTAGCTAGGCTATGTGTGAACAAAGACTGCAATAATACTACACAATTCCTTTCTTTGATGTGTCACCCTTTCAGACATTCCTTTGTTCACAGCCATAATTCTACTAGCTAGCTAGCTAGCCTATAATTTTGCGTGCCCGACCAACTCACTCACTCGCAATCCCCCACAGCACCACACACCCACTCCCATAACTAATTCAACTACACAGCCAGGGGTACAAGACTATCCATAACCTAACCCGACAATATATTTCCTGAGGCGCAGGAAAGAATACTTTATCAAAACTCATTACACATCCAAAAACCCATCATACCATACGTACGTACTCATAAAAACGGTGGGGCGGGGTATATCATCTCTGGAAGAAAAAAATAAAATAACTGCCCCTACCCTATACAAATTTAAAGCTTAAGCCAATTACAAAAAAAAAAGAGGAAAAGAATAAAAAAAGTTACTAGAAAAAAACAATATCTTTATTTCTTGACTTGCGTGAGTGTGTGAAATCAGCGCTTCTCAATGTAATCCCTATTCTCGATCGTGACGCTCTTGGTCTGTATTGATACGAGTGGTCAGGTTAGTATAATGATAGCAATAGCATAGAAGAGCAAGCCAGAGAGAGACAGAAACAACATACCATATGATTAACCTTATACACCCCCACCAACCTCTCCGCCAGCTCAAACATATTATTCCTCAACGAGATGACAATAAACTGCGCATTCTTTGTGCGCTCCTTGATATAGCTCGCCACAATACTGACATTCCGGAAATCCAGCGCCGCGTCAATCTCGTCCATCACATACAGCGGCGTCGGCTTGTAATGGTGCAGCGCAAACACGAGCGCCAGCGAACTCAGCGTCTTCTCCCCGCCACTCAGGTTCGAGATGTTCTTCCAGCTCTTCTTGGGCGGCATCACGCTGAACAGGATGCCCTCGCTGAACGGATCAAGACTGTCGACCAGCTCGAGCTCAGCGTTACCGCCCATAGTGATCATCTGGTACATCTCCTTCAGCCGCAGCGAGATCGCGCTGAAGCCCGCCATGAACTCCTCCAACCGCCGGTTGCGGAGGTCGTCCAGTCGTGTCTTCACACCGTCGCGCGCGGCAACAGCGGTGTCCAGGTCGGCGGACCGCGCGGCGTGCTCCTCGACACGCCGACGGTACTCGCCCAGAACAGCCAGGTCGACATTCACGCTCGCCAGCTTCTCCTCGAGCGCGGCGATCTGAGCGTTTAGCTGCGCCTTGTCGAGGTCGGCGAGCTCGTCGCGGCTGTACACGGGCATCTCGGTGTCCTCGTCCATTGCGTCTTCCCCGCCTGCGCCGCCCGTGAGTCCTGCGACGCTGTGGAGAGACAGCTTGGAGAGCTCCTTCTGCCAGTGCGCGCTGCGCTTCTGGTTCTCGACGAGCACTTTGTGGTGCTCCTCGAGCTTGTTCTTCATCTCGATCTCTGCCGCCCGCGTCTTGTTCAGCTCCGCCGTGCGCTCGTCGAGCTCGGCTTTCAAGGCCGCGAGGCCGTCTTTCTTCTCCTCCAGGTATGCTGCGGCCTCCTCGGCGCGCGCGGCGCTCTCTTGGCAGGACAGCTGGTGCGCGCGGATCTCGTCCTTCAGCGCCTCTAGCTCCTCTGCTACGGCATCCAGCTCCGCTACACCGCCCGAGTGCGCCTTCTGCGCCTTCGCGAGGTTTTTCTCGGCCTTCACGCGCGCGAGGTCCGCGGCGGCGACCTGCTCGTTGGCGAGCTCGAGCTGCTCGCGCAGCCCGTCGACTTTGCCTTTTTGTGACCGCAGCTGGATGCCGCCGGCGGACATGATGCGGTCCTGCAGCTCGCGGATCTCGGCTTCGAGACCGGCCGTCTCGGAGTGCAGATCGGAAATCTCGGACTCGAGCGTGGCAACGTGCTGCTCGAGCGTGCGGATGCGGCCGACGCTCTCGTCGGCGTTGGACTTGCGCCCGCGTACCGTTAGCTCCTTGACGCGCTTCTCGGCGTCGGCTAGGTGGCGCGCGGCGCTGGAGAGTTCGAGTTCGATCTTGGAGATGGCGGTTTGCGTCTCGGGGATGCGTTCACGAAGGTCGCGGAGTGTGGTCGCGAGCTCGCGCTGCTGCGTCTGGAAGGCGGTGTAGGCGCGCTCTTGGGCGTCGCGGTCGACTTCGAGAGCGGTGACTTGGTCGCGGGTCGTCTCGGCGGTGAGTTTGGAGGACATGCGGCCGCGGGAGATGGTGCTGCCGCCGCCGGTGAGCGTGCCGGACTTGTCGATGAGTGCGCCGGTGAGCGTTACTACGCGCCAGCGCTGGGCGCCGTAGGCGATGCGGTTGGCTTGCGCGAGGTCTGCCGCGACGAGCGTGTTTTGGAGGACGTTGTAGAAGGCGGGCGCGAGGAGGGGCGTTTTGGGCGTGACGAGGTCGAAGAGGCGGGGGACGTTTTCGGGCGTGGGGATGGGTGACAGGTTGCGTGACGGCAGCTTGTCGAGGCAGATGAAGTTGGCGCGGCCGAGGTTGTTTTTGCGCAGGTGGTCGATGGCCCGTTGGCCGGCGTCGACAGTGTCCACGACCATGTTGTCGAGCTGAGGGCAGGCGGTCGAGATGGCGACGTCGTAGCGGGAGTCGATGGTGCCGAGGTTGCCCAGACGGCCGTGGAAGCCCTCGATACGCCCGGATTCTTTGAGGCGCATCAGAGCGGTCAGGACATTGCCTTGGGTTTGGGTGGCGGCGAGGGAGGCTTTGGCTTCGTCGGCCTTCTGACGGGCGCTAGAGAGGTTGCTGCGGAGGGGGGCTTCTTTGGCCGCCATGGCTTCGAGGGAGGTTTCTACCTTCGCGGCCTCCTTCTCGAGGCGTCGGAGCTCCTGGCGGCACTGTTGTAGCTCCTGTTCTTTGGTTGCGCGGGCATGCTGGATGGTGGTGATCTTTGCGCGGGCTTCCTCGAGGGCGTTGTTGGAGGCGTTGGCCTTCTCGTGGAGGATGTCCAGCTCGGATTGGGCGACGGCGATGGCGGATTGCTTTTCGTTGATCTTCTCCTTCCACGGCTCGAGGGACTTTTGTTTGGCGGCGATCTGGTCTGAGAAGCCTTGCGTCTTTTCTTTGAGCGTGTCGCGGATACGCTCGAGTTCGGCTTCTTGGATGGCGAGGTTCTGCTCGTGGGAGGCGATCTCGGCGCTGTGGCGGGTGATGTCTGAGATGTGCTTCTCGATCATGGAGGTGGCTTCGGAGGCGGCGAGTTTGTTCTGGGGTGGGGGGTGTTAGAAGGGGGGGTGCATAGATAGGTGGAGAGGGTCAATGATGATATATACCGTCTGGATGGACTTCTGCAGTTTCTTCTGCTTCTGCGTGAGAAACTTCTCCTTCTCCTGGAACTTGACGTTCTCCTTATCGTTCCGGCTCATCTCCTTCAAGATTGCCTTTGTCGCCTCTTCGACTTCCTACAAACACCCCCCACACACACAATCAGCAAAACCCCTCACCCTCCCCACAGCACATGAAAAACATACCTCAACCTCCCTCGCCCCCTCCTTATACCTCCCCTCCAACCTCCGAATCCCCTCCTCGCTCCCCCCCCTCCTCTCCAACTCCTCATCCAGCCTCGCCTGCACCTGCGCCACCACACCACCAGTCACGGCGACATTCTCCTCACACTCCCCCACAAACAGCTGGTACAGCGCACCCTTCTTTAGCGCGAGGTCATTCTCGTTCTGTAGATACTCCAAAGCGGCGTCTTTACGCCCCTCGAGAGCGACTTTCTCTTTTTCGACGTGTGACACGCGCCCTTGCTTCTCGACGCAGACTTCGTTGAGCTCCTCGGCCTGCGATGCCGATTCTTCGATCGGGCTCTTGTACTTACTCGTGCCGATGATGTCCTCGAGGTACTCGAGCAGCCCGTCGTCGCTGCCCGAGGACGCCTTCGGCTTCATCTGCGCGATGCTCTCGACCTCGCCTTGAAGGATTAGGAAGCGCTTGTGGTCCAGGTCGATCCCTCTTGCGCGGAGTAGCCCCGTGACGGCGGTGAAGTCGGAGACGTTGTCATTGATGTAGTACTTGCTGCTGTTGTTCTTGAAGGCCCGCCGCGACACGACGAGTGTGGTGTCGGGCAGCGGCGTGGGGTCGCCGCCGGTGGGGGAGTCGAGGACTTCGCGGAAGTGGACTTGCACTTCGCAGTGGTCGAGGTGCGGGTGGTGCGCGCTGTTGTGGATTAGGGCGCTGATCTTGCCTTGGCGCATTTTGGAGGCGCGGAAGCCGAAGACGAAGAGGAGGGAGTCGATGACGTTCGATTTGCCCGAGCCGTTGGGGCCGACGACGGAGGAGAAGGACTGGGGGTGTTAGTGTGTGTGTGTGTGTTTGGGGGGGAGCGAGTGAGAAGCTGTGATTGGAAGGAAGGGGAGATACTTACAGCGTGAAAAGGCCCGACCTCCTGCCGCCCAGCGTACGACTTGAAATTGACAAGCACCAGATGCGTGATGACAAGCCGCGGCTTGGGCCCCGCGAGCTCTTCCGCCTGCTGCTGCTCAAACAGCGTGTTGGCGCGGTTCTTGACCACCAGCGGCGCCTGCGTGCCTGTGCCTGCTGCGAGCATGGAGTCGCGCGAGCCCGGCCGCGGCGACATGGGCGCGGATTTGCGAGGGGAGGGCGATGACTTGAGTTCGGCGATGATGGTGCGCAGCGGGGTTTGCGGGGGCCCGGGCGTGCCGGCTCGGGAGCGCTGGCCGGGCGTGGGGGCGGGGGTGGTGGAGTGGGAGCGGTGGTGAGGTGTTTGGGGGGGCGCGGTGGACTGGCGGGAGTGCGTGGGGGGGGCGGGCGTGGTTTGTCGTGAGGCTGGTGTGGGTGTTGCGTGACGGGACTGAAGTTGTGGGGCTGGAGTGGGCTGGCGGGACTGTGGTGTCGGTGACTCTGGTGCTTGTGGTTGCTGCTGCTGCGTCTTTCGTGCCCGCGGCGTGACATCAACATCAACATCACCACCCTCCTCCTCCTCCTCAACCTTCGTCGGCGTCACCTCCAGCGCAGGCACCTCAGACCCTCCACGCGCCGCCGCCGGCGCAGCCTTCCTCCGCGTCCCCGCCCCCCTCACAGCGCGCTTCCTTACCGCCGGCGCCGCAGCGGGGGCTTCCTTCTCCTCCTTCTCCCCACCCCCCTGGGGCTCCTCCTCCTCCTCGGTCTTGCGCGCCTTGACGCGGCGTCGCGGCTTGGGGGCGGCACTACTGCTGCTGGCGGAGGCGGCGGCGCTGACTCGCCGCGATTTGCGTTTGGGAGGCGTTTGTTCCTCGAAGGAGTCGGAGGGCTCTTCGTGCTTGGTGGTGGTGCTGGGGCCGTCGCCGTCCGAGTCGGAGTCGATTATTTTTTTGCGGGAGGCGGCGGCGGCGCGGCGGGGGCGGGAGGGGGTGGACATGGGCGGTGGGGAGGGGGAGGGGTGTGGACGTTTTGGGGGGTGTGGAGAGTAGAGCGGGTGAGTGGGTGTGAGTGTGGGATTGGGGAATTGCGTGCACTGGATTGGGCTGGACTGGACGGGTGACGGGGTGTGATGATGAAGCAGCGTGACGGGTGTAGTTCTGGCTGTGGTTCGTGATTCTCGCACTGCGTGTTTGGTGGAGAGGTTAACGTGGTGGGGTTGGGGTTTCTTGTGTTGTTACGCCGATAATCACAGAGGCCTTGGCGGAGTTGTTGAGGATCCCTGGTGGAGGGTCACGTGAGGGCGCGAATGGGGGAACCCTGGCCCTGGTGGGTTTGTGGTTGTGGCGGTCATTTCCGGGGAGAGTCATGGGGTGTCACTCGGAGAATTGTGGTTGGACCCTTTGTTGATCAGAACGGTGGAGAGTACATGTGTTTCTGTAGCTTGAGAGATGGCGATACGGGAAGCAAAGGTGTTGTGCTAACAGATACTTGTCTCTGGCTGATGCATACGTCGGTGGTTCCGCTCTTCGCTCACAGAGCTGAGACTTGTAAACACGCGGCTGCCTCGGGGTTTGTAACGTGGATAGAAGGCGAGGCCCATGGATACATACATGTGTAGTCTTTTAGTTACGACGTATGGCCTAGACCCAAGGAGACCTTTGCATATCCAGATACCTCATCGGCCAGCGAACAGATTCAACCAGCACAGAAAGCAGAGCCGTGTTCGAACAGCAAGGCAAACTCTCAACCACCACGAATCCCCCCTCCCCCCCACGTTACCAAAACCCTAGCTACTATATAAACGCCGCCCCCCACCACGCCCTCTACATATTCTCTTCCTCCCCATCAGAATTAGAACGCTGATGACGAGACCTGGTGTTCATGGTGGCCGGGTCTCCAGTACGCTGCACCCCCCCATTGCACGGAAAAAAAAAGGGGGGGGGGGGGGTATGTGGTGTCTGCTCATGGTCTTTGCAGGGGCTGTGGGTCGTGTAATTTTTGGTTTTACTTCAGCTGACTGGTGGAGTTGGCTTTTGTTGGCGGTGGGGAAGATGATGCGAGTTCTGTTTTTTTTTCAGTTTTGGTTTGATTAGGTTTTGGGCTGGGGTGTGTGGTTTTGGGGTTTTGGAGTTTGGGGGTTGGGGGTTGATATAGATGGTTTGTGCGAGTGTGAGTAGGCGGGGGATTGTTGCTTGGCTCTGCTCTTGTTGTTGGGGTTGTGATTGTGATTGCTGGCTATTTTTTGTTTTCGTAGTACTGGTAGGTCAGCTAGAGGTGGTTCTGTGTGTTATGATGTTGAGTTCTCCTTCCTGTAAGCATAAGCCTGAGTTATGAATCAATTAAAGATTGAAAAGGCTCGAGTTTGGGCTCGAAACTTCTGGGTTGTTGGTAACTGGTTGAATATTAAGATTATATAATGACAAAGTTCGTGTCCAAAAAATGAAAGCTGTATCAATATCAAGATGACTATCCTTAGGCGGAAGCATGGAGGTTCGAGCCTAGCCCCTGAGGTCGAGTCCTGAACACCTCGAACCTTGTTCCACAATCCGAGCCAACTCGAGCTCCAGGTTAGGCTAGGCTCGTGCCAAACACTATATGTTGATCGCTTTAGAGAGTCAAAAAGATATTTGTCTGCCAGCATACATGTAGACACGTATCGGTCCATGAAACTAGGCACGATAATGTGGTATAGATCTCGTACCTTTAAATTCGATTAGACACATCCACATCAATTACAATCCCACGAAAGACCACATCAACCTCCAAAGGACCACCCGTCCCTCCGCCCACTCACACCACATCGCCCTCACCCCCTCAGCTTCCACCAGTATATAAACCCACCCTTCACCCCCTCTACCCCTTCCTTTCCTCCCCATCAGAATTAGAACGCTGACGACGAGACCTGGTGTTCATGACGACCGGGTCTCCAGCACGCTACATATACCCCCATTGTACAGAGGGGGGTATGTGGTGTCTGCTCATGGTCTTTGCAGAGGCCGTGGGTCGTGTAATTTTTGGTTTTTTTTTTGCTTCAGCTGGCTGAGGTCGGCTTCGTTGTGGTTTGGGTGCTCTTTGAGGCCGAGGCTGCGGGGAAGATGACACAGATTCTGGTTTTTTCGGTTTTGTTTTTGGGTTAGGTTTTGGTTTTGGTTTTGGGTTGTAGGTTTTGTTGTTTGGGGTTGGGGGTTTGGGCGGGGATCGTTGCTTGGTTCTGCTCTTGTTGTTGGGGTTGTGATTGCTACCTGTTTTTATTTTCGTAATAAATGTAGTGCCGTGAGTTATGGTGTTGAGCACAAGCCGTGCTCTCTTTCCCATAAGCCTAAGTTATGGATCGATTAAAGATTGAAAAAAACTCGAGGTTATAGCTAGGCTCGAACCTTCCGAATTATTGACAGCCGGTTGTATATTAAGATCATATAATGACAAAATGAAATAATGAAATCAAGAAAGGTCCGCAGAGCTCATGCCTAAAAACGAAAACTGTATCAAGATAATTATTTTTGGGGATAATCATGGAGGCTCGAGCCTGGCACTGGGCCTAACTCCTGGGCCCGGCACCTTGAACCTTTTTTGTTCCACAATTCGAGTCAAATCGAGTCTCAGGCCAGGCTCGTACCTAACATTATGTGTTGATTGCTTTAGAGGGTCGAAAAGACACCTCTTTTGTAACTGAATCTAACGGGCCTGCCAGAATACATGGAGACACATATCGGTCCACGTAACTACAAGTAGACATGATAATGTGGCATAGATCTTACACCTTTAAATTCAACTCGACACATCAACACCAACCCCACAAAAGACCACCCGTCCCTCCACCCACTCACACCACATCACCCCTACTCCCCATCCCCACGACTATATAAACCCACCCATCACCCCCTCTACCTCTTCTTTTCCTCCCCAACGAGCTTCACAGGAGCGACGAGACCCGGTGTTCATGGTGGCCGGGTCTCCAGTACGCTGCACCCCCCATTGCACGGGAGGGGGGGTATGTGGTGTCTGCCCACGGTCTTTGCAGGGGCCGTGCGGGTCATAATTTTTGGTTTTGCTTCAGCTGGCTCATGGCGGGGTTGGCTTTTGTTGGGGGAGGTTGACTTTGGGTGCTTGACTGTGGGGGATGGCTGCGAGGATGATGGTGACGGGTTTTGGGGGAGGGGCGGGGGGAGGTATTTTGGTTTGTTTTCTGTAGATAGAGTGTGGATTTTGGGTTGTGGGGTGGGAGGATGCAGTGCTTGCTCTGCTTTGGGTGCTGGGGTGGTTGCTGTATTTTTCGTTTTGTCTGGTGGGAGTGCTGCTGTGTGTTATTGCTTTGAGTGGTCGAAGAGGTGTTTCTCTTGTAGCTGAACGTTAACGTGTCTGCCAGCTTATATGAAGACAGCTATTTCTCCATGTTGCCAGGTACGATAGCCTGGTAGAGATCATTTTGTTCTGGATATGTTGGTCCGTTGGGCCCTCTAGTGACAGCTTTACTGTTCAATCGAATTCGCGGTATCAGATATAGACACGATTTAAAATCTTAGTGTATTTTCTTCGGGCTGTTGGTCGGCCTTGTAGATTCTAGAGCTCGTGCATCCAGATTTCTGTTGCGAGTGTTTAAGGAACCTATACGTATTAGAACATATATGTATTCTCAAGCAGTGATTATCGTGGCTTTACTTGCTATATCTGGCACTCTTCAACGTCACCATACACGTTTCGACTACATGAAAGCCAGATTACAACACCCTCCACCCTAAACCCTACAGCGGCCAAATCCCACCCCCCCCCCCCCCCCGCCAAGGCCACTCCCTCTATATAAACGCCTTCCTCTCCGCACCTCTCCTTCTTCCTCCATACTTACCTAGCAGCGAGGCCCGGTGGTCACGATGACCGGGCTTCCAGAGAACACAGCACCCCATTGCACAACGGGGTGTGGTGGCTCTGCTAGAGCGCCTTCGGGTGCACTAGGTTGTGTAATTTTTGGTTTTGTTTGCTGCCACTGGGGGGCTGCACTGTGTTCCGGGCGTGGCCGGGGACATGGGGGAGATTCCTGGTGGCTGTTGTGGTGATGGGGAGGAGGAGAGGTGGGGGCGGGCTGGAGGAACAGGGCCCGGGGGAGCAGGGCGAGGGAGCCCTGGTGGTGGTGATGGGGGCAGCGGGGGCTGGGCTCCCTTGCTCAAAATTTGTAGAGTGGCCGTGGGCGGAGGGAATGGGACTCCCTCACCCCGTTGTTGTAGGTTGGGACGGAGGAACATTTGTTCCCTTCGTCCTCCCTCCCTTTTTTCTTTTTTTTTTTTTTTTAGCGGGTGGGGGAGCTTTGTGCTCCCATGTTCTAACTTTGTAGGTATGGGCGGGGAGAGCACGAAGCTCTCTTTCTCCCCCCCCCCCCCCCTTTTCTTTTTTTTGGTGGAATTGGGGGAGCCATGCGCTCCCTCAAACTGTTTTTGTAGACGTGGGCAGAGAGGGCAGTGCCACCTGTGTGACATGCATAACTTTCTCTGCCTCCCCCACCACGGGCACAGTCTTCTGTCCTGTTGGGCTCTGGGTTATCACCGAGGGCCTGGAAGGAGTTGGAAGATTGTGTTTCGTAGTCTGGGGGGGCGTGTAGTTTTAGATCCTATGGGTGGTCTATGAGACCAGTTGCTGCCCATGAACTGCCTCGAGAAGGAGAGGGGTCTCGCCACGAAACAGGTTGGAGTGCGAGTGAGAAACCATGACCCAACCTGACGAAACTCTTTTTATATAGACACCAACGAGATATAACGCGCTAATTGTACATGTGTAAAGATTTTAAGAAGCTAGCTAGTAGATGGTTCGTGAACAGATGCAGTCACGGAATATCACTCGGTGGCATTAGTCATTGATTACATGTTTTTTTTTTCAAGTCCTCGGTTTGGAATATCTGGTATCAAGTTATGTCTACATACGGCTGGTGGGGGGAGGGGATTCAAGATAATGACCTGCTGGATAGGGACATTCAAGATGATGTATCCCAGGTCCTGTCGTAAAATAAATAGGCTCACCTGGAACTAAATCCACTACCAAAAATCACAGTACAACATCGCGCAAAGATAATCTTACCTTAAACAACCCACAAAGATAAACTTACCTTAACCCAACCACCCCCCCAAAAAACCACCATCATGCCACCCATACCCCTCCCCGTCCCCGCCCTTGTCCCCGCCCCCATCCCCCGCGCGCCAACTCCCTCGAAATGGTCCAAACCTTCATCTACCTCTTCCGCCAGCCCTCCCTCACCCCGCACCTCCCACCGCCATCCTCCCGCATCCACAAACTCCCCGGCGCGCTCCTCGGCGCCCTCACCGCCGCCTACCCCTCCTTCCCCGCACTCGGCGCACTCCTCACCCACCACGCCGACTTCGCCCTCGCACGCACCCAGCACGCCCAATCCCTCGCGCACCACGTCGCCGTCGCCACATTCGACGCCGAGCAGCTCCCGGCCGTGTGTACGCTCCTGCAGGTCTTCCATGCGCCGTATGCGTACATCGATGTGCAGCGCGTCCCCACGCTCGACGACATACCGACCATGATGCGCGTGCGCGAGGCGCTGGATAGGGTTGTGCCCGTCTACATTGCGCGCGCGCGCCTGGTGATGGATCCCGCGTGGGCTGTGGCGCATCCGCGCGCGGCGGTGGCGCCCGTGTTTGAGGTGGGCGAGACGCAGGCGGCGGTGAAGGTTATCGAGAGGGCGTTTCTGCGTGTGTGGACGATGGGGAGGATTGTGGCGATGCGGGAGGTGGATATGCACCGGGTGAGGAATCGGGCGGTGCCGCATAGGTATGATCAGGAGAATCAGGATGTGTTTTGGGCGTTTATGCAGCGGGTGCCGGTGGCGGAGGTGGGTGTGTTGAGGGGGTGTGTGGCGAGGGTGACGGCGGAGGAGGCGGGGATGGGGGAGGTGTTGGCGTTGGGGACGAGGGGGGAGGTGAGGAGGGTGGCGGGGTGTGTGAGGGATTTGTTGTTTTGGAGTTATGATTTTGGGGCGGGGGTGGATTTGGATTAGTGGTGGTGTTTGCTGGTGAACTGAAATGTAGTTAAGTGTCGAGTGTAGTCGTGATATCTACAGAGTGTTAGCTCCTACTTAACGAAAAGCACCAGTGATTCTAATAGCAGAAATCCCAGATATTAGCAATCCCAAATAGCAGCAATCCATAACAAGCTATAAGCAATCATCTTGATCGAACGTCAACCGCATCACAAATAATCACTCGCCCCACCAACCCTCCCCGAAACAAAATGCAAAACAAAATACCCAAAGCAACCATGTTCGAATTTTTAAACTCCACTATTTATCCTCCTCGGCTGCCTTCTCAGCCTCCTCCTTCTCCTTCCTCTTGAGGGTGACCTCGTAGTTATACAACCGTGCCGTGTTCACCTCCAGCGTCGTGATCTGCTGCCTCAAAAAGTCCAGGTCCTCCTCACAGTTGCCCAAGCTCTCCTTCGCGGCCATCAGTTTCCCCGTCAGGAGCTTCTTGGCCTCGTCGACGGGGTACGACAGCATCACGTTTGCCTGTTCCGGAGTTCAGCACCTTCCTGGTCCTTCCAAGGGGGAGGCAAGGGGAAACAAGGGGGACCTACACCAAGCCACAGATAAACCTCATCCGTCGCGTTGATCTTCGCCTTCGCATACAGGGTATCATTCAGCTCGAACGTCGCATCAATCGCCTTACTCGAATCCTACTCCGACACTCTCCGTCAGCACCCACCCCTAATCACGCCCCTTACCCTATCACCACCACCCCTAACCCAGCCAGACATACATTCCGCGACCCCAAAAAGGTGACCGTGTCCAGCGTCTTCTGGATATCCGGGATCTTATCCCTCAGCCCCGCGGCGCGGCGCTGCGTGTTCATCTCCATGAACTGGTACTTCCTGCCCACCACTACCGTCAGCCGTGGGTAGACGAGGAGGAGGCCGAGTGAAGGGAAGGGGGGGGGGGGGAACAAACGCAATCATCTCCTGGAACTTCTTCAGGTTCGGCTCGATGTCGGCGCGGGAGTCGACAAAGGCCTCGACGTCTTCGACGAAGGGGGCGGTGGGGATGCCGCGCGGGTTCATCTCGGCCTGGCTGCGGGGGTGAAGGGGGGGGGGGTTAGCATTTCGGTTTTTTGCGTGTGCGGAGATGGTGGGGGTGGGGATGGATACCTGCTTGATTCCGCCATTGTAGTAGTAGTGGTATCAGATTGGTGGTGGGGGTATAGAAGGAGTGACTGGCGGTAATGGTTGTTGCAGGTGTCTGAGAGAGAGTGTCACAGAGAGCTTCCTTCTCGTCTCTTCCTAGCCCGCGTTAACCTCCCCCACCACCGAAAACGTGGGGTTGTCATCATCGCCAAGGCCTCACAATCTCTTCCCTGCAACGCATCTCGGGAACTTTCTTTTCCCGCACGCACTTTTCGACTCACCTTGATCTGAAGCAGGAAGAAAAAAAAGAAACGAACCAAAAAAGACCACCACAAACCAGCTCAATTCACAGCACAGAAACTACAGGACATCTACAGAGGATATATATATTCGCAATGCAGGCCTGCCGCCGCTTTTCTACACCAGCAAATGCGCTGTTGCGCACCAGCTATGCTCACAGAGCACTCACACTCCCGCGCTCAGCACAAGCAAACACCCACGACCCACGACCACTCCTAATACAGAGCCTAAACATGCGCTTCAGCTCTACACAGACACAGTCCACCCTCCAGCCCACCAGCTCAAGCGTCAATGCGCCCATCTCCACTCTCCCCGCGCCCCTCGAGCTCCCCACAAAGGACCGCGACGCCTCAACCTTCTCCTACCTCCTCAAGACCGGCAAAGCCTACGTACTTCTTCCCCCCCCCCCCCCCACCTCCCCACTACCACCCTTAAGCCCCCACTAATACCCTCCCCTCTAGCTCTCCTTCTACAAAACCGGTCTCAAAAACGTCTACCACAACTTCATCAGCACCCGCCCCCTACAGAACCGCATCGACAAGCTCGGCTCCGGCCGCATCACCCCGCTCGTCGCCCACAACGCCATCACCCGCTCCGAGTTCCAGCACCTCATGCGCTCGCGCCACGACACGCGGCGCATCCCCGTCTTCGCCGTGGTCTTCCTCATCTTTGGCGAGTTCTCGCCGCTGATCCTGCCCTTCATCTCGTCGGTCGTGCCGTGGAACTGCCGCATCCCGAGCCAGCTGCACGGCGACCGCGTCAAGCTCGAGAAGCGCCGCGAGGAGGCGTTTGGCACCTTTGACGCGGCAGCAGAGGGCGTGGAGATGAGGGATGTGGACAGCATGCGCAGGAGTGAGCTGCTCCATGTTAGTAATGTGCTGGGGATCACGTCGACAAAGTGGCCCGGAGCGCTGGGGCTGCCGCCGACGGTGTGGGTGAGGATGAGGGTTAGGAGGAGGGTAGAGTATCTTGAGATTGACGACACACTGCTAGAGCGCGGGGGCGGCGTGGATGCGCTGGATGGGGGCGAGGAGTTGAGAATGGCTGCGGTTGAGCGTGGGCTGTGAGTTGGCCGTCTAGCTTGTTCCTGATTGGCTGCGTAGAGCTAACAAATGGTGTAGAGATGTGGTCGATAAATCGGACCGGGCCCTGCGCGAGGAGCTGAAGCATTGGTTTGCCGCGAAGGAGAGGGCCGGCGGGATCACGCCGGCGTTGTGGCTCACAAGGTATCACTCCCACCCCGCCATAAAGAGGAAGAAGAAAAAACATGCAGTTCGATCATTGCCGCGGATCAGAATTTTTCAAATTTTTTATTTATTTCTCCCTGTTATTAAAAATATAGAGTGTGACTAACTAGATGCTATGAACAATAAAGGCCATCAAAGTGGCTACCTCCTACAGAACCGTCATCCCCGGCCGTGGAAGCGGGTAAGAGAAGGGTTTATAACCCATAGATCATCTCTGAGTAAAGATAGGGGAAAGGGGTGAAGAGGGATTGATAGAGAAGAGGCGGGGGTGGGGCAGATAAAAAAAGGGGGAGGGGCAATGACAAAGCAGGAAATGATGATGAGTATAGAAACGAATATAGAGGTTACTAATCCACTCCCAAAACTCCACAAATAAATAGGAAAAGAAAAAGGAAGACCTATGTAAGAATGTAGCAGTAGAAGAAGCAGCAGTTGGGTTCGTGCCGTGCGTGCAAGTGTATATACAATTTAAAATAACTTTTTTGCAAAAACAGATAAACTTGTACACAAGAAGTGATGGAGGAAAGCTAAGGCCGCCATCTCGCATTACGAACTGTAGATGCGTGGGGTAAAAAATAATTAAACAGACAGAATGATCCCAAATAATAAGGGGGAGAAAAAAAAGAGAGAGTGAGAGAGAAGAGTAAGTAAAAATGATGTTAATGCAGATAGACTCGTTGATCTCGTAAAAAAAATAAAAAAAAGGAAATAATATCAGAAGAAAAAAAACTCCGTTATTTTGGTTCCCCCGCCCCTTAACTGCAAGTTTTTCACACTAGAAAACCGAATGTTGCTTTTGATTTTTGATCCACTAACAAGTACAGAAATATTTTAATTCTGAGGCTTGTTTGGCTGCCACCTAACGAGTTCATCCATAATGGCCTGCATTTGAGCGGGGGATTGTCCCTGTTGAGGGACCTGCACATTACCTTGCTGGACCTGACCTAATAGAGCTGCCAGCCCGGCATTCGGTCCGTAGCCTGGATTTGGTTGGACACCGTAAGGATTGCTGTTATTGTTAAGGCTATGGTTCTGTTGTGGCTGCTGCTGCTGCTGCTGCTGCTGCAGGGGCAGAGACAAGAGCGCTGCAAGGTCTTGCCCGAGTTGAGGCTGTTGTGCTTGGAGCATGTGGGGCTGCTGCTGATGGTGCTGCTGGTGCTGTTGATGTATCTGCGGCTGCATCTGCTGCGGCTGCTGCGGTTGCTGCTGCTGCTGAAGATTTGCGAGCAAGGTTTTCAGCGTTGCAGGGTCAAGAGCTCCAAGAACGTTTGCAAGGTTAGGAATAGCAGCTTGCTGCAACATGGGTTGCTGCTGGGGCTGTTGGGGTTGCTGCTGCTGCTGCTGTTGCGGGATGCCATATCCACCATAAGTCGGCACTTGCATAGGGGGTTGGGGTGCATGAGCTAACTTCGCTCGATATACTATCTCAGCAGCAATGCTTGGGTCGAGATCATCGTACTCTGTAAAATATATTAGATACCCGTCCATATATCAAAAAAGGAGTGAGGGATGCTCACGATCATAAGTAGCTTCTCCGTCCCCGCGGCGATCAAACACTTGTATCGAGATTTTGCTGCTTCCCTGCATCTGGCGGCTCAGGAAGACTATAGCCTGCACCCCCTCAAGAATTTGTTGCTTTACCAATGGCTCGAGGGGTATGCGTGGATTCAAGAATACGGAATCAAAGCTGAGACCGCGATCTCTGAAAGACTTTTCGATCCACCAAATAAAATTCCTTTAGAAATGATTAGTAAACTCAACGCGTCTGAATGGATTATTCACTAACCTATCAACCTCATCCATAACTAGAGCTTGAACCTCCGGCACCTCTTTGGGATCTCTTCGTGGCAATTCTTCAACAACCGGGGGAGAGCGGGTGCGTTGGCGATATCTACCCGGTGGCGAGCGGGTACGGTCGCGATGGTGTGGGCGGTAATCATCGCGGGCCCTATATCTTGGTGGGGGTGACGATCTCCGCGCAGGATATTCATGGTCACGGGCGTCCCTACCACCACGGGTGAATCCACGGTCCGTGAAATCACCACTGTTTCTGCCACCACGGAAGGTAGAACCACCACGGCCGCGAGGAGACATGGATCGACCATAATCAGGAGAACGGGAACGACGATTGGCCCCACGTGAAGGGTTCGAATCTGACGGAGGTGGTCTAGTGTTTCTTTGGGGCTTGGAAACTTCAAGGTCTGCAGTCACGACAAGAATCAGCGTTATGTTTTGTTTCTTATCTCACGGGGGTGAGATTGGAAAACATGGGGCAGCGTACGCATTTTACGTCCTCTCACTGATGCTCCTTGTTCAAAGCGGAGGGCAGACGCGCATGATGCGGTGTCCAAGAATTGAACAAACCCATATGCTTGCTTAATTGAAACCTGGGCTAAGCGTCCATGCTTGTGGAATGTACGAAACAAATCACGTTTGGTGACCTTTTCAGTTGGCAAGTTACCTATGAAGTCAAAGTAAGTATATGGGAAGTTGAGTTTATAGAAGTGGCAGGGTGCAGCAGCATGTGCATAAATTCAGGGTGCGCACCAATAAAAAGTCGTGAACCCGCAGGAAACCTGTCCCACTGGCCTTGAGTCACGTAATCACGCTCATCGGACAGAAATCTATCGTACGCTTCCTCTTCTTCAGCGGTAAATGGACGATTATCTTCCTCATTTTCTTCAGTACCGGTTGGAGAGTCCGGAACTTGTTGCCGGTGCTGGTTGAAATTAGGCGGGGGGGGAAGTGATGCAGGATATCCTGCAGGATGACTAGAATGTCCTGAAGTACCATTCACAGCAGACGTAGCCGGTGGTTGCGGCAATGGATGCGTGGTCTGATGATTTTGGGCTGGGGTTGGTTTGGCACTTGAGCCTGCGTAGGAGGCTTTGGAAGAGATGGGACTCGAGCCTGGGAAGGAGACGAGACATGGGCAGGAGCGGGAGCAGGAGGAGCAGCAGCAGGAGCAGTTACAGTAGCAGCAGCAGGGACGGTAGCAGATGTAACTTGTGAACTCTGCGGAGATACTGTTTGTTGTGTCATGCTCGGGGAGAGCTTTGTCAAAAGAGCTTGGAGGTCGACATTGTTTGTCAGACTGTTTGGTAGAGAATAAACATGGGCTCTTGGAGGAGTGACCGATGTAGAGTCGGCAGCAGCAAGAGAAGAGGAATCCTTGTTCATCATGACTCCATTCGTTCCATTAATAGCATCAGGTACATTACCGTTCCCAAAGTTGATGGCAGATGGGAGTGCGTTCCTGACGATGGGATCCGCGGCTAAAGATGATGATGACGAAGGTAATGAAGATGGGATACTACCATTTGTATTATTTGTGGCAGAGGTGGATGACATCGGCATGTTTTGCTGCTGTTGTGAGTGTGATTGCTGCTGCTCAATCCAAGAGGTGGAGGAACCTAAGGTGTGAGGATGGCTCCCGCCAAACCCGAGACTATTGAAATCCGGAATGGGCTGGTGTGGGTTCGTGTGGGTATCAGTGGAATTAAAAACAGGATCCATCTGGTTCCTCAACACTAGGTTGTCATCTGGTTCAGCTACATGAACCGGTCGGGGGGAAACTGGAGACAGCATTTCTCTCTTTTCAATACTCTCGTCGACCGTGTAAGTGTCTTGGAGATAGTTTGGAGAAATGGCAGGAGGGTCTGGAGCAGGTGGAGACGACTGGTTTTCAGACATAACGAGCAATTATTTGCATGGAACAGTGAAATTTGGGGATTGGGCAGGTGCGGCGGGGGAGGGGGAGGGGAAGAAGCGAACGATTCTTTCTATGAATGAGAGAAAACTAAGAGCTGCAGTTGGGCTATTGATACCTAACACTGGTGATAGTAACAACTGTGGGGGCTGTAGTTGTGGCTGGAGGGATGGGTTTGATTGTAAGTAGGTGGGTTGTTGATGGAGGGAAGAGAAAGAGAAAGAGGTGGTTGGTGGAAAGGGAACGAGACGGATGATGGTTACTCGAAGCAGGCGAAAAGAAGTTCGGCAGGGGTATGCCCTTTGCACGAGCTCACCAGCCACAGAACTGACACCACTTCCTTCAAATAGCCACACCAGACCCACAAGGCAGAAGGGAACAACTGATTGGCATTTTGAAACCTCGGTGCTCACGAGGTTTTTTACTCTTGGTCTTGCAATTAAATCCGATTACTATATCAATCAACCCTAACCCATATTTATAAGCCAAGATTAACTCGGGAATTCCTTTCCGTTCCGTAGAGGCCAAGTTCCAACGGATGGCCGCGGTCGGTGACGGTAGAATGCACTTGTCCCCAGGGGGCTCTTAAACTCTGTTTCTTCTTCTTGTGCTCTTACTCTCGTTGCTGATCGTGCACGTCGCCCGACTGAGGAGCTCTTTCTTTACTATTTTGATTGTTACCCACCACTCGACAGGAGTTTAACAATGCCCAAAGACAAAGACGGGGTGGTTATTGCTTCTGTAAGTGCGCCTGTGCACTGCGATTGCGTATGTGCTTTGCTGTGCGCTCGGGGATACTGACCACACGGATTCTATAGCTGTCAGGGAAATGGGTATCATGGGCTCATACTACTGTCGCGTACTGTTCGTCGCCATTTCTATCTTCATATAATAAGGTCAAATGCTGATAGATTATTCCAGGTGCTTTCTTTAGCGCGTTGATCGTAGGAATGTAAGTGGGCTGTCGACATGTCAAAGATAATAATGATTACAACACACGGGAGGCTGAGAATTGCGTAGGTGGCTGCATTTCCACAAAATCGTCCAAAACGAGCACTATGTGAGTTAAAGCAATGATATATTACTTCCAGAGGACTGCAAGTATAGCAAGCCAACTAACTAACCCACGTGATTGCAGGGTTATCCAGATGAATGGTTCCCTTCGGTATCTGCCACAATTGGCGACCGTTATCCTGAGCGCTCTATCTTCCAATTATTTATTGCAGTCACTTCTGGTCCTCGCTTTGCTCTAGTATTTCTGTGGTACATTCTTACCGCGCGACCTGGCCGCTTTGCACCGAAGTTTGTCGGTTGCGTTGGTCTAATGCGTACATTCTTGTGTGGTGGTTGGGTCTATATCACCTCTACGGACGACCATGATTGGCATGACATTTTCATGATCTCGTATCTTGTGTTCACCCTTCCATGGACAATCGGATGCCTTATGCTGTCCCCCATGAACCAACAAGCTATCAAGTACAGGAAAATGCTAGCAGGGCTTTTCTTTGGAACACTCGTTCCATTGATCTATTTCTTTATTCAACATAAAGTCCATAAAGTAGCTGGAGGTAAGCTTTTATTATAAAAATATATACATGACGGTATCTGAGATGGACATTGGAACTGATTGAAGTGCAGCTTATACTAAATACGCTTTCTTTGAGTGGTCCTTGATCCTGTTCGATGTTGGGTTTGATGCAGTCACGGCCCTAGACTTTACAGGACTTGAATTACAGGTTGTTGATACAAGGAGGAATGGCAAAGGGTACGTTGGCTGGCTCCCAGTGTAGATAATTTATAGATTTATTGCGATCCAATGATATCCAAAAAAACGCAACTGGTTCTAAATCTCGTTTTTGTTATAGAAACGGCGCTATGCTGTCAGATACCCTGTTGGAAAAGGCGAAGTATGATCCCTGTCCATGTGTTACATCAACTATAATCTCACGACATGAAGGGACGATAGGATGCGAATTCCGCAGCAGTTGTTAGGAGAGAATTTTTCATGGGATCATATGATTGATATTGCCGCAGATATTTATAGTGGCGTAAGTCATTCTTATTGGTTGCTGGTTCTAGGAAAAAGAAAAAAAAATAAAACTGACATATGCGGGTGATAGTTCATGTTTTGGTCAATCCTAACCTCGCTCGGTGTAACCATATGGTGTAAGTGAATGGCAATTCTATTCAAGAGAACACAAAAATATCCTAACATACTCATACAGTCTTTCCGCTATGGCACATGGGAATTTCCGGTTACGAAGTCCTGGTATTGACTACGGCTTCTCCACTTTTACTTGGCTTTCGTCCCATCCGTCAAGCAGCAGTGAACAATCCCCGTGCTGCATATTTGCTTTCGCTCTCAGGACTTCTTGCTTTTGCAGTTACGATGCCTGAGGTACGTCTGTTTGCTGTTGCCGCAGGTGTTGTCTTCACTTGCCTTGCCTGGACCGGCAGTTTTTACGCTGAAAGGTCAAACCCTGCCAGGCTCGAGGCAAAAATCACTGCCTTTTCTCTCGGGTTGATCGCGTCCAGCATCGCAAAATTTGCTAACCATAGCAACAACCCTATCTGGCCCATTATGAACGCAGAGAATGGTGGATGGAACAAAACTGGTCTTATTCTAGCCATCTTGGCAATCCTTCGCTCGACGCGAAGGACTTCCTCTACGTATGGAGAACTTCCATTACCAGCACCAGGAGCGAAGAACGAATCTTCGATTTTTGCAATCATTGGGCTGGGAGGCTTGCTTTTTGGTCTTCATTCACTACTCTCTGATTCTAGTACCATGATCCTATGGGTTTGGGATGGATATCCAGTTAAAGGACCTCTTGCGGTCCCGCATGGGGCGTGGACTATTCTGGCCATGGGCGTGGGATTCCTGATTGGGTTGTACAGAAGCGATCTGACGCAGACCTGGACTCTTTATGGTGTTGCATGCACTTCCGCAGCAATTTTCTATGGAAATCCTGGGTGGTTTGGATACTATGGAGCCCTTGTTCTGGCCACATATCTTATGGCGCTCATTCCCACATTTATTCAATCAGCGGCCAGACACAGCCCTGGAAAGACTTTCGGTTCTGCGTTTATGTGCTACAATATTATTGTCCTGGCGCACGTTTGGGTCGTCGCTTATGCATTCGTTCCCGGCGGCCCGTTGCTCCGTGAGAGGACAGACTTGGTCATGGCTGGAATGATGCTTATGATCGGTGCCGGCGTATTTGCAACCACGAGCTACCGCTCAAAGGTTTCCAAATCAAAGGTGCATGAATCTCCTGTGAGGAGCCGTTTCAAAACCTACTCAGTCTACTCTTTAATTGTGCTGGAGTTGTTTTCTGCATCTGTTGCCTACATTCGTTTCCCATCGTTCAACTACGAACCGTACAACAAAGATGCAAAGGTTGTCACTGCCGGAATCTGGACCGTGCACTTTGCATTGGATAATGATATGTGGAGTAGTGAGAGACGTATGAGGGATGTTATCAAGGAGTTGGAAGTTGATGTTATTGGACTGCTCGAGTCGGATCTTCAACGTATCATCATGGGTAACCGCGACATGACTCAGTTCCTCGCTGAGGATCTGGGAATGTACGCGGATTTTGGGCCTGGACCGAATAAGCACACATGGGGTGCTGCATTGTTATCTAAGTTTCCTATCGTCAACTCAACACACCACCTTCTTCCTTCGCCGGTGGGAGAGCTTGCACCCGCCATTTTGGCAACACTGGATATGTACGGCGAAATGGTCGATGTCCTAGTTTTCCACAGCGGACAGGAGGAAGATGTTGAAGACAGAAGACTTCAGTCTGAGGGCATCGCAAAGTTAATGGGAGATAGTCCGAGACCACTCATTCTGTTGAGTTACCTCGTGACGGAGCCTAAACAGGGGAACTATAATACCTACGTTAGCGAGCAGAGCAGGATGAGAGATATTGATCCTAGTGACTGGGATCGATGGTGTGAATATATCCTTTATAGAGGTCTAAGAAGGATTGGGTATGCAAGGGTATCTCGAAGTACTATCACAGATACCGAGATCCAGGTATGCCTCTGTCCTCAAGCTTATTTTACCAATATTACAGAGCTAACAACAATCTCTTTAGTTGGGTAAATTTATTGTTGGCATGTCCGAGGGTGGTGACACGATTGTCCCTGAGTCGGATATTCAGCCACAGTTCAGATTCCCAGCCATGTTTAAGGGCGAGGGTGTCCGAGGTCATGCTTATCATGTGTTGGATGACGAGCCACGGTAAGTGCTTGTTGACTCTTCTAAACCTCGAAATCCCGGAAGCTAACACCATCGAAAAGGTACTACATGTAATATATAATCGTTGCTATCGTGCATCTTGCTTTTTTACGTTTCGTGTGCGTTATATACCACTCGCGGAGCATCGTTTTATCTTCATTCACATACTTTGCCAACATTTCTTTCCTTATTGTCTAGTTTGCGTGAGAAGAGAGGAAGGGCTACACTAGTAAGCCCATATATCTGGATGAAGGATGGCATCATACGACGTTGATAATGGGACCCGGGGGAATTAGGTCATGTAATTACGCAAAATGTTTACGCATAGCTAGAGGTCTTTAACATGTACTAGCATGTGAGAGAAGGATAGGGCCTGGGGAATTTGTATGGGTTTGAAAGTTTGGTACATATGAATAAATACTCAACCTTCACTTTTCTATAATGAATCAGCGCAGCCCAACCATTAGGAGTGCATGTAGTCATAGATAATCACTCGAGGACTCTGGATGTCGACTGGATTCTATTGGTTCGGTAGACCAGTCTGTCCCTGAGCGACTGTTCCCGCTACCTTACCCGCTATCCTGAGGATGCAACAGTTACTACCCACCAAATTTTGGGTGACGCCGCGCCCGCTGATGGGCAGACTGGTCTAATAAAATTCGAGACCTCCATTTTCAATTATTGAGCCCTAACCCTAAGTCATCTACATATCACGTGCCATTGCCGTTTCAGAGCCGCAAAAAGTGGGATGAAAAAAAAAGAGCCGAATGGCAACAACACCACACGACATATACTGGATCCCAACCCCACAATTTCACCAAAAATACGCCTCTCGTGCGCCGAGCAAGATACCGAGCCTTTTCTGATAACAATCTCCCAATGTTCAGAAATGGCTTCAATGCCACCCGTCGCTCTCTTCTTACGGTAGCGCACCCCCGGCCTCATACAGTACATAAAGAACTCCCAAGCAGTAACTTTGTATGCATATCTTGCCAGTTTCGGACAGCACACTCTGCATCGAAGCACTCCTCTGGGAGGCCGGTGAAGAAGGGGCGAGGGACCAAGTCGAACACCTTTTTGGGCGCTATCAAGAGGCTTGAGGCACACGTTCAGCACATTGAAAAGACCTACGCGGATCGGGTTAAGCAGTACGATGCTCAGCAGGTTCGTTGCTAGCTCTCTTGTCGGGCGCCTCCGTTCTGCAATTGAGGTACTGACTATTCGTGTGTAGGAGTTACCAGATGTTAAGGTTACCGATGATCTTACGGACCGTGCCTACCGAGCCCTTATGGCACCTCCCCAGGTTGCAGCAAACTTCCTTCCGGAGCCTGAAACGCCGTTGGACCACCTTCCAGCACCCGCACTAGCACGAATTGATGTTACAACAAGGTTGATGGTGATGCAAGGGAGACAGGAGCTGAATTGGGACACAATGCTGGCAGAGATTGAGTTAAATGGGGGCCTGGAAAATATGAATACCTCGGAAGTGAATAAAATGGTTTCGTTGGTTAATGTTGACCAGAGGGCGGCACTGTCATCAAAGTTATTGGGAATGATGGAGAGCTCTGATGTGCAGCCTAATACCTTGACTTTTGATCTCATGATGTTGGCGCATGCAGCGGTAGGGAATCCAACAGAGGTTAAGACACTATTTGAAGATATGAAAAAGCGTAAGAACCCTTATGTCGACACGTACCACCCAAATAGTTGCTGACATTTCGGAATAGGAGGCCTCACCCCAACCGTGTACTCGTATGGCCATCTTCTAAAAGCCCACTCCCAACAATCTGATGTTCAAGCAGCAACCAACGCAATTCAAGAAATGCATGCTCTCGGAATTATACCTAATCTCGTTGTCTATACCACCTTAATCCAAACTTGTATAAACCGAAACCAGCTCGAAACAGCCTGGCAAATCTTTAATCTTATAAAGCTCAAATCAGCCTCCACCGCGCCGGATGCAGAGACCTATACCCTCATGATACACGCCTGCGCTATCAACGGTGAAGTCGAGCGCGCGTTGGATTTATATACTGATATGACAACCCGAAGAGGGCTAGAACCAACGCATGAGACGTACCATGCACTGATACATGCATGTGCATTGAGGAAGGACTATTTCACTCAAGCTTGGAGGTTTGCGACAGAGATGCAGGCCCGAGGGCTAAAGGTAAACCGGCTTTACCTGAACACATTACTGCAGGCGTGCGGGCGGACAGGAGAACTCACTAGAGCGAGGCTTCTTGTCCGACATATGATGAGATCTGCACGTACGGGTGAAGATCTGGTTCCAGACGAAATCTCATTCCAAAATCTACTTCGTGCATACGCAATGTACAAAGCGCCGGGTGAGAGCAAAAACCGTGGTGTGAAGGGTATTCTTGTTGGGGGAAGAGCCACTGCCGAAAAGGACACTGAGAAAAAGGAGGAGGAAGCTACATTTATTGTGACAGGGTCTGGAAGATTGGAGAAAAGGCAGGAAGGACAGTACGAAGAAAAGGTACCGTTCTTAGAAAAGAGTGTACTTTTAACCCATAAGGAAGTCATGTCAGAGGTTCGGCAGGTGTTCAGTTGGATTAGAGAGAACAGACCTGAGTTTGTCAGCTCTCAGCTGCTCAATGCCTACCTTGAAGCTTGCCAAAACATTGGCAGTCGCCCTGGCTTCAGGGAGGTAAAGAAGTGTTATTCACGCTACTTTTCCAACGAGTCCGGCATGGCAGAAGAGGAATCGTCGGCGCATTCTGGAAAGGCTCCGGTAGAGAATGAAGAAACTATCAGCGACGAAACTGCTGAAGAAGACGAAGAGGACGAAGAGCCACAACCCCCACGCCCACCACCCCAACCTCCACGGAACGGTTACCAATCCACATACAAGTACGGAAACCCACCACCACCCCCACCACCATCTCCTCCTCGATATTCTCTCCCTCCCCGTAATATCTACACCTTCTCCACTACTTTACAGGCGGCCTACAAAGACCGTGATTTAGCATTTGCTCGTCGGGTCATGGCCGACCGGGAGCGATACAAACGAACAATATCCTACCAAAGCGTATTCCCGGAGGAACAACGCAAGCACGACTTCCACGTTGAATGCATAATGATTGATATCCTGGCCGCCTGTGAATACCTAGGCGAGGCGGTCGAAAGACTCGAAGAGAACCTAGAGCGGTTTGAGTGGAAGGAGGAACATCTGAAGACGCTGTACACACGGGCTGTGCAGCTAGAGGATTGGGGCACTGTGCGGTTGTGCAATAAGATTTCTGGCAAGGAAGATGATCGATTCTAGTTGAGCGGTGTATTTTTATGATGATGTATCTGCAGGTTTTTCTTATTTTAGAACTCCGCTTTGGGGGATGGTGGCGTGTATGGGTATGCTGGTGTATATATGGGGTTTGTACTTTTTAGATGTACTTGTTGGAACATAGAACAAAAGATATAAATATGAAGCAAAGGGTAGTCTCTAAACGAGTTCGAATATTATTCATTTCTCAAGGTTCCCAAGTATCGATGTATATTATCGACCAGCTAAAGATAAATAAAACCTTTGCTGTAGGAGTTACCAGATCATTTGTATCTGAGAGGTTTGCGAATTAAACATTACCTCCCTTATACTAGCTACATGTACCTACATGTAGTTTGTCGCAACATTGTATCGCCACTTGGTTGTGGCCACCTACTCAACTACAAGACACGTATATCGCAGGGCTACGAATCATGTTGGAGTCAACAGTCACTTCCCCCCTCCTCCCCACCCGTACCCGAAGGATCTGCGGAGCATCATAAATGAACTCTCAATTAATCAGTCAATCCGCGGAGAATCCCACCTATATACCGAGATCCGAGTGATTTTCTATGATTCACATTTGGTCTGTCCCCAGGTCCCATTTACAACAATACATCAAGTCCACGACCGCCACAAAAACCATATATTTACATCATTCCCTCTCTATAATTCTGAAATTTCTAGCGATGATATCAATCATTCCTTCCCCGGTGAATTTTGTGTTGCCCGCAGCAGCAGGCCCTCTCAATTACAACCAATCCAATTTATCATCGCCCCCACCCCTCAGTCCCAGCGTTACACGATTCTCAAGCGCTTTGCTGAAAGTGATCACGCGTTCAAGCCTGTGACTCTAGACTCTCTAGCAACATACGAAGAGGAGCTTGGTAGGGAAAAGGCTTCTGCATACATACAAAGGATCGCAGATCGAGGTTTGTCCAACTAACAGTATGTAGTTCTCTAGACAACCACCCTTTGGTCCCGTATCGGTATAATAGCAACCTTAGTAACAGCTGTATCCACGCTACTGCAATATAAAATTATCTATGTGGTTAATGAATTAAACCAAAAAAAAAAATCCCCATATGGCCTGGGCTCAGAAAGCCGAGTGATCTTTCATGACGGCAAAGGAAATGACCGAAACGACCAGAAAATATTCCATAGGAACAAGGAAAATAGAAAATATCTCTCTTTTAAGCGGGAAATGTATTATCTGTAACTCCTTATATGTTCACCTAAGGTGTACGTGTACTTTATGAGCGTGATGCCGCCTATGTAAGTGCTTGACTTATGCAAACTGATATACTACCACTCTAGCAATAATAACAACAACAACAATAATATCGTACGCAGGCGGGGAGCAGATCAGCAGTAAGTACGTGCACATGTAGTTATATCGAGAAGATCTAGATCCCTAACACTGCCCCCAACCCCGTGCCGTAGACTCCGTACCGTACCGGAACCCGTCTAGAGCACATGTACCTATAACTGCAAGCCAGGTCTGTACCAGTACCTACATGTGCCCTATCATGATACAACACTTGCACCTGCATAAATGTAGTAATCCGGAGCGCCCCAGACACTCATCGGAATTTTCCGAAACATTCCATTTATGATATCACTTTTTTTTCCCCGCACCGTTATTGTCTTTCCCTACCACGCGGTATCAAGGTCATGACACCAGGCAGCAGTTTCAAGTTTAGTGCCGCATTATCCCAATTTAGTAATCAGCGGCGGCCGTACAATCGGGCGCGCCAAGGAAAGCTGGTGGGAGCGGCGAAAGAACACCAACCATCTAGGGCCAGCCCTAACACTTTGGCGGCCAAAATCCTGGCACTTGACAATTCTATAAATAATTTCTTTCTACTACCTCTCTCTACAACTCATCAAGCCTTTCTGCTACCTCCCTGTCCCTGAAAGGGGAAGGGAGTTATTCCCCGCCCCCCTCCTCAAGAGAGGAGGGGGTTTGTGCTCTTCCTCCCCTCCTCATTAGAGGAGGGGTGTTATTCCCCCGCTCCCCACCCCCCCTCTCTCATGAGGGGGGTTCAGTCAGCGTTCGTCCCTCCTCATATGAGGGGGGTCAGTCAGTGTTCTCCCTCCTCTTGTGAGGGGGAAGAGTTATTCGTTTGCGCTCCCCCTCCCATAGGAGGGGGAGTTACTATTTTTCCTTCCTCCCCCGGGCCCGTAATAGGGCCTAAGGGGAGGATGTAGAGATCCCTCCCCCCTTGGGCCCATAGTAGGGCCCGACAGGGGAGGGGGATATTCATTCTTCCCCCCCCCCCCCCCTTTCGCCTTCCGGCCCATAGTAGGGCTCGAGAGGGGAGGGGTTTCCTCTTTTTCTTCTTTCTGCCCGTTCTGGCCCTCCTCACCGAGGGTTCAGAACGGACAGAAAAAAACATTTTTGGCCTCCTCTCCTTCGCAAGAAGGAGAGGGGGCCTTTTTTGCGTTAGGATGTTTCGCCCTCTCCCCCGTTCGGGGGAGGGGGCTATTTTGCGTTGGTTTGGTTTTGCCCTCTCCTCTTCAAAAGAAGGGGAGGGAGCTATTTTACGTTCGGTCTCCCCCTTCTTCCGCCCCCCCCCCTCCCATATCCCCGCATAGCCCTCTCCTCTTCACAAGAAGAGGAGAGGGCTTTTTTTTTGCTTTGGCTTGTTTTGGGCTCTGGGTGCACACCGAGGGCCCAGAACAAGCTTTTCGTATGAAGCGGTTCAGATCATGTGGTATCACTCGGCCGTCTTTTTCGGGCGGCGTAGGTGCTGGTGAGTGGGCTATCGCTTTCTTTTTCATTTACCAATTTCAGTAGTTGTTGGACGTAGTCGAAGCCATCACTGCGGGAGGGTTATTATTTCGAGTGTGGTGACGATCTGTAACGGCGGCTAGTGGATCATGAGATCTCACTCGCTGACTACCACATGTGGGTATGGGTTACAGTCGAGGCCAACATGGCAAGGGACTTTGGAGAAGCTGCTTTAATGTCTGATTAAGGACCCTAAACAGTTAGTGTACTTATTTTTGGTTATTAGGTAAACGGTCACGTCCTACAGTCTCGACCTCGCTATACCTCACATCAGGATCCGACAGCAAAGTGCATGACATACCCTCATAGCAAAACAGGGTCAAGACCCAAAGCAACCCAATATGCGACAGTCTCAGATCGGGGTGTATATGTAGAAACCTTATCAATATCGCCGGTGGGCCGTAACTATAAAGTAAAGCTACATGTAAGTACTTGTTGTTGCAAGGCATAGATGGCCAAGGCTGGACGTTTCGGTGCGTCCCTTGCGTCGTGAAGTATAATATACATGTACATGTATGTATGGAGACGTTAGATGTAGGTAGTGCTAAATCTGTGTCGCCGAGGGCGTTGGGACTGGTTGGATCTTGTAATGGTTAACTTTCCTGTGTGTCTTGTAGTAGTAGTACCTGTTTCCTGGGCGTGTACTTGTTTCCTGGCGATCATTTCCCACCACCGACAAACACTGCCAATACTACATGAACTGCCGCTTAAAGACTCACCTTAATTACTCATAAAAAGATATGCACCCCGGGTAGCAACGTCACACCTCACTTTCTGCACTTGCACTTTCGACCCTTTCACTTGCACTTTCCCCCTCTTCCCTCTCACCCTGCTGTCAGTCACGTCATGCCATGTCAGCTGATGTGCCCTGCCATATTTCTGCCCTCCACACCATAAGCACCCTAACTGGTACTACTACATACCTGCATTTACTCTTATTCCAACCTCAACGTCCCGTACGTCCCACCCATAAGTATGCACATACAAGTACCCCAACTTGTACCTGCGCTACCTACCTACCGACTCTGCATGTACCGACTCTGCATGTATGTATATACCTTGAGTGCCCTAACCCGTACCTGCATCACATCGCCCACAGAGAACGAAAACGGCCGTCCCACAGTTTCAGAAACCCGCCCATTGCCAGCCCTGTACCACCGTGCCAGGTTAGAAGCTTGTGAGATGGGACGATAGCTTTTCAATCTTTCTGTTTTCTTTCTGCGTGCTTCCAAATTTTTCTGTCGCGGCCCGGCCCGGCCGGTACGGTACACTCACTCACTCACGATCCTGCTATATCAACCATGAGCCGGCCGCAAGAAGCAGCTCTCTTCCCATGTCTGTGGTACCGTACGTACCATGTTTCAGGCAGGGGACGAGTCGGAAAGTTAATCGGCGCCCGTTACGTTTCTCTGTGTTCCGCCATGGGCCAGTGAGTAGGCCAGGCCGGATGCGTACTAACTATAGTTTGTAGCCAGACAGAGGAAGAAGGGAGGGTGGTAGTGGTAGTGGTATATTAGGCACTACATACATAATCTATTCCGTTTCGTTTCGTTTCGGCTACCCACCAGAGGGTGGGAGGGGGGAGTCAAGAGGGGGTGTAACGTGGCCCAGAAAAAAAAACCTAATCGCCCGTGGAACCGTACACGTGGGCTGTGTCTGCTCCATAACTACATGTACTTACCAGCGTCCCAAGCTTGTACTCTATACAGTGGCAGAGCAGAGTAGAGTAGGTCCCGGGGGACATACTTGCACCACAGGTCACAGACAACTACACCACCACCCACTGCTAGTACATAGCTGCTAAAATAGATTAACCCCCTCCCCTCCGGAGATTTAACACTCCAAAAACAAAAACAAAAACAAAAAAAAGCTTATTGGAAATTACGGGCGTCGCAATCTCACATGGCGAATGACGTACCCGCTGTGCCCCGAAATTGGGGGCGGAAAAAAAAAGAATAGAGGGGGTTCGTGCGAAAAGGCGATCTGTGCGACGCGTGGAAGCTTGTACGTTCCTTTTCTGGGTGTTGATGGAGAGAGGAGAGGGCGAGAGGAGGGCTATTGGAGGAGAGGGTGAAGAAGGGTCAAGCTGAGTTGAGAGCTGAAGGAAGGATAGACGGATGGATGTATGGATGGATGGATGGATGGCCATGAGTGGATGAGTGTTGGGTGTCTGATCTGCGACACGGGTCACGGTGGTTTTTTTCACTATGTACCTACTGGCTGGCTATGGCTGGCTGGCCGCTGGAGAGATAACGGCTGTTTCTCCAGCATCAAACCGCTGTTTCTAGAATGTCTCTCGAACCGCCCTGTCCTGTCCACCCCCCACGCCACAGCCAAAGAGCAGCCAGAAACGGGGCCGAGTGACAACCCATGCACCACACCCCACGCGACCAGCACCAACGCGCGCCCACCACAACCACAAACATGTGACAACGCCCCACCCCCCCTACCCACAGTGGCTAGTACCCACCACCGCCAAGAACCCAACCCCTGTCACCTCAACGATAGAGCAAACCGCAAAAATCTCCCCCGTCGACAACCACACACTCACCTCACACACCTCACCCCCCCAAACCCACAAACCCACACACACACACACACCCGCAAAAATAAAAAATGGCGACCGACGACGACGCCGCCATGCCGCCGCCCATCCCCACGGCCGACACCTTCACGCACTTCCAAGACACGCTCTTCTCTCGCGTCGTAGCCACCGTCAAGACCGCGGGCGCCATCGCCGCCTCCGACGTCTCCTTCCAGCGCTCGTCCGACCCGGCGTTCAACGAGGGCCTCGACGAGGTCAGCGCCCGCATCCTCGGGCTCGCCAACCAGCTGCTGCACGCGGCCGCGCGGGGCAGCAGCGACATTGCGACGCCGGCCAGGATGAGGGATGTGGACGATGTCGAGAATGGGTGGGGCGAGGTGGTGGAGGTGGTGGATTACTTGTTGGAGAAGGCGGTATGTATGCCCCCCCGGACCGGAGGAGTGGTTGAGGAGAGGGAGTGAATTGAGGAGAGGGGGGTAAATTGGAGAGTGAGATGTGGGATGGTGCTGATAATTGGTGGGAGTGGTAGGATACGTGTTTGGATGAATACACAGGCGCAATTAAGCAGAAATACCCCACGCCCCTCCCCGGCGCACAGCTCGTGAGCCCCCCTCCCCCCCTCCCCCTCCGCACCCCCTCCCCCCTTCACTCCCCACTAACACCCCCAGACCACCCCCCACCGCCCTCACAACGCCGCCCCCGTCCCCCGCGCCACCTCCTGGCAATCCCGCAAGCTCCCCAAGCCCCAACTCCTCTTCCCCGACGTCATCGACAACTTCGCCCCCCCCCCCTTCAAGCCCCTTCTCACCACCAAACCCCACGCCACCCTCCCCCTCCCCGCCAGCCTCACCCTCGAACCCAACGACCACGGCGCCCCACAATACACCCACCCCTACCGCACCGAGATCGAAACAACCCCCTACCCACCCTCCGTCTACCACCCCGCCCCACCAACCCCCTACCACCCCTTCTCCACCACCACCGCAGCCTGGGTCTCCACGCCCGCCGCCCTCACCGCCATGATCAGCGCACTCGAGAAGTGCACCGAGATCGCGGTCGACCTGGAGCACCACGACACGCGCTCGTACATCGGCTTCACGTGTCTGATCCAGATCAGCAGCCGCGACCAGGACTGGATCGTGGATGCGCTGGCGCTGCGCGGGGAGCTGCAGGCGCTGAATGCCGTTTTCGCGGATGGAAGGATTGTGAAGGTGCTGCATGGCGCGTACATGGATATACGGTGGCTGCAGCGGGACTTTGGCGTCTATGTGGTGGGGCTGTTTGATACGCATTATGCGGCGAAGGCGCTGGGCTTCCCAGGCTTGGGGCTGGCGTATCTGTTGAAGAAGTATGTGGGCTTTGATGCGGATAAGCAGTACCAGCTTGCGGATTGGAGGATTAGGTATTTTTTCTCTCTTTTTTCTTTTCTTTTCTTTTATTGCTTCTATATATATATCTACTACTATGGGATGTACTACGGCATTGGAAGGGGCTAATGAACTGACGATCCAGACCCCTCACCAAAGAAATGTTCGACTACGCCCGCTCCGACACCCACTTCCTCCTGTACATCTTCGACCACCTGCGCAACGAACTCATCGCGCGCTCTGACCCCTCCAACCCCAGCGAGGACCGTCTCCAGCGCGTGCTCCAAGACTCGCGCGAGACAGCGCTCAAGCGCTACGAGCGCGAGTCCTACGACGCCGCCACGGGCCTCGGCGCCGCCGGCTGGTTCAACATGGTCACGCGCGACAACCTCACCCCGCTGCAGCTCGCCCTCTTCAAGGCCGTGCACCAGTGGCGCGATAACGCAGCGCGCGAGGCCGACGAGAGTACGCATTATACACTGTCGCGGAGACAGCTGTTTGGCATTGCGAGACAGGCGCCGACGGATGTGGAGACGCTGCTGAAGGTGTGTGTGCCGACGTCGCATGTGGTCAAGGAGCGCGCGAAGGAGCTGGTGGAGCTGGTCAAGAGTGTTATTGAGAATCCGCCGGACGAGACTGTCGCGCCGGCAGCGCAGGAGGCCTCCGCGCCCGAGATGGAACTAGAGCCGGCGCCGGTCGCCACAGTGCCCATCATCAAGACCGATATCTTTGCGCCGGCGGCGACCGCCGCGGCGTCGATCCAGGCACACAAATCGGCGTTCTGGGGGCCCGTCGCGGGCATCAGCAGCCGCTGGGAGACCGGCGCTGTCGCGGCAAGTATTAGTCTTGCGGTAGAGCTGCCGCCGCTGACGGCTGCGGTGTGGGTGACGCCCGGTGAGAAGGAGAAAGCGAGAGAGGCCGTGGTGGTCGTGGATCCCGGCGCGAGGGTAGAGCATCAGTATATCAAGGGCGCGGCGGCGCAGAAGAAGAAGGAGGACGACATCATTGTTGTCAAGGCGCTGGGCGGTGCGCGAAAACGGAAAATGCCGGATGACGAGGCGGCGCCGGCGACTGCGGATGCAGAGGCAGAGGTTCCTGCTGCTGCGGTTGGAGAGTCGAAAGAAGGTAGCGCATCAGGCGAAGAGAAGGAAGAGCAGGAGGAAGACGCGGTGGCCCTGGAGCCCTCGCGCAAAAGGGAGAAGCGGGAGAAGAAGGAGCTGCGGCGGGAGAAGCGACGTCTTGCTGCTGCTGGTGGTGCTGGCGCTGCTGGCGACAGCGGCAGTGGTGATGCGGAGAAGCCGCGCGAGTTCCAGGCATTCGACTATTCGAAGGCGCCGCCTGTGTTTAACGGCCACAAGGATAAGGGGAGATGGAGGGATAAGAAGCCTGGGCAGCAGCAGCAGTTCGATCCGTATGCGAAGTCGGGCGATGCGCCGAGGGGCATGAGCCGTGGACAGAAGGAGCGCGCGGGGAAGTCGCATACGTTTAAGCAGTAGTTTGTCGGGATTTTCTTTTCTTTTCTTTTCTCTCTTTTTTTTGTAATCTAGATAGTCAGTAGCTAGTGGTAGTGGGTGGTGATGGTCCATGGTAGATAAAATGGGATGAAAATGGGACTCCTGTTTTTTTTTTTAATGTTTCTGGCTTTTTTGCTGCTTCTGTTTTTTTGTGTTTCTTGGTTAGGATGTGCAGCGGTGGTGATGGTGATGATGAAGATGGGAATAGATGAGGGATGATGAGGGATGAGGGAGATGCAGATGACGGAGATGATGGAGATGAGGACGGGGGTTGTGGAGGGGGGGGGGGGGGTTGTTGTGGTGGAGATGCAGATGCAGATGCAGATGCAGATGTCGATGGAGATGAAGTGTCTGTGTGGTTGTGGGTGAGCTGAGCTCACTTTGCTGTGCAGCTAGCTACAGTATGTAGCTGTGCGTGGTGCCGGTGCCTGTGCCTGGAAACGGGAATTAAACGTATGTAACGACCGCGCGCTCGATCATGCAAAGCACAGCTGCGTACATGACAGAATTAACCCTAGCTACAGTACCCTGTGCACGTGTCGCTGAGGGGGGGGGGGGCACACACACATAGGAGAGTATGTATGTATGGGAGGGGATTGGGTTGGGGGGGGGGGGTATGCAGTACCGGTGCTGTATGTAGGTCGAGTAGCTGTGCCTTTCTACTCTAAAATACAGAACCCAGCATCTATCGGCATGGCAGCACTTCTCTCCTCTCCCCTCCTCCACATAGCTCAATGGAGGAAGCCGAATTCGGCACCCGCGGCAACGGGGGGCCGGAGGAGAGGGGGGTATAGAATGGAATTTTAATCTGATAACATCACGTCACTGGCATTCTTGGATTCTTTGGGGCTGTTTCGTTTCCGGTGGTGGGGGGTTGTTGTTACTTTTTTTGAGAGAGTGATCGATGATGGTTTTGGAGAGGGCATGTAACCTCGGATGGGTTCGTTACTCTGGTACAGTATGTACCAGGTACAAATGTAGCTTTAAAAAGAGCCCATCGATTTTTTTCTTATTATTTATTATTTATTTTTGTTTTTCTGTTTTCTTTTCTGATCTGGCCCCGCAGTCAGTCAGGCAGGGTCCATTTGATCTTTTGTTTTATTTTTTTTCCCTTTTACTTTTTTTCCCGCAAGGCAGGGCCCATTCGGTTCTGCGTGGTCGTCGTCGCTTGTACGGATGGTGTACCGTATTTTTAACTATCTTCGGTATGTGATGCGCGCTGCTCTAGAGGCTCGCTCTACTCGACTGTGTCCGTGCCCCCCTGAAGCTGCCTAGGTAGGTATGTAGCTAAGGAAAAGGAAAAAATGGGAAAAAAGAAAAAGGGTACCTTAGTAGGGTATGCAGAATACCGTGTGCCTACATCTTACCGATTGTTGTGCCTAGGCGAGGAGCGAGTGGAGAGCAAGTGTAGTGTGGGTTAGGCTTCGGCCGAACCAATGTGTGCGGTGCAGGGTAGATAGAGTGCTAGGGGGAGTGGTGCATGTGGGCATGCAGGAGTCGGTACTCTTGCTTGCTCTGCTAAAGTGCTCTAGAACGAGATGCTGCATAGGAAAAGTAACCTCCGTATCGCGGAGAAATGGGTGGGCCGATGTATGTACGGTACTTTCGGTAGAGGGGGGGGGTGTGATGGAAGAACTGTAGAGTAGAGTTATATTGATGGGCCGGTTGGATATAGATGGGGGTGGTGGGATGGGGAATATGGGGGGAGGGGGGGGGGGGTTACAGTGCAGGAGTAGAGTACCTCACTCTACTCTACAGTCGCTCACCTACTGACGGCGGATCCTGTCTGATGGTTCTGTTTGCAGTAATTTGTCCTTGGCGTCCAAAACCTAACTCTTTTATTGGCCTCAAATCCCTGACCGCCATCAGACAGGATCCGCCTTCACCCCGTGAGTGACTGTAGGTGGTGCCGCCGGTGCTGCACCCACCCCATATTTGTCCCTCCTCCTATCCTAGATATATCCTCTACTTGCTCTACTTTAGATACCCTACCTATATGTACCTAACTTATGTGAGTACATAATGGGTCGGTAACTGGAAGGTATTTGTGTTACTCCTATCATCGATCAGGTACCATTTAACGACCTGCTTGTTCAGTAGTCGTCGTCTTCGTCGTCGTGTGGTTCCTGGGTAGTATATCATACAGTAGTCTCTACTCAAAGTCGTACCTGCTTGTTCCCTGGGCTGATTCTAGGCCGGCAGAGAAAAGTTCCTTGTGCCCTTTTTTCCCCTCCACTGTCCGGGTTTTTTTTTTTAGTTTAGCTTGGTCCCTGGTAGACTACATCCCACCGTTTGCGTGCATCGTGGTCTCCTTTCGCCTATGGTCCTAGGGTACCACTGCCTACGCTGCATAGAGTACTTGTACCTCTTACCCTCACACCTACCCGCTCCCCTTTCCCCCCCCTCCACCCGCACCGTGCTCTTTTTCCTTTCCCTGTTCTCAACTCCTCTTCTGCTTGCTGCTCTCCCCTCTGCTGCTGCTGGGTGATCTGCTTTCTACTTTTTTTCCAAAGTCGAATAGGTTGTGTCCTATATTACTTTCTTCCTTTTTCTGTTTTTTATTTTTATTTTTTATTTTTATTTCCTTTTTTTAACCATTCGACAAGCCCAAAACCCTTTTCGAGTGAATCCTACTGTTCTACCTTGTTCTATTTATTGTTATTTTATTTTATTTTATTTTTTTTGTCTTTTGTTCCCTTGCGTTTCGTTTCTGATTCGCGTCCCTTCTGCTGCACTGCTTCTTGTACCTCTTGTTCCACAACCAAACCCTGGTCCTGACCTGCTTTTTATTTTTTTTTATTTTTTGAAAGCACTTCTGGACCTGAGGGGGACCTGGTAGAACAGACTCCTGTCATCTCTTGTCGCCAGAGCAGCAGCTGCCTGTAGCATTCACATTCGTCATTTGTTCTGCAGCAGCTCTCCTCGTTGAATTTCAACTCCTTCTATCCATCCACCACACCCACACGGCATCCCTCCCTCCCTCCGTTCCATCCATCCACTCACAACGACTCCTCGTTCGTCCTCCCTCTCTGCCCTACATAACCACTTATTTGGTAAAGTCGGCAACTGATAGGACAGTTCACCAAATAACAGTAATAACACCTACCGCATACATCACCACACCAGGTCCCAGATTTCTTCTGCCTGGAGCATCCTCCACTCTTCAACTCCTCTTCCACTGCCATTCCCACACACCCCCCTCCCTCCCCGCTAGCCTACCAGACCCCCCCCTCCCTCAGCCAGCCATCCCATCCTACCGGTTGTCTCGAAGCGTTTCCAATTCCATCCATTCCTTCCTTTAATTGCTCAGTAGCCATCTCTCCACCCAACATCGCTCTGCTACTCGTACAGCAATAGAATAGGAAAATCTCCCAGCTGTCGGTTCAGCCAACCACAACCACCAACCAGACGCTTCTCGTTCCTTAACCTCTACTCACCTACTCCTTCTGAACAACCATTTCGCCCCACAACCAAAAAAACTAATCTAACCCAGCGCCGGTGCTCGGTCCACTAGCCTGCTAACTAGTCTGCCAACGGTTATTTCTTTGTTCTTTCTTCCTTCGCGTCTTCTCTCACAGCTTCGATCCCTTTTATTACCGCCATTATAACCTCCATCTCCATCACCACTGCTCAACCCACCACCACTACTACTGCTTCCTCAACCTTTAGCTTAACTCTCGACAACTAAAGTAACTCTACCGCGTAACTCTTTTCACTACCGACACCATAGCGCTTCCTACAGTAGCAGCCGTGCTGCAGAGGCCTGGCTTCTCAGCCTCATCATCATCTATGTCTGTCACCACAATGCTCGCTCCCTCAGCGAGGAATTCCACCTCTTCCACGTCGTCCAGCTTTGCGACGTCGAGCTTCACACCGGTAACGAGACAGAACACCATTGGTTCGGATGGACCGAGATCGGTCAGGGCGTCAAAGAGGTACAGCGTTACTGCGCTGTACCTGTCCATGTCTGCGCATGATAAGGACATTGAGATTGAGGATGAACTTGCGAAAGGTCAGCTTTTTACATCCTTGCTCTTTGATTTTTTATATTGCGTAGGGGGAAAGTTCGTGAATCTCATACTTGGTGCCCTTTGTCCGTTGTGTCTACAGTTCAGAAAACGCTTCGCGACCTCAAAGCGAAAATATCATCGCAGTCAAAAAAGAACTTCGTGTTGGAGAAGGATGTGAGGTATTTAGATTCACGGATAGCTCTGCTTATCCAAAATAGGATGGCTTTGGAAGAGGTTTGTTTCTGGTCTCCTTGCATGATAATCTCTTGTTACCCTTCTCCCTTGTGGGGGGCACAACCAGGCTAACTTCTGGTGCTATTGCACCCCAGCAAAATGAGGTAGCAAGCCATTTTGATGAATCGTCAGAATTACAAGAGGGTACGTTCCCGAACGATCAAAAGACCCAGCAGTATGGAAATTTATTTTTCCTGCTTCAATCTGAGCCCCGGCACATTGCATCGCTCTGCCGCCTGGTCAGCATGTCTGAGATCGATTCACTTCTGCAGACTGTCATGTTTACCATCTACGGAAACCAATATGAGAGCCGTGAAGAGCATCTGCTGCTTACCATGTTCCAGGTACGTGGTTTTATTACTAACCGCCTAAATATGCTGTGAAACATTGATTACTGACCCCACCAATTTTAAAGTCCGTATTATCGGCTCAATTCGATACTACCCCGGAATACTCGTCCTTGCTCCGTGCGAACACCCCAGTATCCCGTATGATGACAACTTACACTCGTCGTGGTCCCGGACAGAGCTATCTTAAAGTTGTATTGGCCAAGCAGATCAACAACCTGATTGAATTGAAGGAGCTTAATCTGGAAATTAACCCATTGAAGGTGTATGAGCGGATGGTTAAGAATGTCGAAGAGGATACCGGAACTTTGCCGGCAAATATGCCAAGAAGTGTATCAGCGGAAGAAGCCGCGGCAAACCCGCAGGTGCAGGCGATCATTGAGCCACGTTTGACAATGTTGATGGAGCTTGCAAATACCTTCTTGGCTACCATCATTGACAATATCAATGAGACCCCATATGGTATCAGATGGATCTGTAAACAGATTCGTAGTTTGACAAGGAGAAAATACCCGGATGCAAAGGACCAGGTTGTTTGTACTTTGATTGGAGGCTTCTTCTTCCTGAGGTTCCTAAACCCAGCAATTGTCACGCCGCGTTCATACATGCTCATCGATAACGTTCCATCTGAACACCCACGAAGAACTTTGACTTTGATTGCAAAGATGCTGCAGAATTTGGCCAATAAGCCCTCATACTCAAAGGAGCCGTACATGGCAAAGCTCTCGCCATTTGTATCAAATAATAAGGTCCGGATCAACAAGTTTTTGAATGATCTGTGTGAGGTTGGAGACTTTTACGAGTCATTGGAGATGGACAATTATGTTGCGTTGTCTAAGAAGGATTTGGAGTTGAATATTACTTTGAATGAGGTTTACGCTACTCATTCATTACTTGAGAAACATTATAAGGAATTGGTACGTAGGCCCTCAGCATCGACAAAAAAAACTGTAGAAAAATAAGAGCTAACTCGGGAGGTTACAGGGTCGCGACACTGAACATCTTTCAATTATCCTAGAGGAGCTAGGTTCCGCGCCACCGCAACTGCCACGGAAGGAAAATAGGGCCATCAACTTGCCACTTTTCAGCCGATGGGAGAGTGCCATTGATGGTACGGTCGATGGGTGGTTTCTTCCTTCCGGCGGCTATGCTAACACATACCTTACAGACATTTCGGCAGCACTGGATATAACCCAAGAGGATGTGTACTTTATGGAGGCAAAATCAATATTTGTACAGCTTTTACGAACACTGCCGCCAATGTCACCTGCGGTTCGCAGGCCGCTCAACCTTAGGAAGATAGCAGATACTGCGGCGACAATGAAGGATATGGGAATGTTCCGCAAGGGAATGAGGGGATTGGAATTGTTGAACCAATTAAAGGACTTGGGCGTCATTACCGATCTCGACAACTACCAAATTCTACAAGAGGAAGTTGAACAAGAGCTTGTTCATTTGGGATCATTAAAAGAGAAGGTTATGGAGGAATCAAAGAAGCTAGACGAGGTCTATAAGACGATTCGGGATCATAACGCGTACCTAGTCAGCCAGCTGGAGACTTACAAGTCGTATTTGCATAACGTACGCAGTCAGTCGGAAGGGAAACAGAGGAGCAAACAACAGAAGCAGCATGTCCTCGGGCCATACAAGTTTACACATCAACAGCTGGAGAAGGAGGGCGTTATTCAGAAGAGTAACGTGCCTGATAATCGGTATGCCCATCACACTCGGACTCTGTCAAAGGAATGACTGAATTAACCTTAAAACAGTCGTGCGAATATATTTTTCACGATAACTTCGCCTTCGCCAGGAACTTTCGTCATTTCTTTGCACTATAAAGGTTTACACCCCCAGGACCCTGGTCCGGATATAACCCCGGGTTGTCTCACTATAAAGGTACATAAGCTCACAGTGGTCACACTTCCAGGCCGGAACCGAGGACTCTTGGAGCTTGATCTCAAGCTGGACGATCTCCTGGAAATGCAACAGAACAACCATGATGAACTGGATCTTGAATACGTTCAGTTCAATGTGCCAAAAGTCTTGGCCTTACTCAACAAGAGATTTGCAAGGAAGAAGAACTGGTAGTTGCGACGATGCAGGTGATACGATATGAACGGGATGAAGTTTCGTTTGTCTTATTGGACTTTTCTTTTTGTTACTTTTTTTCTCTTAGTTTACTTTTTTTATTTATTTATTTCTTTTCTCGGTCTCGGGGGAGTATGTTGGTAGGGAAATTCTGGGGAGAAACTTGGGAACATATTTTTTTTCGGTAATGGGATAACGTTTGAGATATGTGTGGTTGCTGTGCTGTTTATCGTTGCGTTGTTGAGGGCTTTTTGAAGTTGTGGAGTGGATTTTTTTCTTGTTTTCGATTTGTGCGCTCTTTGTCCATTTCCGTTTTTTGACTTCCTATTCTCGATACATTGTCACCGGTTCAGGTTCTATCTTCTTTTAACTACTTTTTTTTTTTTTTTTTTTTTTGATACATATATCTTCTGTGTGTCTCTTCCTTCAGTTTTACACCCCTTTTGACACCTTTATTTGGTGGTTTATTGCTGTTCTGTTTGTCTGGTTTAGCGCACTTACGATACCCCCCGTTCGTATACGTATGTATAGATGCAGGCAAGTTTACTATACTACTACTACTACTACTACTACTGCTGCTGCTGCTGCTACTACTACTACTACTACTACTACTACTACTACTACTACTACTACTACTACTACTACTACTACTACCACTACTACAACTACTTACTACATACCTGCCGTTACCATCACCACCATCGATTATTACCTACTACTACTACTGATCTTTGGTGTGCTAAAAGCTGTTACTACCATTTCGGCAGGGCCGAATTGGTTAGGAAGGAGGAGAGAGATTATCAGCCTCGTGTATTTTTCTGTTGCTTGTATTGGATTGGGTTTGGGGTTCTTTTTTTTTTATATACTTTGGTTGGATTCACCTTTTTTTTTTTTTGTCTGTCCGGTACCAAGCCAACAGCTCAATTCCGATGTACGCGACGGGGGATTGGAAAGAGAAACCGGGGAATGGGATTGCCTTGTTTCGAAAGTGTATATGGATCACATTACAGCGGTAGCTCTCATGGGTTTTGGGGGGGGGGGGGGGGTTTGGGGTTTGGGAGCGGCGGCTGCTAGTCATTAGGAGTAGTTATGTAGTGAAACTTCATGAAGTGGCTAGCTAGGCTAGCTAGCAGTCAGTGATAATTGGTGACGGAAAAACCACCAACCCAACCCACTCTTGTTTTGGCGCCAACTCCCCTCCGTTAGCCTTATGTGTTTCGAGACTTCGGCAATTGTTGGTGCCTGGCTTGCTGGACGGGAAAGCTTAATCGGGCGCGGGTAACTAAGCTATAAGCTATAGGGGGACGCTTCATGTGCGGGTGGAGGGCAAGGGAAGGCAAGGGGGGAGGCGGAGCAGCGGGGGGCGGAGCAGCGGGGGGCGGCAATAATGCTATGCTATGCTACTGAGTACTTTATCTAATCTATAGAAGGCCCGGGGAGGGTGGGTGGGCCGCGGTTCGGAGTTGGAGTTGGAGTCGGGGTCGGGGTTGGGGGTGTTAATCGAATATCTATTTTTCTATCTTCTATTTCTTGCTGGCTGCACTGGCGATCCCGTTTTTTGTTTGTTTGTTTGGTTATTTATTGCAGTGGACTACTCTAAAAACAATGACTCGACTCAGAAACTTCTTCTCCCCCTCACCCCCCCCCACCTTTGTCTTTTTTCTCTTCTATATTGTATTATTGCTGTGAGGCTAAAACGACAATTCGATTTCAGAAAGCGCATCCTTTTTTCTCGACCTTTGTATTATTATTGTGAGGTAAAACGACAATTCGATCCAGACCTATTTTTTTGCATTATGGCCATGGCTGTGGCTAAAACGACAATTCAGAAAGCACATCCTCTTTTTATTTTCCTGCTGCTGCATCTGCTGCATCTGCATCTGCTGCGGTTTCCGAACGGAGATATCTTCCATCCTTTTCTTTTCTTTTCTTTTCTTTTTTTTGTTTTGTGTTGTGGGTGCAAACAAATAAAATAGATAAAAACGGACGACGCGATGGGGCTTGGGAAGCCTGTTGCTCTGCTTGTTGATCATTCAAGGTCTAGCTTCTACGTATGTGCAGTTAGGTAGCTACGGCTACGGGGAGATCCCTACCCTAAATACTAGTTTGGAGGGCCTCTCGACCCACCCTCCAGTCTGCTCCAGGAACGTTTTATGCGACCCTTGAGTTCCCGATAGGACAGCTTCCTAGCTGCTCTACTAGATAGATAAAACAACCAGACCAAGCGATATGTAGATGTAGTAGTTAGTTGAGCCTGTAGAGTCAGAGCGATACCAAGCGACGTCGTGGAGTCATGCATCCCGAGCTGAGTCAAGGTGGGGGGGGCTGTCCGGGAGCCTTGAGCCTTGGATGGGGTCGGATGGGTTGGGGTGTCTGTCAATCAATCAATCGTTCAGTCAATCAATCAGTGAGCTGCAGCCTCATTCATTCATTTATAGGTGCCCTCCTCCCACCATCACCACCACCGCCCCCAATCCCCGATCCCCTCCCTCATATCTGCCGTACTTAAGCCTTTTTTGTCTCTATTGTTTCGTCTTCCTCTTCTCCTTCTCCTTCTCCTTCATCATACACTGCGCATTCCCTCCGCCCGCCTTCCGCCGCCGCAGTAAACTATTAGTATTCTTAGTCTCTTCTTATTCTATTCACTTCTGGCTGTCGTTTCCCTCGAGGCTTATTCTTATTCTTCGATCTTCTTCCTCTTCCTCCTGTATTGCACTTATCATTAGCGTTTCGGTCCGTCAAACAGCACAAAAACCTGCATCATCCGTCATTGTCGTCAAAGCTTCCCCCATCGGTCATCCATTCCGGTTTACCCCCCTCCGCGCGCCGGCCGGCTCAAATCAAAGATCAGTCAATCAACCAGTCTACCTACGCCCCACGATAACAAACAGCAGCACCGCCATAAAGAAAGCAAGAAAGCAGCCTATTGATCCACTCTCTCACACACTCCCTCCAACCTCCTCCTCCTGCTTCCTTCCTTAATTCTCTCCACAATAGAAAAAGCCCACAACCGAGAAAACCTCAGAGCGATAGACTAGCTAGATAGCCAGACCATGTCCTCACCCGCCATCTGCATCCCTACAAGATCCGGCGGATCTACCTCCTCCTCTGCCTCTTCGTCTGGCCCCACTTCGCCCACACGCCTCTCGTCTTCCTCCTCGTCTTCCTCCTCGTCTTCTAGCTCGTCGTCTGGCTCGTCTAGCTCGGGGATGATGTACCACAGGAAGCGACCATCGCTGCTGAGTATGTCTTTGCCTCTCTAGCTCTCGCTCTCTGAAAATTAAAAGTGTCGTATGCTGATAAAAGGTTTGTATTATTTGTAGGCTCCTCAGTCAGCCGCGTTGAGCACTTGGTGTTTGATCTGGGTGTTCGGGATGGATCTCCGCGACTAGTAAGAAACCGACTCTCTCTGTTTAAAACAAGCTGTCCTTTTATATATATCTTTCGCTATATAATTTATCGCCTCCTGCTCTCCCCGCATTCCTGTTTTCCCCACACTCGCTCTCTAGGGTCCTAGTGTTACGTAGTGTGTGCGTGGTTCGTCGGCTAATTCTTGGTTGCGGTGGGGAATAGATAACATGCGTCAAGACATCCCAGGGTTTTGATTGGAATCAAGGTTTGTTCTTTTCTTCCTTTTCCTGCTTCGTTTATGTTTGGCTCGTTTTTTCGTTGGTGGGCCTGTCTGTAGCTACCATCTTAGCTATCAGCTGGATGGCGAGATTGGCTGGTCGGGTTGTGGGTCGTTACATGTAGTTAGCGAGGCAAGAAAAAAGCGGAATGCTGACTAGTGTGGTTTTGGCGATTGATAGATATCTTCTTGCCATCGTCGTCCGATATCACAATCCACAATGGGATCCAGAAGCCCGAGACGGTGCACGAGATTATCCTCACGGACGAGGAGTCTGACAGTGTTTTCCCTTCTTGGTAAGGAGTAGTGGGGGAAAGGATCTTTTTTTTTTGTGCGCGTGTGTGTGACATGAGTTATTTTGTGGGGGAAGCGAGTAGGAGTTTGTTTTACGGGTCCTTTTTCATTTATTTATTTTCATTTGGGATGGTACGGATCTATTTAACGATCTTGCCTTTGCAATGACGCCCGGATCGTCGTTTTTGTGATTTTTTCTTTTATTTTATTTTCTAATGTCATATCAACACATTTGGAGTTTGTGAATTTGTTTGTTTGCTTGTTTCTTTTTTTCCCTACGTATGGCGAGGGAACTGGATGGCATGGTTGGCATGGTTGGCATGGTTGGCATGGTTTAGCTGTGAATACGATAGGACTTGGGATCGAAGGACTGGTTTTTGCTTTGGCTTGATTCGGTTTTGACTTTTTTGGAGCTCTGCTATTTTTCCTTCTGCTTGTGTTTCCTTCCGCTTCTTCTGTTTCCTGGGGGGCTCATTTCTTTTTCTTTAGTTCCTTTTTCTCATGCACACTGATATTCCGGAGTACCCATCTGTATGTCCTTTGAGTTCCTGCATCCTTTCTTTTTCCTTTCTTTCCCACCAATTAGTGGGCCCTGTTTTCAATTCTTCGTTCTGCCTTTCTATCCTTGTCTTCAACCCAAGGGATTAAGGCAGGTTTCTTTTTTACTCTTTCTTTTCATCTCTTTCTTTTCATCTCTTGCTGTTGCTTGCTTTTGATACAATTTTGTTCCGCCGTACTCTAGTAGCGGGTAACGTTTTGTATGTAAGTATATTGCTTTTCACCCATCTCTTCTCAAGCACGTCTCGATATTCTATCGAGCCTTGTTCTTCCCTACGCTTGTCTTTGTTCTTTCCCCAAAGCAAGGGCCACATGAGGGCAGGTGTTTTCTTTTGGTTTCACGTCTAGCGTGTAAAGGATAAGAATAGGAATGAAATCCTCCGAATTGCGGCTGCTGCGCATTTTCGATAAACCATCTATCTCTGTAGTTTATCCTGTCATGTCATGTGCTGCACCTGGACCTGGCACTTCATGCGTTGTCTCGTGCCTGAGGATGTGAGGTATGGATGTATGCACGTACCTAGGAGTAGAGTACCCTGTAGACTGCAGCCAATCTTAGTTTTGTTGTTCGTTCCGGTACATCGAGAAGGCTTAGTGACGTGATGTAGGGACTCTACATGGTGGGCTGTGCGGGGAGGAAGGCGGGGTTGAATTTAGATCTGGACGAAGGCACATCTGGGTAGATACTGTAGGCTGCGGTTGACTTTTGAAGTTGTAGCTATGTTACTTTGCAACCCGCGGCTGCGTATAGTTACTCCAGTATTAAGCGACAAGCTTTGACGCCGGTCGGGCTAGCAGAGTGGATGTTGGTAATACTATTGCTGCTAGTTCCTTAGAGCTGTGCATGAATCGACCGGGTGATAATGTATGATGTGCTGGATCATTACGGCGGAAGTTTAGCTTTTTTTTGGAATTAGCCATAGCCGGTAAATTTTTAGGACTGACTGAACTAAGGGATACCTATTGCAATTGAATGTAGGAGATCTAGCTCTGACTTTCTAAAAGCTCACGAGTTGATATCGATGGCCTCTGCAAGCTTAAGCCCCATGACGTATTTGCACACTTGGAAAATATTATGGGGTGGGTTGGGATTAGTTACCATCCCTGTGGATATGCAGGCTTGATATCATCTCGCGTTTAAGGTGTGAATTCAGGCACAATTGCATGCCGTGTTATAGGCCGCTTGTTCGATCGATTGGTTTGTTGGGTTTTTCCATCCGTCGTTAATTCGAATCTAGTTGGGTAGGAGATACAGAAAAATGATGAAATGGGATGGAGTTGATAAGCCATTAGCGGCATGGGATGTTTACCCTACATGTCCGTCTTTCAACGTGTCGCTTTGATCCGCATGTTTACATTGCATACATATGTAGGTCGGAAGGATGGCGCCGTTGCAGTTGTTTTCATAATACTTGACCGCGCAAGCATCCACACACATGCAGTGCGATTCTCAAAAGCTTAATTAAATCCATTGCTTATTTAGGCAACCCCAATCTACCTGTCAGACAATTGTTTTTCGAAACTTTAATGGAAGATGCCCATTTAGGCGATCAATTTAAGGCAATATAACTACATTATGAAAGTTGGCCCGGACTAACATTACAAAAACAGCAGTAGCGAAGCTTTGGCAACATGTGGCATTCTAACAAAACTCACTCTTTCACTCACTAAGAATAGCACTGGCTGATGTCTTGAACCTGGTTACACTCAATCATTCATTCTTGTGCCCGTTCTACCTCTTGAAGAGAAGTGGATTCGTCCCATTCTACAGAAGAATACAAATCGGCAACGAATGGGAAGTATGAACCATCATACGTCCTACTTTAACTATATGTTTAAGACTCTGGCCCGCTTGTGTGTGTATAATATTCTCAGGAAGGCACTCGCGTAGATCTTTTAGACAGGGATTTTAAGAGATTTGAAGAGACTTGCAGGACAATGCTTGCACTTGAATCAGAGAGGGTGCGGAGCGTCAGTCTCGTCTGTAGATATAAGTTGGAACGGGACTAATGTGCTTTAAAGGTATTCAATGATTCATAAAACATGGTATCCATTACCGAAATACGCCCATATTAAAAAAAGATTCGCATATCCGTTAGTAATACAAAACCGAAAAGAAACGCCACAATCCTTTTACTGCTTTGACTGGACATAGTCAAGAGCATCGTTAGCACGAGTAAGTTTATGAGCTGTAGCTGGCAGGCTCTAAAAATATTGTTAGCCCCTTCCTGGAAAAGTTTTATACTAAAGGAAGTGGATGGCATACCGTCTGCAGCGCTTTCAGGATCTCCGCAGTTCTTGCATAGTCCTCCTCGATATCCTCTTTCCTTTCCAGCGGCCTGATACCAAGGCTTCCTGCTTCCGGATCCGTGATATCCTCATTCGCCAGCGATTGTATTATCCTCTCATCTCCCTCGAGCTCCCTCTTCAGCGCATCCTCGTACGCTTTAGCGGCATCGAAGGGCGCCTCTCGGCGCAGCTTCGCCAACTTCTCCGTCTCCTCATCTAGTTGGGCTTGAAGTGTGGTGAAGCGAGTATGCAGTTTTCGGTCGTAGGGTTCAAGCTCTTCCATCTCATTTTTAGAAATGTAGGTCTCTATTGGGCCCGCGTCCATGCCGTTCACCGAGATGTTACGTACAGCGTGCTCGAATGTCCGGCGCACATACTGCTCACCCCAAGAATTCCCCACACGTTAGCTTGACCAGTACAGTCAGGAAAGAAAAAAACAGAGAGCCACCGGGCATGGTTTGGGCAATACCGGACCTCCGTGAGCATCTCCTCGACGCGTTTCCGCAGCTCATCATCACGGTCGGCAGCTCCTGGGGGTAGATGCTGGTCAATTTTCTCCTTGGCTGCTCGGCAGAGATTGTCGAAGAGGTATCTGATATCTTCCGGGCTCTGCACCTCGATCTTTCGCATGCGATTTCCTTCCATTTTGAGCTGGTCTGTGGTCGGTGTAACTGCTGGTTTGTCGCGTTCTGGCGGGGTGAGGTCGGTGGGTCATGTGCTTTGGCGGTAGACACTTACGTAAGCAAGATGGAATCTTGAGCTGTCACTCGGAGATATCTCGTCAACCCTGGATATTGCTAAAGCCATCACCAACCTTCTAAAATCTCACTTTTAATAACATCCAACGATGCTTCTGTTGTGTCTGCGGAGCCTGTAGAAGACCTAGGTGAGGCCTAGACAAAGGTTTTCTTTTATCATTCATCCTGGCGTCTATATTTTCGGCATTTCTTTCTCTTTAAGAAAACAATCGACTGTCTTCGAATCACGGCTATAGAAGAAAAGTTTTTTAGTTATGAGCTATCTATTTCCTTTGTACCTAGTACATATATATCTTCCCCCGTCCAGGAAAGGGCCTTGTTAGCCCAAATCAGGATGATAATCTCTGTCCCAAAAATCCGATATAGTTTACCGTAAAACCACGCCAAACGACCAGCACAGTCTCGCCTCCGTCTATAAGATCTATTCTCATGTGTAGATCGCCAAGAAATCCAGTCCCATCTTCCAATTCTTGGTCATGGGTGAGCATCGCTGGTAGGTAGTCACCTTTAATCTGACATTCCCAATATTTCGACTAACTATATTAGTTTATTCAATTTTCACGGTTCTTGTACTTGCAATAGCTCGCGACATTTATAGGAAGTTTGTTCAGAGGGAAATCAAGGCGAAGAAAATTGAAATAGAAGCACGGAAAGCAATTGAAGCGCAGAAAGCACTCAAGGCACTCGAAGCGCAGAAAGGACTCAATCGGGCACTCGAGTTGCAGAAAGCAATACTGGCACGGAAAACGATCGAAAAGCAGAAGGTGATCGAGGTACGGAAAGCAATCGAGACACAAAAAAAACTAGAGGCACGAGAGGCAATCAAGGCACAGAAAGCAATTGAAGCTCAGAATGCAGTCGAGGCTCAAAAGGCAATCGAGACCCAGAAAGCAATTGAAGCTCAGAAGGCGATAGTGACTCAAAGGGCAATCGAGGCTCTGAAGGCAACAGAGGCACGGAAAGAAATTGAAGCTCAGAAAGTAATAGTGGCTCAGAGGGCAATCGAGGCTCAGAAAGCAATAGATGCTCAAAAGGCAGTAGATTCACAGAAAGCAATCGAGGTGCTGAGTCAAAAATACCTTGATACGTATACAAGACTTTGCCCAACCCCAAGTTGCAGAGTCAGGATCCAAAAAGACGGCGGTTGTGACTCGATGCGTTGTGTAAAATGTCAGAAGAGTTTTATTTGGTATGAGTGAATTTTATAGGTCAAATTAATTACAAAGTGGCTTTTAGATTTTAAATATTAAATGTTGAATATTATTTAAATGCTTTAGTTATAGGACATTTGGGGGGGGGGGGGGGTCTGTATAAATGACATTAATACCATTAAAGCCAAAAGTCGAGCTGTTTAGTGAAGAGAGATATCATACGTATTGGTCCCAGCCACGAACTAGGAAGGACCGGAAGTGTTTCAATAGATAAAATGCCTCGAGATACTACTTGTCATAAAGTCGTTGGCTGTGCGGTGAGGTTTTGAGTTTGAGGTGTCATTGACACAGAGATATTTAGATGTTTCGGCCAGCTGAGTACTTTTCGGACCACGCCCACCCCTCCTTGCACCCCCCACCCCGGGGGGCGCATCAATTTCGACATTCATTCCATTAATTTTCACATCCGGTGAGTGATATTTCATGACGCAAAGTACCGGGACTCACCGCTCCAGACCCGATTCTGACCTAAAATGCGGCCAAAGCTCTGACCTAGAAAAGTGCAGTCTGATAGGGAAAGACAACAACGGCCCGAATAACATGTTTTGCAGCTCTAGGGGTGTGTGGCATGATTATCTTCTCAAAAAGTGATATCATAAATGGACGTCTCGGAAAATTCCGGTGCTAGCTAGATCTCGAGTACCTGTTCGGGGCGCTCTAGATTCTGCAGGTGCTCTATGCAGTGGATAGAGTAAATGTATCCGGGTACATGCTTGTGTAGAGTAGTGTTACCTCAAATTATTGAAGGATCAGATTAACTATGGCATGTTACTGCCCAAATACATCAGTCCCCTGAGGTCTAGCCAGGGGCCACAAGGTTGAACTGACCGCCTCGCTCGAGACCGAAGTTTAAAGAGACCGAGCTAGTATATTGGTCCTGGAAGAATGGTAGATGCGCGCCGAGCTAGTAAATATAAAAAGCCGCGCGTGATTATGAACGGTTCGGGTTGAGTTTGTCTCCGAGTCGCTCATACGTTAACCTGTGGGGGTTAAAGTTAGCAGGGAATGTTAAGGGTTCGAATAGTTTAATTTTAGATAGCCTCACTCAACTCCATTCGGATATCAATCTTTGTCCGAGCCGATGAAAGATTCTGAGTTAGCTCGGTGATCTGCATGTTTATTGGTGTAGCGGGGCTCTGTCCGACTTGCAGAATTTTCAAACGTCCCTAAGATTGAGTTGAAATTAAAGACTAACGGGCCATATACGTCGTATATATACTGCCACCATGTAGGTAAATAAAGTTAGCCCTGGCTCACTGTGGTGATACTAGCTAGGACTCTAGTAAGTGCTGGTCACCGTGCACTGTTTTCTTGCTTATTGTACGATAGCCCAGCTGAGTGCACGAGAGGTCCTGGGGGTGCGTATATTATATTACATGAAGGAGGATAAGTGCCTACCTAATTCTAGATATCAAGGGACACGTCTGGTTAAGCTAGAATGTGGATACCGTTACTAAAAACACCTTACATAGTAAGGCCACACTATATATACTCACTCCACATATGAACCAGAAAATCCGAGCGACAAAGTCAAGAATTGTTTTTATAGAGTGACTATCTTCGTTCTACCATCCAGATAGTTCAATCATTCCCTAATTGATATTATAATGGTAACCAACTAGTGCATCAGATCCGTATATTCCGGAGAGGCTTTGGTGATGGATAGACTTAATTGAGGGCTCCTTACCCTACATGTGCGAGCTCCGTCCAACCAACCCCCCTTCACTTTATTTGCGGAATTCATCTTGGCCTGACTTTTCAATTAGTAGGAGATTGATAAGACAAATCTACATAGTATATGCTATGACAGACCCGCAATACGTTTTGGAGGATTAAAGTCAAGAATTTACAGATGCTGCCTGACACCACTTCGCTAATCGCAGAACGAACCTCACTTTTTTTTTTTTGTTTAATTCATTAATTGCAGCCCTAAAGCTATGGCAATATCACACTGCCCCAGAACCTCCCACCTGCCTCCGCCACCTCTCACAAAGTAGTTAATGCTACGGAAATACCCTCTCACAGGGAGCAAAGGCCGGGAACAAGCAAGACAGCACCACCCCTGCCACAAGGAGAGCAGCAAGAAAGGACCACACAAAAAACCCATCTCCGAATGGAAGGTGCGCTTAGGACCAAAAGGGTTGGAATTTCGAATTTCGCCTCCTCTTGTTGGCGGGGATTACAGAAAGGAGCTATCCTTCCCTGCTCATTTGGGGGGGGGGGGGGGCAGATGATGAAATCCCTCCAAACCCCACATGTGTCTGGCCCGGCGGGGGGGGGGCAGATATACCGTTCCCACTGCAGCGAGGAGAAGTAAGTAACATTGCCCCCGGCCTCATAAATAGGGAAGCAAGTACCCTCTCACGACGAGTGACGTTGTTGGCTCGTGCCAAGGACACTACCACTTTGCTAGACGTATCCATCATTAGCGTCATAACCCATCACTCGGGCGCCAAGACCTTATCAACGAGTCATATATACATGTAGGTTTTGTGCGATAGATACATACATGTACATATTTGTGACAGGGATGAGTCTTCCTGCAGTATGCCGTAGTAAGATCTATAGATCTATATACGTGCATACAATTACTATAATCATTCACTATCACTCGCACCATGTTAGCCAATGACGGGATGGGATGATTTCTCATGTCGAGGATTGTTATATAGGGCTGGTTTAAAGAGACGGTAAGAAGGAGAGATCTAGAAGGTGGCTCTAACTATGCCCAACTGAGTGAATTGCCAACACGTACATAATCTCTTACCCCCCCAACCCTTCTCCCGTTCTTTCCTTTCCGCCCTTTCATCTCCAGCAATTAAGGCAAATACACCTTTCCGCCTACACTATCATCACCCAGCCAACTACATAGAACTTTCTAGATAAATAAATATATACGCATACCACAACACTAGCAAGATCAATATATTAACCGATTCGACTTAAGCTTTGACTATATATTCACCCAACACGCGCACGAAGTGAAGAAATTGATTGCAGCGGATACATGTATATCCAGACCATCCACCCAGTGCACTGCACCAGCTAGATGAGCACCAGCCACACCTCCTCGCTTGATAAGACACTGTCTGTCAGACTGGGTACATGTGGGTAACCAACTACATGTCACAGCTTACGCATAGGTAGGTCGCAAAACAACAATCGGCAAAAAAAAAAAACACATTACCACGACTCCTCCCGCGATTGAAAAACGAACAACAAAACCACAATCCCCCCACTAAAAAGCCGCAGAACGAAAATCTGGCACAAAAAAAAACGATATAACTCATGCCTAAAAATTGAACTTAAACCCCCCACTCCCCGGGAACCCCTGTCCAAACGGGCTCCCCCACCACCCCCACCCGGGAACCCACCCCCGTGTCCCTGGCGATACATGAACGGATGCCCCTGCGCAAACGGGTTCGACCTCTCCTGACTATTCGGGTCATCGCCGTTATCAAAGCGCTCGCGCAGCTCCGGGTTCGACAGGACCTCATACGCCTCGTTGATGGACGACATCTTCTTCTCAATCTCCTCCTTGGTCATGTCGCCGCGGTACTTGTCGGGATGGTACTGCTTCGTCAGCTTCCTGAATGCCTTCTTGATCTCGCGGTCCGAGGCGTCGCGTGCCACGCCAATGACCTTGTAGTAGTCCTTTGTCTTTGAGCGCCGCAGCAGCGTGTGTGCCTCCTGTAGCTTGTGCTTGATGCGCGCGTCGTCCTCGGGCGCGCCCTCGAGCGCGCGGATGGCTTCTTCGAAGAGCTCCTCCTCCAGGAGACGGTTGGCCTTGGCGAGGATGCCGGGGATGGATGACGGGTTGAGGCGCAGCGCCTCGTCGCAGTAGGGCTTTCCCTTCTTGACCGAGTTCATTTCCGTGTATGAGTCACAGGTGATGTCGTAGAGCTTTGCGAGGAGCTCGTTGGGGCATTTGTCGTTGATGTAGGCCTTTTCCTTGAGCTCGGCGAGCTCCTCCTTGATCTCGGCGATGAGGCCGATGTCGTCGGGGGTGCCGACGAGGAGCTTGACGGCGGAGTTGTGCTGGCGTTTTGCGCGGAGGGCTTCGATGGAGGCGAGGGATTTGTTGAGGGACTTTATGCGCCGGAAGGCCTTGCTGCAGGGCTTGGAGTCGGGGTCGGAGTGGAGGCATTTCCGGAGCTGGGCGACGGAGCGGTCGAAATCATTGACGGTGAAGTAGAGGAGCGATGAGATCCGGAGGTGCGGTTCGGTATCGCCAGCGTTGAGCTGTGCAAGATGTCTACAAGAATTACCTGTTAGCTCTAACTCCCTACAAGCATTTGAACTCTGAAAGGGGTGCACCTACGTCAGATCACCGACAGCTTCATGCACCTCCCCTCTCTCCAGCCTACACCTCGCCCTGAGCGCTCTCACACTCGCCATCCCACCCGCCACCACCACCACCGACCCCGCATTCGTCACACACTCCTCCCACTCACCCTTCGCCTCCGCCGCATGGGCCCTCGCCAGCGCCTCCTCCGCCGCATCCACCTCCGCAATCTCGTCCGTCTTGCCCGCCTTCTTGTAGTCCTTCCTTGCGGCGGCCCAGTCGCCCGCGCGCGCCCTGATCTTTGCGCGCTGCAGCAGCGCGCCCTCAAAGTCGGGCTTGAGCGCGAGCACGGCGTCAAAGTCGGCGCTGGCCTGCGCCGACCTGCCGAGCGAGAGGTAGGTGGCGCCGCGCTTGAAGATGGTCAGGTAGTTGCTGGGGTCCTTCTTGATGGCGGCCTCAAAGTGGTCGAGCGCGCCGTGCATGTCGCCCTGAGCGAGGAGGGCGTTGGCGGAGGCGAGGAGCGACGAGACAGGGAGGGAGGGGTCGGGCGCGTCGCTGGCGAGAGAGAGGCTGAAGAGGGCACCGAGGAGGGCGAGCCCGTGGAGTCGGATTATCATTGTGGCGGGGGGGGGGGGGGGGATGGTGGATGGGAGGCGAGTGTGGTGTTGGTGGGTGGCACTGGTGGTGGTGGTGGTGGTAGTAAATAAGGCTAGGTTACTTATGCAGGAACGAACACGGGTAGATAGATAGACAGATAGATGACTGCAGACAGACAGCCCGAGAGGTAAGCTGTATCTAGGAGACGAACAGAGAAGCAATTCCAATTCTGGGGTATATTGCGATGTAGAGTAGCGAGCACAAAGAGTAAGTGACTGACGGGACTGGACTGGCCTGCCTCGACCTAGATCCTTCCTTCCTAGGACGATGGAAGAAGAGTCAGGAGAAGCACGAGAGGAAAGAAAGAAAGAAAGCAGAGAAAAGAAAAGTGGGTGAAATGCGGAGAAGTGAAAGGGGTGAAAGGTGGCCCCTCCCCCCGTTATAAAAGAACCGCTGCAAGGAGAAAGAGCTTCCGTTTGTTCCAGGTGGCCTTTAACAAACTTACCCAGGCCAGAGATAAGATGGCATCTAATCTCTGGGACAGATCTTACCGCATCTTATCACAGCAACTCTAGCATCTAATCTAATCTAATCTAATCTAATCCACACCTCACCCACAGCTCCCCCATCCCCATCCCCACAATCCCCACAATCCCCACACACCACCCACACCATGGCCGACTACCGCGACCTCTGGTCCCCCGCCAAAATATTCTCCCCAACCACCACGCGGCAGCAATCCCAATCCACAAAAGACTGGACCTACGCCGACCAATGGCTGCGCACGCGCTACCACCCACGGCCCGTCCCACCCTTCGAGCGCACCCCCGACACACTGAAAGCCCTCCTCGCCCTCGCCGCCGCCAACGAAGCCGCCGATGACGAGCGCGCCCTCGCGAAAAAGGTCAAGGAGCGCACCCTTGACGCACTGCAGAAGCGCGATGCAGAGGCTGTGGCGGGGGTCCGGGGGGGGGAGAGAACGTGCTGGCCGCCGTCGAGGAGCATCTTACGGCTGAGGGCGTCCGGGCGCTGAATTCACTTGCACTGCTGGCGGTCGCGGTGGATGCGGAGGGGACTGGGACGGTGGAGTATGGCTACACCCCCCCCATTCTACCCCCCCCCCCCAATACTCTCATCAAACTAACAGTGGGTGGGTGGGTCGTAGGTTGGCAAACCAGCTGATAACGCTCACGAAACACGAATTCGCACTCACACAACAATCACAGCACCTCCAGCACCTCCACACCCGTCTCGAGTCCGACCTCGCCACTCTCACCGCCTCCATCACACGACTCACACACGGCGCCGAGTACCGCGTTCCCGCAGAGCTGGCTGCGCAGGTCGGTGAGTGGGGGCGTGCGACACGGCATTTGGCCGGCAAGGTTGATGACTACCGTGAGCGCCTCCAAGATTCAGGAGGAGGGGGAGCAGGAGGTAAAGGGGGAGAGGGAACGACGGTGGAGGCGCTGATCGAGTGCGAGAAGGAGGTGCTGGCGCTGAAGGAGCGGGTGCTGGATTTGGAGGCGCGCGTGAAGGCGTTTCAGGGGCTGCCGCCGGAGAGGGATTTGGCGAGGGTGGAGGTGGAGAGGGTTGAGAGGGAGCTGGCGGGGTTGGAGGAGAGGCGGGAGGCGTTGTATGATAATATGGTGGGGGGGTAGGTTGGTGGGGTCATGGGTGGTCACTCGGCGTGGTAATCATTGACACGGCGCTTTTTTAGTAATGCTAATTTTAGCTTTCTTTCTTTCTTTGCTTTCTTTACTATTTTTAGGATGCTACGATGTTATGGCCAATAATACGACCGTGGCCCTGTCACATAATGAGGATAAATGTCTAATCGATACCACAAACACACAAGAGATGATATTGATAATTTATCATTAAGAATAAGCTACTTATACAAGTCACTAAGAAGGAGAAGAAGAAGAAATTACAAAGAAATCCTACACCCATTGCGCCCTACAACAAACCACACACCTCCAAAGTATATCTACAAGAAAAGAAAACGCAACAAAAGAGAATAAAGAGCAGAGGGGAGACCCTCACTGGCATATCATCTCCAAGATGCCCTCTCCAACATTCCCCGGAACCACCTCAATCACATCTCCCGGCGCCGAGCTACTCTCAAACACCTTCTCCTCCACCGCCGGAATCACAACCTTCAGCTCGACCTTCCCCGTAGGGGCATCCACCACCTTCTCCACTTCCACCTCCATCTTGACCTCCACTACCTCCTTCACCTTCTCCTCCACCTCCTCCTCATCCACGCTCGGCGCCACCACCCTCTCATCCAAGTTCACAACCCTCAGCGCGCCCTTCGGCGCCGTAAACAGCACCTGCACCACCCTCTTCTCGATCGCCGCCTCCAGCTCCAAATCCCACTCATCCCCCAAACCCGAGAACCCCATCCCCATCCCCATGCCAACCCCCAGCGCCGAATCCAACACCATATTACTCGGCATCTCCACCACATCGCCCGCGCTCCCTATCGTTCCCATCGTCCCGGCCGACGCCGACGACGACGCATTCCGCGAGAACCGGCTACTACTCCCCGGCGTCTCCCATAGCGAGATCGGGCTCGTCGGTAATATATCCGGCAGTGCGCTGCGCAGCGCTGATATGCTTGCCCAGCGCCTCGGCGGCTGCTTCTCCTTCTCTTGCTCAAGCTCACCAGCAGCCTTTGCTGCCAATGACACAACACGCCGTTTCGCGACCTGCTCGGGAAAGAACCTAGCCGGCGTCAACAACGTCTTCACCCTCGGCCTCGGCACTACGGGCTCGACCCTCGTTACGGACGGTGGGAACGAGCGGTTATATGGGATCCTAACAGGCGCCGTTGGCACTAGGCTCAGACTCTCTGAGCTGAGTGCCGCTCTCGGCGGGATTCTCGGCAGTGATGCCGTCTGGTCGCTCCACTCGCCACTAAGGGTTGTAGAGCGTGATCGTGAGCGTGACTGCTGCTCATATATGATTTCCTGGGCCGCCATTTTCTCCGCGAATGCCAGTGAGCGGGTATACAGGTTTTGTAGGTTCGCCAGGTGGTGATCGTCATCAGAGCCTGTTGTAGCGGCGCAGGAGCTGCCGCGAGAGCCCCGATTGGGATCGAATGCGTTTTCTTCGGCTTCGAAGATTGTGGAGACTCGGGCGGGGTTGGTTTTTAGGAGTGCCTTTGGAGGCGGGCGGATTCCCGGAACGGCGGCGGTTGACGTAGTTGTGAGGTAGGATGTTTTGCGGAGTAGAGGGGGGCGAGAGGCGGAGGCGGGAGGAGAGGCAGGCCGAGGTTCTGATACCGCAGCTTCTTCACCGAGGACGCGGTAGGAGTGGCTGCGGGTTTCAACGATGCCGACTCGCTCTTGGCTGAGTGATGCTCTGTGGGAGCCATAAATCCCGAGTCTTTCCTGGCTCATAGACAGTCTTCGGGAGCCATATATCGAACCTAATCCGAGTCGCTCTGTGCTGCCGGCCATCATTGAGGGCTTCTCTGTCCCGTAGCAGTTGAAGGATCCCAGTCTCTCTTCACTCGCTGACGGCCCTCCGTAAAATCCAAAGGACCCCCACCTTTCTCTCTCCAGTGGGCCTGCTCCTTCAGCGTCACGCTCGGTTCTCCGGCCCTTTCGGAAGTACCAATGATAGCCAATGATCGCCGCTGCAAGTCCCGCAACACCAAAAATAACTCCAAGCACAATCCCCGTGGTCCTCCTATGCTCCGATTTCCTCCCCGCCGCCTCTTCCTCTTCCGCTGCAAGTATACCCGCGGGCTTATACGTGCCCGCCCACATGCCCGAGGTGACATTGAAGAAGTAGCTCTTGGTATTCACCACCGACGCATTCACAAACGGCGAGATGCGATATCCGCTGGTGATCATCATCACGTCGCCCTCCAGCATCACCGCCGCATGCCCACTCAAGCCCTCTGCCTCCCCGTCCGTCGGCGGGCCCAGCTCGCCCGGGTGGATGAACGGGATGTCCCACCGCCACTCGTCCCTGCCCGCCTCGCCCGTCATCTCGAGGATCACCAGCCGCGGCTCAGCGGGCGTATTGAAATCGCCCACCCATCCGCCGTACACAACAATCCGCTTTCCGTCCCGCGTAGCCACTGCGCTGTGTCCCGACCGCGGGTCAATCCGGCGTGTATCGTCGTTTCGCCGCTGCACAACCGCCGCCACCCTCGCCGACGGATCCGTTTTTGTCGTCTCTCCAACGCCCACGGGCCCGGACCCAGTGGCCAGCACCCGCGTCTCACTCGACCGCAGTCTCGGCGGAGAAGCTGCCGGCAGCCCGACATCTGCAAACCGCCATCGTCCATCTGGCGCAGAATATACCGCCACTTGCCTCATATCCACAAATGCACCCGCCGTGTATCCGCCCACCATCACCACACTCCCTGCGCCGCCGCCGCCCCCCTCTCGTGTTGAAATTGTCGTGAGCGAGAAGCCAGCTTCAGCAATTGGCCACTCGCGATTACTCCGGCCATCATACTCTGCCAGCATCACCGTATCCGTCCCCGCCGCCGCTACCGCCTCACCATCCTGCACCGCCGGCGCCGACGGCGGTGAGGAGCCCTTTCCCTTTCCCTTGCCTTTTCGTTCACCCGGCACATACGACTGCGCCCTTGCCAACGGCCACCCCGCCTCCATCATCCCCGTTGAATATTCCACTCCGCCTCCGGCGGCAGGACACACGCCGCCAAACACGTACGCCGTATTCACTGTCGACGTAGTGATCACCACGCCCTGCTCAAACTCGCGCATGCCCGCCTCGCCCTGCCCGGTCATGAACGTCTCACTCGGCGCCACACTCGACGTCGTGCTACTAACGCCATATGCAAACGCCCTCGCATGATATCTCAGCGGCCTTCGTTCCCCACGGCCTGACGGCGGTGCAATGGACCGAGGGTTCCATGTGTTGCTATGAGAGCTGTATTCGTGGATTGTGATATCGGTGTCGCAGCTGCCTGTTAAGACTGCAAGTTGGCCTGTTGGGAATAGTATTGGCGCTATCGAGATGGCATTGGCGTCAGAGGAGGAGGAAGGTGGGAGCGGCGGAGAGGAAAGCTCAATGAAGGAGTGAGTGAAGTTTGAGGTTGAGTAGGTATTGTTCAACGGTAGGGAGAGGAAGCGGAAACTTTGTGATGAGGGCGAGGGAGGTATGAAGAGGTAGAGAGTTGAGAGATCGGGAGTTAGCAGCGCTGTTGCTTGGTGGGGTGGTTGTGACCCTGAGGCGGTAGGTATTGAAAGGAGGAGTATACTGAAGAAGTAGTAATGCCGCATCGTGAGATATCTCTGATGGTTAGCAGCTGCACGATAATACAGCAGCAGCAACAGCAGCAGCAACAGCAGCAGTATCAGTAGTAGCAGTAAGATCAGTAGTATCTATACGTAGTAGCAAAAGATATCAGCGTGAAGAACCCAAAAAACACCAACAAAGAGGGAGAGCACCCATTATGCACCACCCAACAATACGAATGGCGCAAACACCGAGGCTGGGCCCTTCTCATGACAAAAAAAGTGGTTGGGTTAATATCCACCGCCAACCAAGAAAGCCATGGAGCGGAATGTGGTTTTCACATTCTAGCACCCCAATCCAGACACACCCACCACCCCACCCACCCAGCGGTATGCAGATGTCACGGATCCATGTATGTAGACGGTACCTACATACTCCTCTGCCGCGTGTTTTGGTGTTCTGGGGGGATGGCTGAAAGTGGATCAGCAGTGGAAAAGATTGAACTGGGGCTATTTTTATTCTTACCATCACTACTACCATCTGCTTTTAGACTGATATTTGTAAATATAGCAGGAAGGAGACCGTCCTGGCCCGTTTGGTTTGCTCTAGTGCCCTATTGCTTGGATGGTATAATTGCTCGGATGAGAGATGAGAGCGAATAGGATTAGTGAGATTAACGGGGTTGCCGCAGTCTTTAATTTATGGTTCTCAAAACTATAACACATATCTTAACTGATTAAACCACGTAACCGCCGCAACGTGTTTGGACACCGTACACCGTGGCTGGCTGGCTGAGTTGGTACAATAGTAACAGTAGGTTGGTAGGGGTAGCACGGTCTAACCGCAACAAGCGTTTAATAGTAGGAAGCCAAACGCCAAGCTAGCGCCCCAACCCTTGCCCCCTGCCAAACTAAATAATTATCCTCACAACGAAGTAGTAATTGTAATAGAAATAATTATCCTCATAGCAAAGTAGTAATCATCCTCATATATAGCTTAAAGTAATAATTATCCTCATAATAAAGGAGTAGTAATAAAAGAAAAGAGAGAGAGAAACGAAAAAGATGAGAAAAGAAAAGGCCATCCTCTCGCTCTCTTGCTCTCTGCACATTTATTTAATAATACAACACCATCTTCTTTATAACCCTCGTCCAAGAAAAGAAGTAAAAAGGGAAGCTCTCAAAAACCATCACCGATACAATGATGCCAATCAAAAAAAAGCGGAAGAGAAAGAAAAAAAACAGAAGAAACGACAAAAGAAAACAGAAATAGTATACTACTTATAATACTAAAAGAAAAGAAAGAAAAGGCACTACCAACTACAACTACAACCCTATTTCGCCACCGACGCCCTCATCTGTTCCTTCCAGACATCCAGCGCCCTCACCAACACTTCCTTCGCCACGCCCTTCTGCCTCTCCCTCTCCTCCACAATCCGCACCTTCTCCCTCCTTCCCCTCTCCTCTTTCTCTACCCCCCACCGCCTCTTCCTCTCCTCAATCTCTCTCCTCCTTGCCAACCACGCCACCGAATGGCCCAATCCCGCTCCCGCACCCTCCACCGCATCTAATGGCGGCACCGTAAACCACAATAACTTCCCCTCGCCATCGCGCAAGAACTGCGCCGCCGTTTCTTCAGGAATATTATGTGTAACGCTGTCGGGGAGCGTGAACGTAGTTGGGGGTGCAGGGGGGTTATATTGTTTTTGCGGGAGCGCCTGTGAGGCTGCTGCGGCCGCGTTCTGGTGCTGCGAGGGCGGCGCGGAGGGGTAGCCTTGGGAGGAGTGTTGGCGCGTGGGGGTGTAGTGGTGGGATGCGTAGGGGGTCATTGGAGAGCGGGCGTGGGGTTGTTGGTGCTGGGGGGCGGGGGAGGCCGCGGCGGTGGGGGTGCTGGTCACGGAGGCGGCAAGGTGCGCTTGCTTGTACATTTGGGTCATTGACATTGTCTCGTGGTAATCGGGGTTTATGACGCGGGCGGGGCGCTCTGAGGCGGGGGCGGGGGTGGGCATAGGTGCTGGGGGAGGCGGGGTGGGCTCTGGTGGGGGGGAGTCCTGTTTACTGTTAGTGAGTGTGCGAGAAAGAGAGAGTGTGTGGGGGGGAGTGTGTGTATATATTTGTGTGTGTGTGGGTAGGACGATGGATGGATGTTGGGTGTTGCGGTGTTTGCTTGTTGTGGTGACAGCGAGTGTCGTCGCATGCTCTGCCAATTGCAGGCAGCGAGGCAAAAAGCTCATGCAGCAGCAAGCAAACTGTTGGGCAACCATCCATCCAGACATCACTGACATCCCGCCCGCCACAATGCAATATATAGACGCCAGTATAGATAATGTAGACGTGGAAATAAGAAATAAAAGAAAATAAAAACTCACATTCTCTCTCCGTGCCCTTCTAAACACCGCGCCGATAATTGGCGGCGCATTCTCCACGCCCATCTTCGCCTCCGGTAACGGATCGTCCTCCTTCGCGTCCGCTGGCAGCATATGCAGGATGGGACTCGGCATCTTCTTAAGCACCTGTTGCTTCTCAAAGCTGTCGAGATCGTAGTCCTGGCCCCGCACCTCATCCGGGATGCAACTTTTCCACGTTTTGATCTTGTTGAAGTGCTTCTCCACCTCGTTGTACCTGCTCTCGCACACATAAATTGGCGTGCGCTTCGGGTCAATGCCCTTTGGCCGTCCGCGCGAATAGCGGGTAAAGAACATGACAAAACACTTTCCGAGCACCTCGTCAATGTGGTGATCGCGGTACTGCCCTGTCTTGACAACCTCATCCGGGTAGAACTTCTTGTTCTCCCAGTGCACGGTCTGCTCTGGCCGGTAGTACCAGCACGCGTTGATCCAGATCTGCCCGTCGTGGTCCTTCCATGTGCGGAAGATTTGGCCTACAGTGGGTTTGTTTGGGTCGTTGGGATTGATGATATGGATCCAGTCGCCGACGCGGTAGTTCTCGCCCTTATGCGGGATATGATCGAGCGGGAGACGTAATTGTTTGCCTCCACCTCCAGCGCCCTCGTCGCCGCCGGTAATGTCCTCGTCCTTGCGCGCCTTTTCAATCTCGGCGGCTTTGCGCATCTCCTCCTGCAGCATGACGGCATCCTGGTAGAGCTGCGAGTCGTCCTCATTGAACGCTTTAGCATTCTCAAACATCAGCTCCATGTCGGCAATGAACTGGTCGAACGTCTTGTATTCGCGGCGCTTGACATTCTTGCGGATCAGGTCCAGCGCAATGGGGTTCTTGATCTCCTGGAAGTATTCCGGAAACTCCTTCTTCTCGGGGAGCTTCTCAAAGGCGTTAATTCGAAGATTCCCGGACCTGTGACTACCCATCAGCACACACACCCTCCACTCGGGGGGCCTTCAACACCAAACTCACGCCTCATCCTTCAACTTCCTCAGCGCCTTCAGCACATTCTTAACCCTGACCTCCATTGGCGTATCCACCCTGGGTGGCCTACCCCTCTTACGCCTCGGATCATTCATATCCTTCCTAACGCTCTCATTCCCACCTTCTCCGTCGTCGTCCTTGACATTCTTCCCCGTTCGCCTCCTAGTGGAGATACGGCGCTTCTTGCCATCGTCCTCTTCCTCCTCCTGGGCGTCGTCCTCCTCGTCTTCCTCCTCATCCTCCGCAGCCGAGTCTTCTTCGGGGTCTGGAGAGCCTTGGGAGCCGCTGGGGGAGGGGGGCGGTAACGGGCCGAGGTCTGGCAGTTCGCTGTCGGCTTGCTGGATCACATTGGCGTCGCGGAGCTTGCCGAGTTCGGTGCTGAGGGTGCCCTAGTGTCGGGGGGCGGGGTTAGTGGGCGCGCGGGGGTGTGCGGGGATGGGAGGGGGCGCATACTTCTAGAGTCTCCGCGTCCTCATATATCACACTATCATGTCGATTATATAATTTTGCATTATGAAATATCTACCATACCCAGTTCATATCAGTCAACCCCTTCTCCCAGGAGGTGTTTCCGAGGGGTCAGGTCGGGTTGGGGAGAATAGTTCAAGGGAGAAAAAAATTCCGCTCACACACCTGCGCGCAATCCTTCACAAAGTCGGTAAACGCCGTGTACGTCTTCCTCTTGACATTCAGCTGCACCGGGTTCAGCGCCTGGGGGTGCTTGATAAGTTTATAGTAGTCCACAAACTGCCGCTTTGGCAGCAGGTCGTGGAACGCCTCCGAGAGATCGCGCTCGCTACTAAACCACACCCAAGCCAATTGTTAGTTCAGCCGTCACGATCTCTTGCTCAATCGATCGCGCCAGAGGAAGAGTGAGGGGGTGGTGGAAGGGGTGAGTAGTAATACGAACTCTGTGGGATCCCGCTGGTTGAAGAGGGCGTCCAGGACGGTCTGCATGGCACGGAAGAGCTCATCGCTGAGCTTCGGCGTCGGGTTTCGCACAGTGACCATGACGTGTGGGGAGGAGGGGGTTATGTTCTTTGCCTTCGTTCCTTCCTTCGGTGCTTGCTTCGCAACGCGTTTGTGTGGGAGGGTGGAGGTGGAGGAGGAGGGAAGGGGGAGGACGGGCGCTGATTCGGTGGATGGGCGGGTTTGTTTCGTTTTCGGCCTTTGCGAAGGGTGGTTGGTGCTGCGGTTGGGGTTTTTCTCATGTGGGTGATGCGCGTTGGGTGGTAAATATTCTGGCAGGGGTGTGGCGGTGCGGGTGGGGTCCGCCACAGGGGATGGGCGAGTGAGATCGCGTGATTGCGCGTGGGGTTCCATGGAACAAAAAAGATATATTTCAACCACTGGGTAATGGGTGTGTTTAATTGATCAATCGAGGGATTAATTGCGCAGCTGCATAAATAATAACCCCCAGATCAATAACTATACGTTTCCACACCTCTTGGAAGAGATGTGGCTTTTTCCCAGCCTACGAACAACGTGACAGACACTCTGGCACCACATAATTAAATTCAGTTAATTTGATACAAAGTACAGCGGTGGGTATTAAGTCATCGGACGGCCTAGCCACAATTTTGCCTGCAAACGCGTATTTTGGTAGCGTTCTGTCTGATCACTTATTACCCACCGCTGTACAAGACTCAATCTAGTCTATTTGCGATCTTCTAATAGCACAATCCACCACCGCAGTTGTTTCACCTTGGCATCAACACCACAACGCCAAACGCCAAGACCCGAGTGATCTCTCATGCCACAAACACCCACACCATCACAGTACATGTATATTTAGAACTGTCACTGTCCCCGCGGTAGTATTGACTATTACATCAACCAAGATCATCTAAATGTAACTATAAACTCCCAAATATAACATCAGTCCAATCTCGCTTCAGATTTTAGAAACATCCATCCCCCGCCCAACACGCACACAGAAGACCACCTCACCATGGATTACGTTGCAAGACTTATCACCTCGTCCATCTTTGATGGTTGCTGCGGCTCGCTAAACAAAAGCCACTATTACGTCGTCAACCTTTTTCTTGATATAAGTACGTATTTCCCTATCTATGTATACCTTTGTGCCCACCGCAGCCGTGCTGACTGGTAGATTATAGTTTGTTCGCTCCGCTACACAATCGTAGCAATGCTCGTACTTACGTGTTTAACTACATGTGCCTGGTCGGTCCCGATCCCTAAAGAAGATGTGTTCAGGAGGGGGTGCCAAGGGTGCTTTGCCTGCGACTGGGATCGAATCTGGGCAAGAGTGAGGCAGGGGAAGATTTGGGGCGAAGATAGCCTCGAAACCTTGAACTTCTTTTCGATATTTTAAATGCTGGCTGGCTGTATGTTGGCCATGGGTGTTATTGTTTTTTTGGTTGGTTGGTGGGGGATATAGAGCTCTGGGCTTCCTATCTAGCCAGTAGGACCTTCCAGTGGTAAATCTCCTTTTTTCTCACTGTGTTTTTCCCGCGGGGGGATTGATGGTTTTACCACTGAGAGCGCCTACTAGTTAGATAGGAGGTCTTGAGGCCTGTAGGTCTCACCATCTTAGAAAGTTTAGTGAGCTTCTAAATATAGATTATTCATATAAATTATGCATCTAGAAAAGTGGCTATTAAAACACATTATTAAATGTAGTCCTTAGAGTTTCTGGGTTCGGTAGGGGTTAAAAAATTCTGAATTTCCGAGCCACTTCAAGGCCGTTCGAAGATGATCGGACCGACTCACAACCGTAGACAAAGCTTAAGTATTTGGATCTGTTTGATAGAACAGGCTTTGCAAATTCTGAATTGGCACTCATCTTGATACTTCAAGCGACTTCCGGAAGTTGGTGGTAAAAGCCCTCGGCCCCTAGCTCTGTGGAGATGAATTATCGTCTCGCCATGGCCTTACCTATTGCGGAAAAGGTCTAAAGTAAAATGACATAGTTCGCTACGATCTAAAATAAATACGGAAAAGGTCTAAAATAACACATTTTTGGGTAGACATGCTCTACAATAACACATGAGATGGATTGTTGGTAAGTTCTAAGTTCTTCATCTTGACGGTGGTGCCAAGTTCAAATATCACTTCCAGTGTAGTATCCACTATGGGCGGGTGGTCTAGTGGATAGACTGCTCGCTAGACACCGAGCGTACCCAGGATACAACCAATACACACATAAGGTCCTGGGTTCAAACCAGGGGTGGGGGTAGTAGTCGCAAATTTCTCAATAAGTCGCTACAGTACCTTTTGTAGTTTTGTAGAACCTTTTGTTCTTTTTCTTTTCCTGTAGTAAAATAAATCAGGAACGCTATCTTGATGTTTGATTTTTCTAGGGGGGGGGGAAGGGGAGTGTCCATTTTGCATCATGTGTTATCAAAGCACGTGATATACCGAAAAATGTGTCATTTTAGACCTTTTCCATAAAGTGCATGTATTTATTACCCAAAGAATTAGAACGGTACTGAGTCAACTCATATCGACTCTACCACTACACAATAGTCAGGGCTCTTGGGCTTCACAGGGTCAATATTGCAATATTATCCACGAGCCAAGATACATCCCCAAGCAATGTGTATTTCCCCCCAAAGCCCTTTCCCCGCCTGTAAACAGCGATAGATGTACATGTACATGTAATTCCAGCTACCTGCATGTTCTTTAAATCCGGATCCGCGCTTCGATGTCCAGTTTACTTAGTGCCCAAGGTTCGTGACTACACCCATAATACAAAAGTTAAACCCACGCACAAACCAGGTCGTGGGAATATCCCTCAAGCCGGATCCTAATAAGAGCCAAAAGAGCATGAACAAGCCCCCCCCCCCCCCCTCTCCAAGGTGCACAACGAAAACCCCCAAATAGGGCGGGGCCGCATGAAATAACCGTCAAAGAGGCGTGATGAGGACTTACTTTTACCTAATTACCCCACGACACTTACGGACAGAGGGAAGGGTAAAGAAAACCCGACAAGCCCTCAAGCCATGGGAGGATAGGGTGTAGGCGTCGACATTACCAAACCTTAAACCAGCAAAGACGATGTGGACTGGGTAGGCGCGTAGCGTAAAAATAAAGTTTCCCATCCCAAAAGAGACAAAGACGTGGAAGAGCCCGGCTACATCGATGGTCAAAACTCAAAAGCCGCCGCTGGGATACGACAAACCTTATTTCCTAGGTTATGGTTTGACCGCATACCGACCCTCGGGTGCGGAACAGTGCGTAGACTTCCCTTCCTTACGCTGCTGCGAAACCTCGATCTTTACCGAGACTGCAACAGAGGTGGAGCGATCTGTAGATGATCGGATTGGCAGATGGGTGTCACGGGTTAAACTTCCGCACCAATTTTTTTTACATCCCCCTAAGCATCACATCACAAGTCATCACTCGCACCAACATCCCTGCAATATTTTGAATTCCTGATATCCGGGCGCAACAAAAAAAGCCAACAACAAAAAAGCTATTTATTTCTACAAAAAGACCAAAGCAGATAAAAAAGAAAAGCAAACACGCCTCTTTATCTCCATAACTAACCAACCCACCTCCTTGCGCTCCTAAACAGCCTAACCCACGGACCCACCTCCCACGCCTCTTCCCTCGCCCTCTCCGGCAAATAACTAACACTCTCCCTCATCACCGTCCTCTCCGGGTGCGGCATCATGGCCAACACCCTTCCATTCACACTCCTCACACCCGCAATACCCTCCGGCGACCCGTTCGGATTCGCCGGATACACCTCCGTCGGCCTGCCCCTCCCATCCACATACCTGACCACGGCGCCGCCCTGCGCCTGCAGTCTCTGCAGGTGCTCCTGGCTCTTAAACGTCGCGCGCCCCTCCCCATGGGCGACCGCAATCGGGAACGACGACCCGGACATCCCGTCCAAGAACACGCTCGGGTTCTTCTCGTCCGCCGCGTCCTTGACCTCCACCATGCATAGGCGGGCCTCATACTGCTCGCTGCGGTTACGCTCAAACACCGGCCAGTTCTCCGTGCCGTCAATGATCTCCTTGAGCCTGCTGAGGAACTGGCACCCGTTGCAGACACCCAGCGCGAAGGTGTCGGTCCTCTGGTTAAAGAACTTCTCAAACACGGTTCTCGCGCCCTGGTGGAGCAGCACGGACTTGGCCCACCCGGCACCGGCGCCGAGGACGTCACCGTATGAGAACCCACCGCAGGCGGCAATACCCACGAAGCTGTCGAGCGTGAGGCCGCGGTCGATGATATCCGTCATGTGCACGTCCACTGGGGTAAATCCCGCCAATCTAAACGCGAACGCCATCTCCGCATGTCCATTGACACCCTGCTCACGCAGGATGGCCACACGGGGCTTCGCAGTCGGGACGGTTGCAAACAGCGGGGCGCTGGGGTTGAAGGTGAGGTTGTAGCTAAGACCTGGGTCCGCATCATCGAGGATGGCCCCATACTCCTGGTCCGCGCATGCCGGGTTGTCGCGGATGCGCTGCATAATGTGAGAAGTGGCAGCCCACTTCTGCTGCAGTGTGCCGCGGGAGGCCTCGTACACAGGGGCAGCGTCGTAGGTAAAGGTAAGCTTCTGGTCGTTGGCCTGCTTGACGGACCCGAGGGCCTTGACATCCTTGACGCCCCTCGCCGCAAAGATCTGTGTGAAGGCTGCCACGTCCGTGTCCTTGACCTGGAAGACAGCTCCAAGCTCCTCGTTGAAGAAGGCCTCGAGCACGCCGCTGGTCTCGCCATTGCGGGCAACATCCTTCAGCTCGACATCGACACCGACACGGCCGGCGAAAGCCATCTCAACAATCGTCGTGAACAGACCACCGTCGCTGCGGTCGTGGTAGGCGTGCACAATGCCCTTCGCGCGGGCCTCAGCACAGGCCTCGAAAAAGCCCTTAAACACCTCGACGTCCCTGACATCCGGCGCCTCGTTCCCAACCTGTCCAAAGACCTGCGCAACGGCGCTTCCGCCCATCGCCATCTTCCCACCGGCAAGGTCAACCAGTACAAGCTTACTTTCACCAATCTCACTAACACGCCTCAACTGTGGTGTCCATGTCTTGCTGACATCGCCGACGGCCGCAAAGGCCGTAACCACCAAACTGATGGGCGCCGTCACCTCCTTCGAGGCGCCGGTCTCGCGCTCGGTCCACTTCATCTTCATGCTCATTGAGTCCTTACCGACGGGGATACTGACACCCAGCTTCGGGCAGAGGTCCATACCAATTGCTTCAACGGCTTCATACAGCGCTGCGCCCTCTCCAGCGTGGTTCCCAGCCGCCATCCAGTTGGCCGACAAGCGCACTCTCGGGAGCCCGCCCTGGATGTCGGAGGCAGCCAAGTTCATGAGCGACTCTGCCACCGCCATCTTCGCGGACGCCGCCGGCGAGATCAGCGCCAGCGTCGGCTTCTCGCCCATAGCCATCGATTCACCCGTCTTCACACCCTCCTCGAGCGCCGTCGCCGTGACCGCAGCATCCGCAACCGGCACCTGCCACGGCCCAACCATCTGGTCTCTCGTGATCAGACCCGTGACCGTCCTATCTCCAATAGTGATCAAGAAGCTCTTTGATCCCACACTTGGCAGATGTAGAACACGGTCGACAGCCTCCTGGATGAGGACCTCCTTCGGAATCTCCGCAAGGTAGCTCTCAAGCGTGGTATCGAACGCCGGGAGATCCAGCTTGCGGCTCTCCACCACACGGGTCATCTTCGGGGGCTTTCCAAACAGCGTCGACATCGGCAGGTCAATGACCTTCGGGTCCTTCTCGCTGTTACGGTCCTTAAGCACCAAGCGCTGCTCCTCCTCTTTCCCGCCCTGGGCTCGTCCAACGACCGAGAACCCACATCGCTCACGCTTGGCAATGGTTTCGAAGGTCTTGAGACCCTCCTCCGCGACGGCCATGACATAGCGCTCCTGTGCCTCACAGCACCAGATCTGGAGGGGGCTCATGCCTTTATCCGCGCTCTCGACCTCTCTCAGCTCAAACTCCGCGCCCAAGCCCGCATCATGCACCAGCTCCGGCAGCGCGTTCGAGAGACCACCAGCACCAACATCGTGGATGGAGCGGATAGGGTTGTTGACACCAAGGGCAACACAGGCATCAATCACCATCTGCGCCCTCCTCTGCTGCTCCGGGTTCCCTCTCTGGACCGATGCAAAGTCCAAGTCCACATTCCCCTCACCGGATGCGATCGACGACGCCGCACCACCTCCAAGTCCAATCAACATCGCCGGGCCTCCAAGCACAATCAGATATGCCCCGGGCTCAATCATGCCGGGTTCCTTGATCGCATGGATCGGGCGGACCGTTCCCAGGCCTCCCGCTAGCATGATAGGCTTATGGTACCCGCGGACCTCATCCCCGCCCTTCCCATCTGCAACCCTTGTCGTCAGCGTGCGAAAGTACCCCATGATGCACGGCCTTCCAAACTCGTTGTTGAACGCTGCGGACCCAATGGGCGCCTCCAGCATGATATCTATCGGCGACGCAATATGGTTCGGCTTCCCCATATCAATCTCCCACGGCTGACGGTGGCCCGGAATCAGCAAATCTGACACACTGAACCCCGCCAATCCCGCCTTCGGCTTCGACCCGCGGCCCACCGCGCCCTCATCTCTAATCTCGCCGCCCGATCCCGTCGCCGCACCGGGGTACGGCGACACCGCAGTCGGATGGTTATGTGTCTCGACCTTGGCCACAAAGTGGACCATCTCCTTCGTCTGCTTCCATTCCCCGTTCACATCGGGCGCCCAATGCACCGCCTCATTCCCCTGTAAGACCGCCGCGTTGTCTGAGTACGCCGAGACGGTGTGGTCCGGCGAGAGCTTATGCGTGTTCCTGATCATGCCAAAGAGAGAGTTCGGCTTCTGCTGGCCGTCAATGGTCCATGAGGCGTTGAACTGCTTGTGGCGGCAGTGCTCCGAGTTGACCTGCGCGAACATGAACAGCTCGACGTCGTAGGGGTCGCGTGGGCACGGGCCGGTGGCTGAAAAGGCATCAAGCAGGTACGAGATCTCACTCTGGTCGAGTGCGAGGCCGAGCTCCTTGTTTGCCTTCTGTAGGGACTCTAGGGGTGTTGAGGTTGCGGAGTGGAGGTCTACACGGCCGACTGGGAGAGGGTCGTGAGTTCCAAAGAGCGCCTCGAACGTTGGAGGCTGCAGCGAGAGGGTCTACATAGCACAATTAGAACTCCAGTAGCAAGATCATGCAACCACAGTCACCACAAACCTGTGTCATGCGATCATAGACCGCCTCCGCACCAGGGAACCCCGCGCCAGTCCACTCCCTCCCTTCCTCAAACACCACCTCCACCAGCACGCCCCTCTCAATCCTCTTGACACCGCTCAACCCACACACCGCCGCAATACTCGTCGCCTTCGACGACCATGGACTAATCGTGCCCGCCCTCGGACACACCCACCAGACTGACCCATCTGCCTTCCCCGTGCCAGTTACAACCCTCACCAACCTCTCCGTGTCCTTGTCCTCCTCGCCATAGTGCAGCAGCTGCTCCAGATACCTCCTTTCGGCGCTGCCGGACTGGGACAGCACCTGGGCGGCCGCAGCGTCAGTGGGGCACACGTAGTGCACGTAGAGCGATGCAATGCTCTTGACGACGGCGGCGCCAGCGAGGGCTGTGTTGAGGGCGTCTTTGATCTCGACTAGGCGGAAGGTCGAGTATGCGGGCGAGCCGGGAATGGCCAGAAACTCGGACGCCATTATGATGTGTGTGTAGAAAAAAAGATTTTTCTTTCCTTTTTTAGTGTCTCTTTTTTTCCCAGTTGGAGAAAAGAAGGAGATGAGGTAGAGATAGAAGGAGCGATGAGGTGTAGTTGGTATAAAGGTGGGCCGCAGATCTGTAGTTTAAAAAAAAAAGGGTGAGTGATAAACCTGGCGGCGGGGTACTAATCCATGGCACGGCGGGGCAAAAAAAAAAATTTCCACTTATCGATAACAGTGTGGTGGGGGTTAGAGACAAAAAAAAAAAAAGGCTCGTGGAGAGTGGGTTAGGGTTTGGGTTGGAGGTTTGGGGGGTCATAGGCGGTCATTCGCTTCGTTTCAACCACCATCGACACCCACACAGCCCCATCCCAGACACACCCCCACGTTTCTGATTAGAGTTGTGTGCCACCGACCAAACTTACTTGAAAAAAATATGCAACGAGCATCCATGATAATCAGGTACAAACTGCATCTGTGATGGATGCATGTGTCACTAGATATTCGGAGTCTAGGGGCTCTCTTAATCGAATGAAGCTGTGAGTGATGATGATGGATCAAGTCGGCATCGCAGCTTAACTTCAAAGCATCTCAAGACTAACACATACGCTTAACCGGTTGCAAGCACATATGTAGCCGTGGTAACGTGTCTTAACATCTATTCCGCTAACCTGTCCCACAACGTCCTTGCATAAGGAGGAGTTTTTCAAGCAAGCAGTTAGTACTGCAATTTCAGCACGGAGAAGGACTTAGCCTTCCGTGTAACATTCTCTATTTACTTGAAGGCGGGATGAACCCTCCTCGATCCCTCCGTATGCACATTTAATGATTACAGCTACACCTCGCTATAAGAAACCTCGCTATAAGAAAAACTTGCTGTAAGAAACAGCGCATAGGGTACACGCTAACAGCTCTACACCAAAATCTTACTTGCTATAAGAAATATTAGTGGAAATTTTGCTATAAGAAACAAAATCCGCCGCCACCTTGGCGTTTCTTATATCGAGGTGTCGCTGTACCACATCTTTTTTCACGTGCGGGAAGGTGATGGACGATATGATGCAGGTCGGTACTTGCCTGGGGTTTATGGTAATACGTAGCGAGACTACCGAAACATATCGCCGATCCATCGATTCAACGCGGAGTATGAGAGACCTCCCCTAATCCCGAATGTAGCATTGAATAATAAAGTTCAATCGCAATCTCCACCGTCTATCACCTACTCACATGTAGTTAGATGCGAGTCACTTGGAAGGGACAGTTGGAAAGCAGAGTTACATGTTATATATGTTTTTATATCTCCTTAAAATTGAAAGAAATACGCATAAAATATATACAGCTGAATAAAAAAAAAGATCCATGTCTGCCGACACATCTATCTGTAGCCTGTGATTTTTTTTCCGCCTTCCAACAAAAGAAACAACACAAAACAAATAACACCTTGTAAATGACCACCCATAATTCGCCGTAGATCGAGAGCGACAATGAGAACCCCTTCTAGGTGTTTCAAAGCCACCCCTAACTATGCTGATGCCTGGCTGAGCGCTGTTTGAATCCGATGCTTGCATGGACGGAACCAAAAAAAGGAAAGAAAAAAGTATGTAAAATAGGAGTTAAAGAAAGTCTTGAATGAGAAAAAGAAAAAAGAAACGCCCCAAAAAGCAAAAAGCCAAAAAAAAAGGTCTAGTAAATTAACGTCTGTTTAATTGAAGATGGAATAATCTTTAATACCCCAATACTATGAAACAGTTAGCAAGATGGCATGAATATACGGGCATAGGAATGAACAAACCTTCTCTGCGTTGAATGTAGCTGCGGTGTTTTGCTTCCATAGGTCATCACGGAATGTGAACAAGATAACATTGCTTCCCATAGCGGCCCAGATTGACTTGAGAGCAGTTGTCTGATCGCTGACAGAGGCCTTGGCGAGACCATTAGGCTCTCCCTGATGAGGCCAGCCGGTTTCGGTGTACAAAAGATCCTTTCCAGGGCAAGCAGCCTTGATGTTCGCACTTTGAGTAGTCAAGAAAGACCCAGCACCACTGGCATCAACCTTGCCGTCGTAGTAAGGGTGGCAGTTAGCCGCAATGTAGTCAGAGTTTTGACACAGGATCGGATTGTTCATGATAGCGACAAAGGTATCAACAGTGACGACGGGACCAGTGTATCCAGCAGCACGGAGAGTGGTACGGGCGCTGTTAAGCGCAGAAACCACTGCTGAAACAGAAGCCCCACTGTTCACAAGCTCATTTCCGATAGCAACAGTATGAATTGAGCCCCAAGAACTGCTTGCTGACTTGATAAGGCTGCTCATATCATTGTTGAACTGCGTGGAATCAATAACATTGAAGATACCGACGAAGATCTTGGTGGATGATGCCTTAGCTGCCAAAACGTTGGAAACCTGGTTACAGTCGACACCATAGATACGGATCAAAGGATAATCCTGGAGACTGGCAAAATCGGAGGAGACCTGAGCAGAGGACTTGCAAGACCCATCATCGTTGTAGGGAGAGTAGACAATGCCGGGCTTGGACCCAGAGATTGATGCAACACCCTTATTTGCTGTGTTTGCTGTGTTGAGACTCGATACATCGACGGAGTGCTGCTCGGGAGCAGGTGCTGAGGCTTCGGGGGAATAGTTCTCAATCTTATTGCCGTTCTCATCAACGTAGACGTAGACAGTCTCGTACTCGGTTTGAGTCTCCGCTGTAGGCTCAGCTACAGCTTTGGGGCTCCTCTTGTGATGGCGTTTCCCTGAGCAAATTATTAGCACGACATAAATTCGGAAGCATTATTTCACTGAGGATCCTACCATGAGGCTGAGCAACGGTGACCTCGAGGGCAAGCAAAAGTGCTACGGCCAAGCTGGTGAATCTAGAATAAATCATTTTGAATTTTGAAAGAGAGTATTGAAAAGTTGCTTGTGTATGATTTTGCTCTGATCGAGTGCGTCGGGGGGTATTGATATATGGCTGGATTTCGGTCGGTGTGCTCTTGAACAATACAAAGGCACCACGGGCCCACGGTAAATGTCAATTGAATGAGACAGATGAATGCCTTAGTTCGGTGTAGGTTTGAATGTAGTTGTGGTAGGGATGTCTCTATAATATTGCTATCAAAGCAAATGAGTGGATAGATATTGTCTTCGAAGGAATGACAAGGCGATATCTACAAAAAAGGACAAAGAGGGAAGAACGAGGCAAGGTGTGCCGGGTGAAGGAGAGAGGATTGGATGGTGAAAAGATGATAAGATAGGTTGACAGGAAAAAGAAAGAGAATAGATGAAGCGAATGGGTCTGTTTAAGAAGTGGCCAGCGCAGTATATTGCAGAGGCATGAAACGAAGTCTTCTACACATGGCGGCCCTAAGGGACACTACATGATAAGTTACATGTACTACTGCATGTACTCCCTTGGAACTAAGCCGCAGAGATGTGGGGTGGGGGGATAGAGGGGTGTAAACGAACCGCTCACTCTACTCAACCAGCTTCAATCGGTATGAGAAAAAGCCAAGAACCTGTATCAGGATAAATGAGTTGCCGGCCGCGCGGGTATCATCTGTACCTGAATACCATATCTGGCTACATGCACTTGTTTGATTATGAGTGATATGCAACTCTTTTTTTTTTTTTTCCTTTTCACTTGCATCAAAGTTACACCCTTTACTACCGACTTGTCTGACTGGGCTCGACTTTTGCAGATTTCACGGGTTTGCTTTTTCTGGTACCTGACACCAAGCTTCTCGGCACCTACCGCCAAAACCTCCCAAATTAGGCTCCCCACTTGCCTCTCCTAGCGCAAGCACTCAAGCTTTACAGAGGGTGGACTTTAAGCCTCCGTTTGAGCACGTTATTTCGTGAGAATTTGGAATCTCGTTTCGTTTTCCCCACACCTGAACTTCAAAACTGTCACGAGTGTCCTCTCCCATATGATAATAATCCTAACTATCTAGCTATCCTTATCGTAAAGGGTAATTTAAGCCTCTCTCCTGACCCAAATTCTTTTAGGGGTGGAAAAATTGGCACAAAGCTAGATATCAGGCTGTCTGCAAGGACAAAGACACAAAACTTCAGCCCTGAATTGACAGACAGACAGGGTACAGCGCAGAACAAAGACTAGGGAAGGAGCTACACTACATGATTTACAAGGATCACTCTGGGAAAGAGGGGGAAAAAAACCTGTGCTATTGTTTTTCCAGGTTGTCGTTGCGATTGGTGGTCCCCAAATCCAAAGAACTGTTCCTGCATGGGCTGTTGCAACAACACCGGGTTTCCCTGCCCATCCATGCGTTCCTCTTCTTCCATTCTTCTGGCCAGATGAGCCGTCCATTAGCTTTTGCGACTTTCCCAGCCCATCACACCCATCTGTTGGATCCGACGCAAATCCGCGCGTGTACCAGGCTTATTACGGTATAACTAGTACCGCCCGTGCGTTCCTCCGTCCTGTCGGGCCACGTAAGTCTCGAGCGCAGAGGTGAAGCCTCCAAAGCTACTTGCGTGCTGGATAATCTACTAGCAACCCTGCCAGTGTCATGCCTGCCCGATAACAAGTTCAGCGGATAAGATACTCTATCTCGTGGCATGGAGAGCCACAGCACTTCCTCGGTACTCTAAGGCCCAATGGGATGGTGCAGCAACATGTAATATGGGTGCTCTGCGATACTCCAGAATTGAGATACCTGCCCTTTACTGTAGAGTGCAGAATTAAACGCAAGGGAAATCCAGGTTAGCCTTCCGTTTTTCCTTTCAAGCGACCATATCTCTCTTCTTCTCCATCAGGAATTCAGTCGAACCCAGATTCATGATTCGGACCCTGAAACCTCGTTCCAGGGACAAACTAACAAATTAGGGTGTTTCATGAACCACGAACTCTCCGCGGGAAGCCAAACTGCAAACATTTCTAATCCCTACGCTAGCCATGTGTGTGGCATCTGGGCCATGCACAATATTACTAAAGTCGGCCGAAGAAGAGGAGGTAACTACGGTGCGGCGTACCTAGACATCCAGAACAAGTAGAATACCATGAAGAGAATATACCATCTTGGCGACTTGGGATAATAACTTATTGCAAAGCCTTACCTGCAGACTGCAGTACTCGTATTTCTCTGACGTTTGTGGACGCGACTGATATTGCATGCCATACAAAAATACGCCAAGCTCATGATTTTGGGTGTATGCAATAATGGCTCAGTTTAAAACGTCAGAGAAATACTAGTAGACACACCCAGCAGGTATGCGTCCTGTAATGGGTACAAAGACTGGATTCTTACACGCAACACCGGGTTTCTCACCTTACACACCCCAACCTGTAGAGTCCAAAAGCAGAAAAGCAGAGCACCCACAAGCGAGTTGTACGCGCCATTATCAAGCGACTCCACTCGTAGCTTACGTTTCCTCTCGTTTAACAATTTTCTCGAATTTACTACCCGGAATAAAATCACTGACACTGAATTGCCTATCTTGCGTACATAGCCGCCCCTATTTCGGTATTTCGGCCTTCATAACTCCCTCTGGTTTGTGTCGAAACAAACCGATTCTTCCTCGTCCCACATCAACTAGGTACATGTATTACATGTAGTTTCTTAGGTAGTACCTACATGTACGTACCGGTAGGCCCCGCTCAAAAGAGAGCCTAAACCAGATGTAGTACAGCAGCGTTCTAGGCCATGAACCGGCTTTTCACAGAGAAAAAAAATTGCACCATCTCCGGTAACCGCATATTCGGAGCGGCTCCGAAGACGATGCCGCCGTATCGTCCGTGGGGCAAACCCTAGGCCCTCCGTTCATACCTTTTTTTTTCCCTCTAAACAAAAGAAAACGGCAGATGACAGAAGAAACGTGGCCCACCTGCTGAGGTCGATTTGTATCGTGATTCGATTCGCCTCCAAGGATAGAAAATACAAGAATCGAATAAAATGATCTTGGGTGCCCAGTCGAGGTACTTTGTACCGACCCGCATGTAGGAACGCCAGGCAAAAAAGTACAAGGAAGAAAGAAAAAACGTAAATATCATGAACGGTAGAAGTAGAACCACGTCACGGAAGGTGGAGTGTAGAGTTGCTGACGATTGTTTTCAAAGCAAAGTATTGAGGCACATGATTTTACAATGGCATATAGAGTATACCTACTCTACACTCACAACATAATTGGATGGAGAGAGCTTGCTTAGCTGACAGTCATCAATATCAACTACTTAATGCATCATCGAGTCAAGTACGTACTACCAAACATCTCGATTCATGGACATTGTCCATTGGCTCGTTTGAGTAATACTTTTGTCTACTATTATGATTGACGTGGTACTTGAGCTACCGGAAACTGGTTTCATTGGCGAAGTAGTTGGTAATTGGTCTGTTTGGCGAATAACTTTATTTGTTGCTTTCTGGCAGCTGGTTACCGGTACATAGCAGCTTCTGATTCGGCCCGAATCGTCAGATCGGCGTTCTGGTCAGTCAATTGATCAACCCCATTTTCTTGCGGCCCGCCTTCTGACAATTGGCCTGTCTGGCGAATACTCACTCCACACTCACTCTTGGCGTATGTAGAGTATCCAAAAATGCATTTTGTACCTACGTATCCGGGTGAAAAGATGTCTCACCGATCATTGCCCAGACCCCAGTAAAGCATGGACATGCTAAATATCTCTACGGCAGCAACTGCAGATGAGAAAGATTATGCAGGAACAACGAAGAACATCAGCCCTCAGGCATGTTGAACTCGTTTACCTGATTTCTCCAATCAATTGACTGGAGTAATCAAAAATATTTTTGACATATCACTCAGCTCGTCACCCCAACCTTAATGCTTAAACCGACATCCATCAATGTTTCATGAGATGCGCACCGAACATACTTCATAAGTTATGTTCCATATGTGATACCATCATTAACTTGTTGTGGGGAATTCCGGGCGCGATCAATGCTGGGTTCCAGAAAGTGTCTTCACGATATGGCCCGTGCAAAAATATGTTTCAGAAGCGACAAACCTTCCCTAAATGGATTTTCCGAAGAGGACCGAGGAGCCGCACAGGTCGAACCCCATATGTACGCACAGGTCGTTATTTCTCCGCGATAAGCTCAGACTTCTAGAATTCTCTCGGATATCTTCCGAGCGGGTGAGAGCTCTCGGGCGGGCGTTCTTTGTGGATTGTCTCCTCTGAATGGGTATCGATTAAGCATCACGCTAGTCCTATATGCAATTTTTTGCTAGTATGGGGCAGCGGCCGTTCGTTTGGTATTCCCTGAACAGCTCATACTTCATTCCTAGATATGGACAACACAACAAATTAGAACTGCCGCCTCCAATTGAATCTTGAGTTATGTGTCTCACTTTTCTCGATGGATTATGAGCGAGCCGACCTTTCCACCCGGAGCACCTGGATTGTTGAGTTGAGTTGGCAATGCAGGTTGTCTATGGATCAGTTGAGTATAATCTAGCTTTATGGCATGGAGTGATGATTACTTTCAAAAGAGTCAGTCTGAAATCTGGGGGGGGGGGGGGTCACATCTTGATTGTCGTATTTTCCAGAGCAGATATGGGACGTTTCGCCGTACTTGCAGACGAGCGCTCCTAGAATATTGCACTTCCCTTACTGCGATTAAGGGCGGGCTTGATGGTCAACCTAAAACTGTACAAAATTCCAATCCACAGGAATAATGACCCTTTGCTGATGCCTCGGCATGCATACTCAGTGACGGTGCATTTAATGAATACTAACTTTATTTCAGGTTGATCAATTAATTATTTCGCGCAATGAGTACTAGTTTACATTAAGATTCCTACTTCTATCTTGTCTAATAATAATATCATATATTACAGTACATGTATTTCAGTTGTGTGCTGAAATTGGGATATGTAGCTACAATCTAGATATGGCTAGTACATCTAGTAACCATCATGCACTTATTAGCCTATCTTAGAAAACCTGCTACATCTATGATTGACACAAACCCCCCCCCAAATTTTTTTTTTTTTTGATTTACCACAAGGTAGAAGCAGTATCAAGATTTGATACAATACGTCTACTGTTGCAAAGCCCACATGGTAACAGTGGATAACTAAGGATGACAGGCTTGGATAGCCGTGATGGCGGCGGCTAAGTCCTATTTTTAGACCTTAGGCTCTTTTTCAAGTTCTACGTTCTCCGATCCTCATTTCTTAGAAGTTACTAAGTTTTGGTGAGCATATGTGAAATCTCTAGGGAGGGATTTCTATTGGTGCGTGCCCCAGGAGTAGTGACGTACTGGGTGTTTATAAGTGTTTCAGCGCGCGCTGTTCAACACGCAGCATCGATTTATGGTATATACAGTATTACTTATTTAGCAACTCATATGTAGTAATATGAAACAGAATGGCATTCATAAACCATACGCTAGGCGTTTGTATGGAAGATACCTAAACACCAATTGTCGATAACGTTCATGGAAGATCCACGAAGCCATGCATGGTCTATGTCTACAGAAGATACATACATCCAGTAACACCATCCCATACCCCTACGCCAAGACTACATAGCTAAAAGCACTCCAGCTTATCAAGCCCCTATAGCTTACACGCTAGCCTGTTTCACCATTCGTATCGGTTTACAGGAAGCGAACAATCGATGTTCCGAAAATATCTTGTAACCAATATAAGCTTAATTACGGGCTTCAATTTTCTTTTGCAAACATACATCAACCTCCTTATATTTATGCCATTGCATCCAAGGCAACCTTTCTTGAATTATCACGAAGACGCAGTATGACTCGGGCTGAAACTCAACCCATAATAGCCCATCTACCGTTAGGAAAAAATGTCAAATCGAAGGCCTAGACATCAGACACGGAAAATTTGCTTTTTTATTCGACGCTACTTGAAAATGACCTACCATAGATGGGGAATAGAATTCGCTTCGTATAGGAAAATACTAGTACACTATGGTAGGCGATCTATATCACAGGCTGTGAATCAAATGATCACGCCCGTTCCTCACTGAAAAATAAATGGCTAGAATGAAATACATACAGCCATTCACCAAAAGTTCTATAATAGGTGATACACCTCAACAGACAGGAGGAAATGAGTGATCCAAACCCGCGGGTAACATTTTCAAAATAATGAGCATTTATCCTCCATAACACAAGATTCATGGATAAATCTCTAACCAAGCCTTTACCATATACATTCAATTACCCTAAATCAACCCACAAAGTCATATACGTATAGCTGCATATTACCTACCTACTCTCTGAGTTTTGTATATAGCGATATCGAAGTTGTGTTCCGGACACGAAAACCTTTGAAGAGCGGCAGTACATGATCACGAATATACCTAACCGCTAGACAAACTGCAGTTAGCAAAGCTAGGACTTCATTACCATTATTTAAATTAAAATATGACTAGGATACCACTAAGTAGAAATATTTTATGATTCGGGTAATTAAAGACCTAGATAAAGCCCAAGTATATGTACAGCGGTAGGTAATAAGTGATGGAGCGGGCTGAAACACAGTGATACCTGTTTTAGGTAAAACGCCGCCAACATACGGTGTTTACAAGTATAACTGTATCTCAGGGCATCCCATCACTTATTACCTATCACCGCACTAATAAATAATATAAAAGATATCATTAAAGTAAGTGGTCTGAACATGAATGAGAATAAACCGCATGCATACCTTCGTACGAAAACCAAAACGGCAGGTACCTTCGTGAATAGCAATTAGCTTCGCATCCTTCTAATGACCAATTATTCCTAGACTTTAACGCCGCAGGTGAGGGGGGCAAATTTTGATTCTACGTTCTTAACTATTGGGAGTTATTTGTGTAGAATACTGTTACCCTTTCGACAGGCACTTGCACGAAATATCTGAAACTAGTCTGAGTACGATACTTGGTGTAATTTGGAAATGATACGTTTCCTATATCAAGTCGAAATCTTCCCTAGCTAGATATAGGGAAACCCAGTTATATATCATATCACCTCACAATCAAAAACATAACAGTCACCAAGATCAACAACAGAACAGACACTCGAGAGTTAGACGTAGTTAATTATCCCGCACAGCTAGGCCCGATCAAACGGCTAACTACTATGTACATGTAGTCGGGGAGCGGGTGTAATAAATTCGTCTCTGTAGGTAAAAGTCCTCAAAGCTATTTACTATAATCTGATAATGGTTCTAGCGTGAGGGTATGTGTCCTATTGGCGTTCAAAATATCATACTTAGACCTTCTCCATGCGGCCAGCAGCCAGCCTTCTAGTCGGACCTGACCGTGTAGGGGATAGAAAAGGCCTTTTGTAATACAATGGTTGCATAGTATCAATGACTTGGATACCATAAAAAGATCTTATATACTGCTGAGCTTATAGTAGAGGGTCAAAACGGCATAAGCTTCATAACTAATCACTCGTTTATAATAGTAATAACGAGTGATATACTGTGATTAATTATTCGGAGAGAACAAATCGGGTCACAGATGGAATCATTAGATAACTCGAAACCAGCATATTAACCCAGCTAAGATCATTCATTGGTTCGATTTTAACTTTGTACACTAATCTACCTCAAGTTATTAGCATGCCCTAGATAGGAAAATTCCGGAATCACTATAATATCTGTATGTTTATCTTGTAATATTTCGGTGTAATTACCAGCCAACTCATTAAATCATGTAACTGTTACCAACATGGTTCCTCCACAACAGTATTAATAAGGAAATAAATCAAAGTGAGTAGGGTAGTAGAGCTATGGTTTCAATCATAATAAAAGAAGAAAGGGTATCTAATACCCGGATAAGGAAATGACGCCGGAACACCTCAGACGCAACTAACCAAGCCCCTGCTCCCACGATCTACCAAGCTAGGTATCCAACCCTCCATGGCTTCAATAGAAAATAACAACAACAATAAGAAATTCCTTCTAGAACGTCTTTGCTTCTTTACTCTATCGAGTCAACTTCCCGAGTTGGGCATCAGGATCATCGACAAAAGTCCATGATTCCTCGGAATCTATTTCATGCGGGTCGCCATGTTGTTTCTTGATTAGTGTCCGTGCATACTCCATGTCACGGTAGATAGCCTGGATAGCCGTCTCCACTCCGTTTTCCTAATATCAATAATATCAGCAACCAATTATATTTTATGGAGATATAAACTTCACTCACCGAGCGGATTTGTTTTCCCAGCATATCGGCTTTCGTAATCATCACCTCATTGTTGGTGCATTCCCACAGAGCTCTACTAAAAGCCTGGACGTTCAACTTCTTCACGCATATCCCAACCCCCATATCTTCAACACGCTGTCCAAAGAAGTACTGGTCTCCAAAGAACGGTTTCACAACCGTCGGGATTCCTGCCCTCAGACTTGCCCCAGTGGTTCCAGCACCACCATGGTGAACTGCTGCATCGATTTGCTTGAACAGCCAATCGTGTGGTGCAGACTGGATCTGGTGGATCTCAGAGGGTAGAGAAATTTCAGGCATCTGAGCATCTTTCTTTTGGAGCCTATCGGACCAACCCTTCGATAGAATGCAACGTACATCGGCCTTGAGAATTGATTCGACAACGGTACGAGTCATGGCATCTGGATCGGCTACCGTAATAGAGCCGAAACCAACATAAACAAGCTTTTTACCATCCTTTCGGGCTCTTGTAATAAAGTCTGTTAACTCCTTAGGGGGGATATAGTCACTTGGTGAATCCAGGAACCAATATCCAGTCACACGGATCCAGTCGCTATAGTCGAGCGGCGGAATGACTACCGAAGGGCTGAAATTATAAAGAAATGGTACTTTATTTGGCTGTAGTTTATCAAGGCTAGTTCTGGTAAGTCCAAGGGTCTTTTTCCGCCATCTGTTGATTTGGCCGGCGGTAGCTTTCCAGAAAACGTTATCAAAAAGAACATAGGTGAAGTAGTTATAAGCACCACCCATTTTATGCTCTGGAACAGCAAAAGCATGAGGATATGCCCTGGTACGTGTCCAAGGCATAGTGAACGCCCTGAAATATGGTATACCAAGGGCCTCTGCAATATGAATACCTGCCATCGCACTGGGACTTTCAATCAACAGATTAGAACCCTGGCAAGCCTTCCACGAGCTTAAGAGCAAGCCATCTAGCCATCCACGCATCTACTATAATTTAGTACCTAGCAATTACTACTAAGAGAATGGATTTTTACCGTTGAAGTAGCAGCCTGTAAAAAGTCTACAGTAAACATTCCGTGCGAAACACATAATTCCATCAACTCCGCTGGATCCCCCTCTACAGGCTCGAAATCAATTCCGTAGCTTCTGATCCAGTCACCATATTCTGCATGAGTCGCAATCCTTGTCCTGTGCCCATCCTTCATAAGCCCAATACAAAGCGCAATGAACGGCTGCACGTCACCGCGGGTACCAATAGTAAGACATGTAATGAGCATCGATTCGGTCGGTTTGAAATTGATAATCGATCCATGGGGATCATCAAATACAATTGGTGGAGCATCTTGACAACTAGCGTCATTTGTTGATAGTGGTAGTTGGATATCGTGAATATTATGACCATCTTGGCGCGCATCTTGTAGCATTTGATACTCGGTTTTAGCCATTTGTGCTCCTAGTTTTTCTTCCCGGGTCAAAATTCCACTCTCAGCAAGAACTCGGACGTCGTTTATGCCGGCACGTAGAGTTTGCCCACAGTCATCCCTAGCGTCTTGTTGACCAAACTCAAAAAATAGTTCCTCGTGACCACGGATTGTAATAACAAGTCCCGAGTAGCCAAATCTAAAGCCTTTCTCTTTACTGACATTTTCGATATCCTTGAGAGGAAGAATCATCTTTGCAAGTGTTAGCAATCTTATCAAAGACTTTAGATTGATAGTCAAACAAACCTTTGTCTTTGTTCCTGGCAATATACTCCTAAAGCAGAAGCTCCTATTGCTAAGATAGATCTTCCCGTATAAAGGTAGAACACGATGTAGGTATCCAAAATACACTGCAATCAGTCTTTCCTGTGGCGGGAGTGCAAACCTTGCCCTAAAACTGGCATCGTGACTTTGAGCATTCCCGTCGTCATCTTCAGCATCTTCAACCTCTTCATGCGCCATCATCCCCATGGGCTTATAATGTCTCTTTCCACCAACCCACATGTCTGATACTTTTTCCAAATATCCCATGGACTCGGTAGCCAAGAGCGCGCCAACACCCTGCGTCCGCTTCTTCATCCAACCCGCCCAACTAGCGGCACGTTGTAAGGGGAAGTTTCCGGTCTTTGCTATGTCCTGAAGTCTTGCTGAGTTGTTGCTGGAGCTCCCACTTAGCTCATCAGATTCATATTGACTTGGGGAGCCAGTATATGCCCTAGATGATGAAACATCTTTTTTATATTTTGATTTACTGGTAGAGCTGTGGGATTTGTATGAGCTCTGTGAGTCTGAACGTCCATGACCAAGTTTTTTCATTGTTGGTGAGTCAAAAATATCGCTCTTGTCCAGAATGCTGCTCGCTGTTCCTTTTCCTTCATCATCCATCGATAATTGTACCCCCTCGGAAGATTCTCCGAACGAATGAGCATATGAATGTGCGGAACCAGAGGGAAGGGCTGGGGAAGAACTAGTGCCCAGATCGGTACTGTGTCTGGGGGCCTCTGCCATTTTTTTCTGTATTTCTTTGGATGCCCTTTGAACATCGAAGCTGCCGCGAGTAAACTCTCCACTTGGCCTCGGACTAGACCTTGGGCTCCTGATAGTTGGTGACTTAGGTGAAAGTGGGGAAAGTGTTGCCCGTACTGGTTCCTTAAGAGTTGGGGTTATTGAACGATCCGGTAATGGCCCCAGGCCAGGTGAAGGAGGCTCTGAATGTGCTCCAAACATATGATCGGGGATCTTCGATGCTGCAGAGTTTTCTACTGCCGATCGCAAGACGTTCAAAGCATCTTTCCCGAAACTGAAGAATGAGAAGAAATACTAAAAGATCATCAGTAATCATATCTCATATGACGATATATTTGTTCGTTACCTCGTCGATAGCATATGTATCATCATTATCAACAACCTTGAGCTTGAAGGTATCTGCAAACTCCAAGACTGGGCTCTCTTCAACCTCAATGACGTTTTCTACTGGGATTGAAATTTTCACACTATCTCCCTCATTGTGTGACCTAAAAATGACCTTTTGGAGAGACTTTACCCATTCTCTAGCACTTGCTGAAGAGTCCGCACGGAAGTAATACTTTCTCTCGTTGGTAGAAAGCGTCACCATGACCGAATCTTTAGGATCTTTGGCCTCAACCACACTTGCTTGAAGACCATACCGAAGATCAATGTTTCCATTGGGAAAGTATAGGTCTGATGGGTTCGTGTAATAAGAGAGAACATCGCCCTTCAGGATGAACCAGTATCTAGTAAATTTAACAGTAGACTTGCCTCGTTTGGATAGGTAACCCGATTTTAGTATGACATGCTGAAAGATATGGGTCAGTAAGCTTTGTATTTGACAATGACAGAAAGCACATACATCTTTCCGAGGGAGATATGCATAGAAGCAGATATGTCGGGTGGTGATGTACATATAGCCCTGTAAGAGTACGCTTTTCAAAAGCCAACATGGGTATTCTGTAAAACTTTATTATTAAGAAGCAAATCTATTGGCAAATCATTGATAACATACCGGAAATGACCTTCTCGGTCGCCGGTAAATTGAAAATATCCATCAATTTCTCTTCCAAATTCCCATTTCCACTTGATTTCGCTGTTACATTTTCTTCGAAGTCGTGATAGGTTTCGTTCTCTTGGTCCTGTATATTTACCGCAAAGGCTGGTGGATTTAACTGCGTTTGTGCTTGTAAACTGTTTGTGGGAATGGCCATTTGTAGAGCAGCTCCGGCCAGTTCCGCGGGAACTGGGTCATCTTCCTCATCGTCAGTTTCTTCTTGAATTACATCCTTCGTCAACTCTCTTTTAGGACCAAGTGGTAAGCCAGGAATCTTGGATCTGAGCTTCTTATCAATCGCCTTGGGCGTGGTTGGATCATCGTCCGAGTCATCTGAATCGTCGTCGAAGCGAGAGCTCATCCGGATATTTGAAGTGGCAGCGGTAAGGACTTGATAAAAGCTTTGGTTCATGTTGAAGGGTGTATTTTTTCCGGCTACGCATACATCTTCATCGTTCGCATCGTCGTTGTCTCCAGAATTAAAACGGGCAGGGAGCTGCATGGACTGTGAGATGGTGGGGGCATTTTTTCGACGCCCCGTACCAAATTTCTGGACGATGCTAGAGCGTTCGGGCATTCTGAACAATGATGCTATCACGTGTGGTAGGTTCCTTGAACTGTTCCCGAGATCAGTTTCCTGACGGTTGTATGAGTATGAGAAGAGGTTGCTTTTATTATCAAACGAGGGCACGCGGAGAGAACAAGGTAGCTACTTGGAGCTATGTTACCTACCCATAGATGACTCCAAATATGTGTGGAGTGGCGAGCGATGAGTGGCTGGGTGTTACCTTATCGGTAGCCGCTATCGCAGATGCAGGACCCCGATGCAGTGCGTTTTCTACTTTGAGGAGGGGAGCTGCTGCTGCACGGGAGCCTCAACCGGGAGTTGATGGGGGAGAAAGCAAGTGACGATAACGATGGTATTAGCGATGGGTAAGTTGGAGAAGAAGTTTAATGAGTAGGAGTGATCTGCTCTACTTATGATAGAAAAACGCCTAGATAGAGTACCATACTATTGCCTGCAGATACGCTTGCGGTATGTTTGGGAAGTACGAAGATTGCAGCCGAAACATTCCGCTATAGCAGATGACTACTTGGATCCGTTACTCAGTACAGTCGTCTCTGGGTCAACGACGAAACCGGTCCGATGGCGAATAGGCCAATCGAAGCCAACAAAAACCAACAGAAGCGCTCCGACCCTTTGCTTTGACTGACTATCAGCCCAAAAAGTAGTTATTCGTCATCGAGCCGGTTTCGTCGTTGACCCAGAGACGACTGTACTGTAGTCGCACACTGTGTTTGACTCTTGGCATACAGGATTCATAGAACCGGTCCTCAACCCCTCAGGTTACCTACAGCTGGCTGCTGTTGATGATCCACTAGGAACAACCAAGTGTGGTGCTCAAGGCCTTTACCGAGACACTCGTAGTTTTTTTGGCGTTTCCGGACTGAACTGGGTGTTGAGGGTAAGTGATCAGAATCTGATAAGTGAATGTTACGGTGAATACAACCGCCTCTCGTTATAGTGATGGGGTCGGGACCGAAAAACGGTATCCTTATATCGAGGTTATCACTATACAGAATAAGGGTTAGGTTTTTTTTGGATCGAAAAATAGTCTAAATTGACAGCGATTCTTAGGGTACAGACATGTGACTGTTTAAGTACATGTACAGTCTCGTTTGTATTTTAGTCTTGTTTCCAGGCTTTTTGTCACGTAAAATGCCTGGAAATGCTGGCCCTCCCCCTTTCTGGGTCGCTCGCCGCACCCAAATTTACTCTTGTTATAAGGATACCCATACAAATCTTCACTAAATACCTAGTGATATCCTTATATAAAAAAATCACTAAACCCCATACTAAAACGTTGGGACCGGCAGGTGTCATCCTTATAACGAGAATATCACTATATGCAGTATCACTATAACGAGAGGCGGCTGTAGGTGTATTTGTCTTATCAGATTCTGATCACTTTTCGCTACACCCTAGTACAGTCGTCTCCGGGTCAACGACGAAACCGGCTCGATGACGGATAACTACTTTTTGGGCTGATAGTCAGTCAAAGCAAAGGGTCGGAGCGCTTTTGTTGGCTTTTGTTGGCTTCGATTGGCCTATTCGCCATCGGACCGGTTTCGTCGTTGACCAAGAGACGACTGTACATGTACCTTAGATTTCAACAACACCCGGCCTACCAAATCCTGTTGACCTTGATTGGCTTAACGTAGCTAGGATGTGAATGAAATTTCCTCTATGAGATAGGTACGTGATCGTTCTTCATCGGCCGATTTATTTAGGAGGAGTTTCTGCTTGCCCATAAAAATGCAGGTTTTAATTAGAGCACTGCTCTCATCACCAGAGGATCTAGGCTTCGTTATTGTACCTGCGGGGAAATGACTCGACGACCAGCTGATTACAAGCAGGTACATCATATGTAGGTACATGTACATACCGCCATAACTCGAAAAATTGGCTAGCTCCCAGAGATCAAAATTACTTGTATGGGAAACTTCTGATGCAGATCGATGCCATTCAACCAATCACTCGAGCGATAATCCCTGGCCGGAGATAGCCAGTATATACGCACCTACTTACGTTTCAAAGCTTTCTGTTTACATCACTAGGCCTTAAAGACCCATGTGATAGAAGACTTCTACATATGCCATACACAGTCAGATAGACGACTTCCCTAGCCACCCGAACAGTTGAGTATGATTGGTATAGAAACCGGTTGCAACGAAGATCCTTTCTTTTTGACGTTGACTGTTCGGGTGGGGGTGTTCGGGTGGCTAGGGAAGTCGCGGCGGCTACAAACTATCCGGCGTTAAATGAGTGATTATCCATGACTCTCAGCATATGATAACGCGACTGGAATATTAACTGTATTGCAAAAAATGTACCCTTTCTTCGTATAAGATTCACTGGCCCGTGTATCCTCTCGTAGCCTATCCCGGATCCCATATACGTGCAGGTGGGATTCATTTAGTGTAAATTCTTGATCCCCCACGAGTGATGCTCGCGACAGATCCTTGGACGCCGAAACACTCAATAAATAAGCCATAGACTAAAGCACGAAGGAAATCAATGTCGAAGACCTCGCGTGGCGGGCATTACTCGGTTTATGCCGTAAGAGACTCTTAGCCATAATTACATCTCAAATCTGATCATACAAGTAGTTAGCCAAATCCTTCTGGTTATATCAGATTTGCTTACCACAATTTTGTAGGTGATAGAACTGTACATTACTATAGAGTAGAGTAGCACATACTCTATCGGCTTGATGGCTTTTATAGTGTTATATATACTAGCACTTATGATGATCTACGACATGTGAAGGCGGTAGTGCAGAATATGGGGACTTTGTTAACCACGGCGTAGGCAAAGCTTGTTTCTGGGTACTTCCGGGTCCTCTAGGTTTTAAACACCCATGCAGCGAATAGATTTCGAATTTGCAATAGATGCAGCTGGATATGTCTGTATTAATGTAGATTTCTCTAGTTCCAGATCCGTTATGGCGAGGGGAGTTCATGTGCCGTTGCAGCGTGCGCCTTGTGCTATCAAGTTTATTTGCGGAATTCAAAACCCAACGCCCATACTGTAGGCATGGTCATGCATGTACCCCCAATCGGAGGTCGTATATCTGCGCGATAAACGACTAAATGTAGGTACATACATGTAGTGTAGAGTACCCGCAATAGCTCCTATCAATACAGGCGGGGGTCAATGGTGTACCTAGAACATGTTCCGAAGGTCGGACCGTAGTAAGAGATCTGGATAAATAAATCATTCATCGATTCTCGGGGACGAAGTGACGCCTCTTTTTCTAAGCCTCTGGCCACGTCTGTCATCCACTTCAGAGATAGGATTTATCTGGCTTATGACGAGCGGCTCTGCCCACAGATCAAACATCAGCCCACCTCGAATTTCGTAGAAATTCAACAAAAAACTCTACTACATATATACCCTTCACCAAAGCACATCAGTAATCATTACTCTTCGCCCTGTCCCCTCCTAAAAAAAATGAAGATCGTTGTTTACAGCTCAAAGAAGGTAAACCGGCACCCCACTACCGGTTCATCAGAACCCTATCGATAACCTTGATCCCTTTGTCTGAGATCTCGTTCGTTTATTCGGCTCTAACAGCCCACTTGCAGTACGACATCAGCTCGTTTGCCGAGTGCAATACAACTTCAGACTTGAAGCTTCAGTTTTTAGAAATCCACCTCGACAAGACTACCCTTGCCCTTGCGGCGGGTTATGATGCCGTGTGTATCTTTGTTAACGATGTATGCGATGCGGAGGTTCTCGAAGGACTAGCGAAGTTAGGCGTGGTAAGCGAATTGATCTAGCCATCAATGCCTTCACAGACTCCCGAAACGCTAGATAATTAACAAATCAAACTTATGATTCATAGAAATACATTGCCCTCCGCTGTGCCGGTTTCAACAATGTCGACCTTGAATCTGCTTCCCGGTTTGGACTTCAAGTCGTCCGTGTCCCCGCCTACTCCCCCGATGCAGTTGCCGAATTTGCTGTTGGCATGATCATGACCATCGTCCGAAAGTATCATAAGTCATACACTCGTGTCCGAGAAGGTAACTTTCTTCTCGATGGGCTCCTAGGCTTCAATCTCAAGGGAAAAACAATCGGTATAATTGGTACCGGTAAAATTGGCCTGCTCACTGGGAAAATACTCTCGAGAGGTTTCGAAAGTAATGTCATCGCATATGACTTATATCATAATGATCAGGCGGCCGAATATGGTATAACTTATGTCGATTCGCTTGAAGAGATGTTGGGGAAATCGGATATTGTGTCTCTTCATTGCCCTCTGATGGAAAGCACCAAATATATGATGAATGAGAAAACACTTGGGCAGATGAAGAAGGGAGCATATCTGATCAACACCTCTAGAGGGGCGTTGATTGATTCTCACGCATTGATCGGGTAAAATAATTCCAGTAGCACAAGTGCTTTTTGGAAAATGTCGAACTGACCTTTTTAGAGCACTAAAAACCGGTCATCTGGGCGCAGTAGGGCTCGATGTTTATGAAGGAGAATCTGCCTACTTCTTTGCGGATGGAAGCTCCAAGATCATCTACGACGACAACTTTGCCCGTCTCTTGTCATTCTACAATGTTTTTGTCAGGTATGCCCTCTGCACTCCTCCGCAATTCAAGGCCCGTACTAACAAACACTTGATCACAGCGGTCACCAAGCTTTCCTTACAGTTGAAGCCCTCAAAAACATCGCAGATACAACAATCGATAATCTTGAAACTCTGGCTAGGGGAGGGGTGTGCCAGAATGTTGTCAAACATAACATATAGATTCATTGATCCCTAATTGACGAATATATTATCACGAAGATAAAAGGGCCTCGGATTTACTGGCTCTTAACTTTATAATAACTCTCCCACCATAATACTAGAATATAGTCTATACGTAATCCGGAGACTTTGCGTCTTTGCTAGTAGATTCTTACGGCCAACCTTCACTTTCTTTTGTTTTCTGCTCTTTTCAAATTCTCACATGTAACATTATGTTTTATATCCTATATATAACCGGGTATTCCTAGGCCTA